GTGCATACATACATTAGGTACCTAGCTGTATACACTCCATTTTTAATGAGCAAGGCTCGTGATTTAAAGAAAAAACCACAAAAAAAAAAAAAAACCTAACGGAGTTTTTCTGATTAGTTCAAGTTTGGTTTCAAATCGAGACTGCTGTTCTATTCATATTCGGTAGATGGATGCGTAAGCGGCAAAAGGGCTGACTGTCAGACTGGTTTTATTTAACAGTTCCCCATAATATGATCCTCTGTAAAGGGGAGGTGGACACGTGGCTTCGCCAGTCTTTGCTTTGGTTATCTCATAAAATCGATCGAGCTCGTAAGGTATCCAAAGTGAATCGACAGATTGCGTTACTGATAGCCGCATCTATCGTTGATAGGCCATTATAATGTGACTTAACAAGTGCTAAGCGAGATATCCGACTGGTTGGGATCAACTCGTCTCAAGGGATGAAAGCATAGAAGCCATTGTTTTAAAAACAATCGATTCAAAAACTCACTGACTGACTCATTAGCCGCGAATAGTATATTTGGTTTCGCGGTCTGGCGTCAAATAGACGAGGATCCAGCGTGCTGGAGAAAAGTCTGATCTAGGCGGTTCTGTCTACGTCTAGACGCGCTCGGTATAAAGTATCGCGAATGTTGGATAGTTTCGCTTCGACGAGCTCGTCTCTCGATTATCAAGAAGCCAATGCGACCTTCTTCAAACTCGAGGGGCTTCTCAAGTTCAAACGTCCGTGGGTCCTGATTCAGAATGTACTTAATGTACAGTCCCATTCATACGGCGGGGACTGTGCTCATTGTATTGTACTCCATAGTTGAATGTCTCAGATGGGATGTTCTTAGCAATTGGAGCTAATTCATCCCCGTTTTTGGGGCTATGGCTCATAGAGGAGTGTTAATTCGTAGATCCTTATTCCTCATCCAGCAGGAATTAATCCGATGTTGATCCTTACAACTTAAGGTTATGAGTTATGTATGTCATCGGTTTATGGACAGTACTTGTGGGCGAATCTATTGTCTGTCCGTATCTAAATGGGTTCTGAATCTTGATGCAGTTGGATCGGTTCGCATGGTGCTGGTGCTTGCTTGTGGCCTTATTGTTGGCTAGCCTGGACTGAATCAGGGGACCCGGGATCGTGGTGTTGCGATTGTAACGGTGACTTACGCATGTCTAAGTGCGATGCGCTGCCCTAGCGGTTCTTGGCTGCACCTCGTACCGGATTCAGAGGGCTGGCTACCTAGGTAGCCTGCTAGCTTGTTGTCACCATCGTGAGTTTTGTTATTGTTAAGAGTAGCAAATATCAACCAGGTTTGGAAACCCCCATCAGCTGCTCAGTGACGAAAGGAGATGGAGGCATGTTCGGACGATCAATGCGATAAACCTGTCTGTCATGGCATCTCTCCCCTTCTGTACTCTCCGCTTCGCCTCCATGATGAGTCTCCGTGATGATGTGCTAGGTTTCAGGCACATGAAACGACCATGTTAGCATGGGCAGTGGCCGATCACAGGGGTTTTCATTTCCCCATACGCATGGTAGAATCCTCAGCATTCCACATCCGGATGAAGAGGGAACTCGCTAGGAACCCTAGTTGGCTAAACATGCTAACTACCAAGATCCTTCTGACGTTCTACATATGTATCTGTTCCTTATTTCCTACTTTTGACGCCCCTTCTATGCAGAACTGGACAGAAATAGCCATTTACTTCTAGAGCCAGGAACTTGGAGTTTTGGAATCGATGTAGTTGTTTTTGTTGATATTGGTCTGTCTCTGTTGTGTTTACAATGGTAAATATGAACGAAAGAGTTGCTGATAGGATTGAATGTAATAAAATCAAGGGAAATGTCAAGTTTGGAAAAGGATCTGAAGTTGGAAAAGTTGATTGGATAATGCCATGCGAAGCCATAAAAGGAGGCCTTTATGTATTAGCCCTACCGGGAACAATAGGGATTTATACCGTAAAGGGGGAAGCGTCTCAAAGGTTGTTGATGACTAGAATTCAGGTACCAATCGTTGCTGTTCCTTTGAATTAATGATGACTGAGATTAAAATTAAATATTGAATATTAAATATTGAAAATTAAAAATTAAAAATTGTTGAAATTATTGAAATCGAGATTGATAAGAAAGAGAGTTTGGTCTACTGCATGCTACTGCTACTACTGCTGATGCGATGCTCGTGTTTAAAATCAATCTGATGGTTAGGCGAGTTTTATTAGTAGGCACATTTGATTATGTACATGTATAAGGTTATGTCCGGCTTATTTCAAATTGGCATACTGTACGCTTACACTGTACTCTTACATGCACGGCGTACCTACCTTGTGCATGTACCATGTAGGGGTTCTAGAGCGGGACCTGCCCTGCAGAGAAACTTGAACACCAGGTCAACCCCTGTCAGCAAGCTTGGCTAAATTTCCCTTGTAAGCCCCTCCTTTCTTAGCCTGATTTCTTTTCTGATTGGCTGATAACTGATCCCCGCGGCGAGAGACCTAAATCCCTTTTCAACCACTAACAGCTCATTCATCAGCGGTACCTCGGTACGTAAGGGCAATTAGTGAGAGAGATGGGTACCACTTTATGGAGCAAGAACCTTGGAAACTTCTAAATGTTCAATGTTGTTGTTGTGCTGGCCATCACACCCACACCTATTTTAGATCTAGTTCTCATATTGTAGAAAAAGGTCTGCTGAGCATTTAGATGAACCAATGAAAGGGCAATGTTCTTTGATTTCTTCGTGATACTACTAATGAAATTTAGTGACGCATTTTCTTCAATATTCACATTCTAATTGTTTCTTTACTTTAAGTGAATGTTTTTAACTATTGTTTGGTGTTAAACGTATATATACCTACATATATATGTAAAGTACGTAGACAATTATGTACAGTGTACTCTTTTTCCTTTTTTATTTCTAAGATTTCCTGTACATAATTGTACCCTGAATTCTCAGCTTCGGGACATCACTTTTAGTGGCCAATTTCGTATTTAGACCCACTTCAAATCGCTAACATCCCATCGCCGCGGCAAAATTGGACGCCTGCAGCCAATCGCATACCCCGACTTCGACTCATCGACCGGGTCTAGGGGTAAGAAAGTACCTGCGTACCTGCCTCAACTTACACAGTGCAGACAAATAGACATTAGAAAGTAGCTGTAAGGAAGTAAGGTACGCCTAAGGTTAGTGGGAATCCACGGCCCACAGTCCATAGTCTGTGGGTAGCCCACAATTAACAGGTCCCAGACGGCAGTAGCAAGAGCGCTGGATGTTGTTTGCTGCAGGTGCAATTCATCCACTAGAGCAGTAAGAGAAGAAGGAGACTGGCCTGACCTACTTGCCCACTTTGAACCCACCACAGTAACAATTTTCACTTTTTTCTTCCCACTTCCTCCTGCAGACACACAAGTATCTTTTTTTTCTTTCCCCCTTCATCCACTACATCTCTCTCTCTCTCAACTCTTCAACTTTTTTTTTTTTTATCCATCTTTCTCTTTCTTCCTCTACCCCCCTCCTTATTCCCCCCCTCATCGCCAATCGCCCTTCCTTTATTCTCTCCCTCTATCCGTTGGTTCCTAATCCTCCTCGAGGCTTTCTCCTTTTTTTTGAGCGCGTCGAAAACCAATTTGTCTCTGTCGTCGGCTTGACCTTCGTCGTCGTTGCGTCCAGAGGAGAGAAAAAAAAAGACAGCTATTGCATCGCGTTCTCTCGAGAAGAAGACAATTTGCCACCATCGATATCCACTCAGCATTTTTTTCACAGCAGGACCAGGGGATAAAGAAAAGGAAAAAAAGAAGAAAAAAAAATCCAAGAGAAGAGAAGATAGACAACCAGGAAGACCCAATCGATCCATTCATCGACTTAATCTTTGTACAAATTACCAACGTATTTTTTTCACCATTTTCGATTCGCATCGCCATTACGTATACCCAATACTCGACTCAATATAATATCGCGTCCCTTTCCAACCATACACGCCAACTCGATCGCATAGAAACACCGACAGTACGTCAAGGAAACGTCAAGAGGTCATTTACAATTTGTGATTATTTGCAGAGGTCGCGCCAGACGCCTCTTAATTCTTCCATCGGAGCTTTTAAAGACAAGGAATTTTGCTACCCTCTATTTCGAGGTACCTGGAGGTAGAGATTTGTATAAAGAACAAAGCGAAGTGACACGGATCGGTACTGCCAACCATCAGGACCAGGACTCAAGTCTCCCGATTACGCCGCTCTCGGACGAGTCAAACAACAAAGAAGCAATTCCAGTCTTCAGCAACGGTCTGCCCTTCTATTCCGTCCCTGCGCAATTTCGTCCATTTCGAGGTCGAGATCACACCCCCTTTGCTCCGACTCCTTTGAAAATAATCCAACGTTCATTGCCATTTCTTTGACCCTCATTGAGCCGGAAACTTCACTCGGTTGACATACGAACCTTCCTCTTGCGCTTGATCGACCTTCCCCTTCTCAAAGCTCGCCACGCAGTTTCTCATCATTGGCAACGTCTGTCGCTCATTCGGACACGACCCTGGAATACTTTTAATACCGCTCAAGAGCAAAAAAAGTTCACGACCACTGCATCTACTCGCATCATCTTCTGTTTCTTGTCCACAGCTTTCTATCATCAGCATCAACGAAGCTACTATTGGAGGTTTCGTTGTATCCTGCCGGCACGTCGCGTTTGATACGACATTGATCCCAATTGCTACATTGTTAGCTATTGCACCGATTGTTTCTGCTTCGCCATACAATCGACTTCAGCAATTCCGCTACATTAATCAGACCTGCTCATATCGCTTACATTATTCCTACCTCTCTACTTTGTTGTAATATCACCTTGATTGCCTTTTTACTCCAGAGGTAGTCATCCATTCCTTGTTATTCTTTATTTCTAATTTTACACCGTCGCTTGGATTGGAGTATTCCGCCTCAATCTCTTCCGACAGTTATTCCGTTTGATAGATCGCATAGTCTTTCTAGTTTGAGCATGGACACCGGCGGTCTCGCTCAAATGTCGCACAACGGTTTTACTTCGCCAACTGGTTTGGCCATGCCCACCGGAGGGCTGGCCTCGCGTCGTGGCGGTGGTCAGAACATCAAGCCCCTGTCCTTCGATACGATCAAGGCCTCTTCCGGATCGGTGGACAATGGTGCTCCAACCCCGCGAACAAGTCGCTCTCATTTGCTTGCAGGTCTTAGAACGGCTCCCAAGTCTGCTACCGCGACTACTTTCGCCGCTGCCGCGGCCTCGCCGACTTCTGCTGTGCCCCCGTCGCATATCCCCGGTAGGAATACTAGCATCGCTGGAAACATGTATGGCGGCCAGGACAACATGTACAACGGACCGAAGACATCGCTTCCCCGTCTTGCCACTCAGCAACATCATCAACAGCAACAGCAGCAGCAAAGCTACGGCTCCATGATGGGAATGAACCACCAACAGTACACTGCCGAGCAGATTTTGGCACCCCCCGAGCTTCACCTTGATGAACAAGTCCAGGACCAGATGGATCCTTCACTCTACGCTCAGCTAGTGGCCACCAATCTTTACTTGGCTCAGCAGCAGCAGCGACTACAGCAACAGCTACTCAGTGTTCAAGCTGCTGCTCAGCAGTTCCAGAACATGAGTCTCAGTGGACAATCAGTGTTGCAACAGCAGATGGCACTTCAGAACCTATACCATCAGCAACAGCAGCTCAAGAATTTGCAACAGTCGATGGCTTCTTCCCTGCCTACTCAGCAGAACTTGTATTCTTATTATGACCCTGCTACTGCTCAGCAAATGTACTACATCGAACAGAGTGCCGCACAGGCCAACAGCAACAGCAACTACATGGACCGGACTCCTGGTACCCCTCAAAGCTATACTCGCCAGCAGCCGAACAACAACACACCTCGTGTTCAAGTCTCGCCGCCACCCATGGAGAATAATTCATCGGCCTTCCGAACCACTTCTCCCCCGAAGAAGGTAGAGTTGACCGCGGAACCGACGCCCCTCCCCCCGCCCTCCGCCAATGCCTTCCGTCGTGGCCACAAGAAGTCAAACTCCCTTGCGGGCGCCAATAAGGGCTTATCTTTATCGATGGACGAGACTCCTAAGTCAGCCGGCCCTAAGACGGCTTCTTTCCCATTGTCGCCTATGACTAATGGTGGTTACGGTCCTGGCCAGGGTCGCGCTGGTGAACATCCGGTTCGTCAACCTCGTGGCCCTCCTGCATTGGACGAACTTAAGGCGAAGCCAACCGCCAGGCATGAAGGCAGCAAGAACTTTGCGGCGCGAACTCGTCGTTCTGCTGTTCTTAACCTGAGAAAGGCGGGAATAGTTCGACGCAAGGGTACGGGTAGTAGCTGCGGAAGCATGAGTCCCGTATCTGAAAGTGCTGAGGAGGTCAGCACTCCCTTGACGGACAATGAGTCTGACTCCGGGCGTAGTGGCTCGGGTAGCCTCTCCGGCGATGCGGAGCCCAGTCTGGCTAGCTCCAGAACTTCCACAAGCGGCAGTTGGGGAGCTATCGGCTCCGATCGACCCGGTTCGCGTCAGAAGTCACGCAAGAGCGTTGACAGCTTATCTAGCAGCGGTGATAGTGAGGGTAGCTTTGCGAATGTGTTCAAGAATGGTTCCCAGCGATCTAGCAAGACGGAACTAGTCGATGGGCAGCGTAAAGCACCTATGCTCGTGCTCACCAGCGCCGAGAAGCGCAAAGGTGGCATTGCAGTGGCGTAGGCAAAGCCTAATTTACTTTTCACGCAATAATGATCGCATGCTCCCGACGTCTTTGTCTTTTCACGACTATTGCGATAGAGCGGTAGAGCCCTCTAAGCAGAAATTACGTACGAATGGACGGGACTGGGTTGGAGAACAGAATGGCCATTTCTTTTCGCAATTTGATTTTTGGAAGGCATTAGGATCTGGATTAGGGGATGGTGGCATTCCGAGACGTTGATTTGTGCTTGCAATACCAAGGACCCTGCGCGCCAGCATCCAGGGGTACACTTCTTTGAGGGGATAGAGCGGCTTGGAGAGAAAAAAACCCCATGGGTGGGATTCTTTTGCTGTTTATACTTCACGTCATTCTCTCACAAACCGCACATTTTATTCGATTCTAAATGCGTTGAGTTTGGAGGGGAACCTGGTTGAGGACGCATTTCACTTACGACCCTTGTGGATGCTGTTCCCTGGCGAGCTGTGTAGGCTAGTTTTCTAGCCTCACGGCCGTGTATTTACATCGATAGAGGCATTTACACGGCCAACTTAGGTAGTGATCAATGGCTCAATCAGAATTGAATGCCAAATTTGTCCTATACATAATGATGTAATTCTCTGATCGTGCCGTGACATAATGTGATTAATTCCGTTAAACTCCTATTACGTACGTAGCTACCAGTGCTTGCCGAATCAAGTATCAAAACACATTGGACCTACTACTATTGAGTCGGTTCGAAGGTAAGAGAGTATTAGATATACCTAGCAATATACTCGGCATCTTGACTGCATTTTTCGTACCTATTATTCTGAAATATTAAAAAGACGTATTTTTATCTAGTGCTTTTCTTTCCCTTTGAAAACGCACCTTTCTAACAAATGCAAGCGTTGACAACACATGATACCAAAATAGGACGAGCCAAACCAACACAATAGAGCCCAGCGCCAATACCAACGCCACAAGCCCTGCCAGCGTAACCCCCAGCCCAAGATTTTGAAACGAGCTGCTAGCGCTCAGTGATTCGGTCGCTAGACCTACTTGTAACGCCGATAGTACTACACTGACATACACGAATCCCACTACTAACCACCCGAAATGGCGTTCAAAGAAGGCTTTGTACCACGTACTACTACTCATATACCCATCCACGAACTTCCGCGGCGACCACAACTCCGGCGCAACCAACGGCCACCGCGTCAGCATATCCAGCCGACTTAATCTTAGCTCGCCATAATGGTATCGCAAATCGATTCCCGCCATAGAATCAAGATCTAATGTCCCTAACACCTCACTTGAGAGCTTTGTCCATTGCTCCCACGTGACATCTGGAGGCATTAAGCGCGAATCATTGGCAATAGCGAAGTCGCTCCGGTGCGCGACGAGCCATGCGTAGCTTAGTAGAAAACCGCAAGCTGATGCATGAAGAATCGGGTTTGTGCACAGATGCTCTTCCCAGAATGCGTGGCACAATAGAAAGGCTGGTAACGGTTTAATGAAGATACGATGTTCGTGCCAGACTAAATGCTCGTCTGCACGCTCTGTAACGACGACGGCGCGGTTTACGAGTCGTTGGCGGTGTAGTGGACGCGCGGGGACGGGAAGTCCTGCGAGCCAGAGATGTTTGTGGAGTCGCGACAAGCGATTGGTGTTCAGTTCGCCAACGAGATAAGCTTCTAAGTCTCTAGAGGGAAGGATGAGAGTTCTAACTGAGGAACGGACAGCGGCTGGATGTGTAATGGACGAGATGCCAACGAGACTGAATTCTAGCTTGAAGGGAGGTTTTAGTCCTGGGGGTGATGGCATTTGGTTCATGGCGGGATTTCAACGATTAGGATATAACGATAGTTTAGTTAGGTACGAAGTAATTACGTCTATATAGGCGCTAGAGCTTCTATAAACTATCCAATCTAGGCGGTAGAATTCACTGGGAGCTGGAATATTTTATAGAGGGCTTGAGGGCTCCAGGTGCACTTTCCGCCAGCCATGAGGCGTATTTTCCAAGCCTTTTATTTACAGTTACAGCGCCATTGGTCAGGTGGATTGAGGGGACCTTAGGCGGGTAGGAATCTTCATTACTGATGCTGGCGGGTGCTGATAGGCGTTGATAGGCCACATCCGATTTTGCTGACGCGCGATGTAACCATACCGTTGATCATCCTTACTCGGATAGGGCGCTGTGGGGGCTTCTGCTACTCCTCAGCCTCAGACCCTCAGACTCCGAATCATTACCTAGGTAGAAATGTTAGGAATGGCATTCTCACAACCTTTTTACGTGTTTGTTTATCCCTCTTTTCCTCCAGTTCCCATTTCGCGGTGTTTCTGTTGCCATTCTTGTCATGTAACCAGTGATGGCTCCTATCGTATCCAAGCCTAAGGTCTATAGGCTTAGAGGATGTCCTGATAATCTGAATAAACGGGGCCTTGCCGAGTTACTTAGTCTGGCATTTGGGGACGTCACGCCTACAGATATTCAAATTCAGTCTCTAGCAACGAGCTTGGATCCGTGGACAAGGCCGCCCACTAAGGTTGGGACGTTAATGTTCCATAGACTCCCAGTTTTGATCGAGGCACATATAGACAATAACGAATGGAAGATACCCACTAATGGACCAGAAAAGTCGCTTCTTCTTGATTCCCACTTCCTGGGGATGACACCTCTTAACGATGTTGAAAAAGGGGAACATGAAATCGAGTGAGTTTATTTATACCTAAGTGCCTGTTTTATAGCGGTCCTTGTATTAACTCGTGGGGACTGTGAAGTTGTATTGCCATCTCAGGCTTAGCCAGTCATCCTTTCGGCTCGTGGCAACCAAAAAGAGAAGACAAAAGCTTCATGTGGATCCGAGATGAACTCCCACGAGCCCTTCCTACGACGAGAGCTATCGTATACGGCTACGACACTACCCTCGCGAAAAGCAACTCGTTCCAATCCATCCTAGACCTGGCCATAACCTTCATTGACCACATTAAGGCTTCTGGTCTAGCTCGCCCAAGCGCAAAACCGTTGATTTTCATGGCTCATAGTCTAGGCGGCATTGTTGTGAAAGAGGCATTCGCAGTTCTAGCAGGCAGCCATGAACAAGGACAGCATATCCTGAAGCTCTTCAGAGGCGGCATATTCTTTGGCGTTCCAAGTCAGGGCATGGCTACCCCTCACCTTCTCGCCATGGTTAAAGATCAGGTTAACCAGCAGCTAGTCCAAGATCTATCGGAAGGATCAAAGTATTTACGTGAATTGGACGATCAGTTTTCTGGACTTACATTGATGAGAAACATGTCTATTCATTGGGCCTACGAGACAAAAACATCGCCAACCATGAATGTGAGTATTATACTGCCGTTGACGGTGCATAGCCGTTGTTGCTAAGGTAGGGAAGAGCTGACTCTCAGTAGCGTAAACCAGACGGTTCCTTTTCAAGGGCGGGCCCCGAAGAAGTCTTAGTTTCTAAAGCATCAGCAACCCGAAGTCTATACAGCTCACGATCATCCGCAATATTTCCCATCAACGAGAACCACTCGGAGATGGTCAAGTTTCGCGAAGGTGACCCCTATTTTCGCATTGTAGTGAGTAGACTGAAGGAATGCTGTAGAGGCAGCAATAATGCTGCAATCAAAGCATCAACCACTACGTTTCAGTCAAAGGAAATTGTAGGCGGGGCTACACAAGTACGTTATACCGAAGCTTCAGAGAAAGTGACACATAAAGATGCTGACTGGGATCCAGAGGGTTGGTTAGCTCTGGCTTTGCTATTGTCGTACCATTCGCTGACCGAACATCAGACTTAAAAAAGCTCAAAATCCCCGACCAAGATACCCGCCTCGAAACGATCGATAATAACTCCGAGCATACCTTCGAATGGATATTTGATAGAAAAAAGACCCCCTTGCCAACGTGGCTTGAAGAGGGAACAGGCTTCTTTTGGATACATGGCAAACCAGGTTCAGGAAATCGACACTCATGAAGTTCATCTTTCAGCATCCCCGTACGTGGGAACTTCTCCACAAATTTTCATCTAGATCTACGCAAATATCAGCCAGTTTTTTCCTCCATGATAGGGGAACTATATTGCAGAAATCGTATGAGGGCCTCATAAGGAGTTTGCTTTACCAGATTATCGAGAAAGCTGGGGCGTCAGGAGCAAACATGACGGAGGTTTGGACACCACTCTTGAAAGAACGCGAACGATCCAAGCAATACGGTCGCGAGAATTGGACCATTGAGGAAGTAGAAAGATACATGAACCTCTTACTTCGACAGACTCATGTGGACTTAGAGATTTTTCTCATGCTTGATGCGCTAGACGAGTATGATGGACAACCTGAATTCATTTCCAAAATTTTAAAGGAGATGATGACAAGCACTATCGATTCTCGCACAAAACTCAAGGTGCTTTTCTCAAGCAGACCATGGGAATACTTCATGCAGCAGTTTCAAAATTGGCCTTCGATACAACTACAGAACTATACGAAGGGAGATATCGAGAACTACTGCTGGAGTTTTGTCTATTCAAAAGGTGGTGCGGTCTCTACAACGTTGGAACTTGTGGTCCAGGATGTGATTAACCGAGCAGACGGCGTTTTTCTCTGGGTTAAACTGGTATTGAACGAATTGGCGAATGAAGCCCCCCGGGAAAACGACCCTGACAAGCTCGTAAGTACCCTCGATTTGATTCCTTCGGACCTACATAATTACTATACCAAGATCATCCAAGGAATCCCCGAGAACTTCCGATGGTATTCATATGTGATATTCGAAGGAATTTCGAAGCAATCGTCTTTTCCAACACTCGATAGTGTGATACATGCCCTTGAATGTTCTCGATATTCAACTCTCAGAGAATGTTGTGAAGCTGGAGATGAATTGCGTCCCAAGATGCGCCAACAATCATACATAGAGGCAATGCAGGGCAAAATACTAGCTAGAATGGGGAATCTTATTGAGTTTCACTCTATCATCGACGGGATGCTTCGCGCTGTTGACGTCCAATTCGCTCACCAGACTATTAGAGATTTCGTTCAGGGCCAAAGTTTCAAACAGCTCATTTTAGGCCGAAGAGCTACACGAACCAGGGAAAATGGTTACACATTCTTGGCTAAATATTGTCTCGTCAATTCTTGTCTCTCCAAGGGTAGTATAGGGGAGGCTGCATCATATCTTAGGGGACACGAGATCACGACTGGATACAGCTTGAAATACTTCATTGATAGCGTTCTAGACCAAGATTTCAAAAACAAGTATGCGTTTGAAATGTATGGAGGCCCCTTGAGTATTGCGATGATTGGGAACTTACAGATATACATGAAAGAAACATTGCAGAGCAATCCTGGTGTTTTCAGGAAGACGCGGGAGAAGCTTCTCTCGATGAAACCATTCCCCTTTCCCTACCTTTTGCATGAAGAAGTATATTCAGACGTAAACCGGACACAGCAAATTCTCCTAAGCCTCATTTTAGAAAATGGCTACACTACTCATAAGGACCCCCTAGCCTTCGAGGAAATCATGATGGACATCGAAATTGCTGGGCCCGGAAGCTATGATCGCATCAGGTACCCATCGGGAAAGGTTGATTTCACCGAAGCCAAAGCCATGAAACTTGTTCAATATGGCCAAGATCCAAACACGCCAATTGCATTCTCGATGCCTCCGAGTAACGTTTGGAAACGAACACGGGGTCAACACGTTAGCGAACGAGTTCTTGGGCCCCTACATATAGCTAAGACGGCCGAATTTGTCCGTTGCCTTTTAGAACATGGAGCAAGGGTTAACGAGCCCGATACGTTCGGAAGCACGCCTTTGGACCATGTGTTCTCTTCCATACGTCTCACTAGCCTCACCCCCGACTCTAAACGCATATGGGTCTCGTTATTGTATGAGACTGCTAAAATATTGATTGAGCATGGTGGCACTACCAACACGAGTACATGGAAACATTGGGAATCGGTCTTGTTTAAATTAAGAGTTGATGGTCATGATGTAAAACAATTCTTGGAGTGTCGCGATAAAATTCGGTTTGAAGAGGATGTGAACGATAAGCGCCGGGGGGTTAAAGGAAAACTGTCTATCTTGTTGATGAGAAATTAGCGTGTTCGGATTCCATGACCCAACATCCAGTCGCAGGTATATACCCTTCGAATCCGTGCTAATATAAAAACCACGCCCAAGAACTCTCCGAATACATCCTTACGTTAGGAAGCAGTAATTGCATCCATGTGATCCTCTAGAGTCAGGTCTCCGCGTACAACGGGCTCTGGTTGCTTCTGCTCCTGCTCCTCTGTGACCTGCCCCTTTGCCTCTTCATCCCCCGGTGTCTTTTTGTCCTGTTGCCTACCGCGCACCAAAGCAGAGATGACGCCGAGAAGAGATACACCACCGACGGTGCAACCAACACTTATACCGACCACGGTGTGGGACGAGAGTCCGTTGTCAACGTAGGGACTACTATCGCCAATACTATCACCAACATCTCTAGATGTGATACTCTGCGGGGCATATGGTTAGATGAGCCTTGTTGACGTCTTAGGCGAACCACGTTACCTGTATAGATTGTACAGATGGACCCATAGAGGATAGTGTTGGTGATATATTGACGCTCCGCCCGTCGTCGATGTAGAGGGCGTAATCGTCTAAGGAGAGGTCGACGTCAGGGGCCCATTCGAACGTATTATTGCCAGTATAGCCTAGATCTCTTGTCAACAGTTCAGAGTCATCACTTCTATGTAAGACCGATCGTACCTTTTACGATCTCCTTGTTCCGAGTAAAATCATAGCTTGATAGATTGACCAAATCAATATCGACTGGACCGATGGCATCCGTCCATGTAAGAATAAACGCCTTCTCCTGTTCAATAACCCAGATGTCCGTTGTGAAATGGACTCCAGCCCTGCAGTTCCCAGCCAGTGCCAATGCCGTTAGTATTATTCCAAACAACATTATTGAATAAGATTGTCATTAGTAGGTATGTGAAGAAATAATACAGAACGTAGAAGGCAACCAATTCAACAATTCAATTTATATGATAAATAACACATACATCTCCACGACCCTATCACCGCATGGCAGCTCCCTATCCCGTGTCGTAGTGTTTGCACGGCAGTTTTGCGTTGTACACGTGGGATGGACGGATGCAGGCAGCCTCGACGAGGAGACTTGGTGTCACTCGAGACCCGGTCAAAACGTGGAAGATTTAATTAGGTATTCGCAGGGCACAATTGGGATGATGAGTGCTAGTAAGTATCGGTTTGGTAAGAGGTGTATCGAAACGTGTATATATTTCAGACTAAGATAATTGAGAGGTAAGTAACATCTGGTGCCCTACTGGTAGAGGCGAACTCCATTGAATTGTGGTGTAGATAGATTATCCAAGTTTAGGATGATTGCTTCCAGTGAGCCACACATGAAACAGACCGGGGGCGGACAAACAGACGAACGTACATACCGGGTTTCTACGCATCGCCCTTGAGATGATGATTGCGGCAGAGCTGTGTCCAAGGCTGACACCACTATCGTAAGGCGCACGACGAAAAATATAAAGGCAAGGTGTCTCATTATCTCAATGACAGGTATTCTACATATACCCGAATATTCTACATATTTTGATAGGTACTTTATCGCTGTAGAATGGTCCTTGTTGATCCTGGCCCCGTGGAAGTTCGAAGTCGATAATTTCGGGATTGAGATACATCTTTTCGCAGGCAGCGATAAATGCCTCGAATGTTTCTTGGTTTCTTTCGGTAGCGGCGATGAGGACCGTTGTATTGAACATTCCTATTAATTCTCCCAATGTCCCCATTAAGGCCGGGATGACGCTCTTGTCATAAGTGATATCAGCACCGATAACAATGTCGAATGGTCTACCGCCATTCCACTCCTCCTCTTCCGTGCCTACGAGAGCGTGTCCCCACTTGACGTCCATAGCCCGGATGTTCTCGTCATCTTGAAGACCATTCAAGAAAAAGTTATCAGGAAGGGTTGCTACTACTTCATCCGAACCATCGGATGCGACAACTGATTTAGCGCCGAGATATTTGGCGCAGAGGATTGATAGATATCCTGTGCCTGCTCCTAACTCTAAGACTTCCTGGCCTTTGATGTAGGATGGGTTGGCGCTTAGATACTGACCAAGATGAAGAGCAGCCTCCCAAGTCCGTAGGCCGGTGGTCCCTGCTGCGGAAATGAGGTTGCGCGATTCAAGTAATGTGATTTGAGGAGATGGGGTAGAACTATTTTGAGATGTAGTGATGAGTGACGGGGTGTATGTGACGTAGGATTTCTGCTGAGCAGCAGTAAGTTCTGGGAGAAGTGGAAGAGCGAGGAGACTGGAGAGCGAATTCATCAAGTCATCTGATACTCCCTGAGAACAATGGAAAATCAGCCATGGCTACATGGCAAAGGAATTACACTCATAATTCGAAAATGCTGTCCCTTACATGTCTGTCCCAGTCTTCGATACTTGCTTCGATTCTTGAGGTGAGTTCCTTTAGGACTTTGAGTTGATATCTCTGGGGAGGGGGATATGAGATGGCACCATCAGCAAAGAGTCGATGATAAAGGATATCCTGGGTATCAGCCTCCCGTAATTGGTCAGCTGGAGGATAGTCTAGGTCTCGTTCCAATTGTAAATATTGGTGACAGAAGCGCTCAATACTGTTGTCCCTAGCTTCGGATTCGCCTTGCGACATGATTGAACAATCCCGTTTGGTGTACCACGAAGTTGTACACCGGATGAAATAGTCTGAGGAATTCGAGATTATTAATCTGATCTACTTGATCTCTTCCACGAAGGCAATCCGACAATAATATGGACTGACGTGTTTAGAGATATCGGCATTGCCATTACTGAAGGTGATGTAATTGGTAGAATGGTAGAATGCCTTCTGAGCTTATGCCTCGATGAAAGAAAGGGTAAGAAAGTAGAATGTGGCTGGTGTGAGTGGGAGAGACAAATGGCTGAGTGGAGTAAATCCGTCTTATCTAATCAAATAGAAATTTGTTAGGGTTTTAACCTCGCCTACCTAAGCAACTTCCCACTTCTGTGCGCACTCTCCTCGTACAATGCCTACTAAAAAGAAGCACGGACCACAAATTTAACTCGGCTCTAGCCCCAATCACACAACACCCACTTTCGGCTGCGAAATTTCGTACAAGCCTTTCCAACTTAATCGATTTCTTCATTCAGCCAGCAACAACCAGAAATAAAAAAAAAATAATCAACACGCCAATTTCTTCGCTAGGACTGTTCATTTCAAGAATCATCCTGACCCGCGAAGATGGCTGATTCCGAGACTCCCGTTACTCTGCGAACTCGCAAGTTCATTCGCAACCCTCTCCTCGGTCGCAAGCAGATGGTCGTGTATGTCTTCTTCCTCCCGCGCCCTTCAATTACATCGATATCAGTACACTAGATTGGATTTATATCGATAATTTCTATAGAAAAGGAGTTAAGAATTAACAATTTATAGTGACATCCTCCACCCCGGCCGACCGAACATCTCCAAGGACCAACTTCGCGAGAAGCTGGCTACCCTCTACAAGGCACAGAAGGACCAGGTCTCCGTCTTCGGTCTACGAACACAATTCGGTGGTGGCAAGACGACTGGTTTCGCTCTAGTCTACGATTCTCCTGAGGCTCTGAAGAAATTCGAGCCCCAGTTCCGCCTCGTCCGTGTCGGTTTCGCCACCAAGCCCGAACGAGCATCCAGACAGCAGCGTACGTTCTTTTTTTCACTTCTTCCGCCATATCGAAACCCGAAAATATCTTGGTTCTCTTGACAAATATAGAGATACTAACATAATAATATACAGGCAAGCAGCGCAAGAACCGACAGAAGACCCTCCGGGGTACGGCCAAGGTCAAGGGTGCCAAGGCGAAGAAGGAGAAATAAACGATCGGCTTCTGGGTTTTCTGGTCTTTGCGGAGTGGGAACGGCTCGGCTTGGGCACTGGCTCTGTGCATTATACGCGGAAATGCGTCTCTACATCCTACATACTAGTCTCGGCATGGTTACTAGTAATTTTCCTCGAGGCGTGATGGAATGAATTTGATGATTTCCCCCACGATAGCATAAATCAAGGAGTTGTTCTGGCATATAATGGTTTACATTCATACGTGATAACACGGACATCTTTATTATTGGATATCTTGTTGTTTGTACTGACTGAACTGACTGTCTCGCAGTGCTATGCAGAAATAAGTATATGCTAACGATATTCCTTGCTCACACATAGCCCTATCTGCTAACTCCAAAACGCCTTTTATATCCCAAGGTATCTCATATCCCAACAGCAAGCGAATTCATAAGTCATATCACGCGTCCAAGGTATCTCCGAACCAAAACGTACCAGCGCGCGAAGCCCGCCGAACTCAGGTATCACAACCCAAGCGCCAATCCACCAGCAACGACTCCAGCCACGACACCTGCGCGCAAAGCCGCCCTACCGCCACTATCACACCGAACCCCACCAGCACCAGCATCTAATATCGGCTCGTGCCAACCACAGTGTGTTTCTAACGGGAACTCTACACAGCTCCAATACGTCGTCTGAACATATTTGATAGGAGAATCTCCAATCTCATGGAAGTTTCCTCCCGGAGGATTAAGCTCAGGTGATGGTGTGATCTCGGGGTTGTTCGCACTCCCATGTATCACAGATGTAGGCGCATCCAACGGTAAAGCAGTACTCCGCGTTTCGGCCTTGGTAACGCCTGTGCCTGCTACCTGGGGCACAGTAGAATTTGACTTAAGAAACGGTCTTGGAGATATTCCACTAGATGCGATTGTAGCAGTTGGTATCGCTACTAATGTTGTAGTTGAAGATAAAGATAGACTTGGACTCGGAGGGCTGGCGGTCCGTGGTGTTTTTAAGTAGGCTGCCTCTGCGAAATTCAGCAGGGCGATTAGGATGACGATTGCCAGCATCGTCACGAGTGAATTATGTGGTAATGTTATGTATTCTATTCCCGTGGGTAGTTTCTTGTATATCCCGAAGAGATAGCCAGTCTTCGGGGTTTCAAAAAATGGGAATATGATACGCCAAAAGAGAGCAATGCAGTATGCTGTCGAGGCCTGCTCAATAAGGGATGAATAAATAGAAAGAAGGTATCGTGTAGTTTGGCGGAGAAGGGTGACAAAGATGCAAACGATAGAAATGGGTAGTCAGCCTTGACTCAAACGCAGAAGAAATGAAAAGAAAATGCCAAAAGGCCAGTCAAGAATAAATCAAACTGCACCAACTTGCAGAATCACCTGTGGCTAATGCTATTAATAAAGGAACCCGGCCTGCTATACTCTACCAGACAATGCATCATCTATCCGATCCGACTCCATGATGCTAGCCGACATATATGTATGCACATTGACCAAAAAAACAAAGATAGAATTGGGGCAACAGCTATTGGATAATGTATTGTCTTTCATCAAAGCCTAAGTGGAAATTAACCCTTTTTGATTCATTTTCAGATAATGTTTACCTGTTGATACTCAATAGAAACAATGGCTTTGCCTTGGCGGAATAAAGAAGTCTTCTAGATGGTAATCATAGAGCCTCCTTGTGTTAGAGGTGGACCATCGAGTCTTCAAACGGCTGGCTGTGTGGCCGTTCAAGAAGCAGGCTACGGGTGGAGGTATGTCGCGGATAGGGACCGTATTGGCTGAGATGGGAGGATATGATTGGTGCGTAATGCATGCAGGGTCAAATGGGGATGCATCCTATTAAGTATTTTTTTCCCTACCCCTCAATTGTATGTCTTCTGTGAGTAATATCATATCTAGGTATTCTAGATCTACCAACCTAGCTTGTAAAATTGAATTATAGCAATTCTGAGGCATTTCAGTTCTCATTCATACCGCCAACTCATTGGGCCCCATCCCTACCTGCCTGTGTGAGGTGTTTCTTGGCGCACCCATGCGCTATTGGGTCACTGTCTAGATGCATGCAACATAGTACTTACATAGGTGGTACTATCACGAGTAAAGCCTCCCCTCTGAGATCTAGTTCCGCGTTGCCTCATATGATATTTAAAAACTTCAGAGAAAACACAATCCTTATATCAACTTCACGACTTCTGGTTCAACCCCCGCCTCCCTGGCTTCGACAATCTGACCTTCCATAACACCGCTAACATATGCATGTCCTACTAATTGGAAAGTTGAAGCATCGTCAGTGCTCATGGGCCTCAGAACGAACGGTACTTTAGATCCAAACAGTAAATAGCCCCGGTCATTAAATTTAGTACATTGAGGTGCCAAGCCGAAATAACCTCCAGTGCCATAGAAAAACCGGCGGTTTCTACAAGTATCGAAAAACAAGTTAAGCCACTGTGAATCACAGCCATCCAACGAGTCGTTATTAAGAAGCCCATCCAGAAGGGCTTGGAATTCCGTTAGCTCATCCCCACTCGGTGAACGAAGCCTTCGATTTGTGAACGCCATTAATGCGAGAGCTAGAGGAAGGGGGAATGCAGTGTAGCGCGGCTCGTCCTCTCCAGCGTAATAATTATTGATAATAGAACCCAGCCATTTCCTGACCCCGTTCCTATACTGTTGGCCCTTGTGTTCCGTTAAGATCTCGGATACCCAAGAGATACGCGCAAATTGATAGCCCGCAAGGAAGAGAGCCTCTGCCCCTCCATAACTAGATCCAGTCATGTAACTATGAACGGATTTCTTATTGTCCGCTCGGAACTGGTGATTCGCAAGCACCATTGCTTCACGATCATAGTCGAAGGGTGTGTCTAGGCGCAAAAACCACGAGGGGAAATTTCCCTGATTAAGCTCTCCAGCATGCGATACTTGATCGAGAACATCCAACCCGCCCTCCTTTTGAATCGCGAAACGAGTTGCATCACGCAAGATGTCTTTTAATGATTTACTGTAGTCGGTTGCTATTAGAGACGCTTCAAGATATTTTCCTGAATGCCCTATTGTCCGGCATAGGCCCACAATCGCAAATATCCTGTCCTTTGGTTCGGAAGTCAGGAGAACTCTTGTGGATTTTACCGAGAGGGAAATGGTCAACCCGGTAGAAGTGGCTTTGTGACCTAGTAATATAATGGCGAAGAAGATGGCGGGTTTGATAGATGGGTGAAAGGACGATGAGCCCGAGGATAAACTTTCATGTAAATACAACCATAGGGCCGCATATAGTAAGCTCTGGAGATTAATTAGAGGTTGACTACCGCAAAAGCATATATTAGACGGCGCTAGAGCAGCTTCCTGTACAACCCACAGTCGCCTAGCCTTTGTATTAGCGAGGTCTCGAGTCTTATCACATCCTCCAATATATTTAGTGAGCGCATACTTAAACCAAGCTCTTTGAAAGACTGCGGTAATCGCGTCTTCGTCAAATTCGCATTCTATAGGTTCATGTAAAATATTACCGTCGGTAAACTGCTGGGCCATGTTTTCGAGGAAGTTGGAAAAGCCATGCATCTTTTGCTCTATTTCTTTTTCTATCCCCCCGATGGAGTCGAAGGCCATGCCAGATTCTTCACTATCCTCTCCTAGGTAGACTAGATTCTGCTGTGAAAACCTATAAATATTCGACATGACAGAAGCCTGATGTCCTCGTTCTTTCAGGTCGCTTTGGTCGATACGGATGGCATCAATCCAAAGTATGCGGGGTTTGTCAGGCTTTCTCATACACCTAAGAGCCGCAACTGAACTGGCTGGTACCTCTATTACTTTTCCCGTTAACCTCGATGGAATCGCAAGCGTTGGAATCCCCCCAGCAGTACGAGATTGTTTCGTAATCAATGGCTTCGGGGTCCGGAGCATGAAAAAGTTGCGCCCTAACCACTTCAAACCCCTCCCCCGAGAAGACTTCAAGTAGTCGCATCTCCCTCTTACGAGTAAGAGAGCGATATAAGGATAGATGCGATAAAGATTCTAGGTTATTCATAGCGGCCTATCCTAAGTAGTAATTTACAAAAATCTACAATAAGTTTCCTAACCTCAAGCAAGGCTCGCGCATGGTCGAAGGCGGCCTCTCTACTTAGTTACCAATAAACATAAAACGCATGTTTAATGGATGCCTAAGGAATCAACCCTTTACTTTTCCGTTGATCGACCGACGCCGACATGATGACATAATCTAGCCGTGATAGTGGCTGCATTTAATTAATTATTGCTATACGCCAGCGAAACTCAAGGGCTAAACTCGTACTCCGCACGCCCTCTTGAATTTGATATCAGCGATCATACGCCCCGCCCAAGCCAGTAACTCCGGATCATGCCCTGCCCTACCCTACCATATCAACTACCTAACTTCCTAGCCAAATTCAGCAAAACCACGCACCCTTAACCTCGATATTCCACCACGTGCCGACGTGTGACAGCTTGCATGGTATTACTACTTTCCTCGCCCTCGAACTTCAGGTTAACCTTGCCGTCGCCGTCCATCCCTATGACTTCAGCTTTATAGAATGTAGTCGTGTTAGGATAAAGGGCCAGCACAGTCTTACCCGTTTCTAGGGGTGGAAGTACGGTTCCTTCTTTAGGGATGAGAATCATGCTGCTAGCGCTGGTACGGAAGTCCTTCTGGTGGCCGTTCTCATCTACATCAGCGTCGAGAACCCTGTATCGCCTTGACTTGCCTTCGCCGCGCACGTCTTGCACTATGCCTAGTATCCAGTCCGTCTGCTCGTTGTTGACTGGCTTAGGTTTGAACGCGACCTCATCATCCTTGGCGAATGTCTGCTTAGAACGGATGGAGCTGGCGGCTGTTCCGGTCTGTGGCTCAGCACTACCTGCTTTGGCTGCCGGAGTAGAGCGATCTAATCGAGGTGGTACGGAATCACGGTCGCCCCTGCTACCGGCGCCACCACCCATACGGCGAGGCACAGCTGGGTTTGGTGAGGGTACGGAGGATTCGCCAGAGCCGTCAAAATCATATAAGGAAGACGCAGCTGCGGCCGATTCCTTATTGCGTTGTGTTGATGATCGAGATGTGTTTACTTCTTGTTGGTCTTCTTTGGCCTTTTGAACGGCACGTAATACTTTTAGCTTCTCAATTGTCTCTGTGAGAATCTGACTGGCTGTATCATTTTGCCTTACACCCTTGCGAAAGAGCTTGTCAAGCTCATTGTAATCTTCTGCCGTGATAGCTGGCACAATTGGTTAGAATATCTATGCGACGAGAAGGTAGAAAATGAAATTGAACTTACAGTTATTCTCCCTCTTCTCTGCCATTAGTTTTTCTTGATTTCGAATATCAAGGACAGTCTGGTTGCTTAGATTGAATGCATCAGCTGCGCCGGGGATCTTTTCCTTGATATCCTTCCACATGCCTAACTCTTCGCCATGCTCGCCGATTTCGCTATTGCGATTGGGTCCTCTTCGTTGACTTCCCCTAGAAGACATTCTGCGTGGATTTTCCTCCTCGGGCTCAGGTGGTAAAATGATGGCTCTAGTTTCAGAGTTTCTCGACTCTAACCGTCGCGGTTGGTCTTGATCTTGATCCTGAGTAACCGAGCTTCGAGAAGTTGTTGTGGAACCTCGACGTCGGCGGGGACTAACAGGATCGTCCCAAGCCTGACCTAGACTACTGGCAAGTTTATTTAAATTTCTTTTAGTTTTTTTGTCAGCTCCCATATTCGTAGCGGCGTAGAATATGAATCGATGATGATGTGATGAGAAAATAAGAGGAGGATGAAAGCCAATTGAGACTTTCTTAGGTGATATATGGACCCGCACATATGTAGTTAATTTTATGAGGACAAGGAATAAAAAAGTGAACAGTGTTGTTGTATTTTATTACGGCGTTCATTATTTTTGTTTTGTATGTGTTTTTGTTAGGAGACGGAGTGCGGAAGAAATAACCTACTGGGTATCCGGATCAAGGCCGGAGGGAAAGTAACGACGACTACCTACTTTAGTCGGCAAAGGTAGGAAAGGTGAGAGGTGGGAGGAAAACCAGCGGGAAGTGGATCACTTAGCACCGGAAAGCGAGGTGAAGGAACGAAGGTGAGAGATTCCCGAAAAAGTCGGAAGCTACCTAAGTCAGGTCAGGCTAAGGTAGGTACGATGGGTACGATGGGTACCTGAGGAAGGGGGGTGGTTGTTTGCGAAATGAGTCGTTGCGACAACGCCGCCTGTTATATGAAGAGTGAATAAAAATCATTGGGGATGATAAGACGCGAAATTTTCATTGCGTTTGTAACTAAATCTCAACAAGTAAAAGTGTAATAATCATCTTAAATTCAACGTTGATGTTTGGACATTGAGTTCTTTGATGATAGCCGAACTGGATGATACGCTAATTTGGGTCGGCGTTTACAATTTACAAGTCTCGTTGGAAGTGGCTGGGGTTTTGTGTGTTGTGGCTGGGAAGTTGCTTCTTACTCAAAAGGGAAGTATCCCTGTGTCACATTGATTGATTGATAGATAGCACGTGGTGCAACGTGGGGCTACGAACTGCAAATTCAAAATGTTCAGCATCATCCACCTTAAGCTGCAGGTTACACAGCGGGGTAACTGCCCCCACCTTTGGTGCTTTTATCACCTCGAATTCTATTCGATCACTCTAATTTATTTTCTGTCTAGCTAAACTTTGGTAAGCATTAAGTGTTTCTGTTTATGCCGAACTGACAAGGAGAGCTTCCTTACTCTTAAATTAATTCAACATTGCGCTATTCCTTACTCAATTCCACCACAAACACCGTTACCTACCCCATACTTCAGTGATCTTAAAAAAATGGTACTACCTATTCCTTTGATTCGACTCCAATGTGGAGTGAACTCCTACGATTGGGGAAAGATTGGATCAGATTCCGCCGCAGCCAAATTTGCCGCAGCAACACCTTCCGATACTCTGAGCATCCAATCAGATAAGCCGTATGCCGAGGTGCGTCTTCCACTGCTAAGATCTAAGCAATCCGATCGCTAATTTTGGGCATATTACTTTGCTAGTTATGGATGGGCACTCATCCTTCAAATCCCTCTAAAGACCTCGAGACCGGCCGAACGCTGCTTGACCTAGTCGAAGCCAACCAAGCTCTTCTAGCCCCCTCGGTGAAGGCCAGATATGGCAACAAGCTACCTTTTCTCTTCAAGGTACTCTCTATAAACAAGGCTCTTTCCATACAAGCACATCCGAACAAGAAGCTCGCCGAACAACTACATGCCAGAGATCCTAAGAACTACCCCGATGATAACCATAAACCCGAGATGGCTATTGCCATCACTGAATTCGAAGGCCTATGCGGATTTCGTCCGCTCTCAGAAATCGCTCATTTCCTATCCTCCGTATCTGCTCTTCGACAATTGGTTGGTGAAGATGCCGCTAAGTCTTTTATTGCTACTGTTCGAGGCCAAGAAAGTGATGCTTCCTCCGAATCTACAACCCAAAACAAAAGAGCCCTTCAATCCGCTTTTGCTGCTCTCATGAAGTCCTCACAAGAAGATGTAGCGACAGCAGCTAAAGCGCTCGTCTCAGAAGCTGAAAGCAAAGGAAGTGAATTTGCAGATGGTGGAATTGAATCTACGAGTGGAGAGGTCATGTCCGAATTGGTGACTCGACTAAACAAGCAATTTCCCGACGACGTTGGTTTGTTCGTTTTATTCTTCCTCAATTACGTGCAGCTTTCGCCTGGCGAAGCCCTCTTCTTGAAGGCGGATGATATTCATGCTTATGTGTCGGGAGATATCATTGAGTGCATGGCTGCCAGCGACAATGTCGTACGAGCTGGTTTCACACCAAAGTTCAAGGATGTGCAAACATTAGTTGATCTACTGACATACAATTATGCCCCAATTGAGGAACAGAAGATGTCACCCACCGAATACCCTTATGTAGTGCTAAACCGCACTGCATATAGCTCTGGCTCAGAAGCAACACTATATGACCCTCCCATCGATGAGTTTAGCGTCATCAGAACGGTTCTTAACGGTGATGGATCTAAGGCCACCTTTGATCCTATTGACGGACCGAGTATTGTTATCTGCACTGGAGGCAAGGGCAAGATAACAGTGGGAGCTAAGACCGAGGAGATAAAGGAAGGTTATGTCTACTTTGTTGGTGCTACTGCAGAGTTGATCCTCGAGTCTCAAGGTGGCCAAGATGATTCCTTCACAACCTTCAAGGCATTCTGCGAAGTGGAGGATCATAGCAATGGGGCCCAGCTATAATTTCTGCCTGCCCAAGTCAGTATTGACTGAAGATGGGATGGCATATGGGAACACCATAATCCATAATATTGATGTATGAAACAACCATGAGACAGTTCTCATAAGGATTAAAGAATGGATTATGTTGTGGACAGGCTTCGTACATCACCATTCATCTCATGCTTGATTTTAGAGATATCCAAAAAAGCAATTAATTATGGAGTTATTCTAAACGAAATTCTTTGAGATGATTCTTTTTTACCGTAGGTGTGGTCAAGCGTTTCTATCATCTAGTATTGAGTATCAGTTATATTAATGTCTTGACGTAAGGTATATTATAGTACCTAGGTATGTATACTAGTACGTGCCCCTTTTCTCGATTTGCTTGCTACCTAAAGTTGCTTGTTCGTTCAGTAGACAGGCAGGTACCTATGACATTAATTGATTGAAATGGCCTAAGCGTTCCTAAATAGCCAATCAGATTGTATGGTTTATTTTCCGTCGCTTCCCGAGATCAGCTTCGCAGATGTCTTATCAATGTACCTAGGTAGATACCTTTCGGTACCTGTCAGGGGAAACCGTTTATCTAACCTAATTGAGTATTTGGAACGTTTCTAGCGCAATGCTTTTTAGCGTAACTTGTAGCGTGTAGGGGAATGAACGTTGACGGTTATAGGCAGTTATAGGCGCTATAACTGCCCCTAAGATGCAGCGGAAATTGAAACATTTAGTGATGATCTAAGGACTAGGATTGTTTTTTGTACGGGGGGTCCTGGCGCAACTTTAATGTTTCATTTAATCTTCCACGTTTGGAAATCAACACGACAAACTATTTTTTTTCTTCTCCCTCTCTCTCTCTTCTTTTGACCTTGTCACCTTGTCACCTTGTTCAGTCTAATTTTCCCTCCTTTTACTCACATTCCCTCATACATTGACCGTGCATGTGTCAATCTCGGAAATTGTAAATTTAACCTATTTTTAATCCTACCTAGTTCACACTTACGGATACGGAGCAAGGTACTGTTTACGCGCGAATACCCTACCACCCTCCCATCGGTACATACCTCCGTCTTCCGTTCGTAACGAAACACCCCCTTTGACGATACGATTGCTACGAGAGACAGAGTGGTTTCAACCAATTACTGTGTCTGCCACTTGCGAATCAACCAATAACGACGTGTTGGGTTGCAAATCGCCGTTTTACTTACCATCCTCCCTCCATCCAAGCCTCACATGTTAATAAACCCGACGACATAACATACTCCTTATAACCACACCACTACATTTCAACTAAGTTTGCGACGCGAATTGACTATACGGGCGACTCGATATAAACAACAAGCGACGACGTCAATCAGGTTTCTCCTATTCTAACTCATATCCCCTGACCAAAATCAACAAAAGTCAACATGGGGGGTCAACTCTCCAAGATGATGGGCAAGATCTTCGGATCGAAAGAAATGCGATTGTTGATGTTGGGTCTTGATGCTGCCGGAAAGACTACTATCCTCTACAAGCTTAAGCTCGGTCAAGATGTAACTACTATTCCTACCGTCGGCTTCAACGTCGAGACAGTTACCTACAAGAATGTCAAGTTCAACGTATGGGATGTTGGTGGTCAAGACAAGATTCGTCCCTTATGGAGACATTACTTCAGCGGTAAGTGCACATTATTGTTACTTGGAGTGCCCCTTTGATACCATTTTATTCTACATTACTATGGATCGCCTGGTGGGGGAAGTCGACACAGATATGAGCTTGGATTATATCTTCATCGGAAATGTTGAGAGACGTGCTAATATGATGCGCAAATAGGAACCCAAGGTTTAATCTTCGTCATCGACTCTTCCGACCGCGCTCGAATGGATGAGGCGAGACAAGAACTACACCGAATTATCAACGACAGAGAAATGAAGGATAGTTTACTTCTAGTATTTGCCAACAAGCAGGATATCACCGATGGTATGTATTACATAGAACCCCTTTTCTCAATCTACTCGGACCATCTCTGGGATGGTATGGTCAATGGTATTACAGCAGCTAATATTTGATTCCCCTATAGCTCTAAAACCCCAAGAAGTAACCGAGGCGCTGCAGTTGTCGAAGTTGAAGGATAAGATCTGGTATGTGGTACCTAGTTGTGCTACAACGGGTGAGGGTTTATTGGAGGGTCTGGCGTGGCTTTCGAACAATGTCAAGGCTCCTCCTACACCAGCCAAGAAATAGGGCTTCTGAGTTGTTGTTTCCTTTGATACCCTTGCTTTGTTTTTGATCTAGAACAATACCCTCTCTATACGCCACCGAGGAGAATGGATGGCAACGGCCGAGCCATGATCGTCCATCAACTCGGGGAGGCTTTATACGACCCCCTTAATAACATGAAGAGATTGGTTCGGGCTAGGATGCTCTTTGCGCTATACGATGAAGATAAAGGTGTATTGCTTCGTTGGTAGGGTGGTTGAATCCGTGTGCGCATTTTCGAAGAGTTTTTTTGCTTTGCCATTGAAGAAACGGGTGTGGATAGCATTGCGACGGAGCGATCGGTTACATTTACCATACCCTAATATATCGCCTGTCTCCAGTTTACGTTCCATCTCACTAGTTGCGAGTGCGAAGTTAAGAGAAGAGATAATGGCGCGCGAACCGCTATAATTAACACGTCTATACCAGTTTAAGTAGACGGTAGCTATGCTCGAGTCGAATCGAAATGGATATACCCAACCAGTGTTACTGCACCCGACCAACCTCTTCTCCGTTTCCGAAGTTTCTAGTTTTAATTTCTTGGTCACGAATTTCCCTCATGATACGAACCGGACGGTCTTAGCGAATGGATTGGTAGGATAAGGAAGAGGAAAGGAACGTTGGGTGGTGGAATATCCATGTTGTCCCGAATTAATATCAGAGAGTGGCGGAATAGAAGGTGGATCGGTGTCGAGTGTCTTGGATTCTTTGTTGGATATTATTATTGTAATACTGGTAGCTTTACTCGCCCATTACTTGGTGAGTTTTTGAGGCACCTATTAATTTCGCTTCGTATTGAGTAATGAAATAGATTATAACTAATATTGGGCTTTGATTTGATGACGTTGTGAACTCCGTGTTATAGCTCGAGAATAGAGATTGAAGTCATCGCAAGGTTTAGTATCATGTAGAATATCCATTCCTAAATGCTATGTTGTGATTATTACCAGAACGCCTTAAATATGGCAGGTCAACAGACGCAATGCGATGCGACGCCTATTGAGGTCATTCCAGAGTTGCCATACTAAACCCATCAACTCCGCCTTATAGCGCCATTGCTCCATTATGAATCCCTTTCCTAGAAACCATACTCCCGTAATTCTAAATAATAAACCAAACTAAGAACCGTTCTCCCATTCTGCTCTTACCTACCTCGCCAGACTAAAATAAGACCTACCCGTCCTTAACCCTCTTAACAGGCCTAACCATACTATCATCCGGCAGACCAGAGCGTTTCGTGCCAGGTAGACTCGCCGTCCTAATATCGTTATCGTCCTGACTAACTCGGCGCTGCGGATAGGTCGCCTTAATACCATCGAAACAACCGGCCGTTACCGCAATCCCGCCTCCGCCACTAGTTGCTTGGAAAAACGGATGTTGAAGAGCTTGGGCGGCTGTGAGTCGACGCTCGGGGTCGTATTCTAGGAGGCCGGCGAGGAGCTTGTATCCTTCTGCTCCTAAGGCCGCGAGGCTACCGTTCGAGCTTGGTGACGAGGTAGATGAGTGCGCGCCAATGGTGCTATAATACCATTTCTCGAGATGGCTTGTCGCCGCAGCGGATTTACTGTGGTGGTGATGATGTCCATGGTGGCCGTGATGACCTGGGTGAAGCATTGGGGGTTGTAACATGTTAAGATTATTGTACTCCGGCATGCTGACTAAATAAGGCCACCGCTCTTTAGTAGGCATGCCCATTATATCGACAATTTTCTGCATCTGGTTGCGCTGGAATGGGACGGTCTTTTTGTCCATCTTGGCTTCTTCCCCCTTGAATATGGGCCGTAACGAGAGAAGTTCGGCGAAGATGCATCCGATGGCCCACATGTCGATTGCGGGCGTGTAGTGCCGGCTACCTAGGAGTAATTCAGGTGCGCGATACCATATTGTCACGACGACCTTATCACCACTCCAGAGAGAATGCAACGGCTTGTGGAAGAGCCGCGCCAATCCCAAGTCACCAATCTTGACCTGTCCGGTAGAAGTTACCATGATATTGGCAGGCTTAAGATCGCGGTGTAACACCCAATTGCTGTGAAGATATTGACACCCGTTAAGTAGTTGAAACATGATGCTTTTGACGGTAGAAGGTGGTATGCTGTGGCGAGGCTGTTGGGTATGGTGGTGAATGATCTGGAGTAAATCGTGCTCGGCGTATTCAAACACCATGAAAATACACTTATCCTCAAGGATAATTTCGATGAGACGGATAACATTGTCGTGCTTCAGTTCGGAACATAATGCCATCTCACGTACCGCCGATTGAGAGATACCTGAGTATTGGATCTGTTCGCCCTCCTTGTCGGGCTTGAACTTCTTGATAGCGAATTCGCCAGGCTGATTATGCCGGCTGATGGCCTTGTACACCCGGCCATAGGTTCCGCTACTGATGAAGCCGATGACCTTGTACTTGTCGACTACCCTGACCTTGGACTGGTAACCCACATTCCCACCTCTATCGTTGGGATCTGCATGCGGGGGTTAGTATTGCCGACATGCCTGTTGCTATTAATAATACGAGAAAGGAGAAAGCCAAAGTACATTGATTGCGGAACGGAGAAACATGCGGTTGGAAAGCGGGCGTTAACAAATGATTTCCCGCCCTTGGTTCTAGGGACTTGAGAAGAGAGAGGCCCGCGTTTGCAGGGCCGCGAGACATCCTGTCTTGCTCCTCCTGTAACTGTATCCGACGGTTCCACATAGGATTATTGATGCCATTCCCAAGCACCATAATTATATGGTGCTTTTTGGGGAATGAAAACGAGATAGATTTAAAAAGAAAAGGGTGAAATTTTATGAATACGAAGTAAGAGCTGCCATGGCAAGTTTCGCCGGCGATAAATATTCAGCGGCACAGTATTCGCCGAAGCTGAATAAAGTCCGAAGGCCACCAATCAGATGATAGCTTGGATCGTGAGATAGGCAAAGAAAATGTAAGCCAAGAAAGAAAGGAGAAAAAAAAAGTTGGGTCGGTGCTGAGTAGACAAGCGAGTAACCGAAAGACAAGCAAAAGAGATTACTAAAACCAACATGATACAACTGATGGGTGGAAAAATAATGTGTAATATAAGACCTGTCTACTACGTACCTTCAAACGCCGCTTGTACACTTCGCTTAAGAGTTTGGTTCCGCGCAGAAGCCGAAGCCGGTCCCGAGGCCCCCGAGGAAGGATTAGTGAGACTCATTGTTCTATTTGATCTTGTTTGATTTGATTGCTCGTTTGTTCAGCTGCCTGTAGGTATGCCGTCCCGTCCTGCCGTGCTTGTGTACTTGTGTGTAATGGTTGGGGTCAGAGCTTCTGGCTAGCTACCTAGGTTAGTCAGATCCAGATATTGTCTAGATCCAGACCCAGATTCAGATCCAGCCAAGCCAAGCCAGCGAGCCAGCGAGCGAGAGAGAAAAGAGAGAAGCGAGGAGGGATCAGGCGTGCGTCCGGTGGGTTTTCCCGGCAGGTTCGGGTGAGATGAGACAGGTCTCTTCTCCCTCAACTCGCACTGGCACTCACACTCGCTCTCCTACTCACTGGGACTCCCAGAAATGGCGGGATCTTCCATGCGCCTAAGCGTTTTTGACTCTATGATGTGTCGGTGTGTTCGTGTGGAAGTGAGATGAGACGTTCCCCGTATTGGTTAGGTCCCAAAATTTGGAGAAAAAAGGTCGGGCGAGTCTCGGATAGCAAGCAAATAGGTATGAGTTATGAAGGTTGGTCTGACTGGACACAAGGAATATCACGGGTTGGGGGTTTTGAGCGTGTTCCTGTCGGATAGCCAGTCGTTGTGCTTGTTTGTTGTATTCGGCTGCGGCGACTCGTCACAGTGTTGCGTGACTAAGGAGCTGACGGTGTTTCGATTTTTATCAAATGATGACAATTAAATATGACGTAAAACCAAGAAAAAGCAAGAACGGGTCAAAAATTTGATATCCAAACCAATAGGAAGGATGAATGATGTTTAAAGTTGTTGAATTGTTGTGAGTTGTTTACTCATCGCGGGATCTATTGAATGTTGTATTGAGGCAAGAAAGAGAGATAGATTGAGCTTCTGAGGCTTGGAGGTATCTAATTGAGTAATGTGGCTAGTGTATATGTGGCGCAGTCACCCCCTGGCTGAAGATATTCCTCCCTTATGAGACGTGCCAACTTATTGTAAGACATGATGATAATATTCAGTAATACATAAATGTTTAAATTGTCGGACATATATACTTATCTCGGTTTCATATGTCATGATTATGGCTTAGTAAAAACTCGTGTGAAGAAAAAGACACGACACGCCTTGAGCTGAAAATCCATTTTAAAATCATTTTTGCTACAACTTCGTAAACTCCATGATCATCGAATTCTAAGCACAACAAACCCCCTTCGATTGACTGCCCACTCGCAAAACATTCAGTTTCTATCGGGGTCCTAGCTTTTCTAGAATTCTTGGCCCTTGTTCCGCCCATTCTTGCTGTGTAATCCACATGCTCTCCTTGTCGGCCATAATATTCGCCAACACTGCACCACCCAAGAATACCATATGTCGGCGACGAGGAGGGTCTTCTATCCTCACCTTGAACTTGTTTAGTCGTTCGGGGTTTCCACCAAGTACACGCGTAAGCCATAGTTGTTTGAGTTCTTTTTCCAACCGCGACGGTAGACCGGGGTACATGCTACTACCACCAGATAGGACGATGGCTTTAAAAAGGGAGGAACGGACATCGACGTCGGCGGCTTGGATAGTGTTGAAGAGGAATTCTGCGATACCGGGCTGTTCGCAGTCTACCAAATGGGGTTGGAAGAGACATTCAGGGGCCTCGAAACGCTCGCTACCTACACGAATTACTCGGCCGTCGGGAAGGGTGTAGCTCTCCACCAGCACTGTAGTGTCCTCACTAAGGCGCTTATCCAGTTCTAGGTCGTATGATACGTAGCAAAGCTTCTCCTTAATCTGTCGGACGGTTTCGAAATCGGCCGTTCGGTTGAGTGCGTAACCTCTCCTTAGTAGTAAGGCAATAAGGTTACGAGTTACGTCTCGACCAGCGACATCGAGTCTTCGAGTAAGGTGGTTTAGTACGACAGATTCGTAAACGGGGACAATGTGCGTAACTCCATCACCGGAGTCGACGACGACACCGGAGCTCAGACCTATTTTTGTGTTAATTTAATTGACATTTCCGGAAAATCCCCAAGCTACGGGGAATATACCTTGTGCATATAGAGCTAGCACAGCCTGAATAGCCACGTAAACACCCCCGAAGCCATAGCGCTCAAACATGACTTCGCACATTTGTTCTCGGTTCTTCAGGGGGTTCATCGGAGGTTCGGTAAGCAGGATCTTGCGCCCTCTCGGGTCGATCTTCATCTTCTCGTAGAACGTATAATCCCATAGGTGTTGCATGTCATCCCACTTCTTCACAATCCCATTCTCCATGGGATAGGATATCTGAAGCATGGTTCGCGCCGCGGCGGCCTCGTCACCGCACATGATATCTTTAAGAACGATGTCATTGTCGCTGTTTCTCTCTTCGGTTCGTAGGATGGGTCGGCCGACGATAGATGGGTATTGAAATTCGGGGAAGTTCTGTGCAGCGTATCCAACTTTTAGGAAACCAGTACCTCCATCGAGAACTGTTCTTAATTGTTAGATATTAAGAAGCTCGAGCTGGCAAGGCACGCGAGGTAAATGAATGGTAAGGATTTACTACTCACCGATAGGAGGAGCAGCCATGATTTAATAATCCTTCTGCCGGTAAGAGGCAGGCCGTACACGTTTGGCAAAGGGAAATGAATTCGGGAGAGGAATTGGCGTCAAATCGTGTAGGCTGCTTCGGTAGACGAGGCTACCGATATAGTTAGGTAGCTTCAAGATGGAATGGCGGGGTTAGGGTGATTTTTGGAGGTTTGAGGCGTTCGTCAGTTTCAATGCAACAATTCGATGGGCGCAGTTTAGGGTGGACAGTGAACAGTGAACAATTGGGGAAGCCTAGCAGCTCAGGCTAGGGGGTACAGAATTGAGGCTGTGTCGAGTCTGACGTTTATTTGTGGCTTATTACCCCACTATTACAGTAGCTAAGTACCTAGGTACCTGCGTATATTCCAGTGAAGAACCGTGATAAGAGCTGAGGAATTATCATCAGGTGATACCCCTCCTTGCCAACTGCAACCCCGCAGTCAAAGCAACATTGAATTTTAATAGCTAAAAAGACTAAAGAAATTATTTACATGAATAACATTTGTCCATTGCCTGTTCGTGATATAGAACCAGTAAGCTTTAGAATAATATTGGTGGATAGAATACTTCAGTCATGTATCTAACTCAGGGCAGAGGGGTAGTAGCATTTTACATAATTGATTTAGTCACTGGAGTTAATCAGAGTGGCAAGTTATTATTCGAAATCTCAATTATATCAATCTACCTAGGCAAATCATCTTATATCTCCAAGTTGAATATTTTCAAAAATAATCTTGATATTTTCCATATTCATACGAACATATTTGTGAATCTATCTCAACATCTATAATTCTCATCATGCCGAGTCAGCTTGTCAAAGGGAAAACGACCAAGATATTGGTCTTAAATCCTAACTCATCCCAGGCAATGACCGACGGTATGCTGACCGTCATCAATTCTTTAGATTCAGCATATGTACGTTATTATATAGACCATTTCCCATGCGGATATAATCATAAGAAATACTTATACCAATTCCCTTCAGTCAACCGAAATTCACACATACACCGGACCTTCCAGTGCTCCCGCCAGCATCAATGACGGGAATGATCTCGAAGAGAGTACCAAAGCCGTATTAGCAGACCCATCATTCCTAGACTCCCCCTTCGACGGCGTCGTAGTAGCATGTTTCAGCGCTCATCCCCTCGTCCCCTCACTACAAAACCGTGAGCGCCATCTAGCCGTCACCGGAATCTTCGAGGCTAGCATCCAAGCCGCTCTATCTCTCCTCCGACCCAGTGAGACCTGGGGCATCGTCACAACGGGCAAATTCTGGGAAAAGCATTTAACCGACGGCGTGAAGGAATACGTAGGTGCCTACAAAGTCGACGAAAACGAAAAGTTCGCCGGGGTGGAGTCTACAGGGCTGAACGCTTCCGATTTCCACCATGGTGTTGATCCCGCGGTCATACGGCAGAAGCTTAAAGAAGCTACTAAAAGGCTTCTTGCCAAGTCCGAAATAGCGTGTATTGTGATGGGATGCGCGGGAATGGCTGGTCTGGAGGAAATCATCCGGGAGGCCGCGAAGGAAGAAATGGGAGAGAAATTCGCATACAATGAATTGCACGTAATAGATGGTGTCAGGGCGGGTATTATGCAAGTCGAGCAACAGATCAGATACCACAGATTGATACCTGGGAGATCATGATCATTATATCACCTTGGATAAAATATGTCGGATTCCGCTGTGTACTATTGAATAAAAACAATTATTACCTCATCTCCCTATTACACGATGTAATCTTTACAAGGTTCAATCAAGACGTCGCGTTCGACCCCAGACTTCATCTACATCCTTCTTGCCCTTGGTCTCCGGCACTCGCCAGAGTACAAATAAACCGCAGAGAACGGCCAAGGCAGTGAAGATGAAGTAAACCCATCCCGCACCTCCGAACCGCTCATTCAATGCAACATTGATAATAGGGAAAAATTGCGCTACGAGGAACGTGGCAATGTAATTGGCGCCTAAACAAGCGGACTGAGTGGCACCAACTGCCTCCTGCCCAACTAGTTCGGACGCGAGTATGAACGGCACCGGCCCGAGTCCAACGGCAAAGAAGGCAACGAAGAAAAGTACCATTACAGCCGACAAGATCTTGGTCTCGAACAATATCGACAAGGCCAATGCAAGGGCGCTAGCTCCTTGTCCGAAAATAGACAACAGAAGACACGTCTTCCTCCCTAGCTTGTCCGGCAGCGGCGAACATGCGACGGTGGTGATTAAGTTGATAGCTGATATCATGATAGTCAACAGAGCCGAGTTAATGGGCAGAAGATCCCTGAGTAGAGACACGGAGTACATGATAATAGAGTTGATACCGCATAATTGTTGCGCGCACATGACACCAACAGCTGCGATGAGAGCAGGTCGGTATAGAGGGTCTTTAACAACTTCAAAGAAGCCAAGATGAGCAGTGTTCTTCGCGCTAGCTTTACTAGTCGTCGAATCTCTTCTAGGGACGGCAGCCGGATCATCTAAAAGACCTTCCTCTTCTGGTGCCACTGCAGAGTCGCCCCATGATGCTGTTTCTTCTTCGATGTCATAGTGTCGCCCTCGGATCTTTTGTAATACCCGTCGAGCTTGCGTGACGCTCCTATTAGCCGCTAACCAAGCCGGGCTCTCTGGTACAAGTAGTAGACCGAATCCTTGGACAGCACCGATGATAATGCCAGCACCTAGGATCCACCTCCACGCGGAACCATAACTTAGGAAGTAGCCCATAGTCTGTGTGGCCAGGATGCCAACATTGATGCTGACCTGGGTCATAGCGCCGAATGTACCGCGCTCGCGGGGTGGTGCGATCTCGCTGATGTAAATGGGTACGATAACAGTGGCAGCACCTGCACCGACGCCCGAGAATATTCGACCGATTGCCAACATAGCTATAGATGCACCTAAAGTCTCAATAATGGAACCGATAGCATAAAACAAACTAGTCAATCGCATAGCTAGCAAGCGACCTTTTGCAGATGCAATAGGACCACTACCAAGTGCACCAATTAAACCACCCAGTGTGAACATACTGGATACGACGGCGAATTGGGCATCTTCCATGGGAATGCAATCGGGCAGGGCGGAAGAGACAGCTACATCGTCCGAGTCCGAGGGGCGGGAAGAGGTTACGAAGGATAGGACGGAGGATAATCGCGAAGAGACGGTTTGTTGTTTAACACGGCAGGAGATGACATCTTGAGGTGCGTTGAGCTCGGCCTAGATATTTATAGAATGTATTATTAGTTGGATTGATCTATTGAAGCTTGTAAAGTGAGTGACTCGGTGAACTGGTGTAGTTGAGCTTACAAGATGGAATCCGAATTGTAACGGTCCTAAAGTACTAATAGCAACTAAGAGTATGAGATAAGGCGAGATGTCTCGAATACACTGTCGTAGCCCTGAGGGCGACATGTTTTCAATATTGGCCAATGTTTCAATCCAATTACATGTAATAAAAAGATATGTAAAGTTGAAGAAAAGAATATCGAAGGAAAAGAGTGGGAGAAATCAGCCCCAAGATTCCCGTCCGGACAGCTGATGATGACAGGCTTATTACAGAAGGTTTAGAGCTTACCTAGGTACCCCAGGTTACAACGCGGGTACCTAATATAGCGGGTACGGGTGCGTAGCGTGGACATCATTAGCATGGACCCGCCCTATAAACACCGTTTTCGGATGTCCAGAAGTACCTATTTCTATACTCTATCTCGATTTAATTCTTACAATGCTCCTTCACAAATAAATTCATATCATAACTTCGTAACACATTTAGATCAAAGCCATCATTTACCCTAGCAGTCTTATTTAGGTAACATCAAAACTTCCAGAAACCGCCCTGACCTTCCTGTTAGACGCTAACTATACGAAATGCGAATATCCAACGGGCCACTCACGATATATTGTTCCGGTGACACTTCTGCCATCAAATCCTGGCTCTGCCACACTCTTTGGTATACAAGTTGCCGCTGATATCCAGCATTCAAGGCTCAACACCCGCTATCCCGGATACGCAGGCAATCCATAATTAGGTGTGCAGAACCCATGTATAGGAGCGATTCCTTCATAATAGGGGCGATTGAGATATTTCCTTAATCGTTCGAGCCATAACAAAATATCTAACTGAACGGACTGGTTAAACTCCTATTCCACCAACGTGGTGTTACTCATTAGTACTACTCAACCTATTTTCGGGACAGACTTACGGGAAGTTCAAGGTGCAGATCGACGAGTCCTGCAGCTAATTGAAATTGTTTCGGACACTTCATAACATCCCAATGCTCCTTGACGTACTCCTCAGCTCCCTCATGATCTGGATCAAAAACTCCGTAAATGGCGAATCGTGTGCCTAATCGTGTTTTTAATCCTAGAGGCTTCTGCTTTGGCCGCGAGACTTCTACCAACATTCGATTAACCAGAGGGTGTGGCTTTTGGGTGGGATCCTTTGCTATGTTGCACCACGGGAAAAGGGAGACAGGTGATCGCGATAGAACATGTATCATATCGTTCCTCGATTTCCCGCACAAGAACTTGGAGTTAGGCGGACGTCTCGTCAATCTGTACCTAGGGCCATCTTCTTTGACGATGATAGTTAGAGTCTCGAGTGGTTGATCCCGATCCAGGACAGCAAACGCCAATATCTCTAGTTGCGTATTCATCGAAACATCAAGTTTGAACTCGACATATCTGACCGACAAGCACGCCGCTAAGAACAAGGGACACGGCTGTTCGTTGCAACCGGTGCTCCAGCGCTTCGGCTCCGTCCACCCAAGGACATCATATTCCGGGTTAAACCATGGGATTCTAGAAGAACCACAAAAGGCATCAAGATCCATTATCCGCGTCCCGAGTGACTTTTCCACGGCTTTTCTACTAATCCGAAGTGGTTTATAATTCTTCGTCATTTCATGTCGCGCCTCATGGTTTACCAGGGCTACAGGATTGAGAAATGATTTCCGGTCATCGGGAACAACCCTGTAGTGGACTTGCATCCAGTCCGTTTCTGTCGCAGCATTCCACGCATCCAAATCCAGTTTTAGTCTTGCTGAGACAATTCGTCGTGGTATTGCCATGCGCCATATCTTACAACGAAGCTCAGCAGGTAGATCGCGGAACTGAGGAAACGAAGGTTCCATCACTAAAGAATAGGTATCGGAACGACCGCGGTGGAACAGCGGGTCCTCGATCGGAATATGGAGAATAGTCAATAATTCGTAGCTCAGTATACTCCCATTTGGGTATGAAGTTGGTTTACTATGGGAGTGTTGACGGATCATGTGTTCCTTCTCACTTAGCCTGTTGACCAATCAACATAATCCCGGATGATCTAACCGAGTTATGATTATCACTACTTCTCCTCATCCTCTTTTAGTAGGTAGGTACCTAGGTAAGTTTTTGGTTGCCGTAAAGTGTTACCTACCTGGTATTGTAACCCCTGAGCATCATTCATGTTAAGAAAAGCTGAGACTGAAGCATATGTTGTAGAAGCTATAGTTAGCTTAGCAAGCGCAAATAGAGAAAGTGTATAACCCTCAAATGTTGCCATGGCCTTTTAGTTAAATTTATCTCCGTTCATGCAAAGAAGCCGGATCTTCTATGTTATATAGAAAAACGCGCCCCTATCAACGTTTGAGAAAGATGTGTTGGATAACTTCCAACCAAACTACCTAGGTAGTTACGCCATCTTCGCCATTCCAATGACCCCTTGCTTTGGATATTACATGCGATTGTAGTCCACCTACTCAGTGTCACTTCCAGGACGGCTTGCGATTTGTATGGGAGCACGTTGAGCCTCGTTATCTTCCGCCTCGTTCACCCCAAATTTGGTCATGCTGAACTCCGGCAAGCGTTTCTGCTCTTTTCGCAAAGTACCGCCGTGTCTCAGCCTTCGCCGTCTCAACGCCTCCATCTCCTCAGCATATTTGGCCTTTTCCTCTTCTTCGTTCAACATCGTACCTTCGATACTCAAGTATCCGTAGTCGCCACTAACACCCACTTCGTAATGTTTAATTCGGAAGTAGAGCTTTGCCCCTCCCCGTATTCTCGTCCCAGATCCGTCAACCCAATAACCCGTAGTATGTATTTGGGTCGTATCGTTCTCGGCTTCGTCAAAGGGGTCTGGAGTGGGGAGTTTAGCTTCCTCGGCTGTCTTCTCCCTATCGTTCTTCTTCCCCTTGCTCTTGAACTTATCATTGTCCTTGGACAGTAAATCGACCCATCGCCATCCTTGAGGCAAGCGCTTGGCTTCAATTGAAGCATTGAACATATTCCAGCAAATAACACCAATGTGACCCTCGCCTTGTAAGTTTACTGTGCCTTCCATCCATGCGCCGCGCGATGGGCGGAACACATCCACGTCAACCGTCAACCATCCGAAAGTTACCGCGTATTCGTTAATAGACTCGAGTAATACGATATCATCTGTTGCGCTTTCTTCGGTTAATGCTCCTTTACCAGGTGCCTCTCCAACGCGGGGGTTTCGATAATCTAATAAGATTCCACGGAAACTGGGGACGTATCGGTTGAGCAGAGGTCGTAAGTGTTGGTCTGCGAAGCCTTCTATCGGTTCAATTAGACCTGATGGGAATAATGGGAGGTATTGCGAAACAGTTTGGGTGAAGAATGGGTATTCTTTTTCGGATGGTTTTTGACCAAATTCTTCTGAACTGGAGGCATCTACTGGCGCCGAGTCGATATCCATGGCATCGGGATCGTGGGGTGTCTTGGAGGCTGGTTGACTGTCAGGAATGACTGTATCTTGTGATGTCGCTCCATTGGCCTCGACTTTGTCGTGCTTCTTCTTTTTCTTATGTTCTTTTGACTTTTTCTTCTCATTCGCCGATGCGTTGACGTCTGTTGCATCGTTTTTTTGTGTGTGATTCTCGTCTCCATTTTCTGCAGGTTGATCCTTATGCTTTCTCTTTTTCTTCTTCTCTGCCTTGCCTCCGTTATGATTTGTCTCGGTCTCGGCTTCGGGTATGGGCGCTACCTGTAGTTTGGCTTCTATCTGAATTGGTGCCTCTGGTTCAATAATAATCGCATTGCTGCTACTCTTCGATTTCTTGTGCTTTCGTTCACTACCCTCGGTACCGTCTGCTTCGCGATGTCGTTTATGTTTTTTATGAGATTTACTCTTCTTGTCCAGCGGTGTCGCCGACGTCGCTATTGTGTCGTCGGCCATTGTAAGCAACAGACTACCTAGGCGTAGGTAGTTCGAGCGAGGGTTAACTTTAAAAATGAGAATATACTCGAAAGAATTGAAACTCGAGAATTAAAAAAAGAAAAGGAAGATATTTTGCAGGGACTACCATCGGCATCCAATTGAAGAACTCTCCGATCATAAATTTTTTAAAAGGCAGGGGTATCAGCTCTTATCGATTGATAAGCCACTTTCCCGCGGGGCAATCCAAGCCCTCATTGACCAACCAGTGTAGATGCATACATCCCTCTACTGGAATACATCAGATAAGGATCCTTATATTAAACACAGTATAATATCGTGAATTCGTAATTATCACCACCAAAATCAAGAACCAATCCTACGATGATCACATACACCTTTTCACATTTCCTAGAAAACACGGAGATAACACCCCACAATGTATGAGAATATCCCTAAAACCTTTCTCCTCTGATAGCCTTCCCTACAGCGATACTCAATGGTTCCATGTCTTCCGGCTTAAGACCTAGAACCTCATTATCTGTCTTCTCATAGAGCGTACCACCTTCGGCCCAAATCCGTTTCAATGTGTAAACCGTCGCCAACGGGTTATTAGCATCCCAACTCTCCTTCTCGACTTCGCGAAGCCTCTGGTTTGGTACCTTCTCTATCGTCCATTTCGCTCCCGTCTGCCTCTCAAACTCGGCAACGATGGCATTTGGCGTTGTAACAAAGGACTGCACTTTAAGTATCTTGCCTAGCGACGCCTCGGGGTGTTGAAGAGCTGCAACCACCAACTTCCCAACGCTGTGCGACGTCAGTAAGACGGGATGAATGCAACACAAAATGATGTCGTGTACTAAGGAGTGAGCTTACTCGGGCATGCTTGTGAACCCAACCTTCCCATTACCATCCCCAATGACTACCGCTGCCTTCGATTTGACATCGTAGCCTCCAGCTTCTTTAGCTGTTGGCATCAGCGGCAAATACATTTCGATGTATGGGCCGGTGACGACATAGGTACATTTGACCCTTTTCAGATTCTCATGGATGTATGCCCGCACTTTACGCTTGTTCTGATGTGGCTTTTCGTCCTTGCTCGAGGCATCGTACTCAATATCCGTCCCGTACTCGCTAGGGAAGAACCATTGCACGTCCTTACTTTCCTCTGCAAGCTTGAGGAGTTCAATTTGACTAGCTAATGCGTTTTTTCCTAAGCAAGAGACAACAGTATCAATTCCGACGTAGGCCTTTCTAATATCGTCGGGATTGTTGATGTCCCCGCTGATGATCGACACTCCCTTCGCCTTCCATGGTGACAATACAGCTTGCTTGCTTTCGCTTGACGCTGTGGCAGGCGATGTGAATATAGAAACCTGCTTGCCGATACGAGGTTCGGCTGAGACAATGGCATTCGTAATATATTTCCCAATATTCCCCGTCGCTCCGACGATGAGGATTTTAGATGGCAGTTCAGCAGCCATATTTGATAGTCAATTATCTACGGATATTTACAGTGCTAGTCTAGGTGATAGGTTGTGTTGTTGAGGGATAGAAAGTCGGACGGGAATATCGGGATCACAACATTTTACTTCATTGCGGGGTATTCTACTCTTTGCTTAGAGCTACATGTAGCTAAGTAAGCACCAGAGGACATATTGGTCGTGATTGGTTGAGAGAGCTTCGTCGTCTCCGTACGTATTATCGTCTCTCAAGCCCCACAACATCAACGACTTTTCGGTAAAGATTATAAATATCTTGCGATATCTATCTTTCAAAATAAAGCAAGGAATCGGCGCTTATAAGTATTGATCACGCGCAGCTCCTCCAAGATAAGACATTGGTGTTTAGCACCGAGATTACATCTTACACGTAGTTCTTAGAACCACCTCTTAGACAAGCTAGGTACTCGCGCCAACACCCAGCTTTCTATTAGACTGCCAGTCGTGTAACTGTTTGCTCAGCTGAGGGTATTATGACCCTTTTCGAAAATCCTCCTAGAGCAGAGCTGAATAGAAGCTATCTTAAAAACTGCCTCGAAGCTCGGCCCTGTCATATAAAGATCTTTGTGTTCAACTTAATACGTCATATATGCATTCTCAAATACAAACTTGCGCATTTAGACAAGGCTATGATAATATTCAAGGATAAAATACTATCCCTTACAAGTGCAGACAATCGAAAGGCTCAGGAGGTTAGGCAAGTTGGCCACTAGAGGATCAGCCTCAAGCGATGTATCCGATCCGTCCGATCATTGGGCGGAACTGGCGGAATAGGAGGTCCGGCACCTTGGTGCACGGAGAGTGATTCGAGACGCCATGGGACATCATCTCCGAAAAGGCATAGCAAACCTGGGCGATGAAGTCATCATATTACACAAACAAACAGCTATGTGGCAGACAACATCTGGGGTAAGACTTGGAGTAGACCGCGAATCAACAGGGACATGGTTTTTCTCTTATTTATGTATCTCCCAAGTATTACAACATGATACGTATATCTAAGAAAATATCCCCAGACACCTACCTATCATTCTGTATTGTCGCAGTAGGGCATTGAGCACGCACATAATGTGATTTCCTATTTCGTAATTGGATCGACGTCGGTAACCATGGAGGTAGGTAGATAATGTGTTCTGCAGGTACCGCCCATGCCCTTGGAATTAGGACCCTTGCTTTGTCGGATAAATAAAAAAAGCTTCGGTGGCTTTGGCGATCAAAATAGGTTTAGATTATATCTATGATGGCAAGCTTCGGGCTCGATCACTCAAGTGTTTAATCGATGCCGAGTTGATGCCGTCTTCGCCGGACATATATTCAGTGCGACATATTTTTGGTGAGGCTCTGACAAAATGTAGCGCACCAATGGTATCCGGAGCTCATGCCCGTTGAGCGTGGCTAGAACTTTGGGACTATGTGATAAGACAACCTGATGAGGTCGAGCCGCCTCTGGACAACTCATAGATTAGCCACTATACGAAAATGTCAACAATGCGACGAAGATATGATCGTTATCCAACCGAATTGGGTAAATCTGCCGGTATCACAAGGGCTAAGATTTTTGAACTACCGGCGAGGAAGCCATCTCTCATCAGGTTATCATGTTACCAATCAGCATTTGCATACTTTGTATGCTCTAGAACGTGAAGAAATAGACATGTCAGTTTTTCGGCACCATGCCGAGAGGGAGCATTTCAACGCGTGGATCCCATCCGGATGGCTAGAAAAGGCGATCTGCACAGCTGACGAGTTGCTGTGAGTGTTTCGATTAAAACCTTCTCGGGGGTTCGAATAACTGCATTTTCGAGACTTCGTCAACCTTTTTCTTGGGTACTTGCGTATATACGTTGAAAATTGAGTATGATCTATGCCGATTCCCGATTTTGAAACGGCATTGTATCATCAGATTGCCTGCGAATGGGTTGACCACATGGTCGCAAGTCTAAAGCTATTAGATAATTTAGTCTGCATTTCCCGTCTAGCTCCGGCTTTGGCAGCGTGATGATATCGCCAGTAGGGCAGCGCTTGCGTCGTTCTAGACCTACGTTAATGTCGGATTAGGATTAGGCTAGATGGGCGAAGCCCAGAAGTTCAGTGGACTTGGGAGAGGTACCTGTGCGCTCCAGATACTTCTAAGTCTGTCTGGTACAGTACTGGCACGGTGTTAAGTGAGGATAGACATAATACGCCCCCCAATACTCCTAATTTGGAGTATGTGCTCCTATTTTGGAATTCCAACCGACGTCATTTTCTCATCATAAGCATCATCATCGTCATCATCCTGGCATCCTTCAAATAATGAACTAATAAGCTCGCTCATATTTTTGTCGTATTGGACCTTTCAGAGAGGTGTAGTTGAACCCTTTGACCCTTCTTGAAGGAATAAGATAGGAAGATTCTTACCTCTTACCGGACATGTCAGTAGAAGATAATGGGGGTGTTTTCCTCTACCAATCCACATATATAATGTACATGATTCAAGCTATCAAGGTGCTCAGTCTACAGAGCTTTACCCAGTTAAGAAGCGCTATAGAATTCTTCCAGACTATGATTGGACCCGACCAGATAGCTACTTAACCCTGTTGACACCGTGTGAATAGACAAATTGTCACCCCTATATGTGTATTTTAAGGTATTTCCCTGTGTCTGCTATACATATTTCTCCACATCTTCTCCAGAGATTAGGTACAAAGCTCTATACCACACCCCCTGGATCTAGTCAATAAAAGAACTTCTCATCCATTTTAACTCCTACGCTATCAACTAGCTACATACCTAGGTACATATGGGTGTTGTTTTGTCTACCGGAGCTCTTCGTACGGGGAAAAATGAATGCACTTTGCTCGAGATACCTACCGAGCTAGACACACCACTATCAGCTGTTGTATTGTTATTCGTGAGCCAGCGCAATTGTATTTTGGTTTTGTTCCTATCAATTGCCATCTCTTCTCTTGCCAATTGCGTTTCCTTTTTTGTTTGCGTTCACCCGGAGAACTTGGCCCATATCCTCGGCAAGCTCGCTAATAAAATGAGCTCAATGCCCCCCTACTTGCTCAACTCTTGAAACGTCCCAGCAGGTAGCCATACATCGAAGTGACAAGTCAACATCGCATACCTACACTCCCTACCTTACTTAGAGGTACGGGTTTACGCAGCTGTATAATATTGACATCAAACCTGAAGAATATCGACGCCATCGCTTGACCTTTAAAGAGCTAACCAAAGCCTCAAGCTTGGTCTCGACCCTGTAAGCTCCAATATTACATGCAATCACGTCGCCAGAGCCCTGCTATTCGCAAACGGCAGCTTCAGCTTTTGCCCACTTTACCATAATAGCGGGCGTGCTACGAACAAGGCCGAGTCTAGTCCAACAACGGGAAGACGAAAAGCTCCTCTGCCCAAGCTCCCCTACCTAATAACCTCCTACCAAATTTGCACATTTAATTAATTGTTACATTGTTACATTGTCAACTTGGACGCTTGCTCCGTCATCATTTGGCGCCACCCATCATCCCTATCATATTACTTTTCGCCCTCAGATAATTTCATATAACAAGTACCCGTGAGCTTTGTGTCCGATAAAGTCCTACCTTCTTTTTAACGACTTTACATTTTCTTTCTTTATCACCACAATTGGGACCCAATCTTCCGTTTCTTTTAGGCTCTGACGGTTAGGAGCTAGAATTGCATAAACATCTGGCTGCTCCAAGAGTCAGGATACACTAATAGTCTAATACACACATACACACATACGCGATACCATACCATACAACTCTTACACACACTTACACTACACTATCTTGCCTCCACACCTCCACACCTCCATACATTCACACGCATTGAACGATACGAAATCGGGAGCTCCCGACTCGACAGAACCGTTTCTTTCAGGTTCCACCGGCGACACGAATACATACTTATACGTATTCTATACATCTCCATACCTCCATTAACTAGGTCCACTGGTACAACTATTTCTGCTATTTCTGGCGAGCTTACGACTTAGCAACAAGATCGGCAAACTCAATCCATCGGCTATATTTCCAACGGCTCCAACTTTGGATCCGCGTGAGAACAGCTTCACATCATTTCCTTATATCTGCACGGAGGTTTTTGGTTGTTTTACCCTGGTCTTTCAGAAGCATCATCCAACCAGTCGCAACTAACCCGGGAATTATTCAAAAACGCCATTGTCCCCCCTGTCCTACCTAGTCTACGATAAACCCGACTATTCTTTTGTGGCAGGCCGATCACCTCCTACTTATATCAACCTCATTTAGGAGTGTCGCATTTAAAAAGAAGATTGTCCCCTCCATCACGCACCTCGTTCCTGGAACTAAACTAAAACAATTGCTGTTCTGTTATCCTGTTTCCCGTAGGAAAAAGAAGGAGACAACGTTGCAATTGTGATCGTCCGGATCGACAGGTCATAGGCGCACTTACACAACCACTACTTACAAGTTCGTTTCGTCGTTTAACGCTCCGAGTAGACGAAAACCCACCAAGCCCACTTACACCCGGGGGACACCAACCATCCCACCGCCGATCTATCGGTAACTCGACAGCTTTTGCTTAACTGCTGTTGCTGCTACTGTTTCCCACCCACCGATTTTTTTTCTTTTCGACTTATTCTCATTTCAATGCGGCTCGCCGTTAGTCCAATTTCGCCAGTTTACCACGTTCTATCGCAACGTCAATATGTATTACACAGATGAACTAGAGGGAACAGTTCCTGAGTCCACCACGGCTCACAACATCAACTTCGCTTTGCAAAAATACCTTCTGCTATTTAACGAACACGAAGAGCTTCGACAACACATGCATGATCTCTGTCCTTCATATACTACATCCTCCACTGCAGTCACATCTCCTTCGGTCTCGCCGACCCGATCGTTTAGTGGTAGCCCATCGCTCATGAACTCACCTTCCCCTCCACGGAATCACCGAAGATCGCCGCAATCGTCTATTAGGAATTTCGGACACCACTCGCAGCCTCAGCTCGAACCAGTATTAGACGAGTCACTCATTGAAGAAATGGCGGCGGGCGAACAGAAGCTCTTCGACGTGAATGAGGGGATCAAGAGAGCATTGACTGAGTTATTAAATTGTGATACGGTCCGAAAAGACCAAGAAATGCGAACTTGGGTACAATCGCGATTAATGGATACCGAACGAGAGTTACGTAGTGGACGGAGAAGACGAAGCCATGGTAGTTTCGATTAGGTATCGAAGAAGAGAAGAGGAATGGAATTGGAGAAGGAGCTTGAAAAGTTATAAGGATAATCGTGTTAATTGGAGAATGGGCAAGGGAGGCAAGGGAGGCAAGGAAGGAAAAGTATTAGAAGGATTGAAGCTGAGCTACAGGTTAAAGGGATACTTGGGTTTGGCTTCAAGGTTGGGAATTCGATACCTATTTGATTTTATCGGTGGCGTTGGATGGGTATTAATGGGTTTACACATAGTCTTGCCTACCGGCTTATTTAGTTCTTTTGTGGCTGGCCAGAGACATGTGTCAATCTAATGACAGCGATGGATTTTATTAAAGCTGTTTCGAAGGGAGATAAGTAGCAGAAGAGAAGGGAAGAGAAGTAGGGATGGAATTGGGATTGTGAGATTGAAGCTATTCCACGTTGGAAAGCAAGTCAATATTTCATTCGAGTATAAACTTAAACTTAAGAAAAGTATATATTAGCTATTGAATAGCGAACCTTTCTATAATCTACCTTTACTTTTTTGAATATGATCGCAAATTAATTTCAATTGACAATTGTGAATAAGAGTAGAGATGAATAGCTTCAATGTTCTGAAGAAACCAGGTATAAACTCAGGTACAAGATACATATGTACGCGCTAAGAAGCACCCATGGAGTATTGAGCCAATCAACATGGATCTCGGTCGACTAAATAGTTTAGGGTACTGTAGCTTCATGAAATTAACCAATTAGCGCAAACGTTCAGTGAGACGCCAAAAGTCCAAAAGTGCGTCACTGGAGCTTTAAACTTAGTCGATTTTCTTGCTTTCCGACTTTCAATAATTGCATCACTCTAAATAAAAACATCATTTTGAAGCCTTCACTCGTTTAGATCCGATTCCCTCAACCTATCGCGTCCGCCTCCATATTCTTACGTACTCGAAATACATGTCTTCGGATTGAATGGGGTTCTGAGTATTCGCGCCGAAGTTTCCCTAACCGCGATATAATAACGAAAAGATGTCGGTGCTGCTTGAAACGAGCGCGGGCGATATCGTGATCGACCTGTTGGTTGATTACGCGCCTAAGGAATGTGAGAACTTCCTTAAGCTCTGTAAAGTCAAGTACTACAACTTTTCGCCTATACATTCTATCCAACAAAACTTTTCCTTTCAAACCGGCGATCCTCTTGGTCCGACCTCAGCCTCTTCCGATGGCGGTTTTTCGATATGGGGATTGATCTCCGGACCTTCCAAGAAAACCTTCTCTGCTACGCTTCATCCCAAACTTCGACATGTGGAAAGAGGCACCGTATCTATGGCCACTGCGCCGCACCCCTCCGATCCCGATGCTCGTGTCGCCGGCAGCCAGTTTATCGTAACGTTAGGTGATAATACAGATTACCTAGATGGAAAGGCGGCTATTTTTGGGAAGGTAGTGGAAGGATTCGATATACTCGAGAAAATCAACAATGCGATTACAGACAAAGATGGACACCCGCTCGTCGATATTCGAATAAAACATACTATTATCCTCGATGACCCTTACCCCGATCCGACAGGGCTTCGAGAGCCTAGCCAATCGCCTCAACCATCCAAGGCGCAGCTTGCTACGGTTCGAATCGACGACGAAGCTACATTGACAGAAGAAGTAGACGAGGAGGCGGCGGAGAAGGGGCGACGCGAGAGAGAAGCCCGTGCCCAGGCTCTGACTCTTGAAATGATGGGCGACCTTCCATTCGCCGAAGTTAAACCTCCCGAGAACGTGCTTTTCGTATGCAAGCTTAACCCCGTAACGACCGACTCCGACCTCGAACTCATTTTTAGCCGCTTCGGCAAGATTCTATCGTGTGAAGTGATACGAGATAAGAAAACCGGCGATAGTTTACAGTACGCTTTTATCGAGTTCGAAGACAAAAGCGCTTGCGAGGGGGCATATTTCAAAATGCAAGGGGTTCTTATCGACGACCGAAGAATACACGTTGACTTCAGTCAGAGTGTGAGTAAGTTGGCTGAAGTCTGGAGGGGTGGAGAGAATGCGAAGCGGAAGCGTAAACACGGTGGAGGCGGATGGGGTGGTGTTAAAGGACTAGAGAAGTGGAGGAAGTACAGAGAGGAGGAGGATCGAGATGATGACGACGATCGCTATGGTATGGTGTACGGAGAGGAGGAAATGCGCGGTCGACACGAACGACAGAGGGATGGCAAAGATCGAGACGACAGATATAACAGAGATCCGGATCGTTTCGATGATAATGATAGAGAGAGGGATAGGGATCACGACGGTGGTGATCGAGGTCGGCATCAAGGCGGCGGCTACCCTCGTAATCGGGACGGACCACGGCGACGAAGTAGAAGCCCTGCAAGGGACAAGCCTCGAGATAGAGATCGATATGACGATCGCCGAAGAGATGGCCGTGATAAACCTAGGTACGACGACCGATATCGAAGAGACCAGGATAGGAACTACAATAAGGATCGCCCTCGTGGTAACGATCGACGGAGATAGTCCTGCCTGACATTATGGAATATGACACTCATGACAAATATAAACGAAACTAATCACGAAATTTAAGCCTTTCGGCTTCAGCGATGCGTCTCAATTAATCTATATTTGCAGTGATTCAGGTATTTAAATGGAGACGACGCGAGCCTAATTATGAAAAGCTAACGACGTCTGACATGTAGCTAAATGCAACCGTACTTGTTAGATATTCCCGGTGTTCATCCCGAACAATGACCTCGCTCCGCTCCCGTGCCACCCGAGTTCCTATCCCTTACGTCGCGTGTCATTAAGCCGGTAGTGGACCCCGGACCGAAGCGAGCTGTTCCTTCCTACCGAGCTCGTTCCGTTTCTAGGGATAGTGCGACTTGTGACCTCATCCGTATTGGCCTTGCCATTTGCCAATGATTTTTCTATACTGATCACAGGCAATGGATAGAGGTGAATTAGACGCGGCAACAAGGGATGTGGACATTTAGAATTTGTGTACGAGCAATTATGGCGAAAGACTCGGCTACAGCACAGCAGTACACAGCGAGCATTGCTTTATTGCGTTTACGTGCTGAAGCAACTATAGGCAAGAACTTCCAATGCCCCCATTCTATTCGACTATATTCCGCACTGGCTCATTTCATTACGAACTCAGCAACATATACCTACCTGAAACCACCCCTATAAGTTTGGTGGCATAAATTAAGCGGTTATGTCGCGGAATACTTTAGGGGCGCCACGGATTTAAGGAGGTATCGAGGTAGCTTCCCATAGTGTTGTGAGCAGACGGCCGTAAACCGCAGGACCATATTACATATGCATTCAACATTATAATCTCGGTTCGATCTACACAATCTTCAGATATTGCAGGTAACCGTTACTTCCACAACAGCACGGTTTCTATGTACCTATCTAAGGGGAAGAGCTCATCACGACTTGGTGGCTAAGCTTCATAGACAATGCCTCAGTTGCTTGATTCCACTATCTTGTTCAACGTGTGACACTTTGCAAACCCTGCAATCTCGGTGACACCGATACCGTCGTCGCCCGGCGGCTTCACACCGGAAGAATTGGAGAAAAACAAGCGTGTTCTAGTAAGCCAATGACAATTCTCAACTTGAAGCCAAACTGCTAGGATACTAATTGTTACTGGCTACGGGAATGGGATATGGGAGGCGTCTAGAGAGCCTAGAACGGGTATCAACACGCGACACGTGGTCATCGACCACTAATATATATGAGCAAGTCAGTGCAAGGGTCTTGATCCCATGAACCGTCCCGTCCCTCGCCCTTAAATAGCATAGGCTGGGAGGCAAATCTACAAGGACAAGGCATTGAATTGCGGGTATATACGTCGACTTGATTCCTCTTTCCTGCTTCAATTACCCGCACACTAGAAGCTCAATGGAACAATGGGAGAAGAGTGAATAATGCAAGGGGCTCGTGGCTTGCCGCTTCTCGCCGACCTGCAGGATGTTGCTGACAGGCTTTACACATCAGACGAGCTGAGAATCTCTTATACATTCACCTCACAAAGCCTAAGTCCCATAGAAGGGAAGTAAACATCCGGGACATACTATGAAGTACCCACCATCATCTGCTCAGCTGCCCCCTTGCTCTACTTCCGTATCATTTTAAACCGTCAGATTATTAAGATATGACAGAATTTCTGCAGCTAGAGTTGGCGGGATTCTGCATAATGGGCACTCGCATCGGACAGCATGCAGCTTCGACCAACGAAACGAAGAGCTACGGTCGTGAAGTTGCAACAAGACGATCCTCCCCGATGTGGGGGGGTAAAGACGGGTTTGGCCTGCTAGGATGGTTAGGATGCTAGATTCGCGAGTCGAATTTTAAGTGACTTGTCGTATTACTAGGCGTTCCTGGCATTCTAAACCCGAATTCTAAGATCCCAAAGCCACCCGACGCTACCAGTCAAAACGCCCCCGATCGATCAATGCCACCCTTTATCTTAAGAGGCGTTCTCATACGGAATCAGAATACAGGTTTTCCTCTTCATTGCTTCTAAATGCCGGTCGCCTCCCAGACCGTTTTCTGCAAGGTCCCTGTTCCCCGGGCTGTGTGACCAAGGCTTTTACGTTGCTTTCTATACAGTATGTTCTATCTGGCTCGGACCGAGGGAATCTCCATTTTTCGATTAATGAATGTCTCCATTTCCTGTCTTAGTCACGATTTCCAGCTACCGTTCTTTACGGTCGCGGCCAGGAGGCCCATAGTAAAAGACCAACCAGAGAGCTTCACTTTTCGACTTCATGTGCTTTCCCGCTCTCATCAATTTGAGACTATTCATTAACTTTTTATCGGAACTCCGACTATCTTCTACCGAGCAAATACACATAGGTCTAAAAGGAGCTCCGAGGGTCACACGAAGTGGAAAATGAGCTACAGCGACCACAATTCGTTCATAGGTTGATCAATCCATATTATCCTAGACTCAACCTCACAATTCTAGAGCGAACCTGTGTGACATCAACCCTTCAATCAGCAGCATTTATCATTGGACTCGATGTGCTACTGTGATGACGGTCTTAGCTCGTACTAGTTGAGGAAGAAAAGATGAATGCTAGTACCCCGTCCCACGAAGAAAAAGATTGAGTGACCCCTCACAGCACCCCCTTTTCTGGGGCCATACTTGATGCCCATCGTGACAACACATGAGCTCACTGATCGGGCCCAACCTCATGACAAATTACCTTGGGCTGGGTAGGTACCAGAATAGTTACTCATCTAAGCCAGCTGATCCACTCTTTGCCACTCAGCCGCGGCTGTTGGAGACTGAGGTCATCGGGATCTTTGGACTAGGCGTTGGTACCTAGGTACAAGCCCCTACTACCTAGGTAAGATCTACCCACCGATGAGCCCTCTGGCAAATTGGACCCCCAAAATGTCTCGCATACTGGCGAACAAGTTTCAGCCAATGGTATAGCGGCCGGTCGGACAATCACGGCTACCTGCAGACTCCTATAGATGACTGACAGCGGGGGCATGCAAGAAACCGCAAAGCTAGAGGGGAAATTTTCCGTTGCTTAAGTCCTAACATTCATTGCTAGGTGCCTTTCACATACCCTAGGTAGGTACCTAGGTAGGTACGGGGCCGTGTGTCTTGCCAGTGACAGGTGTACTCCTATCCGCGCTTCTGCTGCACTCGGAAGCTCGTTGGAAGACAGTAGTCATACTGTGGCCCATCATAACCTAGCACATTCGTATGGTACGATCTAGCTAGAATTGAGAGGATTTAAAGGTTGTCACAGTGAAGAGACTGGGTGCAAGACACAAGTCTACTCGATACGGATTGCCCTCGTTGGATAATGAGCTACGGGTTTTACGGGAGCAATCATAGCTCGATACGTCTTAAACGGATACCCTATGAACACTCACCTACCAATCTAAGAAGTAGGCATCTCCTTCAGCTCAATTTAGTTACCTAGACAGATATCGCTTCATTGATGAGCATTCTGTTTGAAATGGAGCTGGTTTGGATTGACTCTAGCGAAATCGAACTCAAAGCTCGTAAACGGTTTTCTCGCTCAAGCTTAATACTGACGGCGCAAGATGGTCTCATTTAGCTATACGTCGAGGGTCTACATAGAAGAGCTTGGTTTCGGTCTAGCAGGGGTCGGCGTCGCGTATCTATAATTCATAGGGCCGTATCCCGCAGCTGTAGGTATGTACAGTGTGCTCATTACTCTTGTAGATGTGTTGCTATACATACATCTTCCATTTATCTGTGCGAGACATCATTATATCCTGCATATGGGAGAGTAACTTACAAGCTAAAGGAGCGACATAGGACTAGGCAGGGCTATCAAATCGGATCTCTGATCAGCTTTACCCCCGTACTGATCTAATCACAGTCCTTGTCCATTCAGGCGATTCAGAGAGGAGAAAAAGTGACATGTCACCAACACCGCCGTTAGAAGTTGACGAAACCACCTATCATTGTTATTTCTGAAAACTCATCCCCAGTGCTTGCAGCAGAAACAACATCCTGGATAGGTAATCTTTCCTTCCCGATATTCACGGCCTAGGGACTTCCTGCTAGCTTGACATGTCTCATATTTATAATTCGCATAGGAGCGGCATAGAGATTGTGTACATTTAGATCGATTTTCGTCTCAGCAACATGTTGAGGCGGCCCAGGATGACGGGGTATGTAGGTAGCGCCAAAAAATCGATGTCATTTTAGTAGAGATTTGTGTGACCATATGCTCTGCTCAGGAGATCATAGTTTGCGTTGCGCCGGGTAATAATGTTGTTGTAATGGAAATTTCTACCTCCATAGGTATCTTTTGTATATTTTATACGAGAGTAGATGGCAGGTACGCAAACATGAAAGGGTCGTTTTAGACACGGGTCCAAGTTGGCTATTGCTTCTTTCCTTCGACTTTGGACTGGTTTCTAGACAAATGGGGCGTTTTGATCTCCTGAATAATGTACTAAAAGAGCTGTATTATACCTCACTAGTCTGGATCTAGCGGTTGTGGCTTCCAGTAGGCTTGACTAGGCGGGTACGCAGAACCCTTTCTATCACATTTTGTTTGAATCCTCGTCATATTTACCCCGCTGAATACCTATTCTATAGCCAGAGAGCGGGTGCACCAAGGTTAAGGTACCTAGGTAGATAAAGCTCCAAATTTATCGAACATAAACGAAGACCTCGCGCAAAACGTCTCTTCTTATCCCCTGTGACATTACACAAGAGTACCTACTGATACACATATGCATTAGGTGACGAATAACTGCGTTACGGTTACGGAAGTTAGAACTTGTTATGAGTTATGTCTCGACGTTGGGCAGTGTTGAATATCGTCGCTTTACGGTGAGTAGAGTCATGTCATTGTCTCACCCGACGTTTGCACCTTTAGTAGGACGAGAGCCGTTGGCAAAAGTAACCTCATCGTGTTTGCTCTGATGACTACTTTGCAACCTCCTACTCAGTATGTACTTATTAATCGTTGCCGTCGTTACTTGTCCCGTCTTGTCTTCGAAGTAGGTAAGGAGGGAAAGCGAGGGTAACTGCACAAGATCAGCAGTGGCGTAGATGGTGGCCGATGTAGATATCATTACACTTCGGACTTTTTTTCCGGCTTAAGCCATACCCATTTAGTTAATAGCTATTTCGGGCTCTAAAAGTTAGAGATATTAGAGATACAATTAGGGTGTCGAACTATCAATAGCATACGTCAACACCATCTCTACTTAGGTACTATGGAGTTTCAATAGATGATTCTACCAAGGTACGTACTACCTATCTAGGTAAAGAAGAGATACCTAGGTATGAAAAGAACCGCACTTTAGCACGGATAAAACATGTCGGTCTCAGTTTTTTAACGAGAGCCACTCAAATTTCTATATCATATATATGAATTAGAATCGAGATTGGTCAATCACCAAGCTCCAATTCCAGATCACCCCCAGGATAATCGCCTTGCCATCCCCCCTTACGCCCTCCGACCCCTGATTTTATAGACTGGCTGACTGTTTGTGTGGCTTTCCTCCTCCTTTCAGAGTGAAACGAAGCACTTCATGCTACCTGGATACATAGCAAGTTTAATTCAATCTAGCGTACACATGGCCAACCTAGAGCTTTCTTCATCATGCAGCAGGTAGCCATGCATCTAGCCGCCTCCTAACTCTGGCTTCGTGTAACCCGCTACTCACGTAGTTATGGGGTTTCTTTCGACGTGACACCTGTTGTGCCATGGAACAGATGAAAATGACAAGCCTTGAGGGCACTCCAGTCCCGTTGCAAACAACATTTCGAGACTTGGCTACTTAGAAAGTGGTACGGGGTTTATAACACAGTCACCCAACTTGCAGCCTCTCAATTTCCTCTCCAATTTCTTTACTAACAAATTTACGGGTCTCGCTTCCTTTCGCCTCTGCAAACTGCCAGGTTTGATCATTTTTCTGATGAAACATCAACGTCTGACAAGACGAAAGACACATCGAAGCTCGAACATTTCATTAAGCTGAGATTTCAAGGCTGAAAACATAGTAATAGTCAACTATCGGAAAGCCTAGCCCCTGTTCTTCTTTTGCAGAAAGACCTCATTGTTATCCCTCATCAAAATCCTGTCTGCAGTCGCAGAGAAAAACAAGCCCCCCCACCTCTCTGTTGACACAATCCCGATAGGACGGGGACGGGTTGAACACTGTCCTTGTCTCTTACGCACCTGGCCGCGCAAATTCGAGTGGTGGCGAAAGAAACAATGGTGACTCCCGCCTCTTATAGCTTCGGCGATGGTGGCAGCAGACGATATGGTCGTCCCTGCTCTCTATATCATAATCCTATGTTTCCAGAGCATCGTCGATTCCCCCTTCCTCACGGTGTAAGAACACAAACAATGACGGAACGCATGACAGAACGCGAGCTAGACTCGGATTCGCAACCTCGAAAGAGAATTTCGGTAGCAGTAAGTCGAACCGACCTTTACGCACTTTCGACTTAATACCCCTCTGTCTTCGGTCGATGTTTAAGAAATGTATTCAATGCTGACTTGAAACCACACACAAAGTGCGGAAGATGTAGAAAGCGGAAGATTCGATGTAGTGGCGACTCAGGAAATGGGCAGCCGTGCTCGAATTGTAAAAATGCGGGTTACGAGCACTGTCTCTTTCTCAGGGTAATCCTCCAAATACGTCAAGAGAATAAAATTACAATAAGGAACTATCTCTAACCTTCCAATGATAAAATAGGTTTCGTCAACCGAGACCCCCTTCAGGGACCCGAATACATTCAATTATGACCTGGACGCCGCTCGGTCTTTTTGCGGCCAAGCTCGTATTCCGCTATCCCCCCTAAGTTCTATAACGGAATACCCTACCGATGCCGTTGGAGACGTCATAGGCACGTTACGACAGAATCAGCACACGTACGGGAGTAGATCTTACTATGCCACTCTTCCAGGGTGGACGAGTATGTACCAAGATGATGGTGTGGACTACGGCATCAACTACCCCTACCCGGTATTAAACCAAGATTCCGCCAATACGGTACAAGGTTGTGGGCGCTTTGGCTCAGGAAAATCAATAGATGTTGACGCGGAGAGCCCTTCGGACTCTTACAATAACTTGGTCCATCGGCCGGCCATCGCAAGCGAGTCAAGCAACGGGGTTTCACTATCTGGGATGGCAGCTTCGCTACCTAGCGCCCCTGAGCGCTTGGTTCCTTCAGAACGTCTGCTAACGCAAGCCAATCGAACTCTAACAGGTTCTTCAAGCTATCGTGGAGAGAATCTACAGTCTTATAACAACGCGAGCAATACCAAGGCTACTCCAACAAGCTCGCTGACCGAAGCTGGCTACGGGTCCAATTATAATATAACCTACGGTGTCCTAACGACGCTTTCGTCAAGCGTCACTCACCGGCCCACCAGCCACCACGACGGTGCATCTTACCAAACCAGTGGAAGTCAAGCGGCGTCAGATACGCTTTACAGCGGCCAATCGCTTCGATCGGCCGAAGACGCTACGTCTAATTTAAGCTACATATACACCAATAAACTCGACTCAGATCGACGAGACTCTCAGTCAAGCGGCGGGACGGCTACTACGTCCGTACTGTCCAATGGCCACGTGTACGTGCCCGAGGGCCACCACACACATACCCCCTCGACCCAGGGTTATGTCCCTTCGCATGGTAGCGCAATGGATGGAGCTACTACGTCTAGTCGAGGGAGTGGTATTAGTGGATCTTCGCATATGCATACAGACGGCCACCGTAGATCTGCGGGAAACCTCCGTGGGGGATAAATCTACCGCCCTATATTTCAGAGCGCCCGGTTGGCTGAAGAGCCGGGTGGTGGCGGTATGCGGTGCGACGCGCCTGAGGAGAGAGAGCGGGGCCAGTAAATCGCGGCCAGCTCAGTCAGTCAGTTAGCATTGTACGATTTTCTTTTCCTACGTGCTGCCAGGAACAGGGCGACACCTGGCAGTTTGCATTCCTCGGTTTTTGGATTCATCTTATTTTCGCTCGCACGAGAAGACTACACGGCGCAGTTTATCCACTTCTTGCCTAGAAACGACTCTCCCATTTCTAAGTCTAATGTCCTCATATCATATCATTTCCTCATAGATCTCTCTCCCCATCCCACCCTCCGATCAAGTGTGTCATTTTTATCTCGCATGCATCGGGTGTTCCTCGTGGCGGATGAACGAACGCCTCAATGGCTGGCAACCCACCCAATTCGACCTTCCCGGAACTCAAGGCCTGGGACCCATCATTTTACCTACCCAATTCGAACCTAGACGGCATATTACCCTCGAGTACCCGGAGCCCGGATGCTAGCCATTGTCACTAGTGGGTAGAATGGAGACGGGATGGCCTACTTTATCGATGTATGGCGTTTCGTGTTGCTAGCTGGTGTGTCGCGCGAAACCTGATGCCACGGGGGTGTATGACCAGTTGGGGTTCGTCTTCAGTTCTTTTCCGCATATGCATGGCGGCATATCGACCCATTGCCGCCCCTGTCGTCGTCAATCCTCGCATCCGTGTGGCTAAAGCAAATCCCACGTTCCCCAGTTCCAATCAACGCATCTCTACCACATGAAAGAAGCTTATTTTGAGGGAGAGTCGGGAACCGGGAATATTTCGTCATTCGTCACCATGTTGATATTGGTATTCTGTGTGGGTGCATGGCTGTGCGCGAGTGTCTGTCCGTTTCTGTCGATCTATCTTGTTATTATTATTATTTGCTTCTTATCTCTCGGATCCCGCCCACGTCTCCACGAGGAAAAAAAAAAGAAACGGAAGCCCAGCCATCATACAAATCTACTTACCTACCTGGGCATTCGTGGCACATCTTTTATTTCTTCCGATCGGATCCCCAATTATACCTACTTCTCCATCAATTTCAGCAGCATAAAATGAACGGGCGGAGCATATTCTGGCGATGAGAAAATGGATCGGGGCTGGAAAAGACAAAAAAGACTGGCGATCTCTATTAATTACTATCCCTACCACCTATCCCCGACACCTTTATACATGCTAGTCACCTGCAGATGGGCTTGGCATTGGATTATTTTTCTTATTAGCATTTTGGGGTTTTTTTTTTTTTTTTCAGTCTGCATGCTTTATTATTTTGCTCTTTTTTTCCGTTTTTTTTTGTTTTGTTTTACAAGAATACCCACGAGTATTTAATTAACCCTGTCCCTCAACAGCGGGCCGGCCGGTACAGCATATTGGAAGAGGGCACCCATTGGAAGAGAAGTAGAAAGGGGGATGCGCATCAAAAGATTGTTTAGGTCACCCTACTATTTTGCACCACAAACCACAGACAGGCGCCGTGGTTTTCTATTGTTCATCTCGTAATCCGAGAATGAACAAAGTTTATGACATATTAGATCCCATAGAGAATCTTACGAACATAGTATTATACCCTCTCAACCGAGGTTGGCATAAATCTCTTCTTTTTCTTGGCGGAGTAGTGGCGTCTATGAACGCCCATGATAACTTCGTTGCTAACACCGGCCGGGTTTCCCACTTAAGTAAATCTCGATGCCTTCACCTCTGCAATTCCGAACTCCCTACGTACCTGGCTGCTCACAAACTTAGGTAATCTACTGATCTAGGTAGGTACCTAGGTAGTTACCAGTGGAACCGTATTATTTTTTTTATTCTTATTTATATTTGTTTTATATGCGACCAGGTACGTACTCTGTTCACGATCCAGAGCCAAGAAACCTCCAAAAGCCCCTAGTGAAACGCAATATCATCTATTCCTATTACTATAAACATTAGGTACCACCTAACGCCGTTCGGACTTAAGACCACTATGCTTCAATTAATTCTCCGATATGACTCATATCTCGAAGATCATGTCGTCGCTGAGTTGAAATGTATCTAGATAGGTAGGTAGGATGTTGATATATTTTCAGGCGTTGAATCATCAAATACCTGGCCTCTAACTACCTAGACCACATCGCAACTCGCCATGGCATCCTACCCGCCAATTGTACCCGAGAATGGTAAGCCCATGCATAGTCTACCCACCCAAGCTTTATGACCCTTTCCTAACACAACTCATAGGGGCGACCTTCACTTCTACCATACACAAAAGTTCATATCCCTTTCTTAGGACGGCGAAACACTTGGGTCACCACATCTTGATTACCGGTGGCACTAGAGGGATCGGTCGAGCCATTGCCCTCTCATTTGCCAGAGCAGGCGCTAAAGCCATTGCCGTTGCAGACATAGCCGAATCACCCGGACAACTAATTGGCGACATTGCAGCAGCTGCGCGAGAAAATGGCCACGATGCCCCGCAGGTGGTAATAACTAGGCTTGATGTTACCGATGAAGAAAGTGTAGGTAAATGCGCTAGGTATATTGAGAGCGAGTTTAAGGGCAGGCTTGACATTCTGGTCAACAATGCCGGATTCATGACACCTGCGCTTCCCATTTCTGAGTCTGACTCCGGTTCTTGGTGGCAGACAATGGAGGTGAATTTGAAAGGAGTGTACCTAATGAGCAAGTACTTTATCCCGCTACTCCTCTCTGCTCCTGAGGGTCTAAGGACAATGATCAACATCAATAGCGTCGCAGCGCATAACCTTAGACCGATGGCGTCTGCATATGGAACTTCGAAATCGGCGGTGTTGAAGCTGACTGAGTTTCTGATGGCCGAGGCTGGGAGTAGAGGGTTATTGGCGTATTCTGTTCACCCCGGCGCAATACTTACGGAACTGGCCGAGAAAGGCATGCCACCCGAGACTCTTCCCACTCTCAACGACAGCGTAGATCTAACTGGCGACACGGTGGCTTGGCTCTCAAGTGAGAAACGCGAATGGCTGGCTGGAAGGTATTTAAGCTGCACTTGGGACATGAATGAATTGCTTGAGCGTCAATCTGAGATTGTGGAAGGGGATAAACTCAAAGTGAGGCTGGTCGTATAGGCCAGAAGAAGTGTTACAATCGATATGAACGCCTTGACACTAGACATACTTCCGATCGCGCCTTGACATATACCTAACTGAAAATATCATTGAAGGAAAACAGATCATCCGGAATCAACATATCCCCATAGATTGTGGTAGTGTTATGTTCGCTATCTGTCTGGACCGGCGACGCAAGCTTCTCGACAATCTCGGCATGCTGTGCTAAGCAGATGTCACCAAGATCCCAACCCGAATACTCCTTATGGCGACGCAAGGCCGTGATTAAGTCTAGTGCTAGCTTGATAGAAGTACTTTTCGCGAGCTCGGACGGAGACCTTCCAGCTTCAAGCGCAGAACGTAGGAGAAACGTAATCGTCGAAGGGAAAGCGAAGGCGCTCACTGGTAACCAGAAATCCTGTAAGTGTTCTTCTTGAAGTTGTTGAACGAAGAAGACAATATCTTCGGCTGTCCTCCGGGTTTGTATGTATTGGTTGGCTAGGGCATCGTTCACTAGTTCATCCCTTGACCTGATTTCTTCCATTCGTATACGATGAGTGAGAAGTTTCATGGAGAGATATGCTAATCTCAAGTTCGGCGCACCGGGTATGTTCAATGAAGCACCGCGAACGATGATAGGCCGAATGTTGGGTTCTAAATTTTCGACCCATCTATTGAGGCCGAGCTCCAGACTATCAGCATACCCGGATGTCTCTTTGTCTATCCGATATAAATACTGCAAGTAATGGTCTAGAATATCTGTCAAACCTGAAAGGGCAACGAAAACGGAATTAGCGCTTGTGTCCTCCTGACGATTCGCGTTGAATTGATATTCGACTTTTGGCTGGGGAACATCGCAAAAGGACTTCTGTATGTGAGGTGGTGTTCCGTAGGCCAAACTTGACCTATACTTGCGTGAGTTTCAACTGGGCACGATTTCCATGATACGGCCTTACCATCTGTCATGTGTGAGTAATGCCCACCAGGTATGCATCCGCAACATTTTCTCTGACCATGATATATCCCAAGACAAGGGGTCGCGGTTTAAACCCAGCGCATAGGCCAGAGATACGGCACTACCAAGCCGAATTCCATTACCTACTAGTGCTGTTGTTGGTCGACCACCAATATTCAGTAATATTGCAGTAAGAGTGGATATTCCAGGCGACAAGAAAAGCTCGGATTGGAGGGCTTCGCTAGCAAGGTTCCAGATAAAACGGACGTCTGGGGATCTTTGATCAATAGGCTGGAGTTCAGATTTCCAGTAAACCAGACCATGTGCATAGAGAGATGAGAGGAGAGCCGGAGATACTTGTTCTTTGGCACTTGTGTACTGTCTTCGGAATGACTTTTCGTCTAATAAGGGGAAGCAGCTGTTTCCTTTCTTGAAATATCTATAGCAGCATGTTAGTTCTAAGTAGCTACCTAGATATTTTCTTGAGGCCGACACTTACGCGTTGATAAGTCTCTCACCCCATGGCTCGAGTAGTTTTTCAATAATTTGGCATTTAGTGTATGATGGGTTGGGACCTATGGCGAGTCCCACGGGACGTTTCTCTACCGCTGTGAAAAGAACCGACCTATTGCCAGTCGTTCGTTTTGGACGAATAAGGCGTATACCGCAACCTTCGCTATTCAAGGTGGACAGGCAATCCATGAGCACTTGGCTATCGCTTGTTATTGCGGGGCTTATGACATGAGGGTTCTCATTTTCCGTATCTTCAATTGATAAAGGAGTTGATCCGGGATGATCCTCGCGGTCGTCGAAGAAAAGATTGGTTTGAAGAGCGGTACTGCTATCTTGTACAGCATTAGTAACGGGGCCATTGTCGTTGATGATTGCTGTCCGTATATCTCCTGCGCTGGTGCCGTCGCTAATAACCCGAACGGGCTGTCTTGATATACTTCTTGGGGTTGTGTGTCTTCGAATGGACCTTCGAGCCACAGGACCTGTAGTTTGATGTTGGTTAGATGGGAACGCACATTGTGTCCCATGAGTCCGACACATTAGACAAGATGTTGAATGAGCTTCAACATTACAGCGGGACTTCCTTTTCCGGCAAGGAAGACAGGCGGGACGCAAGTGGGACCTGTACGGGCGTCCTAGTTGACCCATGGACTCCATTAAGGGAGTTTTGTTCTTTCCCGCGGAAAAGAGTAGCTCAATCTATAGCTGTGAATAGAGTATGTTCTCGGTAACTAAAGCAGCAAAACATTTCGCATCCCGATAACACTGATAGCCAAGTTTACCGCGATACTTAACCCAGGTAGATCGCGGTTAGTTTGCGGGGACTCGCTATATCCATTGGCGCCCGATGTTTCCCGCGGAGGATCTTATCTGCAACCTTGGTAGACAGTCTGCTGCGGTCTTAGGAGAAAACATATGGAGAAAGGGGAGATTGTAAAAAGTGTCGACCCCTTTAATCCATCATATACCCTTAAAAATCACACTTTAATTGAAATAAGGGCTAGCACCCAGGGGAAATCCCAAGATTCCTTGCCATAAATACCATATTTTTCCAATTTTATCAATTCTACCCCATAATGCGCGACATTGTCAAGTAATGACCTAGCGTTAATACTTTAGACAGGCAGGTATATGTTAAACAAGATCAAGGTCTTCAGGATGACTCCATTCTTTCCAATACGGTGTTTGGATTTAATTATAGCTTCAAGGTCCCCGGCGTAGAGGCGAACGCCTGTTCCAGAATCGCAAGACCCTCATGTATCTGTTCTTCCGTGACTGTGATCGGAGGCGCAATTCTGAAAATTCCACTGAAGCTCCCATGACTGCTCAAATTCGCCCAGACACCAAGTTCATACGCTCTTTCTGCTATTAACCTCGCTAATTCCGTCGCCGGCGCTTTCGTTTCTCGATCAGCTACGATCTCCACACCAGCCATCAACCCCCTTCCGCGAATATCTCCGATGCATCCATACCGAGACTGCAATTTCTTAAGCCCGTCATGCAAAATCTTGCCCATAGCCCTAGAGTGTTCGACCAAATTGTCTCGGACGACGATTTCTAGCACCTTGTTACCCACCGCCGCAGGCAAAGGATCATTGACCTATCACTCACTATTAGCAACGCACGAAAATTGGAACATTAAAAATAAGGTAGACCACTTACATGGGTCGTATAAAAACAGTAATCCCTTTCAACACAAACCCTCTCGATCTCAGCACTCGTCACCACAGCGCTTAACGGGAGACCGTTTCCAAGCGTTTTGCTTAAAGTCAAGATATCGGGTACTACTCCCTCATGCATAATGGCCATCAAATCCCCGCATCTTCCAACTCCGGTTTGAGCTTCATCAACAATGAGAAGCATGCCTCGTCTCTCGCAATGCCTTTTTAAAGCTTTGAGGTACCCTTCAGGGAGGACATGGATACCCGCTGATGATTGAATACACTCCACAATCACAGCAGCCAACGATCCACACGAAGCCTGGTCGATCAAACTCCAGCCGTAATTAAGTTCAGTTTCCCAGTCATATGAACCGTCGGGCTTGCGAAAAATGGATCGGTATGCGTTAGGTGCTGGTAACATATGCATACCCGGCATAAGCGGTCCCTGCCCTTTTCTTCCGTAGTGATACTGAACACTGAGAGCCTGTGCCGTCACACCGTGCCATGATCCATTAACAGCTACGACCTCAAACTTGCCGGTGTACACTTTCGCGAGCTTGACGGCTGCTTCGTTAGATTCACCCTGATACGCTATTAGCACCAGATCAATCATAGCTTCTCTAGACCCTTCAAAATGCCCCGAAGCAGTCTATCATGACTTACCCCCGTAGACAGAAAAAACGCCTTATCCAACCCATCCGGCAACAACGAACAAAGCCTCTCACCCAGCGAAATAACCGGCGGGGACACCATCCCCGAAAACAGATGATCGAGGTTCGCCGCATGATCGGCAATCGTCTTCACAATCTCAGGATGACCATGCCCCAACAAACAAGACATCTGGCCCGAAGTCCAATCAAGGACCTTATGGCCATTCGCCGTGTACACGTAAAGACCCTTTGAACCACAGATGACGTCCTTTATGAACTCAGTTCCATAATTGAACAGGTACTGTGATGTTTTCTTCTGAAGGGCGTCTTGGTCTACATTTTGGTAGAGCTCGGGGCGTGAGTCGGGTTGTTGGGTTGAACCGTTGGTGGTCATATCTGCTTACTTAAGTGTACTGAAGAATCTTGTATCGAGGATTATTTTTTATAGACCTAATGTCAAGTAAGAACCTCCTGGACCATTTTATTTATATGTAGTTGGGCTGCCAAGGTGGGCAGCAAGCTGGGGGAACTTTCCCGCGGGCAACTCGTCGGCCCCGCGGAAAACTGCTGCTGTAATTAGCGGGGAATACCCTCGGACTTCCAAGTAAGTTGACGTATACTTACATACTCTATATTTTATTCGCCGTTTCCGGGTTGTCTCAATTCTCTCGATTTCGAATCTATTTGTCAATGCGAGTCCGTGGCAAAGGGTATCCCGGTGTCGGGGTAGCCTTGGACTGCAACTTGGGAAGGTTGGCTGTTGTTCAAAATTTTATTTCTCTAATGATAAGTAAATACTTATTCTTGTCCCTATTTCTATTCATCCATTGCCCTATTGGATGTCCTATCCAATATCCTTAATCATATACAATTACTTGAATACAAGTTAACCGATACCCGGTCTAATTATACAGCTGTCCCTACGTCCGGTCGCTTTACATAATTTATGCGATCGACCTTATACGTCTTCGGGGCCCGGACCTTAGGTGTCTCCTCGTCGGGTTATTCCGGCGCCTGAAAGCAGATGGGCCGTAGAACTCATCCGTCCAGGTCGATATTTGGCTGACTATAGCGTCCTGGGTCTTCTTGATATCAGGATCGAGAGCATTCCAAACACCGAGGTCGTTGCAGTGACGGGAATTAGGGATTATGATACTGGGAACGTTTGGCGTAGATACTAGGGGGCCGGTGGGCCTAAACAAACTAGCGACGGAAGCTGACCTCCAAGGATCAAATTCGCCGTTTACAAAGATGATGCGAGAACTGTTGTCTAGGCTCTGGGGCAATTCCCAGCCCTTCGTGTGGTCATTAACGTCGGCTGCAGTCTTTCCCAGGGCGCTCGCGTAGGTGTATTGGCCTTCTCTAGGGAAATATAGCTCGCACTGACGCTGCCAGTAGTCGGCATTGGCTAGTCGTGTGAACAAGGTCGATTGGTTTGCTGGTGCACCGCTGAACTTGAGTGTTAGATATGATGCGCACGTACAAAAAAAGTCGGAGAGGGTCTTACGTTTGCCAATAGAAGAAGGGCTCATTGCAAGTCATCCAAACCCATGTGCGGTCAAATGAATTATCGCCGGTCTGGTCGGTATACATGGGACTCGAGGCATTGTGGGTGTCAAAGCATGCCACGCTGTTCTTATCATCCCACTCGTCATAGCCGTAGCCCGAGCAATCTGCCATTTGGTTAGACACCGTACGATACCTGTGGGCGACGGGGGAGATGAGGGCTTACATCCTGGGAGGTACTCGGCTTTGTACCATTTAGCAAAATTAGGGAGGGCTTTCTCAAGACCAACTCCACTAGTACTATTCGAAGGGATAGTGGTTGAGTTGGGAGAGAAACCTTCAATAGCATCGCACCTACGAGGAGACACGTTAGCTTAGTCCAGAGGCACAGCAATATGCCATAATTGTGTTGGCCACTTACATTTGGTAAAACGTAGAGTAACCTGAGCTTTGTTGAATGCCTTGCCAAGCCCATATCGGGGAAGATATCGCCCTGATGAAACATGTTAATAAAACCAAATCCAAAACCTATGTGGGATGCGAAAAATAAGATACGTACGAAGCTGCATCATCTAAATGAGCGATGTCTTGAAGACCGAATAGCTGCTTTAAACTGTCTTGTTCTTCGCTGGATCCCTGAGTGAATACCTTGTCCACATGATCGATGATAGCGGTGTAATCACTGGAACAGTTCTTAGGCATGCCCTGCTGGATGCCGTAGAAATATTGCCAGTAATCGTAAATAGCCTCGACAGGACCACTGCTGGAATGTGTCGCCCAAAATGTTCCGGGCGCGGTACTTTCGATCCAGGCACCTAATGCACCAGAGTAAGATCCACCACTCCAAATCCAAGGAGCGTTTGGTGCATTCGACGAGCTATTCGAATCAAATGGTAGCTGAACAGTTTGCGCAAAACGAACAAAATCGGCAACGGCTTGATCCAGGGTCAAGAATTGAAGGTTCTTGGTCGATTGGGTCTCGTACGGCGTACTATTCCCCCAATAACGATGTTCGATTAAGACGACAGCACCGCCCACTTCTTTCGCAATTAGGCCAGTAATACTCTGGTCGGTAATATACGATGTGTATCCCGAAGCAGCAGATTCTCCAGGTGTAAACAGGACAATGGGAGACCCCGGGCCCTGCCAATGAGTGGCATTATACCAATATGACTGATTAAATGTACCAAGGTCTGGGTTATTGTGATCGATGTACTGTTCGAAGAAACCAATGCCAGTGTTGGTCTCCGCTGGATCGGCAAGTGCTGCTAGAAAATCGTCGCTAGCATCGTCGGGAGGCGGGTAAGGCGCTGGAGGCGTTAAACCGAGGACAGCGCCTACGCACATAAGAGAAGTGAATACATCCCGAACTACGAAGCCCCTCATCGTGACCGTCCTAATCATAAAGGGGGAATGAAAAAGGAAAGATAAGAAAATACAGGTAATAACCCGCTTACAAGAGGAATAGGGTTTATTCCTTGTCCCATCATGATTGGGAGTAAAGCATATTTATGTTATGAACCCGTTTCCAAGACCATGGATAAGCAGACCCCCGATGAGATAGCCTGCTGCCATGGGAAAGCTAATGGTTCAGCCGCCCGCGCCTCAAAAAATAAGCATGACCCATCATGACCCATTGAATAGCCGGGAGGATGCAGGATAGGCGACGGGTGGCCGTAGGATGCAGAGAGACGGGAGTCATTGTAGGACGGGGGATGTTACCCTGATGCCGGTCCTATGAGAATTGGAAGCCAAACTCTGTAGTGACCTGCCTAGGCGGTAACGGTAAGGGGTGTGAATGGAACTGATAGTGATGTGGGATTAAGCTTGTTGCCTCAAGCTCAGCCCTATTGTAATCTGTAGTCTAGCTAAGTTTCAACTGTGAAAAAGGGAAACTAGACTGTATTCAGAAGGTGAATCTATGGTCGATATCCACATTGTATCCATGCTTGCTGAGCACACGGCGTGTCGATCCGCTAACCTGGAAGGTCAGCTATCGAGGCGCAACCCTAAGAAAACCAACGAAGAGTGGAGGCATAACCAATAAGCAGGAAGAATGTTAGACTGTAGATAAAGGGGCGAAGCCAGTCGTTCGCTTCCTTCTAGACGATCTGATATGTGATAGGTAGTCCTAGCTGGTCCCTATCCCTGATGTAGCTTGCTTCCCTTACCTATGCAGTGATGCTTGGGGGTTGAGCATAAAATAAACCTGCTCGCTCGAGCCTTGGCAACGACTTGTTTGGTAACTTGTTGCGCAGTAGGACTCGCAAGGTTGAAATGCGTCCTGTAGTCGTTCCGTAGAGTGCATTGATCGAGTCTTGGCAATCTGTAGTATTCAGTTTCCTTATCTTGGCCTGGAGATCTCTCTTCATGTGATTGTAGGAAATACAACTTTTTTGCTACCTTATTCTACCACCTTACTTTAAGATATGTAGTGTAGGTGCAAATGTATGACTATCTACAGTCGCAGGGGGGCTCGTCGGTGAAATACCGAACATGAATCTAGGCTTTCCGCATGGAGATAGTTAGACATGCTGTCTCGTCAATGTATATGTCATGTAATTGTCATGTCTGTTTGCCTGTTGTGATTGACAGGAGCAATTATCCGTGAACTACACCCTGAGACCCCTCATCACTTGATGTGTTCGAGATGTGTAGGGAATTGTCTAGACTGGGCTATGATATTAAGAGGATATATCATTGTGATCTTGTGGTGTTAAAGCCTTTTAAAATGCAAATTGTTAGACATGGCTGGCTACACAGGTGTGGTCTCGGTGAGCTTTGCCCGTACCGATGAATGATGATGATGATTATGATGATGTAGAGAATTAAATTAAGAATTAAGAATTAAAGATTCAGAAATGAAATTGAGCTTGTTCGGATTGAACTTGGGTACGGTACTTGAGTACTAAAAATAGTTAGTAAGCCAATCCATATAGAGCTTAGTCTACCCCACCGCATGAAGCTTTGAAGAACACAGCCACTACCATAACAAGACACTAGCCACAATTAGAGGCTTATCTCGGGAATCCACTCAATGCTCTAACATTAACAATTAACAATTAACAATCCAACAATTAAACAATTCCAATCAATGAATCTAACAACGCTTCAAGGTTGAAGGATCCCACCCCAGACCTTAGCCATCATACCTCATAATACCTTAGCTACAAGCTAGACTCCTACCTCGAGTAACCGACCGACCAATTGACCACCCCGACCCTCAATACCTCGATACAATCCAAGATGGGGCTCTTAACCAGCTCATCCGAGGCTCCTGCAAGTACGCAAAGCTCCGAATCCCTCCCTACCTCCTACTTAGTTACCTAAAACTGGTACAATTACTAACCTACTTCGATTAATAGAAGCCACACGCGAAGAAATGCGCGACGCCAAACTCCCCCTAGCCTACCGAGACAACTGCGCGAACCTCCTAATCCCCCTCAACAGATGTCGAGTCGACACCTACTACCTACCGTGGAAGTGCAATGTGCGTGACCAATATCCCCGAGCTGCGATTGTTAGTATTCGCTCGGACTAACAACATCCCACAGGACGAACGACATAGCTATGAAAAGTGCCAGTACGAGGAATTCAAGAAGCGAGTCGCCAGGATGGACGAGCTGAGAGAAGCTAAGGGTGGTGCACGAAGTAATTAAACAATGGCCCAGGGATCTACTCAACAAGCAAGAAGGGAATAAAATAGGAATTGTACATAACCTTACGCGCTACGTCGAGGAATTAGGATGGCGATGGATTAGAGGCCAGTCCGCCGTAAAGCTGGTGTACTGCTGCTTGTTCTATGGTAGTGTCAGTCCAATATGCCGTTATCTTCATGAATATAACCTTCCCGGCGTTGCGATCATGGGTTTTGGGTTTAACCTGCCGAGGATTTGTAATATCTACTGTCCTAGCCTCTCCACCGAGCCGAATTCGTGATACTACAACGTGATACTACAGCTGTAAGAAAATACACGAATAACTTGATAGCTCCTCTTGTTACGCATACAGCGATAGGCGGTCCCGGATTATGCTGGTATTTATACTTTGGCTGGCTTAGTTATAGACATAAAAGTATTCCTATAAGAAGCATATCCGCGCGATACTTCTACAAATACCATAAAGTCAAGTCAATACTAAAGTGCCTGACACTCGTACATCCAACCTCTCTGACCCAACATCCATCAAAACCTTGAACTTGTCTTCCTTCGAGCCTTGATCGGACCGAAATTTGGGGTCGACGAAGATGGGGAGGTCGAGTGGCGACCTCGGGACGAAAGAAGTGGCTTCTTTTTTATCGCTTGGGGCGCCGTCACGCTTCTTACGTTACGGGCCTTCACACCAAGGTCCTTTTTAACCCACCCATTACCTGTAGGGAAACCATCTGCCTCGGGAGAGTAATTCCCATCTACCTCTTCATCCGCGTAGTCCTCGGTGTAAACTGGTTCTGAATCGGAAGACAATTCGACAACTTGTGTCCCAGGAGGAAGTGTGAATTGGGAAGCGGACTTTAGCGAACTTCGCTTCTTTACTGGGGAAGGTGAGACTTTGATTTGCGGCGACTTGGAGGACCTTCTGTTGGTATGGTCATCATCCACAACACCGTCGGGATCTCTTAATATGCTGCTCGGCTCGAAACTGTCGGGAACTCTTGATACGCTATCTTGGTCGTTTGGAAGATCGTCCAACCTCCGCATTGCTTCTTCATATTCACGGTCTTTTCGAGCCTGGGCTTGTTGTGACGCCTTAGCTGCTACAGATTGGGGCTGAGATTGGGATTTGCATGGGCTCTGGGTGTTGCGTGAAGTAAGCGCCGTGCACCATACAGTGTTCAACGAAGCCAAAGAGCTTGGTGTTGACGGGTTAGCTGGAGACGATATTTGTCTGTTCGTAGTTACCTCTCCTTGGTCTGCGGCTGGCGTACTCTGGCGAGCAGGTTTAGGTGTTGGGGTTGACATACGCTCATCGCCATCTGATGCTAAACGATCCTCCATATCAGGTGCGACGGAGCAACCATCTTCTGTGACTTTGAGCGATTCCGGTTCCGCGATATCCATATCTAATGTGTGATCTGGCTGCCTTCTGCTGCGGGTACTACTCGCAGATGATGGAGGGACAAAGACCTTGGATTTCACGACTTTTGGCGTCCCAGCGACTACCTCATCTTCATAGCTGTCAAATAGGGGACCTGATGACTGTTCGACACTAGGAAAACCTAAGCTTGATACATCGGTGTTTGGTTTCTTCATCGTGGTACCTGAGTCTGTCTCTCCTCGACTGGTTATTTCCTTGGTAGGATGGTCCTGGGGGTTCGTATTGGTAGCTTGGCTGGCGTTCTCGTGTAATTGCCGGGACGGGCTACTAATTCGCGATGAATCAGACGTAGATATATCAATTCGGGCTCCTTGTTCTAATTGTGAGGCGTCGGAACTAGTAACATTAGACGTATCTTCTTTCGCTAGGTTCGTCGTGTTGGATAGCTCGGTGTTTACGCCTACTCTTGTGTCGTCGGTTTCAATAGATAACTTGGTCTCGGTTTGGGGATTCTCGTTAGATTTCTCGGTATCTACCATAGCAAGCAAAGGCTGTTGCAGAATCCTAGGCTGTTGCATTTCGGCAAAGCCGATAGTCCGAAATCCCTCATCTTCCCCTTCGTCTTCGTCATCGTCGTCATCAAGGTCAGGCGCTTCAAATTTGTCGTATATTCGTTGGCCAGTGTTTTGATCGTATTTCTTTTCGTTTCGATCTAGATTCCGATCTCGTTTGGCGAGACAGACTTCCAAGCCAGTAGCATCGTCGTCGATCCTCACCACAACGCCAGCTACATTGGAAAGCTGCGGCTGCCAGTTCGTCGCCGACGAACATGACCACTGTTGCCACGTAATCACCATCCCAACCTGAACTTCCCCGGGCCGTAAAATGGGAAGGGTTGATAGATCCGAGGGCAAAGATGGAAGGTCATCCATGTCCGTGAACTGACTCGCATCATTAGTCGGCTCGTTCGTTCCGTATTGTTGACCATCCACGGGGTCATCGTAGTTGAGTTCCACGTCTGCATTAGTATCGTCGTTGATACCATTGAAAGTATCATCATATCCCTCTTCATCCCACATCGCAGACTCGTCGTGTCTTCGCTTCTTGTTGGATCGATTATCCTGGTAGAAATGTGCTTCATTACGCTGTGCTCGCTTACTTTGACCTCCACGCTTATTTTTCTTCTGGAACCACGAGCTTTGCTGTTGGGGATCCCAACGCTGAACAAACGGGAAAGGAGGTTCGCTTAACACTACCCCTTCCTGACAGCACTCCACAGCTCGGTAGATAATCTTCTCTTTCCAGGCGTCATCTTCTTCTTCCAACATCCCGGATACCTCCTTTTGGTTGCTTTTGTCTTGTTCAAGTCTAACATTCTGAAGTGGCCGCACATCCTTCATAAGTTTTGCCCTAAGGTCGTCTTCGTCTTCTTTCGACTTAGGGTTACGAAGACCTAGCGCACCAAACAACAGCCTACGTCCTGCACCCACGTCCACGCGACGCCTTTTCTGGTCGGAGGCCGGTGATTGAGTGTCTTCACCCATGGACGTCTCCGTTGGAGTATGTTCTAGGGAATCTTGCTGAGCAAGCTCATTAGACTCATTACGTTTTCGTTTGGTCGTAGTTGAAGGCCTTGATGGACCAACTTCCACCCCACCATTAGCGATCGCATCCAGCAACTCTTGCCTCTTAGCTTCAAATAGTGCCTTCTCATCTAGAACGGTTGGGGTGGGAGCAGAGGGTTGCGCTTCATCGCTTGCGGTTACGGTGTATGTGGTATTCGCATCTTGCATTTCTAACTTCTTGGCCCTGTTCGCAGCCCTGCGACGAGCATTGCGCCTCTTGGTACTGTCCTTTCCAGCTCCAGGAGGCACAGGTTTAAGGTGGGAAGTTGCAGTCAACGATACTTGAGATTGCCGCGTATTTGCGGCGGGAAGTGGCTTCTTTTGGAAATGAGTACTTCCAGACCCAGGTGTTGATTCAGCTTCGCTAGAGTCGTCATCGGAGCTCTCTTCGGACGAGGACGAGGACGCATCGCTATCACTTGAGATGTCACTGCTACTCGTGTCCATATCGGAACTTTCATGATCGAGTGCCTTCTTCCCACCTATCTGTGAAGTGTTTCCTCGCATGTTAGATTTGGCAGAAGTTTCCTCTGGACCACTGTCGCTATCCTCACTACTATCGTCACTTTGACTATCCGAATTTTCCGAACTATCTGATGCGTCACTATGTGAACCTGGTTGATCGCCAGCTCGGGCATCTCTGTTGCCATTGTCATTGTCATCATTGTTGTTATCGCTATTTTCGTCATCACTGTTGTCGCTACTCTCCGATGATGCATCATCGTCAGAGTCATCTTCCTCGCTCCCGACTTCGAAATCTTCGTCTTCAGAACTAGAGCTTGGAGCATCGCTGGAAGTCCCGGAATCGCCATCAATTGTTTTCTCGGGGCTAGCCTTGCTACCATTCAATGTCGTAGACGTCGTTTCACTCTCGACGCCAAATTTACTATTAGTGAACGAACCAGATATCGCAGCCATTTGTGCTAACCCTTTGCCGGAAGTAATCGACCCAGGTGGAAGACCACGGTGGTCAAATTCTCGTACGAATGTGGAAACTTCCTCCTCGCTCTCGCCATCAGATACGTCTGAAAGGTTTTCATCATCCTCCATCATATCATCCTTATTAGATATGCCTTTCGCCGAAGTCTCCTGGGTTGTTGATTTTGAAACTTGTCTGTCTGACGAGGCACATTTCAACATTGCAGATATAGACATTTTTGGTTCGAATCCCTCAATTAAATTGCCGTATGCCGCCTTCAAGTCGCCGTCGGAATTCTCTAGGATTTTCTCGCAAATATCCACAGGCGCTAAAGGGAAGGCACTTCGTAATGCGTATACACTCTGGTTTCCCTCACCTGGGTCTAGCTGATTGGCATCTGGAGCTTTCCCAGGCTCTGGGCCGTCTTGTAGGGAAGCAGCATCTTCCATTAAGCCTTGAAGCTCCTCGTCGAGGTCGTCCTCGTCTGATGATTCAGAGTTTTCCTCTTCCTCATCTTCGGATTCGGAGCTACCATCTACCTGCGCGTCGCTACCGAAATTTTCGTCACCAACATCCTCATCCTCCAAGTCTGTGTCGAATCTAACATTCGAAGAGTCCTTCCGAGGATCGAGTTCCTCTCCATTGGTAAGGTATAACATCGGTGTATCTTGTTCGTTCTCAGGGTCATCGTTTGTGAGTTTAGGGCGCTTTCTGGGGGGAAGACTAATAGGGTATCGGCCACCCGAAGGTACGAGAGGACGTCGACCAAAAGCAACACCGTCTATTAAATGTCTTCCATCGGAGGATATCTGATATCGGCCGCTAATTCGACGCCGTCGGTTGTCGTCTCGATTTAGTGCTCGGATGAAGACCCGATCGTCGGGTTTCAGGATGGTACGTAGCGGTTGGAAATGTAGGCATTCAAAGCTCATACCGTCGGCATCATGCAGTTCGACAACATAGTTCTCTAATCCTGTTTGGCCTATCTCTAGAGTGATAGTCTCGTTGACATCTTGCAGGAGTTTAGAGATCGTCGGATCGTCTTTGAGTGATATATTCCACATCAATCGTTCATCGGCAAGACCTTCTCTTCGTACCACAAGGCGTAGGCGCATATCTTTTTCGGCCATGGTTATGTATGTTTGCGGTTCCTCAAGGTGTAGGTAGGTATCTACCCAAGATGTCCCAGTTGGAGGAAACGTTGAGATGGAGATGATCAAGAATTAAGTGTCATTATTAAAATTGTAAGTCTGAAAGAATTAATACCAAGATGGAAAGGGCCAGACGGAGGGAGTCGAGCTTGATAAGAAAGTTGTAAAAACATTAAATTAAGAAAGTTAGTCGACTTCTTTACTTCACCGTGAATGTTCCAGCAGAAAACGCGACACCTATGGATCCAATCCATCCTAGGGAATAATTTAGTGGATCTACCCGCTAAGGACCCCTAGAAAGCGGGTCCAATGACAGCCCTGGAGCTTGGAAGTTTTGATTGGGACCTGAAATCTACGTAGATGTGGGGTATACTCACGTTATCCACTCCACCGTAAATTCAATCCCACCGTTAGATTAACTGTTACAGTGCACCGTAGCATTATGTGTCTAGGTACCTATTTAAAACACCTCACTGGCACTAAGTGCTACGTATAACAAGCCTTCGGAATAACCTCAATCAAGATTATTTTCTAATGCACAAATATCTTGGTTTCTGTATAGACCTTATGAGTATATACCTGCCCTATCGTCCAAGATAGTATACAAATGCGAAAGAAGTAACCAAATAGAAGTATCTGTTTTACATGTAATTCTATATCCCAACCATCCTCCCATATGCGCAGAGAAGTACAATTCTAGTATACCCGTCTTATCCGTGCGCTGAGTAATACACGATATGCGGTAGTCAGTCACTCTTTGCGTATCAACGAGGTATGCCACCCATATCTAACATATGTCCCATTTTCTCGATCTGTCATTAACTCGTTAGTTATCGCATTGATCTTCAGGAGCTAGTTATAGACCGAGATTACTCACCTTAGTCTTCAGATATCCTTCAACTTCTCTACTTCGGAAACCACCTTTACCCTTCCAACTTAAAGGTACCATTGCCACCCGCTCCGTTACTCTAACTTCTCTATTCGGCCCTTCAACAGCTCGGATTTTGTCCGGGTTGTTAGTCAGCAACCGAACCTCTGTTTGTCCCAAGTCAAGTAGCATTGCTGTTGCAAGCCCGTAACTTCGCGCATCCGCCGGATGCCGAAGCAATAAGTTGGCCTCAACAGTATCGGATCCTAGGTCTTGTAGATTATACGCCTTAAGTTTCTCTCCAAGGCCAATCCCACGGCCCTCTTGCCGCAAGTAGATCACAATGCCCCCATTGACTGCGCTCGGTAGAGACATGAGCCTTGCCGCCTCGTCTAATTGCTCGCCACAGTCACATCGCGCAGACCACGCAGTTTCACCGGTATAGCATTCCGAATGTATCCGAACAAGCGGCGGGCCATTCGGGGAAGGGATTGCCTCCTCTTCCTCAGCAGAGGACGAGCCACTGAGCATACCACTTCGTGTCCTTCCTGGATAAAGACGGCCGGTATATGCACCTCTAACCATGCGATCCATTTCCGTCTCCCCTTCCCTCGGCGCATCAAGCGACTTGCTCCTAATATGTGGACCGAATACTATAGCGAGGTGTTCCTTATTGTCGACATTATTTGTGTATAGATGTAAAAACATCTCAGTTCCAGAGACGGTCGGAATCCGAGCACGCACTATACATTGTACTTCGGGTAATGTCTCTAGTAGTTTCGGTCGTTTGCTACCACAGCCGCCGGAAGGGACAGAAGAGTCTACAGGAACACCCCGAGGCTGTTGTTCGGCAGGAGGTGTAGGCGTCGCGATACCGGGCGTAGCGGGGGGCGTGAAAGCGGGTGAAAGTAGTGATGGTGGCGGCGGTCGGCTCGCATCTTCTGTTGTATTGGATGTTATTGTGGGTTTCGGCGATAGACTAAGTGAGGAGAGGGATAATTCGTCGTCGTCGTCGTGGTCTATGTGAGTCGCAATCCCAGGCTCTGGTTCCCGGTTCGGCCGCGATCGTGGAGAATAGAAAGAGGGAAGGTCTGTGGTTTCCTCGCGCCTTTGTTGATTCGACACCCCTCGGGCGCCTTCTGCAGAAGATGTCTCAGGACTCGGCATGGCTTCGTGTGAATCAATTGGGTCTTAATTTAGCACGAAGCAAGGCATAGATGTAATAAGAATGAAAAAAAGAAAGTAAAGGTTAAAAGTAAAGAAGACGAAGCTTAGAAGATGCGGGAATAGCCGCTGACGTATAATTCCGTTTAACTTTTGGCGGGGTTTAAGTAATGTTTTACCCGTAATCAGCTAAGTTTGCTAATACGTTAAATCCTGTGACAAACGGACTACACAGACCCACGATAACGGTACAATAATATAACGTTAAGACAATCCGAATCAAAGACGATTATACATCTAATTCAAGGGACTCGTTCTCAATTACATATGTAGTATCTATACCTAGGTATATATCCGAGTGAGTCGCAAATACTACCTGGGATCACCGCATCAAGGTATATAGATACAATCACACTGTATTCCTGAGGTCAGTGATAGTACCTAGGTATTCACCCCTTTTTATTGATTACATGATACATTGCCCCTGATTCCTACACTCGAGGGAAAACACAGGTAAGGAGAGAAGAACTATCATCATCTATAATTTAGACGCCTACTTAGCCATAGAGAATACGAGGAACATAGACGTCAGGTTTAAATAGTCGGGTAGTATCTGGCATCTTCTTATTAGGTATATTAAGTTAGCTACTTCTATTATCATACCTGCCTAGGCATCGAGACCATTAGAAACCCTCTTTTGGGTCTATTTCTTCCAATCCCCGGGCCGCCCTGTGTAGTAGGTCGTGTAGCTGTTCGTGTGCGTGGCATTCGCGGTACCGTCGCTCTTATATGTAGGCGTTACCTTCTCTTTACCATCCGCAATAACCAAATCACCCAAGACACGTCTAAATAGCTCCAGGGCTGCCTTCGGTTGATAGTAAGGCACTTCATGGCCTGAATCGTAAACTCGTGTGAAGCTGAAGTTTCCATACTGTCTGCTCTCACCGTACTCGACACCGTCCACAACGAATGGTGCGTATCCAGCTGAGGCAAACTCGGCCTTATGCGTGTAGTTCACCGATAGGGACACGGCTTGGCCACCCAACCAATTGCAGATGTAATCCTATTAATTTAATGTTAGAGTCAATCATTTTGAAAGGCATAGATAGGCGCCGCCAGTATGTGAGGAGGGGGTTAGGAAAGGCGAGAGGATACTCACAGCATCACCATAAACCATCGCGATACGGACATCATATGCTAGAAGAGCTTCGAGGTCTTCAAGTAAGTTAGGGTAAACAAAGTCGCCCGTGTAGTCGAAGCCGATCCATATATCTTGACTACTAGTGGATGTGTAGTTAATGTCAACGCCTATGGCATTTTGGACCTTCGCTGTGTTGAGATAATCAACCCAATTTCCTGGCGGGATACTGGCATCATCCTTCGCTCGAATATCATATGGGTTTCGGCCGCTAACGACGCTAGAAATTGTTAGAGACGTGCGTTTACTTCTTTTTGTAATCCCGCAATGCAATTTGTAGATGGATGCCCTAAACTCAAGGCCACTTGGCAGGAGAAAGACAAATCCTTCCTTACTACGGATGGGTTAGGCTAATAACTTACTAGTAGGGTGACTCAACAAGGGAGCGACATATCGCTGTCGCCTGTGCGCATACAGATTTACCGTCAGGCGTAGAACGATCTTGCTCAAAACATAAGTCGATAGAGTCTCGGCAACCACCAGGGAAGTAGTAGTTCATTTTCATATAATCGTAAATCGTCTGGTTGATCGCTTCAATACCGTATGTATTCTTGAAAGCATGTTCCGGATAATACGGTGCCTGAATTCGTTCGCTGATAATACCATTAATTATGCCTAGCGTATGTAGGTTGAGCTCAACACCGGGAATTGTCCCATTCTGGATTAGAGCATTTTGCTCGTAGAAGTATCGAAAGAAGGATGGACCATAATGCCCGCCATAACTCTGGAACGCTGTTAGATGTCACCGCCGCGGTTTTTATACGAATGAAGTCGATACTTGCCTCAGTCCATAGATTAAAACTACGAGACTTAACCTTCTCGTCCAAAGTAGGCAGATTCTCAATAAACCCTTGCAAGATCTCCCACGTACCCTTGGCAGCCAAGGCGGTAGTATCAAAACGGTACGGGTCCACCTCGCTGTAGCGGCCATCGGGGTTGGAAGAATTAACAGGCAGGCCTGTAGTCTCATTGACGACACCCACGACCGCATCGGCATAGGAGAAGCCTACGCCAATGGGTTGCGAGAGAAAAAGAAGGTTGCTAACTTCGTTCCAAGCATAGGGATTCACAACCGAAGTGCCGTTAAATGTGACGTTGCAGGGCCCGAGCTCCTCAAATAACCCTATAAGACTGTCACTTCCTGGACCGCCATTAAGCCATAGCGTCAGAGGCGCTTCGTCGGGATTTTTCCGAGCCTCGAAAAACCAGAAAAACATGTGGGTCTCATCATCGAGGTCTACATATCCGGAATAAGAGGAAACTCCGGGTGTCGTCTCGCACACTCCCTCAAGCTCAGGTTGTTTATACCGTATGGTCGCGCCGCCTGGTGATGTGATGGTCTTAACACCTGTAGGCTCTTGTGGAACCTGTTTCTTGATCAACTTCTCAATGTGGGGCGGTAACGAGCTTGCGGACGTGAGGGAAGTTTGAAGAGAAAAGAGCTGTAGGGCCACTACGGCAGTCCTTCTGAGGCCGTACATTGTCGTAGTGGTTCTAGTTCACCACGGAAGAATTTGACAGGGAGGGAGAGGGAGAAGCGTGGGTGACAGAAAAAAAGAAGAGCCCATACTTACCGCACGGTTCACTGACTCTTATAAAATCTATGTTTACATAGGGATCGGCTCGACGCCTGGCACAGCTCAGCTAAGACCCCGGGTTCCATACCCACAAATTATCTACATGGATGCATGGACGCATACTTGCCCCCACTCATTGTGACATGGCTGCATAGAAATCGTAAATGCGTAATCGGATTTCAGTCTGTCCAGAAGATAGTGCTTATTCTTGAGGCTGGTTTACTTTTTGTTGATCAACTGCCGATTTAGTATAGAGGCATCCTTCCGGAACGATGCGACTCTGCTGGCAAAGATTATCAGAACCCGAGCCCGTCAGCATCCGTGCCTTGTTTCCTTGCGTCTGCTAGATTCGAAAGGGCAGGCGAGAATCCAATCCGCGGGGTATTGCTACGAGATGTCATCATAGTCAATCATTAGCAAGACTGGATTGTTGACTGCGCGGGTTACATTAGGTATGCATAGCTGCATGGTTACCTGGAACCACTCGCGATCTTGCGATACCTTATCTATAAAAGAAAAGAAAAAATATAGTGGAGAATACCAGGACAAGACAAGACAATAACACAACTCGTCATTCCTAATCCCCAATTCTCCAAATCCCCCAAGTTCTCGAGTCATTGACCGCTCTGCCCCTTGCTCGCGATGGTCGCATAAGTAGGAGAGTCTAAGAGTTAAGAACAAACCCACGGGAGTACCAGAATTGGAGCGGTAATAATAATAACTCATCATATCCCATGACAATCGTAAATGGAGATTGGAAGGGAGACCCAGCGTCTTGTTGAGTGATTATTTGCTTGCTTGCTCATACCATAGGCATGTCGGTATTACCCATCATCAAACTGAGCCTCCCTTGCTAGGTTATCCCCGCTGAATAAGTACTAGGATTTACGGACACAATGGTGATGGCGAGCGCTGTAGTAGTTAAAATGAAGCAGCTACTAGGGTGGTATAATCACGCAATCTTCTTTCATTATACCCCACGTAGGTTGATGACGCTTCTAGGATGAGGATTAGACAATGTTGTAGTGATGAGAAATTTATCAAAGCGTCTCCGAAAATCCAGCATAATTTACGGAAATCGGCGCACAAATAATTCTTAGTCATATCATCCTTTCTTTTCAGCTTATTTCCCCGCGTATTCCCGCGTATTGTGTCACTGTGGACGAAAATCATTATGATCACAACACTGCGGTCTCAATTCCACGCGCATACCTAGGTAATTAACAATACGCGGTGATACGGCTAGGTTAGACACGTTCGCTGGCTATATCCGTTGAATCACTTATTGACAAGCTACATTGAACGACATCGTACTGGATAATCACGACCGGATATTATGTGTTACATTGTCCAATTCAGGTACCTATCCGGGGATTGTTTGAGCTAGTAGGTAGGAATTCGATGCTGCCTTGTCTTGTGGGATTCACTTTCACGTCGCAAAAAAGATTCGCTTCGAAGTACATACTATGAAGGTAGTCATATTCCCAAATATCTTAACTTCCTCCTAGACCTTGACTCCCTCTTCATTCATATCTACGTAGAATTAATCTAACCCAGGTTCTCTCCACCACCGGAAGCTATGGCGCACCACTTGCGCATGTGGCACCTTCTTTTCGAGTTGGTTCGTCCATTCAGATGAGACATTGCCATATATTTGTATTAATCGGAGTTTCGGAAGGCTCCCAATTATCTTCAAAAACTCCTTCTCCTTACGGGTATTCCCGCGCCCCTCCCAACCGCTAGAGCTGACTGTTCTAGGCGCCCAATCAAAGACCAAAGTCTCCAGATTTTCGGCACGTTTGGTGACCTCCCCAAAGAATGATAGCCAACTGTTCCAATTTGGATAATCCGTGGCTATGACGACCAAGAGCTTATCCAGCCGGTTGAACCGCAGAGTCCCATGAACGGCGAATCCAACTCGACGATCAATCCGACCGCTAACGTCGACGCGCAAGACGGCTTGCTTATGGACTATAGGGGAGAGGTCCCGGTATAGACTTTTGCAGGTAAGCATCAATGCTGGGAGGGGACGAACATACGGCGTATCCGCCAAGTAAAGAAGCTGAGGCCGTAATGAATACTCGAAATCCGTATGGTCGACTGCGAGATAAATCTCATAGATACGGTCGCGTATTTCGGCAGGTAGACTAAAGAATGGTGGCTGAGTCTGCATGTTGACTATCGTTTCGCTTACGCAGCCAGAGAAATCAGAAGAGAGCAGAGCAATTTTGATGTCCTAATATGAAAGTTGGGAGGAATTTATTCAGATTTAAACCCTCTATTATCCCGAAGTAGGCGCTCGATTTAAATAATAATAGTCCGAATCTATGATATATAATTTTACAAGAAGTTGACAGTGGCTTATTGTTGTTTTGACTAGGTACCAGGTATGTTTACACCACGATGCCAAGGACTTTATAAGTCTATAGATACTAACAGCCAATGATCGGACTTGCTAAGCATTAACCTGAAACGTCATAGTCGAGACCATTCATATTAATAATTACCCTGGTAGGTACCTAGGTATGTAACAGCTTCAATTCTCTACGTTATACAGATATTCGAACAACTAAAAAAGTACTCCATCGTATATATCTGAGTGACGTTTTCCCTATTCACCTTGATCGTTAATACTTGATTCCGTTCATGCTTCGCCACAAGTGCTTCTATCATCTTTCTTAAAAATCCATTCATTCCTGTAACATTTCTTAATCCACCATTTAATCCGACCATTTGATCTATAGCGTCAATATGACTCTTCCACGCAGTAAAATCCCCCGTCGCAAACTACAACAGACCTCGTCAGCCTTTAATTACTAGATCGGACAACAGTGATAACTCTGGCCCAGTGGTATTCAATTATTACTTACTCCATCCGAAGCGAGTTGCAGCGCAGTCGAAATTGTCGCTTCTTTCACGGATTTAACCTCCGTAATCTCGAGCATCGCCTTGACTGCTTGGCCCAAAATGCCCAAGCAAATCGCCTTATACTGCAGAGCATATTGGTAATAGCGAGGAATACCAGTGCGAAGATAGAGGCTACGGCAAGCACAGAGGAACAGGCCCATTCTCATACCATGGTCCCCAATTGCGGTCGGGATCCAATCCTGCATAGCTGCAGAATGGTATAAATGAGAATGTCTACCAGTATGATCGATAATTGTGTGTATATCTAGGTAGGTAAGTTAGAATAAGCGCTGAAAAGACTACGACGATTATATCCGTCTTACAATACTCACAGTGGCCTACAAGGAAGCGCTCGAATTGTGATACTGAAATTCCAAATTGACATCCCAAGTTTCTAGGTACAGCGCTAGTCGGTGGTGGTCTTCGCTCAAGTGTATCGGCGTTAATGGATATTTTGGCCCGTCTCTGGTTTTGGTACTCGATAACACGTCTCCTCCTAGCTTCTGCGTGTGTTGCTTTTGCGACATGAGACTTGATCGCGTTCTGCGAGGCGCCTAGGTCAGAAACCCAGACCAACTTCGTGCCGTTCTTAGCGCGATTGGCAGAATTTGAATTTTCTCGAGATGGATTGCAACTCGTTCTGCTCACCCGATCTGCTAGCATGACGGTGCAGTTTCACGATATTTACCTCTGAACAGGATGATTATATGAAAGAGGACTTGAAAGATATTGGAAGATACCCAGGTATAGTATTTCAGGTGGTAGAAGCAGTAAAGCACACAAATTCATCTTCAGAAGGAAATTTATGTCGATATAATCATATTCCTAAGTCTAAGACTACCTGCACCGTTCGGCATGATCCCGCCGGACCAGTTTTGATCTGCGGCTAAGCAACCCGATATAGAAAATGCAAAGCTTGGCACCTCTGCCTAAGTACTTAGGTGGATATCTAGCGCATAGTAATCAGGGGTCTACATCCGAGGATCCAGACCGATCCGATGCTTGGATATATTTAGGTAGATAATCAGGACCATGCCTTCGTAATATTTCTAGATCCATTCGGTACCAAGTACTTGGCGGATATTGTTTATTAATGATATCTATACGTCTATAAAACCACGGAAGCATCCCGTACATGCTTATCTACCAGGTATCCATGGATGCAGGTTGTTTTTATTTGAAATCCTCGCTAGAAACCAAAAACAGCTATTCAAGAATCCATCCTTAGTTAAATTATATCGGGCATCCAATTGTCATCTTCACCCACATAGGCGTCGAGGATGAGACGCTGAACGAGCTGTCTTATAACATCGTCTGTTTCATACTCTCCTCGGGGGAAAAGCTCATATGACTTAGCCCCTCTGCTTCTGACCGCGTCTGAAATAAGTCGATGTAAACTCTCAAGACTCGGCCGGTACTGATCTTCCTCAGCACAGCAACGTCTAACAAGCTGCGCAATGTCAGGGTCCAGATTCGGGTACTCTCGATCAGGTAACGCAGCGTGAGTTTCGATTTCGGTTTGGGTGCCCCTAATATCCACTACAGCACGGGCGGCCGAAACTGATTCAAATTCATCCTCAGGAACGATCAGGGTACGCATCACCTAATCCGATTGAAAGTACATATGAATTAGCCTACTGAGTCACCCTACCAGTAGCGATAACTTACCAGTCCAATTTGAAAAATGTTAAGGTTGACACCTGGGTTGTTGCTGTGGCGTGAGATATTGTTAGCATACTCCTTAACGCGCATTTCAGAATATTCAACGTACCTCTCAGGGTCGGGGAGGACTCCTGCTCGCTCAAAGTCAATAGCTTTGAGAATTGGGACGAAAGTATGATCTTCATCGTCAAGGATGTCTCCAATCATAACTATAAAGTACAAAAATGTTAACGGTCTCCTGGATGCTGCAGAGCGGCGACACGTCTTAACCAATTCCACGGGGGCGCTCGGGAGAGGGTAAATTACCATTACTAACGTGTAGATCCTGATGACTTAGTTGATACTTATCGAGCCTACTTTTTTCGTTCACTGGTATCCTTTCTATGCGAAGGCCACCTGTGCGACTCCCAGGTGGGTACGCCATAGCAATACACATTCGAAGAAGGCAAAAGAAGAACCTCCATAGCATTCTATTAGGTAGTGGATACCCCCAATCCCATTTTCTTTCCAGGAAATCAAAGACAGTTCCGTTTGGCACAACCTCAGTTAGAACCGTTCGCCCGTAAGCATTTGATAGGGGACTTCGAATGGAATTGTCAAAACTGTATGGTTGCATTATGTGGAGAGCCCCCCGAAGCATCTAGATATGATATATGAGGTTAGCATTTGTAGGATTTGAATCGTACATCGAATTCCGAAAAAAAGGTGGTATAAACGCTCTTACCTTCAGTACACTGGCTTCATTTTTTAAAGCGTTATCCATACCTAATCGAAAGGCCCTTTTAACCACAAAGTTCCGCGAGGGACGATCGCTCCAGAAATTACCTATTTCCTTTACCATGCAAGCCACATTGCTGGCACCAAATCCAAGCATTCCCATATACTTGAAATTGATGGTGTCCTTTTCGAAATAGGCCTTAATATTCTGGGCTTCCTCCATTGCTGCTGTTTGTCGTATTTTCTCGTCATTCCGTGCTTGTATGCTTGCTTTCCTCTCTTGCTCCCTTCGAGCTTGCCTGTCAGCTGCTTCCTGCGCCTCTCTAGCCCTTATTCGATCTTCCCTCTCTTGCTCTCCCCTTCTCAGCCGCTCTATTTGCCTTTGCCTCTGCCTCCTTTCGGCCTCCCTTTGAACTTCCCTTTGAGCTTCTCTCTCGCGGGCTTCTCGCTGTTGCCTTGATTCCGTTCCGCGATTTGCTTGCATCCTTTCTTGCAAGATGCGTCCTTGGTGGTTTACATATTCCAAAAAACGTTGGGTCGGACTAAACCCTGGAAGGGGGCCTCCCCCTTGTTGAGTCTGGAGGGGAGGGGATGGTGAATCAGACGACGACGGAGAATCAGATGATGGCGGTGGTGAAGATGATAGTGGTTGAGGCTTCTGGTGTCGGCCAGCCGGACGGCGTTGGCCCTGGTGGCGTGCTTGCCATAATACTGATTCAGTTGTGAAGTTTTCAGCACTAATCAACGAGGGACCGACATCATCGCTTGAATTATCACTCCAATTCATTGTGTTAGATAGTTACTCAGAAGAAATCAATGCTTGGTTAATAAGTTTTCAATTTATTGTTGTCGCAGCTACTAGTGTGGGGGAGTTGGGATATATAGGTATTATTGAATTGATATTCAAAGGGCACTGAATGCGGCAAGACAACGCGAATTTTCGTTTAACAAAGAGTATGAGAACAAAAGGCTTCTCGAAGAAATTTTAACCAACGTAGAGTACATCTGTCCCTGAAGGGATTACAATGAATTCTATACGTCATTTAGCGGAGGTCGCTTTATGGGGCGCATTTATTGAGAGTGTATTTATTGGTGGGTGCTAGCTGTGGTTTATTCACTATTATTTGTTTCGCTCCGACCAGCGGTTCGATCCACGATTTAATAAGTGCTATACCTCGTGCTGATGTCCTTTCCACTTCATCGGTCGCATGAAGTCTCTCGGATCCTGGCCACCCCACCGTGCCTCCCATTCTCGTAATAATTCATCCGTCGCGCCTTCGCGCTCGAGTCTCGTCTTGTCCCACATCACATATGCCCATTTACGGAATTCATCGCTAATGTAATGCCCGTAGATATTACTATACGTATCGCCCCATATCAGTGTCCATGCTAGGGGTGGTTGTGATTCGATGTCTCCAACGAAAAGAAGCGGGTCAAGTCGTTCTTGCTTTAGATCTCTCTCGGATGGCTCTTCGTCTCTTCTACACCTCTGGCACGCCTGACTGAGGTTGGACTCATCGAAGAACTCGCCCGTTTTCATTTGCTCTTGCATTGTGGAAACGAGATGCTCGTGATCTTTGATCTGAAATATGATCTTGTGTAGCAGCCCCAAACCGCGAGAAGTGGTTCCTGATAGAAGCATCATCCTAACAACTGGTTTTGTTAGTCGTTGATCAAGTTATGGTACGTCGAGGGGGGCTGGGGCAAGGCTGAGTAAATGTGGTTGACATGTAAATGAGAAAGCAAGACTGAAACTTACAGCTGTCGTCGAGCTCAAACGCGCCTTCTGGTGTTGGTGGGCGTCCACAGTCATCGAACCTGGGGTTTTCCGGACTCAAGTCCCATTCTATAGCGTCAAGAACTCGATTATATATGTCCTCGGTGAAAGAATTGACGCATACTATCTCTTCGATCTCCCAGGGCTCGAATAGGCAAAGGAACATCCTGAGAATCTGAAAATGTTCCCATTCGGGCCTATAGGGGCTAGAATCCCAGGGTCGGCCGTAAGCACCATGTCCGAAGAGATTACAGCAGAGCTGAAAACGATAGAGCGAACGGAAAATACGAGTTTTTTCCACGGCGCTAAGAATTATGTCGTTAGGAGGACATCCCGTCTTAGCGGCCAAATTGGTTAAGGCCCAGTTGGTGAACTGTCGAAGAAGTGGGCAAACTATGGCGGAGTGGAATTTGGCCATCTGTAGTGCCTCGGCTTCGTCGAGTTGCTTGTAGAGGGGCTGAGATGGGCTCTGAAGACGATAGGATTCTAGGAACTGTGCGATTTGATCGCGCGTACAAGAGACTGTATATGAATTGGACTTCAAGACGGCCTGCGCATCAGGAGTGAGGATTCCTAATGTGATGTCTAATGATGCGCAGAGAACGTATCTTCGGTCTTCAAGGTACTGTTGGAGCATAGTGGGAGAGGCGCGAATCAAGCTAGCTAGGCTTTGCAGGTCTAGAAAAGATAGAATATGGCGTCGTAGTTCCGGAGGAAGCTTCTCTAATTCCGAATAATTATGGTATGCCTTCAAAATGGGAGATACGACTCGTAAGGTTGAATTTGCATCCCTCGCAACCACATCGGGAGCCGATGGATGCTTAGAGCATTTTGGGCGCTTAAGACGTTTTAGGCATTTTAGGACTCTGGATATGGTTCCCTTCATTTTGGATGGTCGCGTTTGATTGTGCTAGAAAAATAATCGATAGGAACGAAAATTGACGATGAAGATGGTGATGAAGGAAAAGGAGGATGTGAGGGTGAGGGTGAGGGTGAGAAAGAAGATGAAGGAAGGTAAGGAAGATGGGTATACCTGGACAGCAGTACCTTAGGTAGGTAGACAGCCCGGGCCAGCTACTGTATGTATATGAATTAAACTCCAGGCAAAACTCTTTTGTTTGTGGACATGGGTGCACTATATTTACAGTGAATTTAGCGCTATTCCTCACTGTATCATTAGTGCTTGTCAGGGAAGCTCAGTTATGTACCCAGGCACCTAAGTAGCTACTGAAACCACCTCATATTATATCAACCAATGAGCTTGCAGCTGTAGTGACTACATCCTCGCATATTGTAACACCTATTCGGCCTTGAGACGAAATGGTGCATATGAGCCTCATTAAGTGGGTAGATAGTCTGGAAAGATACCTGGGTAGATATCTAGGTGTAGTTGCGATGAAAATGCGGTACAACCAATGGTATTTCATCTTAATTCGTAGCTGCCTTTGCCTAGGTGATTGCCTTAGGTTATGTAGGCAAGAAGGAAGGTACATAAGGTAATGGCATTGGTCCTTCCTGTTCACTGTATTCATCCAGTATTTCACAGTCGAAGCTCCGGCCTCGTTTGCACCTACCTAAAGAATCCTCCCGGTGATACTCGAAGGATATGAAAGTGATATATTTAAGCCCAGTTTTCAACACCTTCTGGCTTTGAATTTATCATTACCATACTTTTCCACCTCGGCGATTCCCATCTACCCAAGCGGAGCAACCCTTTCCACCCTCATCTGTATTCACCTAGTCAGTTTCCAAGATGCCTCTCTCGAAAGTTCTTTGCGGCCTTCTCGATTGCAGTGGTTCAAGCACTCCACAGGTTTGATAACCTCCCAGTATATTAACATAGGATATGAAAATACTCATCTAGCGTTAGCAAGTATCCAAGGCCGGAAGTCCTAGAGCAAGCGGGCAGGGGAGTGGACAGCAAAGCCCTAACCCGTCGGTCGCGTCGACAATCAAATCTCTCCATTCAATAGAGTCTGGCCTTCGCCGATTGAGTGAAGGTCTACACTCGCAGGACAGCCTCGCGGCCGAGCTGAAGGAATGGCTAGATACCATCGATGCCGCCACCTATCGCAAGGAGGAATGGTCGGAGGAGGTGCGCCAGGCATATGATGCCTACAAAAAAGAGGGAGATAAGCTCAAGGCCACGCACCAAGCATACTGGCGGTACATGAAGGAACATCCTCGTAACGGGACTCCGGAGGAGCATTTACAACGTACTAAGCTAGCTTGTAGCTGGGCTTATTATGCGGTAAGGTAAGTAATTAACTCTAGCCCTCTTCATTCGTAAAGCTAAACCAGCTACAGCGCAGTCGAAGGCCGGACCGAATTTCTGGTAAAGTATCGAAACGCATACAACGGCAAACTGGCGATTGACAACCACATCAACGAGGCAAAAAATCAGATCAATAGTGGAAGGAACGCCATCAGGGAAGCACGGCATAATTATAAGGGTAGGTTCAGACCGAATTCTCAAGTTTGTTGACTAGTCAGGCTAATTCCTATAGCTATTTGGACGGCCTTTACGCGTAGAGCCAATCCCGAGGTGTTTCAATGAGGGAATGGGCTATTCCCATTTGGTATGCTTGCCTTTTATAGGTCTCATCACGTACAACAGGAGCAAGTATCACAAGGAGTTAGTTTGCTATTCATCACTCCCATGGCGCTGTGGGCAAATGGTTATATCCTCACATCTATTGAGGTCTAGTTTTTATCGGCCCCACAAGCCGATTTAATTGAGAATCGAGCACTATTGTCTTCAGCAACATTGTAAATTACGTAATGCTTAAGAAATTGTTGAACTGGTGTTATTCGTATACCTGATAAGTGGATGATGCTCTCCTAGAAATTACTCTTTTAGTGTGCGTAGTACCGTTCGGGTATGAGAAGGGATAGCATTCAGAGGTTATTCTCATGAATAAATAGATATCAGACATGGCTGCTCATCATAAGACTTAGGTACCTTTCGCAAGTTATCCCTTTTTTCGGGGTTTTTATCACATTGATATTTTAGCACCTTTCTACGTTTCGATTCAATTGTTGACGTAGGATTGTAATACAATGGCTCCGAAGCCAAGAATAACACCTCGTCTTACTACAGACGCCGACGAAGATGCCGAAAGGACTGGATTATCATTATATGCCAGTCAAGGGCAAAGGCTTGCGAATCCGGTAAGAAAAAAAAAGCTGCGTGACGCCAGGTGAATAGTGGGTTGATTTTGAATTATAACAGTCTCCATTAGCTATGGGTGGCTTTGCGACGACTCTCCTTACCGTTTCTCTTGCTATGATGGGGTTTCGGGGTGTTTCGACACAGACTGTTTTCGTTGGAAACCTCTGCTTCGTCGCCTGTGTAGCTTTATTAATTTCAGCTCAGTGGGAGATGGTCAGGGGCAATACCTTCTCGTATACAGTGTTGAGCGCATTTGGTAAGTTTAGTTCTTTTTTTTTTTTTTTTTTGGCGCGTCTGGGACATCCCCTAAACTTCTATCTTTCGTCGCTACTTTCTTCGATATTATATCATCTGCTTACTTGAGGAAGGTCTCTTTTATGGTGGTTATGGCGCTATTATGATACCAGCCCTAGGAATAGTCGACGCATACGGGGGATATACACCTGAGTATTATAACGCCATGGGATTTTTCGTATTAAGTAAGAATAACCATATCTGGTTTATCATGGTTCCCATCGCTAATAGTTCCGATCATAGTTTGGGCCGTCCTAGATGTCTTCTTTTTAATTGCTAGCGTTTCCTTGTAGGTCAAGACCATAATCCACCATAATCCAGGAACTCAAACCAGTACCTAGCTACTAACATAATAATTAGCAACATAGTATACATTGGAATATTTCTTACCGTTGAGCTCTGCTTTGCTTTAGATGCAAGCTCCTATTTCGCCCTTGCGGATGGAAATCTGGCTGCAAGTGCTGCACTCATGAAAGCGGCTGGTGTGTTCGGATTCCTGGCTGGGTTGTTAGGATTCTATACCGTCGCACATTACATGTTTGAGGATGCGTTTGCTTTTCACATACCAATGGGCGATACTTCTTCGATCTTCAAAAAGTACAAAAACGCTAAGAGCATGGAATAGAGAGCTCTAGATGGCCTAAGCATAAAGCTCAGAATCTTTAGGAATTTCTATGTTTATTCTCGAGCGCGTAAATCTAAAGGGGAGGAGACGCGATATGAAAGAGGAGTACTACATTTGATACAACTACCCTATGTTAGGTACTACTCAAAAACAAGCACCGAATACCATAAGTCACTCCATTGCCCCTTTGATTTAATACGATGGTAATGATATTCTGTATGTGTATAGATACTTCAGGTACCTAGGTAGGCAACCGTCTACTCGTTATATCATTTGCTTGGCGTAGCTGCTTTGGCGATAAGCCGGATCCCCTTTTCCTTAAATTTTGTTTGCAAATCACAATAACTGTGAGAAGGCATATACTAGTTCATTGTATTTCTATGATGTAATCTAGTCTATGAATTACAAATGAACTATAGCTTGTATTCGGTATTGACATTCCCAATGATAATAGATTTGTGCACCAGGTAATCGTCAAGTCCATACTTGCTACCTTCGCGACCCATGCCGGAATGTTTAACTCCCCCAAAACTATTTATCAGTTAGTATCCGAGATTCATCACTTCAATAATGGAGGTCACTTACGGCGCCGCTGGATCCGAAATAACGCCAGTGTTGATAGCAACCATACCGAACTCTAGCCTTTCTGATACGCGATGCGACCTAGCTAGGTCGTTGGTGATGAGATAGGAAGCTAATCCTACCTCGACGCTATTGGCCCTCTGGATTACTTCGTCTTCAGTCTTGAATTTGGTTAACGCCGCGAGGGGTCCGAATGTTTCTTCGCTCATCACCTTCATCGAATCGTCAACATCGCCTAGGATAGTAAGCTCATAGAAATTTGTGCCGAGATCGGGAATTCGTTTGCCACCGAGTAGGATTTTCGCTTTCTTGCTGATGGCATCTTCAACATGTTCTTCTACCTTGCTAACGCCCGTAGTAAGAGGTCCGTGAGTAATGGAATCGCCCGACCCGTCGCCAACGCGGAACTTCCTGACCTCCTCCACAAGTCTTCTGCTAAACTTGTCGTATATGCCTTCTTGTACGAATATTCTGTTGGCGCAGACACAAGTCTGGCCAGTTACCTTAAACTTACTCACAAGGGCGCTGGCTACCGCTACTTCGACGTCCGCGTCGTCGAAAACGATGAATGGAGCGTTACCTCCAAGTTCCAAGCTCAGTTTTTTAAGCGTGCTGCTTGATTGTTGCATTAATATTTTGCCGACTCTCGTGGAACCGGTGAACGATATCTTCTTGACTGCATCCGATTGACAAAGGGCAAGACCGAGTGATGGCGTGTTCTCGAGTGCTGTTATGACGTTGAAGACACCTTTGGGGATACCTGCACGCTCCCCTAGCACAGCTAATACATTTGAAGAGAATGGCGTCAAACCATCCGACTTCAAGACAACTGTGCATCCGGCAGCGAGTGCCGCGGCAATTTTTCGTGCGCCCATGGCCATGGGGAAGTTCCAGGGGGTTATGAGGCCGCACACGCCAACTGGCTGTCTGAGAATCTGAATCCTGCCGTTCGGAGTGCTATGTGGCACTACATCCCCGTAGATTCGGGGGGCTTCCTCAGCGAACCATTCAAAGAAGCTAGCCGAAAATAACGCTTCACCTTCGGCATCTCCTCTAGCCTTTCCATTCTCGGCTGTAATAATCCTTCCAATATCTTCCTTATTTTCAACGATAAGGTCAAATAGGCGCCGTAGTATGCGTCCTCGTTGCCTTCCGGAGAGTGCCCTCCACTTAGGAAATGCTTGTGAAGAAGCTTGTATCGCGTCGTTTAGGTCTTCTACCGTTGACTCCGGACAGGTTCCAATTACTTGTCCCGAAGCGGGGTTTCGGACTTGGAATGTTTTTTGAGATTTTGAAGACAACCACTGGCCGTTGATATATGTCTTCTCGACTAGAAGGCTAGGGTCTTTCAAAGAAGAGGCTAACGAAGGGGCCATTATGAAGTCCAGGTGAGATTGGCAAAATAAAAGGGGAGAAACAACAATACCTAATTACCTAGGCAGACATAAAATAATAATAATTATTATTTTTTGGTAAATACGCCCATAACGTCTCCATGCTGTATGCCATTGATATAAATACTATAAATACTATCAATGACGCTACTTGACTATTTGGTTGCTATTGTGTAAGAGGTTGTTGATTTTCCTTGGAGAGGGGGTAGCGGGTGGATTAGTTTCGGATCAGAAGCCGATGAAGATTTGGACGAATCGGCGGTTATCCGATCGCTGTAATACGCTGTAAATTTAGTGGCTACAGTAATATCCATAGATACCTCTCAGGTACCCAGGTAACTAACCCCGCACCCCGCACCTTTTCTAGCCCCCTGTTTAGGTAGTAAAATATAGGCTTTATTCGCCGTAAGCTTATTCAAGGCTAAGCTAATTGGCCATCTCCCCGGTATAAACATCTCGTTATGAGGTGCCCGAGACAATCTCGATGTGCCTCTTTTATCACGATAGAATTGCTCTCCCCGCATCAAAGGTTAAGAATCAGCAATTATCGCACAAGCGTCACCTACGATTAGCACCCAACTAACACATATCGGTTTCTCTTACAGAGTTATTATACAATACTGACATGGGTCGTGCTAAGCGTCCTTACGTTCCAAAGGCCAAGGGTAAGAGTTGACAGGCTGATAAACACGTTAATTACCCAATACACTCAGTACGATGTTATCATATCTATTCGATCTATTGGGCTAACTTAGGGTGTAGGTTGTTACGAGTGCTCTCAGCGACGGATCCACTGCGATAGGGGAGAACCCAATTGCGACAAGTGCGTATCGAGGGGTTTGGAATGTAGTGGTATTACTGGGAAAAGGCACCGATTCCGCAATGGATATACACCCAAACGAAAGAATCATCAATCTTCGGAGAGTGGATATTCTTCCAGTGCTTCCCCAAATAATCAAGACGGCCGGGGTCGGATGTCGCAGGTTCGGGAGGATAGAAACTATTCAACAGAAGAACAAGATCTGGTCCCCACTCTCGAGCAAAAAGGCAACCATCTCCGAAATCCTTTAAATGAAGCCGAAGACGGCTTGCTTGTCGGCTCCAGATCCGATGCGGCTTGCCTCTCGCTGGGTCTGCTAGACATCCTTGCTTTGGACCACATCGTACCTTGGCAACGCTACTTACTCAAGCATTGTTCGTATCTCGTCTTATCTTCGTTATGACTTAATCGAGCCAAGCTGACCGTTACAATGCTAGTTTCGGAACATATCGCCCCGGAGATGGTGATAATTGATGACCATACGAATGGCTGGCGGTATCTCGTTCTTCCCTTGGCTTGCACCGATGAATTAGTCCTGTCCTCGGTGTTGACAGTCGCCGCATTTCATCATTCCCGAAGAACTCCGGGGCCATGCATTGCTGATCCTGCAGTGCTATATTCAAAAACTATCTATCACCTGCAGAGGAGAAGCGATTTGCAAAGTTATGATCTCGATACGAGATATCACATCGTCATAACTATGCTCGTACTCCTTTTAGCTACTATGGTGAATGGCGACTCCGACTTCGTGATCCTTTTTCGGATGTTGCAATCTGCCCTTGATATTGCGGGGGGAGAGGAGGCCCTGGCGGCCGCTCGTAGGAAAACGGCCGAGTTCTGTTCCAAGCAAGTTCGCAAGTACGTACGAGATTATGCTTAATACATCTAATCTGAAATGTACTTCTACTGACGCTGATTCGATTTAGGATGCGTGTTTATGCATCGCCGTTTATTAGTCAAGACATAGGAATACGCGCTATAACTGCACAAGCCCACCAATGCTGGGATGACCAAGAGGATTTGGCGCTGCTATGTTTCGACCGCTCACATACATTACCATTAATATCATATCTAAGGGAAATAGCCTTCCAGATTTACCTCCAGCAAGCATGCGGAGAGCCCAACGACCCCGAAGCTCCCCATGACCTATTATCGAATTTTAGACTAACGCTTGAGTTACTCCCGGAATCTGCCGAAGGCGAACGTGTACTGATTTGGCCGGTTTTTATTGCCGCATCGGCAAGTTCTACACTAGAAGAAAGGGATTACTTCGTGAAGTTTCTGAAGAAACAATTTTCTCGCAGCAGGTTCGTAAATATTATTAGGGCTCTGGAGTCCCTGGAAGAAATATGGGTCCGAGGCATGCAGGAAAATTGGACGAAGTTATTATCAGAGCAAAAGGTGTTCGTGATGTAATATACCTAAATATATATGTGAGCATTTAACATTATCTTTGCAATTATTCGAAACCTCTTTATTCTCATTTTATAGCCTAGATCTAGGTAATTGATTGTCTAGAGCCTCCACCACCTCTTTAGCACCTTTCTCACCGGAAGCAAGAGCCCCTTCCATGTAGCCCTTCCAATCATCCGAATATTCGGTTCCGACGAAATGGATATTACCTACAGGCTTTCCATAGACATGAGAGAACTTGGTGTAGTGGCCGATCGCGGTGACGGGCGCTAGAGCACCTCTGCTGAAATCTTCGTGCTGCCAAATCTGTTCGAAGAACTCGACAGGACAATATGCCTCTGAATCAGGCCCCACGTTGAAGGCAGCAGCTAACTCGTCGAGAATAACTTTCCGGCGCTCATGAGGATACATCTTACCCCACTTCTCGCCTTCACGGCCGTTGACAAAGCATGTGAAACCGTAGACACCGGCATCATCGACACTTGTATCACGGACAACACAAGCAGGGCCTTTATAGCTCATAATGAAACCATTAAATCCTAGGTCTCTCCACCAGGGTCGCTGGTAAAATACGATGGCCTTATTATAGTGTCCTAGCCTTGTTGCATTTGTGACCTCTTGGACGGCTGCTGGCAGGGGAGGCGAGAAATTGAGTTCCTTGTACATGGTACTAGGTATGGAAACGATAACCTTCTTTGCCTTAAAGGACTTGCCATCGGTAGTAGTCACAGTGACGTGGGTTTTGTTATCTTCGATAGATACGACTGGCGAGGATAAGTGAATTTTACCATGCCCGATAAGTCCGGCAATGCCCTTGGCTATGGATTGCGTGCCTAAAATAAGTTAACAAAATGGGTACAATTGAACCGCTTGGTACTTTCATATATACATACCAACGGAGATGCGCATATAATTGCCGCCAGTGTGGTCGTCAGCACGAATAGCCAGTAGACCCCGATTAGAACGACAGTAGTCGATGAACCAAGCAGCCGACTCTTCGGTCGACTCAAGCCCATGCATCACGCGAACCCAAAGGTTCACCATGGCCAATGTCTGGGGGCCTGCTCCAAGATTGCGTATATATTGGTCTAGAGATATGTTGTCATCCTCGACACGGAGGCCGTTAGGCTTTAGGGACTCTGCCTGGATATGATCTCGAATTCGCTCTAGATTCTTTTTGTCCTCCGGAGAGAACTGCGCCCATAATGTCAACTAAGAGCCAGCTCCGACAAGATTAGTGCATTTCACATACCTCTGGTGTAATTCCTTGTGGTGACTCGATTCTTTTGCCGTCGGCCGTTATCAAAACAGCAGTATGCCCCAACCTTTGTTTAACAATCTTATCTTGAAGACTGAAACGTGTTATATATGACCATATTCGCGGTTGGAGCGTATCACTAACCCATGCAGCCCCTAAATCCGCGACGCCACGTCCATTTGACAATGGAACTGACCAACTTTTCCCTCCGATGCGATTGCGGGCCTCTACAATTGCGACAGATAAGCCTGCCTGTTGTGCAGAGTAAGCAGCTTGGAGACCGCTGAAACCGGCGCCGACCACAACGACGTCAAACATATTTTGGAGAGATTAACAATAAATTGGTTACAATATTGGATATACTCAGATTTCGACTACTGGATAACAGACCAAAGACGATTCTCAATGGGCCTTGGGGGTTTTTTTGAGAACGTGCCAAGCGGAGTTTTGGCGCTAATTAGGGGTTTCCTGATTTGGAAATTTTTATGAGAGCCACGATCGTCAGTCACTCCGGCCCCGTAGTTATCAGCTTAAGCTCAATTTCTTAGCAAGCCTATGAACTACTTGGGCTACTGTGGCTACCCCTCAGCTGTATGGGGTGCATGCATACCCCCCTCACTCTCGTTGAGAATCAATACCGCGTCGGATACTTCTCCGGGATGTGTTTTTCGGCCGTTCGGAATCAGCCGCCTGGGCAGGTACAATCCCACGGGTTCTACGGAGAGGAAGCCGACCGACGATAATGAACTTCAAGAAAAAAAATATTTATTTCCCTGCTCAAATATCTCCTATGAAGCCTTTTTAACATCGTCATCCATCATATTCTACGTTTTCGGTAGCTAGTCTCGCCAATAAAAAGGGAAGTGAATAGGGAATCTTCGAAAGTCAGGAGGAAAATGAGTAGTGCCGACTTGAACGAAATAGCGGGTGCGCTGCGTACTGCACGTCTCAACCGAGCCCCAATTTCACCCCCGTCCAAAAGTTACCCTTCTCTTGACGTAAAAGGCGCTTTTGAAATACAAAAAATAACGGTTCAGAATGCTATCAGCAAAGACAACGACCGCCTAGTCGGCTATAAACTAGGAAATATCGCGAAAGTCATGCAGGATGCATTTGGTCTTGATCAACCCGACTACGGATTTCTACTCGCCAGCCTCTTCGTTTATCAGGGCACAAAGATCTCTTTGGACAACTTGATAAAACCCTATGTCGAATTGGAACCGGCCTTCGTCCTCAAGAGTCGTCTTCGTGGGCCTAATATTACGGTCGCCGATGTCATCAACGCAGTCGACTATGCCATTCCAGCGGTAGAAATTATAGATTCACGAGTTAAAGATTGGGCAATCAAGTTAGAAGATACTCTAGCAGATAATGGTTCCACTGGCGCTGTGATCCTCGGTGGAACTCCGCGACGGCTCTCCGATTTAGACTTGAGCAACACTAAGGGCACACTGCATTTTAACGGACGAGAGATTATGACGGGAAATACGGGTAATATACTGGGAAACCCGCTGTCAGCTACCGCATGGTTAGTCAATAGGCTGGCTGAATTTGATGTTGAATTCCTCCCCGGACAAGTTATTCTACCCGGAAGTTGCCTACGGGCTATGCCGATGGAAGAAGCAGGACGCTGGTCATGCACGTTTGAGGGTTGGGGAACGGTGGAGTTTGACGTTGTTTCACATGCTTCCTCGAAGTTATAAAGGGCGACGGGACTTGAGGGGGGTTGACGCGGTGACCATTTAGACGGGTCACGCGGGGAGCGCAAAATCTGAAGTGAGAGAACTCCCTAATTTTAGATCCTATCCGTTGTGGAATCTACGTCTGGTAGGGCTGCCGATCTAAAGCGGCGAGTTCTAGATAACGTTATCTCATCTCGGAGGTAAATAGGAGATATGGTGCATCATCTACTATCATCGGAGTAAATCTTATGATGGAAATTGGGATGTGATAATGTGTGATATATCCACAATATATAGCTTACATCATAGATAGCTACCTTCGCTTGCCTGCGCATGTTACAGCTCTCTACTTAGGCATTTATTATGTACCAAGAGTTTGGACTAGAGGACCGTTCTGTTCTGGTAGCCAATCATATCCTTGTCTCATTCCGTATTAGGAAATAGCTTAAAATGCTCTGCTCTATGTACCGCAGTTAAGCTGGGGAATAAACACTCGTAATGTTTCATCGGTGTCTTTCGTTTACCTTATTTTACAATATACCCTGATAAATCTCTAGTGACTTGTTAGTTTCTAAAATAATAAGTTCTTCATTTTTATAGATATTTACTATGAACCATAGGTCTATCTCCAGGATGGTCTCTTCGCTAAAGACAAGAGCTACCCCACAATTTTCCAGATTAACACGGATAATGCCAAGACTCCATTTTCTGGGGGTTATCTCCAACAATTTTACCCCGCAGATGCGTCCCGATCAATCCCTTCATGTCGACAATACGTCCCTATCTTTCCGATTTGTTTCGTATCTACCTGCTACCTACCTCCTATATCGCTAATACAACCTATAAACTTATCCACATGTCGAACACTCGAGTTGACTGAGTCGTAATGGAGGATCCGATAGAAACTAATGAGCAGGGCGAGCGGCGAAAAGCCAGACGGACTGCAAACGCGTAAGGTCACCCCCATCGTCTGTTTAGTTGTTGATGAGCTTTCTAATACCACGCCTCGACCAGCTGCCAACCCTGCCGTCAAAGCAAGATAAAATGCTCCGGCGACGACCCTTGTCAGAACTGTAAAAGACGGTCTATTCGATGTCATTTTGCTGAAGGAGGCAATAAAATCATTGTGTCTGAAAAGTCGGTCGCTTCATCCGGTCCCCGTGTTTCTGTGACGTCTTTCCAGGTTCTAACAGCATCTGTGTGACGTAAAAGGTATCTACAACAGTTACAAAAACAAGCAGGGGAAAATTTGCGCTCCCCATCCGCAAGCAACCCCGAATCACCAACACGAGCTGAATGCCAATATCGCTCACCCGTCACAAGACCCTCGCCATCAACCCAATCCCGCGGGCCGTCGCCTGTACCGCGTATGGCCACCTCGCAAGGCGTGCCATCAATGAGACGAAGATGCTCCACCAATTCTACGTTTACGTATAACAGGAACGCTAGTGATAGTGGTGTTGATACCAGCCTTGTTTCCCCAGCGCCTACTATTGACGTCTCCCAACGACCTGAAATATCCTCTGGTCCCGCTACCGTACCCGAATACCATCATGTTAATTCGTCACTTCGGGTTTGGTCTAACCCATTTATAACACCATCCAAGATCATCAAGAATACTTGCAGAAATAGACGAACTTGGAGTGAGTATTTATCTCAACTTACCCTGTTCTGATGCTAAAATAGAGCTACAGTATGGCTTGCTCCATGGTCGACATGGTCGTTCACGATTAGGTTGATGCTTATGCTTCGCGAGAAGCTACACCCCGAAGATCCTTCGATCCCGTCCTGTCTAATCGACCCTGACTTATGGACCTTAACATGGAGGACTTCATCATCGGATCTTCCCGATTTCAGCGGTTTGCCCTCAGTAGAACATGCTATCTTTCTTCTTAATACTGTCAAATTCCACATCGGGCAGACATATCGATTCTTCAATGAATCAGAGATGGAGAGTCAGATACGAAATTTTTATTCCAACGCTCTCCACAAGGCCGGCGAATGTCGCCTATGGTTCGTCAAGTTTCTTCTAATTCTTGCCTTTGGGACAGCATTTCAGGCACCTCCTACTACTAGCCAAGAGCCACCCGGCGCCAAGTTTTTCACGCGCGCGATGGGCCTCTTACCCGACCCCTCTTCCCTCTGGAAAGATAGCATATTAGCAATCGAGGTCCTAGCCCTTGTGGGACTTTATCTATTCTCAATTGATGAAAGGGAGTCAGCATATCTTTATGTATGTATCACCGATACCCCCTGCTACCCTCCACTAACTCTATGCATCGGATAGCTTGGACAAGCAGTACACATCGCCTTATTCGAAGGGCTTCACACCCAGTTACCAGAACACGACCTGGGCGTAGAAACCGTCGGTACGTGCCGCGACTTATGGTGGACACTGTACCTCATGGATAGACATTTTTCATCCTCTGTTGGACTTCCCATGTCGGTACAAGACAGCGATATTACTACCCCTGTCAATCCACCCAACTCAGGTTCACGAGGAGAAAGTTTCCGCACCCTCCAAGTAAACCTCTCACACTTATTATCAGTTATATTAACTAGTATGTGTAACCTAAACCATTAAATATTTCTATCTGGAACATCGGTTAACACCCCTTTTTAGCGGTATATAAACCAAAAATAACCCCTCTAGCGACATTTCTGGAACAGACAAGATCCATTCTGCATACATTAGCGCATCAGGCCCAGGAAATAGAAAGGATTGTTTGCCTTATGCAAAACTCAGTGGGAACCATGCCTCGAGATACGCGTCACCTGACGCTAATGTATCATCAGGTTTGTATAATGCCCTCCAATTCTTCATTATAGCAAGGCAGACTCATAGATTCTAATTCCTTTCCGATCCAGTGTGTCATTGTTGCCACGCGCCCACTTCTTCTATCGGTTCTCAAAGAAAGATTGGATACGTTGGGATACCCAGGTGATGAGAACTGCGAAACTTTTCTAGCCCAGACAGGAACTGTCATCTCTATAGGCATTAAATCAGCTGCCAAATCGCTCCGCATTTTAACAAGCGAATATAGTCTTTTAGGCGAGTTCCACATCACACTTGACATTATGTTCATTGCTTTTAACAGTTTTATAGAAGCATTTCTACCGTATGATGTTGAATTCACTTTCGGGGCCGCTCTCCACCTAACCATGGCTAACGCTATTTTCCCTGGTATTTTCGATTACCAAAGCTGTCGCCAGCTAGCACATCAAACCTTGGATGGCTTAATATCGAGAGGAAACCGAGTGGCTCGAGCGAGGCAACTAGAGTTATGCCATCTGGAGATCTTGTATCAAGAGTTGGCGGCCAAAACTCAACAACAGGGTCATCAGATGCTGCACCTCTTTTGCCCGGAGGGAACGATAGTTGACCCTATGAGAAGAGAAAATCAGGATCATAGCAGGGTTCTCATGACAGAGAACGATCCAACCACACTAACAGCTGCTGCGGATCCGGGGCATCCGTTACACCCCTTAAATCCGCATGTAACAAGTAACATGGAGTTTCTTGACAATATTGGTATCTCATCCGAAGAATTCCTTTCCATCGTGCAAGAGATAGGGGATCCAGGGACTCTCCCAGAGAATATGTTGACATTAGTTTAGTGGGTGGCGCGAACATAGTGGGGATTGATTGCCCCTCGCTTAACGAGGGGGGGTCGGGTTAGGGGGCAGACGATAGCGTATTACCGCTAAAATGTTAGCGCATGAAGCACCAAATCCAGATGAGCTTCAGTGAACAGCTCCTAATAATTTCAGAAATACGGCGCACAATTACAGGTTTAATACTCTTTGTAAGATTCCAGGTTTGAATCATACTTATTTTTGTACAATTCGTGGTTGAAAGTCGCTTGCTACCTATGTGTGAGTGACCTAAGTATTTCAAAACACACCTGAACCAGAGGGTTTCTCATCCCCTCTGGCGATGCTTAATTCATCTTGAATAGCATGTTGAAGCGCTGTATAGTCCGTAACGGAGACAATCATGTCATAGCCATACCCCGCAAATTCCCTCGCTTGTTGCGCGTCCTTACAGTATATACCACATTTCTTCCCTGCCTTGCGAGTTGCGGCTAAGATTCTTGCTAACGCTGTTTTCAACTCAGGGCCGATAACACCTTTCTGTACGGGATGTCCGATGTTATTACCTATAAGAATTAGAATTATCTTTCGGGTTTGAGAACAATTTAGGTATATACCTAAGTCAAAGGGACCGATGAATAACGCATCAACACCGTCGACGGACGCGATCTCCTCGACGCTGTCATAAGCCTCCTTCGTCTCTATCTGTATTATTGTCACAAGCGCATCGTTGGCCTGATGGAGGTATTCTGTTAGGGTAGGATTCGACTGGAATCTTTCTAGGGCTAGGAGAGAGCCGAAACCTCGTTGTCCTTTCGGGGGAAATTTGGCGTCTAGGACAAGCTGTCTGGCTTCCTCTACTGTTCGCACCAGTGGGACCAGGATCTATTCGTTAAGTTAGAACAGTCAAGCTCGTACGAATGATCCTATTCGATGACTGACCCCATGAGCTCCGCTATCTAATGCGCCTATAGGTACATTTCCGTCAATATTTCACCTAGGAATGCCAACTCAATGATCACTTACGCTTTACCATCCACCCTTGCATATCGGGTAATCTTACCAGGGGCGAGACTCCAACGGCGGCGATGGCGGGAACTGCATCATGCATTGCTCCATCTGTAGAAATGTCAACGACCCTCTCCAGATCATCCCCACCCGGTCAATCTCTTGTAGGGCTTACCATCTATATTTCCGTGCTCGCAATCAACCAATACCCAGTCTACTCCTGATCGGGCTAATAATCTTGAAATGTTCGCGCCGGGGAGCATCTGCCATGCACCAAAGGACTGTTTCCCCTCTAGGAATGAAGACTTTAATCGATTAGACGCTTGCATTATGAACAGATTTATGTATTACTAATAATAGATAAAATATTGCCCTAGGATTTGATCAATGGGAAGTGTGATTGATTTTATACAGACTTCATGTCCTCAAATAAAACTTAAGCTCGGATAAAGTTAATAAAACATATCGTGGAAAGTCAAGTCATAAGTGCTTCGGAGTAATTCCGTCGGAGTTGGATTGTTGATCGGTTCGACTGAATCTCGTCGGCGGCTCCCGATCGGATGTATGCCGAAAATAACGGGTCTGCGAGAATCGTCTCTTTGAAACTCTACCTAGGTACGTATGTTCTAACGTCTAGCAAACGTATTCATTACTCACGCTTTGCCTTTGATGTCCTCTGTAGACTAGATTTTTGTGATTAAGGTATTACGAAATGTATCATTTAATTGAATCGTAGTGTTGCTACCTGATCGGACCACATATGTCAAGCCGACGTTTCCAACGTTTCCAAAATATCCTATAACCCAAACAAAACCGACGAGACATACAATGCCTTCAACAAAATACGGAAAACGCCAGTTAGGTTGTTTCCACCCAATTATCTCTTTACGAATATCTAGGCGTGTAATATGTTAGTCTACGCGACGAGTCAACTCTTTGGTGGGGTATTTGAGGTACCCGCTGCTTTAGTGGTCACCCCTCCGTCTTGATGCTTGCTCATAGCCAGTGTGACTAAACGCCGTCATCGGATGAGGTTGAGAAGTTGAGGGCGAGATATGTAAAATGTTCCGAGATATGGATGAGTTTGGTTGCATTTGCTGTGATTCAAGTGAATGTCGACGCTTTTCGCGTAGAGAATAAAAAACACTTCTGGAAAGATGAGCGGAAATCGTGGAAGTGGGTGACATGTTGACTGATGATAGTAAGGTCCGCTTTTCGAACAAGACTCAAGATATCTTTCGGAACGACGCGATAAGAATATTTCGCGTTTACACTTCCTATTTCTACCTCATAATGTGCCCAACGCGACGGGCATCACCACGTCGGGTGTCGTTCATCGCTGAATACGGCAGCTAAGTGATGATTTCGTTATCTCACTTACCATAGAAAGTTTGACGTACCCGGCATAGCATCCGAACCTGTTTCATGTTTCTTGCCTTCGGCTCGGATAGGAGACCCGACCCTAGTCGCCCTACCTACGACTACGACGCTGTTGGAGCTGGCGCTCGGTGACCAAATCCTCTCATGTCTCTCTTTATTATTGCCCTTTTTGGCAATGGGGTTTTACAACCCGCAAACATAGTAAATGTAATTATGGGCCAAGACCTTGTCTGGTTCCATACGCGTGTATTTCAGCCCCTATTTCATACTAAAAGATACTTATCTCAGACCCCTCGATTTACTCCCCTCTTTCCATTTTATTAGAAATATGGAACGACGTATTTTTATATCAAAATTATATGAATAAATACATTATTTGATGGGATGTTAGTGGAGTATTTGACCCGTATTTACATTTACCATGCTTGCGGGTTGTATGCGCGCGCGTCCAGGCGTCCCATTAGATAACCCAGGATTAACAATCAGTGGAAATAACTGAGCAACTTTTCAAATGGGTTCTGATTCGTCTGTATTGAAACTATTGAATCTATACTATTTGAGGTATAGGCGAGACAGTCCGTTGTCTAGAGCCACTTATTGACCATTGCAAGTTTATGGTGCATAACCTACCTCTGCTAATTTCGACCCGGCTGCCTGGTAGGCATCGATGTCTATGTACCAGTTACCTGGGCACCTAATAATCCAGCCGTAGTCATATTTGTCAAGTCGCTTCTTAGGCTATTGGTTAGTTAATTAATGAAAAATTGGACACTGCGACCATTATAATTATAACGCCACTCAGCACTAAAATAGGTGTCTAGATATCTACCTAGGTAGGCTTGGTGCATGAGTAAATTCTTAACCGACATTGTCGTCAATAATTTGATCTAAAGTCCCCCAAACACACAACGCATCAACGATCCCCTCTAGTACTTCTGAAAGTGAGCAATTGCCTATGGGTCCACCCAGTTAGTTTAGAGCTCCGTGCACCGCCATATGTACTAGACAGCCTAGGCCTCGCTCCTAGCACTCCTGCCCTTGCCCCGGAAATAACGATAGCAGTCTCTAAAAAATCCTACTGAAGGCTCATCAAGCGCTCTCTCGTATGCCGTAATATGAGGTGCTTCCCAAACCAGATCAACCTCTTCTGGCTTACGCCACTTTGTCTGTTTCACTAATTTCCATCCAACAAAGAGAATTATAGATAGAGCAGGCATTGTGTAGGCGGTGAGGAAAGCGCTGACATCGAACGGGCTTAAACTCTTGTAGCCATAGAATAGAATGATGAGAAGTTCCCAGATTAGGCCAATCCAACCACACCAAGGCTGGAATCGACCATAATAGGGCAATTTCGAGCGATCAAAACCCTGTGCTTTGCAAGCTTTGTGAAAACGGATGTACGTTATACAAATGACGATGTAGTCGATGATCGTTGCGCCGGTAGCAAGATTGATAAGCCAGGTGAGAACGGTAGCCGTATTGTTCGACACTTGGAGGAATGAAAGGAAGGGAAAGAGCATCACTACCGCAAAACAGTAAACTGGAACACCTTTCTTCGTGCATTTCTTGAGGAATCCAGGCGCTCGTCCTTCTAGTGCTAGACCATACAAACTCCTTGTCGCACAGTAGACGTAGGTGTTTCCTGCAGAAAATATGGTAGAAGCAATAAGCGCCGTGACGATATGAGGTAGAACTTTGATGTTCATGTTCTTCATTGCGATAATGTATGGCGATGCAGCAGCACTCCCAGAATGCCCGGTTCCGGCCTGATAAACTGCGTTCAGAGTAGCGTCGTTATAGGGTATAAGTATGCCCACTGCAAGAGCGCCGCCGATAAAAAAGACCAAGATTCTCCCGTAGACGACTTTAAAGGCGGTATTCAGATAGGTTCGAGGATGCTTCGCTTCGGCGGACATCATTCCCACGAATTCGGGACCGACACAGGTGAAGGAGGCAAACCACAGGGCTGCCAAAAACCCTTCAAATTTGCCAAGAGTTCCAACAGAAGAGAATTCGGCAAATGCTCCTGGGTTATTCCAATTGCGGAATCCATAAGTGTCGTGTTGTGGATTCCCTCCGACCATCGTGATAAAAGTGAAGCAAAAAAGAATAGTCAATAATAAGACCTTTCCACTTGATAGCCAGAATTCGAACTCGCCATAGACGGCAACCGCGTATACGTTAATTATGCTATTAACATCACACATTAGTATCTTGTATCGTCTGTATCATGTGAATTGGCAGTGGTTAGACTCAAAAGCTCACATATAAAGTGCAATGCAGCCTCCACAGATAGCGGCAACGGGGATGTCTTCCTTCCAAAATGAGAGAACCAACGTCAACGCCGTAATCTCGAAAGGGATGACCACAACCTGGAACAAGAAAAAGTTCCATCCGACGCAGAATCCCAGCGCATCGTCTACCCAATGGGAAGCCAGACGGATGAAACTACCACTAACAGGCATATAAACCGTCATCTCCGCCATGCAATTGTTGATCAAAGCCAAGAACATATTGTAGATAAGGAAAGCTAGGAAGAGATTTCCAGGCCCGGCCTTATTCAGAGTACCACCGATACTGAGAAAAAGAGCCGTTCCGATCGAACCTCCGATGGCAACCAGCTGAACCTTCCGATTCGAGAGCTCTCGTTGAAGACCATCAGCGTTACCGGTGATAGTAAACGCCTGATTCTCGTTTACTGATTCAATATGGGAGACCTTGGATTTCTCCATGGATTCTCGGGGGCTTCCAGACCCCGAAGGGGGTGATTTGTTGAACTTGGGCATATTCAAAGTTGTTGAGTACAATAAGGAAAATGATCAAGAACATACAATATCGATTGCGATGAACTCAGTTTGGAAATTTAGAAAAATTAAAACTAGACACTAGGTACCCAGGAAGGTATCTAAATACCCCCAGATTCTTACTGAATAGAGATAGAGGCTAAGAGAGACCTTGGAACCCTGCTAGGGCCGACTAAGCCTTTCAAACCCTTAGCGGGAAACAATCTACACCTAAGATAGAGCTAGATATTGTTCTTCTCTCATATCCCCCACGAAAGTTCGGCCAAAATAGGTACGAGTAATTCCTAGAACCGAGGTCAGTTGCGTAACTATGGTTTTATTATAATCGACTTAGCTAGATAGCTATCTAAATCAAGTTCAGATATCTCGGGAAACCAAATACTCCACGAAGACATGATGCTATACTATTAAATCCCGAGTTTGCAGGGATCGGGATTGATCCGAGACCCCACGGGGTAACCCCCTCCCCTAGTTCTCTTAGATAATGGTTTGATGTAGATTGACGACCCGACCGGGATCGCTTCCCTAGAGGAGTGATCAGCTGGATAATCAGAAATGTGATACGCGTCGGAATAGACTCGGAAGTCTTCGACGTCTAGACTTCCTGCGAGATATGGTATTTCCATCCTTTCAGGAGGCCGTTTATGGCTTCACAAGCCAAATAGGTATGAGTATAAAGATGTCATCTCCATACCATCTTCTACGATATTTCCTACGACTCCTCATTAAGGATAACCTCAAAGACAAGACACCAGAATCTTATCTTGTTGCATCATTGCCACAATAAACATGCCTGCCTTAACTATTGATTCACCCATCGCCTCGCCCATTGTGGCCCCCAAGGCGCCTCACGTCATTGGACCTAAGACCAAGAAGGCTACCCGACCGACCACTCAGATCCCTGAATTCTTGATCGAGGAAGCCCGCAAGACGCAGCCTGAGGCGTGGGATCCAAAGAAACATGTTGCATACCAACCCCCAGCCAATATCCACACCATGCGTGAGATAGGCATTGAGGGACATGGTATTTCTCCTAATGCTGTCTCCGACCCCTTTCCCCTGTTTAGCCAGGATGCTATGCAACAGATGAGGAGAGAGATCTTCAGTGAGCCTGTACTTCGGGACTGCCGATACAGCTCTGACTTCATTGCGAACATGGTTCGGGGCATGGGCCATGAGTGAGTCTAACTATGAACCCAGCATGCGATTTCATTGGCTGATGATTATCTCCTTAGACGGGCCCCATTTACTTACAACGCCTGGTACTCACCCGAAGTCCTTGGTAAGATATCCGAAGTTGCGGGTATCGAACTAATCCCAGCCTTCGACTACGAGGTCGCCAATATCAACATCTCGATTAACGACCAGAATGCCCAGATACTGACTGGCAGTGACAAGACCGCGTCGGTCGCCTGGCATTATGATAGCTTTCCTTTCGTCTGCGTTACCATGGTTTCGGATTGCTCGGATATGGTTGGTGGAGAAACAGCTATTCGACTCCCTGGCGGCGAGATCAGAAAAGTCCGGGGCCCTGCTATGGTATGCAAGAAGTGTGTTGATAGTATTGAACATCGCTAACATCATTTAGGGCACCGCTGTTGTCATGCAAGGACGGTACATCTACCACCAAGCCCTCAAAGCATTCGGAGGCCGCGAACGAATCGCGATGGTTACTGCTCTACGACCAAAATCGCCCTTCGTTCGTGACGAGACTATCCTCACAGGTGTTCGTGGCATTAGCAACCTCGCCGAGCTCTACCCACAATACACGGAATATCGATTGGAGATCCTAGAAGAGCGTTTCCGTGCTAAGTTGAAGGAGGAACGCCGTCGAGAAATCTCGCGTCATCCTTTCAATGTGACGGAAATCAGAGCTTTCTTGACGGAGCAGAAGGAATATTTGGAGTCCATGTTAGAACAGATGTACGAAGTTGAATAATCTAGTCGCGAAGTTCTTGGAAAGAATTAGTCTTGAGCTGAAACTCAAGTCCATTCCTTACCGGCAGCCTAGGTACTATAGTAATAGGAGTAATGCACTCACATTCGTTTGGAAGGCCTGAAAACTTGTGATTATTTCCTTGTTAGGATGATTATTATCGTCTGTCCTCGATTTCCGTGTTTTGGTCCTATGTATTTATCTGAATAATGTTTCGGTTTCGTGACAGGATACGATTGGGAGGTGTAAAGTTTTGGTACGGAGATGTATTTTAGCGGTTGATAGTTGAGTATTTTCGGACCAGTTCCGTAAATTTCGATTCATTTTTTTCGGAAGTTATCCGATGAGCCTAGATAGTTCGGATCTAACCGACGGTAATAATGTCCGCTTACACCATCGGGGGAGCCAGTGCAAGGCGGTACCCCGCATAGCGGACTATATAGGGGATCACGTCAGCGATATAACAATCAATTCCATCTTCTAGGAAGTGGTCGCGGCGAGTTTCTACGCGCACCTAATATCAAACACAAGACGGAAACAAATTGATAGATGCGAAGATGACTGATCATCAAGTAACTCACCGTCGGGCTTTCCGGCGAACAGACGACTACACTCCGGGAACTGCAAAGGTCAAACTAGTTCACGAAGCTCTCCCGTTGCCCCTCAACCCGACGTCCGTCTTAATAAAAGTTCACGCCATCTCCTTGAACTATAGAGACGCCAATATCGCGAATGGAGGAAACCCCTGGCCGGTAATACCGAATGGTATATTATGCAATGATGCCGCCGGCGAAGTTGTAGCTGTAGGTGAGAAGGTGAAGGGTTTACTGGTTGGTGATCGGGTGTCGCCCGTAACTGATACTGAGTATATCTCTGGGCGAGAGCTGGGGCGGTCTTGGCTAGCTGCAGATGAGGACGGTGTCCTGGCGGATTACATAGTATTTGATGAGGATAAGATATGCAAGCTCCCTGACCACCTAGATTGGGTCAGTGCTTCTACAGTTCCCTGCGCGGGAGTGACGGCGTGGGCGGCTTTGAAGGGTATGAGCATAGGTCAGACCGTCTTGATTCAAGGTGATTATATTACCCAGGTGCCCTAAATGTGCGAACGCCGCTAACGAAGGTACAAGGAACCGGCGGCGTGAGCTCATTTGCACTGAAGCTTGCCCGTGCCGCAGGCCTAAGAGTTATTTTAACATCTTCAAGCGACGAAAAGCTCCAGGGGATGAAGGAAAAGTTCTCGGATCCTCCGTTGTTAACGGTTAATTATGCAGCAGATCAGGCATGGCACGAACAAGTTCTGAAGCTCACTGGTGGGGTTGGCGTAGACATAGTGGTCGAGAACGGAGGAACATCATCGCTGATTAAAAGTATGAAATGTACACGCCGAGGAGGGATTATCAGCCAGGTTGGGTATCTCGGGAAACAGAGTCCTAACGACCTGGCCGAACTTGTCCCTCTCATCATTGACAGGAGAGTTGTGCTCAGGTTAGTATTTCACCTACTGAAAATAACGGAGGCTAACTCGAGTTTTAGGGGTATTAATTGCGGATCTAAGTATGACATGGAGGATTTCTGCGCAGCTCTAACAACTACCCAAACGCGCCTCGACGATATTATTGACTCAGTTTATCCATTTGAACAAGCTGAGACCGCTATTCAATATTTATGGGAAGGCAAGCAGGTCGGAAAGATTGTGCTACGTGTTTAATCTGACCTCTATGGGTTCCAGGGTTACCTATAACTTCAGTAGCCACTATAATTATAATCGATGCCAGCTCCTACAGGCGCTGTTAATCTATTCTATAGCGACATGATCGGGTACCTAACCCGCTGATTCAGAAAAATATCCACTATCCTCCAGGGTGGCGTGCACTATAGCTCATCATAATTATAGTGGCCCCTAGTACGTGCATAGTAACAGTTGCCGAATTGGTAAATACCTCGTAATCTGATTGGTGCCTTTTACAAGTGGAGGGCTGCGCTGTTGCTAACTTCTCTTATAGTGGATATGCGCCCTGTAATTATGGTGTGGATTCGCCTAAAACAGAGATTGGCGACACTTCAAATTGGCTTCGTGGCTCTGATTTCTACGTAAGCCTGTAAGAACTTTCGGGTTATCATACAGTCATCACACTTTTCGCAGCCTGAATTCCCGCGATCCTACCGAATACAGCACACTCGAGAAGCGACGAGCCACCAAGCCTATTTGCCCCATGGATACCTCCAGTGATCTCGCCCGCAGCCCATAAACCGGGGATAGGTGCCAACTCGTTGCCATCCTCCAGGCGTAGGACCCGTGCTTGCGTGTCGAACGCTACACCTCCCATCGTGAAATGAACCACAGGAGTCACTATACCAACACATACCTCTTCATCCCGGTTTGCTTCACCTGGTGGTAATCTCCAATGCCCAAAAGTCTTTCTCCCTAGCGCATCTTCTTCGTGCTTAGAGACTATTGCTGCGTACTTGTCCACGGCTGAAATGACCTCTGGAGCCAAGTCTCTAACTTTCTTTTTCTGCACAAGACCCTTCCAGACATAAAACCCGATATGCGATGCCGCGACTTCACAAGCGCCTGGGTCGAGAAGGAGTGTTATTTCCCATTGCCTTGTCGAACCAACAGTCGAGTGCGGTAAAGCCATGATCGCATCGCTCACAACATCTCTTGTATTTAGCTCATTAATGAATCTTTCGCCTTTACTGGAGAGTAAGATCCCGCCTTCACCCCGTAAAGCTTCTGCCGCTAGAAATTTGTAGGCAGAACCGGGGTCCTTTGGGTCCACGAAACCTGTCGGATGAATCTGTACGCTGTCCATATCGACGAAAGCGGCGCCGATTGCAGAAAGTAGGCCATGCGAAGCAGGGCGCGCCTCGTTCGTAGATGGCATACCCGCTAAGTCCGGTCGGTACTTCGATAATAAGCCATGGGCGTCACCAGCAAACCCACCAGCGGCGAAAACCACCGGTCCTTCGAGTTCGTGTGCTGGTCCATCGGAATTATCGAAATTGTGGTAACGTACGCCCCTAACTGCCCCAGAACCGTCGGTGAGTAGTTCGTCCACCTCTGATGAGTTCTCTAATGTGAACTCTGAGTTGGCTTTTAGCTCCTCTACCAATGCCGAAACAATCGCCGCGCCAGGTGGTAATTTTCCGCCTCCACGATGCGTTCGGGCAATTGAGTGGCCACCAAGTTGCGCAACAACACTTAAATCGACATTTAATTCATCAGCTAGCCAGTTTACCGCATTTTCGGACTGGCTTGTTAGTATTTCCACCAAGGCCTTCCGATCTACTAAAGGAGAACCAGTTTCGGTGAATCTACGCCCTGCCGAGCGAACAGTATCCGCAAAGAAGCTGTCGTCGCCAGCGATGCCTTGAGCTCTTTGGAATCGTGTCCCAGCACCATTGATACCGGATGAGGCCTTGATACTGTTTCCACCTGGTTTCGGCGCGCGGTCAAGCATGTGGACGGCAGCTCCAGCACGTAGCGCTTCGTGCGCCGCAGATAGGCCCGCCAATCCCGAACCAACGACAATGACGGGTTTTCTTGTCGCACTCTGCGACATTGTGGAGAAAAGGAAGTTGGATATTCGAAAGAAGAGCATACACAGGATTGCTGTTAAGAAACCGACGATAAAGTAAATGAGCAAAAGAAAACAGCGGGTTCGTCGCATTACGGCTGCATTGTAATGTGATATCTATTTACTGGGGAAATGTAGTGAAGATCCATCGATCATTTTTATGAAGCAGAGCCATAAGGTTGGTACTGGTGCAGATGACCGACGCCCGTCGTATGATGGCTGACGGCATCGTATGATGGTATGATAAGTGGGATGGAAAAGAGAAGCATCGCGTTCAGCTTGTAAGGAACAAATACATAGTCCTGTTGGAAAAAAGAAAAAGAAGAAGTCAAAGCTACAACATTTATAGTATATACCTACCTAATTAGATACCTATAAGATAGAGAATTACCTAGGCTTTCGCATGGTGCCGAATGTTGTCATCGACGCGATCTTTTCCATCGGAGTAATGCCCGATACGCTTGGTGGTCAACTTTACTTGCCTACCTGGCGAATTACTGGACTCTCTGGAAGTAACCCGATAAATTATTTTAGATAATTGGAATAGGACGGATCCGTATTAGGTGATTATAACAATTATTTAGGTATTCAAGAACCGTGATCAAAAATTGTGTAGAAGTTAAAACGGGATGTTTATTTACGATCGCGAGACGAATTTAATCAAGGTGGGGGGTATCATTGATAACTGCTGTATGTGTAACGGAAGATTTCCTCGGGGTTCGGCGTGAACTATACCGGCTTATGTAACCCCACCCCATGTCGGAGTTACAGTACCGTGTTCCTGCATTAGATGTGACTGTGTGACCCAATTAATTTTTCTACCACCTAAACATCTTTTTATCTTTCTACAACTTATTCGGATACGATGGCATCATAGAATACATGACCCGCCGTGTCGGATTAGCGCGCCCAAACGAGCAATGGCTGGGACTATGGACAAGGGAATCCTAGGTCTTGACAGGCAAGCTTAAGCACGTCTTCAACGAAGCATTAGAATCCACATCGCAAGCAACCCAAGCATTGCCCTATACGGAGTAGGAATGAGTCTTTGAGCCTAACCTCAATGTAACCTCAAAATACGAGATCGTTATGCCTTGGCAAGGAAGATCGACTTGTGTATAGTCTATAATCTATAGACTATACACCTAACAAGTGTTAGTATATAGTAGTTATGCCTCACTCTCACCATGTTGTATGAGTAAGGCACACTTCTCTCAGTGCTCAACTCGGCAAACGACAAGATGCGCGTTAGTTATTCTCTACTGGCGCTGCTATTCAGCACCTCCAGCAGCGCGCATACAGTCCAACCACTTTCGCGCCGCGATCTCAATGGCACCGCTAAAATCGGAGATAATGCTACGCCGCGACGATTCATTGTCGAACTAAAGTCGCGTGCTCACCGAGCCCATGTCTCCGCCAAAGTTGCTGCACTGCCTGGGCTTTGCGTCGTCAAGGAATTTGATTCTGACCTCTTTCCGGGTGTTAGTGTTGAATGCGACAGTCACTGTAGCCCCGACTCGTTGACAGAAACCCTTGACGCAGATGAGGACAGCCCTGTTGTGGCTTCGGTGTATAGGTCAACAGTAGTGCGCCTATTGCCACCTGCCATTCAAGGCGAATCCTTTAGCGACGATGCGGCTGCTGCGAACTACTCAGTTCATGGTTCGACCGGCGTCGAGAAGTTGCATCAAGCTGGCATCATTGGTGAGGGAGCAATAATTGCGATTGTTGATAGTGGTGTTCAGTATACGCATCCTGCGGTAACGCCCCCATTTCAAATGTGTATAATCTAGAAATAAGACTTCTTATTTTCTAATCATGATGTGTATGGTAGCTCGGCGGAGGTATCGGTCCAAATTATACTATCATAGGAGGCTATGATCTGGTTGGCGATGGTTTGTTCCCTACGATCGATTTCATACGTGTGCTAAAACTGATATATACCCCCCACATTAGCGTGGCCTGACGCCCCCGCCGAGCCGGATGACGACCCGATGGATAGATACGGGCACGGAACTCATGTTGCTGGTATCATAGCTGGCAAGAGTGATCAGTGAGTTATTTCGACGACGAGATGCGTTGCTTTTCTTATTGTGAAATAGGTTTGTCGGCGTTGCTCCCGGGGCTAAATTGCTGTCCTTCAAAGTCTTCGGGTCTACCGGCTATTCAAATGAAGAGGAAGTCATCGAGGGGTTCCTCAGAGCCTTCGACTCAGGAGTAAGTTAATACAGCCTCTTCCCAAGGTAAATGCGTCGTTGGGGCTCACATTCTCTCAGGCGGACATAATTAGCGCTAGTCTTGGAGAAAACAGTGGTTTCACCTCCAACGCTTGGGCCGTGTTGGCTTCGAGAATGGTAGACCAGGGTGTAGTCATTTCTATCGCCTCAGGCAATGAAGGCGACAGTGGCCCGTTCGATGCTAGTAATGGTGCTTCAGGCAAGAACGTCATTACGGTGGGAGCTGCCGAACCTGGTGCATTTCCTGCCCAGGCCTTCTCGGCAGATTTCGATTTAGACGGCCAGTCAAACAAGACTCAAATCGCCTACATACCATCATCCGACTTCTTCCCCAACACTATTCTTGACTGGCCTATTAAGCCAGTGACACTCAACTCGTCTGTTGAGAACGATGCATGTTCCCCATTGCCAACAGACACTACGAGCTTCAACGGAACCGTCGCCCTTGTTAGGATCGGAGGATGCGATACGTCTCTTAAGCACACCAATCTAGCTACTTTTGGTGCTCAATACATCCTATTTTATAATAACGATGGACCGTACCAGACCCCTTACGCTAATAGCAGTCTTTCCGGCCTAATAGCAGCGATAGAAGCTCGTGCAGGAAGCGCAATTATCGACACTATCGTCGCGGGCGGCAATGTTACAGCCTCTTTTGATGTCGACACTGCCCATTATGTCGGTCTGTACAATGCCGGTGGTGGGCGACCAGCTAAATATACGTCGTGGGGTGGCACATACGACTTAGCACTCAAGCCAGATGTGGTTGCACCCGGTACCAAGATCTTATCTACCTATCCCACCGACCAATATCAAGTGCTTAGTGGCTCAAGTATGGCTACACCATATATTGCTGGTGTGGCAGCTCTGTGGGTAGGAAAATATGGTGGGCGAGCCGCGCACGCCGCTGATCCTGCTTGGGCAAAGCGACTAACCGCCCGTATAATGGGTACCGCTCGTGCTGTACCGTGGGCGGACTGGGCTACAACAGCTACTGATTACGGGTTCTGGGCTCCGACTACTCAAGTTGGCGCCGGTTTTATCGATGCAGAGCGCGTACTAAACTCTTCTACCGAGCTCAGCTTCGAGGGGCGCAAGTTCGAGTTGAACGACACTGCTCATTTTGCCGGAACGCAAACCGTGGATATTACGAACCACGCAGATAAATCCGTTACATATAAGTTTTCCTTGCAGGATGCCGGGGGATACGACTCATGGAATCCCGTTGTTCCCGGCCACCCTCAGTCGTTCATACCCGCGCTCAAGCTCTACCCGGAGGTTAATCCTGTGAAGATGACTCCCGGTGTGACGTTTCCGAAGGAAGAATTCATTATTGCGCCTGGCGAGACTAAGACAGCGGAGTACGTATCCTTGCAACCATGAATAGTGAGCAAAAGGGTAGCTTCAGGCTAATAGTGTGATCGCAGATTTACTTTCACTGTCCCAGAAGGTCTGAACACAAGTAGCCTACCTGTCTATAGCGGTAAGGTCCTTATAAGCGGCGACAATAGAGAGGAACTCGGTGTTCCATATTTCGGTGAGTTGAACAATTAACATTTTATTCATATCAACGTTGATATGTTTTCTAGATGTTTGCTAACTATTAGCATAGGTGTTGCTTGTGATTTGAATCAGACCATTACCAACATTTGGGATTTCGGCGGTAACTACCCTTGGTTGACATCGGGTGTTTCCGACAACAGAATCCAACAAAAGTCAAAGTGAGCCATCTAACCAAGTGTTATATGCCCCACGAATATTCTAATGTTCTCTTAGTTTTACCTTCAACCTATCTCGTGATGCGCAGGACTTCCCCAAACTCAACACCGGATTCGCCTGGGGCACGGAGGAACTCCGTTGGGACGTAAGTCTTCTTTCCTCTTACTGCTTGATGTAGAATTGACATTTCCCATCCAGATATTCCAAGGCGACTACACGGAAGCCGAGTGGAAGTACCCGCCAGTCGTTGGCGAGAATAAGTTCGTCGGATCAGCGACAAGCTGGAACGGCACTTCCAAGTCCCAATGGTTTACCCCAGGTGAGGATAGCGAAGATGATATTTTCTCATTCCCACTATATGACCAGCCGCGCGACAAGTGGGGGATTTATTACTGGCTGGGGCGATTTGCAAACGGGTCAAGCATTCAACCCGGGGAATATAGGTATGTTTTTTCAACTTTCCTAGAGGTGGATTGGATAAATTGCCAGCTTTTTGACATGCCTATTCCCTAATGTTGACTCTTCGTCTAGATTCCGTATTGCTACTCTAAGACCCTTTGGCGATCGCCAGGTTTCGTATGACTGGGACATCTGGGAGACGCCGAAGGTGACGGTCTTGCCCCTTAACGAAGCAAATGGGTCTGCTTTGGCGTGAGAAATCACTTCTTTCAATAAAAATTCTTCCAGATTCAAGAGTATAAAGTAGTATAAATTGGAATTCCAGGTCACTCTCGCCGTGTGTTTCTAATCTGTTTCTATCACACTCATGTTATGAAAGAAAAGAAAAAAAAAGAAAAAGAATAAAATGTGACTCTCGATCGGGGAATTGAACCCCGGCCACCTGCGAATTCAAATGACAAGCAGGTATCCTAACCACTAGACGAATCGAGACTATTCCGGCGTGATTGATTCATCGCCCAGGTTGGTACGATTATCAAAGTTGCAATGAATAGTTTATAAATTTAGGGGCTTACATTAGGGCATCACTGCCTATTTCGTGCCGCTCTACGTGGCCCGATAGGGCGTTAGGGTAACGCTGTAGATTAACTTGCTGATAAATAAATTTACAGGGATTGAACATTCCTCATTCCCAAACATGATATATACCAAGCATCTCTTTATTATAATACATCGCGTTTCATTTGTTTCATTTCCTTATCTGTTTTTCACTTTTGATTCATTTTACATCATTTCATACCTAGGTATCTTAGAACGTAGTTTGCAGCTTAGGATAATCCTTTGCACGAGCATGCAGATCGGCAAAGATAGCTGCTGAATCATCCCCTTGCAGGCCCTCCATTCGGTGAGTATCTTCATCTTCCAACTTCTCCAACTCCTCTATAGGGTTTTCCTGTCCTTCTTTTTGATTTTTCTGTGGCTCGGTCGCCTTTTTAATACCGCTTGATTCACCAACTAATAGGAATTGCGTGTTTGCATAGTCGAGATGCTTGGGTTGTGTTCCGATCCACCGAAGAGATCGGAAATCATCTAGTACTCTTAATAGCGGGCAGTTAGCGAATTTGTGGCTACTTTAGCGTGCTAGGTGGGTGCGCGATAAAAAGTACTTACTCCTGCGGATATTCTGGACCCTGTGGAAGAGCAGCGCCTTTGGGAGCTTCATATTGAGGGTTTCTGGTGCTAATAATAAAACTTCCTTTCCCCTTAAGTCCAATCTCCTTTTGGACTTCACCGAGCTCATCGGGTAAAGTGAGCATATACGCGAGGTGGCTCTCGCGACCGGTGCTCGTGATACCATAGATCCCTTCAGCTATTGGAGTTGCAGCGGGGGTATGTCGCACACCAGCAGTCTTGGTGGTATAATCGGAAGCCGAGATAAAATCTTCCTTCAACGCTTTGAAAGAAGCGTGCGATTTCTCGACGAAAGCGATCCATCTATCTCGGCCACTTGATGGTAACACTTTCTTAGGAATAGCGATTAGGCGGCTATTCCCAACATCTTCAATCGTGCCCTCGCCAAGTTTCGCATCTTTGTCCAGTGGGCGCAGGACAATGTAGCTGCGGCGGATATCGTCTACGCTGCTCGGCTCGTCGATACCTACTCGACCACGAATGAAGAAGTATATAATACCTTTCTCTAGGATATTTGACGGGACAACTCCTTCTCTTGCTCCTTCTTTTTCGGCAGAACCATTCTGCTCCGGCTTGTTCTCGGTAACTGCACCGTTTTTTCCGTTCTCGCCGTTTTCGCGTTTCTTCTTCAGACTATCGGCCGGTGGTTCGCCATATGCTTCCGTAGGGCTACATCGAGATGTTAACAATATTCGTTGTATCAATAAATAGCTACTCATGTATTCGTACCTCGGTATTCTGTCTTCGATGGTGGTCTGCTTCAAATCGTCTTCCTTCTTGGTTCGCTTGGATGATGGAGAAGTCTTCGTGTCAAGTTGGTGCTTAGTACCAGCATTCTCGCCATTCCGGTTCTTGACACCATTTTCAGCTTTAGCACCAGATCGAGTCGTAGTCATGGTGGGCAATAGCGTGATATCTGTAATTGACGGGGATTGGGAGATATTGCAATTGAATACCTCGACCTATTCTATTATCTCTGTACGTGATATGAAGAGGTAGTTTCGGCAATGTCAGGGGTTTATGAAGACAAATAGGTGGGCAGGATGGGTTCAGCCATTGGCAAAGCTTGGGATTGAAATCCATTTACACCTCTCACCTTGGAGAGTAATTGTTACCTTCAGCTTAGGTTAATGTGATGTCATTGATCTGATCGACATCATCTTCTAGGAACACATAAGGAGCTTGGGCCATTCATGACGATATCTGCTGGGTAGCTGATTGCCTCTTTCGGTAATTGAAGTGTTGATGATGTATTTTGCATGTACCTAAGTACCAATTCATTAATTATCATTTATAATTAATAAAACCCAGCTATTCACGAGAGGAGTATGATTTATCTTTTGGCGAATGAAAATATAGAATTGATTAATATTATATAGGTGAAACATAATGACAATTGTGTGCATAAAAATAATGCAAGTCACGATCGTACAGATGAACTCCTCTACTAACTAGATATAAATCTCCGATTCGTCAGATTTCTACGGTCGGCTCTATCAATCCCGATTCTACACATTTTTAACAGTGCTCTATTCTTTTTCTTCTACTCCTTTCTTCCCAATATTCGTCCGTATTCAACAAAAAAAAAAAAAAACACGACTCTATCCTATATTTGCCCAAGTATGCTATCCACATACTGCGCTACCTACTTTCATCGTATTTATATATCCGATCGTAAGACGCTATACGCAAATGGCGCAAACGACCTTCCCCGAGTGAGTGGTAGCGTTACGCACAGAGGTTCGATAATGTTGGCATCTAAAGTCGTATTTCTCATGCAGCAGCGAATCCCCCTGAAACGCCTTGACTGAAAATAGTCTCGTATTGAACACCACCATCCTATAGAGATAAGGAGAAGGGATGAGAATACAGTCGAGAGGTTCTATTCGATGTGTTTACTAACATGTTTATAATTCTGGAATGACTAAACGTAGAGACATCTCTATTCTAATTGAAAATCAAAGCGACGATGGTTTTCTGTTTAATAAAGCATCTCTCTAGACTCCTAGCCATGTGGAATTAGCCCCTTGTTCCTGTCGCTAGTCGCGTGTCGACAACGAGATCTCACCACCATCCTGGCCTCAGGTGGCTTCCGATGTGGATACACCTCAAGTAGCGCCTCAAATCATTCCCAGCTAACAGAGGCTAGATCAGTTGGAAATGGAACATCTCCGGAAAGGAATATCTGATTTAGGAAAACCACGAGCAGCCGATTAACTACAAACGAACTAGGTCACTCACAGGGCCGGTAACACGTCCCGGATTTGCAATGTCTAAGCCTCTGAAAGAACTCCTTGCGGGTGGGGGTCTCACTGCTTTATATACTTAGTTCCCCTAACCACCAGAAGTAGATTCACGATGTTGGATAGTTGAGGAAATTCCCCTTCATCTATCTCGAAGAAAAGCATCTACCCGGCAACAAGATCCTGCTTCAGGCTCAGCCGCTCACTCTCGTTAATTATAGTCTTATCTAACCAATTCACTCTCTTTTCAAGAACAACTTATTATTTGACTGGTTCCATTCTTTATTTCTAATCTCACAATCATTAAAATGAAACCGGCAACTCTCGCTCTCCTTCTTGGCCCTATGGGCATCGTGGCTCGCCCCTGCGGTGGCAGCCGCCCACAGTCTACAACAACAACTACTACCGTGATCACCTCAGGAGTTAATATTCCTACTGCATCAAGCGGCCTACCTTCGGCGTCATCCGTTTCGTCGGCAACGTCTCCAGCACCCTCGACCGCTTCTATTACTTCCTCGACGACACCCTCAGCAACAACTTCTATCTCTTCTTCCGCCACTACCTCAACGAGCCAGCAGGCTTCCTCCACCACGAGTTCCTCCGCCACCCCATCCCCAACCAAGGGCACTGGCTCATCATCAGACAGCATCGACGAGCTCTTCAAGGCAAAGGGTAAGCTCTACTATGGCACAGCCGCCGACTCGGGCACCCTATCCAAGTCCCAAAATGCCGCCATCATCAAGAAGGACTTTGGGCAATTGACTCCCGAGAACAGCATGAAGTGGGATGCCATCGAGCCAACCCGCGGCGGTTTCAGCTTCGGCGGCGCCGACGCTCTCGTTAGCTTCGCGCAGCAGAACGGCCAGAGCGTGCGTGGACATGCTCTGCTTTGGTACCAGCAACTACCGGACTACGTCAAGGCGATCACCGATGCTAAGGAACTTACCAGTGTTCTTGAGAACCACATCAGCACCATTGTTGGTAGGTATAAGGGCAAGGCCCGCTCTTGGGTATGTGTCACCACACTACGATTATAGGAACGGGAAAAGCTAATATTTTGACTAGGACGTCGTCAACGAGATCTTCAACGAGGACGGCACTCTCCGTGATTGCGTTTTCTCCCAAGTTCTCGGCGAAGACTTCGTTCGTATTGCTTTTGAGGCGGCGCACAAGGCCGATCCTGACGCGAAGCTTTACATCAATGATTATCATCTCGAGAGCGGTACTTCTGCTAAGACCGTTACAGGCATGTTCGACCATGTGAAGAAGTGGATCGCTGCTGGTATCCCTATCGATGGTATTGGTATTCAGGGTCACCTCGGCGGTGGAAACCCAAGCGCCAGCGGCATGCAAGCTGGATTAGAAAAACTTGCTGCGACTGGTGTCAAGGAGCTTGCTATCACCGAATTAGATATCGTCAATGCGCCGGTTGACGAATACGTCAAAGTTACGAATGCTTGCCTCGCTGTTGAGCAGTGTGTCGGAATTACCGTATGGGGTGTGAGCGATGCCGTAAGTATTTTTATTTTGGATTTCCCATATCGAATGTTATACTAAATTTTATTAGGATTCGTGGCAGTCGCAGAGCTCGCCGCTCCTCTTTGATACGAGCTACCAGCCTAAGTCGGCTTACACCGCTATCGTCGAGGCTCTCTCATAGGTACTGGTAGAAGTAGGCGATGCTGAGACAGCAGTACGCTGCCGTAGCGGATGAAGTAATATTCGAAGATGGGGGATAAGACGTAATTATAGGTAATATTTAAAAAGATAATCGTGTATTATATGAATATGTGCATTATGGAGATATATGACCATCTAATGAGACTAGATTTCTCACGATATTCCGGTGTGCGCAACTACAATATCACTCGAGTACTCTTGAGGGGGTTGGAGGATCCATTTATGTTTTAAATTCTTCAATTTGTCTACTACCATTGACTACCTAGGTACCTAGGTACACTCGGGCATAACTAATACGGATATCCCCAAACCTGAAGCTATCTTCCAATTCCTGCATGTATACCTAGGGGTATAGGTACGTCGCATCGACGTATCACATAACTCTACCTTTCATCTGCTTATCCCTAATATTCAAATTTCTCCACGCCATAGCACATGGGATCGTCAAAGTTAACACGGCACATGCGGCGATACACATACGCTGCATGCCCTCACCATAAGCGTCCACAATGGCAATGCGACCCGGCGTACCCCATAGATAAGACAGCTGTACTACAAGACTGCCGAAGATCTTGCCAGCTTGGTCTCTGAGGCTTTGGGGAAGATATTTCTGTAATAGTTGGGGCATACTGTTAGTCCAGATAGCGCCACTGACCCCGAGTCCGATGGTATCTCCGACCGCGGTGAAGAGGGCGAGGAGCGCGAGCACCATGGCTACGTTGGTATGTTCGGCGGCGGCCATGATGGCGATCTTTTCCGTGACCACGAGTGTCTAATTAAGCGTTAGCATGGTTTTTGATATTAACTAGCGCAGTATTGCTTACTCCTGCGCCTATAGTCTCAAGCACTTGGCACATAGCCACCAACCCGATCGGGTTCCCTGGCATACGGTATTTAATCATCAATCCAGCACTCATGACGAGTAAGGGTGCCGCCATAAGTGCCAACCACTTATACCGATTAGTGACGCGAATCAAATATCCGACGACAAAACTCCATGAGCAGGAGCCGAGTGTGTAGATATTGCCGATCCAGCCTGCGTCTTTGATGGAAAGCCCGAAAACCACTTGCAAGTGGCTCTGGAAGTACGAACTCCAGCAGCGAGAGGCGACGAACATGACACCGCTCATGATGCAGGCGCCCATAACCGTGCGATCCCATAGCAGGTGAAATGATACGAGTGTCACCTTGGCGAAGTTTTTCTCCCATATACAGAAGGCAATGAGTGAGCAGCCACCTAGAACGATCATGGTGATGATAGCGGCTGACCTCCACTTATCGGCTTGGTACGTAGCGAGCGTTAGGGGAAGAATGACTAGGGAGAATCCAGCGACGACAAGGATCATGCCGACGACTTAATATAGTCAGTTTTAGAACTGTAAAATTCATGTGAGTTCAATAAACTTGCCATCAAATTCAATTGCGTAATGCGCAACATTCTGCGACCAAGTCCGTCCCGAATCTCGAACTGCGGCGGGGAATTGCTTGCGCGCCTCTTTTCGGGTGTAGAGCAAAATCCAGAGAATGGGTACAGATGATATTGGTATGATGATTGCTAAAGTACCATAAGCCCACCGCCAACCAACACCAGTGAGGAAATTCTCAGCTGCAGCTGGTCCGGCGAAAGCAGTAGCCAAGAAAGGAGCGGACATAAGAGCTAGGAGCAATGCTCGGTTTCGGAGTTTCGAAGTATCGGCCACTAGGACGTCTAGGACGAAGTTCATGCCGTTTTCACCGACAGTATAGAAAACCTTGCCAATCGCAGGTTGTCAGTGATTGAGCTACGGCTTCACTTATAGTGTATCGAGAAACATACCAGAGCGGCAGCATACGTCTCGACATTTCTGCTTACTGCCATCAAAATGGTACCCAGCGTAGCAAAGCATGTCATCAACGCAAAGCCTTCCGGTCGACCCCAAATGTCGATAATTTTAGCGATCGGGATGCGAGAAACGCCTCCGAAAATGGACGCTACAACTTGCGCCGTTGTGAGTAACGAGTGCCTCTGGAAGTCACTTGTGACGTAGGCAATCAATGAGTTGGACATGCTAGATTCGAACGCGAGGACGAAATTAATTATCAAAAGCCTTCTAAATAATTAATTACGAATCTCTTTAATTGTTTGGTTTAACTTAACTTGCGTACCATGCATAAGTGATGATCATCACCTTTTTAGACCAAGTTTGAGTGATAGCTTCAATATCGCGAACACCATCTTGTCCTTCTAAGTCGGAAATATGCTTCTCATCAACGTTCAGACTTCGGCGACCGTCTGCAGTTTGAACAGGCTGAGCAGGGCTAATCTCATCAGTAGCGACAGGAGGTGATGCGTTTCGAGGCTGGTTCTCGGGACTGGTCCTAGCCGGTTTCTTTTCATTAACCTCTGCCATGACAGATCAACCTTGTACCCTCAGGCGAGGAGTAGTATCGGCATAGAAGAGAAGATCAGCAAAGATTAGAGCTCAGCTGGCATAACCAAACCCTATGGCAGTAGGTATATAAGAGCTCAGGTAACACAAGCGAGAGCGGGGACAATGCCATTCTACAGGTGTGCAAGACACGCATCCTACATAGAAAAGGGCCGTTACATGAGCCCTACATGGCTCGGTACCTAGGTAAGCTTCATGATGCTAGTCTCGCAGATGTAGAATATCATTGGTGAAATCAAGTCCATAGATGATCTGATAATAAGAGATAACGGAGAACCCTGGCTACTTGGCGGGTAGAGATTTTATCTGATCCGGTCGGATTCGAATCAAATCCCTGTTTCCTGTCCTAGAAGAAAAGAGAACGCCGGTCGGCTGTCGGTCTACAGGGCTCATTTCTGGCGGGCAGGTGAGATTTTGGTAGTCCATTAGTTGTTGTTATTTGACAACGAACTTTCTAATGTTGGTCGATATGTTTCAGCGAGCTTTGCGAATCCGAATTTTCATATTATATTCTTCAATTATAATATTTGTAGATGCTTTAGTACATTCAAGAGTAGTGTTGAGTTGAGTTGGGTCGAGTTGTAAAGATACAGAGTTTCCCCACGTAATTTCTAAAGGTTTTAGAGATAAATACAGATTACGTACGTAACGACTAAAGAGTGTGGGGTAATATTATGTAATAATAAATTCAATTCTTCGTCGCGTTTGCGGTCAATCGATACATTGGTACTTTCATCTTCCTACTCAATAGCTTCAATTACAACATTCTGTCATTATTCGGTAACTAGGCGACTAATACTCGACTGACGTCAATCAACATGTCTAGGAAGCAAGCAAAAGGAGAGTATATCGAAACCGTATGTCAATTCAATCCCCCACAATAATAAATTGGTTACTATTTAGTTAGCTAACGAGTCATTTGCCCAGGACACGGGAAACAAGGTGTCGAGGAAAGCCGTCTTGGTTGGAACCCAACACATCATGCTGGGTGGTAAAACTGTCATTCAAGCCGAAGCCATGATACGAGGTGATTTAGCTCGAACTACCCAGTCTACTCCGACTACTAGCACTGCTCCCGGTAGCAATACTGCTGTCGCAATTGGTCGTTACTGTTATCTTAGCAAAGGATGCTGTCTACGTCCTCCAGGTCGCATATATAAAGGGTAAATCATAGCGCATATACAAATCTTCAAGAGGGTATTGCGATTTGATCGCTTCCGCTGACATGATTCTTTACACAGATCATTTACCTACCTCCCTCTCCGACTGGGCGATCACGTATTCATAGGCGAAGGAACCGTCGTACAAGCAGCTACCGTCGGAAGTCACGTACATATCGGCCAAAACGTTGCCGTCGGCGAGTTTGCAATTATCAAAGATTACGTTCGAATCCTCGATGGTGCCGTCATACCCCCCAATATGGTCATACCTAGCTTCAGTATCGTTGCCGGCCAGCCGGCACGTGTCGTCGGCGAGGTCCCCGAAGGTGGACACGAAGCATTCGAACTCCGAGAGCTATACAAAACGATCGGAAACAACCCGCAACCACTAGTTGTGTGATTTGCAATTGAATACGAGTTCTTGTAGAGCAAAATATTACTTTTAAAGTTGGCGATTAATTGGGTATTCGGAACTTGGATGCTTGTACCCTTGCAACTCCATTCAAAGAGTTCCCATATACCGAGACATCTCGATAGGTGTACATCACCACCCACGATTCGAATGCGCCGGAAATATAGAGCGATAGTTGCAGTGTCATAATCGACCACCACTTCAACACTGCAACACAGAATTATCCATCCGCGCCGAGCGACCCAGGTGATGGTATGGGATGGAGAAGGGAATAAAAATCAATAATGGATATCTGGAAACATCATATGACCCTATTACGAAAGGCCGTGTCATGTCGGCGTTGCGGATACTCACATATACGATATCCAATAGGATACCATCCGCCTTTACACATCAATAATGGCTAGAGTATAAAATCTCAGCTTCGGAATAGTTACTTCAATTAAGCATCCCGCAATATGGCAGTCATAAAACCCAAGCTCTCCCAATTCAACAACATCTTGTTCTACACGCCCATCCCGAATCGCGTGGAACCGACCGATGCCCTGAGGCCCTATAAGCACCATCCATTCCAACTATTGTCCCTTATTCAATTCGAATTTCTAGGGTTCTTTGCAAGCCCATCGGTATTCAGCCGGAGTAGAACAGAAACTGCAAGTTCCACTGCAATCCGACTGCACAGAGCATGTTTTGCCGCAAGTATCGTCCGAGCCAACTAGTGAGCCTTCCAATAGAGGAGACTGGTGGTGTAATTGCATTAGTTTCATTCCTCCTATACCGTTATCCTTGACACTTACAGCTAATGCGCCACGGAGAGCAACGAGAAGTAAAGGGGCGAGGGAAGCGAGCGTGAACTTCATTTTGTTATCCAAAGACAACGTGGTTGCAGTGATAGTTGAGTATGATCCTCTAAACATACATTAATTGATCCGGTTTCCCCAGTATTTATAGACATTGACTCTAGAGACTATCACATGACAACACCGTTGCAATCCGTGTTGTCATCGCATCTCTATTCATCTGTACCCCAACTTTCTTTAAACTATTATACTAAGCGATTGGTTCAGATTTACCGATGGTCATCTGCAGGTACTTGAAGAACGATTCTAGATCTTCATGAACAGAAATTGTTGCCCGAATAGGCGTCATACAGCGACAACTCGTATTCTCACAGGCACAATCCAGATCCTATTTACTACGTTACAACTACTACCTAGCATAGTTCTTGTTACTAGCTGGTTAGGTAGATGCTATTAATGTTTAAAACATATCATTTACTGCCCGTGGACGACCTTCACTCGTCTTTATATATAGTCTTGGCCCCTCATATGCCATACCTTCTCAACCGATACCGCGCCACTCAGCTATTCCCGCTCCTTTACGAATAATCGATAATGTCTCATTATTATTACTAGTCATTTCTCGTTTGTTAATTGGCCTAGAGCTTTGGTTTAGCTTCCCTCGTGTTTGTTTTTTTTTCAACGATGCTTACTCGCACCAGAGAGATTTATCCCCCAAGTGGGACACACTTGGAGGATTTATTGCACCGTTTTCGTTGCCAGATTCTCCAAATTGACAGAGCTCGGGTCGCTTTGAAACAACGTTAACTTCTAAAATCCTTAAAGCATCCAGGCGGTTGGAATGAGTATTTTCTCTAAAGCGATTTCTTATACTATATCTACATCCCAAACAACATGTAAATTAATTATTCCCTATCCTGAGTTAAGTAGATTAACACCGTGGTGCAGAGTCCCAATCGGGATTTAGCAATGATGAATCCAACCAATTATGTAAGTGGACTAGGGCTATGTGGGAATCGTCTGCTTCGCCGCAACATACGTTGTTAGTTTGTTGTTGAAGCAGGGGATAGATTCGGAATAACATGGCCCCCAAACCAACTACAAAGAAACGTCCTAGCTGGGTTAATTCACCTCAGTTAAAATTCATGATGGCCCCTCATCTTCTACACATACCAAGTAGGTATTCATTGATCAAAATGGCCAATATCCTTAGAGACCAGATCAACCTCAAGCAAACCTCGTCTCATACCTATACCATCTCGACCCATCCAGAGTGGGCCGCGGGTCTCGGTAAGTATTCACAGACCCAGTCCGGCAAGGATTGAGACTAACGGTGAGATAACCCTAGCTCTACATGGCGGATGTGTAGCCGCTGCAATTCATCATGCGGCCTCAACCCATCTCTCCACCACGTTAGCAGCTCAAAACCAACCGGATATACTGACCTTGCATATCGAATTTCTTCGCGCCTGCGACGTGCGTGAAAATGGTAGTGTTGTCACCGTCACCGACCTGAAGCTCGGCTTAGGCACAAGCACCATTCAACTAGTATTATCGCAGAGTGGGAAGACCAAAGTCCTCGCACTGGCAACCTCAACCAACTTCGACAAACCGGTCGGTCCAAGCGCGCCCACGGCTTGGAGTTTCCATCCACCGCCCAAGCCCGCGCCCGACTTCGCCAAAGTCTTGGCGCACCAACCCGACGAGAACTGGATTCCGGCCCGGATATTAGGTGATGTTTTACCTTTTACGCATCGCATCTTATATCTCAACCCGCGGGAAGGGTTTAAGTTCGATGGCGTGTGCGATGCGTGGAATACGGCGAATGGCGAGCCTATGGATGCTACGTTCCTCGCTTTCATGACCGACATAATCCCATCTATGTCCGACACGCTGCTCCGCAACGGCGGCTTGTACGATGCGCATCGCCGCCAAGCGCAAGCGATGCAATGGGATCAGGAGCACCCTGGTGTCCCCGTGAAGTTAGTTAACACGCTCAAGGAGGCGATGGAAGGGACTTTTAATAATTTCACGGTTACCTTGGACATCGAATTTAAGCGACGACTTCCTAAAGAGGGTGTGCGATGGGTTTTCGAGAGGACCGCGACGCGCATGTTAGAGGATGGGCGGATGGATGTAGATGTTACCATATGCGATGAGATGATGGCGATTTTGTGCTTATCACGCCAAGTCATACTTGTACTTGATGCTAAGAGGAGGTTTGGAGGTAAAAAGCCGCAGTCAACGCTTTGAAATTTGTTGTGGTTTGTGACGTTGAAACTGAGGACATTGGCATTACGAATAAGACAATTACGAATGAAACAATTTTTAAAAGCTAATATGGGGATGTAGATGTCCCAACGGTTTTTACCCTTCAAAGATAACATATGGAATTAACGTCAGATAATCATTACCTAGAAGTCCGCAGTTTTATTGCCAGTTCTTACTATGGTGATAAGTCTAGCTACGTGGGTACTAGCAGCTTAATACCATGACAACTTCAAGTACCTAGGTAGGCAATTAGCAGCCCTTGGCTTAATATTCCTACGATACTACCTCTAATAATATCACATGAAGTTGATAATCGAGCTTCCGACTCTGCGAGTAGGTACCGCCATTCAGGCTCCGGGCAGGGTTCAGGGGTACGATTCGGTAATAGGATGCACATCAGACGAGATCCTACCTTTTTAATTTGCTGACGCGAGATCCAGGGTCTTTTTTTTTTTTTTTTTTTCAGATTACCTATCTCGCGCTTTCCCGGTTACTGAGCGGCAAAGACTTCTACAAGAAAAATAAAACATTGACCTAGATCTTGTGGGCGACTTAAGTAGAATGGACCCCACAAGGTGCCGGGAGTTGTTCACCGTATCGAGCTAAAAAGGCATAGAATTCAGAACTCCAGGTCTACCTAGACAGGTACTATTGATTCGATCTGGGGGATATCATATGAGAAACGAACGGTACTCTGAACATATTTAAATGATTCAGGAGAAACGGAGGAGATTTTATTGGCTTTGACTCCTACGTGAAGAGAATTTTCATGTTTTATCTTAATCATCTAAAATTGTGTAACAAGGGTTTGTAAAATGTCCACCTAGATTTTAAGGCGCGTTTTACCATTGGTTAATATCCTGGCATACTAAAACTACGATACAGGGTTGGCTGGTTCGAGTCCCTTGGATCTAAAAAGGGAAATTGCCTATATTAGGTCTAGTCAGGTCGTCTTACACCGTCCTACGAACCGTGCCGTTTAGGGACTACCAGGTAGTATGTTGTACGCTCCGCTTCCAAGACCAAAACCCCAAGACTAGAACCATGTTTAAAGAGGACCCTGCAGATTGTTGAGGCTCTACTCAACGAAGATGTGCGTTCCAGAACCCCCACGTGTAACTCGTAAGAGATTTAGTGGAGTATAGTAAAATATCAAGCGACCCCTTTTTCTTTAGGGGGACTAGCTTGGTTTGGGGTCGATGGGTAATAAAACTAATGATAAGGTCTGTCACGAGGAAAATTTTGCAGACCTTCAAAACTCGAGCGGTGAGATCGAATAGTCCTTCTTTTCCTTTATTATATCGATCGGTAATCAAAAGAAAGCTGTGTTGTAGCAGCTACTCGATACGTCTTTTGATTAAAAGACGACAACCAGACTTGGTCAACGTACCTTTTTATAGGATACTGCTGACTAAAGACAACGTTTTCATCATGTCGACAGTCACTCAAGTCGAGGAGTCCACCATGAGGGCTCGCTCAGTGCTGGTGAGTGCAAGTATACGCTTTGAGCCGAGGTGTTGATGCTGACACGGTGTAGAAACTGAAGGGAGAGCAGCAGGCGCTTCCAGATATAAACACAATTAGAAAGGCAATTCCCGCACATTGCTTCCAGCCCTCAGCATTGAGGTCCCTGTCCTATGTGGCGCGGGATCTTGTGATGGCTGCCAGTCTGTGGTATGCAGCTGTGACGTACATACCGACCGTGTCTAACCCAATCTATCGCACTCTTGCATGGACCGTTTACGGCTTCTTGCAGGGTCTGGTTGGCGTCGGGATTTGGATTCTCGCCCACGAATGTGGCCATGGCGCTTTCTCGATGCATCGACGATTGAATGACTTCGTTGGCTGGGTTTTGCATTCGTCATTGCTCGTGCCTTTCTTCTCGTGGAAGTTCTCCCACGCTCGTCACCATCGCTTCACTGGTCACATGCAAAAGGACATGGCTTTCGTTCCCGCGACAGGCCCAACCTCATTCATGCAATCATTGAGCTCTTTCATGGACATGGAAGTCCTAGAGGATGCTCCTCTAGTGAATTTGATTCGTCTGCTAGGTCAGCAATTGGGAGGGTGGCAGGTGTATTTGCTCCTGAATGCGACGGCCGGGGATGACAGCATGCAGAATCAGAATGCTAAGTGGTGGAGGCGCAGCCACTTCGATCCTTTCAGTGGGGTTTTCCGCCCGCAAGAAGCCCTATACGTTCTTATTTCGGACCTGGGCCTTGCGCTTGTAACAGCGGGTCTGTACTATGGCGCGCAGGCTCTCGACTGGCAGACTATTTTCCTATTATACGGAGTGCCGTACTTCTGGGTCAACCACTGGCTGGGTAAGTTGGAAATTGACACATTTGGAGGCTCGGGTGATTAACATTGCATTAGTTGCTATTACTTACCTTCATCACACTCATAAAGACGTCCCTCACTATGATGGTGAACGATGGAGCTTCGTAGCGGGCGCCCTTGCGACCGTTGATCGCGACTTTGGCTTTATTGGCCGCCACATTTTCCACGGTATTATCGACACCCATGTTGTCCATCACTTGTTCTCGTAAGTGGATACATGAAGTTTAACGTCATCTGTCTTATCTTTTCAATAAGCTAACTCTCCCTAGACGCATCCCCTTCTACCATGCCGAGGAAGCCACGAAAGCCATCAAGCCTCTGCTCGGCGATCTCTACCACAGCGATGAACGATCTTTCATGGGTTCACTCTGGGAGACGTCGCGCACGTGTCAGTATGTGGAAAATGACCCAAGTAACCCCGGTGTCATGAAGTGGCATGAATAGAGACTCGGCTACGGCGTTGTATGGAAGCATATACCCTGAAACGTGCATGGATAAAGCCTAATACCCTTGGGATATCGGCGTATTCGAAACGGCATCGATAATGGATAGATTTGGTGATAGACATGAGATAGAATAGAGGGTTATAGATGTGCGTTATTTTTAGTCCCCTTTTAATGAGCGACAAAATATTGAGTTACATTTGTATAACGGACCTTCATACTATCGTGGCCTTGCCCACTATTGACATCATAAATTAAATTCATTCAGGTACTATTTTCCCCCTTGATGACCGCAAAAGCAATGCCTCTATGATGTAATTGCCGTTGTGCTACAACCTTGGTACATCACGGATCTGCGGTCAGCACTCTCGCTTACGGTCTATTCAACCCAAACCCCCAGACTTGATGTGATAACTTGCTTTCTAAAAATGGCCTTTCTGTTAATATCAAATTCTCTTTACTTTTCTTTAGCAACTAGACGTGGCCCCACTTAACCAAATAGTATTTACCGATGATATATGCGAACGCGTATACACCCTACGAAACTAATTGGGCTAAACCCTCGTGTTGTGTTGATCGGCATATATCTTATTATGTGTAACATATCCCGTACGGCGCGATTGGATTCGTGGCCTTGTTGGGCCGTAATGACGGCTTACGCTCTACTTTCACTGAAAAGAGCTCCTCTACATCGGCTATTCTAGCTGTAGCGCGACGAAGGCAACTATGAAAAAAGGCTGCCAATTTATGATGATCGGCATTCATCATGGGAACGCTGGGTTATTGATATGGGCTATACCTAGATGTACTCGAGTCGGCGACTATCGAACCTGGTCATGCATATCCTATGCGTGGCGTAGGCAAAGCAAAATTTGGCAAAGCCCGCGGGAAATACACCAACCGAAGAGGGGCTGCTGCAAATCTCTAACAATAATGTCTTCTTGTCTAGTTCTTCAACCTGCCGCGTGCATAGAGAGACTTCCCCCTCCTCTTTTACCTAGGGTCGTCAGAATGTCAAGCTCCCTCTCTAGATGACTAGGTAAGTAGTGTCTCAAGGACCAATCATGAAAGGAGTTAGACCCCCCGACTTGCCTTGAGAGTAAGCACCTTATCGTGGCTTTCGTGCATGGGGGCACAGCTACCCCCATGAGGAATAACATACCCAATAGCTGCCGTTTTTGGTAGAACCAGCCCTCAATCAGCCGTGAGAAAATTAATAAATTTCATCGAAGGCTAGAGTCCTAGGTTCCCCGACTAGGCGTAGGTAAGCGGACCTCATGCGGGAGTATCCCGCTAATCTAAAGCCGCGGGGTCTCGATCGTGTTCAGCTGGCCTTGTGCGCGCCACGCCTCGGAGTAGTTCAACGATTTCCGAATCTGGGAACGGCCCGCACATAGCGTTGCTCGGAGTGACGCCACAAATGAGACACTATTCTAGCGATCTATCAGACATCCGTGCCTAGACATGTTCGCTGGACGCGCCGCTGCGCTCAAATCAATCAGAAACATTTGACATCAGCCAATATTCAGCTCTTACTACTTTGGGCTGGAAATTAAAGCTGAATAGAAGGTCCTTCCGTTCCTCATAGTGGTTGGGATCGAGATGGCTTCCCCGATCTAGAGCCAATATCGTTAGGGGTAGCCGAAGATCAGCTTGAGTTCGTGAATACAAGAGGAGCCAACGTATTTCTAAATGACTTAAGAGGGGAGACAAACCTGAGTGAGCTGTTCCAATAACTTTTCATCCATAGATACCTAATGTTGGGACTTCGTAGAATAGAGCAAAGTATGTTATTACCTACATCTATTCCTTAAGGCTTTTTTACTGATAATATTCAGGTCTGCGGAACCGCAGGTCCATTTCTTCCTCCCACTCCTCGCAGCATTCCGCAGAAGATACAAAGACAGAACCAACTATGCCTTCTCTCGTCAATGGTAGCCAGGCGTCCTCGGACGTAGTCAAGCAGACTACTACGTCCACGAACAATGTGGATGTTAGCAGTTCTACCGCTATTCAGACAACTAATCACTCCGAACGTAGATCCTCAATGCGGATCCAGGTTACTCAAACTATTAAAACAACCAAGAGGGTCAGGGCAAGGCTAGTCCACGAGTTAGATGAGGTCGATGAAGCATACCTTCAACGGATTGACCTCCAGGCCTATCTACGACACATCGCAAATGAGCGTATTTTTCATATGCCCAAGCGAGGTAGCCAGTGGGATCAAGTTCTGAAGGAAGCCGAATTCTTTGGACTCCAAATCGACGAGTTTACCGCAGCGGTTCAGGAATTCATTACCGATAGTATAACCACGAGGGATACCGCACTTGCGAGTTGCTATCTCCTCCTTCAGGTACGTCACGGCAAACTAGTACTGTTCCTTGAGCTTTGCTGACAATACTAGCTCGGCTGTGAGCAAGCTCAAGCTCTTGAACCCACCTTCAGTACTTTGTATGAACTAGGTCAACTTCTCGCAAACACGCTTGAACTTCGTTCTTTGTTCGTACTGAGCGAGGAAATTGCACAAGCTCTTAGCGAGGTGATCATTCGCCTCATACACCTACTTGGCGATATCGCAATATTTTATCATCAACGTATCAGCCGCTTGTCTAAGGAGACCGTGACGATTGACTTCGATCGCGAATTTGGGGACCAACTAGAGGTAATATGCTCCAAGAGGGAACAACTCATCTACAAAATCTGGAGCTATAAGCTCGGGGGTGATAATGTTGCAGGCGACGTAGTATCGCTTCATCGGGAGTTAGGCTCTGGTCAAACTCATGTGAAATCCTACCTCTATGGTCGCATATCGGATAAAAAGCGTCGTGTTGAAAGAACATGTGAATGGTTAGAATACGACCTTGAAGAATTCGCTGAAAAGGATGAGAAAGTCCTTACAATTACGGGAAGCCCTGGATCGGGAAAATCTATGCTCGCAGCATGGACACGACAGCAACTGGAAAGGCCAACTGGCCATTTGGAGAAGCACAGGATCATTTCTTACGAATTCAGTGAGTATTAATTGCCCATCTTTGAAAGAACGCGGCGGGAATCTAACAATGCATAGCTGCCGATTACCCCGAAAGATCCACCACTGTTTCTGCTTTGAAGAGTTTGCTCTCACAATTACTCGAAATTAGCATTGGAGACACTCATCTTTTCGAGAAATTATCTTCTCTCTTGCCAGAGAAGCATAATGAGAAGGAGTTCGTCAGCCAATTGTGGGTTATACTCGAAGATGGCTTGAAAACAATCGATAGAAAGAAAGCCAAGGTTGCAATTGTCATCGACGGCCTGGATGAGATCGTCGGTGGAGATGTTGCTGCCTTGGAGTTCTACAAAAATATTCATCAGGTCGCCAAAAATCTAGAGAAAATTCGCGCGTTCACATTCTCTCGCCATATATCGCACCTCGGCCAGTTCGATAGTAGACATATCGTCGTTACCCCGGAGCTTGTCAACGATGACATCCAACGGTATCTATTGGATGGTCTTTCCAAGCGTAGTGTTTACGCTTCCGAGAGCGACACCAAACGTCAGGAACTATTACTTCAATTGGTGTCTCGCGCCAAAGGCTCATTCCTGTTTGCATACTTGTCACTGAAATTGATCGACGCTGGTGTCGATTTTGATTCATTCCACAAGTTGATCCAGGTCACCAAGCCCGATCCAAGTGAGAACCATCATAGCCTCCTTAAAGAGCTTATTCACAGGACCAACTTGAAAGATGCCCATACTAACAGCCTCTTGACATTCATGGTTGCAACCGAGCGGCCGCTACAGCTTGAGGAAGCAGAAGATTTATTGAGCGTTGACCTTTCCAACCCTCGAGCATCCTCGCGCGCTAACGTGCGCAAAGTACTGGCTGCTACCAATGGGCTTCTAGTCGAGTATAAAGGGATGGTTCGGTTTAAACATTCTATCGTGCGAAATTATGTCCGTGAGCTTTGCGGATCAGTACTTGTCTTACTCAAAGATTCTCATCGAATACTGACGATGACTCTATTGCTGTTCGCCAAGAATAACCTTACGCAATCGTGCGAGCCGTCATTTGACATTGTGAATAGAGGAACTATCGACCAGGCCTATAATTCCCACGCTATTATGCAATACATCTCACAATATTGGATCATTCACTTTAAGAAATCGTCACTCATCAGTACGAAAGGGGATTTGGCACTAACACAAGATTTCAAGAGCGTTTTCCCAGAATCCACGTTTTTCGTCATGACAGAGTGGTATAGCTGGCAAAGCCATCCCACATCTGATTTCATCCATTTCCACGACTTAGCACTCAGGATTCGCTCTGCCTGCTTTGGAGAGAAGCATCGCACAATTCTGCAGAGCCTCATAATCCTCGGTATCACATACCGCTCACGATCAGAGGATTTCAAAGCCGCTGAATTTTTCTATCGTGCATCATCTGTTGGCCGCACTGTACTTTACAAGTTCAGTCCTTTGGTGGTTTCCTGCACAGTTGCGTTTTTGACTTGCACTGAAAAGATGTCTATCAACACACGAACCACCCTTGTCACTTATCGCGAGGAGATGATTCGCTTCTATATTGAGGTGTGCAAAGGACAATATGGCCGCCACTCTGACCAGGTCATCCGGTGGAGCGAAGCCCTCGTTGAACTCTACCGAAGCATCCGAGAAGAACATATGGCAGCAGTGATCCTCAAAGAACTTCGTGAGATAACCATCATTCGCTTTGGACGTGGCTCCGATAAAACCCGTGGTCTGACTAGGGAACTTGCCGAATTGAACGTTGTTCTTAAGAAAGGAAAGACGCAGCAGACCAAGGACCAGGACGATGAGCTTCTCTTCGAAGCTAGCGAAGGGGCAGAACTGACAGATGAATGGCGAATCGAGATCATCCTTCAGTTCGCGAGGGCCTATGAATCGGAACACAAATTCATCCTAGCGGAGAAGCTTTACGTCGCTCTTTGGAGTCGGATCTGCACAGCTTGTCGACAGAAAACAACTGTTGAATTGCAACTAGCTCAACTCAACATCGCGCTTGAGTATGTTCATTTCTTACAGCGTCTTAAGCGAGGGAGCGAGGCTTGTAATATCATGGTCTGTGTCTGGGCTGAATACGAGCACCGCAAGTTCGAGTCAAAGAAAATTCTCCTTCGCCTCAAGGAGCTATCGGTGTTGTTCCGAAAATTCGGATTGCTCGCAATCTCGGTTTCAATTCTCAAGAAAGCCTGGAGCTGGTTCAAAGAACGTAAAATGACCGAGACAGAGGAAGCGTACGAGACGACAACTATTATTACTGAAGTTGTTAAGGAAATTACTGAGACAACTACCGAGGTGACTACCACTACGACTGAAACTGAGGCCGTTACCCGAGAAGTCTACGAGACTACTTATACTCGAGCTAAGTCTGGCAAGGTGGACCGCCACTTCTTCAAAGCATCCCTAGCCCTAGTTAACCTGCACATAAAACTTCAACAATGGTCTGAAGCCGAGGTTGTTCTCCGGCGGTCTTTGGAGATTATGTGGAAAGGTGTCCTGACTGTTGATGAGAAATTAACTCTCGAAGGGAGCTTCACCTCCGAAACAGTAACGACTGCGTTGAGCTTGGCTCTTTGCTATCATCGCCAGAGGAAGTTTGATAAGGCACAGCAAATCTACCTACGGGTGTGGAGAGCATGCCTTGTTTCCTTGAAAGCCGAAGACGCCCTACTTATTGAAACCACCACAAAGCTCATAGCTTTCTACGAGGAATTCCATCGCTATGAAGAGATTATCGAAACTCACAAACAACTTCTCCAACACTATCGCCAGCATCTTGGTGTAACGCACAAGTTGACTATACAAGTCCTCTACAAGCTCGCATCTACATACCGTCTTCTTGGGCGTAAGGAGGCATACGAGTATTACTGCGAGATTGTGAAAACTTACACTCACAACGGTATTTGTCGCCATGAGGGCTTTCAAGCCGCCAATATTGTCCTCAAGTACTACCGTGAAGAACAACGTTGGAAAGAGCTTCAAGATCTCTGCGTAGTTCTATGGACTAGCATTACCAAACACCACCACGAGCGCAAGGTTTCGGAAGAATTCGTGATAACGATATACGAAGCGTACCGATATGTTCTAGAATTCCATTCTAAGGTGGAATTTTCGGTCTTATACAAGCTCACCGTCGAGTATCGTGAGACCGTTAAGACTATCTTCGGTGTTTCAGTTGCGATATACTTGACAGCGTCAATAGCTCTGGCAGAGATCTGCGAGAAGAGTGAGGAGCGTTATGTTGAATCGGTTACCATCTATGAGGAAGTAATAACGAGGACGAAGACTGTTACCACCCTCACGGAGACCAAGATCCGCACCATTAAGAAGAGGCTCTCTACGCTATATGTCACCGTCATTACACGTGGGAAGAAGACCGAGAAATCCACTTTCGAACGAGCGATTGAGGTGTGCTCCGAGACATATGAGCAATACAAGATCGAGTTTGGCTGGTGGCATGAGGCGACGCTGCTCAAGTTGAAAGAACTAGTCTTGCTATACAGTAAATACGACGGTGGCAAGACGCAGGTCATAGTTCAGATGCTGCAAGAGAGTGTCGTCAAGATACTCACTTCTACTACGGTCGCGATTGAGCTATATAAAGCTGCTTTGACCATTGCATCTATCTATAAGACCGTCAAGCTTGAGAGTTCAGGCCAGGAATTGCTTCGCCAATTGCAAATCCTGATACTCTTCCCAGGCTTCGATATTTTGCAACAAAAGGTCGATCTGAAGGTAGATTTCAAGTTCACCAGGGTAGCCTTTGTATTCCTCATCGCTCTTGAAGAGGGCCTCCATCATCCGGATGGAAAGCCTGGCCACGACCACTTCTCGCAGCTTATGGCCGATCTCATACTAGAGTCTCTTCTTTATGAGCAGTATTACTCAGTAACAACCAACATAACCGAAAAGACAAGCACTCAAACAATTCTCGAGCACTCGGCTCGTTTACGTAGCCTCTGGGTTGCTCGTGGTCGTACAACCTTCGTTTCCGTGCTGGAAAGGAATGTCCTAGCTATCTTCACGGAACGATACGCCAAGGAGTTAAGCTCTTATGTAAACGACCCAAGCGCCGTTTCTGACCTATGCTTGGCGATACTCACTGAGATTGGCGACAATAGCACTACCGAGCGCACAACCATCAACTTCGCATTAGCAACGGTCAAGGCCATCAACAACACTGTACGAATATTGATGGTGGACCGCAAGGACTTCCTACGCGCTCATGCAGTCGCGAAGTCTGGCTTCCAATTCGCTAATGCCCAACGTTTCTACCACGATAAAAGCCGCGGCGTGATCGGATATAAGCTCGCGCAGATGCTTGCCGGTCACGACATCCCAGGATGGAAGCCGACCGATGCAACGCAAAGAGAGTCTATGCTTCAATCAAGCCGTACCGTACTCCAAACTGTATTTGCCGCTTTCCGTGAAGCTGGCGTCGACTTCGTCAGCCTACATTTCGAGGACCTATCCAGTCTTATCAACTTGCTTGGCGACCAGAAGAACTACGGCGAACTCGAGGTAAGTCTCCCTAACCATTTTCGTTATTCTCGCAGTGTACTAACCTCTTTCACAGACTCTCCTCAAGGCTCTCTGGCAGTCCCGAGAGATCCAACGCAGCTGGTCCCCCGCGAATGTTCTGCAAATCGGACGATTGCTTATCGACGCGCACGTATTGGCATCACACAATGACGATGCCGTCGCATTGGCCGAAAACCTCTATTACAACGTGCGGGAATCGCGTGGCGGTCTCGATACCTACACTCTCGCTGTCGCCGACAAGTTGACTGTTCTACTAGCTCGCTTGGGCCGCTCGCGCGAAGCCGTTCGCGTCCATAATTGGGTTCTGCGCGATCTTGATGAACACAGTATCTTCACTGCCAACAACGGTGATGCGAAGGCAGAGAAAGATCGTCTGCGCGCTACTGCCGACCAACATCTTACCGGCTTGCGACGCTGCGGTTGGGCTTCCCGACCAGAGGGCGCACGTACTGCGACGGCCCTGCATGCCAAGTTAGGTCATCGCTATGGTGGTCTGACGGTACCACCTGTTGAGAAGTGGGGTGCGGTTGATCCTAAGAAAAATAGGGACTTGACATACTCGGAACCGACGACTTGGAGTCTCGATGTTGAAAAGGAGACTACGAAGAGGGACTGGGTTGCTCCGGCCAAGGAGCGCTGGGGTTATTTTGTAAGGACACCGGAGGTTGTTGCTTAATTGGGGGAGTCGGAATGGAAATAACTGTACGATTTGTGTATTCGAAGGGAATCGGCAGGTAATATGTTACGCTGTGGAGGATATGACGCTTCCGAATCCCGGATTTTTCTTTGCATCCTCACTCTTTTCTTTTTACTTTGTTGACTTTGTTGATTCTGTATATTAATTCCGAACTGTACGATCGGCTTCTCAAAAATTTCATAGTGTACCTGATACTTCATAAATTCGCTCGGATGTATTCCTACTTCTGCTGACTCCGTGGTACAATTTACCTTGTGAGTAGTAACAATACTGAACGACGGATGGTCAGTACGCTAAAATTACAAGAAGACTAGCATCCGGGCTCATTATAACTGCAATGCACCACAGCGCCCGTCCCCTAGAAAGGCCGACTTGCTACAGGGCGCTGTAATGAATTCGGGCTATAATTGCGGGGTGTGCGCTATGATTACAGTGATATCCTTCCCTTAGGCTGACAGTAAGTGAAAGACGATTCACATTGAGCGACGAGACCTTCGACCTAATGCGTCGGAATGGGGATATATCGGAAACCAATTTTATATAAACCCATCTATGCTATGTGCGAGCGTTATTTAATCGAATGAAAGCATCATAAAATTGATTTGGCAAGCGCAAGACGTACAAGGTCCGCGACTGATGGATCTTCTTTAGGAACCTCTGTAAATACAGGTAGTAGACGGTATATTTTAGTGGCAATAATAAGTATAAACATGTAGTATCCCATTAACCTTGATGCCGTCTCCCCTATAACCCCCCCCAAACCTAGCCCAACATGAGAAAAACCTCACCCCTCAATTTGTTTCGACATGCGGTCGTAACGGCAATGCTGTCGAACAACCATTCTGGTTTTCTGTCTTATCTCCGCATCCACTGCAAGCATCAGCCTTCGCCGTAGCAGAGAAACCCGAAAATGGGCAGGTCGGCGAAGATGGTATCCCTTCCTCGATGTCTTCCAATATCTTTTTGCCATGCAAAAATCCTTCGGCTTCGACCTCCTGCTTCTCCATCTCGTTGGCGTATTCGTCACCGTCGCGCACATACCACTTAGCAAACAGGTCGTTCTGGACCCAAATGACCTTGCCGATGGCCTTAACCAACGCAATCTTTTTGTCCATTCGTAAACGTGGGTGAGAAAGAAGTGCCTCCGTTAGTGTATCTTGGATGAAGGCAAGACATGCGCCAATGTGGACATATTCGACGTGCAGGGGATGCTCACGTCCGCGTCCCGTATGCATCATGCTTGATTTTATAATTAGAGAACCTGGCATATTTTTATTTGGTGCCAATAATACTCACCCAACTTTATCTAGATATTCCCAGAATTCCATGGTACTGGGATCGGAACACAATTTCGCGAGGTAAGCTCTTAGGAACATCTTGCGATGCAAGATCTGCGGGCTGCTTTCGTTGAGGTTATCGTCCACTGGCCCCTCATAGCTTGTGCTCCGAGTCTCCAATGCACGCGCTGTGATATCATATTGTAGCAACTTTTGGTAGACAATATTAACGATTGCGGGAATAAGCTGTTTTATGTACTTGGAACCCGATATTAAGGCTTCGATATCGTCTTTAAATTTTATTAGTTTCTCGGGCTTCGTTTGTAAAAGGCATTGTGAGGATTCGTACTTGAACTGAAATCAATGAAAGAGTGAAGATATTGGATTCGTGCTTCGAGGTTGGTGTATAAATCTTTTCGGTCAATATGCTGTCTAGGACGTGCTAGGGGCCCCATTTTGAATAAAGCACCTAAATTTGGTGCTGTAATTTCTTGATGATTTTCTACCGATGATATTGTGCGAGCTTGCTCTTATAATAATGTCAGTCTAATCAAAATAAACAACAGCAAGTTAACAGCAGCAATTACCCGAACAGATTGCTGTGGTAGAATTATATTATGTATTAAACAACTCTACACGATGACGTTGAACCAGAGTGTCCAAACGCTCCCTAACTTCAGCCCGCACACTAGAAATGAAGCGATGATGGCCTGACATTGTGTGGGACCATCGAACCATCGTGTTGGGCATGTTTGTTCTGGGCTGACCTAGCGGTAAAAACGTAGGAATTCCTCGATAGCTGCGTTGTGTCAGGCCGTTGTGACGTCAATTTCGGTCTACTAACCTCATCCTACCTTTTTCTTCTTTAATTTCCTAAGGTTAGGTAGATATTGATCTCGATAAAGGATCCTAGTGTATTATAGCAATTAGCTGGTATTTTGTTCCGCCACCACTGAAGACTCGAAGTAGGGTCCTTTCATTTCACACTAACCATTTCTATGTTCATTTTAAAAACGACAGAAAAAAAAAAAAACGGCGTAATAACCTAAGAAAACTTAGGTTTTATAATTTTATCCTTTTCAAGAATTTCATCATTATATGCTTAATGAACTGCTGTGCGCATTACTTCGGCTGCGTTGAGTTGAGTCGCAGTTGTATAGTGGGCAATAGATCGGCGTATTGTATCTCGCGGTGGGGGCGTAGGCAAAGCAGTTTTGTAAAATCACTTTCCGCATTGGCATCGATGTTTAAATTCGGGGAGCGCATAGTACTTCGAAGAATACGGAAGCAATAGGAGGCATAAGCATAGTCGCAACAAGCCATGTATGCGCTGAATAGTTGAGCGTATGTTTGCGGTGCCAGAACCGGACAGGGATTCCTCTCAAATAAATACTGGATGGAGAGTTTCAAAAACCGAGGAATACTTTGTAGGTCGCTCACCAATACCCCAAACACAGCATCCGAGTACGGACATATGCTAAGGTAGTCCTCCAGTGACGGCATAAGCATTGACCTATGCTTGAAAAAACGTAAAAAGAGGCTTGGCTTGACATTGGGCCTGCGTTCACTCCACCTGACAAGACTAACAAGTTGGTTGACAGTTTCCTTGCGCTCTGGACTTTCTGGATCATCCAGTAACGTCCTTAGAGTTAGGTTGCAACATTCGCTTATCATATCGTCGAAAGCCCCCAATAAGATATCTTGGACGTGTCTCGCCTCGTGATAATTCTGAATCAGCACGTCGCATATATTATAGATATCGGAATATTGGATAAATCCCTCGTAGTATACGTCTAAGTCTGCTATAAAATCAAGATAATCCCGAGAAGTGACTAGGTATCTTTGAGACTTATTTGAACCAGCAGTGGGACGTATTCGGTTGGTAGGATGCAGTTTTAGCAAATCCAACAACATTGTCTTGTTGAGGCCTTCTTCATGATCCTTATGGGTAATTTGCCTGAAAAAATCGATCCATGAATTTATATCTATGGATTTAGATGGCGACAGGCTCGCAGCGACATTGATGCCGTAAGTAAGTTTGGAAGAATTATTAATCTTGAATGCATCCACGACGCAAAGTGCGGCTACATGAATACTAGACAGCCCATACATAGCTATTGCTTCGAGCTTCGGGATAGTCAAGGAGATCTTTCCAAAGGAAACTATTCTCAACTAAATGCGGCTGCTTGAGAAGCTTTGAGAATAGATGGAAAACTCGAGCTGGGTAGTCATATGCGGTCTTGGTATGATGAAGCCAGTAAGCCCTAGCATACTGAAGGAAATGAAATTCATATGTTTTCCTCTTAAATAACATGCTTTCTGCTGCGAGCACTTTACCGACGTCGATGCTAGTGTTGGGGGTTTGTTTTTCCAGAAGATCTATGGCCATATATCGAACCGCCTTAAGCATGCTTGACGACGAGTCGACAATCTTCCTAGGGATATCGTCGGCTAGAAGAGTTGGAGTTATCGTGGTGGAGAGCCGAGAATCAAAGCCTTCCCAGCTTAGGTACGTAACTATTCTTGCGCCCATTTCTTGTTCTGCTGCTCGTTTACCGAAAGGTATGCTTAATGAGCTAGTGTCACGTTTCTCTATTGTGTCACCCAAGAGAAACTGCTTGAAGCTCTGGTGAACCAAATGCAAGGTAAGTCGTTCTTCATCAAGGGTGACAAGACTGCCACAACATCGCAGGACGGCTTGGATATCATTGACCTTCTTTGCGCGTGGCATCTTTGGGTCGCCTGGGGCAAGGCTTAATATTTCCCGCATCTCGCCAAGTGACAAGGGGCGCAAAGCAGCAGTGAGAACTTTCAGGAGGGGTACTTGATAATCTGACGCAAAACTACGATATTGATTGAGGATACGTTTGAACGTCTGGTGAAGATCTTGGGGAAGATGCAGCAAAGCTTCGCGAATAGCATGATCACTCTTCTCGATACATATCGATTCGATTTGCAAGTGAACCCAAAGAAACCTGAGCCATTAGCTGCGACCCGGGAGTTAGGCGTGAGATACTCACATTCCTTGTGCGCCGGCTTGGAGGGCGTCTCGAATTTCCAAAACCAAGTTTTCGTCGCTAATGGAGAGGGACTCGTCCCGTAGTTTTGATAGAAGCCGTTCCTTGATATATGACGAAAGTTCTGGTCTTTCATCTGGTAGAGTAAGATAACTACGGCGAAATAAGCTCTCCATGTCTCTGTCAATTTCAAGGCTAGCTTCTAGGCTCAAGGATGCGCAGATGCTTAATTGACAAGTTTCTTGAAGATTACTAAGCGCTTGGAGAACTTGTTTTCGATCGTCCCTGTCGCAGGCATCGATGCCGTCGAGGACAATAAACGTTCTTCCTGCATGGCTCAAGGCTAATCTTAAGACGCCGATCATGTCATTGCTATTAAGGCTAGTATGGAGGTCCTCAGAGATGATGGTCCTTGCGTCGCTGAGAACCAATAGGAGTACTTGTCGAGCAAGGCACCCTAGTATAGTCCTGTGATCGAGCGATGCTAAGTCATCCGAGCAACAGAAGAAGTAAGCTGTTTTGTATTTCGAATGATTCAAATTCAAATCGTCGACAATGTTAGCCATCTGGACAGATTTTCCGGAGCCGAGCTTTCCTCGAAACAACAGTGAAGACGACTTTGTTGGCTGTAACCATGCTTCATATTCAATCTGGTCATATATCCATGTTGCGTCTCCTTGCTTCTTGATACGTCTCCAAGCTGCTTGGTAGGGATGGGTTGAACATTGATCCAAAATTTGTAGCTGATCTTTGAGTGCGTAACGCTGCTTCTCAAGTGCTGAAAAGGATCGCACCTTACTGTAGAGCGCTGATGCGCTCTTCATCTTTTCGAGTTGAAGTTGTTCCTTAATAGCAGCAGTGTTGTTCGTAAATTGAGACTCGTATTCTGCCAAATCACAGTCTGTAATAAAAGCCTTGACTTGACGAATAAGCGGCTGTTGACAAAGATGGACTGTCTTGTGGCAGATTCGCACAACCGTCACGAAGTATTGTGCTATAAGCGCTCGCAGCGGCTCCGACTGAGGGAACAGCGAAGCCATCCCATGATAGCGAGGCGCTGATAGACCCACCCTCATGAACAGTTGCGAAACTTGTTCCAGATAGGTCGAAAAATTTACTAATGTCTGAATGTATAAGTCTATGCATCTACGAGGAAGAAAGATCGTACCAAAAGGGTGGTCCGAACAAGCGCCCACGCACCGCACGCGATAATATTCTGGGAGCTACCGATAATTATATCACCTAGTGACGCGTACTGCTGTACCGACTCTAATATCATCGTAAAACGAGGGCCGAAACACCTACGAGCACCGCATCTTTTCTCCCGGGTCTTCAGGTCAATCTCAGCGGTCAAATTCATAACATCTTGGACGCCAGGAGGTGAGGAGATTGCGTGAGTTCTCGCTGCCAGAAACCTAGCGTTTTGTTCGGGGGTTAATATAGATTGAAAATCGGACAAAGCCTTGTCTAATTTAGTCTTGGCTCCCAGCTGATTGATGCTATTTTTTATAAGTGCCGTCATAAGAATCTAGTATAATTTCATTTCAATGACGATTTGATGTGTAAAGCGACAAGAAAAAAAAAAAAAAAAATTCGAAGGTGAGGTGAGGCTACCTACCTATAAGAAGCAGGTAATAGACGTCAGTTAGCCCGAGAATTGGCCTAGGGGGGCTGTGCCCTGAGACAAATCAATGCAACCCACCTATGAGTACCTAGGTACCTAGAAGGTACCTAATTGTGGTATATCCAGAAATGAATATATATACCTGGGTACGCGCTAAAAGTCACCAAAATCTCGGGGTAATAGGTGCAGATTTAGGGAAGCAATCTTAGAAACGAAGTGGTTCTGTTAAGCCCTACGTCGTCAACATCTAAAGGTACCTAGGTAGCTCTTGTGGTTGGCTGGAGGCTATTGCCGGCGCTTTTGATTCCGATCAGCAATTCCTATGACTCCGGGCAACTACAGTTATCGACTTGGCAACAAACTGGAGCTTCGGCCTCCTTGCACAACCCCCCCATCGCTGGGCAGCCATTCGGGTCTGCACAATTCGCCAGACTATCGTAAACGTAGCACGGGTCTCTACCGAGATTGTTTAGTATAACGAACGTAATAAGTCTTAGGAGTGCGGTATATACTGTGCTATAGTTCCTTGAGCCACGAGAGTAGCGCAGGCTAAGATAAAAGAACAGGCGCCGGTAAACTTCATAGTTGAGATTGCTCGATTAGTCATTGCGGATACCGAATTTTTGTCGTGTTGTTGAGTAGAATGCGTGATAGACGGAAACCTGGGTTTAAAGCAGCAAAGGATGTGGACATTTTATAGATATTTACACCTTGAAGAAGCTTCATTTTGAATTAATTGGAATGTGTCACCAACACCTAGTAAACCACGCTGCCGGTGAAAAAGGGATGAAATACGATACGCAAAAAGACCTACAGGATATGAATTAAAATTACGATCTCCATATGCTGGCAGTGTTCTGTATCTTGTTGAACCAATGCAGAAGCAAAGGGTCCATGAGAAATAAACCAGATAATCTGCGCATAATCCACGTAAACGGACGTGAAGTTAATCGAATTAGAACGAGCAATTGAGGATAACTATCTGCCAGCTGCAGTAGGTGTATTACTTGCCTAGCGCTTCTCTAGGTACCGAGTTGCCCCGCGATATAGGCATATGCCGCATTATAGGTGGTGTTTTCTAGGGGGTTTGTGTGCAGAGACTTAATGTTGAAATCACAATACAATCTTACCAATTTAAGTACGTCACCTCAATCAAAACAAAACTGATCATGCATTATTGCTTTCGGTTACAGATATCAATATCAAGCCCCTACATAATTACCTACCCTGGTAGGAAGGTGAGATTTGAATAGAATCTCGTTTCTTCGTGCTGTGCTATTGGTCAGCTATCCAGCTAGCACTTTAGGCCCTTAACCTCCCTGTAGCCTCACATTTTTAGAGCTAATTAGGGCTTGTATTTAGTGCTTCGTCAACTACTTTAGGTAGGCTGCTATAAGTCACACGAAGTCCCCTACGGCATTGCGTGTTCACAGGGCTGGCGGGGCCCTCTTTGTGTTTCTTTCAATACTCAGAACCAACGCGACGTGATGACTTAGTGATACCAACTCGCCTTCCGTATCCCTTACCAATATATCGAGATCAAATCTCCCGTCCATAATCTGCTTTGACGTTATCCTTACATTTAACCATTCAACACCCTCTTCCGGTAGCGCCGCTTTGGCCTCTATGTTCATTACTACAGTCGGGTACCATAAACTGGCGCGCTGTTGGTCTTTCTCCCGGACTTCCTTCGCCCTGGCGTCTCCATCAGAGCCCTGAGCTGGAGGAGCTTCAAGGAGAGCGAGCAGCTCTGGCGCGACAAGGAACCTATGCATATTGAACGGGAACGAGTCCACTACATACGGTAGGGCTTTTTGCGTGATCCGCTCACCGCTAGCCGTACATAACCACATGTCTAGCACACCCGGTGTTAAGGGTCCTTTGCGGGGCAGATAAAAACGCCAATTGCAGAGTGAGCGCCACTTCAACATCACCAGTTAGCAATTATTATTTTAATGTGTTTCTACACAACCTCAATCGCGAATCCCGAATGGATGAGATTTATTCTCATAAGCAGATAGAAGATAATACTCACCAAGGATGCGGAAGATTTTGGTAGTGTATACTCTTCCCATGTCTGATCCACGCCTTCGGTTTTAAGCACCTTAAAATCCGGCGTGGGTGGTAGCGTAGCTTCAGCAGTGACTTTCCAGCCCGTTGGCCATGTCATGCCAGTGAATGTTTGCAGGTTTGTATGCGTTGCGTAGGCAAGTACGGCACGTCGCGATACCGCGCGATCGACCCACGGCGCTTCTGCTAGAAGTCCACCTTGCCAAAGAGTGAGATGAATTATAGATAGTTGCCGACCCGGTTTCACGTCATCAACCACGACGATAGCAGGTCCGACAGCAGTCCTGCCAGGATATTCGAAGTGCGCAGTTAGTGTGTCGGGCTGGTTGCGAGATGAGAGATACGCACTAGCCGTAGCGAGCATACACGAGCCTACACAGCCACCATTGGGGACTTCGTTACATGATGTTAGACGACTTATTTAACGGGGATGGTGGTGATGTTTCATACCCGAACCAATGCAGAACGCTTCATTTAGATTGACTCTATATGTATGTGAGTCGAGTTTCTCCGTTTTTATAGCTTTAGAGAATGGAACATGAGTCCCTATTCGTTTATCTGCTTCATCCGATGCCATGATGGAATTGCGAACGCTCACTCCTGCAATATAGCTGCTCCCTCGTTAGTCTAAAGGAATAATAATGTTAGAATCGTAAATTTCGTTGAAGTGTTCTTCGTTGCCGCAAAAGTTGTTGGTGGTTAGTCGCTCAACTACGCCGCATTGGCATCCTTTTTACAGCATAGCATCACCAATATGATCCACCTCATTCTAAGATTCTGCCTTTTATTCGAGGAAAACATCTTGACTTTATGATGCTTGGGTCGTTGAGGTATGGAACTCTCGGATAGGAAGGAAGAAACCGTTGTCTCGCGCAGAACGGAGTGTCATTTAAGGGAAAACAAAGAAACGCTAAGGTGTGCGCTGAAATTCGCTGTAATTATAGCAGGCTTCAGCGTTGCATGCCCAGTTTTAAGGGTTACAAGGTTCCATCCAATGACTGCATCATAATTAGGAGGTAGGTAGGTACCTATTTCATTGCAAATGCAGGGAATAGAGCGCTAAATCTGATTGTAGTGGTAGCCCCCGCAATTAAGCTATTGATAATTATAGCGTTCACACGTTAAACTTTCAGTGACATCGCCCCGCGATTTTACGTAAAATTCCAGCCCCAGGAGAGAAAACTGCTTCGCCAATTTTTTATTTAAGGAGAGTTATAGCGTATCTTTAAAGAAGCTCGTACATACGGTGTACGCCGACTAACAGTTATTTTTAACGAGCGTGAACGCGAGCGATGTAATAGTGACGGCTAAGAAGCCCTTAGGACCAACCGCCCGGAAACGCATGACCACGGCCATAACCATCGGACTGTGTTGACAGCTCGAAACAAAAGGGAGTATGATGCTCTGGATGACAATTTTGTAACCTATCCCAACGTCTCCAAATTGTACCTCGTCCTCATACTGGCACTTAATAAAGCCCAACAACGATATCACCACGGACCCTAGCCGTGGCATGGACTTCGGCCTCGAGATCAAGTTTGATTCCGACCAGGAGGGCGGCGTCTTTGAGCTTGCCAGCATCGTCGACGGGCCCCTTAAGTAAATTTCCTGTGCCAACATACTTAGTTCAACGTAACCGGCGGCAAGTTGGGTAGAATTAGGCTCCTACCAACAGGCCCGTTCGCATTACCGGACAATCCCGGCATCGGGAGACTATGCTTTGCCGCTGCAGTAGAGTGGCCTCGGTCGGGGCCGGTGAGAGAGGTTCCACCAATAGCGGAAGAGGGGACACCCCTTTTAGGTAACTGTTAGCATAGATAGGGTTTGCGTTATATGGGTCGGTGTCACTAACGGAGTAGCCATGGTTCTTTCCTCCGGACTTTTTACGAGGAATGCCTCGGGGTTTTCAATCGGCGGAGGATCTATTTGGGATCTAAGAGATCGCAATTTCAATTTCCTCCTTAATGGTGGTTTGGAGGATTTTGTGGGGGGCGCGTGTCTTTCGGGGGAAAAGTGTTGAGAAAAACCCCAAGAAGATCTTCTTGGCGGAGGAGTTGGTGAACGAAAACGTTTGGAGGAACTTATTATGTCGACGGACGAAGAGTCACTTGCTGCCCGAGGCCTCCTCGCAACACCTGTTGATCTCTTAGGGGGGCCTTGTGTGTCTATACTCCCAAGAGGAACGCTCATGATGCGGGGGCTGGAAGAGCTCTTTATGTAGAGCGCGCATATTCTTAAAGCGTCGAGATATAACCGCAAGACCTCTTAGCTAAACTTTCCTCCACAAGTTCGTGGCTTTCTGGTAAGTAATCTTTGGGTCATGGCGAGGTGTTGTGCGATTCAACCTACATAATAGTATTCGCATCTCGTAAGGTTCCAAGCGTCAATCGTCAGGTTCTAGGGTGTGTATTCGTAATATCTGCAGGTTGATAGGTTTTTCTTCTTCGTGGCGAGTACCGAGCACGCCCATTTATCATACGATCATATGGAAATTGCATCTTGAAAAGTTACACTTCGGTGCCTGCGATGCAATACAACCAAGTGCCGAGACCATTCTGTAACTAGCACCACCAGACGGGGATAGGTCCGAAATCAGAGACGATACCTAGGTATCCACCGCTTGGGTTCGTTATTTCGTCCCTAATTCGTTTTATGCAAGCCACATGTCTAGGGTATTGCACCTAGAGATGGAACTGTTACTCCCGAAAGACCCGTGGTTGTTGGGTATCAATATTCTGGGGGATATGGGGGAGATTATGGGGAGATCTGTTGTATTGCATCGCACAGGCGTTTAGGTGCTACCAATATCACTTCGCTTCTGCTACCTATAGATTCTTCTAGGAGTTCAATGGAAACATAATAGTTCCTCTGACGGTGGAAATTCATATCATGACACACATAGGAAGCCATGTCCCAGCCCCTGACTTTTCTCGTTGCTTTCTCCGCCGTCGTCGGCACCTCCGAAGCCATTAGACAAATCCAGTCAGACGCCAGAAGAAAGGAGCATCGAAGCCGAAAAAATAATTTAATTGTGCGATGTTCTAAGTCTTCCCAGTATAGCCCTATCCTCGAAGGAAGACATGTAGTTCTATCGGGTGATAAGGTATGTGTTGCGGTTCTTTGCTAGGGGAAACATTGGGCTAACTAGGTCTAATATAGCTCTATATAGACACGGGAACCGATTATGAGCAGGTGTTTGGTCATCCATTCGCAGGATACTTCCTACCATATCCCGATACTAAATACTCTGGGCTTGTTTCAACTATCTGTGATGAGCCACCAATTATGAATTGGATCTACGTTGATAGAAATACCTACGAGCTTAAGTTCGGTACTCGCCCCTGGGCGCAACCCAACTGGCCTGGACCGTTCGATTGCTCTCGGCAAGACCATAGGCTTCTATTTGCGGGCTGGGAGGGTTTCTTTGCTGTTCAAGAGGGTGACTTCTGGGCTCTATACTTCGATATTGATGAAGATCGTCTGGAGTCAAAAGTAAAGAAAGAGATGTCTATACTAGAGGTAGAGCTCCTGCGGGTAGAGATGCGAATTAAATCTATTAAAAAGGAGGAGCCATCCGAAACGACCCCGAAAGAAGCAGAGGGCCAGGGCGGTTCCCGAAAACCAGATGTTGGGGAGGACCTAACGCAAACCGAACCTAAAGTCAATGAAAACCACGCATACGGCCTAGAGTCTCCAGATGTGGACTGAGTGTCTTTAGGGTACAAGAACTTTATGGTATCAGATAATATTTCCCTGACTAGAAGGCATTCACAATTGTGACGAACGTTAGTTTAAGCTATCTAGGAAGTTAATCCGACTAGATACAACCCATGACGCAAGTGTGTTAGGGTAGTAATGAGGCATAGAAGTTGAATTCTGACCCAGTTTTCGTCCCAAGTTTGGTCGGTATACCAGGTAGGTTGAAAGATTTGGCTTTGGGTGACCTAATCAGACGACCTGGTAACGGAATAGGAATGGTTGGTCTAATTCTCCATGGTCCTTTCTACCTGTAGCCTCCTCAGCCCCGTAACTTCAGATATCCGTATTCACTGGTGCTGTCTTAAGCGAGATTATTGGTAGTCTCGTATACAGAGTTCGGTAGCACTCGGGTTCGCCACCAGGGTGATACTCTAAGAAGCCGTGGCAGTATGGACAGTCAACTAAACATTACTTTTCGTGGGGCGCGCGGTTAATCCTAGCTTCTCCGGCCTATTCTTCTCGGTGGCGAGAGTTGATAGGTCGTCATCGTCTGCCTCAATGTTTGCCTTCTTAATAACCTCCTCCTCAGAAGACTCCTAGGTTATCGATCCTTTCTCGAAATCTCGTTCTAGAAAATTGTGCCATTGAGGGTATCGTGACTTAATTGCCTTCATCATGAGTAGGAGCTTCGCCTTGGTGGGTAATTCGACGTCTAGATCTGTCAGACGATCGGCAAGATAATGAAATCGAGAATTGAAGGCATGTAAAGTGACTCCTGGCTCCTGTGAGGCATTGATAAGCTCGTCAAAGAGCTTGGGGACTGCCGGCTCAGCGAACTTAGGTAGCGCTACTAGGATGAGGTCCCACAAGACTTTGGGGTCATTCTCCGTCTCTGACTTCCAGCCTGCTGCCTCCAGTTGTTCCTCGACATGCTGAATAGATGACGTCATAATCACCATAGCGTGTACACGTTTGCGGTAGTATTGTTCCCTCTCAGGCACCAGTTTCGGCTCCTCAGCTGTGCCGTCGAAAAAGGCGTTAAGATCGTGATAGGTTGCATGTTGACGTACGGAGCGCTTCCACTGCTTAAGATTGCTTAGGTCTTTGAGTTGAGGAACAGCAAGGAAATCAATCGGAATTTCGGGTTTGTCGGAAGCCATCGTAACTGGCCTTCATTCGTTTCGTACGGACGAGGTTGTTGTTGTTGTTGTTGAGGGTGAAGAAGCCTCGAATATAGCTATGGTTCGAATCTGACCGATTCTCAAAGAGTTGTTACTTAGCTCAGATCCAACCAGGGAAAAGGTAACGTCGCAGCTCGAGCTTGGTTGTAAGGGAGGTTTGAATCTGGCGGAAAAAGTTGATAGTGAGAGGGCTCAATTCTGGCCATGGGGGGATGAGGCAGGAGGAGTCCTAGGGGCAGAGAAAAGCCGGCTCGAACGCGGCCAGGAAAGAGGGGTACCTTCTACCTTAGAAAATAGCGAACAATTAGAGTAGGAAAGTACAATTACACTAGGCAAAAGTGTGGTACTTTGGAAGGCAATCGCGTGGTGATGAGGCAAGAAAGAGTATGCGGTCCTATTAGCACTAAATAATGTACGTGAAGGCGTCGTCTTTGCCGCGAGCAGAACTTGAAAATATTGAATGAAAAACTCTTAAGGCGCCGGGCTGAGAGAGGAAAGATCCAAGAATATACGCGAAGTAGCTCGAATTTTCGAGTTCAAGGCTTCACACGGAGGTCGTCTGCTTCGTCGTTTTGTCTATTCGCTAGAAGCGCTTCGGTCTCCCTAGGTAGATATTGTAGCATCATGATAACCTTCTAAGCTTATCCATGCCTCATCTACTTGGCTGTATAATACTTAGCTACTTTACGACGAGCGGGATCCTTACAGAGTGACCGAGAATATGATATCCGTTATCCCCCGGTTTCAATTGATGGATAACTCGGTTTAGCGGCCGGATTTATAAATTGAAGGTCCAGAAAGAGGTGGCCCTGATTTTTGCGCAGATGTTCGCTAGGTATCCATGGTCTGCTGCTACGGAGAACAACAAGGCAGCGACCGGAATCCAGATTATCGCTCGCCCTCTGAGACAGGCTAGGAAGTAGTATTACGTTAGCTATATATTGTCAGAGGTTATTTTAACGGGTTGCTTCCGAGCGCGCCGGAGTTTCTCAAGGTGGGGGAGTAGTATATAGAAGACAAAGATATCGTTTCACAAATCATTGCGCGGGAAAAAGATTCTTACGATTGACATATAAGAAGGGGTATAACTAGTCCATATCCGTTACCCAATAAGACGAAGTACCAAGCATCAAGGATAAATTATGAATCTAGATTGACTGGGGGAAACGATCTTGGGTCGAGATTGAATATTTGGGTATTTCTTCGCACCATGCTGACCAATAGGACGCGTAAACGTATCATTGCGCTATGTTACAATGACCAAAGCCACTTCCGCGGTCTTTTCGGGGCAACGATCAATCTAAGTAGCTAGGTAGGTAGTCAAGCACCTTGGAGCACATCCACCTACTTGGTCTAGACACCCACTGGACTACCTAGGTAGGTGATAAGCAAGTTATAGATACACTATAGCCAATTGTTGAGTCTTCAGTTTATTCATGATGTTGATTATCAGCTTGGCGCAAAGTTCCTTAGTACCCCAAGCCAGGTAGGTAAGTACACCAACCGAGAAATAAAGGCCCCATCGAACCAGAAATAGCTGAATACCTAGGTACTTATTTGGGTACGGTCTAGGATTAATACATATTGTTCCATCAAAGCTCTTGCCCGGGGATTATCTCCTGCGAACATCGCATGTGATAGTTCTCCTATCTTGCCGCCACTATCTTGCAGGGACAAAGTATGTTAAAATAGCCCTGTGCGCGACAGCATAGGCTGTAGTGTCCTGTCGTCGAGCGGCCCTGTTTCATGAAAAGGGCGTCTATTGACAGATGCTGTGCTTCATCATCGTAGTAGTTAGACCTCTTCTTGATATGCACCAGATGTTCCAAGTCGGCTAAGTCGTTGGATCCTCCTAAAACGTGTCATAGTACCTCGAAAAGATTTTGGTACCTGGGCACCCATAGAGCCGGTGACTATCGGATATTCCTTGCCACACAAATGATATCTACCAGTCCGGGTACCAAGCCGTGCATCTGTTCTTCTTGCGGAGGCACGAAGCTGTGATACTTCTAGCCTTGGCAGCACACAGAGGTTTGGCAATGAGCTTGCGGTAATGTCGTGACTCAAGCTGGCGGCATGGCGTAGGATATGCTGTTCACCAACTTGAGTTTGACTCGAAGGTTAGGGCTTCTCTTACGCGCGTTGCGGCCGACATTTCGGGTCCCTTCCTGGCCTTATTCACGCCACTTGGATATCCATGGTCTAAAGCATACCTAGGTACCTAGGTAGGTAGGCTAGGCAGATATTTCAGACCAGTTCTTAAGATAAATTCTCATTTTGGCCTTTACTGTTGTCACCAATCTTTCATATATCTTTCAGTTCCAAGAAGTTCATCCTTCCCCGACCCTTGTCCTCTCAGGCTTGTAGTTACGGTATTATCGGTAGTTATCTTTATAAAGTTGCTTCGATCTCGGTTCTTCGACTCGTCGCCGGATGATAGATCCATGTTCGGATTGTTACGAGCCGCGCCTCGTAATTTGGATAACGCGTAATCGGACGTGAAAGCTCTGTTGTCGGCCGATATAAGCCCACTACGTAACGATCGAAGGAATGGCCAAAAGTATGCTGCACAAGCTGCCGATATGCTTGCGAATTGAACGAACTGCATGCTAAGATAATATGGAAAGCCTCGCAACGTGAAATCGTATTCGCGGAGACGAGGAAGATAGATGAGCTGGAAAATCGTAGCTATAATAGCACTTGGAACCTGTTAGAGTCATCTGGGTGGCATGTGGGAGCGGAACGTACAATATTCTCACGGAAAAAAAGCTAAGAACAGTGATTCTCGTTCTGATCGTTAATTTAAGTGGATGTATGACCCATGCCGGAAGAGCAATTAAAGCGGCATCTGTCAGAATGTTTGTGATGTTTGCATATTCCAAGAACGTATACTATGCGAGTGATTAGCGCGATCGAGTTTCGATCATTAATTATTTTAGCCAGTCTCCTACCTTGTCGAGACACTTGACGTCTTCTCCAGTTTGCCATGGCCCATGGGCCCCACATTGAAAAGCGGTACCAATGAAAGCTACTAGCAGCCAAGCAATAACGGCGACGACAAAGACGAATGTGAGGCGACGATGTCCTGTATCAGGCGAAAGAGAAGTAAACCCCGCGCAGACCGACAATTTCGCAAGTCCAACAGCAATAATGTAAAGCAGTTCTCCAGCATATTGAACCTAGATATATATATTAGTCTTAAGATAGCAATCGCAATATTTAATAGCCACCGCATACTTTAAGACCTGCCGTTAGTTCTTCGTCGGAGATACTGTTTCGTGCCTTGCCTAGGATTTCGCCTTCAGGGACAAGGAATGTCACAGACTCGCCCAAGCCAGCAAGCTAATAATCATATTGTTAGTTCAATTAATGAAAACCCCATTTGTTTAGAAGGCGTCCATTTCACGTACAAATGCAGAAGTAATAAGCACCTCCTCCCATCCGAACCGCTGGTTTGTCTTCAGAAAGAATTTCGTGAGGAAGCGAAAGCAAAGCATAAGCGAAGTTAATGCGAAGAGCAACCAAGTAACCATCTGCAGTATTGGATTCAAATTCGAGTCCGTGACGATAATTCCGCCCGGCGGTGACGACGTCACCCCTTCAGAGGCGCGACGCGAAGCCGACAGCATCGTTAAAGACACTGGGTGCACCACCGTGAAGGAGCGAGACGAAAGATCTCAAGACAGACCGCAAAAAGAATGACAGCGGATCAGACATTGACAGGGCTGAAAAGCAGCAGGGTTTCCCGCGACGAAGTGAATGTATTAAGCTTATTATTGATGGAAAAGACTAGGGCAGTACGTAGGTAAGACGGATTTGATTCGCGCGCCCCCATGTGTAATACTTAACGATCAATACAGGTACATACCTACCTAGGTACCTAGGTAGGTAGGCATGTAGGATAGGGGTAGACACGCCCACAAATCAATTGGCGCTTCTGGCAGTGCTTACTGGAAGGTAGATTTAGAATCGAACCACCGATAGGCGGCATATAATGGGCCATGGCACGTATCCCTAGGAGATGTACGTTACACGGCATAATGAACGAGACGGGTTTTCTTAATGTTTGATACGCAGTTGTAATAGACAGACGATTCTTCCTTTTTGGATGAGCCTATCCTCACTCTTTTCAGTGCGCTAAAGCCAGCCATGGAGCATGGGATCTGCAGCGAGAGACGGGGAACTCCATACCCATAAGGCTAAGTGTACATGTATCTAGGACTAATGCCGGTAAGACCGCGGGGATACATAATAGTAAAATCAGGGGGGCTGGGCTCGGTATACCTAATGGCTCTAGCTTCTGGGGCCACGGCTGAACGAAGAATGCACAACGGTAATAAGAAAATAAGCAATTCGGCGCATTATTTTCTGTCGATTTTAAGATATATCACAGCATGATTCCCCAGTTTCTTTATCATAAATACCCTCGTCTTCTAGTTTGAAATATAGCGTCGACTTTTCTCGAACAGTGAATCTATGCACTTTTGTGTAAGACTCCGCCACGTTGTGTTTCCCCGAGATGAGATTGCATAGACCAATCATAATCCTTCTACGACTCCATTCACTGCAAGTTGCGTAGGATCGGTCGCTGCGACGCGATATCCAATGGTGCTGGTCGCAACCCTACCTAGGTACATGACTGCACAATCTGGCGAATCTCTGGCCATTCCTAGCCTGTATTGAAAAGGGGTGCCAGGTAAAACATGCAGTAGAGTAATGGCAGACTTTTCGCGATAATTTCCCAGCAAGGGTGCGGTAAAGAAACATACTCACCGATCTGTCTGGCAGCGACGGCCCGACTTCAATATAGCACGGGCTGACAAGATGGACTGATGTTCACTTTCATTCATAGCCGCGAAATATACTAGCTACGTTGGTCAAACTGAGCCAGGAAGGTCAGAAGGGGAATCTTCTCGTGTATTCATAGCTGTGTTGGCCCGGCACGTCCCACACGATCGCGCACGGCATATTGACCCGCACCAAAAAGGAATAGTCAGCAAACAATTATAGTGATAGAGGGTATAGAATATTCCTCGAGACATTTGTATCTCTCGATCAAAATCAAAAAGTAATTTCATGGTAGGTACATTCAACGGCATCATTAGCCTCCCTTTGAACGTTTCCTCGTCGCCGCGAGTATTTATTTCTAATTATAGGACCATGTGGAGCTCCTAGCCATTCGGTTGCAACATAACGATAGGTACCTAATGTACCTAGGCACATACTAGGTACCATTTTGCACATTCAGCAGCACCATCGTAGTTAGGCAAACGCTAATCAATTAATAATAGCTTAGCCTTAGTCCTAACTATCAATTTATTTCGCTAGAAGTAGTATCTCCATCCCATAATACCCTAGGTAAGTTCCTAAGGCAGTAGGCTTGCCAGCGCAATATCAAGTTCCTCTAGGTAATTAGCCATTTACCTATATACATAAGTATCTAAGTATGTAAGTAGAAGTTACCGCAGTATTGGCGATACAAGTAATTATCTTAGTACCTAATGTATATCTAGAGACCATAAAACCAGATCTAGTCAACATATATAATACTAATCCAGTATTGTAACATGTGACACCAAGGTTATTAGTAAAACCGTATCATCTTAAATACCTAGGTAACTAAGAGTACGCACGTACAAGATTTTGCTTAGGTAGATTAAATACATAATTAGGTACCTACATATATACCGACCTAGGTAGGTACCTAATAAGTACGAAGAGATAGCATCGTTGATGGTATCTCCAAATATAGCAGGCATAAATTTTGTCGAGCAGGCACGCAAAAAGATATATTATAAACATTGAACAGACCCGAAATAATAATAAGCTACAGGGAATAGTGGATGACGGCTTCACGTAACGAGCGAGATTAGAAGGGGGTGTTTAGGAGCATGTAGCGTGTTTTCAGGGGCAAGACTAGCTAATTCAACTTAGAGAACTCCTCCCCAGCAGTTATGATGCATCGTATTAGTCACACTTTCGTGATTCACTAGGAGCCCAGGCAGGCGGAGAGGGTTGCAGAATTTATTACTTACTGCGAAAGTCTTTCTCTATTAGACCTGCTAAAGTCCTTCACTAACGGGGCGTAAATCAAATCACCGTATACTAATGGGCATTATCCAAATATGAAACCTCTGTTGCCTCACGACTTAGCTCCACGGCGTATAAACCACCTACCTAGATATCTCGGTAGATAGCCGTCCCTGATATACTCAAATCCAAGAAGAAATATCCAAACTAAACTCTCTGGAATTCGTACATTTCCCTATCTTGCTTGGCGTCTGCTCGGTCGAGTGTATATAGCTTGATCAAATCGAAGGCGACTGCGAATGCTAGTAGCGCGCTATTCACCCTATATTAGCTTGTCTGTTCATTCTTGAGAGAAGACGTGTAGATGTAGGAAAATACTCACGCGGCAACAGCAGAAGCGGCACACGACGATACGAACGGATCTCCGTGGTGGGTGCCTAGTGTGGCAGCGACGGCGATGTCGCCAATAACGAAAGCAACCTCGAGAATACCTCCGATCAACGTTGTGGCATTCCTGTTAAAATGGGCTGCTTGCCCGCTGGCTCGATCGGCCCTTTGAAGAAAAACGAAGATAACAAGGGTGAAGACCGTGCCGACAAACCCCTAAGATGCCATCAGATTGCTTTGTCAAAGTAGTCCCCCATGTACCACCAGGGTAATGTTCATACTTACCAAGACAGTAGGAGCTATAAGAATAGAGAAGTTGCTTGTTTCTTCGGAGAAACTAATTTGGCCAGAAAGATATCCAGTAGTGGCATCCGCCGAAGTGGTATATCTCGTGTACTCAATGACACCCACTATGCCCAAAGCAAGCTGGCCTAAAATTGCCACCACGTGAATCGCAAACCACCATATTTTGTCCATGGCTTGAGGTATGTTGGGTTATATGGTGGTAAAAGAAGAGGTATGAAGGGTGCCGTAAATAAAACTATCGCGAAATTAGGTACCAAGCGGGATATTCGCTTGCCTTTGAGGCCTTACAAGCTTATATATAAATATCCCCAGCCTAGGCAGAAACTAAACTGCACGGCATAACGGTCATATCGCCGTAGGATTTGTACTACTGCGTTATAGGACGTGCCATACTATGATATCTGACAAGTCGCCCCCGTCACAGATTGCTCTACTACCACACAACCTAGCAGCTGAACTTCGAACGGGCTAGCATATCCTGTTTTTAAACTAATCAGGGATTTTGCCGCCCAACCCTCAAGCCGCGTGGGGACTAAAATTTCCTAGAACTTGTAATCTTATTGGTAAATTTAGACACTGTGGTAATTATTATTAGTCTGCTCCAAATTTCTATGGTTGGGAAGTAGATATAGCTCATGTTGTATCCTGACGAACAGACATAACCCAACAAGATCTCGACACTAACCACCAAAATGGCCTTCAGCTTCAGGAACGAGTTCTCGCGAGATGGGCTCTGCGCGGTCAGAAAGGATATGGACCGGCAGCCAAAATGCAATGGGTGCCGCAGAGTAGAATCACTAATTCGATATTGTGAGAGATACCTCACCGCGGGATCTAAGCCAAAGCCGGTTCTTTTCCACAACAGTTATCGGGAACTCGAATTCTGTGCGGAGAAATGCAGTACCTGTAGAGTCATTCGCCGAGGCTTCCTGCTTAATCAAGCCACCTTTACTCAAGCCGAAATGCTTGGACTACGGGAACATCAAGTGCCTCTATGGGCAACCATCGAGGATGGGAAACTCGGTGCGAGTTTGCAAAAACATGCCGATAGCCTCGTCCTAGGGGGCAATAGAATCGACCTGCAGATGGGATCGTTCGGCGGGATCGATGAGCGGTCCCTTCCAGCTATTGCCTCAGATAACTCGGTCTGTGCAGAGATCCGGACATGGGCAAGGGGCTGCCAAACTAGCCATCCAGATTGCGGCAATCTCAATTGGTCCCGGAGGAATCCCACTAGATTAATCTGCATATTGTCGGATTCCTTAGTCCAGATTGTGGAGACTCGTCACATGGAATTTCTTGAATATGTCTCCCTAAGCTATTGTTGGGGGTCGAATCAGGAAATAGGAAATAAACCTATCCCGGAGACAAGGACAGTGCGGGCGAATATTGCCCAGCGGAGACGACCCTTTCCGATTACCGATTTGCGGAGGACGATACAGGACGTTATTCGTTTTATCAAGGGTGTCGGCATTCAATTCGTATGGATCGATTCCGTCTGTATCATCCAGGACAGCGCTGAGGATTGGGCAACGGAAGCCTCATTAATGGCAGGAGTATACAGTAACGCTCATTTCACACTGTGCTCGGTCGCAGTAGAAAATGCCGACACAGCTTTAATCCGACCCCGAGAAGCCTGGAAGCATCCGATCGAACCAAATTGCCAACTTGCGGGTCAGCATTTGTCAGCCGTAAGCCCACCGTTACATGAGCTAAAACGACAGGCCCCATACTCGGCCAGGGCTTGGATTCTGCAGGAAGAGAAACTCTCGCCAAGGATCTTGTACTGGACGCCGCAACGAATGTACTGGTCTTGTGCGACTCAAAGATCCGTGGAGTGTGCCCAATTCCAAATGCAGAGGCGGCAGCCCGACGCATTTAATGACTACAACCCTACTCAGGCATTCCTCCGCGCCTCGCGTGACGGCACGGACTTACACCTACATTGGAAGGATTTAGTAGAGGATTATACGAAAAGATTGCTCACTAAGTCTAGCGATAGATTTCCGGCCTTGTCCGGTGTCGCGGCAAAGTACCAACTCGCGCGAAGTGATGATGAATATTTAGCCGGGCTCTGGCGTAGGACTATCGATGAGGACCTTGCCTGGCGCGTCGAATCGCCCGCACCTCCTAATCGCCTGCGAGGTCGAATCGAAGGCATCCCTTCTTGGTCCTGGGCATCACTTCCAGTGGCAACACCCGCAAATATGAGTCGAAACTGGATTCCTTGCGACTCTTTTGTATTCATGGGATCTCAGATACCAGACCAGCGTCTGGATATCCTCCAGAAAATGGACGCGAGCGCGCTAACAGACCAGAGCACCCACAAGGTACAAAAGGGTGCCGGCATCACCAGCATCAAGGTCCGAAGCCGAATGCGGCCTTTACTGCGGGCGAGTTCCGAACGACGCCCTTGGTCCGACGTCAAGTCCCGCGACGGAAGAGATGGGAAATTCGAGTTCGCACGTTTCGTTGACCGTAATATCCACTGCGTTGAGCCAGATAAGGGACTGCTTCTACTCTATGAGTCACAGAGGCAGGAGATCGTATATCAATTGGATTACTTGTCAGACACGAGCGAAGTACTGTCCCGCATAAACCAGCTCGAATGTATTGAACTGGGAAGGCAAGCTATGCTGCTTGTTGAAAGTTGCGGGTATGTTGCAAATGATTCGGCGAAATCATATAGACGACTGGGAGTGTCGCTGGGGCCTGCTCGATCGGATTTCTTCAATAACGCACCAATTGAGACGTGCAATCTGATATAAGATCGACCAGTGCAGCAGGGGCGCGATCAACCTGAGTGATTAACACCTAGAAGGTAAAGTTTCATAAATTAATATAATTGTCGTGTTGTGTTATCCGCTTCCTTCGCGTTAAGATACTCTAATGATCTTGTTAACCAAATTTAGGACCCTCTTAGGGTGTAATTGTCATTTCTGGCTTCAACGCGCACCCCCCGCGACTTACACTAACATCAATTCGGCGTTCACGGTCTTGTGTTCATATACATCTCATCCAGATTGTCCTAGTTTTAACGCAACAATAACCTCGTCGGCATTCTTCATTAAGTATTATTATTTAGCTTTCTTGGGGGGGGGTTCTATACACTCCCGGCCAAATATTTCTCAGAGGCGTGGTCGGAACTGGCCCGCTAGTTGACCTCTACCAGTTGTTGGTATAAGCGCGCGATATCAAATCTTCATCGTGGCGCGTCAGCTAATCGGTTGTGTTGGCCCGCCCATCTACCTTGCCGAGGTATTAATAATCCACAAGTCATTGCCAAAGCCAACGATTTAAGACCAAGGACATGTTCAAATCGTCATCCGGCTAACGTATTTGTATTGCTAAACGGCCGATTAGTCGGTGGCTCGCCCGCCACTCTTGTGTCAAGTTCGTGTACGCCTGAAATACAATCCATCTCGATTGGTCTCGTTGTCGAGTATATTTGGGCCGAATATGGGGCAGACTTTGACTCCGGCTCAGGCGCTTCCTGCCATCCAGCCATCGTTCGCCGCCGATTTATACATTGTCTCCACGCCAGCCAAGCAATACTTGAGAGTAAGAGGAAGGTACCGATGCCAACTCCTACACCTATACCCGCGGTAGCCCCAGCCGATAAATGCCCAGAATCCGATATATTATTTTCTACCGCTGAAGTTGGAGTCGAGATTGCCCCGGGAGTGGATGAAGGCGTGATGATGAGGTCAGATGAATGGAAGGCAACCCTGATCGAATGCGCGTTTATACCATCAGCTGTTGTAGCTGTTGTTGTTACGGTATTTCCGAGCCGATCAACGTCGGTAGCTATATAAGTTTTCGTCACCCCGTTCGTCCTGCCCGAGAGGCAAGAGTAGAAGCCGTCGTCGCAAGTAAACCCACTAATTTGCAATTAGTTACGTACCCCAACGGAGGAAGCGCCAACATTGTAAAGATAAACACGGCTTACCTTGGACAACATGCCCACACTGTCTCACTATCGTCGCGTTTCGAAGAGACATCGCATGCGCTCACATATCCAACCGGGCAAATTGCGGGTGAGATTGTAGTAGAAATATCTCGGTTACCGGGCCAGCAGCTTGTATCGTGTGGGTTGCCGAGGACGAGACCAACCGCATCCCCGGTCCCTGAAATTATCCAAGTCTGGGTTACACACGATGGTGCGAGAGCTAGAGTTGTTAACATTTTGAATGCACATAAGCGTTGAGATTTTCATTCAAAGATGAAGCGGAGAGGATCTGTTCTAAATGGCACGTCGATCAAAGCCAAGCCTGGGCAGTCCTTTTTTTAGTTGTACGTTCTGTTGCACAGAGACTTCAGCCGTATCCACTTGTATCGCCTTGTTGCCCATACAACCCACCAGCCAAGCGAGACGCAGCGACGCTCCCGTAGGTGGCGATGATCTAGGTATGATATGACCGTATCTGTACAAACTAGAATTACTCCATAGGAACGCTCGACCAATTATTAAGGCGCATGCTCTCCAGCTACCTAGGTATATGCTCCTATTTTTCTACAACGTCGCACACAAGGATGGGATCTCCAAGCCACTTATCCACTTCGGTCCAATTAGCTTGTGGCTCGCTGACATGTCTCAAATTGCAATTTAGTAACAGGAAAGGAATTAGGAACATACCTAGGACTGGCGGATACTCAAGAGCCCGATAGTTCACCGCACAACCGGAAAGGGGGTAATTTCACGAGCTGGCGTTGACCACAAGTCCTCACATCCAATAGCAAAATGAACTAATTACCGTAGGTAGCCAAGCAGCAAAGTACACAAATTAGCGCATGCGCGAGGCATATTGAACACGAAGAAGCCATCAAAGTTATCACGAAGCCAATAAATCACAGCGCGAAAGCCTGTTCCACCACCGATCTCGTAACACACCTACTACCTACTCCGTGGGTATCCCCACGTAAGATTCATGATGCATCATGACATTAAGTACTAGTTAAAATTTTAGGAGAGATATAGGGGGTCGCATTAGAGTTCTCGCAGCATCAGCGATATCATTAAATCCGAGGATATCATCCAAGCCCTCGAACACCTCATTGTCTAGGGGAGACTAGCCCATTTCTATCGAACGAGATACCGTGACCCAGCTATTTGAAAGCCAGAAACTACACGCACATAGCAGATCGGAAACTGTCAAAAACGATATCGCTATCTCATCTTGATGATAATGTATCGGTTCTAGGACCGGGACTTTGCCTGATTGCCTTACGTCCCTAGACATCTGACGTATACCGAGGTAACGATCCGCCTTGTAAGGTAGATTTAATGATATGCTGTACCTAACCTAGAAAGTAGGTACCTGGTTTCCGACATGGTTTTCCCCTTGGCACTAGGGGAAGAATAAAAGATGCACCGTACAGCAGCCACACGAAAACAAAATTTATAAACTCCGCCACTGATGGACTCTGCGCCATCAATAGTATAATGTCCGTTATGTAGCTCCGGATACCAAAGCCAAGATGTAAAACTAGCAAGCAGAATCATTGTCCACCAAGTCAGGCGCCCATTATTGCTTCTTGTAAGTACCATCCGAGTGAACAATTTGTGAAAATGCTGCGATCAAACACCTCGACAACGCACAACCTACAAAATGCTTGGCGAGAAACTCAATCTCACTTCCAGCGGGCACATTCGCGGCAAACATAATCTCTCCAGCCTTCCTGAATCCACAACGCCACATTACGAACACCGATCTTGACAAAGGCGTATTACATTTTAGCGGTTCCTCCAACAAAAATCCCCCAATGATGAACAAACTTCTTCGGGGGGTGTTCTCAATGGGTCGATATCGCCCAATATGCATACCACTTGCGGAATTTACCGCCTCTTGCCGTACACGGCGGCGGCGCCACCGTTTGGTGCATGGAGTTCGCTCTAGTTTAGAGACCCCGCTAGACCGCACCGCCAGTCTAGATATTTTAATTCAGCTTGAGGGAAAGATTCAATTCTAGATTCTTGCGAGACGAGAATTCAAGAATCCGGTGGCCTCATTGTCCAACGAGGTACCCAACATGTCTGGAAGAAGCCTAGCGTAGATGGTTTGAATACCAGAGAACAGAACCCCTGGCAGATTGTGGGGGAGTCATGAGAGATCGTGTGTTTCGTGCATACTTTTATGCCATGACTGAATGTATTATGCAACATAGCTGGTCAGTAACTCCTTCTTAGAGGCTCGGCGTTGAGACACGGTCGGGTCGGACCGAGCGGGAGGAGTATGTACGTGATACTCTCTACTCGAACAAGAAGCCCGCTTATCTGGGTGGACTTTAGCGGCGATTCTAGCGTCGATCTCTTACCGAAAGAGAGAGTTTCTCAATCTGCTCGCATCTTTTTCCCAATAATTAATACTTGAGATTAGGTACATATACATTCTCACTCGTCGCTTGAAGTCGACATGGAAACTCGCCGGCATATCGCGTCGCACTTTCTCACTTTGCTTACACCCAACTATCCCTTTTGGGTATATTTTGGATTTAAGTTCCGGGGTGATGTAACACTTGTCCCACCCGAGACAGAGGATCCACTTTCAATCCCGGGGTTCCGAGGTTGCTTCGTTTGTTCATTCTAAGTGCTGTGCCTTGAAACTGCATTCGACAATCTATTTTTACTGACTTAAACAAGATTGAGTTGACTTCATCTCAATATCAACCTCGATCCTATTGACAGGTATATCGACATTAACAAGACTTATTTCTTAATTCCTCTTGCCTTCAACAATGCCGCCTTCAAGTCTAGTAGCTCCGGTGCTAGCTCTGCCAGTTTCATCGTATCGCCTGTCACAACAGCCATGCACCTATTGCCAGTGCCATTAAGAAGTCCTTCGTCATTTGGATGGCAAAATCCAGCGAACGGTTTGTTGTGTTTGCGAACGATTGAACTAAAGAGCTCAGCAGCTTCTAGCCATTCAGGCTCCGAGCCTTGGATGGCATAACCACCAGGAAGACCCATGCTCACGCGTGTATCAATCGTTCCAAGCCAAACGACATCGACCTCGGGTACTTCAGTAAGGATCGCGTCAAGATTATTAATTCCCTCCAATGACTCGATCTGGATCATTAGTGCAGAATGATCGTTGAAGTTTTCCCACAAGGACTGCGTCGGATCGTATGGGATGTCCGTGACGTTATGTATGTAACGGAAAGGTGGTGCCGATCGATAGCCTTTGTTCTTACGACCGTACTTTAATGCGTTGACCACATGCTTGGCTTGTTCGACGGTATCAACTTGCGGTACGACGATAGACGCACCAGCGTCGGCAGCCCACGCTATGCTAGCGTGGTCATGCCCTGGCACCCTGCCATGACGGAACCAGAATCAATACTCTGCGTGCTCAACTTTCTGGGACTACGAGGATATCATTCTTACCGAACCCAAGGTATTGTTCGGCCTTCACTAAAGAAAGCCGCTTCGTGGACCATCTAGAAAAACGCAGAGCTTTAGTACTCAAAAGAGAAAAATAGAGGGGAGTGGTTAGACTCACCGTCGTCATAGTCTCGATGTTCATGGCAGTATGCTCCCAATCGATCCAGACGAAATCGAATCCCATCGGGGCTACCAATCTTGTTATCGGAACTGCCGCAAGTCCGGCATAGTAGCCGATCATTGGTGGAATTTTCTTGTTGTGTGCATCTCGGATAGCTTCTCGAGCTCGGTGTGGTTGGAAAAGTGTCGTGGACGCATAATCCCTCATATCACCGTGCTTACGAGCAGTGCCGTTGGAGGTCGAAGTAGCACTCATGGTTACTCAGCCGACAGGTTTTACTGATTACCGAATAATTGAAACGAGCTGCGCTTGTGATGAACGACAAGTTAGTATCACGTCGACTCCGAATGAAATGCCAACCTTTATACACGTCCTCCCCCTTTCGGACTTAAAATCCGAGTTGTTTCCTCTACATCCGACGGGTTTTACATCGCGATCGATAGGCTACTATGAGGTACACAATGCGATCTCCACCGCACGAGATACGTTGAATCGTTTATGCCGTGTGATGCTCTAGCGTACAACCTTGCTCTCAACGCTTTCCGGTGGGGTTACTATTTCCTACGGCTTCTTCGAGATGACTGCCCGAAGTTACAACATCCGGTTTTCTATTTATATCGCCGCGATGTTCCAGTTTTCGTCTACCACAACCCATCACATTCACGTATTGCGCATTAGTGTCCATTAAGACGATCAGATTCATACCTTCGTTACCTGCTGTTTGGTTTGGGCGTATACCTGCCAGCTCGGTACGAAAAGTCTCGAGGCGCGGCGGTAGGGCTTATGCACCTCCACTTCTTGAGCCGCCCCTGCTAATATGATTTACGCGATCAACTTACTACGTGTTTCTAATAAAAACCACGTCCTTATTCATCCGCAGATACCCTCGCTATATAACGCCGATTTAGGTTATTAATCATGACATATAATCACGGTCTATAATCATGGTATAAGGGATATGCTTGTGGGCCGAGGCACATTCATTCTTGATTGCCCTACATTTTCGGCGGTAAAACCAGCCTAGAACCCGCGGGTTGTCAGCATCATAGGGCGTCAAGTCGGTAGAGCCCCATTCCCAACGAAGCCCTTGTGCAACGCAACCTTGATCGCGGAATACTTGCTCACCTACTTCCATGAAACAAAATGGATCGCCAGCTAGTTCGCAAATTGTTCATTTTTGGTGATTGAGTTGGGTCGATTTGGAATTATTTCATAGCTAAAACCCCTAAGATATCTAACGACAAGCAAGTGTTCCCTCATTGGCTAGGAAGAAATCGCCGATACAGGGGCAAGACGGATAAGTTGGCCGTGTTTTTTCTATGGCGCTTACACCGACGTCTTGACCGGAACGAAAACTCCCCGGTGAAGTCCCTTTATCTCGATTAATATACAAAGTGGGTGACGATGCGAGCTGATGGTTGTGGCGCTAGTAGGATTCTGGCCGTCACACGCTACTTCTATAAGGCACAACTGGCTTGTCCGTATCCCTCTACTACTTGACAACCACAAACACAGAAACTTTCTAAATTGGCACATTGAGATTTCATCCACGAGGACCAAGAGAATGAGCCTATTAGATTCAATCACCTCACTCAAGTCAAAATGAAGTCGCCTACGAATGACCTTCTCATTTCTTCCGCACATCAACAGTTTCTCCCTAGGACACACCCGGCGCTCCAATGTATCTGCGATACAACCGCGGTGGAACTCAACGTGGCACACAAGGGCGAAAGTGAGTTAGGCGTCGATGCGATATTGAAACTTGCTCGACAGGCCATTGGTTTTTGGCAAAGGCTTAGGAATTGTCGCGCATGTCTAGAATCTCGATTAGAAGAACTGCTAGCCGCATTCGACAAGACTATCAATTTTCTTTGCAGAGCAGCGTCTGAAGCGGATTTCCCAACCATTGCGACTTTTTCGGCTGAGCTCACCGGGGTCTCAAAGCAAGGCGTGAGGCCAGGACAAGGAACAGGTCCAGGTCCAGGGACGGGTTCCCTACCGGGGTCGGCTCCCACTAGCTCTTACGCGTATGAGACGAACGTACATAACACAGCCACCAGCTCCCAACCGGTCCGAACACCGCCGATGACGCTCGGTGGGGGTATCCCTCCTATGTCTTTTGGGAAGTACACTCTAGACAAACAGCAGAGTTTAGCACTCCTTCGTTCGACGTACTGCCGTATTCTGAGCCAGGTCGCGTCGACTCTATATGAGATACGCCAAGTGGAGGGCGGCATTGATGGTCGACTGAGTGGCATCACGAGTGATCTTCTGTATAATGTTCTTCACCTCATGGAAACATTCAATGAGAGGAATACATATTCGCTGGGTCGATAAAATTTCGGGGTATCTGACCTTGTAGCGATGTTTGGGGGAACGTGGGCATCCATTTACCATAAATGGTATAGTTTGCTCTATTACAAATGTTCTATAGGAGGATTGGAGGCGCACGGATACTGACCGGTAGCACATACTGCCCACTAGGATAATTATCCCGCTACGTAGAAGGGGGATGCTTATACCGATGGTGCTCGCGGGGATCGGAGTTGCTGCTGTATATCTTATTAGGTACTGCTAGTACGTAAGGTAAGCGTGGCATGATAGTGACACGGGCGAAGGAAATCCTCTGGTATAGGGCAAGGCTGCCAGGCCACCTGCAGAAGGTGACAAGTAACATGCATACTTTCTCATATGATATCAAATGGCGCGTATATACCTAGGTAGGAATGCATACCCAGCAATAGGAATGCCAATGCTTCGATGCACGAGGACACATTGTTTAGGTGCGTAAAACCTCTTATGAAGGTGTACATTTATACGTCATGGTACGGATTTTCGATATGGTTCTCCGCTAATTGTATAACATTTGAAGACATTTTCAGAATATCAAATTATTCTTGCGCTTGTTGACATTGTGTGCTAGATCCTCTTTGCAAAATGTACTTTCGATTATGCGGCTGTCAGCTTATGGTTGCATTGTGGATAGGCAACCTAAACATCACCCCGCATATCCGTAGCTGGGCTAGGATTGCATCAATGAGTAAGCGCAGCTTTAGCTACTTGTGTTTCCAGGGTTGCTAGAACCCTGCCGTTTCTAGACCTGGTCATAATATCATGCTTCTGATGGGCGCGTGGTTTGGACCCTAGAACTTCCCTCCAAGTATCAATAGAGGCTCAACCAAAGGGGATTATGGCTCATGCTACTCCGCGAAACTTAGGGCAAAAGCTACGCACAGCCTGTGATAGATGCCAGGCATCCAAAGTCAAGTGCAGTAGAGAGAAACCATCATGTTGGCGATGTAGTCAAGGCGGTCTAGCTTGTATTTACAGCCCACTTAGGAGAACTGGTAGACCACCGAGACGTACATCCACATCAACCCATACCGGAGAGTCGGTCAAGGGTACATCCAGTATCGTCAGCAATGCGAAAGACGTGATTCATCAACAGAACAAGAATGCCGAAACCCCCACAAACCAAGAACGCATGCAGCGGCAAGATCAGGACAATGGACTATACACGTCTTGGTCCAAGCCCTCGTTGGGCGGTCTGGAGTCGCCTACGGCGCCAATGGACACTATGGATACGGACATAACACAGGATGGAAGCAAGCAATGGGAAACTGGGCCGACACAATCACAGACAAACCCCGTGGACTCATTGATACAAGACCTGATGTTAAATCTCGACACGTGCGGGTTCACAATGGGAGACATCTCACCTGAATTCGATTTGAATCTTGGTGGTTCAACACTGATACCTAATACTCCTGAATTAGATACAAACGATGCCAGCACTATTCACGTCGCACAACCAACCAGTAGCATTACCCGCACGGGCAGTGCTAATGATCGCAAACGATTCGAAGGAAATAATTGGGATATACCTAACCACTCGTCAGCTACCTCTACTGTCTTTTCTAGAGCACCATCTGTAGTTGGCGAGTCGGGGCATAACTCAAGATTGTCGTTAGCCAATGCGAATACTAGCGAGCCAACCAATCGAGTGCCGTCGGATACTGTATTCAAATTTTCTTCCTTTTTCCCACCTCATCATGCGAGTACAACAGTAGCACCGTCAGCATCTGGAACTCCGTCGACCAATGTGGGGCCCGGCAAGAGTACCCAGCCCTGTCGATACGGTGGAACATGTTATAAAGCTTTATCGAACATGTTAGCAAGGCTCGTTGAGTGCGATTCAGACACCGACGGTCAAGATGGTATTTCGCTAGACACACTGTTGTGTCTAGATAGGGAATTACAAGAAACGGCGCGGAGGACGCTCGAGTGCCGATATTGCATGGAGAGACCGAGTAACCAGAACATGCTCATGATAGTCTATATGTCCCTGGATAACTTGCTTCAACAGTTCGAGAAACAGCAAAGGCAACAGCGTGCACAGTTGGGACAAGATGACTCCATCTCGGGGAAGAAAACCCTCGTGCTAGAGCAACATAGGCAATGGTTGCAGATCCTTCCGATGGCAGAAGCAAGGCATACTGGTGTCGCTGGGCCGACTCCTAACTCCCGGCAGGAGCAGCAAGATGGCCCCAAGACAGTGCACCACTCGCCTCAATTCCCGTGGACCGATAAGTCCTTGATGGTGGGTAACTTTGCCACCGACAATGCAGTGAAGGCGGAGTTCCTGCGCTATCTGGTCTTGAGTTATGTAGAGAACGTTTTGAAAATGTTATCTGAGCTTGAAAAGGAGGCTGGCGCCATTATGAAGGGGGTTAACTGTACCATAGTCAAGGATAAAGCGATAGATATCCATAGGCGGGCGTTTTTCCTTCGTGGGAGGCTTCGGCTGGATGCAATTGGTATCTAGGTATTTAAGTATGATGTCAAGCTGGGATTCACTTGGGTAGGGAAGAAAGGGAGAAGACTATATGTCTCGGTAGACTAGAGGGTCGGTAAATGCGGTGAACTGAGACGAATACTATAAATATAGCGACCGGTATAAACTGCTGTACCTGAACTTGAGGGGAAATGACCGATGCATGCCCGAATAAGCGAATGTTACACATATAATATGCGATCAATCGCAATGACCCCATGACACTATTTGCTTTTTTCTTTCCCTCGGGACTTTCTCCAACAGCGGTGGCCACTCCACAGCCATTATCTTCTGTTGTTTAGAGTTATGACCCGAGACGACTTATGCCGAAGTCATCATCTCTAACGAATGAAGATTTTATCGCTGACGCCACGTGTCACAGAAATACCCCCCTCGGCTGCTTGTTGCTTAGTCTTGGACCGGAAGCGCGAATTGTCCGTGTCGAATTCTTCTTCGATTCCCTCAGAAGTGCCACTTTCTCGGCGTCGTAGTGCGCTGAACGCGACATACTCCAATATCTCTCAGATAAAGTCAACTCCGCCCCGAGTATCTATTGGTATAAACTATCTGTCGGATATTACGATGTCTTGGCCTACTCCAACGTTGCGTCCATCGCTACGAGCTCATTTTACAGGCAGACATACTACTCGTCTCACTATGCTTCCATAGGTAGGCTGGGTCAGGTATAGTTGCAAATGCTCTCCCGTTGGCGTGATGCACAAGAAGGCACCCTTTAATTCGGAGTAACCTTGATGGCTTAGCCGATAGAAGGAACTCTGAATAAATTCATATTTCAGCGTCTATGAGTTATGACCGGAAGCTTAAGGCTTTATAAAACCATCGGCGATGATCGAAACTAGAGATCATAGCGTTGGTGGCGTTGATAGATGGGCGGGTATGCACGAAAGAGTGGGGGTGAAGACACACAGTACTGGGCACTTGGTGGGCACTATCAGCGATCAGATTCGTTGTAGGAGTCCTCAGCTCTTTGAACAGCTTCATGGGCCAGATGACCAGGGAAACAGGGAACAGCTAGCCCCCGACGTTGCTTGTTATTAGTCCGATCTAGAGCATATCTGCCTAGGTATTAGAAGCCCCGGTTAGGGGACAGTTATGACATTGCAGCTACGGTAGATATTAGATACCAGCTCATCAATAACTCCGAGGCTGCCTTGTGCAGGGATAATCTTTATAACACGCTGAAAGCCACTGCAGATCCTAATTGAATAACTATACCCGGATAAACTGCTAGTTCTTGTATTCTTGACTTATTTCGTCGCAGCTAAAAGATGATAGGGTTAAAACAGTGATGCTGATGAAATGAAGAGAACACCTCTATAGTGGGGTTAGAAACGCAGCATACAGTAGACAGATTAGGTACCTGTAATATCGTGATAGTAATTCTCCTTTAGTATCGGATCTTTGATACCCATAATTCACAGGTAAGCTCGGTTTTCAATTGGTATATTGAAGGGCGACACTGTACAGGATTAGGTGCCAGGGCTCATCGCAGGCGCATTTTCTGAAAATACCTCTTAACAATTTCTACATAATTAGGTACACAAAACATTCAAACATTTATTGGCTAATACAACATCCGATGTCTATCTAATTATCTATAGTATTGAAATTAAAGGAAATTCCATCTCATGGATTTAGGAAACCGGATCTCTTCCATGATTCAATGTACTTCATCAGAAGATTATAGTCTATGGGACCCTCGTTCTTCAGTGTCTCCGAATGCTTCTCAGCTTGTGTCGTGTCTAGAATTAGACCACCGCAGGACATAGGGACGAAATAAATCTCAAAGAAATCCATCAACTGTAGCGACGGGTTATCAGTCGTAGAGGCCCTGAAACGTCGTACCCGGTCAATCCATTCGTCAAATGGAACGATGCTCTCAGGACCAAGGCCTAGCACAGATGCTAGGTTTGCAATTAACTCCTTCCAAGTCTGGCGCGACGGGTTGTCAATATGATAGACCATGTCCTCCGCAGTACCAGACACTAGTAGATCACCAAGAGTTGATGCGACGTCATCGACGGGATACCATGATAAATCACCGTCCAAATCTGGAAGAAGCTTGAGGTTTTGTGAAGTTTTCACAAGGAAAGGAATGTACTCTGTTGGATTCCAGTACCCGTTACTGGTAGACCCGGCAATCTGTGCGACACGCACTGCCATAGTATGGAAGCGTTCCGGCAAGCTATATAGCGTTCTGTGCAGCATGTGCTCAGAACCCATCTTCGCTTCAGCGTAGCCGGTGTAGGGCACGGACTCCATTTGTGTCAGCCCCTCAGGTACCCGTGGTACGCCCTTCCATTGAGGGTAATTGGCTACTGTAGCGATTGAGGAAACAAATTGGAAACCAACTCGGAATGGCGGTGGCCTGTACTCTGAGATTCTACACGCAAGGTCGATGAGGTTTCGCACTATCTTGAATTGAATCTCATATGTACGAATCGGACGCGTCAAACTCATTGGCCAAGCACTGTGGACAATTTGAGTGACGTTGTGCACCATATAATCGTATGTTTCTGGCGAAAATCCTAGGTTGGGCTTGCTTGTGTCCGTTTCAACGACGTTTAGCTTGGCCAAAGATTCCTCGTCAAGCATGATGCCTCTCATCTCAAGAGACTTCTTCTGGCGGGTCTTCGCTTCAATGGTACTTATTCGGTTAATGCACACGACCATCTCAACGTCCGGGCGTCGCGCGAGGGAGGCGGCGATGTGTGCACCCAAACTTCCGGTAGCACCTGTAACGAGCACGCGCTTCCCTGCGGGTGTTGACGTGGTGGTTGGCCCTCCGGAGTTGGATGGTGCTCGGAAATCTTTGATGTATTTGTCAATGTACGCCTCAATCATCGCGCGACGTTCTGTCTGATCCGGAATCGCGGGGGCTTCCTCAACCGCGGGCGGGGCGGGAGGCTTCGGTCCACGCTCGAATTTTGGACCAGATGCATGCGCGATTATCAACCGCTGGAGGCCGGCTTCCGGAAGATCTCCATCGGTCCAGTCGACGTGACCATAACCTACCGAATGGAGAACCTTCTCCCAGTGCGTGGGTGGTTGCAGTACATAGTCACGTCCATCTTCAAACAACCACCAGCCTTCTATCATTCCAAACACGAAGTCGACCCATGGAACCATCTCTGTCATTTCCAAAAGAATCAAAAATCCATCGGGACGTAGTACGCGACGAAGGTTTGTTAGAGAAATGGACAGATCTCGCGTCGCATGGATACAGTTTGTACCTAGCACGATGTGCTGGCTCTCCAAAAACTTCGAGTCTGGTTCGCTTTCCATGTCAAACATTTTGAACTCCATGAATGGGTATTGCTTGAATCTCTTTCGGGCGGCTGCGATTAGCGAACCTGAGATATCGGTCATGGTGTATTTGACGGGCACTCCGAGGCGAGCCAGTAACGGTACAAGTTTACATGTTGTTCCACCAGTACCCCCTCCGACTTCGAAAATGCGGAGTGTATCTCCATTCTTGGGAAGAGCAGCGACGAATTGCTTGAGGAAATGTTCAAGTTGTTGAATCCAGACGCCTGTAAAGGGCGAATTTGCATAGAAGGCCGATGCGACTTCTCGGCTCTCAGGTGTACCAAAGATTAATTGTGCAGCATCTACCTTGCCGGTAATGATGTCCGAAAGACTACCGCCTGTTATAGCTGTGAGCCTGTGCTCAGCTGCACTTGCTGGTTCGTCATGAAGCAATTTTTCGAGTAGAGCTTCTGGAGATTTGGTGGGTGCCGCGACGGCTGTGCGTGTAATCTCCGAGCCGTTAATGTCTATTAAACGAGCGTCGACCTCCAGGATCTGATACATCAACTTCATATTCCTTTCATGCTTGGGATGATATGGGACGCGCTCAAGTCGTTGGCCAGGTTTTGCGGATCGGATTGGACAGCCAAGCTGCTCAAAAGCCTGAACGAGGTAAGCGGCGCAAAGCTCCGTCGATCTTGGTACAACTTTCTTATGGTAATTCGCCAGCTTCTCTTGTGCGATGAAGTCATCGGTAGTCCATTTGACCTCGCGGAAAACATTCAGTGTTGTTGAAGTAGGCAGATCGATATCTTTGCCTGACGAAGGTACGTGACCATTGACACCATTGATGCCGTTTAACTCTTCTTTACCGTTGACACCATTCGTATCGTGTAAACCATTTGCTCCGTTGACGCCGTTGACGCCATTAGTGACATGTGCTCCGTTAACCCCATTAGTTTCGTTCACTCCGTTAACCCCGTTAGTGTGCGCAACGCCATTGGTCTGGGGTGCCGCTTCGGTCTCTCCTGTGGAGGACTCTTCCTCATCCTCATCCGCCCCTTCGTCGGGAAGGCCTAGAGTCGACCGAATGCACACTACAAGACTGCGGAAGTGGGTCAAGTCCATAAGCTGGTCATTTGAAAGAGTGCATTTAAATGCAGCTTCGACCTCCCGCACTAGTTCCATGGCCATGAGGGAATCAATGCCGATCTCAATAAGATCGGAGTCATCTTGGACTTCCGAGGGTTCTAAACCAGAAAGGTTGCATACAATATCGCGAGTCTTCCCAGCAATGTCTGGTCCGGCTGCCTTTGGTGCCTTTTTAGCGGCCGCTTTAGGCTGACTCGGGGCTGCTGAAGTAGCAGTAGGTGCTGCTGCGACAGGCTCCGGAGCTTGGACCTGCGATGGCGCTGATGTGGCTGCAGTAGTGGGTGGTTGAGATGCTGACTGTGCTCCCCTAGATAATATTCTGCGGAATCCTTCTAATGGCACTTTCACGTAGGAAATTCCCAATACCGCCTCAACCAACGATCCATCTCGAGCATCGAAAGCGAAGACGTCGCTGATGTATTTCGTCTCGGATTCACGATGGTGCACCGCGAAAACCTCCCATACATCCGATTGTGAACCGGTTCCGCTCAATTTAGGATTGCGAATCCATCGGGCAATCCGCTCAGAGATGAAAATGCCTCTCTTCGATAAATCCGAGGCATCGGTCATTAGGTTCACGAAGATACCTGTGACTTGACAGAAACACTCCGTCAAAACGGGATCGATCCAATTTTCCCCTTCATACGCTTTCGTAACCCGACCCGCTGCATCGAGATCTTTTCCAGCTATCTTAGTTACGTGGCGAAGATGTTCTTTATAATCCACAACCTGCTCAAAAGCTCGGTAGATGTTTCGGCCTTGAAGTACATCATCAGCGAGATCGCCTCGCAAGAGATCAGCGCATCGTTTTCTGCCGCTCAAACGTGCCAAACTCTCGAAGTATTCATTAAGCTGAGGGTCGTTGGCTGCTCGGAATACTATCGTAGCAGAGCTGTAGTCTGTTACGCTGCCAGATGAGTTGGTACCGCTAAGCTTCCAGTCCCATATCAATCCTTCGCCGTCTTTAGCGACAGCATCTACAAATAGCGTTTTCGAAGGATCGGCAATCAAAGCATTGTGGTAGACAAGTCCTCGGATTTCAGGTTGGAAGCTGAAATCTTTAAAGTTCGACCTGAGATTCAAAAATGCATCTAGCACAACTTCCAATTGTAAAGTACCGGGAGTGCAGACGGCTGCGTTAACCACAATATTAGCCGATGTTGGCTTCTGGAACTTGTCTATGCTTGTGTTAACTCTGAACCGGACAGACCTCTTTGCGTCATCTTGGTAGCCAACAAAGGTCGTAAGACCCTTGGGAACCTCTGGTACTTGGACTTGTTCAACCACTGGGACCTCCAGCTTCGGAGGCGCTTTGAGTTCCATCCAGTGCCTCGTCTTTTCGAACTGGTACGGAGGCAGCACTATTGGTGAATATTCCGATACCTGGCTCTTGTGATGCGCCCAGAAAGACACATTCAAGCCCTGTTTCCAAAGCTTAGTGGTCGCATCTGCAAGAAATTGGAAGGAGTTGTCGCTAGTGACATTGGCAGGCTGGAAGTGACCGGTGCTTGGATTCCCAAGTGCACGACTCGCCATGTTAGTCACGGTGGAATTCGACCCAGCCTCTAGCCAGATCGCTGCTGGGTATTCCTTGGCGAGTCTTTGGACGGCGTGGTTGAAGAAGACTGGATTCCTCATGTGCTTAGCCACGAAACTTGACTCTAGCTTTCCAGCAGACCTCTGCTCAGTCGCTCGTTCTACCTTGATCGCCGGTTCGCTGACTGCAATACCCCGCCCTAGTACTTCAAGATCATCCTTCAACGCATCTACGAGAGCGGTGTGGAAGGCATTCGTTACGTTGAGCTTCTTCAGTTTGAATCGAGAGAAAGCCGGATCATTTTTGACAAGATCTTCGGCAATCTGAGCGGCTTTCGCGGAACCACCAAGAGTGAAAGTTTTAGGTCCGTTGTAACAGGCAATTGACAATGGGGATGCACCTCCCGAGGCCTTGTTGGAAGCAGAAATTAAAGCTTCTACATCGGTAATATCAGCTTCGACGGCGAGCATAGATCCTTTGTCAGTACCCCAGGTATCCCGGATCAGGCGGGCTCGGCCAGAAATTAATTTGAAGGCATCCTTTAGCGAGTAGGCTCCAGCAACGCAAAGGGCTGTCAATTCGCCGAAACTGTGACCGACCACGGCTGTAACCTTAACCCCTGAATCTATCCACGATTTGGCGCACGAATACTGTGTTGCGAAAAGTATGGTTTGCAGCTTAACAGTATCCTCAATGGGGGACTTCTGGAAGATGCCAGGGTAGATACTGTCGAGTCCTAGGGAGAGACACATAGCATCGCATTGATCCAAGTGAGCTCTTAGGAGTGTCACCCGATCGTAGACATCTTTATCCAATCCGACAAACGTGGAAATCTGGCCTCCAAAGCATAGAATCACAGGGCGAACTGGCTGGAGTGGAATCGCCGCGACGCTGTTGTCACCCTTTTCAAAAGCCTCAAGCTTTTGATCTAAGTCGCTGGTGGATTTGGCGTTTAGTATCAGGGCCTGTGGAAGAGTTCTATTCGACTGGCGGGACAGCTGGAATGACAAGTTGCGTACGCTCAGATCTTTACGCGAACTAGATTGAACCTGTAAAAGGCGTCTGAATTTGGCAACGTACGATCGGAGGCTGCTTTGATCGAACCCACAGAACCAGAACGGGAAGTTCTCGGCGGAAGATGGCCCCGGGAGCGGTTTTCCGGTTAAGAGCTTCGGGCTCTCGGTGATGACCATCGAAGCATTAGAACCGGAGGCGCCGTAGTTGTTGATAAGAGCCGCGCGGAAACCAACATCCCATGACTTTAAGCGGGTTGGAATCTCAATCTTGTCCTCGGGGACTGCCTTAATCGCGGGGTTAATGGTGGTAAAGCTAGCTTGGGGAGGGATAGATCCTTCATTAATCATGAGTAATATCTTTAGTAGAGCTATTACACCTGACGAGAATTCAGTGTGGCCGAGCAAGCCCTTAACAGACGACAAGGACAGCGTGTTGGGGCGCTTCGGGCCACCCAAAATTTGCCTGATACCGTCGTACTCTGCAGGGTCTCCTACAGGAGTCCCTGTTCCATGCGCCTCAACGACAGATACGGCATGGGGTTCAAGCCTTGACTGTCTCACGACGTCCGTGAAAAGATCCGATAGTGATATTGCGTTTGGCACAGTAATTGCTGTGCAGTTTTGGTTCTGGTAGACTCGCGTTCCCGCGATTACACCTAACACTTGGTCGCCATCGGCAATAGCGGAAGAGAGTTTCTTCAAAAAGACAATCCCTCCACCCTCTCCTCTGCAATACCCATCAGCCTTGACGTCAAAAGGCTTACACTGTCCGGTTGGGCTGAGGAAGGAAGCACCAGATAGATTTTGGAACCATTCAGGACTAGTAAGGACATTGACGCCTCCCGCAACCGCAGTACTACATTCGCCGGTGATGATAGAGCGGCAGGCCTGGTGAATTGCTACAGCAGAAGACGAGCAGGCAGTATCGATCGTCAGAGCTGGACCAGTCCACCCGAAATAATGGCTGACTTTCCCTGCGATAAAACTTCTCAGATTTCCAGTAGCTGAATAAGCATTTGGCGGGTAACACGCAATATTTCGTTCGTAGTCATTATTTCCAACCCCAATATAAACGCCAATCTGCTTATCAATGTCAGGGACAGCAAAATATCCAGCTTGTTCGACGGCTTGATACGCAAGTTTCAAACACAGGCGATGTTGAGGATCGGTTGATGACATTTCGCGCGGGCTCTTCTTGAAAAATTTATGATCGAAGGTGTCGTAATCTTGCATAAAGTTACCAAACCACTTGCGGTTTGGTTCAAGTTCCCTCCAAGGTGTTTCCATGCTAAAACGGTCGGTTGGAACCTCTCTATGCTGGGATTCGGCCTTGACCAAGATATTCCAGAATTCGTCAAGATCTTGGGCTCCGGGGACATGGCAGGACATACCGATAACAGCAATGCGCTCGTCCGGAAGGTCTTCCAGCGCGGGTGCTGAACTCCGTCCCAAGAGCGTGCCGGGTACCGGAGACGTCGTTAAATCAACATCAGAAATGTGAACTAGTCGAGATCCAAGTTTCCTAGCTATTGTTGGCGGCACACAACGTTCCGGCCCGAAACAGATGACGTTGCCGTCGGTAATTAATTGCGAAGTGTAGAGGAGGCTGAATGTGCTTAGCCACTGAGACGGCTTCAGCAGAATTTCCCGTAAGGCAGATTCGTGGAGACTTCCGGTAGAGATGTATTGACCTCCAGTCTCCAGCCTGCTGGAGAGCACCATCTTGGACGGAGAAGGGAATTGGAGTTCCGGAGTTTGGTCGCAAAGTTGGATGAGTTTGTCTACATTTTCCTGGTGCTTTACCCAGTGAAATCGACCATACAATGCAACTTCGGTAACGTAGACACCACACTTCTTAAGATTTTCAATCAAAGCAGGAGCTATCCGTCTGGATGCTGTCACTGTCGATCTTCTCTCATCGACAAAAACCGAAACATATGCCTTTTCATGGCATTAACAATATGACAACGAATCGTTTCGGGGTGTTACTTACCTCGGGGAATTTCTCCAGAACTTGATTGACAGCGGCGCTAGACTCCGCACCATTCCAGGATACGGAGAACGATACTGACTTGCCCCCTGAGTCAGGTGACAGTTCCTCGGCGTCGACCAGCGCGCCAACAAGCATCGCTAGCCTAACTGCAACAGCTCCATAACTTCGAAGTTCTGCTACGCTAGAAGAACAACCGACCGCGAGAGCGCTCAACATTCCAGTGCATAATCCAAGAGTTTCCGTGTTCTCAGTGACGGAGGCAGGCAATTCATCGTTATCGGCGAGGTCCGGCAGTGCAGCTTTCAAGAAACTCAAATACTGTGTCAATTGGGCAATGATAACCAAGGGAGAGAGCAGGATATTTGGTAATGGGAACAGAGATGGTGAGATATCCCCTATTTTTAACCCTTCGTTCAGATCTCGTAACAGCTGTTCTCCATCTAGGTGCTGCAATTTTGGGATGTTCTTCAGAAGATCCTTCCAGAAACCAGGAAGTGTAGATACACTGTCCAAAGCCCAATGATTGCCAGGTGCCTCATGAAGTTGATTGTATAGCTTGTTGAAGAAGCTGATGTCGAAAGCCAGGGCTTGCGGTCCAAACAAGAGGACCTTGCGAGCCGGCTTCGGCCCGGAGCTGTAGGCTATCATCTTAGCCACGTTGAGGTTGACCTGTATACAATGGAATAACAAGAGTCACCGAAGACTACATGTGTATTCAAGTAAGTAAATAACGTAAAGATAGCCGCTCTTCACAAGTCAAATGATTGAGATCAAGCGATAGTTCGAGTTGCTTAATATTACTCTCGAGGCCTAAGCTGATACATAACATGAATGATTATCCACCATGCCCTCACTAGGAAGTCATCCATCCCGAGGAGTTCGAACCCACAGAACTATAGACCCGGGATATTACTCTCGTTGCTCACCATAACGAATTCCTATCAGAGTATTTTCAATTCGCCGGCCGATCTGATTTCAGGGTTAGAAAATTCAAGACTGTTTAAGTGCCTCGCCTCTTACTGCATAGAGCCCGAAAATAAATGAAATATGCCGAAAACCAGCATCTGAACTTTTTAAGATTGAAGGAGGGAAAGAACCCGAATTATATAAGATGAAGAAAAAACGGGGTTTATGATTGGTCAGTAGTCCCCGAATTTGGCATCCTGCACCATCCCGGCGAGTTATCGAGGTATCACAGAGACGTCCAAAACTAGCCGAGTCGGGCTTACGTACAGCATGCTTCCGCGTAATATCTTATGCGTCTCGGCACGTTAGCTATTTCACACAAATTCGCCGTAGAACTTTTCTCATACTATACTCGTACTATTATCATGCAAGACTCGCGTCCTTGCCATGCCTATCCCGCGAATATTAACGAAGACTACCTAGTTAGCTACTTATCTTAACATGATTCCTGGTGTAACGTTCGGGGCTATGTGGTGATAGAGCCGAGATATTAACAAGTCCGAGGCCATGACTTCATGACGCAGAAAGTTAGTCCAATATATAAAATGCGAGTCAGTTGCTTACCACGGATGTTACATTTTTCAAACGATGAATCGCATTTGTTAGTTAATGTCATTGGCTGTACAATTTGAGAGATCCTAGCTAGTCAATAACCAACCCAAGATATTGTGTTGACGCCATGCCTTCGGCTACCACTAAATCATCATTCTACCTCCCCCTTGTGGACATCACACCATGGCTGCAAGATCCCAATAGTGCCGCGGGTCAACAAGTGATCGACGATGTACGAGCAGCCTGCAGGTCGTCTGGGTTCTTCCAGATGAAGGGTCACGGCATTTCCCGAGAGCTGCAGCAGGCTGTCTTTGACGCGTCTGCACGATTCTTCGCGTTACCACCTGATGAGAAGCTTAAAATGGACTGCAGGAAATCAATTGGTTTCCGTGGCTACGACGTGATGGCCTCACAGTCCTACGAGCCTACTGACGGGTCTCAAATACTCCGAGACCACAAGGAGGGCTTCTTCGCCTCAGCCGACCTTCCCTTGGACCACCCACGCGTGGTAAACGAACGATTCCTCCAAGGCCCTAACGTGTGGCCACCCGCCGAGCTTCTCCCCTACAAAGATTTCAGAGACATCGTTGAACGTTACTACGGTGAAATGATGCATCTGGCCCACTTAGTGCTAGACTTAGTGGCTGCTACGCTACCCTACGGGCCGCATGTGTTTGACGAGCTTAAGGGGAACGACCCCATGTGGTTATTCCGACTACTACATTACCCACAAACGCCTGTGAGAGAAGGGGGTGGGAAGATGCAACTAGGCGCGGGCGAGCACACCGATTTTGGTGCCGTTACCTTGCTGGCTACTGACGAACACCCCGGCCTTGAAGTTCAGGACCACGAGACAGGTGAGTGGGTTAGGGTTCCGCCTAATGACGGCGTGTACATTGTGAACCTTGGTGATGTCATGTCAAAAATCACGGAGGGGGAATATAGGAGCAGTGTTCATCGGGTCTGGAACAAGAGCAGCGATGATCGATACAGCATCGTGTTCTTCTTCGACGGCAACCTGGATTTCAAGTTGCGGCCGCTGAGTAAGCTTGGACAGCCCGAAAAAGGGGAGGAGAGGTGGCTTACCGTCGAGGAGCACGTCAAAGCGCGCTTGACAGGTAGTTATGGTACTAAGAAATGAGAGATAATGCGATATGAGCTGGCCATAGAGGGGAGGTTGGGGATGGGAAATAGATGGGGTACTGTATTGTGCATTCATACAGACATCATTCTCTGAACTCGCCATACGCTCATTCAGTCCAGTATGATGTGTGAAATATTTTTTGTAACTTACATTCATTCAAGGAGCAGAATCACCCCTTTATATATACGACGGGGGCAGCTATTAGTAATGTCTCCAAAATAACGTGTCAGTGTGCTCGGGCAATGCTTCTCCATGAAGAAATGAAATACCGTGCTGTACCCCGGCTTCCCACCCTCAGAAGACCCTCACATCCTGGCTCCCGCAGAGGATGGTATGTTGTCCTATTAAACTCAAGCCGCTTGTCTCCTCAGACCGGGAATACAGGGATTAGTATCGATAGACGAATTAGGAACTTGAATCTCCACCGCATCGGCCAGACCATGTCTGCTTTCGGACCCTTTCAAACCCTTCTATGCATGAGCTACGTTGTTCAAATAAGGTACGAGGAGCTCGCCTAGTAGTACATATCTGCAAGGCTCCACCAGTTTCATGAGGATATGATGATTAAAAGGTCAACATCCGTTGGCGAGTTTCTCCCGATAGACATATCATGTACGTCTTACATTAGCTTACGGGTCGATCCATGACGCGTTTTAATCTAAGAACCATCCATTTCATATTCTGGTTCCTCTTTCTGGGCTGATACGATAGAGCCGCGCATGTTCTGATTAGTGAGCTTTGTAACAGAGTCCGATGCCGCGGAGTGTTTAGTATTTCAGTCTCAATACCGTTGGTAAGCAGCTGCGAGCTTCCCACCCTACCTTAAGTTTTGATGAAACCTTTAACGCCATTCAGTTATCCCCATCTTCAATTCTATGGACTGATTCTCGAGTAGGTCGAATAGGAGCTTAAAACGTATTGGATTACTCTTCTTGGCATGATAGACATCAGAGTTTGTTAAATCATTGTCACCCTAGGTGTGCCCAAGGTGTACCTAAGTGACCAATAAGGCATACCCACACGTATGAGGATATCCATAACTGAAGGATCAACCAATAGGACATCGCCTGAGACAACTCATATACTAAGACCATTCTAGACTTTCCCAAAGGGGTGAAGCAGTCCGCCGCCAAAGCATTCCTTCATTAAATGATATAGGATCAAGGAACAAAAAATAATCACCGAAACACATTTTTGGAGGCTTTATGATAAATATTGATCGGGATTTAATTTTCGTCAAGTTCCAACTCTTGAAGCGTTGAAGCGGTATGTTGTACGTTCCAGGCGTAAGGATACACAAATGTTCGTCGGTAGCAACTCGCGTACCTACCTAGGTACTTAGGTAGGTGGCATCCGGTCTAGACAATACCTCATGCATAATGCAAAACACCGCGAGATGGAAAGGGTTGGGCTGATTCTTCCCGGGCACCATTCTAATACGAAATGCGGGGCTGGCGAGGCAGCGGGGGATGAAAAGAAATAATTATACACTTGAATTCGTGGGAGGGAACCGCGTATAGACCCAAAGTAAAGTGGTAGCCATAACAAGAACTAGAAAATGATAACGCAGGCGGTAACCGTGGAGCAATTACTTTCACGCTGCACTGTCCTGCAATTTTCCTTTCAAATCATTTTGACCACATGAGCCGAACCTCGAGTATATCGGTTGCATGGCTACTGTGGGGGCAGAGCAAAGCTTCGGCGGCCAATCGTCGCCAGGCACACCGCTTGACTTCTGGGGCCGGCATGTTTGACTAGCTGACTGGTTGTGGCGCCGCGCTGGTTTGACACGCGACCCGCACGCGTGCACGGGATGCTTCATGGCCGATATTAATTCTGCAGCTCAAAGAGAGGTATCCAACAAATTCATAGTATATCTAAGGAGACTAATGTGTTCCGTAGCTTGTTGATCCTCTCAATTAAGTCAGCCTCTCTAGTGTGGACGGCTTTGAATGTGAGTGACATTAAGTCATTGGCGCCATCGCTGGTAGTTACGAGTGATCGATCTAAGGCTTTTATGATACAGCCCATGCGCTGCAGGAGATGCCTAGCCAATTGAAGTACCAAGGTGATTTGGAGGGCGGAAGAATTTGGTAACGAAAAAGAGCCAACTTTCATGCTGGGCATTGAAACATAATCTTCCGGAGCTGTCGTTGTAGAGCGATCTAGGCAGGCTTGCATATTGCCAAAGATATCATCATACGTCTCAATAAGTCTTTGGTAGCAAGAGAGTACCAGTAGAAATGATGATTGGTCGAATGATGTCTCGGAGTGTTCTTCCCGGATGGGTGATGAGGTGGAGCTAATTGCTGTGTTCCCTGTGTTACGAGGATACAACTTATTCAGAGCCTCAATCAACTTTTGTGAGAGCCGAAACGTCCTATCAATGGCGAAATCTTTGTCCTTCCAGCTTAGGGGCTGCGTAGTAGATTTTGGAGGTTTAGGTATAGCCGAAGAGAGCGAGAATAACTCCACATTCAAATCGGAAAGTTCCCGGAAAATAGCTACAGGAAGATTGGATAGTTCTTCGGACTGTTCTTTTGGAGAGGCAGGCTGTTCTTCTGAGACATTACATTTCGGGTGTAACTGTTTATCCGTAGAGAGCATCTCCCACTCCTGGTTGAAGCGATCCTGCCAAGAGCTGAAAGAGCCTTGCTGCTGCAGCTGGGGAATAGAGTGTGGTGGTGAATTGTTAGACAAGGCAAGGGTTGGGGAGGATCCCGATGCTGAATCACCCACAGGGGGCGCTGGCCACAACGTCGAGCCTTGCTGAAAAGTATTGGTACTCAGGCCAAACTCCGAATTATCATGCACGAATGGGTGAAGTGCATCCACTAGCACCATAGTATCAGTGGAGTCTGGGGCGTTTGGGGCGTCTTCGGAACCGTGCAAAGGACTATCTAGGATACCAAATCGTAAGCCTCTCTTGCATCGTAATGAGGGGCTCCAGGTACAAACGGCCTTAGCTTTTGTGCAACGAACACAAGCACCACTAGACCCAGATCTCAAGCATCTTAACTTCTGTCCGTGACACCTATCACAAGCGGATCGTTGGATAGGATGTGGCATTTTGATTCCTGGATGGTACGGAATGTGGGAGCACTGTAAAGAAAGGGTTAAGTTAAGTTCTTCTTGAGGTGAAATTAGTCTATGGAGAAGTCCTAAACCAAGAGAATTAATTCAGATTATATAAGCGTCAGTGGAGCAAGCACGCCAATTTCTAGCTGTGATGATAACACAATCGCAAGCCAACTTGCTATGATGTCATCAACACTAAGGTCTGATGTTCTAATAACATCTTACCCATGATAAAGGCCTATCCTCGTACGGAGATAGCAATCCCATCAAGCAAGGCCGCTTATTAATTCACATTACTATATTCGGTAGTTCCGTGTTTGGATTCGGCGGTCTCCATAAATGTTCGGAAGTTAGTGGGTCCTTTCGGTAGTGAGCAAGCACCTTCCGCACTGCTGTTCCCGGATCTGTTCCCGGATAGCAATGATGAAATTCCATATGATAGTATTGACCTTTGAGGATGCCTTCGATCTTCCGATATACTTGGAATTACTATATGTGGAGATACCTGTCAGCCTTTGTATATTATAACCCTCTGTCCTGTTTACCTCTTTACAAATTGAAAGTATTGTGACAGTCACGCATGGCATTAGCGACCTCAAGATAAACCGTTCCGTACTAATCCGAAGCTCTAAAAGCTCATCCAGAGCGGTATCCATTCATACCTACCCGTAAACTCACATCGTAGGCGCTTTATTAAAGTTGCATATAAGATGAGTGGCAACGAGGAGCCAATTGCTCCGGCTATATCCAGCAGCAATGAGGCATTGCCAACTGCCGAACAGGTCAAGCCGAACCAGGAGAAAACGGAGACCAGTAATGAGAGACTGAGCCCTACAGCGACGTTCCTGCTCGTCCTATCCTTATGTGTGAGTGTATCCTCCATTCGACGAACTGGGTACCCTCCGCAACTAATCGTGTCGAAAGATCTCTACCTTCATTGCAGCTATAGAACAGGTAATAAATTCAGATCCCGAAAATATCCTTAAACGAGCACACGTAAACTTATTTCTCTTAAGACAATCGTCGCGACTGCGGTCCCGACTATCGCGAAGTCATTCCAAGCTACAGGACTCGACTATGCTTGGATTGGAACCGCCTACCTTCTCCCAGCGGCTGGTATGTAACCTACCGTCCCCCGTCCTGCTCTTGTTAACACATTTCTAACTTGTCTTGTAGCTGCTACTCCGCCGTGGGGCAAGATCAGCGACATTTTCGGTCGAAAGCCTATTCTTTTAGCTGCCATCGTCATCTTCTTCATCGGTTCACTTATCGGCGCGCTCGCAAACAACATCAATACACTAATTGCCGGCAGAGTGATACAGGGGACTGGTGGAGGTGGAATTTTAGGACTCTCCGCGACGGTTATCGGCGACGTCTTTAGTCCTCGGTGAGTTCATATGCCGTCAGCTTAGGGCATACAATCGAAGCTGACCATAGGCTAGAGAACGCAGCAAGTACTATGGTATACTTGGTGTGACTTGGGGACTTGCTTGCGGCCTGGGCCCTGTTGTCGGTGGCGCTTTCGCGGAGTTCGTTTCTTGGAGATGGTGTTTTTGGATTAATCGTACGTTCTGTAAGTTCCGCTTCGGAATGGAATTTGAACTAATCATGAAGTAGTCCCGATTGCTGGACTTGCTGGGATATTCGTATTCTTCTTTTTGGAGGTTGAGACTCCGAAAACTCCTATTATCGAAGGGTTGCTTGCCATGGATTGGCTTGGAACTATCACGATTGTCGGCGCGACGGTCATGTTCTTGCTAGGGTTAGGATATGGAGGCGTTGCTTATCCCTGGAATTCCGCGATTGTCGTATGCCTTCTCGTCTTTGGTGTGGTAACGCTGGGAGTATACGGACTCATTGAGTGGAAAGTGGCCAAATATCCCATCACTCCACTCAGGCTTTTCCGATCGACCTCCAATATCGCCGTATTTGGTATTGCGTACGCCCACGGCGCAATTTTTATTGCTCACCTATACTATCTTCCGCTTTACTTTCAGTCGGTCCTTGGCGCAAGCCCAATCCTGTCGGGTGTTTACCTGCTTCCAGTTGCGGTCACGCTGTGCGTCATGTCAAGCCTGACAGGAGTCTACATCAGCAAATCGGGAAGATATCGACCGCCAATCTACTTTGGCTCGGTTGTGATGATACTTGGTACTGACCTTTACATTAATCTTCAAGCCTACCCATCTTGGCCTCGCATCATCATCTACCAGATCATAGCGGGTATAGGCATTGGCCCTGTCTTCCAGGCTCCGATTGTCGCCGTATTTAGCTTAACGAAACCTGCAGATGTCGCAAGTGCTGCAGCGACATTCCTCTTCGTGCGCGATATCGCTACGGCGATGTCTATTGTATTTGGGGGTGTCATATTTCAGAATCACATGACAGCACAATCAGGAGAGATCATGGAAGCTCTGCCGTTTGACCTGGCTACACAGATAATTGGGCGTGAAGCATCTGGGGCTCTGAATATTATCCCGACTTTACCCGAAGACCAGAGAAAGGTAGTCGTCGAGGTATATAACGAGAGCTTGCGAGCCGAATGGATCTTTTACACTGCACTTGGCGGTGTAGGGTTGCTACTGAGTGTCCTGATTAGCAAGCAGGTGCTCTCCAAGGAACATAAGATCCATAAGACTGGTTTGGAGACACAAGAGGCGGCACGACTTGAGGAGAGACGGAAGAAAGAAGCAACTTCTGGAGCAGACATCTAATAAGCCAATACGTATGGATATAAGTAGTAAGATTGCATTCCTGTTAGATTAAATTATAACTTTTTAATTTGTAAACACAATACACTCTGGAAGTTGTTGATCCAAAGATAATTCACGATAGCGAGTTGCCTTTTGGCCTTAAACAGTGAAAGCCTAAGGCGTTATTAGCCCTGAAGATAGCGTACTAAGTATGGCAGAACAGTGGATCGCATCCAGTAAAAGCCCATGCAGCTAGGCTAAAGTAGGTGATGCCTCGGCTCAGCTTAGCTTCGTCGTCATCGTATCTTTCTCTTTTTATTACCTTTTTTTTCTCCTTCGTTTCCACATCCGAACTTCTCGACCACTCCCTTTGGCGTAGACTTCAGTAAAAGGGCTTAGATTGCTACTACGGTACCTTTCAAGATCGTGATTCCGTTCAATTCGACCAATTACTACTCGAATGCCACTTTTGTCGACGGACAGCACCATCCTCGCTAAGTGTACTAGCACAGTATTGTGTTACCTGCGGGCGGTTCCTCTTTGGGGAATCACCTTGATCATATTGCTTTTAGGCTTCCTCCGAACCAATCTTGTAGCACTATCTCCCGCCCGCAAACCCGCATCGTCGCAGATATCGAGTTCGAGGAAGCAGGTGGCTGGGTGAAGAAAGAACATGGCGTCTGCTGCTGGAAGTGGAAATAGGGTGTTGCGGATTGCTGGACCAGCACTCCTACCCGCAATAGCCTATGGCCTCTATAAGAGTAATACCCTGGGGATGCTGGAATCATTCTTCACAGGTCCGGGTAGGACGAGTCGGATCGTGGCATTGGTTGTGTTGGTAGTAAATTGGAAGAGCTTGCCTCTTGCTTGGACTGTATGACACCCCTTTGCGCATCCCCCCCTTTGAATAAGGGAGAATGAGTAGGCTAAGAGTGACTCCCATAGTTCCGTGTTTGGCACGCTATGATCTCCCACTTCGGATTCCGCCGTCTACATAAACATACCCCCGATAAGCTATTCCATCCGATTGTCACACCATCGCACGTTTCTCTGCTCGAAGTCGACTACAACATTCACAAGTCGAACTCTACCTATTTTGCCGATCTCGACGTGAGCCGTTCCCACCTAGTTTGCCATCTATTCGCGCGGGGCTGCGAAGCTCTCTCCAAAAATGCCTCTACACATCTCGTTATGGACCCTTCAAACCCCTCAAAACCCGCTAAGGGCAGGTTCGGCGTCATGCTCGGTGCTGTACACTGTAGTTTCAAGAAAGAGCTGCAGCCATACCAAAAGTACGATATGTGGAGTCGCGTGCTCAGCTGGGATCGGAAATGGCTGTACATCATAACGCATTTCGTCGAGAGAGGCGCCATCAAGCCAGACTCATGGGATGCAAGTAGTTTTAACGAGGGAAAGCCACAGGGCTGGGAGAAGAAGATCCACGCTACAGCTATTAGCAAATACGTATTCAAGATTGGCCGGTTAACAGTACACCCCGCGGTCCTTATTGAAGCCAGTGGCATGCTTCCCGAGCGACCCGGTGGTTGGGTAGCTGTGGAAGATGGAATGGCCCCGCCTTCTCATACTATTACTGGTGGTCCCATCCCGGAAGCCAAGTCTGAAGCTGAGTCTTCGGATTGGGATTGGAAACAAATGGAAGAAATGCGACAGAAGGGTCACGAGTTCGCTGCACACTTCGCAGCACTTGATGGTCTGCACAGCCAATTCGACGCCGGCAAGAGCGGGCCGTTAGCCAAATTCGGGATCGCATAAAATATCGATTTACAAAGCATATATCGACGTACCATCACCAAATAGACTTACAATCTCATAGACAGGTAGACAACATACTGGACGGGCACATTTGCAAAACACGGTTATAGAGGTAAACGGGTACCCTAGATTACGAAGTGTAAGGGTATCTCAATCAATTAATTTTTAGTCCTAATCAGGTATCCTGTGTTGTTCCACACATAACGCGAACTAGAGACTTCACGAAAGAATTTTTACCATCGACATTACACCAGACCCATCCCCTATAGAGCGAGAGCAGCCATAGCCGCAGCGAAACCGAGACCGGCAGCAGCCCGGTTGCCAGCACCGGGTGTCGCAGTCGGCGTTGCGGTGCCGACGATGTCGCCGACGGCGGAAGTAAGAGCAGCGCTAGCGCTCGATACGGCCGAAGTCGCGGCAGCACCACCAGCGTCTTCTGCGACAGCGGCGCAGATTTGGGCCGAGAGCTGGGTAGCCTCTGTTTTTTACGTGTTAGTCATCACGCGACTACGCTTATAGATCGGGTATAGAAAACGCGATTGGTTAGGAACGTACTGGTTAGGTCATCAACGGAGCACTCCGAAGACACACAGGTAATGGCCTGTGTGGTTAGGTCGTCCATCTTGCTGCATTGGCATTTGTTGTCGGTAGTCGAGCAGCCAATTGCTTGCGATGCCTTGTCTAGACATGGCTTCGCGCATGAGGGAATCTCCGAGATTAGTTGTTGCGCGCTCTGGGCGGCAACCGCGCCGGCAAAGAAAGCGATAGCGAAAGTCTTGAACTGCATTATGGAGGTATTGAGGTGTTTTGATTATATCTCAAGGAGTGTATTATGTCTGTTGTTTCGACCGGCGATGATGGTATATTAGAGTGGATGGTGTAGCTTCGTACGTACGAATGATGCAAACAAACGGGGAAAGAGGAGAATATAGATTCAGAACCACTGTGATAAAATGAGTGGTTTCAATGCTACGGCACTGCCCTTCTTCTTTATCTACATTTCCCTATTGATGAAGCATCCCGGCTCGCTTGTACATCAGTTGATGATACCCACCTCCGCAAGATCCTCTCGTAATTAACCTTAGTAGGCATCCTAGCGTATGAACCCAAGTCTAAGGATCGGCCGAGTCGTCTCTCATCGTGGCAGGGCTTGAGCGAAACCCTCGATGACGATGTGACATATGCAAGGTATATTTCCCCTAGTCTCATCTCAACCAATTCTTGGCCTATTTTGTTCTTGGGGGAGATGCTACGCGAGGGGCAGCGGAGGGGAGCTAGGAATAGGACGGTGTGATACTTGATACCTGTTGATATACAACCCATCCCGGGGGGATAGCCTAATACCGGCAGTTCATCTTTTTCTTACTATGTAAAGGAAGAATTAGAAACATCAATGTGACTGCGGCACGTTGTACAACTTCTGCAAGGGGAAAAGAAAAAAAAATTAATGAAAAGAAACCTATAGTCAGATATTAACCCTCCATTCAACCCCATGTATAGTCGCTAGGATTCCCTATCCTTATATGCATTAGCTCAGGGGTAACACCCAGGAGGGTATAGCGTTGTCCCAAATGACAGTGAAACCCTTGTAAATTTGAAACCTCAACTGGTATATCTTGCGGGGGTTCTAGAACTTGTCCCTGCGCAGAATCCTTAGCCGGAAATAGTGGGCGATGTTGTAAGCGAAGGCCTCAAATGAGAAAAAAAAATATTGGAGGAATAGTTCATAAAGTGTCTATTCTGACATCAGACAAAGGTCATACCCTTTTTTTTTTTTCTTCTCAGCATTTAATTTGAAACATTTATATGTAAAGAATGCATTTGTTTGCATTGTGACCAAGACGTAACATGCATGTGCATATGTTCCGCGATAGTGGAGAGCAGCCCGGGAAATAAGAGATCTTGGAATGTCAGCCCATTCGTTCGTCGGATACTAAATGGATAAGATATTCCATAAACTGAAATTTCTTTCTATACCAATTCATCTCAAGTGCAGCAATAGTTCCCTTTGGCTTTCCGATGTGTGTTATAGGCTTGTAATTAATAATATCTGCTTAACATGCACGAGTCAATTAAAGGAATGTTCCGTGGTCCGGAATGACAAGCCTAGTAGGGAATTATCACTACCCGTGTGACTTAGCTTTTCTATCGAACCAACACAATAATAACATAACATAATACACCTCATCGATATTAGGCCCGTAATTGATGAAATCCCTTCACAATTTTACCATCGCTAGATTTCAACTATAATTTTTCGATGCTCCGACTCAGATGGTAGTATCCGAGAGGGAAGGGATAGAAGCAATTCCTATAGTCGCAAATCCTAGCTCAGAGGTCTGAGAACGACCCAACAATTAGTATATTAGCGTAGGTAGTGGACCTTAGCAGATACTTCAACTTACTATCGAAGAAAATATACCAACGATGATCCCGCTTTCTGGCTTGAGATCCTCATGTGTGTACTCGTCTCCCCAATTCTGCATCATACGAGGGGGAAATGGATATGATCGACCGTGGTTAGTATGGACCTCCATTATCATCAGTGAGGGACTTAAAGACCTCTTTTTTTTGGCAGTTACCGTGGGTAATTACCTTTATGTCAACTAGAGTATCAGTCATACTCTCATAGGTGGTGCTCAATCGACTAATACGTTCCCCTTCATCGGACCTCAGGGTGACATGACATACCCCCACGTCCTCGTCTGTATCGGGAACCCTCCCAAGAATAATCGAGGACTTGCCGTTGACAGGGCGGCTAAAAGAGAATTCGATAGCCTCAATACCGGTGCCATCTGAAGGGAGTGTATCCCAATATGTTGTATAGTAAACCGAAAATCCACTTAGGCAAGGCAGTTGGCTTCCATCTACGCCCCCAAAAAGTGCAAGTGAATATGGTATTTTGTTCTCCTGGAGCGAAAGCGGCAGCTGATGACGGCCAGAGAGAGAAAGTTCCCCGGGTGGTATTTCCCCATACCACAAAGAACCTTCCCGTAACCTCGATGATTGATCTGGGAATTCAGGGCAAGGACTTCGTGGCCAGTCTTCGATATAGAATATAGCGATAGAAACTAACTTCAAGGCCTAGAGTTGCCCGTTAGTTCGTGATTATACCGTACTAACCAATAGAGAGCATAACCTACATCGAATCCACCCTTCAAGTTCCAGGTTCGCGTTTGGGCTGGGGACGTAAGTGTTAATACTTGCTGAGACGTGTCGCGCCATTCTCCAACCCAGTTCGAAGGCTCGCCCGTTTGCGAGAGAATCCGAAGACCACGTATCCCCTTGAAATCGAAGGCTACATGGAAACCACATAGGGCCTCTAAGTTTTGATCTGTCTCCCAAGTAACCTCAATTTCTTTGTCCAAACTACAAAACCCAAGAAGGTAGCCGGTGTCATTGTCGCCAGCGAATCGCAAGCCAGAGATATAGATCTTACTGTTAATTCCCACGGTGGAGATGAAAATGCGTTTGATAATGTCGGGGAGGGTTGTCACTCGCTCATATAACGATCTCGATCTTCGATAAAAATATTCAGTTGGAGGAGATAGATATGGGCTGGCTACACGCCATCCGAAATTGTGGCGTGCACCATCGGGTTCAAACATAGTGCACTGTGGTGTCCCGTAACAAGGACCGACGCTCAGCCTTCGATCTATAAGCTCACGAAGGCGACATGCTAAGCCCCATACTATTTTTCTATTAGTCAAACTAGGAAGTGCCGATAAATCCTTGATACGTTCATAGAGTTGTCGCCAGCCTCCATTGGATATCTGCAATGTGTTCACCTCGAAGATATGCTCAAATTCTCTTCCTTGCCAAAAACGGGAGCGCCAGAATGAATCTGGGAGGACCAGAGTAGCGTATACGGGTGAAGCCAACCTAAGGTTTAGCACATCTCTCGAGTCTGTCGGAATGAGGATCATATGCAGAATCTCGACCGGCAACCTAATAAAAGGATCGCCTTCATGTCGACATACAAGAGAGACCTTGGTGAGAACCTTCCTGTTTCTCGAAGGTTCGCATACAATTTCGCTAGTAAACAATTGACGTAGTGTAGGGATATGAAATGGGCTGTCGGTGTATATATCCAGGATCCCATCAGTCGAAGGCTCGGATACCGTGTGCCCCTCGCCGGGATAGAGTTAGCTAACGCCCTCGAGATCCTCCCAGTTGCCTCCATAGTCATGGCCCCAATCTAGAAGGTCACGCTTATATGGCTGAGATCTCCAAAGGTCAAATATGACCTTGAGGTCAAGCCGGGTCCCAGAGACCGCGCATGCGGCAGAGAGCATTTCCCAGCAGTCAGGGTGAAAAGGGAATCCCCACGTTGCGCTCGGTGGAGAATAGTCGTGTCGGCCAACTCCATGAAACCTGGTTTTCATTAGATCTATACTATATCGAGCCGCTCCCGGATTCGGATGAAGAGCTAGAATATCTGCATCACTCGAACTATCAAGAGGGATTTGGTCTACCATGAACCAACCATTGGCCCGGCGCGGTCCTGTTCTGGTATCCTTGATGCGGGCAGTTCCCCAGTCGTCTAAGAGCGTATACACTGCATGAGAGGTATGTGTAAGTTGAGTATACCGACGAAGATGACGTAGTAATACGTACGAGCTTGAAATCCACGGGTCCAAAGCTCGATAGGATCACCGCATAGAACACATGCTGTCTCTATCGTCATTTTTAGAGCGATCCTTGCGCGATGCCTATATTGACGTACTGATAAATAGTACTGAAGCTTATCAATAGATTGAGGAATTCTGAGGCATATAAGGTTGTTTGTACCTAAAGATCGAGGTAAATCTAGGTGCCTAGAGAGATGTAAACACTCTGAGACACGCCACACGGAGACCTACATATATACTATTCGGATATGCTATAATACGACACGTTAATCGACGCGTATGTAAATATTGTCTTGTTTTTTTTTCCCCGGACATTGTTCCTTAACTAGCTAGGTAGAGTTGCCTCTATCTTAGGGGCTTGTACCAGATAGTTGTCGTTCTTTCTAGGTGTAAGTATCATACGGGACACGATACATAAAGTTCCTTAGCGACAATGCTTAAGTGAAGGGAGGGCTACGTCTTCAGTAGTCGCGAGGAGTTTTGGTGCGAAGTGCCTTCGTTTGGTAATATTCGCTAATATAACTTCTGATCGTCAGCTCTGTATTTAACTACTTAGTTACTAGGACAGAGCAGGTTTTCCACCACAAGGATAAGGCGCTTGTCTTTTGGGAACTCTAGAATACCTGGGTAGGTAAAAGCTGGGCGGGCATTATAGTGAGGAAGAGGAGGAGGGCGAAAAGGGGTAGCACAAACTGTTATTGCTGCATAATAGCATTTTAATATATATATCAATAGATAAATGACTTTCATATATACATATTGAGTTGTTCGCTTATCGATAAAACAAGTGATGTACCTTTTTTCTACAATTTGTTGAGCTGTCGCGTTTAAAATCTTTCTTTTTTTCCCTCCTTTTCCGTTTTAATGGAGCAAGCATGTTGTCATCGCAATGGGTGTGTCGTCGCTGTTTAAATGCATTGGCTCAGCCTCGGAGTCGCCAGTTTTTACGATTAGCTAGCACAGGTACGCACACGTTCGATTTCTATTATTATGATATAATGATCTATGGAGGAGTCCTTGATAGTTCTTTAATAGCTGACAAAATACTTATTTTAATATTATAAGATACACATAAAAACTTACCACCTGTCCTCCTCCAACGTGCACGAAACATCACTGCCGAACATGACAAACTTGCAAGCGCACTCGCGAGCGACTTCGACTCCGGAATCGCCAAGCGAGCTGGCGAGCTATCCCGCGTAGCCAACGCCCTAAAAGAATGGGAAGCCGCCCAGTCCTCCATAGCAGAGCTTACAGACCTTCTACAATCGCAAGACGTTGAATTGCGCCAATTAGCTAAAGATGAGCTTTCGACGACCAACGCTAAGCTCGGCACCCTCGCTACCGCCCTATCAGCCTCGTTAACCCCGCGCGACCCCTTCGCCGACATGCCCTGCCTACTCGAAGTACGACCTGGTCCTGGTGGTATGGAAGGACGATACTTTGCCGATGCTGTATTTCGCATGTATCGACAGTATTGCTCGCGCAAGGGCATACGTGTTAATGTGCTGAAATACGAGACGGTCGACGGTGGGGACACCTCGATAGGCGGGTCGAGCGAGTCACCCTTACAAGAAGCAGTACTCGAAGTTCTAGATACGGGCGCATACGATCAATTCCGCGGTGAGGCGGGCATGCATCGAGTGCAGCGCGTACCATCGACAGAGACGAGCGGGCGAACACATACCAGTGCGGTAGCAGTCTGGGTCTTACCTTCGTTCCCCGAAAACGAGAATGATATGCCGAACGAACAAAGCTTCAACGATCCGAATAGCATATTCTACGTCGATCCACGGGAAGTTAAAGAGGAGAAGATGCGAGCAAGTGGAGCTGGCGGACAACACGTTAATAAGACGGAGAGCGCGATCCGACTTACACACGAGCCGACGGGTATCGCAGTTTCGATGCAGGACTCGCGGTCGCAACATCGAAACCGACAAGCGGCGTGGACATTGCTACGATCGCGAATCGGACAACGAAGGCGCGAAGAGCGAGAAGAAGAGGCCTGGGCCCTACGGAACAGTGTACTAAGCAAAGACAAGATTACGCGCGGCAACAAAATACGCACCTACAATTACAGCCAAGACCGGTGTACCGATCATCGCAGCGGTCTTGACGTGCATAACTTGCCAGATGTCCTCGAAGGTGGCGAGACTCTGGACAAAGTCATGGAGAGCGCGAAGGATTGGCTTATTCAGCGGGAAATTGAACAGTTGATTGCAGAAGAGGAGGAAACTAGTAAGGCGCCGATAGGAAAGGCGGCGAAGAAAGGAAAGAGATAAGTCATCTCTCCTTTTTACGTATTTAATCTTGTCTATATGCCGCGGAGCTTTCGTATGAAGAGCGTTCTACGAATTATCTAGAGTAGAAATTACTTATGTACATACGTTACACATATACTAAGACGTACAAAATACCCGAAAAATGATATACGATTAGAATTGATCATCTCGCCGTCGTTGCTTTCAAATCATAGAATATGCGCCTCGGTTGCGAATTTTATCGTCATCTCGGAGTTAATAAAACTTGAAGCTGTCGTATAACATGACAATTTGCTTTTTTTTTTATCGGGCGGGAAAAATAACCCACGGGGAGTTTCTCACATCACCATTGCCTTGATTTTTAATTCTTTGCAACACTATCTGAGCAGAATTACGCTCAAAACTACACCGATCATGTCTATTTTGTCATCAAGATCATGACAATTGCCTACTAGATAGATGCCTAGCTACGTACTGATAACGTAATTCCATCTCGAATCGGTCATTTCCCTCTTCTAAAAGCCGGCGTGAGCCGTTACGATCCGGATGCGACCGTCTTTCGTCACATCATCATGGTTATACCACTCGGTCTATAAAGCCGGAAACACGCCGATCGATCTCGTATCTATGCTTCTCTGCCCAGGCTTAAATATGATGCCATCCGGACTACTTACCCGCGTTGGGAATCTTCTCGAGTCTAGCTATCATTCAGGGCTGCCTTTCGTGGTAAAAGCTCCCCACCATAGCTGAAGAAGATCAGCCCCATCACAGGTGGCCAACAATCTGCAGAAGCTCGCTCGTGTTAACGAACCCTGTACCGCACGAGTCAAACGGCAAGAATATGCCGTAGGACGAAGGGCTAACCGGTAACGATACACCAATTCGAACTAGCACAAGAATTTATCGAGAAGCTCGCTGACGGATGGTACCTGATCAGCTTCCTAAAGCGGCAGGTGAGCGACACCGCCCCCAATCGCTACAGAACGGGGAGTCCCGTTGCAGACGGTCTCTCGTCGTTGGTTCCCCGCAGATAAGTCACCACTTACATATTGAGTCTTCAACGCGAGACATACATAATATTGTAGCATTGATGACGAGGTTGGGGGTGGGGTTTGGAGAAGCTGGAGTTTTCCAATCTGTGTTTGCATTGTGCCTATTTTGAAATTTTCTTCTTTTTCTTCTTCATCGTCTTCTCCCTTACGTTTTGTAACAGGCAATCATCCATTTTCTGCTTGACTTCTTATCATTGATGGGACTAAACGAATGGACGAATGATATGACAGAATATTAAGTTAAGGATCTTCGCTATATCCGGCCTGATCGTCAGCTCCTGAGCGGCACGGCCACTATCCGTATATTTTTCCCTCATACCTTTTTTTTGTCTTTCTCGCCTACCTAAGTAGCACATGGGTGAATTGTGCTCTGTGCTCAGTGCTCATGTAGTATCAATGGGACGTGGGGTGATAGCAGGGCTGTTTTGCGACAGGTTCCCTGTCCAGGCAACTGGAAGGACGATGACGAATAATATGTAAATACAGAACGGTTTTTTTAGGTACCACCTCGCTTGCTATAGGTCATAGTTATTTATGCATAATAACCTAGATTTGATAGCCTAGGCTGCCTAGACAGCCCGGACAGCCCACCAAGGTATACCAGAACGAGATGTTGTGATGAAATCCCGGCAAGTGTTGTCGATCCACAACGAATCCAGGTCGCTCCCCAGCCGCAACCCGGAATTGGAAACTCATCTTCAGTTCCATTCCTCAACTACTTTTTAATCCACCTGATTTTCTTCTCCATCTTAAACTTCCTTAACCCTCCTCGTTCGTCGCCCTGTCTTTGCCCAGAGTCTCGGCGCATGATAGGTTTCCTAGGCTTTGAATAGGTCTAGAAAAAAGAATCACTAGTTCTATTTAGGTCGTAAGACTTCGAGATTCAGGTACCGTATCCTTTATTTACACCAGGGACTTGGCATTTCTCCATCCGCTCCCGTTCCCGCGGTCTAGTACAGGATGCATTGGCCGAGTTTCGCATCCGGCCTTTTGTTGTCGGCGGCCGCCACAGTAGAGGCGCGCCGAAGCCTTCAGCACGTGGGCAAGAAGGATATCAACCAGAGGTCCTCCGTCTCGGATCAGAACAACTACTTGGCGCATTACCTAGCCACGCGACAGGTACCGGCACCTAAGTTTGCCAACGACAACACTACCAGTATGTTTTAATATTTTTAGTCTCTGTCTATTCCATTGTATCACGGGGAATAAATGACTAATTGATTCAATAATAGAGTTCGCTGTCAATGGCACAGGTCTTCCTGACGTCGACTTCGATGTCGGCGAGTCCTACTCTGGATACCTGCCTATCAGCGATGACCCTAACGACACCAACGAGTTGTTCTTCTGGTTCTTCCCTTCGTCCACACCCAACAACACCGAGAAGGAGATTCTCCTATGGTTGAACGGTGGTGTAAGTTATAATTCTCTTCCTTCATTTAACCTACACTTAGCTAACAATACTGAATAGCCTGGTTGCTCTTCCCTCGAAGGTCTAATCCAAGAGAACGGCCCGTTCATTTGGCAAGACGGTACCCTCAAGCCGGTTCCCAACCCATGGGCCTGGAACCGGCTCACCAACGTAGTCTGGGTGGAGCAACCCATCGGCACCGGTTTCTCGCGTGGTAAAGTCACAGCTCGCAGCGAAGAAGATGTCGCCGCGCAGTTTCTCGGTTTCTGGAAGAACTTCATCGACACCTTCTCCTTGCAAGGGTACAAGGTGTACATCTCCGGTGAATCCTATGCTGGTGCTTACTGCCCGTACATCGCGTCCGCCATGTTGGATAAGAATGACACTACATACTACAACGTCTCGGGTATGATCATCTACGACCCGGTTCTCGGTGACGATGTCGTCCAAGAATCCGCCACTACAGTGCCGTTCGTCGACTACCACAAGAACGTCATGACCTTCAATGATTCCTTCAGCAGCTACATCCACGGTCTGCACGACTCCTGTGGCTTCGCCGACTTCAACGCCAAATACCTAACCTACCCACCTCCCGGCCCACAGCCCGCGGGCTACTCCTCCAGCGTGAGCCAAGAGTGCCAAAACCTATGGGGCGTGATCCTAAACGAAGCATTCAGCATCAACCCCTGCTTCAACGTATACCAAGTCGCCGTAACCTGCCCTCTCCTATGGGACATCCTCGGATTCCCTGGATCTATCGAGTACCTCCCCGAAGGCGGACAAATCTACTTCGACCGTGAAGAAGTCAAGAAGGCAATCCACGCCGACACCGCAACAAAATGGGCAGAATGCTCCGCGGGCAACGTATTCGTCGGGGGCGACCGCTCAGACCCCTCATCCTGGCGTGTCCTCCCACACGTCATCGACGCAACCAAGAACGTAATCATCGGGCACGGATCTTTGGACATGATTCTCCTCCCCAACGGCACGCTCCTCACAATCCAAAACACAACCTGGGGCGGACAACTCGGTTTCCAATCACCTCCCGTCGAACCTTTCTTCGTACCCTTCCACACCCTAAGCACAGGCGATGAAATCCAAACCGAGACCGACCCCACCAAACTCGGCACCATAGCCGGCGCCGGCGTCCTCGGGACCGCACACACCGAACGCGGACTCACATACGTAAGCGTCGATCTCTCGGGGCACATGATCCCACAATTCGCGCCGTCGGCCGCATTCCGACAACTCGAGTTTTTACTCGGACGCGTGGACAGTCTAAGTTCCGTACAACCCTTTACCACGGAACCAAACTACCCGCAACCACCCGCTTCCACACTAGGAAACGGTACCGGTCCCGCGACTACGAGTTCCAAGGAGGAGGCCGCGGGTGTTGGGAATGTGGAGGCTAGTGCGGATAAGAAGAACGCGGCGCCTAGTTTAGTAGGGTCGGGTGTTATGGCTGCTGTTGCGGCTTTGGGGTTAGCTGTTTTGATGAATTTGTAGTTTGCTGATGAAGGATGATGAATTAATGATTCGATGCTTTTGTAGCTAGAGGTATAAAGTTGAAAATAAAAGAATTGTACATTATCTGAATGCTCCCAATGTTGAATATGTTTAGTAATTGCTCCGATTGTAGCATTTTTGCATTTTCACAACGGCTCCGAAGTGATAACCTTTACCTGTCTTTGTTCTGGTATGGGTAGTACGACTACTCATGCTTGCCTGTGTAAGAGTGCACCTAGACGAATCGCGATATCTGGTGGTATGGATGTAAAAAGCACGATATTCGAATTTAAGAATCATTAGGCGTATACGTCATCCAGTCTTACACAAGAAAGCCCATACAAATTGTTTTAAACATTCATATTTGATACATGAGGGGAGTAGAAAAGCGAAGTACACCTAACCCTACCCAAAACAGGTGATATCATGAGCGTCTTTTCGGATCGCAAAGTCAGCCTGCCTCCCTCCCCTCCTCATCCTAGCTCATTGTTTCCTCTGGTATGTTCACAGCTCAAGGTCATGTTTCGTAATCAAGTCCGAGGCCATTCCTCCCATCGTTTTGCTTCCACTCCAGCGAAGTCCCCAACGCCTTGCTAATTTTAAAAATGTCATATACGGATATACAGGTTTTTGTTGTAACATGGTATCTCATAAGGAAAGAAAGGTTGTGACATGGTGGTCACTGCTCGAAAACACTCTTTCCCTCGCGCCGCCTTAGTTCCCTGAGTACAGCAACGACTCCATTGTTTCGTAGCCGCTCTAGGACAATGCGCATTCCATCCCTTGATTTAATGAGTTGGTCATCGGTTTTGTTAGAAGCTATGGATTCGATGCTGCTTTGGATTCGCTTCGCACCCCATCCCGAAATCCATTCACCGAATCGTCGCGGACTAGTTTCTTCAGTATCAGTAACTTCAGCCGCTGCCTTGTCTTGTTTCCTGGCTCCTAGGGTAGATCGGTAGGAGAAAGTCGTTGTAACGAAGGTATTCGGAGATAACGGTCGGGGACCGTTGGTACCGAGAGAATTTGCGACTCCTGCAGGGTTTGAATATGGGGCCGGTGTAGCTTGGTCGGGAGAGGTGGTTGAGTAGTGTTGCTGCTCAACTACACTCAGAACACCTGTGTAATTGAGATTTCGGCTTTCCGTCTTCATCCAGCCTTCCTTGATATCCACGATACTAGTCTCTAGAACGTAACTGGACTTGTCGCCACCTCCACCGGTAACACTAGTGGGTAATAGCTTGACAACAGCAGACGGCAATCGGGTTTTCTTCATATGAATGCGTGTCATATGTAGACGACCGGTGGCGGGGTCGACATGCGACGAAATGGTATCGGTAGAAAGGACATGGCTCGAGAAGGGATTGAGCTGAGGGGAGTAGTATCGGAGGAAAAAGGCGAGAGTAACAGTAGGAAATGGGTGAGAGTAGGCGTGGTTGGTCGTGTGTGTGAGGACCATTTTGGTATCGGGTGGCGAGATCGCGTGGGCTTCGTTATAGGTGAATTGTTCGTTCGGATATCGTAGAATTGAGGGGAGCGAAAAAGCGGAGTAGAATGTTGAAAGTAGCTGTGTTGAAAGGGTTTCGTCGGACTTGAATATTAGACGTCCCTGTGTTCAATATGTCTATATAGACATGAGGCCGGTTCCTTGGTGGTTTCGATTGAGTAACGAAGCGGTGCGAAAGTGTCGATTTTCCTCTTTTTTTTTTAACACTTTGTCTTCTTCCACCCTTCGATATGGGTATAGCCTTTCAATCGAGGCGGAATGAATTGAAATTTAAACACTCATTTGCAATGTGGAATTACAAGAGTATTTAAATTAGGATATAAAGAAAAGGAGAAGAAGGAAGAGGAAGAAGAGGAGGTGGTGGTGTTGGTGGTATTGGAGAGAGGGGGCAGGGGTAAGAAGAGAAAGTGGTGGTAGTTGTGGTAGTGGTGGTAGTGGTGATGCCAGGTGATATGATGTATTTGCTGTGTGCGACGGCTGCTGACGGTTGTGATCGAACGAGTCAAATAAAAAAAGTCGCCAGAGAACATTCGACCACCAACCAATCCCGCCTCCGACAACCCCGACAGTTAGTGCTAATCCACTATTCTACTATTGGAAAACTCAATTTTTAATCTGTAGTAAATTGATCCGACTCGTCGATCAGTGTATCGGTCTTCCTTTTGATTGGTTAAATCTGAATAGAATGCGGGGAGAGCTTAGTCTACAGGTGGCAATGCCCAATTCACATGTCCATGAACCAATCAATTCGTTACGTATTCCTTCCTTTGGTTTTATAGTTTTACATGCGCATCATGATTGGTCTTTTAACCTTCTCCGGACTTTCTACATTCATCCTTCTACATTCAATACATTCATGCCTCTTCTTCTTCAGGTATATTCATGTACCTACACCCTCCTTCCCCTCCTGACGAATTCGTGACGATCCATAACAAAGAATCATATCGAGATGGGAACCGACACAGTTCTTTGTTTTCTGAATAGTAAATTCGTCATCAGTCATCTTATGACACCTGTTCCACCTATATAAATCAAACCAATGGTTTCCGTGATTTCCGACTAGATTTATCGTGGGGCACGTGGTCATCATTAATGCCGTTGCCGTAACCTCCGTGTGGGACGAATCGCATTGAACACCAAGGGTAGTAACTGTAGCGGCTTGGTGTTGTGTAAGGTTACCTTGGCTATCTACTCGAATCAAAATCCATGGTTGCAGTCAATATTTATGCTCTTCCTGCTGTCGGCGATGAAGCTGAATCAACCAAGTTGAGACTGAGTAGCTTCAGCATTCAACCGCTAGACTACAATTCTAGCTCAACTAAACACTGAGTTCTTCGGTAAGAACAGAAACTATACTGGATTTCTAATCCTTGTTAAGTTGTAGAAACGTTATATACAAGACTCGGCATTCTTCATTCTTGACCGGCATGTCTCATAGCCTGCATCATGCTTGAAGCACTTACTGTACGTTGGGATTATCTACCCCATAAAATACCCTGCTTAAATTCAGAAAGTATATTCACCTTCGATATAAATATGATATTGAATTATTAATGTGAAAGGGCAAATAGGAGCTTTTTTATGAATGTACCCAAGTATAAAGTACAATAGCAATGTATTGGATTGGTAATCAGTTAGCAGCTGAACGGCGATTGGCTAAATAGCACTGTGGCGTGAGCTCCCCTGTAATTGTAAGGCTTATCGCTAAGAAGCCGCGGCACGTTCCGTTTACATCATTCCAATTTCTATTTTATCATTTTATGAATCAATTGATTGATCATCACGAAGACCGACCTTAGAAGATATCACAACTATTGTCTATCATATCAACTTATCTAGTGATATAGATTCATACGGCGTGAATTATATAAACGCATCAAGATGTTCGCGCGACCCTTATCGGCGGTATGTTGTCCCTCATCACCCCGCCAAAAAAGAAAAAAAAAAGTAATCCGTCGATGATGCTGATTAAATCTTCACAATGTTAGGCCCTTAGACAGGCCCCGAGGCCTATTGCTCGACGAGCTATGTTCAAGACACCATCGCCCTTCCTCACATCCTTCCAACAACGACTACTTTCCGACCATACCAAACAAGCGATCGAGAAAGCCGTCGCATCAGCACCCGTAGTCCTGTTCATGAAGGGTACACCCGAGACGCCACAATGCGGTTTTTCGCGCGCCAGCATCCAGATCCTCGGTCTACAAGGTGTTGACCCTAACAAGTTCGCCGCCTTCAACGTGCTCGAGGACCAAGAATTGCGAGCGGGTACGACTTCCTGTTTCCATTACAATCACATTGCGGAAGAGTAAGGAAAAGAGCAACTGTAACTAACAATAGTTTTGGAATAGGTATCAAGGAGTTCTCGGACTGGCCTACTATCCCCCAACTCTACATCGATAAGGAGTTCGTCGGTGGTTGCGATATCCTCGTGTCTATGCACCAAGATGGTTCTCTAGCTAAGATGCTTGAGGAGAAAGGTGTACTAGCTCCCCTAGACGGTTCCGAATCTAAGGAGGAAAGTAGTTAAACGATGTATGGAACAGCAAAATGAAAATACGATCGAGTTGTACGATTCGGGTACATACGGATTTAATAGACGGGCGCCAGGCTGGTTTACGCCATCTAAAATAATGATAAGAAATGAAGGACCACGAGTGAGTGACCGCATTGGTATAATCCGTAAGGTTAGAAGACGATTCCCCTCAAAATAGAGATGTGGCGATATCATTGGATATAATACTATACATTAAAATCTAACACATACATATGAGACTTTGATACTCTTGGAATTTACTAGATCTACTGTCGTTTACTCTAACATTTCATAGCACTTCAAGTCAGCGACGACTGCGACCCCCTTACAAAGGATACGCTGCACCATCTCCCCTAGGATCGCTACCCGCAGACCACACACCGATATTCTCCACAGGATCAAGAGTCCACCTAATAATCTGACCACGACCAAACTGCGACCTTCCCATATCTGTCACGACCTGAACATCGTGACCCAGCTTCTTCAAACCCTCGACCGTTTCCGCCGGCATACCCTCTTCTACAAACACCGTCAAGTCCTCTTTCCCACTCTGACTCATGCCGGAACCAATACAAATCCTCGGCGCATCCAACGCCTGCTGAACACTCCACCGTCCCACAACCTGTCCCAGAAGGACCTGTACATGACCCTGGGGCTGCATAAACCCCCCCATAACACCGTACACACTATGCAAACTCCCATCATGCAAATTCGTCACCGCAGCCGGGATTATCGTATGATACGGCCTCTTCCTCGGCTCTAGAACATTTGGATGTCCCTTCTCAAGCGAAAAGTTCGCCGCGCGGTTTTGCAGCGTAAACCCGCATCCCGCGGGGATAATACATGTACCGAAGCCGCCGTAGTTACTGTTGATGAACGAAATCGCGTTACCCTCCGAATCGGATACCGCGAAGTACACCGTGTCGCTGCTCTGCCAGGCGGGTGAGCCGTGCGGGACATTGCTTGATGCTTTCGTCGCATCGAAGAGTTCGGCGCGAGAAGCGAGGTACGGTTGTGAGATTAGCGAGCTTGTGGGCACCTTCGAGACATTCGGGTCCGCGACGAACCACGCTGCGTCCGCGAAAGCGATGCGTAGGGACTCAATAATAGCGTGGAGATACGGCGCTGTGTTGAAATCGGAAGACGACCAAGTTGGGATTTTACCCGCGGCTTCGAGTTCTTGGATGATTCCAAGGGCCATAAGAGCTACTATGCCTTGCCCGTTGGGTGGGTGTTCCCAGAGTTCAAGACCAATGTCTTGCTTTTGGGCAGCGTCGCCGGTGGTTTTGTCGCCTAGTAATTCGGCTACTTTCTGGCCTCGAAATTTGAGAGAGATAGGCTCGACGGGCTCGGTGCCGGTTTCTAGGTGGTGTGTTAAGTCGTCTAGCTCGAGGTGTCCGCCGAGGTCTTGGACTACTTTGACGAGTTCGGTTGCGATGTGCCCGGCGTAGAACCCCTTTTTACCTTCTGTAGCTAAAGCGCGGAATGTTTTTGCTAGGTTCGGGTTCTTCATGATTTCTCCTGCTTTAGGGGCGCGCACGCCGTTTTGTGCGCTGGGATCCTTCTTGAGCATCTCGCCGCCATTAGGAGATGCTTGTCTGATTTGTGGTTCCGATTTATTCCACTGGTCGAGTGTATAAGCACATTGATGTTAGTAATTCAGGGATGTAACACAAGTCACTTACAAAATACGCGACGCCCTCTGAAACAGGGAAACCTTCCTCACCCAACCTAATCGCGGGTGCTAGAATTTGTTCTAGAGACACCTTTCCGCTGCCGAACCTCTGGACCGTGTCGTACCATCCGGCTGCGGCTCCGGGCACGGAGACGGCGTGCACACTAGCCATGGGAATTCTACCTGACTCGCCTTCCTTGAGACCTAGTGAATTGCGGATAGTCTCAAGAGTGCACTTATTGCCTGAGCGGCCCGAGCCGTTCATGGCCGAGACCTTTTTCGTCTTGGCATCGTAAAAGAGACAGAACATGTCACCACCTATACCTGTGGAGCATGGCTCCGTCATGTTGAGACCGGCGGCTATGACACGTATTAGCAACTCATAATAATGACGCCCGAGGAACAGTGAAATGTAAATTTAAGTTCTCAAAGGCGACATACCAACCGCTACGGCCGCATCCTAAACAGAGGTATTGTTAGTATTGATATTGGTATAAATTGAATAAACACTTACAGCGCAGTTACCCCCCGCCTCCAACACTTCGATACCACATTTCGCTGCGAGTGGTTGCGTGCATGACACGATACCTCTCGTACTATGAACTACACTTCGGCGACTTGGAAATTTTGAAAACACATGCGATTCCGGAGGGAATAGGGATGGGGTAGTGAGAGGCATCGTGAATTATCAAGAGATTATTGTTATTTTCCAGAAGCGATAATAATTACTCGTGGTTCAATCCCATATAATTCAATCTAATTCGCGATATTTAATACGGCCGATGAGCAATAGAAACCGTTGCGAAACAACAACAAGTATATAAGGTGTGGTTTGTGTAAGTTCAACTTTCGGGCAAATGGTTATCATCAAACTAGAATGACGTTCAGGTTGTCTCAACTATCTCTGTATCTTTCCGTAGATATCCTTTTTCCTGGTATCTATATCCCCCCAATCGCGCTTGTACCCGAATGCCTAACCTGCCTCGGTAAATGTTATTAATGGTTCCCTTAGAGCCGACAGCGGAGGACAGGACCGCCCCGTACCCCAGCGGGAACATTGCACCCAATTTTATTCTTCCTCGTATCATTTCATTCCGCAAAAGACAGCTCGTCTCTCACCATCATGTGAATGTTTTCATATCATAATATCATATCATAATATTAGGTCAATCAAAAGGATTCAGTAAAACTTTATCCTAGCTTTGCCTGTATATTTATTTTACTCTACGCGGCCCAAATTCCTGGATTATTCATAAATTCGAGAAGTGTGAAGCCGATCCCGCCAAATCGAGCCTACACAAAAAATGAGATGTCGAGAAGTCGGGAAACCAGACTCGGCCACATCCTTAATACGACTGTAGTGACTACAATGGCGAGTATGGCCATCCCACAATGCCGCTAGTCATCAACATTCCCGACTGAATAGTTGCGGCTTTTGTCTTCAGCTCCTCCACATCCCAATTAGCCCAAACCGAGCGACCATTCAAGAACTTGGCTTCCTGACTAGACATCCAGACCAGAAAATGGGCAGGGAGTTGAACTGTAACGAGGAAAACTTTAGTTTATATTATCACATCTTCAGCGGCAGCTAAAAGCGAGAGTCGGCTCCGCACACATACATAGGAAATGAGTCAGATGACGGAATGAAAGGGAGACGGGAACCGATGCAAAACTTACCCTTGTCCATTGGCAAAGCGTCGGTCGTCCCACCACCTCTGGCGAATATCTCAGTCTCGACCAAACCCGGGTGGACGGTAGCAGCAAAGATGCTTGGTTGTTCCGACGCCAGGAACTCGATCAACTTGGTCTGAGCTAGCTTGGACGCCATATAGGCCGACAAGCCGGGTAGCATGGAGGGCGGAAGTCCCGTGATTCCCGTAGTCAGAGCCAGGACCGTGGCGTGGGACTTGTTGGCGGTAGGCAAGAACACTTTAATGCCTAAGAAGCCGCCCTTGGTGTTTGTCTGTGCTTGGATCAATACGCGAGACAATCGACCAACACTGGAGGTAGTCAAACCTCGAAAGCTTGCCACCAGTCTCCAATATCTGCCGAAGCGAGAGGCTTCGGGGTGGGCTGGTAAGCAGAGGCGATAATGAGGATGTCCCACGTCCCGACTGAGGATGCTACTTGTTCAAGGCTCTTCTCTTGAGTGATGTCGACCGCGAAGATTGAAGTAGTAACAGTCTTGGGCAGAAGGGATGCAGTGGCCTCCAAGTATGCCTTAGTGCGCCCCAAGAGGACGATTTGAGAAGCGTTAGCACTAGCAAAAGCCACTGCTGTCTCTCGACCGATACCACTGCCCTGTACGTAAAAGAAGGTATCAGACTTGATGTGATCTCAATCAACGCGGGGGTTGAAGCATACCGCGCCAGCAATTATGACAATCTTCCCCTCTGCACTAAGCTCTAGTCGTTTCGGCGAAATGGAGGAATAAGAGTCGTTATGCCATGTCGACGTTGGAGAAGGGAATGGAGGCTGCATTTTTGACTTGGCTCAGGAGCTACAGCATGATAGAATACAGGGACGAGGTGGAGAGGGGAAGAGATTTCGACCTTTGGAGTTCCAAAAGAAAATAAAAAGACCTTGAGGTCGATCAATTTTAAAGGTGTCGCCCACCCGGTATCACAGCGGCAGTAGCCCATCCCTTTGACTGATTATGTGGACTGCCAAGAAAGTGTTTGCTGCCGACCATAGTCAAAGGGATATATGTATCATATGTCACACATCTCACACCCCTCCCCTCCCCATTTTCACGCCCTATTTGTGTAGGTACCCTCTCACGTACCCAGATACGGCGATAAGTCGACTATATCCGTGCCAAATTGACCGAATTAATTGGAAAACCGTTAATTACGCTCCAACATCCTTCTATTAATCCTCCCAACGGAAGAACTCAGTCACGTTTAGTGACGACAGGTTCTTCAACAGCATACACCAATCGAACGTCTTGGTCGATAAAGTTCTTCTCGTCTTCGGCTATCTTGTCAAATATTTCTTTGCTGTAAAACTTGTTTGCGGAACGGTCGAATGCGACTTTGTCTTCAAAAACCATCACGGTTACGGAGTCACTCTCGATGGTAGACACTTCTCCTCTGTATATCATTGGCGTAAATATTTCGTTCGAATTATCCCCGGACTGTGAGGATTTGACATCCGGCGGTGTCGTCTGGGTTCGTGTGATAAAGTGACGGGTGTGTGAGAGGGGGAACAAGGGACCCACGAGTGTCTTCAGAAGCGGCACATGGACGTTATTGTAATGGTTGTAAAACTACGACGGCGTGGTGCCTTTTTTGCGCTTGACGTGTGCGACCACCGTGTAAGTCATGGCTCGAGCTGTCTCTCCTGACTCCCGATATCGATGTGCTGAAGTGTAGATATAGTTGTGAGGAAGTGATCGAAAAATCATTAAGAAGTAGGTAGCTCAATGTGACAGCTTAAATCCAACTAAGACCAAAATATTTAGTACCTAGGTACATAAAGGCTACAACGAGTTATATATACACATCCCTTTATTAAACTTCTCAGGTTATTGGGTTGTCTTGTGTAACGTCCAGTCATGCAGCCAGCACCCAGGGCCTCGCAGGTTGACGGCCTAACTTCTCTTTCCTTTCCCCTACACTGCACTGCCAAACATGGCGAACCAGGTATTTGATGTTATCATTGCTGGATGAGGTACTGCCGGCCTAGTATTAGCTACACGACTCTCCGAACTGTCCACCATCCAAGTTCTCGTCATTGAAGCCGGTGAAGACCTCATGAAAGATGCTAGAGTCATAATTCCCGCTTTGGCGCCCACTCTAACCGGCACATCCGCTGATTGGGCAACTCAAACTTCCTCGCAGGTATGATGTTGCTTACTGATTCGCCACTTCGAGCTAACCTTCTCTCAATCTCAAGCATCTTTGCGGGGCCGTCAGCTGTTTCACCCTCTAGGGCGCACTCTTGGGGGTTCTAGCGCTCTTAACTCTCATACTTTCACTCCGACGTCGAAAGCAAATGTCGACGCCTGGGCTAGCCTCGGTAATGATGGTTGGGACTGGGAAAGCTTTTCCAAGTCTATCGACAACTCCTACACCTTAGCTAAGTCTCCCTGGAAGACTGAAGCACGTGGACCTCTGCAACTGAGTGTCGCCGATGAGGAGACCAGATGGCCACAAGTATGGAGGGAAGCGATCTCTAAACTTGGGTATCCGGTTTCCGGAAATCCCTTCTCTGGCCAATTCCAAGGAGCCCTGGTAACTCCGGAGAGTATCGACCCTGATACCAAGGAAAGAAGCTTTGCTGGATCCGCGTACCTTTCCCTCGCTCAATCTCGCCAGAATCTCACCATATGGACCCAGGCATCCGTAGACAAAGTACTTTTCAACAAGCCAATCGACCAAGGAGACCCTGTGGCAACCGGTGTCCAGATTACAAGAGATGGGAAAACCGAAGTGGTACGAGCCCGAAAGGAGGTCATCATAAGCGCTGGCGCACTTCATTCGCCCAAGATCCTCGAACTTTCTGGCATTGGAGACGCGACACTTCTGCGCTCTCTCGGGATTGATGTCATCGTTGATAACCCACACGTCGGCGAGAATCTCCAAAACCACCCGATATGCAGCGTAACCTTCCAGGTTTCTCCACAGGACGGCTTTCAAACGATCGATAGTCTTGTGCGACAGGACCCTGACACTTTGGCGTCTGCGATGGAAGCCTACGGAAAAGATCGCACCGGGCCTTTCGCAAGAAGCGGTATTGATCTTATGGCGCAGCTTCCCTTGCCCAATCTTGAAGGTCCGAAGGGTTCGCGCGAACTCGACCTTGTGTTGCATGACCCTAAATACGAAGATCGTGACCTTGGGAAAACCACCACTGCCTTCGCGGAAGCGCATCGATCTTTCGTGAACTCAATCCTTGCCTCCCCGACCGGTAGGTCTGCGGAATACATAACCTGTCCTGGATATGCAGTCTATGGACCGGATGGGAAGATGACGGCCATTCCACCGGGTACCGAGAGGTACTTCTCCGCTGCGGTATTCCTCTCGCTTCCCCTCTCGCGCGGCTCAGTCCACATCACTTCATCAGGCCTCGATATAGACCCCAAGTACTTCTCCCACCCGCTGGATGCGGAGATGCTGGCCCGCCATGTCCAGCAATTAGAGACTATCATGAATACCGACCCATTCCCCAAGCATCTGAAACTCGATGGTGTGCGAAATCCGGTTGTCCCTCCACCTGGAAGTCTGTCGGATCTCGATAACGCAAGGGCATTCGTGCTAAGCTCCACAGCTGCAGCGCATCACTTTACGGGAGCTTGTTCAATGATGCCTCGTGAGACTGGTGGTGTCGTCGACGCACAATTACGAGTGTATGGCTGTCGCAATTTGCGCGTGCGCGACGCGAGTATCATCCTAATCATTCCCGGAGCTAGTCCGCAGGCGACTGTGTATGGTGTCGCTGAGCATGGTGCAAGAATCATTAAGTCGGCTCTATGATTGCTGTTACTAAACTTGGGAGTGTGAGATAGGGTTTAGGATGCCTCGAGATGCCGGGACTTTTTGAGATTGAGCTACAAGAATCCTCGATAAATTGAGTGCAATCAAGAAACTACCCTTTTCATACATCGACTGATGAGTGATCGCAGCCATAAGATGTACCTGATCACTCTTTACCATCTTCCGAGGCACCATATATGTAAGACAGAACCGACAACGCTCAATGAAAAAAAAAAAAATAGATAATTCAATTGTTCGCTGACTCTGTCCAATGTCTGTATTCGTGTCATTTCCCAACATAAGGAGTTAGGGCGTTAAACCCGTCGGACGGTCGGACGTACCGTTCACATTATTAACATAAGAATGCCGAAAACAAACACATACTCTGCTCTAACACGTAGCCTCGAGATGTCTCCCTCAGATACCCCAGATACAGCTAGTCATGGTTGAACAAGACAAATCCCCATCGTCCAACGGTGACCCAAGTCAATCCGTAAAAAGTGTCAAGTATGTCATAAATATTCATAACTTGACTTGGCTTGCATAAGTCAATTATACGTGATTACTTGACTTGATTGACTTATTGACACTGCTGCTGTCCGCTCTAAGAGCCCCCGAGTTTCGGAGCCGTCCGACAATCATAAGAATCACGGCATCGGTTCCCACTTTGCTGCTTCGCTAACTCGGGACTAAAAGAATGGCCAAGATCTTATTTCTCTTTTATCTTGGGATGTTTCATTATAGAAAGCTAATTATTGTGTAACAGGTATTATTTTATTCGCTCTTCTGTGATATGCTTTTTGTAACCTTCTACATACACTAAGATTACCCCTCGCCCCTCGCCCCTTTGCCCCGGGAACTCCCTTAACGACGGATATTTTTAGATAACATAACCTTAAAGCTGCTCAACCACGTGCTGTTCCTGCGTTCCTTCCGGCCATAGAGCCGGGCCCGGAGTAGTGTAATTTGTAAGGGACGACCAAAATACCGGGATCAACACTCCGGGCTCGTCTCCCTTGTATACACCCGGGATCTTAACAAGCGGTCCGAATTCCGCACTTTCACCTTTGCCCCCGATGTTAGAGCTGGCAACTACTTTAATCTGTGCGCAGGATACATAGAATTGAGCGCATGCCCATTTATGCGCTGCATGCAAGGCAAGACCCTCTGCTCGGAGAAGGTACTCGCCCGGCGGGGTAGTGGCCGGTAGTGGGAGCTGGAAGGACTGGATGTTATGAGTCGCCCATGTCACCACCTCATCATCGCCCTCATTTCCTGTGGTGGACGACGAATTAGTAGAATTAGCGGGTGCCGTCGTGAGCGAGTATACCCTAGCCCAACCTCCGGATCCATCATAATTCGCCGCCGTACTGCTTTCAGGGACCCGGGATAGATATACCTGCTGGATTCCCGGGTGACCGAAGTGCTCGTCAATGCCGAAACCAATCTTATCGCCGGCGCGCACCGTGTATGTTTCCGCAGTTTGCGCATTGAAGTTACACCGGAAATCCGTTGAGTTCACATCTGTAAGAGGCGCGTTGGAGTTATTGTGGTGCCGGATGTATTGCCACGGCTCGCCGACGACCTCGTCATTTACGACTAGTCGGCTATAGGTCCAATGCGCTAATGAGCCTGGCACGTTGCTGACCAGAGCCAGGGTGAAGAGTATAGATTTAGAGAGCATCATGCTGACCTTAATTAAGACCTATTATGGCATGTAACTATTAGACAGGCTATAGAGTGAGAAAGCATGAGTGTGGAAATCCATCCTTATATTATGCACATCGAATCTATCGAGATACGCAAGTCCGCGGCCCATCTAACCAGACTCTACGTCTACGTAAGCCGGTCTGTAGATCGATTCCCAAGCTGGAGTTCAAGAGAATAATATTTCACCGAGAGGATGAGGCACCGCAGTTAATGATAGGTTAGAATGGGGAAGGCGGCCCAACTCACTTAATTATTCGCATAGAGGCTAAATTCGATTTCAGTCTTCAGTCAAGTTTAAATAGGGGTAATGGCGTAGCTTACCGTGCTAGGGGCCCCGTAAGGTGTTTGGCATCATGGATACGATAAATAATGAACATCGGACATTGGTTGATTAGATCTAAATTTCGAAGTCATGCGTAGTATATACGAACCCTTCCTCTATATCTCTTGTAATCTTTTTCGGCGTATGCCAGTTTACCAAGATATAGGCCGTCGCCACACTGACCGAGTTCACTAAGAACCCCATTCACTGGCTATAATATGGGGAGATGCGCGCTGAAAAGCATAAAGTTCTAGGGCATGTTAACCTATAAATATAGTGCTTAAATTTATCGAGGGGTTACACCGAATGCGGGGTTATATAGTACTGAATTATAGCGTATTCGTACCTGTAATCATAGTAGGCACTCATGCTACAATGTCGTGCGCTCGATTATGGGAGGTTCTAAAGCTCCCTAAAATACAACTTTCTCGACGCCTCCGTACCCTATATTTTAGCAGTCTTTGCAATATCGATCGCTGTCCTCCGGCCCCTTTATAGCTTCCTAGCCCTGCCACTCTGCTACGATTATCCATCTTATAGCCCCGTCCGGACGATGAGCTCCTAGATATTTAAACCTAGGATCCGCCTGCTGGAACAATTCAGACCATTCATGCATTTCGCGCTGTTTAGCATTCAATAGCTGCTGCATTCCCACGTCCAAATTACTGGTGACAATTAGCTCTAATTGCATTCGCGATATATCAAAGCAGATTATAGGAAGTCTTACATTACTCTTCGCTTATGGTCTGTAGAGAGATTTGCAAGGCCTGGGAGGATGCGTTCATGGACTACTATCTTCGCGCCCTTTTTAAGCGCAGGTATGAGATTCTGTAGAATCTTGATGCAATACTTGTCCGCCCAGTTGTGGAAGATGGATCGGAAGTAGTACACATCGGCAGTAACCGGCTGCTTCGTAAAAAAGTCGCTATAGTATCCAAAGTTACGACACGTCATTCGACAATTCAGGGGAAGGAGTTGACTAACTGTGCCATGAAACTGACCCTATCCTGAAGCTCGGCGGGCAATCGAGAAGCCCCCTCAGCCGCTGTATCTGCCAGATCTTGAACGATACATTTCACTTTCGAGAACTTTTTGGCGATTTCAATGGCGACACTTCCATGTGACCCTCCAACATCTATGATTGTTTCATGACTCCCCCAAGGATAATTATCAAGCAGCATACGACCTGGTTCATCTTCGCGAGAGAAGTATGCTCCGAATCTCTCGCCTCGCTCGGGGTTGCCAGCAAATATCTCATACATGTTCTTGTTACTGTTGTTGGATAGAGAAAATCCCTAATTGAGATAACTTAGTGGTGTCACCATTATAAGAGGATTCTCAAATTGAGACCTACTGTTTCGTTACTTTCTTCGGAGTTTGGCCATTTCTCCATAGCATCCGCCATCTACTCAAGTCAGCACCAAAAGGAGGTTATTAATTCTTCTAATTCTATGATTTAGCTTACCTTAACTGCTGCTGGCCAGAATTCGTCTAACTCGACGATCATCGAATTTCGCATGACAGGGTCCGTGGCTAAGATAGCCGTAAGCGCCGAGTGTGTTATAACACCGGGGGCATCTTCCCTGAACCAGTGATGGTTAATAATTGCGTGCCTTACGATACGTCGAACATTTACGACATTCAACCCTGAGAACTTCGACATGGCTTCAAATGAAGTAGATTCCCCCACTGGGAATGATGAATCCAACTTAAACCGAAGTATCGCTTTCACGCTGGCGTATGCGGTCCACTATAGAAGTGAAGTTAGAAAGCAGCTATCTTTATGAACTGACTACCCTAACCTTGAAGCGTAGCAAGTTCTTAGGTCCAGTCATCAGATCCTGTAATTCAGAACAAGCCTCGACGATGGCCTGTCGTGATGCTTCAAGATCCGCAGCATCCGCAGGTATAGGTAACAACCAAAGTGCATCTACGTCCAAAGAGGGAGTAGGAAGATTATTCTTCACGAAAAAATCGTTCAGTTTCTCCGTCTCTTTCGCAATAAGGGAGGAAAGTTCCATGATCCTATTAGGGGATGCCATTTTGAAATACCGATATGTCCGTTATCGAATTTTTTTAATGAAACGAGAAAAAAAGGCCCGTGTCTCGGAAGGATGTGCACAGCTTTTACTTATTCTTCCAGTTCGCGTCGGTGAACATATTGAAGAACGGAGGGGTGTTCTGGTTTCAAGATAAGTAAGGGCGAAGGAAGCGGCGTAGCCGAAAGATGGGGATGATATCAAGAGGGGCTAGTGAATATCTACCTACCTAAGTAGTGGTGGAACAATCGCGGAGCTCGTTATTGTCTTACCTAAAGGTAAACTAGTGGAACGGCATGAGGGCTATGAGTATCTGAAGTGTAGCTAACAAAGGAACCAGAGTACGACCATTATGACACAAAGGATTGTTATCAAATATGTGCAGATTTCTGTGCCTTCATACCTTGAGTAAAAATCAAATATTATAAAAACGAATTTTCATTATACATACAAAAGTTGCTTGTATACCTAAGTACTTGTCTATAGAAACAGAAATAGGGGAATGGGTTAGTAAATATCTACTGCCATCTGAGACCACACCTTCTACAACTCCAACAACACTTTTCTAACTAAAATTATACCATTATACTCTAGCAATCCTTTTCAACCATTGTCTGAACATCCATATCTGACTAAGTGCCACCTTTACACTGTTTGGTTTAATCGCTGAACCATGAAAACATCCAGGAATGGGAAGCTTTGATCCATGGTGTCCGCCTTCAAGACTGATTTTCCCGCAGTCATGGGCACTCTTTCAGGGGCGGGCGCAAATAGGTATTGCTTTGACCGCATCCTATGCGCGCTTCGGAATACCTAAAGAATGAGTATTAGCTCGTTACGTGCTGGGCCATTGAAGATATAGACTTACCCTCATTCGCTTTACCATCTCATTAAACTCTTTTGCGATTGCGGCATCGCCCTCATCTTGGGGCGCGTCGCTCAACTTATGTCGGAAGCAGTACTTTTTAAACGCGTGTGCTACGGCTCTCTGTCGCACAGGCACATCACGCTCTTGATCAAGGTACGATAAGTACGGGTCGTATCCCAGAAAACCATCGACAGCATGGAAAAGCAATGCCGCATTTCCGCTAAGACCATCGAATTTGATGTATTCCCCAGTTTTCTCGTCGACATAGCCGGCGCTCCACGCGAAAAATCCTTGTACGTGAGACAACCACACAGAAATCGCAACTTTTCCATTGTGCAGATTGTCGTAGTATGTGGCAAGAGCCGGTCGCAATTGATTGGTGATGCGTTTCATGTATCTCAAGCAAGCTGCCTTGTCTCCTCGGGCGAACTCGATGTTGGCTAGGACCATATCATGGTAAATTGGCAGGCCCTATTTAAGCTCAACGGTTAGAAAGTAGCGGAATAGGGGGAATGCATCGTACATACCGTTATCTCAATATCATAGAAAATGCGGCTAAAATATTCCTCAGCCATAGTTATCTTTTCAGGCATTCTGATGTTGAATCTGAACATATGCTTTCCGTTGGTGTCGAAATTCAGCATCGCATTGCTTGTACTACTACCAGCTTGCGATGTGCAACCGAAATGACGTTGAAGGTATTCCCAGGGCTCCACCAACTCGACCGGCAAATCAACAATAGTTTCACGCTGAGCGACTTTGACCACAGGGATGGTAGCCCATCGGTATGCGTGTCGGCTCCAGGAAATGCAGCAGTAAAAAGCGTTGTACATATCGCGGGGGAACACGTCCCACCGACCCGCTTCAGCCGCTTCAAGCAAACTTCTAACTTGAACGAGATCGACCTTGCCTTGAAGCAGTTTACGGAATCGAGAACGAAAGCTTTCAATTCGCTCTTTGTTCACTTCGTCGTCGAGGGATGGTGTCTCCTGTGGAATAAGGGGTGCCATTTCCTCGTATATCGCTGTGTAACCCCGAATCGACTCCGGCCAGGTAGAATACGTGTGGTTTGCTCGAGGTGGCCATGCACCAGCGCCATCCGTATGGATAAGTTCCGCCAAGACTGCAGCAGTCTCGTGGTAGTCCACTAGAGACTCAATATCGCGAATCTGGGTTTGTGGGTCCGTTGCATGTTTCGACATATCATCGTTATCCAAATCCACGATCTTGGAACGCTGATTCTTCAAGAACGACAATAGAAGAACGGCAAGGTAACCGATTGGAACCATCCAAAAGAATAAGGGGGTGTTTTCCATAGTGTTTGTAGTCGACAAGATCAAGTCTATCAACATGGTTTAGTGCAAAGGGGAGTTAATTGCCCAGGTGTAATTTGCTAACTTGCTCTAATATGGTGAGCCAAAAGACGAAAATGGTTTGAGTGTATAGTATGCGGAGTTGGTTGATATCGCGATGGGTAACCAAACCTCCTGAACTTGATAGGCTAGGCATGGCTTTTTTATAATAGATGGATAACAAACTTTTAGCAAACATCTTGACATAAATTGGAATATCAGATGGTTGGAATCCTTTTGGTTGGTAATTTGTGTTGTCCGGAGTTTGCGGAGGGCCATTTTGAGCCCTGTTGTAGTGAAGTGTATTTTCTGTGCGTTGAATTAGCGGATGGGTTATTAAATTCCCTGAGTTTACGGATTGGGTTGTGAATTTTTGATGTTGGTGTCTCTTTTTTGTTCTCTTTATAAGCAGCTGTGCCACATAGCAACGTCAAGATACCTTGGTACTTGGGTTGTGCGTGATGATTTGAGGCGAGTTGATTGGTTATAGGTGGTTTTTCCGAATGACTAAGGCAATAAAAGGGCATTTCTTTACAGCCTGTAGCTGCAATTCTAACTTGGAAAAAACATCATCAATTGCCCGCATTACAAATGGGGATACTCCGGCCCCGAGACGAGGCATCCCCGAGATCCTTCAGCCCTAGCCTCACGTTCATAGGGACAATGATGATGCAAGGAAGACGCTGAGTCAGTCCCTGCAGCTTGGCGTCACTGTTTGCGAAATGTGCTAGGATACCTATGAAGATCATTATTGGCGATCATCACCGAATACCACTGGCGAGTACCGTAACGTGCGCAAGCTGAGAGAAACAAGCCATGCAGGATCTATCTAGGCTTGGCCGACCTGACTCTGAAACTTCACTTCTCATTTACTTGCGACAAGCTTAGGCGGATGGCCCGCGGATCACCCGCACATAATTTGGAACTTTTATAACAACCAACAATCCCAACGCGGTTAAAAAATTACTCAATGATCAGGTTGACGATACGACTGTGCCGCCCCGACCTAGCACGCCGAACCGCTTTCGGTATCTTGGTCCATTAGCAAATATCAAATATGTACACCGACCAGGAAATGTTGCTTTATCCCAATTAGGGCTCGGATATCGGGTACTTCGTTGGAGACTAGGAGACAAAGTCGCTGAAGGATTGGGGGTAGATGCAGTCCTTGCAGAAGGCAATCATCTCGAGGATATCGACCAAACATCCAAACTCCAGAATGCGTATAGAAGCAAGGTATCCCTGTGCTCAATATGTTCTGCCCCCTAAGCCCAGGCACTCACACGTAGGCTTTGGTGTCCGCTATCATCTTTCACGTGTAAGCGCTCCGCGTAAACTAGGTTGAAATTGCTGAAAGCTGCGCTAGACGTGCTGATTTGGATGGTATCACCACTGTTGTTGGTGACAAGGATAATATAGCGCGAGAATCGAAGACCCTCTCAGTATTAGAATGGATGGAGCGTGACTTCATGCGATTGAAGTTATTGTGCGCGCTCCACGGGACTTGAGGGCGGTCATAATTCATACGGGATGTCCGTCTCACGAGATGTAGCCTTCTTTCGCGCTATCGTCTGTGTCTGTTGTTGACAAGGGGGGGATGATGACCTCCATCGCTTACCCCTATTCAGAACTCTAACGTGGTACACAGGTCGGCACGGACAGATGGGAGCGCACAACTCCGAATTCGCTACCGTGGGACGTTCATGTCCATTTTGATGGGAATCTTATTCTGTGCGGCCCACTCCACGTAAAGTACGGCGAGATCCTTCATACGCTCGCATCTAGAGATTGTATCTTTGTCTCTGCCACACGCCCGAAGGGTTTCGCATTCTCGTTCGAGGGTAACGATGGCCATTTGGAATGCGGTCGCAAGGAAAAATGGCGCGACCGCCCTATTTTCTTTCAGCGCGCCGTAGCCAATGGTATGAATTACCTTTTGCGCATAACCCATAAGCTTGATACGATGCTGCTCTATTTCGCCGAGGACTTGATCATAAATGTCATGCAATGGCGGTATGGTGAGCATCGTAGTTAGCATGTCGCTGAGAAGTAGGCGAAGTGACATGGCGGTCGTCCAGAAGAGGGTTACTATATGGTGCTCTCTCATCGTGGGGAACGATAAGACGGTGTCTACAACTGATTGGAGATCTAGACTGACTGTCAGCCAGAAGTCTCTTGTTGAATTGGCACCCACGTTGCGATGACGCGACAACCATATTATCAACGGGGTTTCATAGGTGGCCATATCCAAGTACATAAGTTGTGTCTCGACGCGGTTCAATATGGCATCAGCCTTGTCGCGCAAGGATATCAATATACGACCAAATTTACCGTCATCGTACGAATGCACTTTGGATGTGCTAGCACGCAATTGATCGTATTGGGCGATGATAGCCACCGTGGAAGCCGCTTCCGTTGTTAGGATATCGAGCGGATCATATATCCCATGTTCTAAGACTGTGTTCGGGACTTCAGGTCCATATCGTGTTACTTCCACCTTCAACGCAGCGCTTGAAGGCGGCCGTGAGCATCCTTCCGACACAAGACTAGAAAGGAAGCTCGGCTGTCTGGATGATAATACTTGTAAAATCTTCTGTATGTAAGTATTGCGAACCCGGCTTCAGGTGGACGAAATCACATACAACAAAGAGGCGTGAGCTTGCTACTAGCCTTTCATTATTTACCGAATAGGCGTGTTCGCTTCCCCGGAGAAGGATGGCGGCAGCTAGGCCACGAATGTGTTCATGCCACTTCCGCGAAGTCGGAAACATTTCAAGCTTTCATTAAAGTTAGAATGATTAACGGATTACTTCTCAAGGAAAGGCTGGACGTACTTCCCAACATGCCATTACAATACAGAAGAATGCAAGATGTTGCCAATTATCTTCTGTCGGAACTTGGAAACCGGAGTCGGCATATTTCAGTTCTTCTAACTTAGCCGACATAGCACGTAGGGCTGCGCCGTATGTGCGAATGCTCTCTTGCGTTGACACTGAATCAGAATGAATCCTTCCAAACCGAGCTCCTGCGAGAGCATGAGCGGCGAACACGGCCGGTTCACTTGAAAGTCTACAGCTGGCTGCCAAATACTGTAGGGAGGGTTCGGTTGAAAGGTAACGGTAAAAGAGGTCAAGGATAAAGTGGGGGCCGTTAAGAATATCTGCTCCGAATTCAGAGAGAAAAAACACAGTGTGTAGTTGTCTACGCTCTGGGCTAGGGGTCCTCGATAAAATCAAAACGGGAGACGTGGTAAATCTTTCGACTTCATCTTCTGGAATTGAAGTTTCGCGTTTCCGTGATGTTTTTCCTGGGCTTTTCTTTTCCGTTACTGAAGATGAGACACCAGGTGCTCGCCAGCCATCATTTAAGAATACATAATCCTGCCGGCGGTATCCCCGACAAATCTGTTTTCGTTCTTCACACCTCTGACATGTTGGTCGCCTGCCATCTAAAAGATAAAGGTTAAAATTCGACCAAACTGTTATTCGACCCAAGCGACGAACCACAACGTGTTTTGCGAGAGAGGCAAGTAAGGCATCCCTTAGATCGAGGGGCAGAAGGCAGGGATTTATTGGCCCCACATATAATCATGTTTGAGAAGGGTATTTTATAAGCATCAATATTGGAAATTACCTAGGTACGTTTATGGGCTTCTAGAGTCGAGCGCGAAATGCGAACAGCAGATACCGACCTTGGATTGAGTTGAATGATGAGAGGTGGAAAAGTTGAAAAGGGGGGAGAGGACAACTCCCCAAAATTTGATGACGCTAAACTTGATTTAGAAGGCTCTGCGATCCCTGCAAGTTCACTTACACGATTCATAGCTCCACCCGGCATCGTTATGGACCTACCTCTGGGTGAGTCCTCTAATACATTGATTTGTATATATAAAGCTCTTGATAGATTTTTCTTCTTTTAAATGCCTTTTCTTCAGACAGGTATTTCATTCGTTCCTGGGAGAAACCCAAGCCAATTCTACCTACCTCCTCACCTCTCGTGCCTAACAATACTATCCACTAATATTATGGAGGAACTCGACCAGAAACCACCCGAGAAATCCCAAGAAGAGCAAGCTATAGGAGATCTAGAACAAGCAGAAACCAAGGAAGACGAAGATGGTGGCCAGCAGCGAGTAACCCACGCTGACGAAGAACCATCTATGATAAGGATTCTTCTAGTTAGTATAAGTTTATGGTTTGCCGTCTTCTTGGTTTCGCTGGTAAGTACTTGGACCTTAAGTCTATTTACCTCAGTATAACGCTGACCATGTGATTCTCCTAAGGACCAAACTATCGTGGCCAATGCCATCCCAAGTATCTCAGACGACTTTCAAAAGCTTTCCGACGTGGGTTGGTATGGTAGCGGTAAGAATTCCCACCCTATGTCTTCAACTCTGCTCTAACAACAAGACTCTAGGTTATCTCCTGACTACAGCGGCATTCCAACTCTTCTACGGCCGGGTTTACGCGAACTTCTCCATAAAATACACCTTCCTTGCCGCCATTGGTCTTTTCGAGCTTGGATCCCTAATATGTGGTGTCGCGCCAACTAGTACCGCCCTTATAATCGGCCGCGCCATAGCCGGCGTGGGTGGGGCCGGCATCACTTCTGGTTCCATGATTATTATCACGCACATAGTCCCACTCCGAATCCGTCCTATATTCGTAGCATCCCTTGGTATAATTTTTGCAGTGGCATCCATTCTGGGGCCTATTCTGGGTGGGGTTTTCTCAACCAAAGTCACCTGGAGATGGTGTTTTTATATCAACCTCCCTTTTGGTGGCGCTACAATCCTTGCTGTGTTACTGCTTTTCAAATCCCCGAAGCGCCCCCAACTCGACTCCATTTCTCTGAAGGAGAAGCTCAACAGGATTGATTTTATCGGCCTGCTGCTTTTTATCCCTTCCATTGTCTGTCTATTACTAGCACTACAGTGGGCTGGATCTACCTATGCATGGAATGATGGCCGAATTATTGCCTTGTTCGTCGTTTTCGGCATGGTAGGAATCATATTTCTGGCATTCGAATTCTGGAAAGGCGCTGAAGCTACCCTTCCGCTACGAATGCTGGCAAGGAGAAGCGTAGCCGCCGCTACGTGGAATTGCTTCTGTAACGGTGCGACTTTCCTTACTTTCGTTTATTACATTCCTTTTTGGCATCAAGTTATTGGAAATGTTACCGCCGCCGATTCTGGCATCAGACTACTTCCATTTGTCCTAGGAGTGGTCATCATGGCCATGATTTCCGGGGCATTGGTTTCTAAGCTTGGATACTGTAAGTTGAAATTCTCAGCCAAGCGCGATAGTTACCTAAGGCTAAACGATTTTTAGATGCTCCAATGATGATACTTTCTTCCATCATTGCTCCAATAGGGGCCGGCCTCATGACGACCTGGACGGTCGATACAAGCTTTTCCAAATGGGTTGGATACCAGGCATTGCTAGGGATTGGGATTGGACTTGGCCAACAACAACCCTTCATGGCAATACAGACGGTCCTATCCAAGCAAGATGTCTCATCGGGCATATCTATTGTTTTACTAACACAGACAATTAGCGCAGCCATTTTTATTTCCGTCGGGCAGTCTGTGCTCCAAAACGAACTCCTTAAAAATCTGACAGCTACATTGCCTAACGCCGATTTCGATGTATCTAGTCTTGTGGACATCGGCGCGACTCAACTCTGGTCTGCAACACCTCCGAAATACCTAAATGCAGTCCTGATCGCGTATAACGGCGCTCTCACCAAGGTTTTCACAATCGGGGTATGCACTTCTGCTCTCACGATACTTGGTAGCCTAGCAGTAGAGTGGAAGAGCGTCAAAAAGGGCAAGGACACGGAGCAGGAGCTCGGAACGACTACTGAGTGATGCACCGCTATGAACATTTTATATAATCTTCAATTCTCCACTCATATACATACTAACTAGGTGCGCGTTCGGATTTTTAAGAGGTATCTCGATGCACGCCGAGGAAGTGTCAGGTAGATTATGAGCTGGGGGCGTACGGTAGTACGGATAGTGCTAGTATTCATTGTAATTATAGTGTATTATAATGGACCCTTCCCTCAAAATGCCCCGTAATGAACCAGATAGGCGGGGTGCTTCCACTATAGACAACAAGTACCCCTCAACCGACCATCCTTCCACAGCGACCTACCTACCCAAAATGACGGCGCTATATCCACTAACTGTTAGGTAGCGAACAACTACCTAGGTAATCCTACGGGGCTTTTGCTGCGGGGTCTATCAAACTGGTTGTGGGTTTAATGCGGCGGGACTATAGCGAAATTACTCGGCTCTTTTCTGATTACGTGCGACCATTGAAGTAATATGTAGAATGTCTATTGATATAGCGCTGTCATTTAGGGGGCTGTTCACTGTTAGGGCTGGGATGATAGGGAAATCTAGGTGGCGTAAAATGATATTCGTTTAGAGCCCTGGAGGACAATAATTTCCAAAGCGGTGTCGTACTGAATGCGCTGCGATACACTATAAATATAGCGAGATGTAGTGTCGATTAGTGCTACGTGCCCTATAATTACATGCGTCGCGATTTGAGACTGAGTCTGATCAGGCACATTGTCAACAAAGACAGCTACATCAAAGTGAACATTTTGACATCTAATATTTATATTCACTTTTAGTCGGCGCTGAAGGGGAAATAGGTTCGTATTGAGGCATAGACGTTGAGCGATACCACGAGTCTTCTAAAAATTATTCCCTGAAAATATGCCCCTATTGATTATCCTTCATTTGCCCCACCGCCCCTTAGAGTGGTTGATAACATGTTAGGAAAACAAAAACTATAAATATAGTCGATAAAATCATTATCAAGGCGATATCTGAATTCCGTCCATGCGTTGCGTCTATTCGGTAGGTATGTTGCCGGAACAGGTTGGCAGGAGCACGCGACGACTCCATGGGAGCTGCTTCTTGCAGATTCTGAGGCTGTATTAAGGCACATTCATTCTCCCATAGATTCTAATATATAAAATTTGGGCTTCGAGAATACTATAAGTAGTCATTCTCACTTCCGTTTGTTAAATACTCTATCTACATACTTGTGGCTAGAAGTTATTGTGCATTATCCTTTCTTCTAACTCTCGCGAACATGAGACTGTACACTACCCTCAGCATAGCTGGCTTACTACTAATAGTGGCGGCGACAGCTATTTCGACTGTGGATCTTGGTTATGCCTTGCACCAACCGAACTACGATGTAAGTTACGTTCCGGAAGTCTACTATAATAGGATTAACAAATCCGGCACAGGCCAAGCACGATCTTTATAAGTTCTATGATATTCGTCACGGCAATCCTCCTAAGCTCTTCTCTAAACCAACGACACCAACTACTATCGACCGGCGCATTCGCAACAATACGGCCCCAACGGTGATATGTCCCCAATCACAATCATGGTGGTATTCGAGGCAGAATTCAGACCGCTATTGTATTACGCCTCTAGAATTGCAGCAACAATCCCATAGAGTCCCCCAGACTCTAAACAGCCTTTTTCTTGATGTTATGGTCCCAAACAAAATAGGGGATCCACAAACTCCACCAAAGGCGGTACGTCCGACTCGTTGGGAATGGAAGACAGTGACTAACTCCTATTTATAGCTACTACTATTATTTATATCCACGGTGGTAATTAGAGTTTCAACCATAAGGGGAATACGTATGCCCAGCCTAAAGGGCTTATTGTTACGTCCCAGCGTGACGGACTCGAGGGTGTGATAGCTGTTCAGGTTCGTAACTTCCATCGCCGCTTAGAAACACAATCATACAAAACTCGACTAACGTTTTGATAGATTAACTATCGACTTGGGATGTTCGGATTTCTTGCTGCAGGGGAAGGAGTGACTCTGAACGTAGGCCTATGGGACCAGAAACTTGCGTTAGAATGGGTGAGAGGTAAGTGACTAGCTCGACTATGACAGAAATTTCACAATTCAATGCTAACAAAACACCATAGAAAACATACATCTCTTCGGCGGTGGTCCGAACCGAGTGACCATAATGGGAGAAAGTGCTGGTGGTGGATCAGTCATACTACAGACTACGGCATTCGGAGGTAAATGAGATCCTGTGCCATTTCAACAGGCAATTCCCTAGTCGCCTGCCTTGCTACCTCTCTTGGATACACAAAAGGCATACGAAGATGCATTATGCGCAGCATCGGAACTCTCCGATAAACCCGTCAAGACCACTGAGGATTTACGTTCATTGTCGCCCGAAATCCTTATGGGTGCTTACCAAATGGCTAACAACAACACGTTCAACGCTACGTACGCCTTTTGTCCTATAGTTGATGATCAGTCCTTTTCCACCTCAAGTAATATGGCATTTCCGTTAACATAATGTTCTAGGCGATTTCGTCCCAGAACTCCCTGGCAAGCTTCTTGCTGAAAATCGGTTTGATCATAACGTTAAAGTCGTTTCGCAAATCGTCGCAAACGAGAGTGTCCTTTACGCCCCTTTGGACGTGAATAACAACGACGAACTGATCTACAACATACACCAATCGATACCGGGTATCCGAGAAGACATAATTGAAGACGTATCGACCAAGCTGTATCCTGATGATATGTCTGGAAAGTACGGATATAGGACTCAGACTGAGCGTAACAGATTAATTAGCACAGAGGTCACGTTCACATACAACGGACAGTGGTTGGCAGGCGCTCTTGGCAACAAGACTTGGAATTCTGTATTCGCATACCCTCCCAGCGTCCACTTCCAGGACGTACCGTTTACTATCTTCGATGGCAATGTGACCCACAATGTCGACCCAGGGATGGTCATTAATCCGGATATCGCCGTCCCTATGCAGAGATACATAACTCGATTCGCGCAATCTGGGAATCCGAATGGCCCTGGGTTACCACACTGGCCTCAATACGACGAGACATCTAATTTTATCCAATTTGGAAAAAGCAATATCTCTCTTACGCACGACCCCGCTAGCCGAGAGCGATGCAATTATTTCCGGGGCCTAAGGTGGAAATAATACGAAAACTCCGGACGGATTTTTGATCTATAGGCGCTTCTCGCTGTACAATATAAATTATTTTGCTAATTAAAAGAAACCAATAGCGTGGAAATCCGTTCGGCTTGGCGCGGCTTCTACTAGTACCCTTGGAGGGACTGTTTCGCATTCTAAATATAATGACCCATGGAGAAACAGGTCACTATCAGTTAAAATCGTCCAATATAGATTCTCAAAGGACTGAGGCTCTGGCGTTGTCGATATGCACCACTTGTTGGAAGGGGGCAAATATGGTTCAGATGCTGCCAATTTTCCTGCAAAGGCGGCCGCATAAACACGCATGGAACTCCTCTATCGCCTTTTTCGCCCCTCACACAAGAGGGACGCATCTCGTCAAGGGAGGTAAAAGATTGGGTGATAGCGAGTGGCTTGACGATTGGCATCAATATATGCAAGACGGATTCCTTACCAACCTGGGGGCGGACTTCGCTGGCGGTAAAAGTGCACAACACGTCCAGGCTATCCCTGTACCCTACCTAAACAAGCGATGCCACCAAGCCAAGTAATTACTTGACTTCACGTGGCTTGGTGACATCACTGACCCCAGGAGCTGAGGTCCAAGTGGGTCCTCGCGTTGGAGGTTCTCAAACTTGGGACGCCGTTCGTGACCCTGGTGGAAGACAACAAAGTAGTTGTACTACCTTATCCAAATTGCTGTGTTTAATTGTAGCCTGGGCGTACAAATGTAAGTTCTGAGGGAGGTAGCCACCTCACGCGTTAACCAAACTGAGGTTCTGATCAACACCCCTGGGCGATCCAGTTGTCCTCTCGGTGTTGTCTAACATGTAGACAACGGCAGCTGCATCAGTCAAGAGACTACTGGCCCTCCGAGTAAGGCCAGTAATAGAAGGACTGCTAGAATATTTGATACTGTCTACGATGGACGTCCATGTGTTATCCATCGTGCGTGATCAAGGATATATTCCCGCTGTTGCATCTACTGAACGTTGGTTAGGCGTGACTTAGGTTGGCGAGACTTATCCCTTGCTCACGACGGCTTAGGGAGAGTAATACGCGATTATCTAAGAAAAGTTCCTTCCCCAGAGGGAGTTGACGTTAGAACGGTAGCTTTTTGCGAAGCGGCCCGACCCTCTAGTTTATTAGCACCTACCTAGGCACCTATATGTATAGCATCACCGAAATTAGATAAAATACTCACCCAGACGTGCGCGTTACGATTTCTCTCGATTTATTGAGAGCATGACTCTGGAACATGTAAAGCGGTCTGGAACCCCATCACTAGTACCTAATACATACTGGGATATTATACGCGAAAAAGCAAACTCGCAAAAGACCATCTGGCCTACTCGGAAGCCATCTGTTTTACCCCAATAACTTCAAACGTATCCCCGGAAGTTATTCCGATCGACACTTTGGATAGAAACGCGGCAGCATCTCGCCACTAATGCCCAAAAAATCAATGTTGAGTATATTGAAGTAGGATCAAGGAACTGTCTTTAAGTATTGTACATGATGGATTTAGTGCTCTAAATGCCTATATAACAACTTCTCTCATATATTGAGTAGCCTAGACGACAATCAATATCTGACACATACAACTCCAGACCGCGGAGGCGACAATTAGGCTTTTATTCGAAACGCTCAGATTGCACAACCTACCCAGGTTCTAGGATCATCTGAAGCGATGTAAGCACTAGTAATACAGTGCAAATCCTATATAGATCTAACCATCTCATATGCGTGACGGCGAAGCCACCACGGACTTTACCGTTTCACCTCAATAAGCCTTCCCAACTTCTAGTATGTCATAAGGCCAGCCACATGGGGGGTTAGGCAATTCTAGTGTTGCACAAAGGGAGCGCAGAGAACTGCTACAGGAACTATCGTTTATACGCACAATTGTCCGAAGAGTTCCTTTGCCCCCATGCCGGCAATAGGGGCTCCTTACGGCATCCAAGGGACCTCCCTATACTTCCCATGATGTACCGCTACGTACAGCTAGACTATTAACATAGTATTTTTTGGCTACTATTATTAGTACTTGATATGATAATGACAAGATCTCTACGTTGTCCTGGTCGCTGCTGCTAGGCAAGGATGTTACGTGTGATGCTAAGGTCTATCTAATTAGCACTAGTTCCAAGATCGGATCTTCAAGCGCAGCTGCAGGCCGCTCGGAGAACGGAGAAATAGAGCGGTGAATTTGGTTCTACAGGAGGAATACTGTAATCTATCAGGCGTCCGTATCCCTCCTACAACTCTGCATTGACTGGAAATGAACTATCCTGCGGTGGTATCATCTTTCTAGCAGCTTTTGCCTCATTCCCCTAATAATTATCGGACACGAACAAGATTCATAGCAGCCCGAAACACTTTTGTCCGCTTAAATCCTTTACTGTGAAGGTTATTCGTTTACACTATCCGTACAACATAATGCCACTTTTCCAGTACCTCCCGCTAACGTCTCATGACACAATCCGCATCTTGCTCTTAGAGCCGGGCTTTAGCAACGATCCCATTAAGTGCACAACTAGAGAAGTTACACTCACTAGTGCTGCTGGTCAATACGAGGCGGTTTCCTATGCCTGGGGAGAGCAGGTTCCCACTATAAATATTACATGCGACCAGCAAGAGCTCTTCGTTACCGCGATCGTCGAATCCCTGTTGCGCAGATTTCGGTTTGAGGAGAAATCAAGGTCCATCTGGTTGGATTCAATATGTATAAATCAAAAGGATAAAGCCGAGAAAAGCCATCAAGTGAAAAGAATGGGGGATGTGTTTCGAGATGCGAAGCGTGTATTATGCTGGCTAGGAAACGATAATGAAAGCATAGCGGAGAAATGCTTCAGCCTTGTCTCCAGAGCCATGCAAAGGTTGAAGGAAGAGTGGCAGGAGGGTTGGGGGTTGGATAATCTCACATCTGACGTAAAGTTAACGGGTCTGGAAAACAATAAAGATTGGGACAAAGTAGGGCGTTTGCTCGATCTTACTTGGTTCAAGCGAGTGTGGTAAGTTTGGCAAAACTCTCGATTTCTCCTTAAATCATTCACTCTGTATGCTTGAAATAGGTATCGTTCTCGATAGTTCTCGTTGAGGACCCTACTGATTCATCATGATTTTCCAGGGTAGTACAAGAATCTGGGCTCGCTCGCGAATGTAATCTCTACTGGGGCAGGTACGAGATACCGTTATACAAAGTTTTAGAAGTGGTGTGCTGGCTTAAGTTCTCAAAATACGCACCAATCCTAAAAGAGGCCAACACAGCCGTCGCACCGGTCCTTACTGTATTCACCAATATCATGTGCACCTACTGCAATAAACCCACATGGAGAGACATGACACTCTCCGCGAAGGTCGTCGAAGAAGTTCTTCCTCTCAAGAGAAAACGTTATGTCGATTTGCTTTTCAGCGCAAGATCTCTTCAGGCCACGGACCAGCGGGACATCGTTTATTCGTCCCTTGGTAGCCCCTTGGCATACTATGAGGATGGCAAGCCCATGGTAGACCCAGACTACAACGAGCCACTTTCTTCGCTTCAATCCAAAACAGCCATCGCGTTGCTTCGAAATCCAAGAGAAGCACCCTATGTACTTCTATTCGTCACACATGATTCCAAAGCAGACGTCGAGGACGACGACGTGCCGAGTTGGGCACCGAGGTGGAAGACGTTTGGCAAATCCAGCGCTTGTCCCATCCCACTCACAAAGAATCATGAGTATCATCAGATGCCATACCGCGCTAGTGGTTGCTCCGCTACATTTGAATATCTGATCCTACCTGGAGGCATCCTCACCGTGATGGGTTGGCGGTTTGACATTCTCAACTGGACGTCATCTCGCTTAAAGCCCGCCCATCTTCGAAGTAACATCGACAAATGGGACCCGCACTTCCGCGACAGCAAAACCCCACCTATCGAACATGAATCGCTCCGTCTTCTTCAACACGATTCATCCTGGCGCCCAGGAGAGATACTAGAATTGTTGAGTTTTACTTTGGCAGGAGGGCGACCTGAGTCGAGGGATCATGTAGACGACTTCTCGGCTTATTGCAAATCCGTTCGAGATAAAGTTGGTACTCGAAGGATCTCTCCCTTCCCGCTTCCATCTTCAAGCAAAGGGGACGCTCAGGTAGCCGAACGCGCTATGAGAAGAGCTGGAGATCGGCGCCTTGCTTTAACAGCCCAGAGACGAATGGCTCTAGTTCCTCTTGTCGCTGAAGCAGGTGACATATGTTGTATCGTTCAAGGCATGAATATTCCCCTGGTGCTCCGAGAGATATCTACAGGAATGTACCGATGCATTGGGGAACTATATTGCTCTGGAGTTATGGAAGGCGAGCTATTAGAACAGCATGGCTCCGAAGCTCCTCCCTGGGAGCAAATTCGACTACGATGATTGAAATAACGGTTTCTTTAGTAAATAAAAATAAAAAAATAAAAACTAAATAATAATAATAATAATGAATCTTCTGTATGTCTTTTATTATAAAACACTAACTCTATCTCTAATATCCAAACAGTTTATATTTTATAAATGCATGGGAAGGCGTACTTAATAACTCAATAGATTGTGTTATCGGGCGTCAGGAATCACATCATATACTAATTAGACCACTGTACCTACCTAGGTAGGTAGGTACGCGAGTTACAAGACCCTAACCCTAGCATATGGTTTTTCTACTTCTCGGAAGATCTTCTCACGCGCTCCCATTGTCTTGAGGCCTTCTGGCAATTCTTGAAACTCGAAACTGAGAATAAGAAGCACAACTATAATCCGGAGTTCCATCATCGCGAGTTTACGTCCTAATATAGGCAGTTAGCGTTAGCGAGAATCCATACCATCTTACAAACTACAGTGCCGTGAACTTGGCCCTTAATAAATTGATGGGCTACTTACCGAAACAACCCCTCGTACCCCCACCAAAAGCAAGAGATGGTAAGGCATACGCGTTGAAGGTCTCTCTGCCCGTCTTCTCGTCCTTAACAAGCCACCTCCTCGGCTCAAAGCGGCCAATATCCCGACCCGCGTTTCCCAGGAGGCCATCCCCTAGCTTGGTCGCAGCAGCTTGGCTACTGCTGGTTCGAGTGGATTCGTCCACAGAAAACGGGGAGTAATTTATATGATAATTCATGATTATCTCAGCTCCTTTCGGTATTCGGTAACCTAGAATAGTAGTATCAACTAGGGCCTGGCGGAGATTGGCTTTCGCGGTCCCAGCAAGGCGGAATGCTTCTTCGCATGCGCCGTCAAGATAGGGGATGTTGGTTCCAAGTATATCATTAACAGACGGGGGATCCGGGCCGGGGAACGCCGACTTGAGCGTCGCACGTAGTTCAGCCTGGGCGTCAGGGTAAGCCTCCATGAATTTAAAGAACCAACTTAAAGTGCAGGCAGTAGAATCGTGTCCCTATATCTTCTACATTAGCAATACCCCGTCACGTAGAGTAAAGTGCAAACAAACCCCAACCAGCATAACGAACATCTCGTCGAGCATATTCTGGTCCTTTATAGGATCCGTTGGTATCTTCCCGTTCTTTTTAGCTTCAAGAATTTGGCGTCGCAGGACTAAATCCATCATGCAGGTGTCATTACCATCACCCTCCAACTTGCCCATCTCGAGTTTCTGGAACCGATCAACAGCCTTCGTTATAACGCGATTAATCTCAGAGGTTACCGTAGCACGAAACTTGCGGTAGCGTGGAGTGTAAGTCTCCAATTTCTGGGCCCATTTAGGCATAGGTGTGTTGGAGTTCCGTGCAATTGTGTTGGCGATATACGCTACTTCTTCCTTCAGGAACGTGCCACGGGGAGGGGGTTCGTTCAAATATTCATCATTCCCTGATATCTGACTCTGTAGCTTCTTGCTTTCGAACTTGGTCACACCTGGTTCCTCCCCGACCACAGCAACCCAGATAGCATCCAGTGCAGCATTCTTGAGATCGTCAAGGACATTAAAAGGCTGGTCTTTATACACAACCGACGCCTTAAGCCGCCAGATCTCTAGCAACTCCAATGTTGCTTTATGTATATTTGGTGCGGCAGTCTTGCGGAGAAACTCGGTACTCATCACATCCGCCCAAACACGTTTTTGTGCCCTCAGCTCAGGAGTCGTATACTGACTGAGTGTGCCACGCGGGAACATCGGAGAGAAAATGTCGATACCCATCGGAGCTTTATCGAACTCCTTATTTCGACGAACGAGGATGTCCTCAATTTCTCGGGGGTCTTCCAAGACAATTAGGGGCTTGCGGATACCAGGGAATAGCAGTTGCGCAATCGGTGTGCCCAGTCTCTGAGTAGTAATGGTGAAGACGCTATTAGAAAATTCATTCGTCTTCTCAATGATAGGTACCAGATCGGGGATATCACCAGTAATGCGGTTGACTGACGCTTTATTGTACGGAATACCCGGATATGGCTTTGGGCACAAGTTGAGCCATACCCAAGCCACAAAGGCGAGGCAACCCAAACCAAACAAAGCGTATAATAACATAATTTCTCTGCTAGATGTTCATGTTTTGTGAGAAATAAATGACCATAAATCCCTTATACAGTTAACGTATGCTTAAAGTATTGAATGAAGCACGCGAATGTTGGTGAGTGATGTTGAGTGTTGGCCCATCGGTTGGTTCAATTACCCAGATAGACCTAGGTAGCTCAGCCGCAAGCTACGGAATGGGGCTCCCGACCCATGTCCATTCACGTCCAAGGGAGGGCTGGGCTTTCCCCCTTGCTTCGGCGTTGAATACAAACCAACCAACCAAATAACGTCCAAGGGTCATCAAGAATTAAAGGAAGTGTAGTCCTAGTCATACTTCGTGCTGTTAGACTAGTTCAAGTTAAGTGAAGTGCTTACTGTGCCGGGGTAAAGCACAGTGGCACAGCGTTCTACAAATGGTTAGCCGGCTGTGCCGCAGCAAGAGCAAAATAAAAGTAAGGGGTAGCGCAGCTAGCTACCTAGGTAGGTACCTAGGTGTATCTAGCGATATCACGCCAAATTAATCTATAAGATTGTATATTCCCTAAAAATTTGTTAACTTTGCCAATGTCTTGATAGCGCGAACTGTGCCTATAATTTCCCTTGAATCATTCTAAATATCCTCTAAAAAGCGCCTCCACAATAGAGAACATGCTCGGTTATTGAAGGGATCGACTCCCAAGAACGTTCCGCGAACGTTGAAAAGGATAGTGCATCTCCCTCGAGGTTTCTGAGTTCCAGTACCTATCGGTACTGTTCAAAGCTCAGATACCCAACAGCGAACAGCGCCGCAACATATGTGAATAATGGCATTGCGATGGAGAGGCCCATAAACGCAACTGTTCCGCAGAAGAGGTAGGCTTGATATAATTGTTAGTATTAGTGCTATGTTCCTTGGCGTTAACCTTCCAACACGATTATCAACCGAGCCAACGTAGCATTTAGCTGCCCGAGAATGTCGTCCGGTTGCTCAGCTATGGTAGCCATTTCCGATGCTAAATAGGCCTAGAAACGAGTTAGATCGGAACTATACAGGTAAGTGTTGGGTATTCATTGTCAAATATTGAGGGCTTGGAGATTGGATTTTAATATTCCCTGCGTCTGCCGCGAGACTGACATACATACGTGCCCTAATCTGATATTCTAGTGCATTAAGCCTATCGCTATATTTGTGTGCTGTTCCCCGCGGGGCTCTACCGGCTAGACGATATTTCGTTGATGAAAATGCTCGAGGGCCAATTGCTTCAAGAATAAAACAAGTGCCTTTGCGTCTGAAAATATAACCTGAATGAACGAAAGATCCGTTATGCAAAATGAATGTAGTATATCAATTCGTAAAAGGTCTCTTAAGAAGTCGAATATTTATCATGGTAAATGTGCATGAACCATAAAAAGCAACAATAGAAGAAAAAAAATGATGGTAGGCTCCTAGGTACCTAGGTAATTTTCCCCTGGGCATGAAACTTATCCGGGGGTTTCATATCCCCCTAAATAGTGTAACTTTTCTGGGCAGGCTTTGAATCCCCCAGTTCCCCTCCGGTGTACACCTGTCGAACCCGGACTCGAACCTGCGCGCATCGGTTCGAACGTTCAGTCCCCGAGCCAACTGAGCTATCCAGGAATCGACGGAGAAAGTTAAACTTATTTAGAATCATGAACCTTCTAGAGCTGTTTGTTCTTTCCTACCTAGGTACGCAAAATTCGTCTCATTTGTTCCATGACGCACCTTCCTTTCACTGGCCCGTCCACACCTGAATTACTCAATTTGCCTTGGCCTGTGCACGCTTTAGCTTGATTGTTGCACTAAACACGAACTGCTTGTTACTCAGATTGGGGATGCGCCTTGTAATTTCTTCACGCCGACATCAACTAGCTACCTACCTTAGTAAATTCCGACGCCAAATTCTGCATTGCAGCTACTACGCCCAGTCCCTTATTCATAAGTCATGGTGTAATGCTGCATTTCCCAATCATTTGCCAGCTCAAAAGAACGCGCGATATGTGTTCCGAGTCTCCGCACGACAGTATTTGGAACATACTTAATAATATAATTTTGCCATAGGCACACAGGTATCTACACAACGGGTTTGTATGGTTAAAGAAGTCAAGTACACATATGTGAATGGGCTAGCTTAGTCTATTCCTCCACTCTATTTCGAGGCCCATTCACATGCACATTATACATCTACTTCAGGGCGGCATGCAGGACGGGATTTACTTGTACCGAGCCGCTTCAACATTGCAGCGCGACCGCTGGGCTGAGAACTCGATAACGTAGGGAAATAGGAAGAGGCGACGCGGGAGTAATTCGGGTAACAGACGGAGACGGTTCCGATAAAGAAGACGAAGATATGGAAGAGATTATGATGTGAAGTAGAGAAAGGGAAATATCTCGTCGTTAGCTACGTCACATTGATGACGATGGATCTTGTAGCGTTGGGACCAATCAGATGCCGATCGCAAAGTCCTTTAGGGGTCTTATTTCTCCACTAGGGCTGAAAACGCACCCAAAATTTACACTATTTCAGAAGGTAGGGTGGATTATTCAGCGGCCGAGGTACCTAAATAGATGTACCTATAAGCCTACTGTAAATGACCCCGCAATGTGCCGTCGTGCGATCGATTTCCCGCAACTACATCATTTCATCATATGACAAAACTCCAAATTTCCTACCAAAGATCCGTGGATGGAAACGTAAGTTGAATCTCACACGTTCCGTGAAAACATTTCCCCCAATCGAGAAATAAACATGTTATTCGTACGAACCTTAGGTAACACGACACGATAGCATGACGCCAGATCAAGTGGGCCGTTTGGAAACTTAATCAAGCTAAAGCTAAAGGTTAAACGCGGCAGCACGCGAAGAGCTGCCAAGCTGGGTAAGGATAACTCTAAACCAACTACAAAGGGAAACCTCGATCGGATCGTCAATTGCCTCACCCGTGATCTGATTATCTAACAAAAGAGACTAAAACCGGTCCCATGCCGAAAACCCCGATCTGGGTATATCGGAGCTTGCCATCATTTAACTTTGGGGACCATTATTTATTTCGGACGAATCCCGTGGTGGATTGGACCCGACTTGCATATTATCATTTACTTATTCATAATCAGAACAACAATTGATCACACCAATATCTAGGAATTGAACCAAACGAAGATATTTTACATTGCGATATAAGGAAGAGAAGAAGTAAATAAGCATAAAAAATCATGCTCCAAGCCATCTCTCCCAAACACGACGCCCACCACGAGCGACGGCGCAAGAATTCCCTAGCCAATCTAACCGCCTCCCTCCGAGATGGCAAAGTCCACCTCCTCCTAGCTGCTTCCGGATCCGTGGCTACAATCAAATTACCTCTAATCATCGAGTCACTCGCTCAACGACATGAATCCCGCAGCGGCAAGGAGCTCAGCATCCGAGTATTACTAACGCCCTCCGCGACACGTTTCCTGGCCGGCCAATCACATGAGCAGCCTAACGTATCCTCGCTTCTATCTATGCCATGTGTCGATGGCGTATATGAAGACGCCGATGAGTGGAAAGAGCCGTGGAAGCGGGGTGATTCGATTCTACATATTGAGCTTAGACGATGTGAGTATTCCGCCCCACCAACCCCGCCCCCTTTACTTCTTTTCCTACCCCTATCGTATACCTATAAAGCACAAAGTAACTAACACAAAAATAGGGGCCGACCTTCTTGTAATCGCTCCTCTAAGCGCGAACACTCTAGCCAAGATCGTAGGCGGTTTCGCAGACTCTCTCCTAACGAGCGTAGTCCGCGCATGGGATGCATGGGGCGATCTAGATTACGATGCTGCTACCAACGGCAATCAGCCCCTCCTAAACGGCGATAGGCGAAGGAGGCAGAAGAAGCGCATCCTAGTTGCACCGTAAGTCGACCCGACACTTCCCCAGAAAACCCCCACTCATACGGAAATTCCTACTCTTCAATCCCCTCGAGAAATATACAACTAACCCACCCCACAGGGCCATGAACACAGCAATGTGGCGACACCCCGTAACGGCCAAATCCCTACGCGTGCTAGAAGAAGAATGGGGCATCAACAGCCGCCTTTTCAACCAAAGCGCCTCAAAACAACCCACTATCGAGGAAGAAGTACAAAAACTAGACGAACCGCAGAAGGAAACTGGTAACGAGGAGGACGGAGGTTGGTTCGAGGTTCTGAAGCCGCAGCAGAAGACCCTCGCCTGTGGCGATGTGGGCGATGGTGCTATGATGGATTGGAGGGATATCGTGGCTGTGGTTGAGGATAGACTGGGTTTAAGTGAATGAAGTGTCTAGTTGCTGGAGGGTTTGATTAATCAAAAGGGAAATTTAGGTTAGTGAATCAATAGGAGTCTTTCGAAGGAGCTGTCAGGCGAACCAGGCAGTGTGAAGGGGTGCGGCTATAACACCTACGCGTTATGTACTTCTATACACATAATCACATAATCACGTAATAATACGGGTTGGTTAGTTCACATTGTTCATCCATGAAACTACAAAATGATGATTGTGCTATAGAATTAGCAGCTAACAAGTATTAATCAAGGCATAGTCAGTCAGAGTCTGGGTAGATGGTCATACAACGCCGTCAATTGCGGTAAAACAAAATGCAAAAGCAACTAATATACATCTATCTCCCCGGTGCAACAATAATGAAAGGACCTTAATGCCATCGAGCATGTTCTGTGTGGATTTGCGATCGGTGATACAAGCAATCCTAGAACAGTAATAAGCGGATGTGACAATATACCAGACAATTTCGGGCACCGGAAAAGAAGACAAATCAAATAACTCCTGATGCGACGCCTGCACTGCGAATACAACACCTTTTTTTGGCCACAAAACCCCTGAAGAACGAGTCGAAGCTCATCTCATATGCCCTGAAACAAGACCTGAAAATGACATTAAAAATTTGTGGTGTCAAAAGGGGGTAGAAGAACTGAAAAGGTCGAACTAAAAAAGGCCAATCGTAACCGCCGTAAAAGCCACCAATGTGAATGCGACGCCAATGCAATGCACTTTATCTCATGCTATCCGTTCCTTTCATGAGATGAACTCCTTGAAGATGCCGAGTGTTGTACAAGTGGAAATGGTTGTTGGTCTGTGCTGTGTCGCCAAACCGAGGGTGAGAGTAGGATCATGTAGGATGGTGAGGACGGTATTCCTCATAACGAGAGGGATAGGATCATGTCGGATAGGAGAATAGCATTTCTCGCGACGAAGAGGGTAGGATTATGTAGAATAAGGAGGATGCGATTCCCCACAACAAGGTAGAATCAACTAAGGCGGGAACGACATTTCTCACAAGGAGAATAGGATCCTTTGCGTTGATTATTTAAGATCGTTAGGATCGTGACGGTAAGTGCATTCGTCCCCCTTACGACATTCACCAGAAGCCCAGAATTTACAGGGCACTGTTCCATAGAGAGAGCGATTACCTCCCTTGCGATCCTTGTTACCACGGTGGTAACCCTTGCGATTACCACGGTCGTTGTTCTCACGCTGGTGTTGTTGGTTTCTTGTTTGCATGTCCTTTTGTGATTGGGAGGACTGTGCTTGAGATCCGAAAGGTATCTGTGAGTCGGTGTTGCCCTGTGATAGAGTTGATTGGGCTTGGACGCCAAAGGCCTGCGACTGAGTGTTATATCCATAACCACCATAACCCTGGTTAGTCTGGGGCTGTGGCCAAGAACCTCCCCATTGAGAAAAATCCAAAGGCTGTGAAGGGGTGGCAAGGGTCTGATTGCTGCTGGTCGCTCCTAACTGGTTTAAGATATCGTGAAGAGAGGGATTCGGCGCGGGCTGTGTGGTGTTCGGAGCTAGAGCCGGTACCGGTGCCGACGCAGACGCATTTCCAATTCCCTGTTCCTTCGCGTAAGCAAGCGCTTGCATGATAACCTCTGCATTTCGTGCTTTCTGAGCATCTTCTGGTGAAACTGCAGCACCTTGATGGGGGTGCGCGATACGTTCAGGTGTAGGTTGTGCAATAGGCTGCGCATGAAGCTGTGCAGTGGCGGGATTATTGTTATTCTGAATACGTTGCAGGATGGCAGCAATATCCAGTCCCTGTACTTGCTGTTGGGGTTGGCCTTGTGCTTGCCCATATTGTGCCTGTTGGTAATGCGCTTGTTGATATTGTGGGTGCAAATACTGCACGGGCTGTGCTGATTGTTGCTGGTAGGACTGAGAATGAACTTGCTGTGGTGGATGCTGGCGATCTGCCTTTGCTTGAACGTCACGATTGAATCCTTCATGCCATTCTGCGACACGTTGGGGGCTAGAACGAATGTGTTCGGGAGGCTCAGTTGCTGGAAACGGTTTACCCTTAAACTTAGCGAAAACATCCTCCAGTGCGTCGGCATCGCGTTGCACCTTCGGGTCAGCGTAATCATGTCGACGCTGGGTCTTTGGGTTTGCAGGATCGTAAGGATCGGAGTCTACATAATTCTTTACTTTATTGGACTGTAGGAGGTTAAGAACGTCCTGCTCAGTCTCCTGCTGTGTGCGTGGGCGCGACATGTTTGCTTGATAACCTGAATGCAATTGTTGTGGTTGCTGCGATTGTTGCGACGATCGATGAGGTTGCTGTAATTGCTCTGGTTGCGGATTATATTTAGCATCAAGTCGAAGCTTTGCTGCCTTTAATGCAACCTGAGATCCGCGTCCGATAAAATCGTACCAACGGTGGTGTATTTCGGCGGTCTTCGTGTTGTGGGGGGGCAACGACTCTTGCCATTTGGTGGGGCCGGACGGCAGAACATGGATCTTTGGTTGGCCCACTTCCTGGTTCCTGGTAGTTGGGGACCTGGGTGTAGCTGGAACCTCCGAAAAACTGGTGTAAATAGCCATCAGTTCCCGTTGCTCATACTCATCCATGACCTTTTTCTGGTCCGATTCAACTGAACGTTTGCCCCCACGCGTCTCGAAGTTCATCTCTACTTTTTCCTCAGGAATGTGTGCAACGTTGCATGGGCTTAGCTCTTTCCATTCCTGCAGAATAATCTCCTTAGGCAAGTTTTCTTCGTAATCTTCATCACTGTCGCGCCTCCGTTGCTTAAGCATTTGACCTTCGGAACGATTATCTCGAGCATCAAGGAGCATGTTATGGTCCCGACCTTTATCTTCCTCAGTGTCGTGCTCGAAGATTCTGACTTCAGTAAGTTCATCGCCCGGTTTCCATGAAACACGGAGATGCCGTCGAGATTCCTTGCGTTCTCTGCGTGCCGCTTGTTCTGGAGTCTCCGGGGGTCTTGTGGGCTCTTCGGATCGTGCAGGTGGCTGCCGAGGTTTCGGTTCCGACTTACTTCCACCGATACCACCAAGTAAGGTGCCGATAAAGGTAGGCTCCAGTTCGGGAGCAGATCGTTTAGGCGTTGCTTTAGGCTGTGCTCGGGGTCTACCGGGGAGCATAGAACCGCTAGGTCTAGATCGAGCTTGCATATCTGCCGTTAGCGAAGTCTGGGAAGCTGTCGGAGTTGTAGCCGAAGTAGCGGTAGAAGTGACTGTAGCGTTTGTTGTTGGAGTCGCACTAGGAGCACCGGTTGCATCCTCAACAGCGGTTTTCTTGGAAGCCCTCGTATCGAGGTCATCATCTCTTGATCTCTTGGGAGGTGCTGGCAAAGGATTCGCTCTCTTCCTCGCGGATCCCAACCCAGAATAGTCGGTTGGTTGCATCTTCTTGATCTCTGCGGTGGCCTTCTTTTGGAGAATATCCTTCTGGAGAGTCTCCTTTCTCGCTAGTGATGCCTTGGAGACAGGTGGCGAATCTTTGGCACCTGTAAGATTCTTCTTGGACGCCCCCGTATCAGGTTTCTTCGTTTCACTTTCCGTCTTCTCAGCCTCCATAGTTTTCATCTGTTCCTCCTCGGATCGTTTCTTAGCGTTCTCGAAGATCTTGTCCATATATCCAGCAGTTTCTTCGTCCATTTCGCCTTTGAACTTCTGTTGTAGGCGATCCAACTTGCACTTTTGGATCAAAGTTTCTGAATCTGCATTAACGACGAGTGACAGTAACTTCAGAATCGCCTTAGATAAAGGACCGTTACAGTCATTCACTGGGGGTATAAATTGGGTTTGCAATAAGACGCAGAGATTCGCAGTTAACTTCTTATGTACGCCCATCTGTGATAGAGTGTGGGGATCGCCGAATGTGGTTGCAGCCTCTAGGGAACGGCGTATTATGTCGTACTTCGTTTTCAACGTAGTTCGGAGTGATTCGACATCAGGACTGCTCTGACTCCCAGCAGCCTTCACCTTTTCTCTCAAGCCTTTGACCTCGGTCGATAGTTCTATGATATAGCTACCGAATTGGGAAATGTTGTTTTTGACATTCTCTGTGAGCTGAGGTTCAATCGTTTTTTTGATAGATTTCTCTGTAATCTTTTTAATAACAGCACTCGCAATCTCCTCGCCCGGTCGTGGATGATTTCGGATCTAATTTTCGGGTATGTGTCAGTAAGAAATCTAGGTTTGGCATTCGTGGAAATCGGCTGGGCGCGAAAAGTACGCGAATAGACTTTTTTAAAAAAAAGAAAAAAAGAAATAGTATATGGGAGAGAAGGAGTTCACTACTGTAATGAACAAGTCGGAATGCGCCGAGCCTTAAAATAGATCAGAGCCAAGGGAAATAACTTACCCGTTCTCTTTCGAGATCAATGGGATCGATTTCCTCATCACTGCTATCAGAGCTTCCTGCGTTCTTTCTGGACCCCATCTTGGCGGATTTCCGTTTTGGAGGGGGCTTGGATTTTGTCGATTGGGAACCGGGTTTGGATACTATGGAATTTATTGTAAGTTTTGGGTTGGAATTGAAAAAAAAAAAAAAAAAAAAAGGTAGCCAGAGGCGACGCGAAGAAGCCCGGGGCTGATGTGTACGGGCAGCTGCAACAGAGTGTGGGTCTGGCGCTTACCTTTGCTACCAACTGCTATGATATGTTCATCCATGAGGCTAGCAATCTTCCCCGCTAACTTCTTCTTTTTTGCTTCTTCGTACTCGAAGCGCACCTCACAGGGCAAACGATATCCCCGCGAACGGATCAAACCTGCGGGACCTGGACTAGCCGGCAGGGAGTGATCAAAATTGGAATCCGGAGGCGCTAAGTTCTTAAAAGTGATGACTTTAGTTGTCGGCGCGTTCTTCACCTCCAAATATTTGAGGCCTAGCGGCTTGGTCCATGCTTGCGGTTGAGTAGTGACCATTGGCGGAGCGGGGGTTGCAGCCACCTGTAAACCATTGGTGCTAGCTCCCGCCGATGAAGCATTGCCTTCTCCATGGGAGGCATTAGGCGTCGGCGTCGCCATCTCCCCAAATTGCTTTGGATGATTTCCTGCCTGGTCGGCCTGAAATTGAACCATGTAATGGCCCTGGTGGCCCGGGGCGCCTTGAGGATCTAGGCCTTCAGGATGATAATATTCGGCACCCTGATCTCCTGGTAAGCTCTGAGCACCAGGGTACGAAGGTACCTGGTGTCTTTGCTGATAGACCAGTTGAGAATTGTTATTAAAATTTACAGGAACAGGCGATTGCCAGTGCTGTTGCGCGAGAGCCGGCTGGCTGGGTTGCTCGATATATGTATGAACTTGGTCTTGAAAATTATTTTCGAATCGAAGACCGGAATCAAAATGTTGACGAGGATTGAATTGAGACTCAGTAAATGGTTGTATGTTTGGTGTACCATGACCATGAAGAAATCGTGGGTTATTGTTTTGGTAAAAGGTTGGCTGTTGCTGTTCCGGAAAGTTGGATCCAACGTATGTATTGGCAGGAAAGTTTTCAACAGGATGGACTGGGTGGTAAACGCTGAAATTATGCGGACCCAAGAATTGGTGGCTGGATTGCGGCTCGTCGAACTGCGGCTGCCCGGATGGGTATGATTGAAAGCCCTCAACAACGCGGTCAAAGCCGACATCGCCGGTCCTAGCCCCGGTCCCCGGTCCGGCGCCGTCGCCAGGCCCCGGGAGACCGGCGATAGCATGTTGGAATGCATGGCCATGCCACCCATGACTACTCTGCGCCATGGTGGTAGACCGTCAGAGGTATCACGAGGTAACACGCTTACACGGCAGCAGCAACGATGATGACGATGCAGCCTGCACGTGATCTATTTATTACACAGAATTTGGATGTTAGCCCGCCGAGCTGAGGCTAAAGTGGACCAGGGGTAATTCTATTAAGCCACACACAAACTGCTAGGAAGCAAGGGGTGTCGATATCATAGACAAAAGGACAAGGGGCAAAAAGACAAGAGACGTTATAGATCGCTCACCAATGTTAACAGCAGTTGAATATGTATCCACACAATTATAACATCACCATAACAGCCATGGATTAAACAAAACGACTTGGCTGCGGAGGTTGTACAGAACGGAAAGGGACGGGAATACGTATAATAAGATTCGCCGGAATAGGGGGCGTGCGGTTAGAGAGATCCTGCAAGAGGCGACTGGGGCTTTGCAGGTTGCGTTTAAGCCGAAATAGGTATAGGTAGACCGCAGATCTAAGCCACCTGCAGATAGATAAATCAGTTTTTTTAAGTTTCAACAATAAAATAGAAGAACATGATGATGTTGCACGTGTAGGGAGCAGTTGAGCTGTTGAGCAGTAGGATATGAGAAGAGCCGGATAGCTAGAGCACTCGAGGGATAGACTATCTAGAGCAAGACGATAAGAGTGATTCCTGGACATTTAGATGCCAACGGTTCTCGATAACTGTCGAAAGGGGTGAGATATTGGCGCCAACCATGAGATAGACTTTAGCCATGGTCCTGGAACTCCTGAGCGGCCATTAGGGAGAAGGCATTTGCATTCGACATGTCTTTTGTCAGGGGAAGATACAGCGACTGCATAGTCCGGTTTGCCGGTGTTTCTAAGTGGACAGGTAAACTTGAAGTTATGAGTCGATAGAGCATAGTCGTAATCATTTTGGGCGATATCCCAGGGGGACCAAATTCGGCTCGGTGATGACGCTTGCTGTGAGAGGGATGTGATGTATATATGCTGCGCTTTCGCTAGTCATTGTCCAAACCTTTGGCGAGCATCGTCTTCCCCTATAGACGCTCAAGAACTCTTGGCTGTGAATAATTCGAGGGACCATTAAACTGATTGATGAAGAGCCTAGCAGTGTTTAATGCCGAAACAACCCGACACCCACTGCTAGGCTTTCATACTCAAAGAGACTACGTCTCTCATGTTTCTTTTTAAACCTCTTTCACTCTCCGTCCCTTTGTATAGAACTGGGAATTTAGGAGTTACTTGTTAGATGTTGACTGGTCACTGGAACTTAATTGTTCTCAAGTAGTACCCTCGAATGCTTCTGCTCTGCTCTGCTGTAGTTCATAGTTAAGAATGTGACCACTGTCTTCTGCTCTTTTTCTTTCTTGTTCTTTTAAGTCATGCTGTTGGCTGCCAATCCAAAAATTACCCTGCCGAAATGCAAATACACAACTGCAACAATCGGAGTTTGGGTGTAGTTGGAGAAATTTCCATAACAGGCTTGATCAACCGGGGCGCGTACGCACATACACAACACACGCTCTTTTTTGGAATTTGTGCAGATAATAGGCAATAAATGAAGGGGAGGAGGGGAAAGAAAAGGAAATGGGAAAGGAAGGGGGAGTCGATGTTAATTTCATACCCTTTTTTTATCATTAATTAATTCCGCATCCAACTATCACTGTCTTATGCCTCTTCCTCTCTGCTTGATTGACTGTCTGCCTGCCTGCTTGCTGTTTTTTTTTTCTCTGTTTCCGCTTCTTATGAAGTAGAACAGTTCTTCGTCATGCTCCCATTATTGAGAGACGTAATTTACGAAAATAGAATCTCCCCGGGAAATTTAGACGAGAAAAGAAAGTAATCTATCTCAAAAGGTACTGAATGAGTGAACGAACTGGGGGATTGGTAGAAAATGGGGTTGGTGGTTAGGTCCAGGACTGATGAGAAGGAAGCGAAAGAGAGCGATCGCGTGCGACCGAGAATAATCGACACAAATTCCTGACAATGTAGTTGGACAACCAACCGTGGGACCCTATTATGGGACTATTTACTCAGAGTAATTAAGAGAGAAAAAACTAGTTTAGACGGCATTACATCCCCTGATGGAGTGAGTAGTACAGCAGGAAAAAAAGAGATGGAGAAATTAAGGCAGTGATGGTGGTGGTTTGATGGCTAGATGATGAATGATGGATGATGTAGCAGTTGGGAAGAAAAGAGATGTGATGGGCGGGAAAAGGATGGAAAGAAAGAAAGTTCGGCGTCGCAAGCCTTTTTCTTTGGGGGGGGCGAGACCAAAAGAAAAATAAGAAAAGCCTGCCTGCCTGCCCACTGCCCAAAGTGGAGCTTGAGAAACCTTCCGTGGCTTAGGGGGAAGCCAGCATCGGTATGTCGGCTTCCTTGTTTCACACCAAGGGAGTGACTACCCTAACTTAGATACATGCACATACATACCTAAACGAGCTGAGTAGAAGTACCTTACTACAATTGATGTAAGAGTCACTTTCATGATCCTCTTCGATGTAATCTCAGCGAATACACCTTCTGTATATAGGAATACTCACAGTCGTGTATATACAAACACTACATACATACCTACATGTAGCTGAAATGATAGTCCCTTAATATCAAACAAATTGTATCTTTATTTCTATCCCATAAAATACTATACCATTCAATTCTAATCAATACTTCAATATCATGTAACCGAGAAATAGACTCATCGAATACATGTATATGTAGGTGTAGCTTCCTGGTGCGAAGTACGTACCTAGTTGGATATCCTAATTAATGAGGTTTAGCGTCATCCATTCAGATTAAAAATGAAATTAAATGGAGTGGTCAAAGCGTCATTGAAGGAACAGAAAGGGTACTCAGGTACCGTACCTAAGTACTTCGTAGCTTCCGATTCGCACGTGCGAGGCTACATCATTTCGAAATTCGTGTCATTTGCTGGAGCTACCTTGATGTACCCAGGTACCTCCAATCTACATACAATTCCATACAACTTCGCGATATCAACCCATCCACCATTATCCCTGACGAAATGCAATTCTCACGAGAATATAACGATTTCATTTGCCACAATTAATGCTATACTTTTGAAGATTTACCTTTCAAACATTAACATCTCACCACCCTCACCGCCGCTCGCTTCCATTCCCTGGCCTCCCACATTATTCAAATCACACCCATCATTATACATGTATGACTTCGACAAGCATTGCATGCTCGATTGCACCTGCACAAGCATCAATTATAGCTATTAGCGAGGGCGAAGAAATAGAGTAAAAGCTCCACCAGAAGTTTGCGCCATACTTGTCCTCATGGCTGGAGCCAAGGGAAACTCACTACGAGATCGCCAAATTGGTCCGGTTTCCTCCATGATTCTATAATTGTACAGGGTTATAACAACTAACTTTACTTCAGCATCTCTTAAAAAGATACTCAACTTAAACGAGACCCTCGACCAAAAAGACGAAGATGAATCCCACGCGAACGGGCTAGCTCCAGCTGGCCCTATCTTAACTGCCAATGGTGAGCCCATATGGAAAGTCCTCGTGTTCGACGACCTCGGAAGAGATGTGATAAGCAGCGTGTTGAGAGTGAATGACTTGCGATCCATGGGTGTCACTATGCACATGTATGATCCCCTAAACTTGACGATCCCCCCAGGAATTCTTCGTGTCGTTTACTAACTCGCGATGTTGATTTTAGGCACCTTTCCGCATCTCGGCATCCCATTCCCGACGTCCCCGCAATATACCTCGTCGAACCCAGTCCGAAGAATCTGGAAGGTATAACAAGTGATCTACAGAAAGGCCTATACTCCCCTGCCTATATCAACTTTCTCTCCTCCATACCACGTCCTCTTCTCGAAGATTTCGCGTCCCAAACTGCGGCGGCTGGCACGGCAGAACATATCGCCCAGCTATTCGATCAATATCTTAACTTCATAGTCGCTGAGCCGGATCTATTCAGTTTGGGAATGAAGAAAGAGCATACATATTGGGCGCTAAATAGTGCGAAGACGAAGGATGAGGAGTTAGATCACGTTGTTGACAGAATAGTCAGCGGTTTATTCAGCGTTGCTGTAACAATGGGTATGATACTCTCCCGCCGCACCCCGTCCCTGACCCTGAGAGACTGACTTAGATACCCTAGGTGTCATCCCAATTATACGATGCCCAAAAGGGGCTGCCGCCGAAATGATCGCCGGCAAACTTGATCGAAAACTTCGAGACCACATCCTTAACTCTAAAGACAACCTTTTCTCTTCCAACACACGACCTGCCTCATCCGCAGGTACGCCCGCCTCTCGCCCCGTCCTCGTTATTCTTGACCGAAATGTCGACCTGAACCCCATGCTCTCGCACTCTTGGACTTACCAATCTCTCGTACATGATGTTCTCAACATGAAGCTCAACAGGATTACTATTGAAACACCCGTGGACGAGGAGAACCCCGCGAAGGGTGTAACGAAAAAGGCATACGATCTCAATTCCACAGATTTTTTCTGGGAGAAAAATTCCGGTGTTCCTTTTCCTCAAGTCGCGGAAGATATTGACGCGGAGTTAATGCGATATAAGGAGGATGCTCAAGAAATAACTAAGAAAACGGGTGCGTCATCAATAGAAGACCTACAAAACGATACAAGCGCTAGCGCACAACATCTCAAAGCTGCTATCACGTTATTACCGGAATTGAGAGAACGAAAGGCCGTATTAGATATGCACATGAATATCCTCGCTTCCCTATTGAAGGGCATTAAGGATCGTCAACTAGACAATTATTTCCAAATGGAGGAGAACGTGATGAAGCAAACAAAAGGTCAAATCCTTGAAGTGGTCAAGGACGACGCTAAGGGCAAGGATCCTTTAGACAAGCTCCGCTTGTTCATAATATGGTTCTTGAGTACGGAACAGGAAGTCAGTCGAGCGGATTGGACCCAATTCGAGGAAGCTCTGACGGCGGTTGGGGTGGATACTACTTGTCTCGCCTACATACGACAGTAAGTTGTATTTGCCTACAAATACATTTTCATAGGTCTGGAATGTGCTAACGATTATCCCAGAGTTCGCGCCACGACAAAAATGACACAATTAACTACTATCGGGCCATCCCAGCTTAACTCCTCGCAATCTGGCTCAACCGACTTACTCGGTCGCTTTTCCTCCCTGTCCAGTAGACTAACGGATCGCTTAAAGGAGACGGGTGTCGGGGTACCAACTAATCTTGCGTCTAACTTCGATAACCTAATAGGCGGTATTAAGAACTTCCTCCCCGCAAACCGCGACTTCACAATCACCAAGATTGTTGAATCTATTATGGACCCACAGGCCGCCTCCACGTCTGCCATCGCTAAAACGGAGAATTATCTGTACTTCGACCCACGAAGCGCTAACGCGCGGGGTACCATGCCGCCGCCGAGCGCAATGCGCGCTGGTGGTGCGGGTAACACGCCGGGAGCACTACCTGGTGGCCCCGGAGTCCAAGGACCGGGGACAGGCGCAAGTTTCGGACAGAGGAGACAAGGGTTCACTGAAGCTGTCGTGTTCACAGTGGGAGGCGGTAGTATGGATGAGTACGGCAATCTACAAGAGTGGGTACATCGAACAGGCGAAGGGGGCGGACGTCCTAAAAAGAGAGTCGTGTACGGCAGCACGGAGTTGCTGAATGCACGAGAGTTCATTACAGAGGAATTGGAGAGGTTGGGGCGGGAGGTGCCCTAGACTCCGGCGCCGTAGAGGGGAAGATGTGAAGCTAAAAGATAAGAAAGAAAAGGGGTAATATACAGGTATCGATGTGCCTAATATTAAGAAAGAAAGGGGTAGATGTAGATCTATAACTCCGGGAAATGAAAAGAATTGTGCCTCTATTTCGACTATTGTCAATATGGCGACGATTTTCTGTGATTTGAATTGTTTGGTGAAAATGTATATCGTCATTCCGACATAGATAAAAATAATTGAGACTCCGAGTCAGGCAATCTGCCAATCAAACTTTATACTATCAAAGTGTACTTGAAGATCATGAACCCGAAGTCAAGTTTAGAGGATGAAAGCCTAGACACGGGGAGAACCTTGAAATGTTTCGACAGAACTATCCTTATATGACCTGTAAGCTCACCCAAAATAAAAACTCACCAAAACCAACCACACCATGTCAACGAACATTCAAACCATTCACGATGCAGCAAGAATTTTGAGATTCGTAAGAATACGTTCTATTCAAATGTACCATGCTACATAACTTTCAACATTATTGCTCACAAGGTAAAGGGAACTCCGCTACGCCAATTGATGCTCTTCTCGCTTCTTCATATACAAGACTCCATCAATTGCTCACTCGACGACGAATTCTCGCATCCTCGTAAAACCCCACCTCCAACACATACCAAACTATGCCAAATGATGCAGTCCACTATCCATCAAGGACAGTATGGCCATGATCGTTAAGCCGGGAAGCAGAACGTATGCTTTAGGAATGTTTTCACACAGGATCATCATTAACGAGTCCCCACAACCTCCAGGGAACCTCTGCAACCCTTATTTTTCTAAAACACGGAAAGCGGCATTCATAATCCAAAAGACGCCATCAACGCAAGGTCTCATTAAATTCGTCTCGATTCTCTCCAATGTACAAATCCTATCTTCGCATCGTATGGCGCAACTACCTCATCGTTCCACCCAGCGATGCTGTGCCATTTCGTCCCCGAGCCTTCTGGATGTCGTGAACTCGCAAAAAATGGGGTATACTAAGAAAAGAAAACTAAAATCTCATTGGTGGAAGAGAAGATGAGAAAGGAGCCAAGGTGCAGAGCAGCACATCCTGGCTCTTAATGACGCAATAACCACCGAGAACAGCGCCGCGTATGCCTCCAGAGAATGAGGATTCGACGTCGTAGAAATACCGCTAAGGCGGGGTTTTCATCATTGAGAACTTCTCCTAGGAACGTTAAAACGTTGAGAAGCCAGAGTGGCCCATCAACGATAAGCGCAATGGGAAGGGATGTCACCATCCATAACAATGTGAGGTCGACCGGCAAAAGAATATAATGTCCTTGAAGGACCTCGTCTAGGACCACGAAGAAAACAAGGGGCCTGAAGAAGACGAATGCAATTCCAAACCCTAGCATATCGAATTCAACGAGATACTCTTGAAAGAGGATATCGAAATAAAGGGGGTACCGACGCAGGAACTCCCTGAAAAATCTCCTAAGCCATTGAATAAGCCGTAGGAGCTGTTCCAGAAGCCAAAGTAAGCATTCCACCTAGCAAATGCTCCACAATACAAGGAGGACCGTCCTCTAGACACCTTGTGAAAGAAGATAATTCGTAACTGAATGATACACGCCTGCAACAGAAGCTCTCTAGACGCCTCTGAACATACGGACGATGAGAAACCAAAGGGCGCCGATGAATTTGAAAGCACTCAACCCGGCAACACTCCAAAGAATGACTGTCATATATGTTGTCGAGCGGAAGTTTTGGTTGTTTTCCTCTTCTTGTGGGGAGAGCCTCTCAAGACCAGCGGTGCTAAGGACTAACGCGACGAGGCCAAAGTTGGTGATCATCCAGATAAGAACCACCAAAGAACGGATCCAGCGGTAGTAATCCATCTGTGCCTCAGCCTTTTGTGCGTCACTTGGGGGCTTCTGAACAACCACGTGCTTCTTGCCGAAAACCGCCAATTCCTTTTCGTATTGCGCGTTCAAGTCTCCCTCGTCGGGCAAATCGGTCTTACCTTTACCGTCCTTGGTATCGACTTTGGGTAGTTCTTCGGCCTTATCGTCTCCCTTAGTACCCCAAGATATGTCGTGCGTGTTGCAAAATGCGTAAACGTTCAGAACATTGACATATGTCGGCGTCAAGAGTAGGTACTGGATAAAGGAAGTAATCATGTGCCATGGGTCAAACATCATTAGCGAGGCAATGAGCCAAAGACCGTAAGTTGAGAGCATCGACACGATAAGCGAATAGAAAAGCTTGTTCTTGAATATATCGCTGACCTGGAAGCCCTTGGCCACTTCTTCTTGAACGGCAACAACGGTGATGAAAACAGCCGCGAATGTAAGGTATCTATGAGTGGTTAGCAGTTCATTCGTGTTGCATATCAAAAGGAGGGACAATACTCACATCATGATTACACACCAGAAAATAACCATGGCAGTGTATAGCTTGCCAGAGCCCGCTGGGCGGTTGCCCATGGACAGAACGAAGCATGCCATTAACGATATACCGTAAAACCATTCGAAAACGACTCCAAGAATTTCACCGACTTTGCCCGCCAGTTTGTCATCTCCAAGACTCGTTGTCAAAATCTTGAACACTAGGAAGAAATTGCCAATAGCAAACCAGGCGAATATCATGTTAACAGTCTGGAAGACAAACTCCACGAAGAACATCAACTTGCGAAGGATGGAATGGTCGGAGCGGAAAAACTGATAGAAATGCGCAATGGCGTAAATGGCCGCGAAGAAAGAACCATTAAGCCAACGACGACGTTGCAAGATAAGTTCAGTCACGGAGTCAGGCACATCAGTCTCTCCAGTTGCAGATTTGACATACTGCAGAATCCAATGGCAGTTGCGCTTCGTGACAAGCTCGAAACAGAGAATACGATCTTCGGCCAGGTACATATTGGCCGTGAAAACACCAGCGCCAGCACCGTGTAGCGTTTCACCCTTGAAATACTTCTCCAATGGACCCAGCCCGTTCTTGTCGTTTTGGAGCGCGACATATCGATACGCAGAGAAAGCACCGGGTAAGACGGAAATGAATCCGAAAGCCGATTCCAGTGGTTTGTCAAGAATATTGCTCATCTTGTACTCGAAATTCTGGGTCGCAACAAGCGGATTGATCAATTCCTTGCCACCTCTTCCCAACATGGCCTTGATCTCACCACAAGCACCTGCACACATAGGCTCGAGATCAAATGCCTTCCAAAGGTGGTAAATAGAATTGCTACCCGGTTTAGTACCGGCATCGATCAGAACACAAATATTTGGGTCAAGCACACGACCAAACGCCTGGAAAAACCATCGGTGGGAGTTGATCTTCTTCTGGTTCTTTTCTTTCAAGCAGAAAAGCATCTGCACTGGTTGCTTCTTGGGAATGAGCTGTACAACATCATTCTTAATCTGCATGCCCACCTGTGTCGTGTATTCGTAAATATGCGCTGTGACATCCTTGTTGTTGACCTGCTGTTTAGCAATACCTTCTTGGTAGACACCCATACCCGAAAGAAGGGCCCTAGTTCGAGGGTTGATTTTGGCACGTCCATCGCTGACCACACAAACCACAATTTTTTTCCAAGCATCTGGTCCCCACGTCTTGCTTTCCTTCCGGCTACACATGTATTCGATGTTCTTTAATACACCAATCATGGTTCGCGCAAAGAGAATATCGTCTTCGTTGTACATGGTAATAACAATGAACAACTCAGTATGCCGAGGCTTGCTGAAGAGCTTCTGTCGCAAAGTGAAATTCTCATTATAAAAATCATTCGGATCGCAAGTAGCAGCAGTGTATCGCATGTGAGTAAACTCGTCGCGCTCGCCGTGAGGAAGTTGATTCAGTAGTCGCGGTGGTACCGGGCAGTCAAGAACCAAGTTTCCACGGTACAAGAGTACTTGTTTTACCGTCTTCCATCTCTTGATCCCAGCGCCCGCCTGTTGTTGTTGGCGCGGGTCATCGCGGTACGGTTCTTGTGGTTGGGCCTGTGCGTAAGGGTCATTCTGCGCTAGCATTGGTCGCTGGTCATCATAATCATAACCATGGGGGTCAGCGAATGGCGTGGTAGTAGAATGCGGCGGCTCATAGGGCTGGTTATAGTAGGCATCGTGGTGCTGCTCGGGGTTTACCGAGTAGTCAGAATGATAACCGGCTTGGCTATGGTCGTATGGACTCTGGGAGAGATTATCGGCGGAATGCGCAGCGTTCAATGGGAGATGATCGCTCGGGGTGTATCTTCCTGGACCAGCAGGTATGTCAAGATTACTAGCAACTGCTGGGTGGTGCCCGTATGGGACATCGTCGAGCTGGTATCCATGTTGAAGAGGATGACCTGGTGAAGGTGTGCGACCTATCCTATGATTGTCCATGGTAGGATCGTAGTAATCGTCGTCTAGAAAGAGAAAAAAAGAAAATCGTTAGAACCATTGACTTCGTCCAATGTTATACAATAGAAAGCTATGTATGTGTACGTCGAGTAGCGATGACAAGCTATCCAAGCTTTGTAGGTGTCGCCTGCGCCACGAAGTCTACGTCGCCTTTAACTAGGCAAATAAAGCAGTAGGAAGCGCTTGTGTTGCGCACAAGGCGTTGTTGGTGTTAAAGTGAGCGTGTGTAAGGGGGGTTATGACGATGACTGTGGCTGCTCAAAGACGAAAAGGCGACACCGAGCGGCAGTGAAGAAAAGAGAGGCGAAAGGGAGAAGAGAAGAATTGCCAAGGATAGGGTGTATAGGGAAGATAATGTCATGATACATACCTAAGCGATTATACGACATGGTTTATTACTTGTTCCCACACGGGAGGGTGGGCGCTTTAGGCGGTTAAGCTTGTTAAGGGGTACGGGTACGGCAGAAGTTAACGAAAGGTCGGTTATATGCGCAATCGCGATCAGAACGGGAGACAGGAGGTCGAATTCAGGGTTTCCGACTCAGTGATTGGAATGTGGTAACATATGTTCTGTGGAATGGGACTAGATGGGCGAGGCTATTCGCCACCGATCGAATCACCCTTGACCTTGGAATTGAGTTGTACACGAGTGGATTTTCTCGCGAATATGAAGCACCATATACCGTCTACCTGGGTAATTCCGGTGAAAATACTTTGGACCAGAAGTAAATTGCTACTACACCTCGGTAGTGAATGGGGGATAATGGATAATGGGGTGGGACTCGGTCCAGTAAGATATCGTGAATTTACTTGGAAAAGATGCTTGCATGCAAGAAGATGGAGAGATGAAGGGTTTGTTTGAGAAGTGTCCTTAGACCGAAAAAAAAAAAAGGGAGAGGTCAAAAAAAACACTCAAGGGGGCGCTTTGGTCTCGGCAAAGAATAGAGATGACTTGGAAAAGCTGTGAGTGTTTGTTGTCGCGGAAGAGAATGGTCCTTGAACGGGCAGGACGGGGAAGCTGAAGAGTGTCGCAGTTTCACTAGAGAAGGAAAATTCAAGGGACTGGTAAGAATTGTTAAATTGTTAGTGTTAGAATTATTGCGACAGGCTGGGGGGATGAAATGGGAAGTTACCATAGACAGGGATTCAGGTCACTTCAAGTCGCTCCAGTCCGCTCAAGGGCAGGGGCAGGTGATATCCTGTTTCAGGTCAACAAAGCAGGCGCAGCAAGCAGATTTAGGGGCCACCAATGGATCCTTGCACCATCCCGAACCCTAGAAGAAAACCGGTACGACGGTACCTAGGTACATGCTAAGGTACAGTTTACAAGGGTGCCAAACAAACACTAGCCGTTTTCTGCCCCACGTCTCGTCACCCCAGCAGCGTCTGACGTCCCTCCTAACTTTTAACGCATTTAAGAGTGACGTAGTCTGCTTTAGTTCTCATGCTTAAATTCGCTTACCTAGGTATATAAACCGATATGATTAGAAGCAGCATCGCCTTTTTATTTCGTATAGGGCATGTAATTCTTATATCATCTGAATCAGCAAATTGTTACAAATCTACTATTCATATATCCATCGCAACATAATTTGTGCAAATTGGAAAAAAGAAAACGTGAGCGAATAGTGGATTCGGAACAAACAACCATGGTGGATAATAGACGCGCAAGGCCATGTCGCGTAAAAAAACGGGCTAAGCGTTGGTGTCTCCAGTATTAACCTAAACCTACGCACATTTTATGTGTTTCGTACATACAGATACCTACATTATGTATGGAGGAGTACATACATATAGATGTATCATATATCCGCAACACCAAAAATAGATTCTTTACCCGAATTTCCACACTCAACAAAAGGACCATCGCCACAATTATCCTCAGCCACAATAGAGCTGACGACTACATACATATAACACCTACAATGACAACTAAGAACGCATATCAAAAAGACTGGTAAGGCGGATTCCTCATAAGGCAACAAGAAATTTTCATACTAACGACTTTGGCTTGATATCGCGAAATGTGGCTAAAGTCTTGACATCAGATCTCTCCTCCACAAGACGGATCTTTATGCATTTGAGGAAACGCTATGCACACGCCCATAGAACACAGAATTAGATTATAGGTACTGATGCATGATGGGCGGGTACCTTACTGGCCCCCTCTAGTTTCCAGATACATATGCCAGTTGTTCTTGTGTACCTCAAACAGGCTCCCCGCGTAGCCGTCTGACCAATCACGGCACGAGGCAGCTAATGTTCTGATGACATACATATGCTCCCGCATCTGGAGAAGTCTCTTTGGTTCGTTATGTCATATGTCTCTGGCGAATACTACCTCGCATTTCGCCTATCGGTAATCATCGACGAGCCATATAATATCAGGTTACCATCGTCAGGTTTCACCAGTGAACTTGATAATAAGTTTGCTATAGGATCAGTATACTTGAGGTTTTGAATCATTCGAAGTTGAGATTGGCTTTTAGAAACGATGCTACCTGAGGGCTATAAAATGCATAACTTGTTTACATTGATAGCGAATTATACTCCGCTACATGGTAAAAAAGAAACCCTTGCGTGGTATTGGGGTCGCTATACTGCGGCCAGACTCCGGATCCGATCCGTGGAGCAAACTGATTAGATACCCATAAGTCTCGGCGCTTGTGGCTTGCTACTAGGTAGTGAGTATACATTATATTTACTTCTTTAGAAAACCTACCATGCCTGCCTTTCACGAAGTCTAATTAATTATAATGCTTTCCTAGTGCCTTTTACTCGTAAGGTATTTCGGGGTTTCCTCTGAGAAATTTCCGCAGTAATAGTCAACGGAGTTCATGATAGTCCAGGTTGGTGAACCCCCACGATTGTGCAACAGACCTAGATAGTAGATCTCGTTTTTTAGTGCAAGACCAGACGTATCTATCCAGTTTCCGGAGTAGAGAACTCTCGTTCGTTGGTGTCCCCCGCCTATCAATCTATATAAAAGTTCGCCCGTATCTCGTAACTGTTGTCTCGTGAATATACAGAACATTGTGAAGCTGCCCGAAACTCGGCTAGTGTAATTAGGTGTCTCCGATCGGTTCATCGCGGCTCTAACCCTTCACACGTCTAATATAAAGTGTTCAGTGCTACGAGTTCTTCCATTAGATTTGCCACCATCGGGGGCGGGTTAGTGAGAGCTTCTCGAAGAAGTGCCCTATGTAATTTCTCGCACCAAATGTACACATCTTCGAATCCTTTAGGTAGACATTTAAAGAAACCGGCATAACGCTAAAGGTAACTTGTGTAACGTTCAATGAAGGACTATAGGTTACCTGATATGCGCTCATATGCATGTATACTGACACGAGGTTGTCGGGAGAATTAGGCTGAAATATACGTATCCTACATTAAGTATAAATAAGTCAAGTGGCATCCCCGTTAGCAGGACAAGAAGAGATCGTGGATCTTAGAATCCAAGAGCATAACTAAGTCCGACCTAGAGCTCCTACCAGCTTTTGTTACGGACGTCCGCCCTTTTGGAATCACCGACTTGATCTAGGCTTGGATTGTAAGTCCTCTATCACTGGGGACGTCGGTTAGACAGGCGGGACGTGCCGAAGCTTGCCTATATCATCGAAATGTCGAGCCAATAGCTTTACGTCTAATAAGCGCCGCTGAATAGGTATCAACCCCGACGTGTTCCGACTCATTTGCTTGAGATTTTCCACAGGACTTATATAACTTTATACAGTCTGTCTTCGCCGTGTTGGCATTCCCTTCTTCGATATCGCGTTATGTAGACCCCTTATACCCCAAGCTAAATGTGCATAACAATATACCGGTAGGTAGGATATGGGGGCCCTTGTATTCCGAAGACTATTCTGATTTCGGAGTTCTGATCATAACTCAGGGCAAGCCTCGTTCGTATCGTATGCTAGGTCTAGACTGTGAACTGTGGAGGAATTGTTGGACCGAAATTGAACGGTCCAATTCGTGGATAACGACGTCATAATATCGAAAGAGCCGCCTGCCAATCAGGAGGTCGAATTTTAGAAGGGAAAAGGAAAAGAAACCTGCAATAGTGGGGTATAGTGCTATCTAAATACCTATATATTTTCAATGGTGCAGTTGAAATGGTAGGATTCAAGCATCGGCCCCCACGGGTGCTCAGCCACTGAGGTCACGACACCCCTGTCATATCGGATTGGCGATACTCTCGGTCGTTATATCACGTGATAAAGGATTCAGCTCGAAATCTTTGAGGGGGACTAGAACTCAGCCCCATACCAAGTAACCCTCACTCCTCTTCGTCGCACATCAAGCTTTAGACTGGCCATGATGCCCGTGGAAACATGGACCGCGTGGTGTTTCGGCTGCGACAATTACCTCAATATGTCGATAGGTTGGATACAGTCCAACTGCTTAGTAAAGCTCTAGGAATCGGAGCTTCGGAGATTCGGATTTTCTCTCTTGCCTGCTCCGTCGATCCATGGTTGCCGAGTAAAGTGGCTACTTTGATGTTCGATGATGTTGTCGGAATTCACCATGCTCTCCAGGAGGGTGGGCGGCCGGGAATCGCGAAGTTAGGAGACGAATGGAGCATTGCAGTGGAGAATTTTCGCGACGCATTAGTTTTAGATACTCACTTTCGAGGTCTAACCCCCTTATATGACCCAGTCTCACACCAGGCCGAGTAAAGTTGTCTTAAGCCACCTCTTGTCAGTATTAAACTAATGGTACTAGTTGCATTGCAATATCAGGACTTGCAAGTCACCCCTTTGGATCCTGGCAGCCTAAAGGGCATCCAAAGACTTTCATGTGGATTCGCGATGCGTTACCGCAGTCATTACCAAGCGTACGGCCTATATTATACGGCTATGATACGACTCTTCTAAGAAGCCGTTCATTCCAATCTATCTTTGACCTTGCTATAGGGCTAATCGGCCAACTCAAGGCCAATGGATGGTCGTCTCCTACCTGCAAGCCACTCGTCTTCCTTGCACATAGTCTTGGTGGTGTCGTTTTGAAGCAGGCCTTCGTTTCACTCGCAAACAGGATTGAGCGGGACGACGGAATACTTCGCGCGATGAAAGGCGCTGTGTTCTTTGGTGTCCCTAATTTGGGCATGGAACAATCGCACCTTTTGGCGGTTGTGGACGGCCAGCCCAATGAGCAACTTATTGCAGATCTTTCTCCCGAGTCAGCATATCTCCAAAAGCTGGATAAGCAGTTCAATGGTATATCTTGCCTCCAAGATGCATTGCTTTATTGGTGTTATGAAACAAGAAAATCACCCACAGTTATTGTAAGTAGATCCATCCGTTGAACCTTATGATCTGAATAATAATAGGCTACCTGCTCAAAGTTAAACTCGAAAAATGTATGGTCAAAAAGTGGCCTTGAAGAGGTTTTAGTTACTCCGGATTCTGCGACTCGTGGATTGTATGGCACATCTACAGGTTTGGATTTCATATTTCCAATTAACGAGGATCATTCGAATATGGTCAAGTTCTCGGAGAATGACCCAAACTATTCCGTAGTAGTACAAAAACTGCTCCAGATCTTTTCCGCAGGCGAAATGTCAGAGTCCAAACCTACGACGACGGGGATCTCACATCTAGGGACGACCATTGCTCAAGGCCCAATAAATGTTAGGGCATACCAAGGGCCCAACTTTCAATGTAGGCAAGTTCTTATCCTAAAAGAAGTACATGACGTGCTCATTTCAAATAGCTGTTTTAAATTCCCTAGAGGTAGCCGAGAGGGACCGTAGGTTGGAAGAAATTGAAGGCACGTTTGGCAATACCTTCGACTGGATTTACGATCGCTCAGAACCAGGTTTCACTGAATGGCTTCGAAACGGGACGGGGCTTTTCTGGATACACGGGAAGCCGGGCTCTGGGAAGTCAACCCTAATGAAATTCATATTTCAGGATGACCGCACGGCGGATCTACTTGCTGATTGGAAAGAAGAAATTACATACGTTCGTGGGGCTTTCTTTTTCCACTATCGTGGATCCTCCCTTCAGAAGTCGTTTGAAGGCCTATTGAGGAGTATCATAGGCCAAATTCTTACGGAACTTCCTTCTCTTTTCGACTCTCTAAAACCCTTGTTTGACCACGCCACCATCGTTTGGACTTTGCCGATGCTCAAAAAGGCATTCAATAACATATTGCGCCAAAATACGGTACCATTGCACCTTTGCTTATTTTTGGACGCGCTTGACGAGTATGATGGGCGATTGGAATTTATATGCCAGTTTCTCAACGAACTGGGCGCGATCCCTCCAAACCCTAATAAGAGCATCAAAATTTGTTTCTCTAGCCGCCCCTGGGATATATTTGTAAACACCTTCCAAAATTGCCCAAACCTACAAATCCATGATTTTACCACAAAAGACATCGAGGACTATTGTTTAGGGTCAATCAGAGCAGAGAGGTTGCCATACTCTGTCTCGCTTGAGGATTTGATTCCCGACATTGTCGCACGTTCGCGAGGCGTGTTTCTATGGGTCAGACTAGTAGTGAAGGATCTTGCCCGAGCTACGAGGTTGAAAAGCATGGATAAGACCGAACTGGAGATACTCTTGCAATCTTCTCCAACAGAGCTTGATGCATACTATGCGGAGATTATAACTCGAATTCCACATATTCATCGATGGAAGACGTACGCTTTGTTAGAGGTCACAGTGCGATCTAGAGTACCCCTAGGCGCATACGACCTAATACGCGCTATCTCATGCTCGGAATTTAGGACCTACCAGGATGCATATCAAGCCTTTGTGAAGCTCAAGAAAAGAACATTCTACGATTCCGAAGAATTAGTGGTGCGAGAATTAAGTAAATATTGCGGTGGGCTGATCGAAGTTATTAACAGTGGCCCCTACATCCGTTATATCCAGGTACTCCATCAAACAGTTGAGGATTTCGTACTAGACCCAAAGTTCAAGCAGATAGTCCTTGGAGACCGAGCCAAGATCACCGTTGAGAATGGGAATACTTTCTTGGCCAAAAGCCTATTCGTCCGGAGCGCGTTTCAGACTATCGCATCCTCCTACTCCGAAATCACACCCGAGACCAATGCATCCACCTACGCTAATGCTGCTGAGCGGACTACAGGTCGTAGTCTTAGGATGTTCCTTAACAGTATCCCGACTCATATATTTGAGGTACAAAGCTCCGATACTCCTGAACTACAAGTATCGGGTCCACTTGCATATGCTGTGTATGCTGGGCTTCGTCTTTATGTCATCGAGTCACTAATTGATGCGCCCGACCTGATACGAAACTCGGGACGACCGCTGCTTAGTCATGCTATTCTTGGGCTAGGACTAGACCGTTTTCCAGAAGAAGAACTTTTAAAGATAGCAAAGCTATTGCTCGATAGAGGCTTTACAATACATCGAGACCCGGAGGCATTTCGCCGCCTGATAACATCAATAGTCCGAAGTCTTCAGGCGAAGAATGTACTAGTCAACCAGCTTGTCGTAACCCCACGACCTCGTCATGTGGGTCTAGTTGAGTTATTCCTAGATCACGGCCAAGACCCCAATGTCAAAATCCAAACCCTCGGGGATCCAAGAGACGTTGAATTTACGCCTTTGCACGTGGGCCCATTTATTATAGCAAACATGCTCTTGGATAGGGGTGCCTCACCAAATGAGTTGAGTTCTACCAATATGACACCTTTAGATAATATTTGTTCGTGTTACCTTCGCTGGCGCGTTGAAAAAAGCGTCCAAAGGCCACAAGTCCAAGAAATATATAAGCTAGTTTGCTCTATAGCGGCTCGAGGAGGAAAGCTTAAGAACGTGAAGAACGAGTACTGGAAGGAGTTTTTGGAAGACATCTCTCTATTCGGCTGGCCTATTGATGTTTTGCAATCTTGTACATCCTCTCCATCACAACGAGGCACGTCGAGCCAGTCGTTCAGCCAGTCACTCAATCGGTCATTTGACCGGTCGCCCGGTCAAATGGCAACTCGGAGATTAAGCCATCATCGGAATCGGGTATCAAGCGACCAGCAGTCAAACTCGTCTCCGGATCTGCTGCCGAGGAGTTCGCTCAGGTCTAAGATTAAGAAGATAGCATTCAGTGTGATGTGTTAAGTTTTTCGATGAGACAAGGCTTTCTCCAGGTCCTAAGCCATCATGCTTCTATTTCACTATCTCATTTAGCGTAGGAGACTTTGGGGTCACATAGGGCGAGCATATTGTCATTGAGAGAATTACATAGCATAAGCACGGGCGTTATCATACCTCACCAGTTGTATTTAAACTAATTTCAGTACTCTTTCCTCCCATTCTTCCAACCATGCGGGATCCAACTCCCAAATAGTCATAATTCCGACCCTCTCAAATTCGCTTCCTTTCCGACATGCTACTTCACGTAATACCAGACACTCGGCGTATAATGAATCATCCGGTGCCGTCCTCGTTCCTATAAGAAGAAGAGGGTATCCTTCAGGTGGAAATTCGGTAGGATCGAATCTTAATTCCGTATCACCGCCAACCTTCATCCGAACTGATAGAAGACATGTACTATCGCCTCGATGAACTTGGAAAACTACCGCCCCTGAATTAACATAGACATCATCCCCCAACCTAGGCTCGTCAAAATAAGTCCTGATGGTGGAACGGTCTTCCAAGGTCTCGTCCACAACTTGGTTACTCCCCACCAGTGATATCGTATACCCCTGAACTACCACATGTCCCGACTTTACTTCTCCATAAGGATTACTGGGGTCACAATACTTCAGATCATGCTCTAACAGCTTGAGTTCGAATCGGTCCGAGTTCAGTGGGACCCCCTGGTAAGTAATCGGGACGTTCGTAACCGCCCAAGACCAAGAGGGGGCTCGATATGATGGCCCATGTCCAGAGGAGCCTGTCTGTTCATACCATACAAGCCCACGACCAAAATCGCAACTCCATAATCCGGCTATGTACTGCCCTGGTAATACGGTATGGATGCGCTGCGCTAGACCGGAGAATGCGGGTAACTTATCGGAGTCAAAAGCTAACTTTCGGTAAGAATATTGCTCGACTAAGTCATAATAGCGGGAAACTAATTGCATTGTGTCGATAGGCTCCTTGTGGGACTCGGCGAGGAGATCACCGAATAAAGCTGACGACAGCACCCCTGAGTTAAACTCAGGCGTAGAGTTACCAGGTGGAAGGCCGTCGGCGGACTCGAACCCATTAGGGCATTTCCAATATATCTGGCGGTTTCCGTAGTATAAATGCCGAGGTGACAGTAAAGACTCTTGTAACGTCCATCCCCGCGATGTTAAGGGGCTTTTATCGTCAAGCGTCCTGAGGTCCTCCCTTTCATGGGTTATCCTCTTCACAATGACTTGGTGGCGTTGATCATTTGGGTATATGTTGAGCTTGACGGGTTGTGGGCCTGGTGGCTCGCTTTCACTCTTTAGAAATCCTCAAGTGCTCTTTTCGGACGATAACGCATATATGGTGAAGGTAGAGTTCCGATAGAACGTTGCCATCTTCTTGGATTCCTGTTCCCAATCATGCTTGGAGTCCTGCAGAATGCAGAGTGAGTCTATCCATAGATAGCGAATGCCAAATTTACGGGCGACGATGATGGCATCGCGGAAGTTAGCGGGCAGGCGGTGGAAAGGAAGATGTTGAAATTCACTAAGGGTCTTCGTAGTTAAGAGGGGTGATACAGGACCACCCCAGCAATGGCTGAGTGTTATATACCGGGCAGTCTTTCCATTCGAATGGATAAGTCGTAAACTCTGGGCGTTTTCACCTATTCCAACGTCTATTACTCGCGTGGGGAGCTCAAAGGCATCGCCCTTGAGGCAGTTCGCATGTCGCTTCTGGCAAATTTCCAGCCATGTTTTAGCAATGTCAAAATTTTGTTGAGATCCGAGGTTAGGATCAGTTTGAAAGCGCCCAACGTGGTAGTCGTCAACTCTTACGGCTTCCTCTAAGTGATTGTTAGAGGCAATTAAATATGCGGTAAATATTAGGTTGGTATTAACCTCGGGGGACGGTAAGAGTGAGCGCTAGAGGATCGAATCCCCAATGCTGATCGTCGTCGGGAGTTGCTTCATCAAGATTCTGTATGATCCCAACCTGTACCAGAATTTGGTCGAAAACGCGCACCGAATCTAAAGTATCGAGAAAATAAACGTGATGAGAATTGATAGCGAGTTTGAGGTCCGTGAAGGGGTATTCATTTGCGGCGAAAAACATCGATTCCTCTAACTTGCAAGCCGAGCCGGTCCACTTCGTTCGCCACGTTGGCGCTTGGGTGTAATCTAAAGGCGTTCCTTTGAAACATTCTAACATCAACGTACAGAGACCACACCCGCGATTTGCTAACGCTTCTAAATCGCCTAACGATGCGTGGTGCTGATAGAATGCTTTTTCTGGCATGATCTTTCCGGAAAATTCTTGTTTAGCTAAATCAACTAAGAGGCTAATCGACAGCCCGGCACAATAATCACATCGTGCTGGCATTTTCCTCATTAATCTTGAGGGTGTATGATACATAACATTCATTCACGTATAGGTACCTAGGTAGGTAAGTTGTATAGTGTCTAGAATATGGAATGAAATATGATGGACCGCTATTTGAAACCCGCTGTTTAAAACATCCGACTGGCATGATTCCTTAGTGATGTAGATCATTGGTAAACCCCCACTAGCAGACATCGTGGAAGAGCCCGTGGTACCTAGTTGATAGGTCCAATTTAAACTACACGACCTTTTTTGAACGGCAGTTTATAGAACGACCACGACCTTCTTGGCCGATACACCTTTTAGGCGAATATCATAAGCTTCTTGAAGACTGTTGAGCCCTTCACCCACAATCCATGGCTCTGGCTCAGGAACAAGTTGGCCGGACTCAAGAGCCTTAGGTAAAAAGTCGCGGAAGACTTTACCGACAACACTATCGGGCTCACCAAGGTCAAGCAAATCAATAAATCTTGACTTGATATCCTCGGGGTAGCCCTCGGGAGGCGGAGGTCCAGCATCGGCAATGTACTTAACTCCGTCGGTACCCCTGAGAACTTTAGCGCTAATAGCGACGCCACCAGCGTTGATAGCTAGCGCCCCCACTATCTTCTTGCCTTTCAGCGCATTAATTATAGCGTCTGCGCAGTTGTCCTCATGGTAATCAAATACCCCGCTGGCACCAATTCGGCGCACAAGTTCGAAGTTCCTTGGCGATGCAGTAGAATACACTTCGTATCCGGCCGCGACTGCCAATTGAATGGCACTGGCCCCCACGCTCGATGAACCTGACGTAATCACTATTGCCTCGCCTTTAGGACTGGCTGCGGGGGATGTTGGTAGATCTAACCCTAGAAAACCGTGGTGGAAAAGGCCGTACGCAGCAGTTGCTAAGCATAGTGGCAGAACCGAGACACGCTCGTATGAGACCGATGAGGGGAACGAGGTCGTCATGTGTTCGCGCACGACGGTGTAATTTTGAAAGGCGCCTTCGGCCTGGCGATTTGCAAAGGGCATAGTCCCCACAGCGTAGGAAGTAACGCGATCACCCGCTTTGAAGCGGGTCACGGCGCTGCCGACCTCAATAACATCGCCGGCCAAATCTTCGCCTTGGATGCAGGGCCATTTGATGTAAGGGAGGAGCGCATCGCCGAGAATTTGTTTATACGGGTCAACAACGTTGACCGCGACCGCGCGACTCTTGACAACTAACTCATTAGGCCCGGGCGGGGTATAAGGCGCTTCCCTGACCTCAAGGGGCACTTTAGGGCCTGTAAGGAACGCCGCTTGATTACTGGGCGCCATTTTCGCCTAATTGATCTAGTGGCTTTCCGTGTACTTGGGCGTTGACCTAGGCAAGTTAGTTAGGCTTGGAAATGTAAACTTGAAGTTTATACTACGAATTCATTGAGACATAAGCTGTTGGAGAATATATCCCCTCTATACTATTCATCTATAATGATCGGAGACTACTCTTGATGGCTTATTATTGGTTGTTTGATAGATATGTTGGTTGGTTGCAATAAGAGAAAGTTGGGGTCCACATGATAGAACGGGGAATTTCTATAAGTAGTTTAGCTATCGGCTATGTGCCCGCCTGGTTCTCTATCCTGTGGTGTTGTAATGCCGCTGTCGGTGGTTCGAAGGATTAGACGATGCACCGCGAGAGTGAGGGGTTCGGGTAGACCGTTTACTACGTTCCGAAATCGAAAAGTTGGATGCTAATTTCCGAATTGATTTTTCTTTCTTTATACCTTTCTCTGCTTACTGACCCGCTTATGGAGTCCTCGGGCGCAGTAGTGTGTTAGCGGAAGCTGCCATCTGCCACCGGAAGGTGCTATAACGGGTGATATAGAAAGCTTAAATACCCCGATGAAGACGGGCTCCCGGTGTCCCGGATCGGGTTCATTAAGTGGATCTGCGTCCGATCCGGCCCGGTCAATTGAGTTTACCTCAGGTATCAATTCATTGAGCATCCCCTCGGCCTAAGTCGCTAACTTCTTTCGCTTGTCTCGCTGTTGTTAGATGTTAGCGTTGGTAGGTGTTTCAAAAGCATCTCGGAGTTAGAGGGTCGTAAAAAAGCTGCAAACACTGGACTACAAATTTGACCCGAGCTGCTTATTCCAAGGAGTCGGATCCGGAATTTGGAGATTCGTCGTGGCCGGCAAAATTAGTATGCTGTTTGACACCAAGGCTATATACCGAAAGCTTGGTATGAGCTAATTGCAGGGTGGTTCTGTGAGAACCGGTTGTTTATAAGCAGATGTTCTCATGATTTCAACAGAAGTTGAAGAAGTTTGGCCAATCCCTTGCCTGATTATGGAGAGCGTAAGCCTGTGCCGCTCGCTGGCTTTAGGGCACCCCTGCTACCTAGACCGCCTACATGCAGCACAGGGTTCTAGGTCTTAGGGGTGTGTAAATCTCACTAAAACGCTGCCTCTATACATGCGCTCTTCGCTTTACTGAGCGAGAACCCTAGCAAACAATTAACTGTATTTAGCTGGATATAATTTCGGCGCGGTGTTTAGTTATAATACGGGGATATGACTTCCCAAAGAGGGTTATCTCCTGTCCGAAGCCTTTCGGCATGGTAATTATAATAATGTTGGTTAGGTAGTAATTACTGGAAGTATTTAATCTCTCGGGATTCTTTACTTCATCACGGAGGCCTACCTATGCACATTGTGATCGTTTTACAAGCCGTTGCCGGTGCTCCCATAACTTCATCGTTCACCCACAATGCGTTCCTTAATCTGGATGGCCGGCGTGTGTGCCGCCTCACAGCAATTATTGCCACAAGCTCCGGGTAACACAACTACACCGTTACGTCCGAGTCAAGATCCGTGGTATACGACACCCGCTGGCTTTGAGACCGCAGAACCAGGAGAAATCCTTCGGATTCGTTCTGCGCCAGGAAATCTCACCTCCATCATCGGCAATGCCACCACTGCCTACAACATCCTCTATCGTACCACAGACTCGCGCTATCAACCATCTTGGGCTGTCACCACGCTTATCATCCCTAATGTTACCTACGTCTCGCCTTCCGGTAGCAAGGCCTTGCTATCATACCAATTTGCCTATGACTCAGCTGCAATTGATGCCAGTCCTTCTTATGGCCTCTACAATGAGCTCTCGCAGGCGTTCCCTACTCTCGGAATTCCGGCAAGTACGGACCTCGTCGCCGAGCTACTCGGCCAGGGTTGGATTATAAATACACCCGATTATGAAGGTTTCAATGCTTCGTTTGGATGCACTATTCAATCAGGACATGCTACTCTCGACTCTGTACGCGCCGTACTGAATTTAGCCCGCCTGACTGATTTTGGTAACGTCACAGCTGCTATTTGGGGCTACAGTGGTGGCAGTCTGGCCACTGAAGCAGCTGCCGAGCTACAGGTGCAATACGCCCCTAACCTCGCTATTGCTGGCGCTGTGGTTGGGGGACTTCCCGCTGATTTACCCGCTGATCTCCACCTGTTCAATAAGAGCCCCCTCTCTGGCGATTTAGTGGCTTTATTAGTGGGTTTGACTACCCAGTACCCCGACGCTGATGCGTACCTGCAAAGCCGTCTGCACCCGGAAAATGCGAGTGAATTCTATAACGCAAAGACTATGGTAACAGGCGAGGGTATCAACTTCTTTTCTATGAAGGATATCTATGACTACTTCATAGGTGGTGTAGAGGACTTGCAGGCACCGGTATTGCAAAAGGTCTTCGACACGGAAGGGAAGCTAGGGTATCATGGAGTGCCGACCGTGCCCATGTTTTTCTACAAGGCCATTGGTGATGAGTATTGTCCTGTCAACGAAACGGACGCAGTGGTAAATAAGTATTGCGGCGTGGGCGCCGACATAACGTACGATAGGAATACGGTGGGTGGGCATGTTGCAGAAATCACAAATGGACAGGACAGGGCGATCAATTGGCTCTGGAGTGTCTTCAATGAATCGTACGTGTCTCATACGTTAGGATGCACGATTCGCAATGTTACAGTCAACATTACCAGCTCGCCCTCGTAATTTAGGGACAAGAGTCGAAAATAATAGGTTTTTAGGCACCTAGATAACTATCACATAGTGGAATATCCAATGTAATTACAGGAAGTATCCCCAACATCGATGAGATTTAGCGCGAAAGCCCTTGTGATTATAATCGACGGGAGCCAGGAAGTAATTGATGTAAGCCCTGTACCCAGGTAGGCATCCCACTATAAAAGGTCGCTAAATATAGCGCATCATGTTCTGTATTTGTAATACGTAACCGTGTATAACAGCATTATTTCAACGTATTATTACACCCTCTAGAAGTAAATTTACTGGTGTTCCCAAGAACTCATATTTTTACCGTGTCTCTTGAATTATTTTCTTATTCTATCGCCGAAATGAGGCCATGAAAACGGACGAGCCCAACACTCAGGAATTATTTTCGGCACATTCCGTCACTGCTTAGGTGCCTTCAACCACGGCCATAACCCCACCATCTATAAATGGTACGCGATCAATAGGACAAGTGACGTGAGGTGGAGGCATAGTGCCAGCGAGGTAAGCATGTAGATAATTAAAGTAACACGGCGAGCCACCTTGATTAGCGACGGTATGCTATAGTAGTGATGTTAGTATCCTTTTCAAATTTATATGTTGTCGAGCAAACAGTGAGGGAAAAGGGGGTCTTACTCCAACAGCTTCTTGGGTTAGCACAACCGAGCCTGGGAATCCCTCTGCCATTTTTCGAGCCCTATATAATGAATACCGTTAGTAACTTTGATTCGTAGTCAAAGCTAAATATATTCGAAAATCGGCAGGCTTACCCGACGATCGGTGTGATGGGATCAATAGTGTTGCTCGCGAAGAGAATAGGAAAAGCCGTGCCGTTGCTTGTTGGTGGAAGGGGCCCTGGTCGCAATTGTTAGCAAACAGATTACGCTGATGAAGAATGCTGAAAGAGCGGAAGAACCTACCTTGAAAAGTCATGCTGTCAGGTAAGTTATGATGGAACCCCCTGCATGTAACGATATCGTTAGATGTAGGATAGATATCCCCTACATATCGGCTCTTCGACGTCGTAAACTCGACATACTCCCTGTATGCATCAAGGGTAACGAGTTTATTTCTTGTGTAAGTGTCGGCACATCTGATTATGTTGTCGGCATCAGGGAACTGTCCGAAACTCTCTACTACACCGGCTAGAGTAGAGACGTTTCCCCTCTCCACATTAACGAGAGTGTCCGCTAATAGCGGGAAATAAACCAGAGGTTCGTACCCAGCGCTTAAGATGTAACCCTTCAAGTCAGATACGGTTACTAATGTCGGAAGCTTGCCCGTATCGAGCCCAGATAGAGGAATAGGTTCCTGCTCCAACTGTAACATAATGCGATCAAGGCGATTCGTTATGTTCTCTGCGGAAGGCCCCCAAAATAAGCAATTATTGGGACCGGCCTGATAGCAGAACTTGGCAAAGGAGTTTACCATTTCGTCATCTTGCACGACGTTGTCCCTCCAAGTATTAGTGTAATACTGTTCAACATCAACGACACCATCCAAAATCATTCGACCGACTCTATCTGGGAATTGAGACGCGAAGGTAGTGCCAATTATAGTGCCATAACTGAGACCATAAAACCAAAGTTTGGCATCGGCCTTCGGTTTTCCAATCGATTCCGCCTCTGCTTCGATGAAAGTAATCATATCCCGGACCACTGCCGGTGTAGTGACATAGTAGCCATAAGGAGAATTTTCCCGGACGGCAACGTCGCACCATTCACCTAATATGGTCGCTGAATAATATTGATTTATGATAGATTCCGTGGAAGCGTTAACTCTACCGGGAGTGTGAAGCCTAACGAGGGCTGTTTTTGCTGCGGAGTTGCCAGCGAAGCAGTCAAATACTAACCCGCTGTTATTCACCCCCCGCGGATCAAACGAGATGGCATTATATTGTGAACCGAATATTGGGCCAGCATTGGCTCTATACGTGAGAAGCATATCCACGCCTGAACCTCCAGGGCCACCTTCGACACATTAAAACGGTTAAATATCAACATATTCACGAAGTGCCCCATTCAAATAGCTCGGGGAACTTACCTGGGTTGATTAGAATACTCTGTGCATCGTCGGTAGCATTTTCGCCCCTTAATTTTATGAACGCGATAGAGGTGGTACCAAGAGTAGGATCTTCGTAGTCGATCGGAACTTCTAGGTTCGCACAAGTGAAGTCGTCGAAGCATGGTACCCATTGCAGATCTGGGGACGTTGGTATCTAGTTTTTTGTAATGGGTTAGAAGTGTATGTAAAGCATCAGGAGGAATTGCCCCTAGAGGGTAACATACCGAGTCGAAACCATATACCATATTTGTGCCATTTGTAGTGACTGCCAGAACTCTTGACACGACTCCCACGCATATGCATATAGGGGTAAAAATTGAAGAGAGCCTCATCTTAGCTTGATTCAGGGGGAATATCAATACAGGGATCTGATCCTTGGTGTCTGTACAACGTAATTCAGAGATGCGAAGGATTCAGCCCTATCCTCACCTAATGAAGCGACTAATCAAGAAACAAGAGAATAGTTGGATCACATTGATTCATATTGTTATAGAGAAAACTGGCAAGACCAGGCGTGATATTTGTATTCGAAGCAAATATCAACAATGTTAGAAAATGGCTCACTCGGCCCATGCCAAAGAAATTATTTCGCACCGTGATGCTCTCAATAGTCTCGAAAGAGTGTTTAACAATGCTCATCCGAAGAACGATATGTATACAGTATCACTCCGAAGAGGGTCCGCTCTCAGGATGCCATACTCCACTTGTACGAACGAGCCAATAAGCTGTTGGAAATTGTGGCTTGGCGGGATACAACTTTGTCATCCTACAGGATCCCACAGGCTTGAGTCCTGATGAATATGAAGTAAATGATAGATTTTTACTTGATTACCACTGGGCCATAAAACCTAGAAAATCACCTAGGTGTTAACTTATACTCTTTATTGGAATAGTGTACACTGACCTGTCATCATGTACCTCCTCAGTTCTTGTTTTCATTTAGCCCGCTAACTCTTTAGCGTCACGTTAATTTTTCGAAGAAATATTTTGTTACAATATGAGTGAGAACCATCTATTGGGTACCACGGACCCGAACAATTCTAAATATGCATGGAGAAAAAGACCAAGGAAATTCTCATCAAAATCTAGAAAGGGATGCAAGACTTGCAAGTGAGTATTTTGGTTCCAATGCCACATCCGAGTTTATGTTTAAATAACTAGAGTGTACTTGCATAGCTCTCGAAGAAGTGTTAACTGTGATGATGTAACAGAGCTCGGCGAATCAAATGTGACCAAGCTCGACCGTATTGCCATAAATGCGTCTCGACGGGTCGTGCTTGTGAAGGTTACTCAGAGAATCCCTGTGCCGCCGCTGACGACAAGATCACACCTACCATATGTGACAGCAATGCACAATCACAACCTAGTCCCCAGGTCCTGGCTAGCTATGCCATTGCTGATCTCACTTGGGAGGGCCAATCGCACTCGGAAGAGCCACCGCACACCTCCGGATCTACCTTTCCGCTGAGTCCCAGGTGTCCTCTTATCCTATATCCGAACACCTCCGAAGAGTATTTACTGCTGAACTTTTTCAGCTTTAAAACGCTTCCGCAGCTAAGTGGACATCGGCAATCAATACCGTGGGCCCAAACTGTCATCTTCTTTGCGAATACCGCAAAATGCGTCCATCACGCCGCCGTCGCATTGGGCTCGCTACACCAGGACTATTTCTCAGAACTTTCTGGACAGAGAACCCGTCGCCATGTCCAAAATGAAAACCCAAATCTTTTCGCTTTATATCACTATAATCTTGCTATCAACCATCTCTTGAGCTCTAGCAGCTGCTCTGGCGATACTATTAGGGACAAGGCTGTTACCTTACTAGTATGTTATCTTTTCACCTGCTTCGATCACCTCGCCGGCAACTGCACACGAGCGTCCAAACACCTACAGAGTGGCACAGCTCTTTTGAACGAGACACGGGCGTCAATAGGAGACTTTACGGGGATGACTCAATCCTCTAGCGACCAAGAGTTGATTGAACAGATCACCGAGCAGTTTCGATACCTAGATATGCAAGAGTCAACGTTCCTCTTGGGGTGGTCCCCTCATAATCAACCTGAGGTTTGCATGGATGAGGAGGCCAGTGACCAAGTCAGCTTCGGGCCAACTGATATTAGACTGAATTCTCTTGCCCATGCTGCTAATCTGCTGGACGATCTAATCTTGAAAATTATGGGATTGCGTCGCTGGGAATCTATTTTCAGAAGGTTCAGACAGACTGGTGTATCAGACACTAGTCCTATTTACACCGCAACACTTCGTGGCTTTCTGAACTGGCAGGGTGAAGTAGCGGATGAGCTAGAAGCGTGGTCGGACGGTTTTACGATGCTGCTAAGGTCAATTTCTGATCATTTATGTGCATCCGATCAATATCTCGTAGACATGCTGCGATTCCATTATATCGTAGCATCAACTCTCCATTTTATGTCCTTGGGTACAACTGAGATGATGTACGACACTGTCTTGACGGAATTTAAGACAGCGGTATCGCTAGCCTCTTCGTTGGCAAACAATTGTGTGGAGACTCCGGAGGGACGTGCGTCGGACACGCTGAAAATGGAACCAAGATTCACTCTCGAATTTGGCATTATACCAGCACTTTACCTCGTTGGGATGAAATGCCGCAATCCCTCACTCAGACGTGAGATATTGTATATTCTGAGGCGAAATCCACGGCGTGAAGGCATGTGGGATAGCATATCCACGGCTCGGATTATTGAACGAGTAATGCAGATGGAAGAAGGACAAGACAGTGCGGGGTTCGAGTTAGGAGTCAAAACTATGGCGGATATTTCGCATGATAGGCGAATAACAAGAGCACATTGGGGTCCTGTCAATGGACTTTTTGGGACGCTGGGCTCCCAGATAGAGGTAGTGTATGACTTTTGTTCTTCAGCAAAGAGACAGCCTGTTCGTGAGACCATTATACTGTAATAAGAGTCTGACCACAGCCTCTTCGATTTTTACTAGTACACATATTCTGTCAGTGCGGCGGCTTTTGTTGTCCTCAACCAATAGGAGTCTATCCGAAGTCTTATTACGTCAGCATTTGGTCGTGTCGGAGTTACAAAGGAAGCGAGACTCCCTTCTAAAATTCGAAAATAATTCCTTGTATCCTAGCTAATCTTCACTGTCAACATCATCATTCTCGTCTGCGCAATCCCCAGCCAATTGTCTATCGGGCTGTTCTCATTAATATCATCATTTCCCTTACCTGTTTATGTTGTGTCACGTCAATAATAACGGATTGATCCGAATGCACAGCATTGAATTCTATTACTCTACAACTAGCCTACGCAGCATGGGTACGGAATAGGCATGTTTATAATCACATCTAATTACCTTACAATTCGGACCGCTGAGTTACATTGAGTCGGGCTTCCTAGCATAAGCAGACTAAACTGACCAACTGCGTTTGGCTGTATATACCACTTATTCTTACCTACAGAAACGTAGCCTGCTTCTACGAACAGTTCGGTCGCAACAATGAGACCTAATGCATTTCTCATGCGACACACTTATTTTAGGGCTAAAATGCGCAGCCATCGTCGTCATTTCTTGCAGGCATCAATAACTATCCATGGTGTGGGATGATCAGCTGTTCGCTAGATGGCGAAAATATTATATATTTAATACGCCATTGAGCATGATATTTTTTCACGGTCGACTCTCGACATCTATTAGGTCGGGCTACGCGGATTGTGGTAGGCATCTGCCATATTCAATTTTTTTTCTTCGGAACCTCCTAGCTTCTGAATAACTGTGACTACCATGGCGGCCTCGCAGTTATATAAAGAGGCACTTGTCAGATTCCGCACCGAGGCACATGAGAACTATGACGATAAGAAGGATCAGAAGTCTCTTTTGGAGTTTCTGTCGGAGAGCTGGAAATCAGCAAGCCCAGAAGACGCCATCGAGGAGGCCAACAATCTTGGAGACCGAATCAATGAGAAGCGCGGAGACCGGAAAATCGGGAGTATAAAGATCCCAGGGGCTTGGGTTAAAAATATCCTCGAAAGTGTCGGCACCTTCGTCCAGATCGGGAATTATGCCATGACGGGGGCCCCGGAAAGTGTCGGGTTGGTTTGGTTCGCCGTTAAACTCACGCTCACTGCTATCCAGAGCAACTATGAACTATATGCTCTCTTCGGTTCGGGGCTTACCGATACCACGGACCTCATGATTATCATCACTCAATATGATCGCTTATACGATCAGAGGTCGAACCCGGACTGGAAGCCGAATCCCTTAATTGAGAAGCTCTTTGAAGACATTATTGTCGCCTATTTGAGCGTTTTACGTTTTGCTTTCGCGGTCAAGCAACACTTAGGGGGTGGGGCTCGTGCACGCCTCGCTCATGGCATCAAGGACTTCCTTGGAACGTCCAAGTCGAAGTTCCAGGGGATGCTAAGCGATATGGCAAGGGCCAAGAAGAGTGTTCTTGAGGGTACTCAAGCGGCATTCCAAAAGAGGCTATTCAGCGAGATAAGTTCGGTGCAAGGGATAGTCAATGACGTTAAAAAGTCAATGATTGACATCTGCGAATTTCAATCAATTGCAGAAGAATGGCATAAAGAAGTACTTGGGCAAGTTGGAGCCTTAATGCGGTCACTCGATGATCTCAAATCCAGCATCAAACAGAAAGGCCCGCGGGAATCTGCGATATGCGAGTTTGAGAAGAACCGCAAGAAGCTCAACCCTCTTCCGGAGCTCAATGGTCCTTCCAGAATACTCATCCGACAGAGATTCCAAGGTACGTGCGAATGGGTAATGAGCGAATCAGCATATAGTGAATGGATTCGGTCGAAATCAAATGGCCTATTGTGCATTACGGGTGGTCCAGGTGAGCTCATAGTGTCCCAAATTTCAATCCGATACTTAATTCTAACCACGCCCTTAGGAACCGGAAAGTCGACTTTGCTTTCATTCGTATACGATCAATTGACCACCAAAACAAGCGGTGCTGACGATTGTACACTCTTTTACTATTTCTCCTGTAGCCCCGCCGGGCCTGCGGGTATCACCCAGCAGCGTCCTGTTACAGCATCAAGGATCTGCAACACTCTGTTATATCAACTGTACTGCTTAGCTACAGAAGATGAAAACGATGTTGACCTCTTAAAAGAGTGCAATAAAATATTTGTGAACCCGAAGGGTGGTAGGGCGAACAGCAACAAGAACAAGATTTCAAATGCGAATAACCTTATCAACCGAGAGCAGGGCGAATACCTCCCGGACTTTAGCATCGCTTTCCCCAAGCTTACAGCTTTGCTCCAAAGAAGGGTTTTCATAGTGCTAGATGCGATAGAACGTCTATCTTTAGACGATCAACAAGAACTCGCAAGAAGCATCAATTCTCTTTTGATCACACCAAGCCTACCCTCCGAGACAGATATACATGTGCTTGTAGGGTGTGGAGAGAAAGATAGCTTCTACAGAGAGGTTAAGCTAACGTCAACGCCGCCTCGTCATGTTGATATTGAGTCGAATATCCAACACGACATAGATCTGAAACTATCATCAGCACTTCGGGAGGTGCCCGGTTTAACCGAGACCGAGCAGAATATAGCTAAAGAAGCGATTTTGAAAAAGTCGAGCTCTTGTTTTAGTTATATTGTTGACATCGCTATCCCTTTTATGCGCGAACCTTTCCAACGCCCACTTGCTAATCGTTTAGCGGTCCTACCCGAAGGTGTAAACCATACGTATGAGGAAGCACTTCACAGCATGGGGGCAAACTACGTTGAGCTGCTTCGATTAGCACTCCAGTGGACACTACTGTCGCGCGCTTCACCTACTGTGGAGGAAATTATGGATGCTTTCTATGGGACTTATACGACGAGCTCGGAGGGCTTAGAGGCCGATTCTAGTTCTAAGGAGCGATCGGAGTTCCCCTTTGCCTCTGAGATATCAAAAAGTCAACTCGATCAAGCAAGAGTGCCGTTCCTTCACTTAGATCTGAATAGAAATACAGTTAGCTATGTTTCTCTGCAAGATCCAGATCAGGTCAGGGGGTTTTGCATGCCATCCACCGCCGCTAAACACGAGACCATGAATGATCCTGAGCTCTGTAAGCGATGCACGTCGAAGCTTTCCATCTCTAAGCAAGTTATTATATCGGAGAAGCAAGGTCACCTTGATATTGCCATAACTTGCCTTCGGAGCCTGAACAACCCCCTCTTCCAAAAACGGGCGGGCTTATTACCAAAGATAGCAGCCGAGCCCTGTAGTGTTGACAAGGATCCTGCGCCCGAAGAGAAGAGTAATGCGGAACAGAAACCCGTCCAAGACAAGGAGAATGGAGAGTCGGCCAGCGGAGATCAAGATAAATTACCTAGCGAGGTCAAGACTGAAACAACGAAGTCGGCGTCTACGAACACTGATGAAACCAATCAAGTGTCTAACAATGACGATGACGACGGCGAAATTTTAGACGACGAAGATCAAGAAGTTGAGAAAGTCTCACCATACGCTGATGTTACTAGCGACGACGTCCAGGAGGGTAATGGTAGGGATGGATCTACTCGATACGAAGTCCTTTTTTGGGCCCATCATGTTCGTGTGGCGGAAAAGCTATGGACAACTGTCGAAAGGTCTACCAGTGAGCCTTGGGCAGAATTAATGCGGGAGATGATTCGATTCGTCAATAACACAGAGGTTTTCAACATATGGGGAAGTATATATGCCAGTAATGAACTCACTCGGGGGACGTATATGGACATTCCGCGCCTGCCTCTATTTGCTGCAGCTTACCTGGGGCTAACTTGCTTAGCCGATTATCTTCTCGATCATGGCGCAGAACAAACCGATAAAAATGTGAAGCACAATGCCTTACAAGCTGCCGCCCAAGCTAACGGCAACGTCGAAATGCTGAAACTTCTCCTGAGGCGAGGTGGAGGCTCGACTATCAATTCTTACTCGACAAGCTCAATACCTGCGTTTTACACGTGGCTCGAATTATCTGAATATTCAAGCTTGGAGATCGTTCAACTGATGCTTGACCATGGCGCAAACCCCTCAATACGCGACAGGTTCAAATGTAATGCCTTGCATTATTTTGCTTCGTCTGGAGACGACCCCAAAGTCCTCGAGCTTTTACTACACCAAGGTGGCCCGGACAATAAGGTGGACATTAACGCCAAAGATATTGATGGAAACACACCCCTCCACTTCCTCATATGCCGAAAACATGTGATTTTACCGTTACTAAAGGCCTTTATCGAGCATGGCGCCGACGTAAATATAGACAATAACGCCTCAACTCAGCCTCTCCAAATGGCTAGCATCTGGGGAGAAGTTGAATGCATGAAGATCATTATTCCAAAGGTCGACAACATAGATGATGACGACAAGGACGGCGAGAGCGCCCTGATTCAAGCGGTGGTGTATGGGCGTGCCGACTCTGTAAAACTGTTAGCCGAGAGTGGTGCCAATCCTAACCTAGAGAATCGCCACGGTCGCATTGCTCTTCAGTATGCAGCACGGTACGGCTACAATGAGTCTTTACAATGTCTACTCGATCATAAAGCCGATATCACCCATTTAGACAAACACGGAAGGTCCCCATTATTCTATGCCTGCCTTGGCACGTCTCCGGAGTCGGCAAATCTAGTCCTTGGTATCTTACTAAAGAGGAAGATACCTATGTCTAAAATCAACGCCTCGACAATTCGAATGAGAACGCCTCTTCGCCAAGCGGCATCTCGCGGGCTTGATGAAGTGGTTGAGAAGCTGATAAAAGCCGCGCAAGCAGAAGAGGATCCCGCCAGTCTCGCTATAGACCTACAAGATGCCAGGAAGGGTATGACAGCTTTACATCGCGCGGCTTTGAATGGCCACAAGGGCTGCATCCAACTATTACTCGAGGCAAATGCCAATTCTAAGATAAAAGACAAGAATAACAAAACAGCATTAATATTAGCGTATGAAAAATGGGCGCTAGTATACAATCCTACGAACCCCGATCAGTCGTCGTTTGAGGATATCATCTCCGTCTTAATCGAAAAAGACCAACAAGCCGCTAAAGATGATCCTGATCTCCTATCCGTTTGTGCGATAAATGGTAGCCTAAGACTAGCTAAACAGCTGCGCAGTCTTGGCGCGAACCTCAACCGCCAGGATAAGTACGGATGGACACCACTTGACCTTGCTCAGAAGTACAGACAACGGGGGATCGAAATATTCCTCCGCGAGCAAGCGAGCATATCGACGCCGCGCTGGAGTATGCCCGTACCAGATAGTGATACCAGTATATCGGAGGATGGGTTGACTATCACACATACGTCTTCCAAAAGAACCTGTATCTCGACCAACCGGCCTCTGCCAGCTGGTCTAGAGAAATTCTACTTCGAGGTTACTAGTAAGCCACTAGAAGGGGTAAACCAAGTCGAGTACCCAGAGGTCGCCGTAGGTTTCGCTACCTTTGACGCCTCAACTATCAGATTCCCCGGCTGGCCACCTTGGAAGGACGCACCGTTCGTGAAGTCTTGGGCTTATCACGGCGACGACGGCGCAATGTACGCATACACCAACTGGATTTCAGCGGCGCAAGATGATAACCTCCGATACGGTCCAAGAGACACAATTGGGTGCGGTGTTGATCTAACAAACCATACTATCTGGTTTACTCGAAACGGAGTGAAATTGGAGCATACATTCTCTGGTGTACAAGGCCGCTTATTTCCCGTGATAGGCTTTTCGGCCGCAGCTTCGATGGAGGCGAAATTCAACAGTCCCTTCATGTGGAAAGGGGTCGACGGGACTGAGCCGGTGGCCTGAAGAATGAAAGATATACTGAGATTCGAGGGAATTTGTTTCGCATTACCATTTCATAACCTAGTTTACCATCCCACACAATCCAATATCTCCAAAGCAACCACATCATTACTTCACATTAAATTTTTAAATCGGACAACTAACGACGTAAACCCTCTCATTCACCTAACTAGCACATTTATCTGCGTATCTCAAGCCATGTCCAAATTTAAACACCGGGTCCCTCGTATCAAATGGCACATCCTCCATATTCGTTTCCACCGCTGCATTCGAGCGAGGTAGATCATACGGTAACTTACCCTCCGGCTCAGCGAGCCCAAGAATCACGTCTAGAAACGCTTCGGAGCTACTTCCGAAACTAGCCAGCATAGCCTTGGCGTTTTCGGCTACTTCCGGCACTGCAGCCGGTCGGTCCAGCATCATATCCACAATCGTCGGCACCGACTCGTAGATATCAGCTTGTCGATTCCTCTCATCGGCCGAGAACTCGAGGGAACCGGCGTGGAAATTTGCTTCGAAGCCTCCAGGGCGCGGTTCGTAGGGGGCTGCGAGGCGGAGAAGAGCGTAATCGGCATCTTCCGGTTTGGTGACCACAGTTAAGTTGCGGTTTTGGAGGAACGTCGCGTTGAACCCCTCAATGTAGAACTTCGTCTCCGACCCGATGTTTCGGAGTGGTAGGATGTCGTCTTTGTTGGTCAAGAGCGTGTACGCGCGACGCTGTGCTTCATTGCCTAGACGCACGAAGTAGTCGTTCCCGACGATCCGCGAAGCCGCATCTGGGTCTACGAAAGGATTATCGAAAAGCCCTAGAACGAATTTCTCGCGGAGAAGTTTCCGGATTGAGGTGTCGAGTCGGTCTTCGCTTACTTTGCCCTCTTTGACGAGCTGGATAATAAGCTCAGGTCGTGTTTCGCCGCCGAATTGGTCGCATCCGGCTTCGAGGATGCGAGTTGCTCGCTCAAGCTCGGTTAGAGTCTCGACGCCCCATGCGCGAGCTGGCATGTATTGTCCCGCGATTTCGGTGTCGGTGATTAGACCCCAGTCGGTAACCACGATGCCTTCGAATCCGAGTTCGTTGCGCAGGAGGTCTGTGACAATGCCCTTGTTGAACGAGAACCCCACTGGTTCAAATTGAGTACCAATTGGACGGCTGTAGTAGGGCATTATCTGTCGAGCACCCGCTGCAATTGCTGCTTTGAAAGTGATAAGATGGTAGTCTAGATTGTTTCCTGGGTAGGTCTCATTCTTCCCGTAGACAAAATGAGAGTCTTCGCCATTTTCCATCGGACCTCCTCCGGGGAAATGCTTCGTCACGGTGCTTACGGAGTAAGGACCTAGTTTATCTCCTTGAAAACCTTTGATGTACGCCGTGATGAGTTCCGCCGTTAAATGCGCGTCCTCACCGAAGGTACCGGAGATTCGAGCCCATCTCGGCTCTGTCGATACATCAACTTGCGGGTGTAACGCAGCGCGAAGACCTACAGCAAGGTATTCCTCACGCGCAATCTCAGCGAACTTCTTAACCAAGTCGGCGTCCCGAAGAGCTGCAAGTCCGAGTGTTTCGGGCCATTGCGAAAAGCGCCCCGCATTGAAACCAGTTCCCACGTTTTCCGTAAAATGATGTCGCGGATCCGACGACAAGGTTACAGGAATGCCTAGCCGTGTCTGTTGGGCCCGTTGTTGTACTCGATTATAGAATTCAGCTACCTGTCGCGCGTCGATTATATCACCGACAAGGTTAAAGTGTGTCAAAAGTTGATCGCCAATCATGAATTCGGTGCTATTCCGACGAGCGGCCTCGCTCCCTTCATCTAGCGTGCCGTTTGGACCCATATATAACATAGCATGGAACAATTGCCCAGCTTTCTCCTCTAGCGTCATACGTTGGATGAGGTCCTCGACTCTGTCATTGATACATAATGAAGGGTTCTTGTAAGCTGGGAGCGCTTCACTATCATTTGTCGCACGGGTGAGAAGCGATTGTCCGGTCCGGTGAAGTGCCCCGGAGCAGGTGCCACTCTGCAGCCATGTTGATAATGTCAACAAGGCAAGCAAACCACGACACGGTCTATTGAGTAAACCCATTATAATTGATGTTGTACTGATTCTATGAATGATAACTCCGACACGGGCCAGAAGAATCTCGTAACATCTGCCCCGGCCTCGGGATACCACGCTTATTTATCATGACATTGCTACTCTAGGATTTTACCCTATGTGAAAACAGGGATGAATGACGAATTGCGAGTGAAGACATCACGAAAAAGTCATAAGATCACCGCAACGGCTTTCCGATACTGGATTGAGTCTTTCGGCCCTTCCATCGGCCTATCCTATAGACACTATTTAGATCATTGTCTCGGCGCACGTGGTTGAGCCCCGGCTTTCGTTGCTCTCCAATATTTCATAGTTAATTCAGAGCTAGAAAATAAGCAATTCAAAAAGATATCTGCGGAGATAGTGGGGAATCAACGCGGAAGTCCCAATACGTCTTAACTCGTCGTAAAATACTACGGCTTGGCATGTTGAAAGGAGGCTTTAGCAAGGATGGTGAGGAGAAGGTCTATCCTACGGGAAACTGTTCGGTAAACCACTCTACATCGGCATAACCTTACCCGAAGTTAATACCTAGTATACTCGCTAGCTTTCCATCTTCGTGCTAGTTCTTATTGCTGTTGTGTGCCTTGGTGTGCTTATCAACAAGGAGGTCTTCGCAAAAAGACTCCATATTCCTATCGCGTTTGATAATGATGATGCACATTGATATTTCATCTACATACGGAGGTAAGTTAGAATACGACAAGGAAATAAATTGGTTTTTTATATTTGGTAAATCAGCTACACCAATTCCGTTTCCGTTTCAGCTTTTACAGGAGTTTTACTGAATGTTCCCAGCGTTTCCACCAATCGAATCAACCTGGCGCTGATTCCAAGCCCCGTTGTTGTCGCCATTTACGTTGACGAACGGTTGTCGCCAATCTCTATTGTTGCCAATAGATGGGCTGATCAATTGCTGCCACGGCTGATTGTAACCATTGATTGGATGCTGCATGTATCCGCCGTAGCTGCCATTCAATGCAGGGACAGGCTGCCCGCTCCAAGCCCCAATGGGAATCGTAGAGCTTTGCATATTGTTGCCAGGAGGGGGAATGGCCTGGGTGATGCCCCGTATACCGGCGCTGAAAGTATACTCAGTTCCTGGCGCGTTGGCGCTGGTGGGAGCTGCAGTTGGATTAATGAATCCTGGTAAACTGGAGGTATAAGGGGCTTGAGGGATCTGGTAGATGTTCTGTCCAATAGTGTTGATGGGAGGACTAACAGACTCTGGAAATCCGGGGATTTGTTCGAAACCGAAAGACGCGTTCATACCAATGGATTCTAATATATCCGGGGCTTGGTCGACGTTCTGCGCATCGATGAAGGGCACAGACATGTTATCAATACCCGATGAACCGGAGGCGTGAGGAGCCTGGGAGACCTGATCGACGCTCTGTGTATTGGCGCTAATAATAGGTGCGGTGCCAGTCCCCAAAGAACCAGAAGCTTTGTCAAAATCGAAGAACTCGTCTGGATTACCAGGCTCCGCGGCTCCGCGGCACCGGGGAGCTGGGGAGCTTGGTCGATGCCCTGCATTGGGGTGGCTGGGTGTAACTCGACAGTGCTGGACTCGGATGGAGCCGATAGACCACTCGTAGTTAGCATTGGCTCACGTCGGTCTCCTCCAACACCATCCACATCTGCTTCCACTCCTCCCTCTTCCTCGACCTTGATGACGTCCTCATTGTTGTGTTGCAGCCCGTCAATTCTCTTGCAGAGCATATCCAAGGCCATCTTATGCGTCTGGTGGGGGTGGCTGCCAGCTTGGCTATTGTTTATCATGCTCTTGACATGTCTTACGCAGTGGGACTTGTTGGTAAAGTGAAGGGGGCATCCCGCAACAGGACAGGGAAAATATGCCTTGGCTTCCTGGCGGCCTTTTTAGTACTCCTACTTGGGATAATCCTTTCTATGACCATAACTTACTACAAAATTCCCGAGCGTCTCTACGGAAGACGATAATTCCGATAATTTGACCCCATATTCCAACACTCGAGTCTCTAATCTCGCGATCGTACTATATATCGCCGCGAGTACCTGTCGCTGGGTCATTGTCCCGCTTCCGGCCGCGACGTCTGGTTCCATTTCCGCCCGGTTGGAAGTTCGTAGCAGTTGGCTTATAGATTTACCTAAAGCAGATGATTTTTGGCTCTATGGAAGGCTAGGTGGAAAACAAGTATTTGAAAAGAAGTGAATGGGAAGGAAATATTTGAAGAGAAATGAAAGGGAAGAAGGAAATATCTGAGAGAATAAATAGGGAAGAGAGAACATTGTTGTTGAGTCAAATTCTAATGGGAAGCTCTGAAGCGGCCGGATCTGTGCGGTCATCATGGTTGACCTTTTTGAGGGTCCTGAACTGCCATGTTACGATCTAGGATAGTTCGTGACAGTATGTGGCTTCGAGGTCGTATGTGTAGCTTCCCGGGGGTGTCCTGTTATTGGGATTGGTTCCCGAGAACTATTTTCTTGTATATGAAAGTTTCCGAAATTCAGACAACATACTAAGGTATTCTTTTTTGAATGGATAAAAAAGCGAAGTTGCTGCTTACATGCCAAGTAATGCATTAGAAGCGAGGGTTAACCATATATTTATCTGATCCATATGACATCATATGCAAGACGTGGCCCGGTACGGTACCGGCTCTGTGGCTCTGTATTGAAGCGGTTGGCCTTGTGTCACATCTCCATCCATTGAAAGTATTACGGCGGTCCAGTAAGTATTTCTTCCGAGGGCAAATCTAGATTGACCAAAGAAACCGGGGCCGACTGAGCTTGTTGTGGCTGAGTTTGGTTACAGTGCACCGAATCTTGACCCGGGATAAGTGCGTCGCTCATGATTGAAAGGCTCCAATGATTGCTGTACGTTATTACCTGGATCTCTGCCGAGCATCCGGAGTGCTTATATGCTCCTCCACAAGATCGTCGGCAGCTTAATATCCAAGAGTTGGGTAATATTACATCGCAAAATAGAAAGGGTCACGCACCTACCTTGGTTGATTTTAGGGGGACTACATAAGAAGAGAATATTCCCTTCGGATATCTCCGCCTATTGGTAATTATAGAGGGTATCACGTACTACATTAGGTAAGTATATACTCATTTTCTAAACCAAAATTCTTTAGTTATACGATATTTCTAACACAAAATAATGAAAATAATCAGCATCTCTTAGGAAAAGTAAAATGTCCGTAATTAATCAAAGATGTATCTAATATAACGAGATCGTCTCCCTACTGAGAGTAGCATTAAGGGGAAGATACATCTAAAATGTACCCGCTATACCCCAGATTTTGGAGGGGTCTTGCCCACGCTGCAGCGCACCTCCAGGCTCCGACACCGCAGCAGGGTTTTAGGTGGCGGGCCAATCAAATTAAAGGAATTTTCAATTCTTGCATCAATTTTTGAACTCTTTTTTTTTCTTTTTCCTTTTTCTTTCAATTGAATTTCGTCGCGTGCTCTTAGTCTTGCGATGCCAATTCTGAAGGATGAGGACAGCTAATACTCTGTGCCGTAGAGGCACAACTCTTCCAGTATGCTTTAATCCTACAAGACATACAATTCCATAACTAATAATTTGTAGGGGCTCTTAGCTCGAAGCCGCCTCCCTCGAACACGATCTTTTGCGACACCCTCCTTCGACAATTCGAACCCCCGAATACCACCATACCTCAAGCTAGTCAAGAACTACGAAAAGGTCAAAGAGGTGCTAGGAAAAGGCACTGCCCTTACTCTGGCAGAGAAGATCCTATACAGCCACCTTGACAATGTCGAAGAGTCACTCTTAACGAATACAAATGGCGGCCGCAACATTCGAGGAACGGCGAACCTCAAGCTCAAGCCAGATCGCGTGGCTATGCAAGACGCCTCAGCGCAAATGGCCCTTCTACAATTCATGACGTGCAATCTGCCCTCGACGGCAATCCCCGCTAGTATACATTGCGACCACTTAATTGTGGGTGAGCGCGGCGCGCAATCTGACTTGGAAACCGGTATCAAGATGAATCAGGAGGTTTTCGACTTTTTGGAATCTGCGGCTAAGAAATATGGAATCGAGTTTTGGCCCCCGGGTGCTGGTATTATTCACCAGAGCGTCTTGGAAAATTACGCTGCTCCGGGTTTGATGATGCTAGGAACAGACAGTCACACCCCCAACGCCGGAGGACTTTCGACTATCGCCATTGGTGTTGGTGGTGCTGACGCTGTCGAAGCTCTCGTCGGTGCGCCTTGGGAGTTGAAAGCCCCCAAGGTTCTGGGTGTAAAGTTGGTAGGCAAACTAAGCGGCTGGGCATCCCCTAAGGACATCATTCTTAACCTTGCAGGCCAACTAACAGTACGCGGTGGTACTGGCTTCATAATCGAGTACTTCGGTCCCGGCGTGCAGACTCTAAGTTGCACCGGCATGGCCACGACTACAAATATGGGAGCCGAGGTCGGCGCTACGACTTCCATCTTCCCCTTTAGTCCAGCTCACGTGCGATATTTGGAGGCAACACACCGACACGACGTAGCGGCGGAAGCGAAGAAGTTCTCAGACATCGTTCAGCTCAGAGCTGACGAGGGCGCGCAGTACGACGAGGTTATCACTATTGACCTGTCCTCATTAGAACCCCATGTCAACGGTCCTTTCACTCCGGATTTATCTACGCCCATTTCTCAGTTTAAGCAAACTGTGCAGGAACAAAACTGGCCCGATAAGCTATCTGCGGGATTAATCGGTAGCTGTACGAATAGTTCGTATGAAGATATGACACGTGTAGAAGGTATGGTTCGTGAAGCAATGGAGGCCGGCTTAAAGCCCGCATCTGATTTCTATATCACGCCCGGAAGTGACCAGATTAGAGAAACATTACGACGAGACGGACCTCTAGACACGTTCAAAGAAGCAGGTGGTACCCTACTATCAAACGCATGCGGTCCTTGCATTGGCCAATGGAAGCGACAGGATGGTGTTGAAAAGGGTACCCCTAACGCAATTTTCACCTCCTATAACCGAAACTTCCGCGGTCGTAATGATGGAAATCCCGACACTATGAATTTCCTCGCGTCGCCCGAAATAGTCACAGCCATGGCCTTTGCTGGCACAACGACTTTTAACCCGGTGACCGACTCACTTCCCACTCCATCCGGCAAGGAATTCCGATTTACCCCACCTTCCGGTCTCGAAATCCCATCTCAACCATTCGAAATTGCACGGGAAGAATTCCGTCCCTTGACACAAGCCCCCGATGCATCCGTAACCGTAGCTATCTCACCAACATCCGAACGTCTAGCCCTTCTCGAACCTTTCGACCCCTTCCCAGCTTCCGAACTCGAGGGTCTCCGCGTATTAGTCAAGGTCACCGGTAAATGCACAACAGATACCATCTCAGCAGCCGGTCCTTGGTTAAAGTACAAGGGCCATTTACCTAACATCAGCGCGAACACGCTTAACACCGCGATTAACGCTGAGACCGGCGAAGTCAACGTCGCGTACGACTTAGACGGATCTAAGCATACCATCCCCGAATTAGGACAGCGCTGGAGAGAAGCCGCACGACCATGGCTCGTGGTAGCGGAGCATAACTACGGCGAAGGAAGTGCGCGTGAACACGCTGCGCTCCAGCCCCGATATCTAGGTGCTAGGATTGTCCTTTCGAAGAGTTTCGCGCGTATCCACGAGACAAACCTCAAGAAACAGGGTGTAGTACCATTAACGTTTGCCGACGAAGCAGATTACGACAAGATTGCTGCTGGTGATGAGGTTTCTACTGTGGGTCTATATGAGATGTTACAGAACGGCGGCAAAGGCGAGGTAGCACTGAAGGTGAAGAAAAATAAGAGTGGGGAGGAGTTCTTGATTAAGACTAAGCATGCCGTAAGCAAGGACCAGGCGGGTTTCATTTTAGCAGGAAGTGCGTTAAACCTGCTGTCTAAACGGTGATCCCAAAGATTAGACGGAGATAGTCTAGGGATGAAGGGGGATTGAGGGACGGATGAGCAAATATTTATCGATACGATTTATGAAGGCAATGGTGTGTATAGCTTCATGTTTATACGACATATCTAGATAAAAGTTTGGTGGGAGGATATAAAAAAAATCAAGGGAGTTAAATACAATAAAAAGGAAAATAAATTACGATCTTAAACATAAACTTAAACTAAGGGTAATATAGGGGTAGCGTGTTACATAAGCATACCTACAGCACTTACAGTTAGGAAACTCCACGAGACGCATTACGGAAGGAGCGTCAGTGAATATAGTTATACCCAGAAGTCAAATATTTCCGTAGTATACCTACCCAGGTATATAAGAAGGATCGATCGTTCATTCCTTCCTACGTTTCTCACCACAATCAAATATTACGTTCGCCCTTTCCATGGCTACACCTGTTACTCAGCATGTGTGACCTATCCTCCTTCTTTACTAAGCTAGTTTGACAGTAGATTATGTAATAGTATTAAACGGAAAGGGGAGACATTGGTGATACTATAGGTACTTACGTAAGCGTGGAAATCTATACCAATCGATGAAAATGTATAGGAGTTAAATGTTGACTTGACTTGCTAGAAGGGAGGTTTGGGATAATACATAGTCGTTGAGAATATAAATACTACATCGTATAACGGGACAGTTTTACGATCAATTATATCTCTAGGCTGCTTACTTCATGGAATGGTTGCACCGTTTTTCAACAAATAGGCATTATGGGTTTTATTTCTTTCGTGACTCACTACGTTAATAGAAGTCTTCCTTCTAAGGCGCTCCATAGATGCAATGCAACGCAAATCTTCCCTTCCCGTGGTATAATGCATCAACAAATCTGCTAGTAGGCATACAGCAGCCAGGATCTGTATATACATGTCTAATGAGAATGTCTTCTCGCCTCTCTAAGCGAAGATGGTGAGCCGTACGGACCTAGCTGATAGAAATTCTAGCTCTCGTTCTTTAGGAGCTTCGAAAGAAACCCCCAATCAAAGTGAACTCCTGTCCCACTTTGTTCTCATTCCCATTCTCATCGACTGCAATTATCAATCCCTTTTTCTTCTGCTGGGGTTTCGCTCCTTGAACAGGACTCTCCTTCAACTTTTTACGCTCTTGCGCGTAATAGGGCTCTGCCATTTGGTCCAATTCGTCCAGAGCAGCCATCCATTCTGGATTATTCTTCACGCGTTCGGGCAAATCAACCCGAAGAGCAACCTCAGCTTCATCTCGCTTTCTCTTTGCCGCACGAGTTACAGCCTGGCCAAATTTATCCTTCCTGTTTCCTCGCGCGCAAATCTCGTCCTGCTTATCGCGGTGCCACTTCTCAGAACGAGCATGATTCCAGTGAATTCGCGGGTCGATATGTGCAAAATGTGTCGCTGGACGTGTTGGGCGCGGAGGTAGGAGGCTATCAGGCAAACCAAATAATGGAGAGCCAGGATGGAAGGGTTCATTCATTTTGCCATAGATATAAGAATCGAATTTGTCAGGGTCATGTTTTGCTATCAAGAGTCGACGTCTTTCCTCCAACCCCAAGCGCGTATGATTTGGGTCTCTTAGTATTGAGGCAAGTGTTGATTTCCCGGTCGGAATATCAGCTAGCTCTTTAGGCCGACTGGTTGTCTCGACATCTTTGTGCAAATTCATTGACGTATTTGTCGCTTCGAGAGTCGTTAGGTGGCCTTGCATTAACGAATTACGCACGGCCGTTTGAGCTTCGGGAGTATACGTAATCTGCGTAGTACACGGTTGATTTATGGGTGCGACAATTCGTTCTTCGGTGCCTAGTCGACTCGGTCGAGGCGACGGAGCATGTGGTCGGGCCGCTTGACTGCTGTTAGAGGCACTGCGAGTCTTTGGCGGTATTGAACCCTCGATTATCCCCCGTACTTGATCTAACGTCCGCGAACTCGACGCAGACCACGATTCATCACGCGCTCCAATACCAATTGAGGTATCTAGTCTTGGGGTGGGCCGAGTAATGCCAGGTGCTGGTGACGGGTGATTAGAAGTAGAAATAGGTCCCTTATCCATTTTCGCGAAGCTCAAATTTGTGGAAGGCGACCTAACTCGTTCACTACTTTGACGCGGTATGTCGGCGGCGGGCTTCCGAGCGCGCGACTTGGGAATGCGGGGGGCCCTGTTTTCGCGTTCGTCAAGCCCGATCTGTGACGGAAGGGGACCCTGTGGCTTTCTCGGATGAAGTGGCATCCCAGCGGGCCTAGGCGCGATATCTAAATGGGGCTTCTTTGGGATGTGGCGGGTCGATGAGTTCAAGCCGATCTTAGGAATAGGATGTTGCCCATTTCGAACTAAGGGATCCACTTGGCCGGCGGGTAAGTTTCTTGCTTGACCAGATTGCGTCTGCAATTCAATTGATCCTGCTCCCTCACGTCGCATCTCGGAAACCATTCGGGTCGCGTTTAGCGCGTTTAGATGAGCTTCTGCGACACGACTTGGTTGATTGATTCTATCGCTCTCTATGCTAGGGCTCAAAGTTTCCTGGCTTTTTCTAGGGGGCTCAGCTCGATTATCGTCGTCGCTCATGGTAAGATCTATAATACCATTGGTTGGAAATATTGGTTTCTTGGCGATAATAGGAGCTTGTTCTTTACGTAGCAGATCGTCTCGCGGAGATCTCGGTGCAGGAATGCCATGTGTTCCCTGTATATTTATTCGGGGCATCGTTTCTAGCGAAGCTGAATTTTCTTTCTTTGGACGAAGAGCAAAGTCAGACGGACCCGCAGGTTCAAGATTGAGTTCCTCGGTAGTCCCCGCAAAGGGAACCGGGGATATGTGGGGCCTGGCCCCGGTGGAAGGAACATGTTGCCGGACCGCTCGCACCTGTACTCTATTCTCATCACTAGATAATCGTGGCCTCTTTAATAATCTTTCATCCGGCATAGAAGTATTCCCAATGGAGTCGCGACCCAAGGGTGGGTTGATATCAGTATAACGAGATGCTGTAGGGCTTTGCTTGGACTTGGAAGATGTACCGCTGGTGGTCTTCCGAGCCACCCCCTTGCTGGGAAGCTGTCGCTTCTCAGCTGAAGGATTCGGCGGTGCGAGAGGTGGTTTAACGGTGATAGCATCACCTAATTTCTCATCATTGGTGGTCATTTCTGCCAAATTGCCGTTGAGCAAAGATGAGTTTTGTTGGGGATATCGACAATTATTGGGATGGCGTTGACCAGAAGCTGAAGGAGGCGCTGTAATTTTTGTAAGCTTAGATAAGACTTTGCCTTGCGTGTGTTTTGCACAGTAGGGTGCTTTAATTAAAATTGTTGCTTCGCATTCTCCGAATTGGCATTTATCTAGAATGCCATGGTCAGGATCCATGATTTGAAAAATGCGCGTATTCCCACAAAAACAGTCACATGCCGCCAAAGGATGAAAATCCAAAGGAAGGAAGTTTGGTCGGAACCCAAAATATGGGCAGCCGCGAAGGCTGATGGAAATGCTGATGAGATTTTTGGGTCCGCTCCTTATACGATCGTCTGAGCCGTGTCATTTTAGCCAAGTTTGCCTCTTGCAAAGGAGACAATTTCAGCAAATACACTGCAAACTACCTATTACAGGAAGTTAATATTAAAGTATGACCTAGCTATCTTTTTTTTTTTTTTAAAAAAAAAAAAAAAAAAAAAAAAAGCAAGTGAGTATAGGGAACGCGCAAGATTAGATAAGTCAAATAGACGGTTAAAAAAATAAGGAATAGAAAAATAACAACGAAGAAAATTAGTAATTTAATAGTAAGTGGCACTTACTGAAACAACCAAGTAAGATCGGCAAGAAATGTTGGACCGACAACGCCGGTGGATTAAATAAGATAAATAGAGGGAGAATAGGCGTTATGTTGGATGAGAATACCGTCTAATCAAACTTGTAACTTGTTTGACTATTGCGGCGCCTTTTCTGAGAGATGCCAAGTTCCAGTATATACTCCTGCTTATATATGCGGCAGAAAAAAGAAGGAATATTATGTCCTATAGGAAATATTAGACAGGCGAAAAATGAGTAGTACCAATTGATAATGATATGGTTAAGTAATAGAATAACAACAATAGGCTGGTCTCAGATCTTTTCAGTCTTTTTTTATTTCGAGTCATCAACCTGCAGGACGCAGCGGCTTCGAATTCTCGAACCTCGCCTAAGATTTTTCCCAGGCGCCAGTTGGCGTCTGGTATTCGCCGCAGCCTTTGGCCCTGCCTTATAGTGGAAATGCAAGGCTGGGCTCCTTGTATAGCGGAAAATGCAGTGCTAGCCTGCAATTTGCTTTGCCCTCTTCCCAAATTGTCAGACTGGCCAATGATTGAAGAGTGGCGAGACCAACATTCGAATTTGGTGGCGCTTGAGGACGCGTTTTCAAATAGATAACATGGCTGAAATTAAGGCGGGTTGTATAGAATCCAGAACCGGAAGTTCCATAAACGCAGTCCGCCCTTTTACCAGTTTCGCTCATCATAGACCAGCCTTGCCACAAAAATGAATAAATAAGAAGAAATTAAGAGTCGTAGGAGATAATTCGAACGAGATGTCGAAATTAACATACCGACAATGAATCGACGCTCTCGCAAGTTCCGACCCAGCGCAGCTTCAATCCTCCTGCTTCGTCATCATCCGGGGATGAATTTAGTGGATAGGACCAAATAGGCGCCGAAATAAAACCAAGTCGCGCTGATCAGGATTACAAAATGCGCAAAATACAGGATCGCTCCACAGAATTTATCAAGCTATTTCCATCTCGGCATAAGAAAAAGTCTCACAGGGTCTGTGATTTGACACGAGAATCATCCAGAAACGAGGGGCGGCGTCAGTGAGATAGTTGATTTGAGAAAGTTGAACTTGTTGGAAACGAAGCAGCAGCAGGTAAATGCTAAAGTAAATTGATGAGAGCTAGCGTCAATGATAAATGGCATGGTCCGTGCATCTCTGATCTTGATATATGGGGGCCGGCTCGGATGATTATTTAAACGAGTGGCACTTCTTTCCTATTTAATCATCCTGTGACCATGGGGCTTATTGCCTTATCTATAGACAATGGGTATGACTTCATTAGTCCACTCTTAAAATTATGAAAAAAAATGATGGAAAGGATTACCTTAATGTTGTTATAGAGGAAGGCGCTATATAGATAAGCAGATAAAAAAAAAAAAAAAACAGTTCCGAGCCCGACTCGGACAAAAGAAACGTAGGATTCAGCTACCGTCCGAAACTGATATAATCAATCATCCGCTACCAATGACCAACCACCGCAAATTTTCGTATTTATATTTGAACCGGTTACTTTCTTGTATAACATAGAAGGGCTTGGCGTTTCCCACGTCATTGAAATATGTACGTTTCGCTTCATTCTTGGGACAACCTTGCGAGTATTAAATAGGTACCTCGAGTGTTTTCATTTACTATATAATAGCGCAGTAGAAAGCATACCTGCAGTCGAGGTAGCTATGTGTACTTCAGCTCCAGTATATCGACTATGTGGCTGTCCCCGCATCCAATAATTCTAATCCTCGAAGAATCCGTGAATGTATGTTGGTTGACATATTTTATAGTCTGAGAATCAATAACCAATCATCTCGTAATACTACGTAGTATTTAATAGTTACACTGAGCGCTTAATTAAATGTGTTATGACAATCTTATAATTTCTAATCTCTCGTATTGTCCTTCCCAATGGTTCAAATCATATGGAAATGTATGTATAAAAAGACCTTTATTTAACTAGGTGATACCCCGGCGTTGTGTTAGATGTCCGGTTACACAAAGAACCATCTTAGTGCTTACGCATAATTCAAGTCTATCTCCTAAATCTTCCGTTTTTGCGACGGAAATCACCTTTTATACATGTAATTTTATTGTGACCATCTTATTCCATGGACCAGACATTATCTCGCTTGAGTTTATCCACGTCCCAAAGTGATGTGTCAGTTATGTATATGTAGCAAAACCTACTTTAGGCAATGATTTACAACTATTATTTTGGAGTTCATGTTACACAGGTCACCCTTAGGTCTGTGGGCGTATTAGGGAACCATACATCCGTATTTTCGAAAGCGCGCAAAATCTTCGGTTTATCCCCAGCGTTACTAATGCTATACGAAAGCTGTTTACACTAGACATCACTAACTAGGAATACTCTCTTCCAATAATTGTTTATTTTGAATACGGGTTGTTGCAATATATATTTTTTTGATGTGGGATGCTAAGAAAAAGCAATTCGCATACGTTTCCCTGATGGATGGAAAATCTTCATGCACAAGAAACCGGTTATCAAGTGAGACATTGTTTAGTATATTGGGGGGGACTGAGGTGTAACTAACTGTAGGAAGTCCTGTGTTGTATATGTTGTACGCACAGTCTGGTTGCATAGACTTTATATACGATTGCGGATTGAAGTAGACGGCAACTCAACAACCAAACCACTATATACAAGACACTTAGTTTTGAAGTTCATACAACTGACTAACGGCGCCTAATCCATCTTTTGAATACAAAGCCAGGAAGTGCGTAGCATCGCGATTAAACACCCCTGGCCAATGCGAAGCGGCCTCCCCAGTGACCACACTTCCCGACCAAGTCTTTGCGCCATCTATACTCGTTACGACTTTCATCTGCGCGCCGTCGTATCCATTCGTCCCGTCAGCATCTTCGTTGGTCATGAAACTAGCTACGAGTGTACCCCAAACGTTGTACACTTGTGGCGCGCCCGCTAGCTTGCCGTTGCGAGCCGTATATAAGCGGTTGCGTTCTCCCCATGAGAGACCGTCATCGTGGGATAATACGTAGTCTACGGAGAAGGGACTGTTTTCCGTATTCTCGAAGACGGCACTGTATAGAATATTAGTATCGCAGGTGGCGAGCGTCGCTAACAGTAGATTCGGGGTTTATGACTCGACTGACATCAAGTTTCCATTATTATCAATAGGCGCAACACCAACCATACCATCTCGGGATGTCCGATCACCTCCCGAGACGGCGATCCAATTAGACCAGGTTGAACCACCATCTGTAGAGCGCTTCATGAAGTTATCTTGGTCGCCGGAGTTGTTTTCGGCGGAGTAATAGCACTGCAATGAACCGTCCCTCGCGATACGTAGGAAGGGTTCCCATAGACCATTAACACCAGATGGGACATGTTCCTCGACGGTAGATAGGTACTTAAAAGTCTTGCCGCCGTCATCCGAGTAAGAAATAGAAATGCGGAAGTAGGTATAATGCCAATCATCACCCGCACGGTCATGATTCCGGTATGCATATAAGATACGGCCGTTCGGTAATTGAAGAGGAAACGCATTATTGATATCATGTGTCGCAAGTTCACCCCGGAACACTTCGCCGAGGTACTGCCATGACTGGCCGCCGTTGGTCGATTTGACGCAGGACGTTTTGTGTTCCATCCCTGGCGACGTAGCCGCCGATCAGGTTACCATCGTTCATAAAGCTAACCCTAACATATTCGGAATTGGTGTCGATCACTACCGGTTCACCGGCTTTGACCACGCGGCCCGGAGGACGCTTTTCAAGGGATGCCGGAGCTGCGGATATTAATCCGACGGCGGCAAGAGCCGGAAGAAAATGTCTTAAGAACATAGTAATTAGAGCGGCTAGCTTTCAGAAGAGAAGCAGATTGCGACACTGGTCAAATACATATTCTGACTTGAACTTCATGAAAATATATATTATAAGCGTGAATTTAGTCTCAAGTATTGCGCTGCACTGCCGTAACATTGGATAAGCGACTATGGTTAGAAAAGCCACTACACAACCCTTGTCCTCTAACTCCAAGGACCCTTCATGACCGAAACGAAGCTATCACGAGGTTGCCGTTAGCTGACGGGAGGATATGCAAGGCCCTATTGTCAAGGAGAACTATCCAGTTTCGGCGAAATAGTGCCATGGGCAGGGTAAAAACTGAGCAGTATAGTCTATATAATCCTGTTATGGTGCTAAAAGGAGCGCCAACCGTACTAAGGCCAAGTTCGACTTGTTTTAACAGGGCAATTGAGCTTCTTATTTGAGAAGGTGGTTTTGCTGGCTAGACTCTGAGCAGCCAACCACTAAGCCTGCGCCAATTCCGAGAGCCGCGGTTCGTGCCATTACATTCAGTCCCAAGTTTATCTCATCAATGCTTACCTTCAATATAAAGCCAATGCTATAGAGTTAGTAAATTCTTGATGGTATTTTAAAACTTGGAGCTCCTTCGCGTGTTCCGAACGATTTGCGAATGGGCGAATGATGGAACGTTCCAATGAATCGCTGGCAAGGCTTGAGGGGTATTTCGCCCTAAAAAACATGTTTCATAAGCCCCTCCAGCCTACTCCAAGCCACCTAAAAGCGACGTGACATCAAATCCGGGTTTGTTGTTTATGAGCATAGAGTTGCGAAGATTGCGAAGATTGCGAAGCATGGGAATGATTAATATTTATACCAATAGCTCTTTTCTAGAGCACGCTCATGATATTAGTAGGTAAGGCGAAATAATAATATTCTTTCGCAATAGGCAAGTCCAGATAGACTGTTTAGAGCTAGACCTCGGTTTAGCTTCACATTAGTTGATCCCAATTCGAAAATATGAGCAGGATCTCACAGGAAGGCGAAAAAAGGGAAGAAATGGACAACAAGACAGCAGATGGAGGTAGAGTCAAATAATATAGTTCCGTCGCACTTATGTCCTGTCAAACGTTAATTTGAAGTAGGCAAAGCAAAGACAAAAATTGAAATTAGATTGACAATAAGCTTGGAAGCTTATTGAAATGAGAGGGAACCAAATTGAAAATCACGTGCACCAATCCAGAGCCATCCAATTCCACTGACCCATCACTCCACCTTATATACCTAGGTACCTAAAATATTTTCGTACGGGCCAATAATTCACCCATTCAGCCATTTTTTTCTACGCTATCGGCGGATTCCGATCACACCACCGGACGGTCGCATCGTACCACGCAGCAGGCCAGAATGCCATAAGCAGACACTTTACAACCTGACATTGTACTATCATTATTATCATTACAGCCTCTCATCTCCGGTCCCTTTTCGCCCTTTCCCATACGGGCACTTTCTAGCCTGCCACGGGTAGCCGCATGGCGTGACACGAACGCTGTATACGGGGAGCACGACAGGTGTCATCTCTAATTAACATGAGGAAAAACCACAAGTAAGGTACCTAACGTTGCCTAGATTGGATAATGCAGTACAGCATGCCGCCTACCGCTGTCAAATCCGCGCCTCTGGGTCTCGCCGTTTAGCTTGGTCGGATCGAGCCTCAACCTTGTGTGTCGTATGTTGCGTACCCTCTAGAACCCTCCTTGTGAGGCGATCACGGATCAAGGGCGAGGGAATATTGGGGAGCGAGATGACGCTTAGGTATTCCCGTGATGATGATTATCTGGTTGTCTTCCTAGTATAAGAGAACCCATAAGCTGCGCATTCTAGGATGGAAGAAAATATTCTTGTATCACAGCAACATAGACATCTTCACTCATCTTATATATTCTCATATATACTATATATACATATATACATTTGTATATACCAATCTCCTCTCTACGTGTTCGAATAGAGCAATAGATCTCACCACTCTTCACGACAACAATCTCATCTCAACTCGGAAAAGTTTATACTTCGGCATCTGTCTTATTATACACTAAACAATTAAAAATGTCGGCCGCCATCGCTTCCCGAGCTCAAGCACCCCTCTCCACCATCATGAGGCAAGCCGTCAAGAGCTTCCGCCAATCCGCCAGGATCGTCGAAGGTCCAACTGAAGCTCTTCCTTCCGCCGGTCCGTCCCAACGTGGTGACTGGGGTCGCATCTTCCGTGCTCGTGCCGGAGTTGCTGCTGTGTAAGTCATCCCTTGCAACCCTCATAGCCTCCTTAGGTAGGAGTAATACTGACTCGTGGTGTAATAGTTACTTCCCAGCTCTCGGTGGTTTCCTCTCATGGCCCTTAATCAGCAAGTCCGTCCTCGACGGACACATGGGACAATTTTAATTCGACTTTGTGTTATTATCACCACGATTATATATATCACATGGACGATACATATACCAACAAAAACATACATTACGACGACGACTAAATACATTCACATCTGTACATAGAATCCCCCGCATCTACAGCACTACATAATCTGAACAGGGGCGTTTTCGGTTGACCAGGAAAAAGAAAAACCTGGTGGTTACATCATGACATAAGGGGCGTTCCGGTTTAATATCTCATCAATTCCAAATTGGAGAAGCAAATGGAAAGAAGAGGGAAATGATTTATCTAGAGTCGTACAGCATCATCATCAGTGCAGTACAACACCATCGATCGATCGACTAGCCACTTCAATTCAATAATATTTCCATTTGTTCATACCTATCTCATATCTTTATACGCTCATGCTAAGATATAACAGTCCCGGTAGCCGCGTGAGCAGCAGTAGAAATAGTATCAGTTCCATCATTTTCATATTCCAAGTACCCGAACCGAGCTTCCGGGACATGTAATTTCCTCGCTTCAGTCGTATCTTGCAAACCCGTGCGCCTCAGTACTTCGACAGTTCGCGCATAGTTATCCGCGGCGTATTTCTCAGCATCAAACCCAAGAAGCCATGCTTCGCGCCGTAACCTCATGCTCTCTGGGTTCTTCTTCGCGGCTTCGAAATCCGCTTTATGCCAGATGTCGCGTGTCTGCTCGCCCGTCTTTTGGGCGGACTTGACACGTTCGTATCGGATTGCTTCGAATGCAGCAACGGCTTCTTGGACTTTATCAGTACCCCCGCTTTCGCGCAGACACACTGCGATCGTTACACCGTCTTCCATAGCCTGCGACGCACCCTGAATTGACGTTGGTAGGAACGGATGCGCCGAGTCGCCAATTAACACAATTCGCCTACCCTTCGAGATCCACGCCGGCAACGGGTCGCGGTACACGAGTTTCCAATCAATTAACGGCGACGGCGTTTTATCCAGAATCTTCTGCACTATCGGATCCCAACCCTCGAGAACCTTACGCGCGTCTTCTAGCGGTGCCTCAAGCTGCCAGCTTTCTTCGATATCTGCCTCATCCTTATGCGTGCATACCCACGAAAAGTCCTTCCCCTTCTTCATGCACGCCGCGATGAAATGCACATCTGGACCGAGCCAGGCGACATGTTGATCACCGCCTTCAGTAAAGAATTTAGTATCGGGATCTTTGGCAATTTCGTCTGCGCTGAACCAACTACGGTACACGGCGTAACCGGAAGGCTTCGGTTGATCCTCGAATCCAAGCACGATCTTGCGACCTTTACTGCGCACGCCTTCAGCCGCGACAACAACGTCGGCAGTGATGCGCTCGCCGCTGTCGAGAACTACACCCGCTTCCTTATCGTCCTCGAAGTAATCCTCAACACGAGCGCCGAGGCGGATCTTAACTCCGATTTCCTTAGCATGGTTATAAACAATCTCATGGAACTCCCCACGATGACCATCAAACCGAGTACCGAATTCCTTATCCTCGCCTTCCCAGTATTGCGTGAATAGCGTTTCGCCTTTCCATGACTTAAGGGTAATTGCATCAGCTCGCATGCTAAGGGGTTCCAACTTCTCGGCAACACCCGGCCAGCGACAGAATAATCGCGACGAATTAGGTCCGAATGAGATTATATCGCCTAACAACTTAAGCTCCGGGAATTTCTCCAAAACTAATACATCGTGTCCCTTGCGATGACACTCGATAGCCGCTGTCAACCCCGCGAAGCCCGTGCCCACCACAATTACTTTGATGCCCGTTGGGACCAGTTTCTGGGAGTCGGCCATCTTTTCCGTTCGTTCTTTCGTTAATTCTTCTGTCCTACTCAATCTGGGTCTAGTATTCCTACTGTTCTTAAATCTCGGAACCTGCGGATGTATGTTCTTATCGTAACTCCCGCGTATGATGTTAACCTCGGGATTCCACCGAATAGCTGAGACGACACTACTCCAAAACTAAAGAAGTTGACGCGTTCACGTGGCGAACAAGCATCCAAGACGGGCGGCATATGTTTCTTGTATCACTTGGCTAGGTGTTCCGTAGTCGCGGGCGTGAGGCTATCCTTTTTCTGCCTTGACCCTAACCATATTAGAACCAATATTCCCCGCATCCAGACCAAGAGGGAGTGTCGGCAGTTGCGTCACGACGGTAGTCCCCATAGGATGGTAGGTGGTGAGATTAAATCATAAAGGATATTATCCCGTGGAGTTCGTGTAATTCCTTGTCAATAGCAACCAATCAAGAGCCGAATAAGGCATGATACTCGATATTCGGGTGGCCGAGTTCTTAGCCGGTATCAGTGGGGAAGATTTTGAAGATGTCTAGTACCCCATGGGACATACCCGTTTCCCCAAGTTTCAGAGGCGCGGAGTATTTTTTGATCAGGGCCAGATCAATGCGGAGTTACTGCCGATCTATGTTTGAATGGTGATGGAATGCCACGATGTTACCCTCTAATGCACCGGTGCACCGTCATTTGAAACCCCCTGTTTGTACTACCTAGGTAGGTGGCAGGCAACGCGAGGTGTAGTCAGGGTTTAGTCAGGATCGTTCTCCAACTATCATATGTCTATGTGTTTTAAAACCTAGTGCCCCCGGTACGCGTCGTTGAGGTTGATGTTAATTTTCCCGTGAAGCTGTAGACAACTTTTTCATTGTTCACGTTGAAGCGAGTCGCCACGATGCCTTGGGGAATTCTTGAGGATAAGCATATGGACCATGTCCCCGGCACGAGTACGGCTGATATCCTTGAAATAATTGAAACAATAGGAACAAGCTAATTAGGATTTCAGTAATACTTGCCGATCAGACTGACGTACCGGAAGAATATCGAAACATTTCTCGAGAACTACTCAAGCATGGTACAGGAAGATATTCCCACATCATATTGGCTCCTCAACCAACCGATTCACCGAACGATCCTTTGAACGTAAGTCTCAATTGCGAAGGAACTTGAGAATTGAGGACTCATGATACCTTAGTGGCCAACATGGAAGAAAGATGCTATCCTAGTAATCGTGGGATTATCAGCTGGTGTTGTGGGCGCGTATGGCCCAATGCTTTCTCCAGGATTCGTCGAAATCGCCGCAGCACTTGACATAACCGTCAATACACTATCACAAGCGACAGCCTGGGTCATTCTGCTGATTGGAATTTCTTTATTCGTATTCAATCCGTTGGCGAAGAAGATTGGACGGCGCCCAGTATATGTGATGTCAAGTATCATATTATTGACCGGAAGCATATGGGGTTCAGTTGCGAAGAACTATTCCAGTTTCTTGGGCAGCAGAATATGGAGTGGTTTCGGCATGGCTCCATATGAAGTCCTCGTCCAGTGTACGATAGCCGACATTTACTATGTCCACCAACGTGCTACTAGGATTGCTATCTGGAACATGTTTTTGTTATGTGGTATTAGTGGCGGCGCCCTCATTGCCGGGTACATCATCGAGGTAAAAAGAAACTTCTCGAGGAGCTTCTTCTTTAGCAACTCGCTAACGTTAACCATAGGACCAAGGGTGGCAATGGACATTGATTTGGTGTGCCATCATTTTCGGTATCCTCCTACCTCTAGTGATACTCTTCGTCCCCGAGACGGCTTATCGTAGGCAATCATACGAGCAACAACTCGCAACCAGAGCCATGACTACCCGAGATGCCAAGTCGAACAATTCAGAAAAGAAAGATGCGCCTTCAGAACAAGAAAGTGGGAGAGTAGAAACCGTGGAAACTGGAGCGGTGGTTGAACGCAAAGACTCGTACTTACGAAGCTTGAGGTTGTGGACTGGTGTCTATACCGATACTCCCCTGTGGAAGATCTTCCTACGCCCAATGGTGGTCTTTTTCTATCCGGCGGTCCTCTGGGGGTTTCTGTTATATGGTATAACATTGAGCTGGATTGTGGTCTTCAGTGTCGTGAACGCTGTGATTTTCACGGCGCCACCATACAATTTCTCGGTGTCTGAGACAGGCCTCATCTCATTATCGCCGTTTATACTAACATTCATCGGAGAGATCGCATCCGGTCCATTGAATGATTGGGTCTGTCTGTATTTGGCCAAAAAGAACCGTGGTATTTACGAGCCTGAGTTTCGATTACCACCTATCATCATCTCGTTTCTCATGGGTATCGCGGGGTTCTTTGGATTTGGTGCTACCGTTCATTTCCAGACGCATTGGACTGGTCCTGTCTTATGCTTTGGTCTTGCGAACATGAGTCTTGCGTTTTCTAATGCAAGTATTTTTGGATACATTATCGACTCTCATAAGGAATTGAGTGAAGAAGGTACGTATCCTTGAATAGTTGTCCTTAATTGACTGAGGTGTATGCTAATCATCATGTTCTGCAGCATTCGTAGCTATTAATGCCCGAAATCTGTTGACGTTCGGTCTGACCTACTTCGTCAACGATTGGCTCGCAAAGGATGGTGTTCTAGCGGTCTTCAATGTGCTGGGCAGTGTATTTGTCGCTGTAAATGTGCTAACGATCCCGCTATGGATTTTCGGGAAACGATTCAGGTCATTCATCGCTAGGAATAAGACGCTGCATCGATTCATGCACGAAGATTAGATGATAAGAAACGATACAACATTTACATGTTGAGATATATTTGTAATTTGAATAAGAAGGTTTTAGATTCTTAGAATTAGATGTTGATTATTTCAAGAGCGACAAGATTGAATGAAAAGAGTTGGAATTTTGAAGGTTCTTAAATTCTTGAAATAACATTTGAACCTCCGAAAGTGTTACACAGCATTTATCGCGAAGCTCGGACCACTTGAAGCTATATACATAGGTACTGATAATGACACGGACCCCTGTAAGAGCTCCTGAACAATCTAAAGAAAGGCAGGCGCGTCGTGAATTTGAAGCTTGGCTAAAATTGTCCACAATCGATTTCGATTTGACTTTCGCTCTCCAACACTTGTTCACCTTCCTCCACGATATGCTCCCTGTCTTGACAAGTTGGCGCCCATAATTAATTTTTTTTGCCATTTTCATTCGCTTTTCTCCTTTTTTAATAATACCCTTCCAGTTTAGCCAGCAGGTGAATCATTTTCGTACAACTCAGCGACAACAAAGAAGAGAAGGACACCGACTTTGTGAATTGGCATATCTACGAAAATAATATTGGCCGAGGAGCTAGGGAAAACTGCATATTGCTCATTTCTACTTCAAATATCACGGACCAGAAGGCATAGGCACAAGTCCGAGGCAATAGGGAGATCGAAGTGGACAAACAACCCATAACTAGTCGAATATTGGACCCACGATGACGGATTCCCTCCACAACGCACCCATTGTGCTGGACAATGGCTCAGGTACGATACGAGCAGGTTTTGCAGGAGACGACTTACCAAAATGCTATTTCCCATCTTTTGTCGGCCGACCGAAGCATCTACGTGTATTAGCTGGCGCGTTGGAAGGAGAAGTGTTCATCGGTCAAAAGGCGGCGACAGAACTCAGAGGGCTCCTAAAAATCAGATATCCCTTAGAACATGGCATAGTCACAGACTGGGATGATATGGAGAAGATATGGGAATACGTCTATAGCGAAGGATTAAAAACAATGAGCGAAGAGGTATGTACTAGCAACATTGAACCCCCTTTCTATATTTATGATAAGCGTTCTTATTCACACATTCGTTCGTCGGCTAGCATCCTGTACTCCTAACCGAACCCCCGTTAAATCCCCGAGCAAACCGCGACACGGCCGCGCAAATACTCTTCGAGACTTTCAACGTACCAGCCTTATACACTTCGATCCAAGCTGTTCTCTCCCTATATGCTAGTGGACGTACAACGGGCTGTGTACTAGACTCCGGAGATGGTGTTTCTCACGCCGTACCTGTTTACGAGGGTTTTGCTATTCCTTCGTCCATGCGACGTATTGATGTCGCCGGCCGCGACGTTACCGAACACATGCAAACGCTGCTACGCAAGAGCGGCTACGTATTTCACACAAGCGCTGAAAAGGAGGTGGTGCGATTGATCAAAGAGTCCGTATGTTATGTAGCCATAAACCCTAAGGCTGAAGAGAAGGACTGGCAAAGCGCCAAACTCGACCAGGGAAAGACAGCCGAGTACGTATTGCCGGATGGTAACCGCCTGCGCGTCGGCCAGGAGCGTTTCCGCGCCCCCGAAATCCTATTCGACCCCGAGCTCATCGGACTTGAGTACCCGGGTATTCAACAGATCGTGACGGACGCTATAAACAGAACAGATCTGGACTTGCGCAAAGCGCTATATGCCAATATTGTACTTTCCGGTGGAAGCACTCTAACGAAGGGCTTTGGTGACCGTTTATTAAGTGAAGTCAAGAAGCTTGCTGTCAAGGACATGCGAATCAAGATCTTCGCTCCTCCTGAGCGAAAATACTCAACCTGGATCGGAGGCAGTATTCTGGCCGGTTTGAGCACATTCAGAAAGGTATGTTCACTACGGATTCCATCCTGAAGACGAGACACTAACGAAGCATTAGATGTGGGTTAGCATTGACGATTGGCACGAAGACCCCGATATCATCCACAAGAAATTAACATAAGCTCCAATACGCATATCATCTTGAAACATGGGGAGATTTGGACGTTTTACGAAACGCCCACAAGTAGGAATGAGGCGGAGGGGGTCAATGAATCATGATTTCCCAGCCCTAGTGTAATAGATATGGTATGAAGGGGCTGCACAAGAGCATAGAGCGCACCCCCATTGGAAACGTATCTACGCTTTAAGCGGTCGGAAGATGTACGAGTACGAGGGAATCTCCAAACAATTCGGCGCTTGAGGTTCTCGCGATATCGAGGGGTGGAGGAAGATAAAAAGGGAAGTGGAGGGGGAAAGAAAGAAAGCCGGTAAGCTTGTGTGTCAGATTATTGGCGGAATACTTAAGTCATCTATGTAGATGAATGATACCCAGGCGTTGAAGATCGCGATGCGACGATGATTGATGCGTTACGTGATTGTGACGGTGTGCTTACGAGTACGACTTACTACACCAAAGCACACCGAGAACGGAGAACCAGATCTAGCACGACATACTCTATGAGCCTACGATCGCAAAATCGCATCAATTATCACAAATTCAAGAGCCATTAGATGTTTGGTTCGTAGTAGTCATATCGACTACTCGTCATTCAGTTGACAGACATACTATATGTCTGTCTTCCATCCACCTCCACATAATAAAATCAAATAAATCAAAAATCTTTTCAAATCCGAAAAGTTCGCTCTTGGGGGGTATATATATCGATATCGATCGTTCCATCAAACAATTCACCAGAAACAAACGCCCGCCGTTGGTATTAATTTTCTTTTCTCGTTTTTCATCCCAGAGTCTGCCAGCCGGGATGAGGGAATGAAGAAGGATGTCGACATATTAGTGTCGGGGGTCGTGGTATGTTTGTTTTCCCATATTCCTTCTTCTGCGCTCCCGGTGAAAAGGATAAACCAAGTATTTGAGCTTCCTGTTTGCTCTGAGGCCCCAAACTTTTTGTGTTTTAAATTCATTCATTCCTCTTTTTTGTTCCCTCCAGTAAATAATCCTCCCCAAGGGTGGGGATCCATCAATGGTGATACCCAGTCGTTACTCGTTTACGAGTGTGTTTGTTTATGCCCAGAACTCCGATGCGCCATGCTTTCGTATGATGATTAAAAAGTAGATAGAGAGAAGTTGGTATGCTATGTGGTATGCATTGTGTTGAATTGATGTAGTCGTTCGTTGAGATAGTTGATGTCGACGGGTTTTAATGATGTACTGTCGTCAACTTAGTGCCGATGACTTATACGGCTCCAGATGTTGGACAGGCTACCTGAGCTGCTTGAGCTGTGCTGGCTAGAAGCATCACTAGCCTTGCGAGTTGTGTTCGAGCTGCTGCTACCAGCGCCGTAGACGTTGCCGGCACCACCACGCCCGACATAACCGACTGGCTTCTGCTCGATGTGGCTCTGGTGGGCGAATTCCTCGTCGAACGAGAGAACGGGCTTCTCGGCGGCTACATGGGCGTTACCTGCCCCACCTCGTCCTGAGTGGAAGCGGGATGTGGTGCTGTACGATGTTGTCGTTGTCGGCTTTGTTGCGACGCCTGAAGATGGTGTGGTAGCTGGGGCGCGGAAGTAGTTGCCAGCACCTCCTCGTCCCGAATGAGTGTAGGAATTCTTCGGGACTGTTGGGTGAGGCTCGGTGATAGTGAAGTTAGGCATGTCTGTAGCACTCTTTTTGGTGGGATTGGAGTGTGTCTTAGAATATATGGGTAAGTGTATGTGTACGTGAGAGTAATATGCCTTCAATAAGTTTTCTATGGTCAATACGTAGTTCAGGTGGAACAGATGTACTAAGATGGTTAAGAAATGGAGGATACTGGCTAATATACTTATTTTATCGTGATGGCCAGGGGAGTAACCCCTTTGTCATAGTTACACCGCGTTCCTCGAGAAAGTTCCAAGTTTTTATTGCACGTGGCACCAGCACCTGAGGTAGGGGGGTTAAAAAAGGCACAAAGAGGGCTACGATACGTAACTACGTACTTCCGTCCTGGAATGGAGAGGGAAAAAAATCTATTTGGAAAATTTTCAAGGCCCCGAGGAAGTGGTAAAAGGAACGGGGCGGAAAACAAAGCGTTGCCTCTGGAGTGCTAGGCGAAGTTGCCGGCGCAAGTCATCGCGTGGAGATGACACCATGGGCTTGAAACCACAACGCATAGGTACAGAGAGAAAAAAATCCGGTAGTCTTGGACTGGAAAATTCATCGTCTTGGCGCAAAATGTCGTAAGGCGCCTAGCAGTTAACGGCAAGTTAGTGGAATCTGGGGTAACCGCGTGATGGATCCTATTAGCTAGGAATTAGCTAACAGAAGCTCCAGGAGGCCATGTAGTTACGAAATCGGGTCTTGGGTAAAGGTATCATGAGACCTGCAGAGGAGTTTCTCGTACCTAACGATTACCCCATAGATTCCTCTCTCGCCGCTAGACAGGGGTTATGCAAGCTGGTCTCCCGGTGGTGCAATCTGGTCCTGTTTCTGCTTTTGGATGGGCTGAACTGGGAATACCCCCTTCTGATTGGAGGGGCTCGGCAATATCAATGCCGTACAGAATGTACAGAACTGCAGGTACCAGGTCTTGATCGAAGAGCCGCTGTAATCCGCTAGCCAATGAATCTAAGGCCTGGCTACGTTGATTCGCTAATAACAGCTGAGATCAATTGAGGAAAGAATCTCGCCATATTTTCATATGCTTCTAGACGATTTGCCATGTTGAGCATGTCCAGCCAACACGTTAGGCTTCATTGTTCATTGTTCAATATCCATCGGACATACCCTTGTGGCGTTGTCGCAAATACCACCAGCTGAAGCCAGTTACCTCATTGTCTCGGTTACTTTAAAACCCTGACGAAGAGCTTACAATGAAGAAAAAAAAAAATCAGTGTAGGCGCAATAGTGATTGCTTTTAGCTAAAGTCGGATAGAATACGGAAGCCGGTACAGGGTCCCACCGCTTGCTTGTCTCCTGGTTGACGAAGCTATTTCTTCAACTTTTTTTCTTCTCCTCCCGCGGTTACTCAACCGACCCGCCCATGTTTTGTGGAGAGGCGAATGAACAATCGATAAACATCTTGACGAGGTTTCGGCTTTGCCGAATTAGATCGCATCCGTCGATCTGCCGTTCACTAAAATACGCATGAGTTGTCTTTTATAATACAGGCCAATTGTATCTGCAATCCAGGAACACGATGAATAACAAAGAAACACCTTCACAGCTGTCTAGGTACTGGCAAGTCCTGAGTAAACGGCATCTTAACTACGTCATTCCGTAGCCCGAGGAGAAAGCTTCATCGTGACAGGGTGGTAAAGTAGCCAGCTGACCGCCATAGTAAACAAAGAAGATCATCGTGACCTGAAATTTTTGGTGTTTTGTTTTTAACCCCTCAAAGAAAAGACGGCAAATTAATTCCACTTCCCTCTATTCGGTTAATATATTCTAAGACCCCTGTATTGTACCCGCTACAATGATCCATGTGTCAGCAAACCTCTACAGTCCGAATATTGTCATAGGAAATTCTTGTGTATTTAGACAATTTTATCGACCGAGGAGTATATTTTCATGTAACTCGAATCTAATTCAATCACAATCAGAGTATCATAAGTTGACAATACGTTGGAACGTGTGCTTATTTGCCAACGCCCGTTTTTAATTGCGACACTTCGTTGCGTCTTTGATCACCAATTTGACACCATAGTTGACCGACAGTTACACTACAGCTTCAAGCCAATCTATTGACAAACAGCTACCAACAAGGAATCCTATGCTCTTCGGCAAACTAGAATATCCCTGTTGATTTGCAACAAAGAATCAATCATGGCGACATTGTTTTAATTCCAATTACCTATCGAAAAGCGGCTGGCATTATTGCGAAAACTCGATTGGCAATTTCTCACTCATGTTTTCGCTTAGGCCCTGTACATAGGTCCATGACAAGATAATAAACCAAATCTCAATTAGAAGTGACCAAGCGATTTGTTTCTCGAATCTCTCTAAGCACAGCTAATTCTCGCAAGGCTCTGTCTCATTGCACGGTCTCTTTGGAATTTCAAAGACGCGTAAAAAGCAAGATATTTAGCAGCGAGCGCCGCTTCTGTGAAACAAAACGCCACGTACATCATCAATCCCAACTCGAGGATGAGGGGAAGTTTCGGGAACGATTATCCTTGCCAGCGCAGCGATCATCTTCACATCAGCATTGTAGATGCTGCCAATAGGTTTCATGCATGCTCTATAGAGAGCGAGGCTTCGGGATTCATCACAATCCAATATACACGATGGCCTGTAGCATGCGATGAGGGAGTCTCCTATCATCGAGTGTTGGTTGGTGGAGTCTGCACCTGCCACCAATAGTACCCAAGTACACAACGAATCTCCGCTTCAGAGAAGGGCTGCCGATAAAGGTACCAAACACCTCGCCAGCAACATCCTCGCGATTGAACACAGAAGTTTTCAGCTTCATTTTCAAGAGATTCTGTACCATTATAAAGCCTGAAGACTTTCCACTCACTCAGCAGCTTCGCTCTAATCAGATCCGTTTCTGAGTCGGAAACCCGCACGGTCAAGGCGTCACACCGCCACCCCGATCGTCAACTTGTGGTTCTTGTCAGTGCTCTATGTGTCATCTCCCATCACAGCAACCATGTTCGTTTCAACCCCTAAATGGTTGCCTACAACGCGTGCCCACGTGACTTGGTGTTTATTAGGGGGTAAACCCTGCCCGGACCCATATTGGATTGCCCTGGAGCTGAGGAAGATGCGGTTTCCCGAGTTGAAAGACTAATCCAGCTCGCCGTCCAGGACGCGCTTTGTGAAAAGGTCATAGATGAAGTACAGAATACCTTTCAACACTTAGTAGAACGAGGCGAAACCGTCCTCCGAGTCCACGCCGATGTTTACGCGTTGTCCAAGCAGTCGATTATCAAACTAGAATCGATATTTACGAAAACCGACTTGAATCCAGCGTCTGATGCGATCTGCCGTCAAGGGCCTAGCCGGATCGTGCGATCGATTGAATCGCCATGCCCCATTGGGCCAGCCATCGAAGCTCGGCGGACCCTTGACTCCCACGTACCATCGGCGTATAGGGTTGTTAGAAAGAAATACCGACATTCCATCGACGATCGGACATGGCAGTCCATTACTCACTCGGACAGCAGCATAATGCGGCGTCTGTGTAAAGTCCCTGCCAGGAACGTTTTGCGGCATAATATCTGGTCGCCGGACGCCGAAAGGGAATTTGGAAGTCGACGTAAGGACGATGTACATATTGCTTTGCTCCAGGTCGTGGGATTCCGGAAACCACGCAACACCAGCTGTGAACGATGCATGGAGGGCAAGGGTTTCTGGCATGGTTGTGTAGTTCCTTCACCAAATATGCGGACGAAGTTTGCGGATGATTGCTGCGCCAATTGCCTTTATAATGGGTCGCCTCAATTCTGCTACTTCCCCGATAGTAAGTCCTACAGCCTGCCATCCCACAGTTGTTAATGCTAAGAAGGATAGTGTATCCTAGGGAGGATGCCCAAGAGGAATTTCCGACGCAGATGTTCGACGTCGTTCTGAAGCCATTCACGCGGGTGAAGGATACGTCTAAGCATGTGACGACAGCACACGAAGAGAATACAAATCGAAATGACCGCGGGCGAGCTTTGCGACGTAGCACAGAAGAAATTTATGGAGGAGGAACCGGAGTTATTCAAGTCAGAAGAAACTATACTCCCAACTACGCCGTCATTATTTACGGCGGCTATAGTTAGCGATAAGGAGACTGAGGAATCTTTTGGCTCAGAGTACGCACTCGTTATCTGAGTACGGAGCCCTCTTACACTCAGCATCATTCTTCGAAGGTTCGGAGACGTTTGACAGTCACCTTGCGCTTCTGCCAACCGTAGAAGGGATGGGTAGCCCTAGTCATCAATTATTTCGAAACGGTAATCTGATTTCTATTATGTTCGATATGTACAAGTTCTAGAAGGATAAACTAAAAATACATTCTATAAAAAGAAATCTCTTCATCGGCCACAATCCTGACCGCAAAGAAAGGAAGCATCTGCCTAGGTAAGGTAGGTAGTACCATCTGCCGGCACCGTCCCATTAACTAAGAAAGCATCGATAACTCTAGCTACTTCTCCCTTGCGACGGTAGCTAGTGTGATGGTTCCCCTTCCTAAAGACGTTAACTGCGCTAGGTAGCTGCTCGCGCATCGTGACCGCCCACTGGACTGAAGTAGCGGGATCCCAATACGAGTTGGCGATCAAGATGGTAGGAAGCTTCGAGGTAGCCTCGGTGTTGAATGTATGCTGCGGGTTCGTGGGCTCAAACGGCCATCCAAGGCACGCCGTGCGGGCATGCTGCATAACGTTCACCCCCCGAGTGTGCGGGCACAAGGCGCGAGCGGCTGTGAAGATGGCACGTAAGTCGGCCGCTGATCGGATATGATCTCGTGTGTAATCGGAGCACAACACGTCAAAGTGAGCGAACGCTATCTCATTGTTGTTTACAACATCGGACTCGAAGCGCTGCGGGGCGAATCCGATCGCATCGTCTTCGTCCCACGCCTTTCGGAGATTTTCAGCTAACAAAGGAAATCCGGCGTCGACATTCAGCACATCAAGCGCGTAGATGAGGAAATCTTCGTCTGTTACTTTTGGTAGGCAGGGTGGTGCACGTGTTTCGTTTAAGCAACCGGGAGCTGCCAAGGGCTTTTTGGCTGCGGCGTCGACGAGAGAGTCCCAGATCGTAGGTAGATCGCGACCGTGCATCACACAATCGGTGGTCGTGTTACACCACCTGAAAAAATCGTTCAAAGAGGCCTCATATGCTACCGCTTCACCGATGATGCTATCTGTATCGGACAAACTCCGCTCGTTCATGCCGTCGAGAACCATGCGACCGACGTGCTCGGGGAATAATTCGGCATATTCGGCGCCGATTTGACTGCCACCCGACCACCCCATCCAATTCAACTTCTCGTCACCTACGCCCTGTCGTACGAGGTCGAGATCTCGGATGACTTGGTCGGTACCCATCTTGAAGCATGTTAGCAATCCCGTCTTCATTAATAATAGGAGCGAAAGATACATACCTTGAAAAATAAGGGGCCCGTCATGCGCGCGCAGCTCTCAGCGAACGCCTTATTATGCTCCACTAAGGTCTGGAAGCTCTCATCATCGAATGCGAGCTGCTTTACCGGCTTGTTAATAAAAGTTTTATCGCATCGCAATGGGGAGCTGAGGGTCTGGCCGCGCATGTCCAGTCCGATGATGTCGTATGCCTCCCTCAATGCCTCAGTTACAAATGGCAACCCTTTCTCCCAATCTGATCCTGCTGCTTCCCACTTGGCCTGCTTGACGATGGATGGAGCCGATACTTGTCCCGGCCCGCCATTGTTGTAGAAAAAGCTTCCCAAAGGGGATTGACCCTTCGCCTTCAGGCGCATCATCCCGAGAGTGACTAGTAAGTTGTATTAGTGTTCCTCTGTTTTAGTCGAACGGTTTACATTATAGCAAAGGTGACTTACTGGTGCCATTCTGCGGGTTGTGGTGATCCAAAGGCACTTGTAGAGTTCCGCAATCGACAGTGTCCGGAATCTCAGAAGAATCGCATTTCGACCAGGAGACAGATGAGGAATTCGATATAGAAGTCCCAGGTTGGGGGAGAGCCGAAGCGAGAAGTGGAAGGCCGAGTAAGACGGGTAGTGTATAGTAATCGGATGCTACCATCGTGTTGATTATTATTATTGATGTTTATTGAGAAGGTTGTTTAGGCGTCGACTTGTCTATGATGATTCAACTCATTATCCCGTGCGACCATCGCCCGATATATATAGTTCTCTAGCATACCACAAACATCAAGTATATGCTCAAGTATATAAAAACCCTCGCGTGTAGACGAGAACGAGAACGAGGGTAGTGCATCTTGAATTTTGTAGAACCAGGGCTATGCGCTTCAGCTGGTGACGATCAACACCTATTCTTCTAGAACAAAAGTTATGATGCGTACGCTAAAGACGTTCGACATGGCTTAAACATACTACCAAGATGCCTAGCATTCTTGCACATGCTTTATAGGCTATCTGGTGAAGCTTTGCTGGTAGGGCTTAGCTTCTCACATCGCTGCCCGCGCAGCTTGGCTCCCCAATTGAGTATACAACGATGGCAAAGTGGAACCTTAGTATAGCTACCTTACATAATAATTCATTGTATTTTCATCGAATTCCTATTATAATTTCAAATGTAATTTCCGACTTGGAACTTTTTGGGGATATAGATCCTGGCTTCTATAAATCCTTACGTCAGTATCGTAACAAACATAGATAGCTCGAATGATGCGCGCTCATCCTCTAACATCTATTGCGCGCATCTTAAAACTTCCAGTTAGGTAGCTAGAAAGCAGAATGAAATGCAAATCAATGCAATTTTTGGCCATTCAGTTCTAATGATGCGAAGTGATGTTTATGAAGCGTGTGCTTAGAGTGAGGCGTAGCCCCTATTGGCACAAATAGCACAACCTAGAGACGACTCACTGATCTAATATTGGTAAAACCCGTTATGAGACCGACAAACTAATAGAAACTAGTCCGTCAAGATACCTACCAAGCAAGTTCATTATTCATAAAAACACGGTCGGTATTGCACTTAGTTTTGTAGAGCTAAAATCAGCGCCTATAGACTTCATGTTGAGTAAGAGGGTGGATTATCGCGCTCTTAAGTACCCATTATATATCAAATGAAAGAAAAGAAAAGAAAAGAGGGAAAACATACCACCTGAAATAAGGAGTCGCCACGCGGTAAGTAGGCGCCATGGCTTCTCTGGGAACAACTAATTCTTGGCCACAATTGTCTCAATTATAAAGGTAAGATTAACGTCTGTGGCGTCTCCTTAGCGAGTAAACATCGAATCATAAGGGCTATAGATAGGTATTTAACGCACTATAAAAACCCTGCTGCTCGGGTATCCCTCAGCCTACCGATTGATCGTGACAGTGAGACTCCCTTCTCTCATTGTTGCCTAGTAGAAATCATAGCTCGTCCCAAGGCACATCTTCAGGACCAACAAAGGGTGCCGGCTCTGAACGTACTACGGTCGTCAGTTTATAGAATGCATATATGTATGACTCGAACTTACCAATATCTGGGAATTCCTTTTGCAACTCTTCGCGGCTCATCTTGGAAATCCTTTCGTGAGTCTCGCGGAATAACTTCTCGACCCGTCCTTCTACATAGTGGACCTTCAAATTGTTCTGCTTGAGGTTGGGATCGGAGCTAGAGTTAGGATCGGAACTGGATCTGGAGGTGCTGAGACCGGAGCTGGTATTCTGGTTATCGGATTTTTGTGATATCTTGCTTTCAGCCGAAGATTTTTGAGGGTTTTCAGATGAAGATATCCGAGGTGTCTCGGGTTCAATAGTGGAAGACATCATAAAAGCTGTAAAGGATTTGGTTGTTGTATAGGTATATTTTTATAAATCTTTAGGTTGGCTTTGCACTTCCTAAATACTCGTTTCTGCTCGGGTGGCCTCGGACTACCCACCCTTTAATCTTAATTCCGCGGTCTCTTGTAGCAAAAACATATGATCTGTGCTAGAAAGAAAACTAAGAAAAACAACCTACCTCTAAATTATTAGCTCAATGATCTTTCACCGAGTGCACGTTCCTCGATAAGGCTATCCGCTTATACCTACAATTTCGTGACGGGTTCGTGATTAGTGGCCTATTTTAAGACGCGATTTTGGAGTAGAAAAAATTCTTCAAGTGCCTAGGTACCTATGTATACCTAGGTATATATGTGGAATGACAAGAAATGGCGGCTTATCTGTTTGTGGCGTCGCGGTGGTGATTATTCCTCGAATCATATAGAGCCTCACTTTGCTTTATCCCGTGTGTGGCGAAACGCGAATTGAAATCTCTGCATTGATCCCCACTTCTACAGCCTAACTTCCTTCCATCATCTGGAGGCTTACAACGTTGTTCGAGTATCCTCGAATGCCCTAATCCACCATGGCTGACAGTTGGTGGGATGATTTCTCAAACAATCCCGCTACGGACCTTGCTCCGCTTGTTTCTCTTCTTGGAGAATCTCCAACTAAACAATATATTAGCGAGTGTCTGGCGACCGAGGACATCATTATCTTTGCTGCCGCACCTATAGGTGTAATTACCGCCATTGTGTCTGCTATTCGAGTATGCGGGACCCCTTCACTGAGAGCATTTGTTAGCAGAGCTCAAGAAGGCGCCGGTGCTATTGAGGCAGAGCTGTGTTCTTCCACTAGTCGCGACGTCTGTGAGCTCTACAATAACGGAGGCATCGCCCGAGTTTTTGGGCGCCCTAAGCTACTCGAGATTGTACGCGATCCCCAAGCTCCTTTCGATGAATTTTACCCTTCCAACGGGGCAAAAGCGACCGCCGGTATATATTCATTCGAAGAATATCTGAAAACGAATAGAGGTAAAAGCGAATGGAAATTGCAGCGGACTTGGTTGGAAAAGTGGAAGAATCCTACGGAAACAACGGAAACAGGTTCTCAACAGGGCCCGGCGAAACATTTTGCACCTAACCCAAATCTTTCCCAAAATATCGGAATTAAGCCATATAGTCAAGGTTGGTTCATAGCCGCAGCTGCGGTAGGAGTCATGATGCAAGCATTCGTCCTGGTATGGGCTATACTCACGAGGTATCACTATCAGTGGGTGAGGAATAGTCGTCAAGGTATTTATAATAGTAAGATACATTGGTAGACTTTAAGACTGACCGTAGACATTTATAGATCAATACGCCGTTCCATTAACCGTCGTTAGCACGGTATCCCTCTGTCTAGGAGTATCTCTATGTGCCCGTCTTATAGAGAGTAAGACGAAGGAACGCTATTATGAACGAAAAGACCCACAAAACTCCGAAAGCCTTTCTACAATGTACTGGGTCCAGCCTGGGAACCAAAGGATAGGGGACCAGGTTTTCGATGCATTTGGTTACTCTGGCAGCATGTCGCATCTTCGAAAATATATTACGTCGTGGAAAGACCCTAATGATGATCCCTCCACTGTGGGTTGGATTTGGGTTGCTTTGGTTACAACCGTAATCGGTTTTGTCTGCCAATTTCTTGGTCTAAGGGCTTGCCACTCTTCTGTTGCAGTTGTACAGTTTGGTGTCACTATCATAATGAGTCTCATCCGCGCCGGGCTTAGAACTCAACGATTGAGGAAAGAAGACAACTTCATGATGAATGAACCCGGACTCTTTTCAGGGGCACGAACTAGATTGCTTGGCGATGAAAATGGGCAATTTAAGGGCGTGGGAGATTTTTAGTACACCCGTAACAAACAACCCGAGAGCTGTTTCAAGCCGTTTTGAGACAATTACCCCAAAGAGAGTTGGATTACAAATATAATAGCAAAGCTGCCGGAACCAGGGGGTAGGTATCCTTTTTACGTTTTTCAGCGAGGGAACCCACGCTCCGATAAATTTAAAGGAAACCGCCGCGTTCAAGCCGAGAGTGAAATATCCCAGTGGCTCATAGCGAAGTATTGCGTCAAGAGCCTGAATGATGCCGTCAAGAGCTTTTGTTTTAGGACTCGACTTGCCCGTATCACAGGATTGAGAGAGCCAGACTCGGGGGGTAGTAGTAATTGGAGTGACGAATTAGTCTCCATTCGAACTACGGCCTTGATTCTAGCCCGCGCTATTCATGATACTATGCGTATCTTCTCTGCCGGGCGTGTGATATACCAGAGAGCCTTCGCCATATTCTGCATGGTCCAAGTTGATCCAGGTATGAATGTATGCGGGGAGAGCGAGGTCTACTTGTCATTGCGGAAACAGATTGACGAAGATATAAAGCCTGAGGGTACATGGAAAACTGACCCTTTTGAGATAGAAGCTTTACTTGGTTTGTGGGTATGGTCTCTGAAAGACCTAGGGGAGAGATGGGTGGAGGGAAAACGGGATTCAAGATGACGAATCAACGTATAAATCGAATTATCGGCCTCGATGGGTATCTCAGGTTGGAAACGGCCATTCGCGAGTACAACCAAAACTTTCGTAGTGCACGCGACCCGTGGCAGCAGCGGAAAGATGGCGAGGCGTTAAATTTGCGGTTGCAGCTGTTGAGAGCAGACTGGAATTCACCTATCGAGTATGCACGAGCGCAAAACGCGGTGTGGTGGAAAGATGGCAAGGAGTTCGTTACCCGTGAAGAAGGGCCGCAGGGTGAACCCCGCGACCAGCGACGATTTTTTGGGTGTTGCAACTTGGAGGAGAGGACTCCGCCAGGTGAAAGCTTTGCAGTTCTCGAGGTATCCTCTGAGAAAAGTCTCCAAATGAATTGTGCCCAAGGGATTTATTCAGTATTTCTAAATGCGATAGTGTCTGCTGTGGAGAGAGTAGAAGGCTCGCGGATCGCCGAAATACAAGATGCGATTATCGAAGCAGGTTTATGCGATAGAGACGACTCTTTTGCGTGTGTAATTATTTTTATAAAGCGTTATTATTATGGATAGGTGGTAGTTTAAAGGAGTGGGGATTCGATTTCGCGCTTTACACCTTCCCGAGGATTATACGGCTTTACTTGATGCACGCATTTCGCTCTTAATATGCTGACTTTCTCAGCGGGAGGCTAGTCTCTATTACAGTAAAGCACTACGTAATCTTGCTTAATTGCGCGTGCTCAAGAACATCCTTAACCCGCTCCACATACCCCGAGTACATTCCCTTCAAGTATTCCAAACCAGATTTACGAGCATAGAGTCGAGTATGCGACCACCAATAACCACCGACATTCGTATTGAATACATCGCGAGATTTATAATCTACGAGGTCGCATTCACCCCACAGATACTGGCTCTTATCCCCTTCTGCCGGGAAACTTTCCTCGATATTATATTCGTAAAGTATCATATCACGAACGCGCTTCGGGCACAATCCACCTATTTCGGAGCAACCGTCGGGCATTGGTAAGTCACTACGTGTGCGGGATTGTTAGTATGTATGTAAACGGTAGATTTTGTGGGCGGGTTGAAAATAGGGGTATTAAAGTGGAGACAATAAAAAGGGGGTGGCTTACGCGCAACCGGGTATCTGGACTTTGTTACCGTTCTCCTCCGTAACTTCAAACCAGAGTCTGTCCTGGAACTTTCCTTCTCGGGGTATCTCTCTCGTAATAATAGCGACTGGTCGAGCGTATTCCTGAATTATGCGCATGGTCGGACATTGTGGTAGGCTTGCCATGTTAAATACTAGGGTAGAGTCGTCAATAATGGCAAATTGTTCGTGGTTACCATAACTCGGGTCTAGAACGGTGAATTTTCCATATGGAAATGTCTCAAGGGCCACCTTGTGTTGGATTCCGTATTCCGGATCCGCTGTGTAGAGGCGTCTCGGCTTGCCCGTCTTTTTCTCTAGCTGCTTGACGATGGCAATCGCGGCGATGTGTTGAGCGATGTTTCGTGGGTAAACCATGTTATCGAAGTCCTCCTCCGCCGGTTGAGGCTCGGAATGATGAGGCCTTCTTGCAATAATACGGCCGAGTCCCAGGCACACCACTTTCGTGATAAGCTCCGGCCTTGGGATTTCGTCGATGGCCTCCTCAAGTTGCTTTGCCTTGATACTGACATGTTGCCATCTCTCCCAGGCATCGGCAAGGAGCTTGTGGATCTGCTCAACAGATATAGTATCTTGTCTCGCGTGCCATGCGATAGTTCCTTGGAAATACGGTTTATGATATTTGGCTAGAAAACTATCTCACGTCAACGGCTGTTAGCGATCGTGGTAACAAATGATAATAGTCTCTAGAAGTAAAATACACATACGCTTCTGTGGGAGGTTCCTCTGCTAGCTTTTGATTCGGCTTCTCCTGTTCAGGGGGGCAATTTGCTTCAACATTCCTACACAACGTAAAGAAGTCAAAATTATCATGGAGCTCGGGCCCCCTAATTAGGGTAGAGCTAAACATGTACCAATTACATCTCCTGATTATCTTTCGTTTTCGTTCTTCGCTTTCCGTGGGAAGCTTTTGCATGTTTTTCAGGCTGAGGAAATTAGCCTCGATGCCGTGGTACTTGGGGGTCGACATCGTCAGGGACTAAGAAGAGGGTAACTTATCCGTGCGAAGATCTTCGGACTGATGAGTGGTTATCTACTCGATATTGTTGCTTGTGAAGAGAGAAAGATTGCGAAAGGCAAAGGGTCCTTGGCATATATGGAAGATACCCTATTGTTCCACTTGAACTACCTGTGTGCCGCGACAGCAGTCCCAGGTCGCCCCTGGTATTGAACCATGACCATAGTTTTGAAGATTAATGGCTGGTCAGGCATTTAGTGGGTGGATATTTCATTATTAGATGGTATAAAAAGTGACCGTGATGGGTGAGCGACCGCCAAAAGAAGAGTTACAATAGTGACTACGAGGTGAACCCTGGGACACTGTGACTGACAACTAATACTGTTAGGTTATTCATCCCATATTCAGGTTAAATCATTAGTAATTCAGAGATTTGGATTTTTCAAGACCCAGAATCACTACCGCGAATCATTACTTTGGGTAGTACAGGAGAACTTATGAGAACGAGAACCCCTTTATTAACCAGTCTGTATTTCTATAATATTAAAACTCCATTAATAACACTTTTTTCCTCTTTGTTGAATAGAATCAACCTTTCCAGTCCCGAGTCACAACCAGACACCTTCATTATTTCGTAGTGACCTGCCTGCGCCTTCGTCACTACCTTCCGAGTCCGTATCACAATCTAAGGAATGATGAAAAATCATCCGAAGCCCAACACCAACCAAACCAAACCAAATTTCCCAGCATCCAGAACAAGTCACAGACGAAGCATCTACTTAGCAACACCAATGCAAGCAAAGTACTTCTTAAACGCCTGGACCTCAACGCTAAACACACCATCACGATCCAACAGCGCAGCAGGCGGCCAGAACTCGGGCTCCACACGATCCAGTAATCCGGGGTAACTCGTCAGACCACGGGGCTCGGTAACACCCCAGGGGTTACGCACAATAATGTACTGATTCTCCTCCTGGCCCTCGCTAACCCATCCGAGAATCGAGTACGCGTGGTTCGCGACGAGGTTGCTGCCGCGGAACATATCGCCCGTGGCGTGTGTCCATGCTGCCATGGGGCTGATAGTACGCTTGTTAACACTGCACGCGCGGACCAAGCCCGCGAGTTCGGCACCGGAGTGGCGGTCCGTGAAGTAGTACCGCGGTTCGCGGCCGTTGATTTGGGCCATTGCCTTGATAGGGTCACCGTTATGCGCTTTAGTCAGATCGATGTGGTCACTGCTATCATCAACGGTGTTTCTGTTGTTACCACCGTTGTTGTCTTTACCATGCGACATCCACTTGACAAACGCCTTCTCGTACAACGAAGGCCAAGTCTCGTACCCGTCGCTGGAACGCGCGTAGATGGGCAGGTCCGTGGAGTTGTTAACAGGGATCTGGTAGTCGACTTCGACGGTATCGGTCTCGGCGTTGTTACGACCGCCCTTGTCGTGGAATTTGACGGCTAGAGTGCGGCGGTTGCGGTCCATGGGGCCGGAAACGAGACGGGTGGAGCGGTTGATCATGGCGGGGTTGGCCCAGAATACCGAGAAGATGGCGGCGATGAGCCAGCTGTTGCTAGCCGCACCCTGGGTGGGGTCGTCGAAGCGGTGCTGGTATTGCTCGCGGAAGCTGTGGTGGCTACCGCCGAATGAGAATGGAGGGCCATCCATCATGAAGCGACGAGGGATGCTGCGGAAGAAAGCCTCGTTCATGTCGCGCCAAGAACTATTGGGTGGGGTCCACTCGCGGTCCTCCTTTCCGTGGCGGAAGGGAAGGACAAGGTCGTTGATGGTTTCAGTGATGTCGTGGTTACCAACAGTGCGGCCAAGGGACTGTCCGTCGAGAACAAGACGGAGCTTGCCGTTCTGCATGCGGGCCATCTTGATACGGGTGTCGCCGACCTCCTTAAGGCCGATTTTCTCGAGGTCGTCGAGTTTCTTGATACGGGAGAGATCAGGAGTAACGAGGTCACGCTCCTCAAGGATCTGCATCTCCTTCTCCGAGAGTTCCTCAGCCTGGCGGTTTTCCTCGTTAAGCTTAAGACCAGCAAAGAGGACCGAGTTGTGCTTAAGGTCGAAAAGCTCTTCATAGTCAGTCTGGAGAACATCTGAGATGATACGAGCGGTCGAAAGAGCGTGGCGGTCTAGCCTGTGGCCGATCATAGCCTCAACCAAAGCGTATGGGTTAATGGCACCAATGTTCACATCCTTGGGGGGCTCGTCAGGAGATGGTTCCTGGCCAAGGAGAGGGCGGTCATCGCCGAGGACCTCGTAGTCCTCAGACATGGTCCTGCTAGAGGGGATAGAGCGCCTGTCGATCTTGTGGCCGGTGAGGGCTTCGAAGAGAGCGTAGGCGTCAATGTTACCGGCAGAAGCCCCGCGAGAAGAGTCTGATTGAGAGCTAGAAGAAACCATTTTGGCTGATGAAAGTGAGTTATGAATAATGTCTGGATGAATATGCAATAAATGATAGGCTGGTGGATTACTGAATGAATCACTGTCGATGAGCGAGAGTGGGATTGTTCTAAAGAGGGTAGATGGCATACTTATATCCTCTTCGTGAAGATTTAGAATTGCCATATTTTCTCTTGATCAATCAGTTAAGTGTTCCGTCCGTACATAATGCTAGACACCCTTTTACTGATCAAGCCGAGATCTCTAATGCAAACTCCAAGTATAAACATGAGGCTCTCTAGAGACCGATGAGGCCTGTTAGTTGTCTAAACTCCATCGTCGATTTGAAGTAGGTTATATTACGTATAAGTCGTAGAACATGCATTCAAAAGTTGAAGGTTCGGTGGGGCATTGTTAGCCCAGAGAGCCCCGTGTTCTTCAACGTCCATCTCCATCTACTTTCACTTTTTGACTCCTGTTTCGATCAATAATAGAGCACTTCGACAGAAAGATACAGTTATACAACAGCTAGACAATAACCTTAAGCGGTAAGAAAAGTAAGTACACAGGAGTAAGATTGTTACGAAACTTAGCGATAGGCGTAGTCGTATTGGCGGTCTGGAGTATGCTTATCGGAGTAAACTTGCCTCTATAAAGATGACCGACGGACTCCTAAAAATAACAGCGGCAACGATCTTCCCGGTAAACCTTATGAGGGTATGCCACGTTGAGGCTAATTTAGTTGCCGTTGTTGGGAAAGCGGGGAGACAACGTTCAGACCGGTCTGTGTACGATCCGTAATCGAGCTTAAGCATGGTGGAAAAAAGGGGTGAGGGAGTTCGGGAAAGACTTAACTTGAATCGACTTATTAGGTTTTATTTCATTTGAGTTATAGAAAATGAACAGTTCTTTAGGAGCCAAGAACGTTTAGTATTTTCTTAGGAAACCGACCGAATTTGTCCGGTGAGTATGTCGTTGTCTTGGGAATTTCACAAATATTCTGCTTTGAACTATGCCGAACTCCCCAGCCTCCCCGATGAGGCTGGGGAATGGTCGTAGCTCAACACCACTCCTTAGGTGTTGAATATGGGATAAGTCATCTAATGTGGATGTTTTTTCGTCTCTAGTAGCCTTTCCGGGATACGAGGTGTTATAGTTGGTATCCCCTATACTAGGTACTCCTATGCATTAAGCACCTCGGGTACCTGAACCTTGAAAGCCATACGGAGCGGGCAGAGTTACTAGAGGAGCTCAGGCTAAGGGGTTAGGAACGTGAATCTATCGCTACGTACGTCCCTACGACCTGATTTCAACCCGGCGGTTCGAGGTTCGAGTTAATAGGATCGATTTTGCAGTGTCTTGGGCAATTTACCTTATCTAGAAGCCCGCCATCGGCAAGCAGGCAGGCATCCTTTCACCTATCGTATCCTCGAATCCTCGCTGCAAACAGCAGCCACCCACTAAACCCCCTTTCATCCTAAAGTCACACAAAACCAAACAAACAAGTCACCTAAACAAATTCCACAATATCATATAGTAACAGCGCAATCGCCGATAATTAATCACCTGTGCTACGGTGTCCACCATCTCAGCCACCTCCCCCGTTGCGAAAATATTTGCGCCAGTATCGCGCATATGTACATGAATTGCTTTCCTAGCCAGCTACCCGAGCGACGATCACAAGTATAGCAAACATCCACTCCGAGCCAGCTAGCTTAGACATGAATTGAACCGATATGGTATGGTATGGGTCTAAAGTTACCCAACTAAAAGCCCAAGCAACGCCTGTCCATCCAACATGCAAGTGTGTTCGGGGATGGGAATGAAAAGAGGACGGGATATCAAGATGTATGGGATGGAAGAAAATAAAAAGCACGAATCAATGATGATTGTAATACTAGAACGCCGTATGGTGTAGTGTAGCCGTGAAAAAACCTTCGGCAGACAAATCTATGACCCCCATGCCATGCCCCCCTTGAGTGAAAGGAACCGAAACAAATATTGTTCATCGTAATCTCATTGCGACCCGGTTGATATGTGCAGATGCGTGTCCTCCATTCAGGTACTTGCGTTGATCGCCTTCGCCTATTCCCTCCGCATGCTAGATGCTGCGTCGATGCTGGTTAAACGTTTTGCTCATTAATATTCATGCTCTCCCCGGCCACGAAATGCTCATTCCATCCTTTGACACTACCATGGACCAACGCGAACGGGGGAGCCATAGTTTCCAGCCACCAACTGGTCCAGAATGGAGTTCTGGTTAGCTGATGTGTTCGGAGCTCCGCTATTTGGCCCGCCGCCAACCCATCCGAGGTTCGTCGACATGGAAGAGATCGCAGCTCCAAGCCTGCCGCCCGACTGTTGGTTGTGCTTGGCGAGGGTTTGATCCCAACCGCCTGAATGCAACACAAACCCTGCTCCTTTCTTCGATGCCTCATTGATCACTAGCGCCCAAGCCCTTGATATCTCATCATAGCTGTTCTCTTTGTGATGTCGATGAGCTTGGCCTTCCCAATCAGGTAAGCTGTGAATTATTTTGGTGGCACCGTCGAGGTATTGGAGAGAGACGTTGGCGCTTGCTTCGTTAGGTGGGAGGTACTGGGGAGTGAAGTCTGCAAGAGCGTCAAGAAGTGCTAATAGGGGCTGCTTGACTCGGTAGTAAGTGTAGTCGGAGCTCGATTCGCCGTAGGGAAATGCATCTCGCAGCTTGTCCTGGTATTCCTTCAACACTTGCAGGGCGCATTCGACTGTTGGCTTCGGTGCGCTCTTGACAACCTCCTCTCCGATCTCCGGTTGACGTTCACAAATGGTCTGAAGGACGGTTCGTAGTTGCGTGGCGTCGAGGGTCTCAAGAAGTCGAGGCAGGGTTAGCGGACGCCCTGCCAGTTCGTTCGTCCGGATTTTCTTGGATGATCGGGGGGCAAGTTGTCGTGGCTGAGCGGCGGGAGAATTGATGGGCGAGACTGACATCTCATCGCCATCGTCATCAGCTTTTCGCTTTCGATTTGAAGGGCCGACATTATAAAATGAAGAAGACACTATAAAGCAGAGGCCTGTTAGCTCGTAATTCCAAATATATCATACCAAACTCGAGTCTACCACTTAAGCCTCCCTACAAATGAGGGATCCGAAGGGATGAGATGTACATGGCTCGAAGCGGAGCGGACGGAATGTGATTTTTACGTACTTGGTCGAGTGGGAGATCGTCGGTTGGGATCGTGTTGGTGAGGGAAGAAGGTCGGGGGCTGCGGCGAAAGCAGCACGTTCATCATGCAGGCGGTTCGTTTATCGAATGCGATGTGCTCCTTGCTCGATATTGGTATTCCCCCTTCCTATGATGTTGGAATGAACGAGCAAGTAGTACTTTCTGACGGCTCCGAATTTTTTTGACTGCGGTTGACTAATGGTATAGGATTACGCAAGTATGTGTTGTAAGTGTCGGTCGGTTGGTTGGTCGGCTAGTGAGTCGGTGGGAGGATTGGGGCTTTTTTTTTTTTTGTCGGCGATAGGTATGATGGAGATGGAGATGGAGATGAAGTATGGTAGAAAAGGAGGAAGATGGAAAAAAAAAAATAGATGAATTATCGAGAGGGGAAAGAGAGGAGAGAGAGGTTGGAGAAGATTTAAAAATAAAAATCAATCAATAATAATAATAATAATAAAGGTTTCTTTAGTAGTTGTTGACTTGTCGCTACTTATTTCGTTCCAATCCTAAGCTAAAAAAGGAACCGCCTAATATTGTTCGTGCATTGACGAGGGGGGCAGCGCAAAGGCAAAGGTCGGTCTTAACAAAGTTGGATAATGAATTAAGTAGCAGTCCGTTGTAGTAGTATTAAAAAGTACTGGAAGCACTGGAAGTATCCGGACGGTAATTATTCAATATGATTGATTGAATGAATGGGGGTTTTGTGTTGTGGTGTGCATATGTGTGTGTGGATGCGGATGCGGATGGGGATGTGGATGTGAAATGGATGCGTGTGTTTGTGGATGTCCAAGGGAAAAGATGGAAAAGATGGTGGTTTCGGTTAGTTCCAAAGAAGTTATTCCAGTTAGCTTCGACTACCGCTACGTACATACTACTGCTGCTAATGCTAGCCCCAGGGCTGGCCCGAGCTGGTTAGGCAAATAACATTAAACCTTACTAACCTTACCTAGGTATTAGCAGTCAGGCCCCGATATCCCCAATCTATCTGATGATGTAGTTGGTTCCCCTCGAAACAAAAGGTGGAGAGTCAGGTCCCTGTAGCCGTTGTAGTCAAACTGTAACCATACAATGTACATCTCGAGTCGCAAGTACTTTCAACACCAAGCCTTTAACCCCTGTCAGTACACGATATCACCATGTATTGTATACCCCATCCCTCTTCACATAATGTAATGATAAAGAAGCGCATAACCAAACCATCAGCTAGTGTAATTACTTTATTTTGGTGCGAACAGCTGCAGCTATCCTTTTGCTGGAATTAACGTGTCACATATGATACATAAATGGATCTTTTCTTATGCTATCGTACTTAGCAATCGCAACATATTCTCTACCATCTTCGAGTATGTACTACATATAACCATAGAGCTAGAGCTATAAGCTATGCTTACTTTTTATTATATTAAATACATATAAAAAACACTTAGCCTAGGTATCACAACCGCCATCTGCGATCCCATGAAGCCACGACCCCTCGTCGAATTACACAGATGTGGGGATGGGAAAAAACAAGTCACAAGTCACCAACGCAGCAACCGTCCCTGTCTATACCCCCCATTGGTCCCCATCTGTTCCCACTAGCATTCGAACTCTTAAGAAAAAAGGCCGCCACGAGGGATTCAGCGTGACCGCTTCTTACTGCGATTATCCATTCAATTGACCTCGTTCCAGCTCTCCAAGTTTCACGCGGAACTAGAGGAATTAGAAAGTAATACGAATGCACAGTTCCAAACAGAGCAAAGTGAGACATCAACATAAATCATTGGCTCCAATGAGTATATTATGTAGGTAATATTTGCATGTAAGGTACTTACCTAGAAAATATACTTGGATACACATCTATAGATACGTATATATGTAGCTATATGTGGAGTCCATATTTAGAGTCCAGATTGGAAATTCTTGGCGGTCAAGCCACATCCTCATTGATCATGACGATGGGGGCGTTGGGCTGACCGACTCCGCTCTCAAACCATACCTATCACACTTCAAATTGAATAAATGGCTCGTAGAATTTATACCTAGGAACTAGAACCTGTCACAGTCGCAGTAAGAAAGCAAGCATTGTATTTCTGCACCCATTTTATTACTATCATCCCCTACTACAAAAGAAAGAAAGAAAAAACCAAACAATGCCCCACGAAGAAGAGCGCGGAGGTGTTACAATAGACTGCGACTCATAGAAGACCCTCCCTTCCTCCCTCGGTGTATATCGCACACATAGCAAAACAAAACGAGAAGAAAAAAGAAAACATCCTCTGTACTTCTGGTAGAACCAGGCCAGCATTTGCCAATCTCATATCGCATGTCGAAATCCTGCCTTAGACTGCATTATTCCAATCTCCTCGGACGCCTTAGTCCAGACATGCACCTTCAACTTGGTGTGTATACATAAAGAGGAGTGTGTCGAACATAGTGATTGAATGGACGACTCAAGCTTGTTAAGAATCAGTAGGGCGAGGATCCGTTAGACTGAGGGACTCAAATCGACCCGTCATCCCCGAGAGGGAACTTAAGTCCCCTGTGTCGGACCGGGCATGCCCTTGATCTGGATAGTAATGGTCAGCCTCGATACCAACATAGCTCTCTTAAGAGCAGGTGTTGTCAATGCTTACAGTTGAGCCAAATGGTGACATACCACGTAAGTGCGGGGGTATACGAGATCCGGATGAGCCATTGCCAAAGCGATTGTTTATAAGAGCAATGAAGTTACTAGTCGAATCTTCCTCGATAGGTCCTTTCTCCTCGGCATGATCCTCCGGCGTTTGTGTTGAGATCAAATTCTGACTCTTGGTGGGGGTTTGACCGACCACAACACCTGGATGAGCCAGTCCGAAGCGACGTAATTCACCGGGGCAAGAGCATGCAGACGATCGCAAGCCAACAAGTTTCTCCGGGGAACGGACGACTCGAGTATCCCCGTGCACGATGTTCGTATAGACGAATGCAGTCGACTTTCTCTGCTCTTCTAAATCCAAAGCTTTAAAGGCATCATAGCGCAGCAGTTCACTAGCTGCCACTTGTGCAGCGGCTTGCTCTTTGGGCCTCGGGACATTCAATCCGTGATCCTCGAGGTATTGTACAACGGCATCTCGTTCCGTGGTCATGCGCTTATACTCTTGATCTGTGACTGTAGAGAGGATTTGCAGGGAGTCTTGAGACAGAGAAACTCCCAGAGGAGTTGCCTCGATCACGTCGAGTTGGGAAAGGACGAACATTAACATAGGCGTCGGGTCATGTGGATTGGGCACGATCGGACCCGCCAACTCGCTATTGGCTTGTTCATCCGGTTCGTTCTGTCTAGCCTCAGGTGCCTTGTCGTGTGCGGATTGATTATCCACCTTGATCAAACCCAAGGGCTCGTCGTACGTACCTGCCTGGGGTTGGTTCGCGGGTTCAGTAGCGCCGAACGTATCGACCGTGGTCTCCTTGAAGACAGGCACGCTGGATTCGATCGGCCGGCCACAATAGTTTTCGATCATCTCGACGAGTTTTATTGCATCCGGGATTTTATCAAACACAATAAGGCTTGAATGCAATTTGGACTGCTCCATGTCTTCCCATCGTCGCAGGTGCACTTTACACCCCGAGTGTAGGGGCAACAGAACCAGGCGCATATCACCCCGTCTAGAATGTTTGGAGTCGGTGCTCAGCTCCCAGATTACAACAGCTCCGCCGTGCCTCGAATACAGAGTGATCCTGCCAGGGAGACACTGAGAGCTTGCATCGACGGTAAGCGTGACGTGAATTCCCTCTGCTGAATAGAGAATCTGGTCCTCAGCCGTGTCCCCGTTAAAACGTCTCGAGACCTCAGGGGTGGTGAGGACAGGCTCACTCGCGGCAGTAGGGGTCGGCGAAGACAGCGATTGTTTAGGACCCCACCTTTTGACCGATGCTCCAGGTGGAACGAGGCCGCCAAGCGAGGATCGGGTGAAGCCGTTGTCGGCATTCTGGTTGCGCCGACCCTTGCTGTACCCGGGCATCCTGTTAACTTGTTAGCGCGCGGGCGTTTATATCAGCGATATTTACTTAGGTAGGTAACGGCAACATACCTCGGGTCGTACCGGGGTACGACGTTCACCATTGCACTACCCACCATCACATGGATGGCTTTTCGGTCACTGGCGCCGCCCTTCTGCCCAGTCGCGGCTCTATTGAGACGGTGTGCGTTCCCGCCGTCTAAAGGATCAAGGCCCCGGACCGCTCGTGCATCCTCATCGTCAAAAATACCCTCGGCCCAGGCACCTGTTCCCATGAGTCAGTCTCTTCAATTACCACTACGGTCGTGACATGAAATCTCAATGGGATAACTCACTGGTCCAATTTGCAGCCGCGGGGTTAACAGCGTGTTGGCCGCCCTGTTGGGCAGCAGGTAGACGAGGACGCGATTGACTTTCGACACCATCCGTGGCTAGTTCTTCCAGTCGAGAATTGCCGAGATCAGCCTATATGTGAGAAAAATCAGCGTATGATTCCCCCAATCGCTCAACGTTGTCTCAACCCGCCGAGTTCGTAGCGATCAATAAACCAAGTATAACACGAAGATTAAGAGATGTTGACAAATATTCCATCGGGTAGTCGGAAAGGTATAACTCACCATCATGGCATCTCTGATGGCTCGAGAAGCCATCGTTGGTGAATGGCGATGAATTCTTAGATAACTACGAGAAAGGTCTAGAGTTTGCTTGTTCTGATATCGGAAACCTGTGAAAACCTTGAGTTAGAATCGAATGTGGGTAATTACTAGATATCCCAAGGTGGAAGCAAAATAATTACGTGTGCGGGTGGATGAAAAGTACCCCTCGAACCAAACTTCAAGGTCAAGGTAGATAGGTTGGTAGGTACGTAGCGTAGGGAAAGAATGAAAACGCGTATACTAAGGAAAATGAAGGAGGCGAGTGTTTACGGCAGAGGCACGAGATAGAAAGTGTAGTAGTAGGTGGATGAGTGAAATCAAAGCGTGGGTGAGGTTGGAGGGAAGCCACAATCGTTCTAAAAGTTAAGGTAGAGTGACACTTACCGAGCTTAGTAGGCGAATAAAGTCGTCAAAAGCCGCCTTAAGTAAGACAATGTAGACTGCCTACCTATTCTTTTGGTTAGATTAATCTGTGAAATAATTTCGAGTCTGGAAAGGGCAGTAGACAAACTATGATAGTTAGGGAGATGGCGTGGGAGGTTGTAGTGCGGAAGGTGATGTGCTGTGATTTTTTTTCTCGCAAATCTAGACTGGTGGGAGACGGTGGATGGTTGCATTAGAATGCATGAAAGGCGATTACTTACCAGGTAGACAGAAAAATGGTCTTTCTTCGTGTCTGAGACTTACATACAAGATGTGATGATTTATAGATGTAAGAATCTTAGAGGTGAATGTGTGTAGAAAGGTGAGGTGAAGAAGGTCGAGGTGCGAGAAAAGGTAGAAGAAAAGGTGGGTAAACAGAGAGAGAGTTGTGTGAGAGAAAAGGAAAGGAAAAACGGGAGAGATCAGGGCAGGTGGGATCAGTGTGGGATAAATAAAAACAACCTTAGAAACGAAACGCGTTAATGGCGCCTTCTGTCCCTGATGCGGCGACTGCACTTGCCTACCTGTCAACCTACCTGCCAGGTACACACGTACATGCTAATGTAGCTAGAACCATGTGTACTCAGCTATCACATAGGGCAACAGCCATGCACGGTAGCCAACTCGAGCCTTATATACCTATGTACCTACCTAGATATGTAGATACGTGACAACAAAGCTTATTGCTAGGTGGCGTTACAGGAAGGAAGCGACGTTGACAACCCCCAAACCGGCCTTACAGAGCATAAATGTATTCGGAGACTACAGCTAAGGTTTCTTTTCATATTATACATATATAACTCTAAGCCTGCCACGCCCTTATACAACACCCAACAAGTTATAATATTCTGTCATGTTAATGGTGAACGTATATTAGGATAACTCGGCGTTAGAGATACCTATGTGCCTACTGCATTGTTAAAATATTATTTGGACCACTTGATATATATGTACCCGGACAGTGGCGTCGTGGGCCTAAGGGGAAAACCCTCCATCCAACACTGATGCGTATTAAACACAGAGACATTTGTATAAACGCTGTAAATTATGTCTCTATTCTGGGAAACCTGCATGTATTGTATTCCATAGATATACCAGCAACTGGCAGTTATTCCTTTCGACTCGACCACTTGTCATTGTCTTACTAAGACCTTCAATATTTGGAAGAACTGCAGGACATAGGGAGTGATATTTTCTAAATGACAAGTACTTAGAACTTCACTTATATATATATTTGGTATTTTGAACACATATTTTTTTGTTCTTCTATTTTTCCTATACCTTTTCAAAGAAGCGCCTACACTCAAAATGATCTTCGCAATACAGAACATATCTCAAAGTACTACGAAGTTATATCATTAAGGTATTCCTGGATGAAGTTTCGATTTGTAATTTATAGGCTCATACATCGAAACATGACACTTTATCCTTTGAATTTAAGCAGGCCTGTACTCGGAAATTTCACGTTTATTTTCCGCGGGAATACATAAAATATGCCACCCTTAGCAGTGGTCTAGGTTGAGTTGGAATGTTATCCTAGATAGACTAGTGAGAAAGAAGTAACGCAAATACAAATCACCTCATTGAGGATTTCTCACGCATATCTAGGCCTCAATTATGGGAAATCATATGACGTTGGATGTCTGTTACGCGTGTTACCGTTACGCTGGTGATGTTATGACTACCATAAATATAGCAATCGGTGTTGGCCGAAACCAATTACGGGTAACACAATGGGCAACACGATGAGTAGAACTAGATATTCACCAATCACGGCGAAGAAAACAGTATACTTATGAGTAGGTTGTCATAATAGTTAATTGAAAGATCATAGATCCATTAGGCAGCTGATCTATGTCAAGCCCCATGCAAATATTACATTGCATATTTCATCGATATATCATCAATCATTTTATCGTCCGTAGACGATAGATCTCATCCTTGAGATCAATTCGGTTTGTCCCGTGATCCCCTATATCCCATCTATCTTGTGAAAAATCATTGAATCTCGATTGTCCATCACTGCAACACATCCCCTTAATTCGACTTGGCATCCTTGGGTGGACCCTCTAGGTTGTCTTTGCCTTGACGACCAACATTGCTCAGATCAACATCATCCTTCTTGCTAGCGGGTTCTCGTAGCCCTGATGTGGATCCGCCACCAGTTGAAATATCACTCTGGACACCACCGGAGCCGACGTTGACGTTGCGAGCATCGGCTGAGTTCCAATCCGAAGCAACGGGGGGCTGATCGGGGAGAGGGAGGTTAGACTTGACCTCCTCGGCGTGGTCTGCTTTTGATTGGGCCATTTCTGTCATATGTTAATCGGTATTGTTTTGAACCGGGACACATGCTATGTGACGATATTGATGGTGTGGCTTACTGTTTGTAGGAGTGTAACGTGAAGGCGTTAGATTTCGGTTAAGTTGTTAAGGCGTCTTGCGATGATTCGAGCAGTCGTCCGTTCAATTGATGTTTACAATAATGAAGAAAGAGAATATGAATTTTAATGTTGAATAGCGAAGCTTTAATACCTACGTGTGTATAACGTTTGGATGTAGTAATGATGCCCTAGGAGCTTTTAGTCCGGTGGAGCAGTATTCCTTGACGTCATCACAGAAGCTCCAAGATGCTGATGCGAAGGTAGCTTAGAGAACTGACGTCATGGTTATCAACATAATCTGCAGGCACATGTAGATTTACCGAATCTGGGTCCGCCTATTTGGCTTCAAATGCGCCTCATTACCTTTATTACCCCTGAAAAGCCATTGAAAATCGCCGTGTTCCTCAGGAACGGGGATAATTCAACGGGATGGCCCGCATACGACGACGTAATGGAAGTCACTAGGATAGGTACATGAACAAATTCCTGGTTCGAGTATAGACTAGACGATTCTCGCAGGTCCCGGATTCGTAGACGGGACCCTGCAGCATTGGTATCTATTAGGGCATTGAGGTACATACTACTTGCGATTTAGTACTGCTTCATATTCGTGATCGGCCTAGGGTTCAACGTCATACCGAAACGCCTAAACGCCACATTGATATCTCTTCTCAGCCATCCTAAGGGTAAAATCATTGGCATTGCTTTTTGGTGTATCATAATCTCGTTAATTCTGTCCCTTCACGTAAGAACATAACCTGACTACGCTACTCTTTTGTCCGTTTCCGCGGACGTTGCCCCTCCTTCGTCTGGGTTCAGATAGTTGGCATCTTCGGCGGCTTCATACTCGGCGATCAAGTCTGTTACCACTTCTCTAGCCTCGTCGAATTCGTGGAAGTTCTCCGAGAAAGGCGCGGTCTTCTTGTAACTATCTATGAAAGCATTACGCTTTCGCATACCATCGTATTGGCGGACAATACGTTTGAATAACTTTGGCAATATTAGCGGGCAAGTCATGACTGAAAGGTGTATTGTGAAAATAACATACGGTTGCGATGCTGGTATGATTAGCCAACATTAGACCGCTGACACGGTGACTCATTGGGATGTATGGACTGCGCTTCGTTAGAGCAACCTGGATACTTGCCGGGCCCCACGGAATGAATGTCGCTAATCTTCGTTCACGGATACGTAGTAGACTCTTGTGGACGTCTGTCGGATCGACCTCTCCTTGGATGACGTTTAGGATAGAAATATAACAGCTTTTCTTGCCTGGTACGGTTGAGACCATGCGATTCTTAGGCTGTAGCAGTCGTCTCATGACATCCAATACCGTCGTTTTGCGGACAGTCTTAGCTTGTTCAACTTGGTCTCCCGTGAAAGGAGTATACGCCGTCATCAAGAAATGGCAACGTGGCGTAGGAATGAGTGATGCTAGAATACTAACGAGGTCGTTATGCATGTAGCCGGGATATCGTAGGGTGGTGGTACTGGCAGACATGACTGTTGAGACCAGTTGATTAGTCTGTTGGAATGATGGCTCCTGGACGTGCAGTCTGTCTGCTGCGATGTGAAATAATGCTCCATTGTCCAAAACGACAACGGAATCGGCGTTTTGTGTAAGACGTCTCATGGAGAGGAGACTGTTATACGGGTGAACGACGACACCCGAGTTTGTAGTATCGGGGAATACTGAATATGTTTGAATTATCTTCTTAGGGAACCTGTCGTTCATCCGTTCGAGGAGGAAGGAACCTAGACCTGAACCTGTACCACCAGCGATAGAATGAAGCAACATGAAACCCTCAAGAGAGTCACTGCCATCTGCTTCTCGTTCTATCATCTCCATGATCTCTTCGTGGACAGCCTCGCCTGTCTGGTATCCATCACCCCAATTATTTCCAGCGCCCACACCACTTTTGCCGACGTAGAAATTTTCAGGGTTGTAGATATTTTTATAAGGACCGGTCTGTATGCCGTCGATAACACGAGGTTCAAGATCGATTAGGATGGCTCGGGGGATATATCGCGTGTCGTCGCTTTGGTAATAGAAGACATCCTTGCGGTCACCGCCTTCTGTTGCGAAATCTTCTAGGTTTCCATCTTGATTGATACCGTGTTCTTGGCAGAGCTGTTGCCAGAACTGACTACCGACTATGATATGTCAGTCATATTGTTCTTGTATTATGTATTTATTTCTTCGAGAAAAATGGAGGGTTATAACTCACTGCTGTTGCCGCATTGGCCCGCCTGGATCGTGATAATTTCTCTTGAAAAATATTAGATTATCGCTAATTAAAAACTTCGAAATTAACTTACCTGGGCATTATTGCGACATTTGTTACTGGATTTTACTAACTCCGACTATGAACTTCCTCGGGTTTAGATGTCAACGATGGCTCTTTGGGATGAATTGAAAGTTGATTTGATCTTATCGAGCTTTACCTTTGCACTTTCACGCGTAGCGCGCGTTCCATTCACAGGGGGTTACAGGGGGTTACACATGGCGGGGTGGAATAAATTGTATATCTCTATAAACTCGGTTAAACAGCTAGATTTAGCCAATCGGGGTTATTATCGTTCTAGCCGAGCATTATATAATTTCCATTTTCCTCAAATTGGCGCTACCCACACATTATCCCTTCACACGCGTTTGATGTTAAGCGTCAGATAGATGATACCTAAGGTAGGTAACCGCCTCCTCATCTTGGGAGCCCGTGGATCGAACGATCGCTTTCGACTGGTCGACCCTGCGCAAAATGTATGTCCTCGATGACATGGCAGCATAGCTATCGACGTGACAAGCTAAAGCTCCACAGCGTCTCGGAGAATTACCGAAGTAACCTCTAAATATTTTTTACTGCCCGCGAAACAATTGAAACATTCTAGAATCGATCATAAACCGACGAAACTCGAGGGTCACGGTTATAGGGTTTTCCAGGGATTATTCGTTATGGTAGAAACTATCCAAGTGAGTAAGCGTATACTTAATATATTCTAGATTATGATATGTTTAGTTCGATTACTGAATCATGTCACATTATCACGAGTCGTTTCAAAACATAATCATACAAACAGAATAAAAACCTCAACAGCTTCATTTGTTGCGAAATATAAAGTACTTTGTACATACCTAGGTATATGTATACAGACACGCTATAGCAGTTTCGGACCAATAGAAACCGTCAACCCCTGGATATAGTATCACAGACAGGAGCGAAGGGCCTGAGGTGCATGGATCCATCCATGCGTGTGATAACCTTCCGATGCCGAACAGTTGGTTCCTCTTGCCGCCAATTGCAAAGACATGTATCCATCCGTGCCTACCTAGACGCACCTCCAGGGCTTCTGAAAGGCTAAATAAACCACCCATCGCCATTGCCCAAATTGTTATTTGCCATTTGGCAGCCTCGAGGCGGAAAACAATGGAACCCACACACGTACATATTAGCACTTATTAGATTTATTAGAACTTTCAGTGTTCCATCTTCAACTTCGCGATCACACCCCAACCCATCTTTTTTTCAATATTCCGTTCTACACTAGTCACCTCCAATTTCCAAGTTTTCCTCGTTTTATTCCAATGCTCTGATTAAATGTTATCTAATGTACATCATGTCGAATCCATAATCCATCCATTTGGTACCCAATACTACCTCCTAATTCGTTAAAATTGACCACACATCTGCGGTTCCTCCCCCACATCCAATTAAAACAAGCGAATTTTCTATCCGGATAGGGGAGGCCGTTCTTGTACGATTCAAGGGATTCGCTCGGGTCCTTGTCATCGAGGTCACGCGCTAATATTAGACTTAACCACGGCCGAACTTTGAAAGGGTGGGAACCACCACGCTCGGTCAGCCATGCAGAGATCTGCTACCTCCACGCCGACGCAGAATGCGACTCCTTTCTTTTCCTCCAATATCTGGGGGACCGGTAGTAATTCGAACCCCGTCGCGAACCCAAATCCCCAATCACAGTCGCAGCAAGGAGGAGGCGGTGGTAGCTTCAGCAGATCCAGACCTGGTACAAGTTCGGGTGATCGAGATAGAGACAAGGACCGGGAACCTAACGTTCTAACCAAAGAACGCGATCGCAAACCTTCTTTTGGCCGAAGACCATCTTTCTCTTCCCCATCTAAAGGGAAGCGTCGCGCAAGCTCATCCAATGCGGGAGCGGGATCCGGAAATCAAATCAAAACTGACGCCACCGCACCACCCGCGATACCCCCTGATTTCGCCCTCGCGGCTGCGGCCAAGCTTTCAAAGGAAGCCGAAGTAGTACCTTCACCGGCCTCAACCGATTCCTTTTCCAAGATGATCGGTCGCTCCGCGCCAACGCCTATCAATGGATATTATCCGAGTTCTGCGACCTCTCCTCCTTTAATCCAAAACGAAATCCCTTCATTACACCAGCATATACACGAGATCGCGAACAAGAGGATATCAACTTTAGATTACCTGCGCAAGGCGTATGTGAACCCATTTCATCCGCTTACCTCACGCGTTATTTCTAGTACTGACAATATGTATTAGTCATGAAGGTCGAATCTATTGGTTTAATACGTTGCTCTTTGACAAACCGGATCTGGCGCGTATGCCCTACTTTGATAGTCGCAAACTCGCTTATCGCGCAACCAATTATCTGCTGCTGGGACTTTCACTACCTGCCGTCATCGACCTCAATTCTTCTACGCCGCTCGAATTTCTTCGTTCCCTCAACACTCTCCTCGCCGAATTCGAATCCTACCAACAAATACATACTGAGAATGGCGTGAACACAAGCTCACTTTCTCGCGCCCGGATACCAAATATGTTCCGACGAGGACCTGGTGGGAAAGGGCGAAGACAGTCAGGAGCTGCGGATTTATATACGGATGCCAGCAACGGCCTAGCTAGTGGCTCAGCAGTGAACTCGGCACCGACGAGCGTCATCAATTTTGGACCTGGCGGCGAGGGGAATGATCTTGTACCTGGCGAGGAGTATACGCACCTTCTTACGCCGAATCTCCCTTTTGATCCGGACTTTTTCGAAACGTTTGCGACTTTATGCGATGTCCTAATCGATTGCTATTCGAGACTCATGACTCTCCTTCCCACACCAAAGGATTGTACACCTATCATCGCAGAATTGTTCACCAAGGCCGATGCGAAAGTACGCAAAATTATCATACAAAGTGTGGTCAAGGAATTCGAAGATTCAAGTAGGGCCGGCTTGAAGCAAGAAATCACCAACGTTGGCAAGGTGGTCCTAGGCGGTCTGGTTTGATGAAGTGTTTATATATAATGAATACGTAATAATGGGCCTCATGTTTATTGGCTTGGTTTGTTGTCAAGGTGTTATTGGACTACTTCGGATCGAGGATACCAGGTCACATGGCTTATGAGCATAACGGCGTTGGGTTCTTCTCGGGAACTCGGGTGCATATATAAAGTGCGGCAGAACACTATGTTTGATAGAAGGGATATGTATAAATATTGAACATTACGTCTGATTCAACGGATAGTGGCTACCTGAATATTCTACACATAACGGGAGTGAATTTATTGAAAGAGGATTAAGAAAATGTTCATCAGATACCATAACGCATTTGAAGTCTTCAACGAGCAAAGCCACAGCGTGGTTCGCCTCAGTGCTTGACTCTAATATTGGATATCATCACCTGAACCTGATTAGCTGCTGAGGTTAAGTCAATGTCTCTATAGCCCCACGTAACCTCCAATCCAGAGCAATACAGACGGAAAGAAAAGCTTCCCACGAAGCCCAGAGTGTAAAAGTGTCTGATTGCCTGTCATGAAGGGAACCCCCTCGCACCAAGAATAAGCCCCATCGAGTAACCAAGCCATCTCCCGAAGGAAGAAACAAGGCAATCGCATAACTATCGATCTCGACAACAAGGATCTACACTCGCCCTTCACGCTCCCCATCCGCCTAATCCACAGCCAACTGTCATCAACATATCCCTCAGTATGCAGACTCCAAACCTTTCAACCAAGAGCGCGGACTCATATCTTCGTCCATAGGGTCTCAAGGCCAGAAAATTCGAAGCTGCACCCAGAGAAACAGGCGATGTAGCGACAGACGGGGCAGATCGCGACAGAACGGTGAACAGACGAGGAGACATAAGCCGCTGTGCTTCTATGGCGGCGCGTTTCCGCAATACCCTTCGAAAAGAAAGGGACGTCCGGGGACTTTCTCCCAAAGCTTTGATATGGAGGGGAGACGACCAGTATTGGAAGTCTCTGTATGTAGCTTCGATAGCGATTTGTTGGGCGAGAGGGTTGAAGAAAATATGAAGGGGAAAAAAAGTTTGAAGTGTAGCGTCAACAAATTTTATTCAAGTGGATTACATAATAGCAGTATGGTCCAAGCTTCTTAAGGCTAGCAAATAAGATGTATCAAAGTACACTATAAAAACTTCACGTGCCCACTACCTAGGTAGGAACTAAGCGCTTTTGGGTTGAAAAATCGGTCAAACACGGTTTAAACTAGGCGACCTTTGGAAGTAACTAGGAGCTCCATTGTCGCGCGGTTAGGAGCATACCTCTCTGCCTGAGGTACGCTATAATACAGCGGTAGCAACCGCGTTCACGTCGACGTCAATAACGTTTCTTAGCCATTTCTAAAACTTTCAATACCAGCCATCTAGACCGATACACCTCCCCAACACCTACCGTTGACCTTGGTAACCCAATAGTTTCGACGACAACGGGTAATGGTTACTAAAAGTGGTCTTCAAAGACAGCAACTGCGGCTTTGAAACCAAAAACATTTCGATTGTGCGTATCGCTTTGTAGCCTCGACCGAAATTCGATAAATTCCAGTCGCAAAGTACGATTCCCACCGACAGTCACCTCATACCGACGACAAAACACAACTCAATACCAAATTTAATCATCACCGAATTTAGCTGGACGAACCACAGTTCATTTCAAGATGTCAGGACTCTTCGGTGGCAGCTCTACATCTGCGGCCCCAAGTAACACTATGGGAGACCTAAAGAACGATGTCGCTGTCTCAAATCCTCCCGAAGACACAGTTTCCGATCTTGTATTTTCACCCACACAAGATTTCCTAGCCGTTTCCAGTTGGGATAAGAAGGTCCGCATATACCAGATTGCTTCCAATGGTTCTAGTGAAGGAAAGCATATGTATGAGCACGACGCTCCTGTCCTCAGCGTGGATTTCTCCAAGGTAAGCCGAGGCGTCCGGGCTGTTTTCACGGGGTTCTGTATACTGACATTCTTTACTTAGGATGGCAACAAGATTGTCTCCGGCGGCGCAGACAAGCAGGCCAAGGTCTGCGACTTACAAACCCTCCAGACAGCACAAGTTGCCGCTCACGACCAAACCGTCCGATGCGCACGCTTCTTCGAGCTACCTAACTCCAACGGCCCTATGCTGGTAACGGGTTCATGGGACAAGACCATCAAGTACTGGGACCTGCGACAAAGTACACCTGTTGGCACTCTAACATGCCAAGAACGTGTTTACTCCATGGACGTACGCAACTCGTTGCTAGTTGTCGGTACAGCTGATCGTTACATCAACGTTGTCAACCTTCAAGATCCCCTTAAGTTTTACAAGACGCTTCAGAGTCCGCTCAAGTGGCAGACTCGCGTCGTCAGCTGTTTTACTGACGCTAGTGGATTCGCCATCGGTAGTATCGAGGGTCGATGCGCGATACAATACGTGGAGGACAAGGACTCGAGGTAAGTTCATTCCATTAAGGCAGTATACTGAAGTGATTAATGTGTACTAATCGGAATGCAAAATAGTTCCAACTTCTCGTTCAAGTGCCACCGCGATCCTCCCCAAGGAAACACAACTCAAGTTTACTCCGTCAACGACATCTCATTCCATCCCCAGCATGGTACTTTTAGCACTGCCGGTAGTGACGGTACGTTCCATTTTTGGGACAAGGATGCTAAGCACCGTCTTAAGGGGTACCCAACCGTAGGAGGCAGCATCACGGCAACAACATTCAACTCCAGCGGTAGCATCTTCGCGTACGCAGTGGGCTACGACTGGTCCAAGGGATACATGGCCAACAACCAAAACTTACCCAACAAAGTAATGCTCCACCCCATTCAAGGTGATGAGTGCAAGCCGAGACCTAGCGTAAAGAAGCGTTAGGAGCCTAGCACTGGTGTCGACGGCAAGAAGAAAAACGGAAAGTCCGACAATAGCATGACTGGCATTGTCAAGGAAGGGCTTGACGTGATTAAGAATAAGAAGAAATATTAAGGAAAAGTTGTGGTGGAATCGGTTAGATCACGTCAGGTAGCTAGTTTGTTGATTTGACCGAATTTAGGACACTCGATTTCTACGAAGAAGCACGCAGGGGGGCAGAAGGGACTGCAAAGTCATTTCTCGACAAGTTTGGAGGAGTCGATGGTCGTCTTGATGTTTGGGGGATGGAAAACGAATGATACCAATCATATACTCTACCTTCATCGCCTGGTAGGTAGGGTGCCTATAAGTAGTTAGGTAGATAACTAATAGAGAATGCCATCTCATCACAAATGCTACGGAGTTTATTGATTATGCGGTTTTAGGAAGTGTCATACTAGGAATGGCTGTCTTGTAAGTGAAGAATGAGATCTCGGGACTTCGGAATGTTGTGGCGCAGGCCCAAGCCACAAATGGCAATGTATTTTCTTACGTAACGATGCCCCGCCACCCCCTTTTCTTTCTTGCAGTGTGTTCTGGCATAATATCAATCCTAGACGCAAACAATATTCCATTTGGATAGGGGGAAACACCTACCTGGACTTCAGCTATCAAAAGAAGCCGCACTCCACCTATCCAAACATACGCATCCAATTGAATAGACCCGAAAGTATTCCTCGCTACCTACACATGACGGGACTCGCAATCAACATACCATTTAGGTACATATAATGGACAGAGCGGCGAAAGAATCATAACACAAATCCGCACGATGAGAGAAGGTACCTTCTTTGTGAACTCCGTGCAGAATGGGATACTTTCCGACGGGGTGTACGGCGAGTTGAAAGTGGCGCCGGGCATTAGTATATCAGTCAAAGCCTATCTAGACAAGCCGGACCTTCAAACTTACGTCTTACCCGGCATGCTACTTTTCATTGGAAGCTGGGGAGGGCCTCTCGATCAGAGTTTTCATAACTGCGCTTGGATTCTATTGTTGGAGGATCGGGCTCTTGTGGTGGAAAAGAATAACGGAGCCGAATGTTAAGTCGGATCATGATCGCGGTGGGGTGAACGGAATAGTAATATTCGACGTCAATTTCGGCATAACCCTAATATGTTGTCCATGACGTACCTTTAAGCAACTCGTGAATCTATGGATATGGAGAACGTATGTTGTCAAAATGGGGTTAAGGCAATATATTGAGTAGCTATAATCTTTTTACGATCTGCTTGCCGTATCTTCCTCCCCTCAATCTCTCAGGGAGAAGCTACTCTTCTTTATGCTGTTTGACAGTAGTACATGATGTTCAGTACAGCTTCCTTTCTTTGATACGAAACAGCCAAGAGCTGTGTTGGTGCCTTATGTATATTACAGCGCTTACAGCGCTTCCTTTTGAGCCTATCATCTCTCATCCATACATGTGTTGGTGATGGCTTCCTATCAGGATGATACAGGTGTCATAACACCTTAGTCACCGCGTATTGTTTACGTTTTTTTTTTTTTTTTTTCCTCGACAAAGCGCGAAAGTCATCTGATATCCTCCATCATATTGTCAATTTGGGCCGCCTTTAAAGGTTATATTCGCTCTAATCGTATTACCGTGCGCCGTTTCTAATAAACCGCTAATGCACCATAAAATTTAGATTTATAAGATTATAAATACTGTAATTATAGGGCATTTTAGTGGAGTGTTAGGATGCCCTGTAACTTCCTTATAATCATCCTGTAGCTATAGGGCCTTACAGGGTCTTGGTGCATTATAATTACAGGGTGGCTATTCTTCCTATAGCCTTTCTAGTCGTCGTCGTCGTTTTTTTTGCGATATAATGCGTCGAGGGGTAGCAGAAAGGCACCTACCTGTTACCAAAATATGCCGTCTATTAAAGTCGCATTGCCAATCCAGGGAAAGGGTAGGCTAATAGATATAAAGTAGAGCGGCAACAAGCCAGCCGTAAGAATACTCGCGATTTGCCCCGGGATCGGTATAGAGAACTCAAAATTCTACGCCGAACGGTGTATTAGCCCGAAAACCATCCCAGCTAGCACGAATCCATCGTCCAAGTCGGGCACCGCGAATATTGGGGAGGGGGGTGGAATAGTCTATCCGAAAGGGATAAAACTTGCTCTAATCATGGGCTCATCATACTTGACCATGTTCTTGGTAGCACTTGTAAGTTCCCCTCTATGAGGTCTCGGAACCTAGCCTGGATTCACCGTGAATCTAACGACTCTGGCGTAGGACCGACTCATCGTTACGACTGCAATACCGAAAATAACGGACGAATTCCACTCGGTGACGGACGTCGGACGGTACGGATCAGCCTATCTCCTTACGAACTGCGCATTCCAACTTTTCTTCGGCAAGCTCTACGTTATATCTAGTATCAAAGCTGTCTTTCTCGCAAGTATTTTGACGTTTGAAATTAACTCCGCGGTATGTGGTGCTGCACCTAACTCGGCCGCCTTGATCATCGGACGTGCTATCGCGGGGTTAGGAAGCGCGGGTATCTTCTCAGGGGCGGTAACAGTTACGGTGTACTCTGTCCCACTTCACCGGCGCCCGTTTTACCAGGGGCTTTTCGGTGTCGTCTTCGGGCTTGCGAATGTAATATCCCCTCTGTTAGGGGGCGCGTTTACCGACAGTTATGCTACTTGGAGATGGTGTTGTGAGTCGTCCCCCATTTCCCGCCTACCAAGACGCGCTTCGATGCTACTCGAAATATGAGAAGGATGAACGATTGACCCTGGTTGCAGTTTACATTAACTTGCCTATTGGAGCTTTCTCAATGGTATTCATCTTCCTTTTATTGCATATTCCCGACCGAGATACGACACGCCTCCCTGTGAAAGAAAAGCTGGCTAAACTCGATGGCCCGGGTCTTGTCACACTCCTCGGCGGAATCATATGTCTCTTACTCGCGCTTGAATGGGGAGGTACGACTTATTCTTGGGATAATGGCCGAATCATTGCGCCCCTTGTAATTGTCATCGTTCTATTGATATCCTTCGTCATTATACAGATCATCTGGCCGAAGACCGCTACTGTGCCACCCCGCATTTTCATCCAACGCAGTATCATGGCGTCTTTCTTTGCCATGTTCACCGCCGGTGCGACGATGATGACCACTTTCTATTATCTCCCTATCTGGTTCCAGGGTGTTCAAGGTGTGAGCGCCGTTGAGTCTGGTATCAGACTTCTCCCAACAGTAATTGGCCAGGCTGTCGGATCTCTTGCAGGTGGTGTCGCAATCCAGAAATTCGAATATTACACGCCCTTCATGCTGTTAAGTGTCGCATTGATGTGCGTGGGGACCGGCCTCCTTACCACACTTCATGTCGATACGTCGGAAGGCAAGTGGATTGGTTATCAGATTCCCTGGGGTATTGGGTTAGGGACCATGTTGTAAGCTCCGCTCCTCGCCTCGCAAACTGTGCTGCCCCTTGAAGATGTTCCTATCGGTACATCGCTGATGTTCTTCGCGCTATTATTAGGCGGTTCTATCTTCGTTAGTGTTGGACAGATTCTTTTCGACAATTACTTTGTCAAGGATTTGGCAGGCATAACGGGCGTCAATGTGGCTACGATACTCCAAACAGGGTGTCACGGCCACCACGGAGATATCCGAACCGGCTAGGGGGCTCGTGGTCGCGGCTTATAATGACGCTCTGAGGACTGTTTTTATCACGGGTTTGGTTATGGCGTGTTTGACGTTTCTTGGCGCTGCGGGTATGGGATGGAAGAGTGTTAAGAGGGGTTCGCCCAAGGCTGATGCCGACAGTCAAAGCGGTACTGTTATTGAAAAGACTAGCTAATGGGTGATGTAAGAACCTGTGGAAGACGATCCTGTTAATTGGTTGTCATTCAGATGTTGATAACTGTATGCTCTAGACTCTAGGAGATTATCAGCATTCTATTGGATAGTCTGTTACTCACTTAGACGATTGATATTAAATTGAAAATTTCCGCAGCTTGGTTATAGCTATGGGTATGCCAACATCTTGCTTCCGAATATCTCGAATCATAGTACAAGCTGTTTATTAAGATAATTTATAACTTCCCTACCTCCGTAGATAAGTAGGAGGTTTCTATCCAATATCTTATTTTTACGAGCCTCCTTTATCTTGTGTAAAGAAATCTTGCCAATTGGTCAATCCGTAGAAGCCACATTCTCCCGTTGTTGATGGCGACTCCATCGGGGTTACTCCGAAACAATGTGGCGCTACTGTCGGCATCGCTCCGATCTCACCCTCTGATAAAGGTTTTCGATTTATCTCATTAAGAACTTCAATCGCCCATCCGAGTCCTTGCCGGAGTCGGTTTAGGTAGGCACAAGGACGATTAGGGTGATGCAGACTCTCTAGGATGCGAGGTATGGCATAAAGAAGTTCGATGTCATTATGCTCATTATACGCCGTATTACCACCTCGTCGGGGATGATCCGATAGGGCCTCGACAAGGTGAAAAGAGAGCAGATCAGTAAACGCGACTGCTGGATAAATACCTAGAACCCGGTTCAGTGAAGCCAACCGCGATTTAGCGACGCTGCTCGGCGTCGGACGAAAGCCGTCCTCGATGTTGCTCATTTGTATGATCAGCCTCAGACAGGTGCGTGCATGTTGTCGCATCCTTTCTTGGTAATCCATGTCACCGCATCGAAGAATTAGGATATGCGCGACATGATAGCAATACTTTACCTCAAGCCGTAGAGGAATTGAGTCATCGCTGCCCTGGGCATTCGGGCTTAATTGGATATTTGATCCCGTAGGATTTCCTTCAAAAGAGTGAATGGGATTCGCGCCTAGAACCCCGCGGTGATGTTCGTGCGGATGGAAGAAGTGCCTGTCAGTCCGCCTTGCCAACGGGCGACTTGACTTTCTAGGCCAAGTTCTAGTAGAGCGATATTGTTAAATATGATAGCCCAGGGATTATCCGCGTTGGATTCTCCCAACGGTTGCATCCGCGATATGTCTAAATAATAAATGTCTACGGCCTCCCGAAGGTCCTTTTCGTTAAAAATAGGGAATCGAGTATTGATGTCTTTCAGAAACCCATCGATAAATAGACGCGCTATTAGCTGGGGTGGAGCGACAACAGTCTGACGGTCACTAGATATGATGGGTTGAACACATTTTCCTCGGAAGGGGAAATTTTCCAAGTGGCGACGCATCATGTCACTCCTGGGTGCTGCTACAGAGTAATCCGGCCCGTCTTCGTTATGACCAGCAACGACATCCCGGCAATTGTCCGCTAGCTTACTTGCTATTGACTTAAGTAATGCCATTGACGAAGGGTGTCTGTATACACGCTGGCCCCCTTGCTCAAGATCGACCCTTTCGGTGAGAAATTCATTTTTGCCTGATGGTGTCGGGTGGCCCGGCGTCTGACATCTCAATTGGCCAAGCCCGTGCTGTGAGCTTGGTAATAATATGCCGGGTATTGCGCTACCCAGTCTCGAACTTCTAGGTCGTGTAGGAGCGATATTGAAAGGCAATTTGAAGTAGCTCAGTCGTTCACTTGCAGGCCTATGAGGTGGGTTCGAACCCGAGTCTACTAACAGGTTGGAGCGTTCAGCAAATTATTGTTTCAATTGAATTAGCGTCTGATAAATCCCGTCTAAACGGTACAATACGCTGGAGAAATCATCTCGCCTAGGGTTCTCAGATATTATTAGTTAGGATAGGTACCTATGTAGGTGGCTGTTTTAGTGTGAGGCGGGAATAACGAAAATATAGGGGGGTCGGGGTAGTCCTTGATCACTACCTGGCAGCCTGGGTACCTGAATAGCTTGCTTTTCGGGGGAAGGCACAGGAAGGCCGGTTGAGAATGGAGAAAATAATAAGAGAAAACTCGGGCTCACAATTCTTTGGTATGGTTCACTCGCTTTATGCTACCCGTCTGGTTGCATGCGGTGCCACTCTTACGACAGCTAGAACATTCAGGTTGCTGACGATCACAACGGACCTTACGAATTCTGCACTGGTCGCAAGAGACTGAGGACAAACTGGGTGAGTTCGAGGTTGAGGTGGATGATATGTTCTGCGGATCGTTTTGGGGTATCCTTTGGCGTTTACGGGGCTGGTTGTTAGGTGACCCTTCACTGTTTTCTAGCGAATCTCCTTCCAATTCAGCGTCCCCTCTATCTTTGGGAGGAGCGGTAATACGCCGAGTCCTCCGCATTCTGTTCCTACTCCAAAAAATAGAGCCCAAGATATATGGTTAACTTTATGGTCTCGGAACTAGATAATCGCAACATCTAATATCTCGAATTGCCGCCGATATCATCGAAATTTAGGACGAGTTCAAGTTCAATACTAATACGTATTAATAAGCAAGATCTATCTCTCTGTCGATGACTAAGCCCTCTCATTCTAATTCTCATAAAGCCTCCACAATCGTCCGCTTAAATCTCAATCTAGATCTTCATTTACCACAAGTCTATACATATACAGTACGACTAATAACAGATCAACCATCCTATACACTTAAAAAAAGTATTCACAGATACTAATAAATATATCTATAGGTCATATGAGATGGGAAGCTTCGATAGTAGTGAATATTCCACTAAGATTGTCACGACAGCGATACGCGACGGCCATGAGGCTAGACCGAAGGGGTGTCGCCCCGACCAGGGTCATTTCGCCCCGTCTCTATAGGTTAAAGCACAACTACATGGGATAATGGCAGAATTGACGCTAATTGGTATTTTCTACGATCACCGATGCTCGATGGAGCAATGAGGATTCACTATACCTCCAGGTCTCATGCCAAGTGTTTCTATTCCTAATTAATGAGCTAGCTCAGCCCTCAAGCTGTATCTTCAAGAATGGCATCCTTGACGGGTTTTATCTCGACATCATCGTTAACATATAACATTGTAAAATGTCTGCTGTAACTATACTACGTAGAGCTTCATAAATCCTCGTCGCGATGGAGTCTAGGGCTGAGACAAGGGAGCCCCCCCAGCGACAATTGACCGAGCCGGCAATCAATCCTCGGCGCGCGACAGTGTCCAAAGTAAAAGAGAAACCCACATTACGATATCGAAAAACGCCGACTTTCCTACTGATCATATACCTACCGACCTTAATTGTACCATGGGTACTCATATGTATCATGACGAAGCGGCCACTGGGGAGTTCCTCTTACTATGACCAGACGGGTACTCATTATGTGGACAATGCAGCAGGTTTCTTGGTTACACAGCTACTAAAAGCCATCAACGCAGTCTTGGCAGTGCCTGTCATCTCAACGCTCCTAGCCAATGCTGCTATCGTTTATGCCATGCGCCGACGGCCTGATCAAAAACTCAATGTGCAGCAGTTATTCGCTCTCGCGGATAAAGGATGGTCTAACTACCTCCTTTTATTGAACGCTAACTCACATGGTAGAGGTAGCCGATTTTTGTGGTTAGCAGCGCTTCTTGTTATAATAGGTTTGACTTTGCTGCTCATGACTAAAAGTAAATGTTGCTAATCCTCTCAAGCTGCCATCTTACAACCCTTGATCTCAGTACTAGTCACGTTTGAGGCAGTTGCAGCAACATCATGCCTTGATATACCTTACAAGTACTGCTCCGAATTTGGACCAGTGACTATCGGCTTCGATCCGGAACCGGCCGATATGGCTTTTCTACAGCGCGACCTTGTCCTGCAAGATGTCTTGGGCCGTTTGGTCACTGCATCTGATACAGAGCCCCAGCCGAACTTATGGCCCGTCAATCCAGATTCAACGGACTGGATAGACGGTTATACGCACCCGCCCTACAGGCGAATGTTCACGCCCTATTCGACCAAGTTCGGAAGCAATCCCGATGGGTTTTTCGTTTCAGCACTGGAGAATGGAACCAATACGGGTGTACTGCGTGAACACGCCATACGACTAAATTCTTCGGTACACTGCGAGCTTATCTCACCGTCTGATGTACCATATCCATGCCCAGGTGCGCGGCCTCTAGATATACACCTCGATCGCCTAGGGCTTAAGCTCGACGTTTGCGCGCCGGGGAACGCGAGCCAATTCCCTTTCACGCCTAGTCGCAACCGCCAGGATATTACCGAAGAACTATACATCCACCTAGAAGCACCGGAGGACTTGACTAGGCTTCGGGATAATTTTACTGTCCACTGCACCGCATCGACAACTAGGGGGTACTTCGAACTCGGCAATGAACAGAACAAGTACGTTTACGGCCCGCTGCTGGATAAATGGCCCGACCCCGACGATATCGCAAATAATTTCAATGACTTTCGGGGTACAGCTGCGGATGATGCGCGTCCTACAGAAGAGTAAGCCCCCTTTCCAATTAACGTGTAGCCTCACCAAAACTAACGTATCATCTCAAGGGACCTATCTTCGATAAGGGATAAATACAACCTCTTTCTACCAGGCGAGCAATCAATCGGCTTACCCTTCACCGACTTCGGCACCGAAAAAAGCTCCTGGACTCCAGGCCCTTTGATGGTATCCGCCGAAGTCCTCTTCGGGAACTACTCGTTCCTCCAATTCCTCACCGACAACTCAACCTCCACCACCCCCGTGCAAGCTTTTGCGGCAATGTGCGAGCACGGCAGTATCCCATTCTCACAAATCCTAGGCATCATCCCATTTGACGGCGGTCCAGCATCTTACTGCGCCAACATCGCGAATATCGTGAATAGTAAAACTAGCATGGGTAGTTACGACAACGATATAACCCTCATAGCAGCTTCGCACGCGCGTATATTCAATAACACGGAGTACGCCGAGTACGCGCTGATGATCAGCATGTACTTCGCGAACCGAGCCGTTCTTACGAAAACCGTAATAGCCGAGCAACCGTCTTTTGGCGTTCGCCCGATTTATTATTCTCCTGGTACGGTTATGGCAAGACCTACTATGGCTACCGCAAGTATGGTCGTTCTTACAATCCTGATTTTCCTGCAGGTGGTGGGATTGGCGGTTGTTACTTGGTTGATATACTCGGTGCCTACTTGGGCGGCGGCGTTTGATGCTATGGAGGTGGCGAGGATTGGGAAGGCGTTGAAGGACAGTGATTTACCGCCGCTCGGACCGGTGTCGCGGAAGGATGAAGAGAGGTTGACCAGGATTGATGCGTTGATAGGTACGGTTACTAAGGAGGGAGGTCGCGATGTGGAAGAAGAGGGCGAGGCGAGAGATGGACAGGTTGAAGTGCCGCTGATGGAGAAAGACCGCGTACAGTTGGCGCTTGGTGGGGAAGGACCGATTACTCGTCAAACGTTTCGAAAGAAGAAGGCAGTAGATATGATTCCTACCTGACGCGAATAGTATCGCTATCTATGCTACGGTTTCGAGGTGCCATAATGATATAGATGAACCGTCTATCCAACTTCTTCGGTAGGACGCGAGGCTTTACCTGCCTACTGATTATCATCCGCCTAGGATGGAAATGGGAAATCTTCGCGGAAGGTAATTTTTTTATGCGCACTACTTGTAGTCTTTTGGATATTCGGTTCAAGAAAATATCCTATCTTCACTCTACCTTTGAGAGGGAGGACGATATGTTGATGACTAAGGTTAGGGGGTAGAAGAAAAGGGGCTGAATAATCATCGGTAAGGAAATAAAAAGATGACATACTAACATAAATATGACCCTACAGAAAACTGGGAGGCCTCTTTAGGTAAATAAGAGAGCTATGCTAGAACAGCATATTTCTGCTAGGAGGCCTCAAGAAGATCGGGAGGCCTTTGGTGCTTATAAAGAGGTTATTATACAAAGCCATATAATAAGTTGGAGGCCTCATGTAGTTAGCGGGGTTTCTGTGCCCCGCGATTTAGTGGTATAATAGGGCGAAAAGTTGGTGGGGTTTAAGCTCGGAAATCGATGAAATCCATCAGCCTTTCAACTTTTAAATAATTCAATCCAAACATCAGCCTCGTCTTGATTTTTGACAAGATGGCTGCCAAAGCTCCTACAGAGGAGTTAAAGAAACTCAGTGGTAAGTATTAAATTAAGAACTATTACTTATGTATTTCCCTAACCTTCAATAGTTGGTGCCAATGGTGGCGCAAACGGCAAGGCCGCCGGCGCATCCAACGGTACCAAGAACGGCGATGCCGAAGAGCATTCGGCCGAAGACTCCGATGACGACGCCGACGAACAAGTAGCCGAGCCTGCACCCGGGGCTGCCAAGAAAAAGAAGAACAAGAAGAAGAAGCCAAAGAAGAAGAAGAAGGCTCCCACTGCTCAGACAGATCCTCCTAGTGTTTTGATGTCGCAATTATTCCCGAACAATACCTACCCTAAGGGTGAAGAGGTCGAATACAAGGACGAGAACCGCTACCGCACCACCAGCGAAGAGAAGCGACACTTAGATAACTTGAATACCGACTTCCTCGTCGATTATCGTCATGCTGCTGAGACTCATCGTCAAGTTCGCCAATGGGCTCAGAAGAACATTAAACCTGGCCAGACCTTGACCGAAATTGCCGAAGGTATTGAGAATAGTGTTCGACGCCTCGTCGGTCACGACGGATTGGCAGAAGGTGATTGTCTAATTGCGGGTATGGGATTCCCCACCGGTCTGAACTTGGATCATATTGCCGCCCACTTCAGCCCAAACGCTGGAAATAAGACGGTTTTACAGCAGAGCAATGTCATGAAGGTGGATATCGGAGTTCACGTCAACGGAAAGATCGTTGATAGTGCCTTTACTATGGCTTTCGATCCCATGTACGACAACCTGTTGGCGGCCGTTAAGGATGCAACCAACACAGGTATCCGGGAGGCCGGTATCGATATGCGCCTGGGTGAGCTTGGTGGATATATCCAAGAGACCATGGAGAGTTACGAATGCGAGATCAACGGCACTACATACCCGATTAAGTCGATTCGTAACCTTACCGGCCACACCATTCTACCTTACAGCATTCACGGAACCAAGAGTGTCCCCATCGTTAAGTCGGCGGACACTACTAAGATGGAGGAAGGTGATGTTTTCGCTATTGAGACCTTCGGCAGTACCGGAAACGGTTACGTCCACGATGAAGGGGAGGTTTCTCATTATGCCATGCGCAGAGACGCCCCGAAGGTTGACCTACGTTTGTCTTCGGCGAAATCTCTTCTTAATGTCATCAAGAAGAACTTCGGCACTATTCCATTTGCTCGAAGATACCTAGACAGACTAGGCCAGGAGAAGTACTTACTCGGAGTAAGCATTCCTAGAAGATTCATGCTCCATAAATGAACCTAGCTAACGTTCTTCTAGTTGAATAATCTCGTCCAAGCAGGTATCGTAGAGGACTACCCGCCTCTACTTGATAAGAGGGGCTCGTATACCGCCCAGTTTGAGCACGTGAGTTTACTAACAATGTTATCATGATCGGGCACAGTGACTAACATCGTTCCAGACTATTTTGCTCCGACCTACCGTGAAGGAGGTCATCAGCCGTGGCGACGACTACTAAGTAAAATGATATGAACAATTCGGGTTGACTGCGTTTGTGGTTATTCCCAAAACATGTAGCCTCTACTGAGGGGTCAAAATCAAACGAATTCTCACATTTTGATCTTTCGATCATATTATAGAAAACCTATGAAATAAAACAAGTTTAGTGCGAATCATGAACATAAGCCTTAGCCACATCTTTCGATCCCCAAACCCAAGTAATTACCTAGGTGTATTCCTTGCCAGGTAATATAGTGAGATCTCTTACCTAACCCTCCGGGTGGCGGTGGAGACAATGACGTTGGATTCGAGATTTACTGTAATTGGTTAAGGCCGTGCAATGTTATTGGTTGGTGAGGGATCGCCAGCAAATTTCATGTTTGTTTGCTAAGAACTGCTTAGTAAATTTAGCTGGCATTCGAGTTTGAAGAGCGTCTAATAGTAGTGCAGCGTACTATCCGAGTCCATTAATGGATTTATTGTAACTGAGGTATTAAGAAATTCCTTGGGTAACTGATTGGATATATTCGAGGGATTAATTGGTTGTGAGTTGTTTAGTGAGTGTGATGTCACGTATTGATTCGATCGAGGATCATCTCGAACCACTTTAAGTAGGGCTGAAGTCATACAAATCATCATTTTGAAGTAATTGAGGTAAGAGGCTGAAGTCGATCAATTAATTACCACCAATTTGTCACCTTTTGATGTTGATCAATGTGAATAATAAACTAAAACCTCCGATCTTTCACAAGTATGAAATGAATCTGGACCCTGTAGATCGATTAAATGATATGTAGAAATTGTGTTGTAAGCGGCATTTAGCGAAGTTCTAGGTGTTCGTTAATGTTCGTTAGCTCCGCAATCCGCTTTGCCCGCTCCAGGTTTTTCGGACAGATGGTCAAAGCTCGGGATCCATCGGAAACATTAGCAACCAATGAAATAACTAGGAAATGTCACAGGCTTTCAGACCGCTTCCGTACCATTCTCTTATCTAAATCCGCTAGACCCGATTCGGTGCATCAAGCGAGGGACATGCAGACATGGTATAAGGGTACATACCGAACGTTGCCGGGAAGGCGAAAAGGAGCAGCATAATCAATCATCGATAAGGTACCTTCTCGCCAATGCCGATCGGGGGGTCGGGGGAGAGAGTCTTGGATTGAAGGAAAATTTCTCAAAAAGCTTTTGTCATTTGACGGCCATTTATTTTAAGCATCACACCCTCAACTTTTCCTCAATCTTCACTTTCATTGAAGAAAAAAAAACAAATTCAATAACTTGATCCAATTTTTGGTCAAGTCACAATCATTACTGTTTCTCAATCTAAGAGGGAATTAATAAAAAAGACAAAAGATATTGTTTGTTCTTATCACTTAAGTACATATAAGAAAAAAAGGGATCCCACGCCGTAGGTTCTCGGAGCTTTTTATTCTCGCGTTCCTACGATTATCTACAACCACATCCGGATCTCCGACCGTTTTTTGAAACCGCGCAGAATTGTTTTCCCTTTCTGCCCCGATTTCCCGCGTTCGATCTTCCGGATTCTAATAACTGAATCGTGGTATCCGACCGTCAACCGTCTCCTATTGACCCCCTCCTAATTGGGATCGCCGTCTATCAGAGATGAAGGTCTTTTCCAATTCCCACACCTTCAACTACTCCTGGGAAGAAGTATCGACCGCCAACTGGCGGAAGTACTGCCCTTGGAATGACAAATCTACCCACGTTATAGCCGTCGATACCCTCGCACGTGAAGTCGACCCTGCCACCGGTATCCTACGAACTGAGCGACTTATCACATGCAAACAATCGGCACCAGAGTGGCTCAAGTCTATTATTGGATGCATGGAGACGAGTCAAGTCTTCGAGACCTCCTACGTTGATCCCGCCGCCAAGACCGTTACCATGGTATCCCAAAATATCACGTGGTCGAATCTAGTCAACGTTCAAGAGACGGTGATTTATCGACCTTTGGATGCACACAGAACACAATTCGAACAAGATGCAAGGATAACGGCGTTGTGTGGAGGTTGGCAACGAATCAAGAATAGTGTCGAAGACGCCCTCGTTACCCGATTCCGAGAAAACGCGGTTAAGGGCAAGGAGGGTTTCGAATGCGTGCTAGAAATGAGCAGAAGGGTATTCGCCGAGGAACGTGAAAAGGAAAGGCAACGACAGAGCTTAGGCGGCAAGATGATGGCATAGATCAGATGTCAGCATGACTATTCCGGATCCCCCCCGGTTTACCTCCTACGCATATTGGACTCCACGACGATTCGGTTAGACAACGACAACCAAGTACATATAAGAACAGCATATTTCGGAGTCTTTTTTTCAAGAGGGGTGTGGACATTTGATTTTTGATTTTTTGGGAAAGAGATAAAAAAGCACGGCGTTTCGGCATACCCCTAAAAATTGCGTTGCATAGAAAGGCGGAAAGAATATTAGACTTGCCTACGTATTGCGTATATGCGTATGTATGGCCAGGCATTGTTGTCTCCCTAATCATTCGGAGTACACTTGCTAGTTAGGCGTTGAGATAGACTACTCTACTATTGTTGAGAGGAGGATCTAAGGTTAATATATTCTCCGCCCACCCTAAATATCGTCGTTTTCTTTCGTACGTTGTAATGATGTGATATGATATGCATTTGGGTATTAATGCTTTATTTATCTAACATATTCTACCTTTTCGTTACATTTCTTCTCATAATACCTTAATAGATTTCTAGTATCGTCGTCAAGCCCATGCGCTATATTCTCACTACCGTTTTCACCGTCCCCACCTAAAACGACTTTCACAAACCGAGCACCCTCGGCAAAGCGCCGGAAGAAATATAGCTCCTCTACAGCATGTAGTAGCGCTTGAGCCTCGGGCTTAGACACTCGGTCTGGGTGTAGAGGTAGTTTTATCGTTTTCCATACCTAACAGAAAGTCAATTAGCTAGGTACTCACACATATTTGAGCTTCCCGTTTCGTGGCCTTCGTGTAAGGCAAATAAGACACGGAAGCTCCAATGTTAGGTAAGGGTTGTGATAATCGCGCTTCGGTACGTACTTCTCCATTTTCAACTTTGACATTATATTCCTTCCTTACGGCCTGGAATTCTTCTTCTGATTGTGCGGTCCGATCGGCAGGTGCACTTGTTTCGTCGTTTTGAGGTTGACTGCCTTCTGCGGGTTCTTCGGTGTCGGAGAGTTGGATGCCGAAGAGACCGGAGTCGAGGTCCGAGTCCATTGAAGATTTTCAGGTCTCGACGATAGGGCGAATTTGATGGAATTTAGCTCTTAATTGACTATTGTACTTCAAATACGATGCATCCGTGTAACTAGATGCTTCTCGGGGCCGGAACGGAAGCGTTATAGATAGAAAACTGGAAAGAAGTACCGAAGAAAAGTTTCTGTCGGCGGCTTGACATCAGCGTGCATTTACGTCTTCCGTAGGGTGGGGTTAGAAGGTTCCGCGCCCGGATGAGGGGACCTAGAGCGCTAACACTCCTAATTATCCGCTAACTTTTAAGTGCTACCCCAATATAGAACCCTCCAAAATACATCTATGTACAATCTATAGAATTTAGAATACAATTCTGAGATAAACACTTATAATTGTTTCGAATATTATCTAATTTTGAGGCATTTTCGGTCATATTCGTTCCAATTTTGAACTCGTGGCTGAGATGGAGGATCAAGTGGCCCGTCTCGTGGATAAGGCATGGGAGAGATTCCAGCAACTACCCGAAGATCGACGACTATGTAAGTCACGCGAGACATATATACAAACTCACGTATCTATTTGCCCAAGTCTATATACGCCCTGTCTCTCATAAAAAATTGTGACCACACCAACGTATCACACAAATGTCTCTAACATACCTGTCTTAGTGATCGCCATAGCCGGAATCCCAGGCTCAGGTAAGTCTCCCAACCCCGAATGAAATACACACTAACAAACTTCGAGGCAAAACAACACTCTCTCAAATCGTAACCTCAGCCCTCAACGCACGGCATGCCACTCTCCACCCAGAAACCCCTTCAGCGGTACCACCCGCCGTCTTCGTGCCTATGGACGGGTACCACCTAACCCGAGCCCAACTCTCCGCCATGCCGGACCCAGCCCTAGCCCACGCCCGCCGCGGCGCAGAATTCACCTTCGACGGGTTATCCTTCCTCTCCCTCGTCAAGTCCCTACGCGCTGTTCCGCCACCCCCTTTAAAAACGGTGTACGCGCCGAGTTTCGACCACGCGGTTAAAGATCCCAAGGCCGATGATATTGCTATTTTACCTACGCATCGGATCGTGGTTTTTGAGGGCAATTATGTGTGTCTGGATAAGGAGCCTTGGAGGGAGGCTGCGGGGTTGATGGATGAGAGATGGTTTGTGGAGGTGGATTTTGAGACGGCTAGGAGGAGGTTGGTTAAGAGGCATGTTACAGCTGGGATTGCTAGGGATGAGAAGGAGGCGGGACGAAGGGCGGATGAGAATGATTTGGTTAATGGGGAGCAGATTGTTAGACAGAGGGTGCAGGTACATGAGGTTGTTGTTAGTAGGGAGGATGGTGGGTGGGTTCATGAGTAAGTTGACTTGATACGAACATTCATCGTATCAAGCTTAATGGCATTCTATTATATGACAGGGAAGCTATCTTGCTGTCTTAACATATATCTGAGTGAAATTAGATATAACTACGGGCAGTAAATCTCATAAAAGATTGAAGGTCTATGTTTGTTCTCAAAGCCCCCCTATTTGCTTTCATATTCGTTAAATGAATTATCATGCGGCTAACTGCAACACTTTATATTTACATATGCTTATCTAAGGTCATTAAGTAAGCAAATTTTACACTAAGTTTTTTATCTTATCAGCCCCATAAGAATTTCATGCAAGTCGCATCGGCTCGACTTTTTCAAGTGTCAATTCTCAATTCGACCGACCATTTAAATCTTTCGCCTAAGCTAAACAAAACATAAAAACAAACTATTCAATCCTCTAGCTACAATGGCAACAGCCGTCGTAACAGAAGCCGACCCAACGGCCGACCAATCCCGAAAACGCAAATCCCAAATCGACGAAATCGAAGTCGACCTCACACTTCCCGAACCACCCTCCAAAAAAGCAAAACGTCTGCTCAAAAAAGGCAAACCTCTCCCCGAGAAACCCAAAAGCGACGATGAAGCAGAATCTGAAGACGAACTTCCCATACCCAAGGGAGCGAAGGGTGGAAAGGGAGATAAAAAATCGCAACGTTCGGAATTTGGCGTTTGGATTGGCAACCTGTCTTTTACGATGACGAGGGTGGAATTGTTTAAGTGGCTGGTTGAGAGTTCTGGGGGTGCGATTAAGGAGGAGAATATTACGAGGGTGAATTTGCCGATTAGTAAGAACGCCCCGGCTAGAGGGTATTATAATGGCGATGAAGCGCCGAAGAAACAGAATAAGGGCTTTGCGTATGTCGATTTTGATGTGGAGGCTGCGTCTGTTGCTGCGCTCGCGCTTACGGAGACGGAACTTAACGGACGCAAGGTTCTGATCAAGGATTCGAAGTCTTTTGAGGGAAGGCCGAAGAAGGGCGCTTCTGAGGATAGTTCGGCTGCTACGGGTTCTAATGCGGCGGCGTTACCTGAGAAGAAGGAACAAGTGTCTACGAGTAGGAAGATTTACGTGGGGAATATGTCCTTCCAGACCACCGAAGATGATTTACGCGCACATTTCGAAAAGTGTGGCGATATCGAATGGGTTAAGGTCGCGACGTTCGAGGATAGCGGGAAGTGCAAGGGCTACGGATGGGTCAAGTTCAAGGAGGCTGAAGCAGCTTCATCGGCGGTTAAGGGATTCGTCAAGATTAAGGAGGAGATTGAGACAGAAGATGACTTCCGGGATAAGGATGGAGCAGAAGACGCCGAGGAAGGAGAAGGAGATAAGGAGAGAAAGTTCAAGATGAGGAAATGGTGGGTCAACAGACTTAAGGGTCGCGAGTTAAAGATCGAACTTGCAGAGGATGATCAGGTTCGGTATAAGAAGAGATTCGGCAAGGATAGACCTGCGGCGGGAAAACCCCAAGGGAAGAGGAGAGAAAATGGCCCTCGAAGACCAGAGAATGGAAAGGAGAATGGGGCAGCATTCGGAGAGAAAGAGGGTTCTTCAAAAGCTGGCTATGGAGATACAGCTGTGGCGTCGTATCTTACTGGTTCTGTTGTTAAGCCCCAGGGCAAGAAGATTACATTCGATTAGAGCGGGAAGAAATGAAAAACCCGGTCGCGCATGAATGTCGTTGTTCTGATGTGACTATGAATTTGAGGGAGATAGATGAAACTCCGAATTATTCCTATTCCAGGTTCAATCGAATCTTAACGAGGTCTCCATATTTGATACCCATCTAATACCTCTCCATAACCCACCGTCTCCGATCCTCCGACGTCATCGGTTCCAACATCTTCAACTCTGCCTCTTTAACATCCACATATCTCTGCACAACATCCCGATGCAACAACTCTCCTAAAACCTCGTCTTCCTTCAACGCACCAAGCGCCTCCCTTAAATCCGCCGGAAACATAACCTCGATCCCCAACTCCTTCCTCTCCTGCGCACTAAACCTCGCCGGGTCTCCTAGACAATCACCCCAAGTCAAGGATATCTTCTTGTTGATACCGTCAACGCCCGCAACTATAAATGCCGCGACAGCAAAATACGGATTTGCGAGCCCGTCTACGGTCTTAATCTCCCAGTGACTCCCCTCGACTTTACGCAAAGGGGCCTCCTTATTCTGCGTACCCCACGTAATCCACCGACCGCCGGCCCAGAAACTATCAAGCATGCGCTCGTAGCTCGTCGGGTTACTATATGTAAACGCTAGGATGGCGCGGAGGTGTGTCAAGATGCCAGCGTAGAACGACTCGTATAGTTCGGGCTTATCACCACCTGGGGAGGAGATAGAGAGATGTGTATGCGAGGCCGAGCCACAGGCCGTCGCGAATGGTTTAGGGTGCAATGTTACTCGGAATCCGTGACGCGCAGACACGGATTCTAGGATTTGACGCGCGTGTAATACGCTATCGCACGCTTCGAGCGGAGGTAAAGCGCCGAGGACGAGTTCGAATTGGCCAGGTGCGTTTTCTGGGTGGAATTGATCGACTGCGATATCGGCTTCTTCTAGCGCGTCGAGGATCTCATCGACGGCGGTAGAGAAACTACCTTCGCGGCCCCAATCTGCTAAGATTCTTGACATTGACCAGGAATGCCCGTCTGTGCGTAGGGTTTGGAATTTATCAGGACTGTTCCGGTCGGGATTGCGCTCCATGACGACGAATTCGATTTCGAAGCCGAATAGGAAGGTTAGACCTTGCGCTGCGGCGTTATTGATTATCCTGCGTAACAGCGAGCGTGGGCATGTAGGGACTTCAGAACCGTCTTGTTGCGTGAAGTATCCGAAGCAACTTACGTGGCCGTCGGCGGGGCCGGGCTTCAGAGTTGACCAGTCCGTCTGGACTACGTACATGCCGCTTGCATTGACTTGCGGGATCATAGCGTCCGTCTGCAGAAGCCCGAAGACGCATTGGGTGATGTTGAGGGTGACAGGTTTACCGCTCGATAAGGTCCTGTAAACTTGCTTAATAGGGATGAGGCGACATTTCGAGCTGGATGTGTAGTCGTGCCAGTAGACGCGCAGGTATTTAGCGTTTAGGCTTTGGAGTTTTTGGATGATTGTCTGGTTGCTCCAAGTGGTTTTCGGAAGTAGCGGTAGCTGTGTAATGCTTGGTGGCATAGACTTGGTCTCGAGGTTGTAAAGCTTCTTCGAGTTGAAAAAAAGAATATCCTGGGCCAGCCTCACGGCTTGCTTCTCGTCTAGTTGTTGGACTTGGATGAGTTCTCCTAGTACCTAAATAGAGTTAGCATGGTAGAAGATTTACGGCCATGTAAAAATTGCTTACCGTTTTTAACACAGAACGAATCTGTGTGGTGGCCGTCAAGAACATTTCTGGGAAGCCATGTCCATCTGTGCTGCATAAGATCTTAGACCATGGGCATACTTCTAGCATCTCCTTCACGACACCCTCCTGTCCTTGACGGCTGATGCAAGGAAATACTTCCCCGATGTCAGCATAAACATTAGGGTACATCGCCGCTAGATAAGCCGTCTCTCTTGTCCAAGGATATCCGGCGTGTAGCAATACGATTGGGACATTGGGGTATCCCCGAATGAATGTCTGCAAGTGAGACGGCGATGACTTAGTAAGCGTCATGTCGTTATCGCCAAGACCAGTATGGAATTGGATAGGTTTCTTGGGTCCAGGAGCATCGTTGACATATTGCGCCGCAACGTGAACGATGAGGCAATTCAAATCTGAGTTTTCCAATCTTCTTCTCAAAGAACTTCCAACTCGTTCCTCGGTTTTCAAACCCGCATTTGCAATTTCTTTGAGTGTTAGCGTCACCCCCGGCGCGTCTAGATCTTCTATAGGTGGAATATCCAATCCTCGTCGATAACAGATAATCGACTTGAAACCAACCACCTCAGGGTCGGAAATGGCTTTCACAATTTCCGCTGAGAATAGGTCTAGAAACTGTCTTGAATCTTTCTCAGTAATATGCGCTGGACCAGAAGCCGGAACGAAATGACGGGCAATAATATCCGATGCCACAGTTTCAAGTCGCACAATACGCTTGCATTCACTTTTTGTGAATTGACTATGCCATGAGCAAGTTTCGGCTTGACCCGGTATATCAAGTCCATCGTCAATGAGAATGGTTTCAATGCCATCGAAACAGCGTTTAATCCAACCATCGCGAGATTCGAGTCGTTTTCGCTCGACACCTGTCTCCACAGCGTCCCATGTTTGCTCGCAACCTAGGACCTCCGCTAGATGCTTAACAGTTCGAATATGAGAAAGACTATTCTTTGAGGTTTCTAGCGCATCTCCATTTGCTTCGGTAGCGATAGAGAGTAGTGGGTGCTTATTCACACTATCAGCTTTGAGCAGTGGATGGGCGTGGTTGTCAATGAGGGGTGTGTTATCGATAGCTGCGGTGAGCAACTTGAAATCTTCATACGCTGACGCCATCTTCCGACTTTCTATTCTATCCCTTAGTGAAAAAAAAGGGGGGCGTAGCTGCTAAATGAAAATGAGAGAAAAGAGTTTATATGATGGGAAAGTAAGTTGTTAAGTTCAAATAGATTGATAGTTTACTTTATACCATCCTATCTGTGATTACTAAACATGCATATACTATTCATGTATGCTGCCTGCCTGGTATTACGCGTCTGAGGTTAGTGTCCATCACACCGCCCAACTTATGAAATGCACGGCATACCTAGAAACTAATACGAGGTTTACGCTTACTACCCCCCTTTATTCCTTGATTGCTTATAAGGAGTAAAAAATAGAAAGATTTTTGCTCGATTCATTATCAACAAAGTTGAATTATTTAGTGAAGGAAGATCGAGACTACCAACACCATCATCTTTAGACATTGTTAGTAGGAAGTAGTTACGATATAGCTTCAATTCAGTAGACGAAAAGTATAACACTTGAAAGAAGTTAAACTCATACGCTTGACCTGAAGGATTGATGATTAGTTGGGGATTTAACTTTATGGCTTCATATAGTTTAATAAGATGAATACTCGACCAAACCTTAAGAGAACTCGCATCTTTTGATCCGAATATAAATATGTGCGGATCCCGCATGAGTTAGACAGCATGATCTTTTCAAACAATCCCATAGTCAGTTCTACTAAGATCCCCATTTCACCGAGTTAATCAAACGGTCTCCCTTCACTTTCAGTAAGCCAGCATTTGAGCCAGCGGCGTATTCTTTCTTTTTCCCTAGGTTGGTCATTATCTTCGTCAACATAATGTCAAACTTCTTCCGTTTCTTCGATCTCCCACGAGAGTTGCGAGACCTTATCTACTACAAGTACGTCTCGGTCGGAGGTTACATCCAGAATCCAGAAACTTGGAGACTGAGGACCGTCCAGGATGAACCTATCGACCTGAATCTCATGTATACCTGCCACCAGGTGGCGAACGAGATGAAAGGCGTCGCTTTGAGTAGAAATACAATCAACTTCCGAACTACTCTAGGGGGGACTGGGAACGTATATGCCGACGCCTACGACACACTAATGGAACGGACCGATAGCATGAAGCGTAACATGCTCAGGGCTGCGAGGGGATGCTTGACCGAAGAAACCAAGGCTCAAGTAACTCAGGCTTACCCGAAGTTCACACCTGTCCTCGATGGTCTCGACAAATACTGGGATCATCATCGCTTAGGCCAAGTTCCCACCGTCTTCAATGAGGCCCTTGACTATACTCTGCGGTTGATGTCATATCATCCCGAATTCCCACAAAGAATGACTGAGTATGAGGCAGAACTGGGGCTTGGACGCCAAGGACATACACGGGCTGCCTTTTTCTCCCCGCATGAGCCTTGGGATATCCCTAGGAGAAAGGATGTTCTCTACCTAGCCAGCATAAATGGCTACCAACCCGTGGACAATTCCCCGCGTTCAGCTAACTCTCCGCCAGTTAATTCTTCGCCCGTCAAAGGTCAAAGATGCTACTCCGCTGCTGCTATGTGTATCCTCTTCCTTCGATGCATCCCGATAGAGACTAGCGCATATCTCCGGGACATCGTGTTGCACGAGGATAATGCTGCTGTGTGTGAACCAGCAACTCACGCTCGAGGTCTTATTGGATTCTGTCGGGAGAACCCGCGTCTTCGGATTGAGCGCCGCGTCGACATTTGGAAGAACGCCTTCCTTGGCGAGGTCATGCGAGAGGATACCCCTGACTTTCGTGGGCTCGACAACGATGTCGTCGCTCAAATGATACGTGCCGAAGTATCAGTGACGATGACTAGATCCATAGCTCTTTGGACCATCGAAGCCATGACGCTCCAGCCGTTGGGAATGCCTACCAAGTCATTTTCTCTGGTTTTTCGTACGTAGAAGCACTCCCCACCCTAACCATCGTATGGTATTTTGTGCTAACTTAACTCCACTAAAGACGGTGGTTCCGTGCCTGCCAATAAGTCCGAAGAAATCTTCCAGAAAGTAATACACAGGGATGCCGCTATGCAGCTTGCATTGGAAGGATGCATAACTCGTGGTCATGTTGCGCCTTGCAACCCATGCCAAGACCGGCTTTACGAGTGTCATTCGTTCGACTCCTTCCCCGGCATTTTTCACTCTGTTGTCGACGGGAAAATCCCCATGATCGATTTCTCATTCAACCCAGGAGACTACTCCGAGTACGACATCGAAGAGATGATCGGGGAGCGCATCTGGTGGACTCGGGACGAATGGAATGGTTACACGGACAACGGGGAACCCTGTGAAGGCCCATCTTGGCTGGATCGTGACGGCGTCTCTTTGAATACACCCGCCCCACTGCCTCCTTGGAGAGAACTTATGGAGGAGATAGGTGGGACGGGTTGAAACTCAGAGGGAAAGGTATAAAGGACAGCGTGTGACCTATATAATAGGAGTCAGACCTAAACCTCTTTTAAACACCAATCCACCGTGCATGGAGTATCTAGGACTTTGACCGCACCGATACAATCCTTTAAGTTTTCGCTAATCAACGGCATGTGGACATTTCGGTTTTTGGAAGAAGAGGTTTAAGACGAGTGCTACTCCCTTCAAGGAGATAAGGATGTATAGCACCAAGTTATGACCTGGCTTGGTGGTGCCTTTCTCCTCGCGGTGCTTGTTGATATTACACGCCGAGCTGCGAAAATATTTCCTGAACGAGATTAGGGCACTCAAAGATTGTTTGAACACTTTTCGAATTGAACGGGGGGATGACGACTTGCGCAAGCTTCACGAATTCGTCGACTAGGTGCAGGAGAAGCAGAAGACTTATACGGGGCGAAGACGAATAATTTGGTAGCGGATGGCTCCTCGGGGGGGTTAGGGTTCGGATTAGGACTTAAGGGATAGGCAGTCGCAAGATGTAGAAGAGTCTTCGATAAGAATGATAAATGTTATCAACCTCGACTAAATACGCGCGAATGAGCTGTCATCATTGCGAATCTAACGTTTTACTGCTTTCATTCTTAAGGCACGTAGTGAAAATGTCGATTCTTACGCGACGAATCCAGTTTTCCCAGCCCGGAAAACGCGCATACGGTAACACGACGACCCTATCTCCGTGTGTCAAGGCTTTGATCCAAAGACCACTTTCGGCATCTGCTACTGTTGGATCCGTAAGACTCCATGATATCTTATGTATATGCCATTGCCTGTCCGCGCCGCGATTAGAGATTAAATGAATTTCTGTACTTGCAGCCTCTTTATCTTTCGGCCCCGCAAGTTCTTGGGCGAAGGCTGAGTTTTCGCGTCGATTGACGTCGGCGGTGAACCATGTCCAACTATCACCTCGACTTGGATCTGAACAGTAGCCTTGGTCGTGACTAGTGATTACGAAATCGACTCGGCAGACGGGTTTAAGAAGTCGTCCTGTGATAGCTTTGCTTCTGAGGAATGGGATCGTCGGGTCGCCCCATCTCCTCACTTCGCCGTCGTTATCGATACTGACTCTGACAGCGCTCGACCGGACCCAATATTCGGCCAGATCTAGGATGCGCGATACAACATAGGCGTACTGGAACGCCTCTGCTGTGCTTGAACTTCCTCGTCTTAGTTTTCTTCGTAGACATAACGCTGCGGTTACGATATCGTCTTCTTGCTGCGGCCAATAATCAATTTCTGCCAATGATTTAGAGTTGGTAGATTGTTGGAGCAAGCCGTCTCCCCAGGGCTGTTCTCGCAACCATGAGATGTCATCATCATCCAGGTTGTGGGGCTTCATGGTGGCATAAGGGATCATGGAAGTTAAAATATCTGTGCATCGTTTCTTAATAGCTAGTGTGAGCGGCGCGAGGCCATCCTTGTCGTCTATATTTATATTGGCACCCGCTTTTAGAAGGCTCGAACACACATCAATAAGGTTCGCGTCGACGGCTTTGTGCAATGCAGTTTGTCCGGCTTCGTTTCGTGCATTGATGCTGACGCCTTGCTGCTTGAGTAAAGCTTCCACAGAATCAGTATTACCACTTGCTGCCGCGTAGTGAAGTGGCAGATTTCCATTTGATCCTGGAATATCATAAAGGCGTAGACCAGCGAGCTTTTGTAACAGGAATCCCGTGTTTTCGGCCATAGTGCCACGGGCTGCATAGTGTAACACATTGTCCTCCCCGGGACGGCTTAGGAGGTCATTGTTCAATTTCCCTAGTAGCAATTCAACAATGTAAGTTTTCGCGACGCGGGCGGCGAGGTTGAGCCCAGATATTACTTGTTGCGGGTGGAAATGGTTGAATTGATGCTGTTCGTGCTTTGCCAAGATGGTTTCAACAGCCTGGATATAGCCGTGACGAATTGCGGACTCAAATGGCGTATCGCCCCTCGAATCACGCCGTAGTAGTAGACCATTCCCGTAAGGAGTATCGAGCAACGCTTCCAGTATTCGAAGAGGGCCCGATGTGGCAGTGGTATTGGTACTCCTAAAGCGCAAAAATGATTGCGCTACGGCCCAATGCAATGCCGTTCTCCTCTCAAACTCAAAAGACAAAATTGTGTTTTCCTTTAGTCCAGGTGGCCATTGGGCTCGCTCGTAATATCCCAGTATACATTCGAACACCTCAAAATCGGTCGTACGCACTGCCTCCATGAGGGCAGTGTTTCCGTAAACATCACGGATTACAAGTAAGCCACCAATGGCATCCTTTTCCATGATAGCCTTAATTAGGGTAGTCTTTTCGGGCCCTTTCACCGTAGTGGCTGCCATAATCGCTTCTTGGACAAGATTTGTGGCCCGCTCTAGTCGAGAGCGTTTGTAAAGATCGATGCCGTGGTTAAGGAGAGCCTGGAGAGTACCTAGAGATCCATATGCGACCGAAATCATATGCGGTTGCCAGCCTACCGGATTTACTATTGCTGAATTGACGTCTAGTTTGATTGCGGTGTTGTTTAGAAGCACCTCGATTGATTTGGTAGAGTTACCAAGGCAAGCCCAGTGGAGTGGATTCCCAAAATAGGAGTCCTCTGGACCCGTAGCCTGCTCAGTGTTCCCCACTAGCCATTCAACACTTACGCTGAACGCATCGCTGTCGGACTCTTCGCGTATCATATCAAAGAATGCAGCTATGCTCGCTGCTGTTGTTTTCGTGGGTAATTGAACACGCATCCCACGATCTTGGAAAAGTCCCGTGATTCTTCCACCGAGGTTTGAGAGAATGGCGATAGAAGCGCGTTCGACATATTCAGGGCGTTTTAAAAATCTGAGAAACAGATCCATGATCTCCCCCGACTCCTCAGACTCCTCAGGACCCGAGACACTTGATTCCGAGACGCAATGGTGTCCGAGATGTAGAGCTGCGTAAGAAAAGAACGGAATTTCGTCCTCGGTGGGCCAGATCTGCGCCACATAGCCTCCTTTCGGGAGAGTAAGGTCGTCCAGGCCAAGGAAAGAGATGCATGATAGAGCGATATCTCTGTTGCTGTGAATAAATTCGTGCGTATCCCTCAACGAGTTAAAGTACTCCTGTGTTGTATAATGAACGAATCTTACTGTCTTACTGTCACCTTCCACCACCACGAGACCGGCGCAATAATTAGCAATGTCGCTCTCATCACCAACGGCATCTTCGTCGAGTTCTTCGTCACCTGGTTCGATAGCGAGGGCGCATAAGAGTTCTGCGAGTTTCAAGGGCCGCCTGGCGAAGCAAACCCATCGGATTACCCGCAGAGCAAATTCTTCTATATTTGTTCCTTGGTCTCGAATGCGCTCCATTGCTTGGTCGTACGTATCCTTCACGACATTTTCGCCCTTAGGGATACGGTCGAGATCTTGTATTAGGTCCTTGAGCCTAATCGCGCGGCTCAGAGTGTCTAAATGCATCCTGCAAAGTAGGAACCTTTGAATATGTCAACAATTAGCGTATCACTGTGCTATGATGTGGTTATTAACTTACATTCCATTCGCCCTATCAATCACGACACGGCGAATTTGTTCCTTCAATTCTGGTTTTCGATCCACATAACTAGCTATTTTCTTCGACTCTCGTATCCGTGCATTGATGTAAGTACTCATATCTTCATTGGTGGGTGTAAATCGGAAAGCTCGCACGTCATTGAATCCTGCGTTATCGTGATGTGTCATCCGCGAAGTAATTAATATGTTTAAGAACGGTTGCAAGCTGTTGAGGCCGTCTATGAAGCCGTTCCGTTCGTTCTCGTCGCCACATTCATCAAGCGCATCAACAACGACGTAAATGCGTTCCAAGTTCGAGTTAGTCAGCTCATCACGAATCATGTTGATAATTTGAGTCTTGGTTGGCCGAAAGTCGTGACTCGCAAACATCTCACCAAATGCCTGGTTAACTTCGGTGGCAGATGGTCCTCGTCGACGAAATAGCTGTGCCCAAATATTACCGAGTAGAACGGAAGCTTTTTGGTCCTGGCGCTGACGATAATCGCAGTAAACGTACGCTAAGCCGCACGTCCTACTCCCATGCAACTTCTTCCTAAGATACTCGATGGTCGTTGAAGCCATAACTGTTTTACCCGCTCCTGGTGCTCCGGAACACCACAAAGTCCCCCCAGAAGACTTCATCCACTCCTGGAACTCTGGAGAGTCGAGGAACCATTGGCCAGTACCATCCTGCCTTTGTTGCAGGACATTACCGTGTTTTTCCGAAAAGCTGACCGGAGCGTAGTGCTTCACAAGACGGTCAATCCTACCGGTGATCATTTCATCTTCCACGTGGCTATTGAGTGTCTTAACACCGTCATCAATAGCCTTCGTCGTCTGTTTTATATCGAGAGTGAGCCATGAGTTGAGGAGACCATTCATGCGTGACGCCTTGTCAATAGTTTTCTGTATGTCCTTCTCCATATGGACAAAACGTAACTTTTGCATGAAGCCCTTAGGGCTCAATTTTTCGAATTGCCGCGACAGGTTGACCATGCATGATTGTAACTCTCGGATGAGATCTTCGGGTCCCAGAGGATGACCACGGGTTGTATTGTCGGTATCAACTTGTTGCTTGACCTGGTATAGAAGTTGAAGCATCATACTCGATGTACGGCCGAGTTCATCGATCATTTGGGACGCACCCATTACTGTCGCACAAAAGCTGCATATTTTCGCCGCGATTTCAATCAGTTGCGCAATAGACGCAACCGAACCTACAACCTCCATAGTTAATTCGCTCCGCAGAGCTGCTTACCAAGGTACGCAGCTGAAGTAAGTTTAAGGATCTGACGATGCACATGAAAGAGTATAGTATTATCTTGGCATGAGATTGACGAATAATATAAAATGAGTGAATTAGTAGGATGCGCTACACCTTAAACAGTGCCGTAATAGTCGGTAGATATGAAATTCCAAATTTCGCATAGTCAAATTGAATGAAAGCGCAGGCGTAGGGAGGAATAAAGTAGAAAGAGGTGCTACCTCCATTTCAAGGCTGGAATTGACTGAGGCAGCCTAAGCTGACCGAAATATGCGTGGCATCACATCAAATGTGCACTTTCATACCCTACGGCGACGAAACCGACCCCCCAAGCCCCCTGCATACGCTTGTGTATTCTGCGTCGTAGGATTCGTTTGCATAATCGACACCATTATACTTCAACAATGGTTCTGTTTCAATTATGTCGCTATCCATGATTGAGCATTGAGGTTATTCCGTTACGGATAGTCTAGTTCGCCTCGTAGAAGGAGATCGATATTGTTGTCTAGAGCACTTGTTCTAGTTAGTCGTTCTCAACTCGTTAGGCTTACTTCTCACCAAGATACAACTATAGTTATGGCTGCTTCTTGGATCCATGGCGAGTTAATGTGTCTTGTATATAATAGAGCAAATGAATGTCTGATATCCATGATTGACATATGATGAATGATAAGGGTTGGAGGTTGGAGTTGCACAATTGAAGGGGTCCTGATACAATCAGTACAATTCGAGAGGGTTACTAAAAATAGTTGGAGTAAGTACATGTATCTAAGTATATATGTATTTAGTACGTCTAACTTTACGCTAACCTTTATTGGGATATTGGTTCGAAAGTCGTAAGTTGAATTTCTATCAACCAGTAAAAACCATTCATCATTTGATTATATCAAAGACTATGCGCCGTGCTTATCGGGATGCTTAAAAAAGGGGGTGAAAGAATTGTACCCTGACTGAATCATATGATATGACAATACAACATCTTCCTTTTCCATTTCATCTTCGTCCCTAGAATGATTTTCTTTTTGTACTCAAGTTAGTTCTACGCACATGCCGACGTTTTATGGTGGTTAGCTCTTAAAATTATAGGGGATCGTCGCGCTGATCCCTGGGGGTTTTGGACACTTCAATGGTGCAATGTAAAGTGTTTGTGCGACGGTGAGATTGCGATTTTAAGATGGATTTATTTCCTTGCCAACTAGTTCCAAATCCTTGGAGAAACGCCCTTACTTATCTTTTATTGAGTCTGAAATAAAGAAAAAGGATGTCAAGGAGCGATTTTGTAATTATTTAGGTAGTATGTAAATAAAATAAAATAGCGATTACGACATATGTCAGCGACGCAGAGCCACCTCCACGCCGAGTGGCGCCAAGACGGGCACCAGTCGATGAATTGGAGATTTAGGCGAAAAAGCTTGTATTTCTTGGAAGTTCCGATCTCAATGGGTTGCCCTAAATTGCCTGTGACTCGTCGCGGCAGGCGCTGTAAGGGCGATCTTGGGAGGCTTTCTTCTTGGCCTGTGGGTCTAATAGCGTCATCAGTCTTGGTACTTCTTTCTCACCCCTGGCATACTCTCAAAAAACCCCACAGTGTGGAACGAGATAGACGCCGGACATCCCCAGGAATTTAGTATGGGTAGGCCCATATTATAGACAACACACCCACAGTGCCAGTACTGTGCCGATACAACGCATACAATCACCTGCCCAATCAGTTGTCTTAAAATGGGAGGTACGACGTATTATCCTCGAAAACTCGCCGCTGTTTTGGGACAATCAACTAAATGTGGAACCGGTCTCCCCTTCTCTTCTTCTTCGTCCCCATCTTAACCAAAACACAATCTCTTCTAGATCTTTCAACCATCACCACGTAGAGAACGACTCGATATTTGTCGTCGTCGCGACAACGATACGGAATATCCCCAAAATCCTCAGTAACAATTGACGCAGAATATTGATTGGAACTGGGGGTAACGCGAATTCAATTACGCGGCCTTCGCCTTTCTTTATCTTCTAACTCCGTCGCTCGTTTTTACATGTCACGTATGCCGACATTCCCGACCGCCAAAACCATGGCATCTTCTACTCTTTCGCGCGTCCTTCCAATGGCGCTCTTGTTGACTGGCGATATTGTTTCTGCGCAAACCTACAAAATAGATTCAGACAGTATGTGCATTATAGTTGAAGTTATTAATTGCGATTCCACTTCGCTAACATCCACTTTTTCCCCCCAGGTGACATCAAATCCACTGCGAAATCCCTCGCGGAAAATGTCTTAACCTACTACCACGGAAATGAATCCGGGCAAACCCCTGGTATTCTCCCTGGACCTCCTCCTGCGGGCGATTACTACTGGTGGGAAGGTGGTGCGCTTTGGGGAACATTAATCGATTACTGGCATTATACCGGCGATGATTCCTATAACGATTTGATTACCCAAGCCATGCTGTGGCAAGTAGGCCCCAACAAGGACTACATGCCTCCTAATGTCACTGCCTCCCTCGGTAACGATGATCAAGGATTTTGGGGCATGTCTGCCATGCTGGCTGCCGAGGTGAACTTTCCGGACCCTCCTTCAGACCAACCGCAATGGTTATCTCTAGCTCAGGCAGTCTTCAACACACAGGCCGACCCCGGTAGGCATGATGATACTTGTGGTGGCGGTTTGCGCTGGCAGATTCCTTTCTCCAACAATGGATACGACTATAAGAACAGTAAGACGAATTTTGCTTTGTCCAAATATTAAACGAGCTAACAAAAACTAGGCATCGCTAATGGCTGTTTTTTCAACCTTGGTGCCCGCCTAGCCCGTTATCTGGACAACCAAACATATGCTGACTGGGCTGAAAAAACCTGGGACTGGGTGACGAGCGTTGGACTCATGGATAGCGATTATAGGATTTACGATGGTGCTCACGTTGAGACCAACTGCACTGATATCAACAAGGCGCAATTCTCTTACAACAATGCTGTCTACCTCTTGGGAGCTGCCCATATGTATAACTACGTAAGGCTTATCCTTGTTACTTCATGGTTATCCTGCTGACATGTCCATCTCAGACTAATGGTGACTCGAAATGGGAGACGCGACTCAATGGGCTTGTCGATGCGACCATTCGGGATTTCTTCAAGAACAATGTCGCCTATGAAATTTCATGCGAAGAGCACATGACATGTACAACGGATATGTTGAGTTTCAAAGGTTATCTACACCGCTGGATGACAACTTTGACTCAGATCGCCCCGACGACGGCGACTAAGATATTGCCTGTTCTACAGAAATCAGCTCAAGCCGCGGTGAACCAGTGCACGGGGCCCCCCGATGGAAAGACGTGCGGATTTGGATGGTCTAGTGGTACCTTTGATGACAGTGTTGGTGCTGGACAGACTATGAACGTCCTGGGTGCAGTATCGTCTCTATTAGTTGGCTCGGCCAAGGCCCCTGTGACCAATTCCTCCGGCGGTACTAGTGCGGGTAATTTCAATGCTGGATCAGGAAGCAACTCGTTCACCAACACGCCAGCTCCCATAACTACAGGAGATAAAGCTGGTGCTGGTATTTTGACAGCGATCGTCCTGGCCTCCGCCCTTGGCACATTTGCTTGGATGAGTCTGGGTGCGTAAACGGTCAATTGCGTAATACGACCGATGCGACACAGAATATGGTCCCACTTCACTTCACACATATCACACAATTACGCGTACCCATCAACGGATACCACGTTACAATACGGCGCCCGGTGGATCTCAACGTAGGAAAGAAAGCAGGAAGGCATATGCGGTGGCGTCCAGGATGGAAGGATAGATAATACTACTACGAGGGCATGAGGCGTTTGGTATTGATTCGTTTTTTTCGCGAACGTATTCCCCTGTTGAACGGGGATATGTTGCATTTTTGCAGCTTAATATTCGACATGTGAATCAGTTCTTCTGAATAGGGGTTTGGTTTGGATTTAATTCTACAGCAAGTCGTTCGAGGGTGGCTTGGACGTTTGTATTTTATTCAAGAGGAATACCATAAGTTCTCTATGGTATGAGGTTGAGGTTTAGGGTATTGAGGTATCCTAATAAGATATCATAAGAATTGTTACATGATGGGTTTTTGACATTCTCAAAATGATAAGCCCGAGCGCATTGTGAGTCTGGCTTGGCTGAGTCATTTATCCTAGCCAGGATTACGTAACCGATCTCACAGACAGAACTGCCCCTCGCTAAACCATATCTGGACTGATAAGAAGAAAAATACGATAAGAGTTTTGAGCAAACCCCTCGATAAAGCCAAACCATTTTTTTTCTTCGATACCAATTCAACTCTTGCCCTTGGGGGTCGTCGTAAACCAAACAAGTGAAATACCTTTGACATCTTTAAACTCACATATAGGGCTATTGACGAAGGATTTTTAAATCGACCAAGATGTCGGCCACGATAGAGCAGGCCGAGGCCCCTCACAATGTTTACGACACCATCCTGGTCTTGGACTTTGGATCCCAGTTCACGCATCTCATCACCAGGAGATTGCGAGAATTGAATGTCTATAGTGAAATGCTTCCGTACGTTTTTCTTCATGCCACGTACTCCTGTATAGTATAATTAACCATTCATCATATAGTTGCACTACCAAGCTATCTGAATTGAGCTGGAAACCAAAGGGAATCATTCTATCTGGTGGCCCGTTCTCGGTTTACGATCAGGATGCCCCTCATGTCGATCCAGCTTTCATAGATCTCGGTGTTCCTATCCTAGGTATATGCTATGGCCTTCAGGAAATAGCATGGAACCTCAGCAAGGACAATGTCGTTGCTGGTACTAAGCGAGAATATGGACAAGCGGTACTCATCCTTCAATTTTCGTTGCCATGTGGTATATAGATCTAACATATAATCAATCAGGATCTTACACCCCAATGGCACAACAGCCATGTCGACAGACTCTACCAAGGTCTGACCAACGAAGGAAGTTTGCGAGTGTAAGCTACGAATCATACCTCCTTTCATTATACAGGGAGAAACATATTAATTCACGATAGTTGGATGAGTCATGGTGATAAGCTAAGCCAGCTACCCGCTGGTTTCTGCACCATCGCTACAACTGAGAACTCCCCTTACGCCAGTATTGCGCATGAGACCAAGCCAATGTTTGGAATTCAGTTCCACCCGGAAGTCACACATACACCTCGTGGTACTGAGCTTCTGAAGAACTTCGCTGTCGGTATCTGCGGGGTTAAACAAGACTGGACGATGACAGACTTCCTCGAGAAGGAGGTTACCCGAATTCAAAAACTCGTCGGAAACGGCCAAGTTATTGGAGCTGTCTCAGGTGGTGTTGATTCTACTGTCGCGGCCAAGCTGAGTATGTTGCGCCCTCATTTTGCTGTTTCGTTCAATGAGCAGTGAGATTTCAACCCCCCCACCTCACTAAAATGCCCTATGGATTTCCCCGCATGCCCGCTAAATCATAGCTAAAAGCCCCTGCTAACACTACCGATTTAGTGAAACTCGCTATCGGCGATAGATTTCACGCTGTGCTTGTCGACAACGGTGTAATGCGCCTGAACGAATGCCAACTAGTAAAAGAAGCACTCGGTGAGCATTTAGGAATCAACCTTACAGTTATAGATGCCTCGCAAATATTCCTTTCAAAACTCAAGGGTGTACTCGACCCTGAACAAAAGAGGAAGATTATTGGCAACACTTTCATCGATATCTTTGAGGAGGAAGCCATTAAGATTGAGAAAGCCGCCGAAAACACACCTAACGCAGGAAAGGTGGAATGGTTCCTTCAGGGAACATTGTACCCAGTAAGCAACATCCCCCCCCCTTCTCTTTTATTTCCCAGTACATCAGACCGTCTAACCCTGCTCTCTAATTAGGATGTTATTGAATCGATCTCCTTCAAGGGCCCTTCGGCAACTATCAAGGTACATATATCTATATCGTATTGCACTTATTCGATACACGAAGGCTAACAAAAAATACTAGACACATCACAATGTTGGTGGATTGCCGAAGCGAATGATGGACGGACAAGGCCTCAAGCTCATCGAGGTAAGTAAATAGGCCTCCGGGTTAAAACAATAGCTGACCTTTTCTAGCCTTTCAGGGAATTATTCAAGGAGTAAGTCCCCTCAATGAACCCGCACATACACCCGCAGTCTACTAACCCCAGTTATAGTGAAGTTAGAGCCCTTGGTCGTGAGCTAGGGATCAATGAGGAGCTTGTTATGAGACATGTAAGTCAACCTAGACTCAATGTCGTATAAAACCCCGCTGATAGCTTTTCTCTAGCCCTTCCCCGGTCCTGGTATCGCTATCCGTATCCTCGGCGAGGTCACACCGGAACGCGTCGAAATCGCAAGGAAAGCGGATCACGTAAGTTCAGCTATGCCTATTCTACGAACAGTTCCACTAACGTCGCTTCAAGATCTTCATTAGCATGATCAAGGAGGCTGGAATATATAACGAAATCAGCCAAGCCTATGCCGGCCTTGACACGAATAAGGCTGTCGGAGTTATGGTAAGAGGCCTAAATCGTTGCCATTCCACTTTACTATATATATGTATATCGCCCTGTGGCAATTGCTAACGTACTCAAAGGGTGACAAGCGCTACGAAGGATATCTTTGTCTGCTGCGTGCGGTTACGACCAGGGATTTCATGAGTGCCGAGGCCTACAAGTTTGACATGGACTTCCTCATGAAGATTTCTACGCGCATTGTCAACGAGGTTGAAGGTGTGAGCTGCGTGTTTTATAACACGACGAGCAAGCCGCCGGCTACTATCGAGTTGTCGTAGGGCATTGAGTTTTGTAGCGGGCACTCTGGTAGCGATGAAAAGGGGAAGGATAGGTTAGAAACCCAGTAAAAGTAGACGGAGTGAATTTTAAGATCAGGTCTAGGGGTATCATCGTATGCTAGATACGGATAAGAAAGGTACCGAAAGGATTTCACAAGCACGGGAAATTTATGTTTTAATAAACTAACAAAAAATGCGATACAATTTAACCTTTTAGTTCGGGCCTAGATAGGTCACTCTTTCCCGTTTCCTATGGTGCGCCAGAGCACTTCAGGAACAAGTATTGGTTTGCGAGAAACCTTTCCGACGAGATGTCAAGACGGGGAGCAACAGTTGCCTTGCCTAACAATAAACCCGAGTGCTCGGTGATACTATTTGCGTCTTGAATAGCTATTTTATTTTAACACTTGTATTAAAGGAAAACGAAAAGAAGGGAGAAGATAAGTACTTAATAGTCTCCTTGTTGACTACTTTTATTGACACTACTGTATTACTGTAATGTTTATGGCTATTACTTATAGATCTCTAGGTAGGTACGGTACCTGGTATTTTTCATCCCACAAATCAGCTTGTCTCAGGCCATTCAATCCAGTACCAACTCAGCCCTAACCACCTAAATTCTTAGGGCCATATCTCCCTAATCGCCTTAATAACCTTACAATTCGCCTTGTGTCCCAGCTCATTCCAGCCCCTAACCTGACACTCCTTACTGCAATACGCCGCAAGGCCACACCCTGTACACCGCGATAGCGAATCCTCTTTCCCCCCATCTTCCTCCGTCTTTCCGCATACAGCGCATTTCTTCACCCTCGTCCCTTGTTTTTCTTGCTCCCGAATCCCTGCTATTATAGCGCCCATCTCTAGCACCCGTTCCAGTGCTCCGGGTACTATTCGGACATCTGCTGCGCTGCCTGCTGGGACCCGGACTACGGCTTTTTTGCCGTCCCCTCGGTCTGTGCGGGTTGCGCGTGGGATTACTAGGGTGTGGCCTTTGCGGAATCCGGTTTTTCCTTTGGTGGTGTTGGTGGTGGAATTGGGGTTTAGACCGCGGTGGTCCCCGTCGTCGAATGTGACGGCGAAGTCGATGCCTGTGCGGTCTCGCACGATTAGGGTGGGCTTGGTTATTGTCATGTCCTCCCGGATTTGGGCTATGAGATACCAGGTTTCTTGTGGTAGGGTGGGGGATGAGGTGGGTGGAAGTTCGTTGAAGGAGGGGAAGTGTGTTGGGTCGGTGAATATGGGCATCTTGTTATAGGTGGTTATTGATGTATTTAGCGAGCTGTCAGGAGATTTATAGGTGCTTAATAACTGCGAATGGATCCGGCCTGTTAAGCTAATGTACGTAGGTATATTATAGCATCTAATATGATATTTGAATAAAGTTGAATATTGACAGAAAAATTATGAATTCTTCAAAAATGACAGATAAAATTCAGGAACATATGAATCGAGAAGTGAAACACGGGGCTATCCCTAAGTGGTGGGGCGGCAATGATGTGCCATTTTAGGGGTTCAGTTCAGCTGAAGCAAGGCGTTCGTGAACTGTACCTACTACCACTAATAGCGGCTCTTCCCGCCTCTAACATCAAAATTGCTTTTGTTAAGACATATATCTCATTAGAGCTGGTAAGAATTATGGAATGCCCCCTGGACTGCAGTTGCAGCCACGAGACCCTGGCCATCCATATACGGGCGGTATCGCAGATGTTGGTGCACCATGGTGCATTGCAATGCGCCCCATGCGACCTATGGGGCCGAGCTGCTGCCAATAAACCTAAGCGCCGGCCTCTCTTTAAATGTGCCTACCCATCTTTAAAACTGAAGGATCAAGTTCCGGATTCTTATCATTTCTAGACATCAACGAAAATGTCCGGAGGTGCGGTAGGCTTCGCCTTCCAAGCCGAAGTTACTAACACCGGATCTCTCGTCCATCTCCTCACTGGCCGAGCTCTTAAAGCCTTAAGCGATGGCGGGGTCGACTTCTACTCCGTTGTCGCCGCCGTCACTCTTGGAAAGAGCTTTTCGGTTCGGAGCGCGTTGGGTAACACAGTCCGCTCGCACATCATGTCCCGAGGTGGTATCCAATCCGTGCTCTCAAAAGCATTGAGCATCGGATGGGGCCACTCTGGTCTTGCGGTCGAGATGACACATACCAAGGCAGGCACTAATGCTCTACTTCTAATCGGCGCTCTAGCCGCCGGAACGACGTATTACCAGGCTGCTGAATGCTTTTCAGCTTTGCTCGAGCTCCGGGGGTGCGAAGCCGACCAGCTTCCTAACACCGATGTGCTCAAGCATATGATTAGCTACCTTGCGCCATTTGTCCGCGACTTAGGTTTTTCTAAGGTTCTCGAGCATATCACCACGACAGGTATATGCGCCGTTCATAGCATGGAAGGGGGGAAGAAAACTCAAATAATAAATAGCATCGAGTATCGTGGTGATACTTCCCGTGTTGCCGGTGCTATTAATCAGTTGATGCTTACCTCCCAAAGGGGCGAGAGTATTTATATGGTCACACGGGTACGAGGGGCGTGGTTACCTGCATTTGCTGCACATATACTAGGCATGTCGGTTGAGTTGCGTCTCAACGATACTGTTATATGGGCAGCGGCAGGAAGCAATGGTGAAGTTATATTCGAATTAGGCGAACACCAAGCCAACCAACACTCGGTACAAGCGATCTCAGGCCAGAAGATTATGTTGGTAGACACACCGAATGCAGAAACGAAACCTTCCTTATCCATCGACTATCATATCGGGAATGTGTTTTCGGCCTTACTTTCTCGCGGGCTGAGCATCGATGATGAATTAAAAGAGGGAATGGCGCAGGCAATATGTTACACTTCACTCAGTATGCTGTTCCGTCGCTATAAAAGCCCTCATTGCCGCCAGTGGGCAACTTCCGCGTTTAAAGAGACTATCTCGGCTTTTGGCTTCGAAAGCGGTTTAATCGATTCTATCGACCTCCGTCGATGCGCTAGACCGTCATGGGGCTTATTATCACTCAGCGTCGACGCCCAACGCAAATTCCTAAGGGCCTGCGAAACTCATAAAAACGAACCTAACTATTATGATGTGAATTTAATTTCATCAGCTTGTACTTGCGCCCATATTGAAAGACATATCTCTGGTTTTTCAATTTCTGCTATCATTCTGTAAGTAGTATCCTCGCTGCGGCTATCTTAATTTGGCGTGTTTGGGGACTCTTGAAGGTTGTAATTGAGTGCTAACCCCCAATAACATAGCTCATTGTGTCGATTCGATGCCACCCAGCTTAGGGTCAATGGGGATGTTATTCTACATAAATTTGGCAGCGATCCTCGCTACTTCGAACCGTATAAAGACAAGGAAAAACCTGTCCCAATTCGCACTATGATGGCCCACATTATACGACTAACAGGCGCTGAAGATATCGGTTGGCTAGACACCCGGCTCGAGAGCTTAAATCCAGATCATTACATCCTCGGGCTCTCGAGCGGCACCCAGACTATCTGCTATACTTGTGTATTGGATAATGACTGCTATGATGTCCAAGGCCGGCTTCTGTCTCTGCTGCCAGGTCGAGTGTCGGTCAACGGTACGTTAAGATCGCTCTTGTGCGAGGAACGCATTTGTGACGAAGTTCTTGTCCCCTCACCTTCTGAGTCAGCAAAGCTCGCCTCGGGTTTATATATTGAGCCTCACTACCTACCCTCGAAATTGAATATGGAAACTTGCATGGACGTGTCTTTGAATGAAGATATGGTTCTCCTACGGATGAGTATCGGGCCGGTGGGATCCCCCGCGAAGCATATCCGTTTTCAGGATTGTCTCGCAGCCTTCCCCATTAACAATAGCACGGACTGCTCACATGATACTACTACCGGATTTCGGGTGCGTGAAGGCCAAAATATAACAGTGGTTGGGTTCGATCACATGTATCGATCAACGGTGCGGTATGGAGATTGCTTACAAGTAGTAGCCCTGCATGGGAATAAGCTTGAGCAACTTATTACCCTTGGAATTCTAAAAACTCACGGAAGAGAACAAATAAGTGAAGACGAGCATATGCTTCCAAGTTTTAAATTTCCGAAAAGGTGTGTGCTTCAGTCTTGGGCATGTTTGGATTGTTGCATCGCAGATGCTGAGAGATCTGGTCATAAATACGTGGTTATGGGTGGCTAGGTACCTGGGTAGTCAGTTGGTATACCTTGGATTTGGACGAGTATCTAGGTACAATGGTAGGTACAGTGAGGTATATATTAACATAGCATCTATGTAGCTGTAAGATGTTTGATGGAATCAAATTTATATACCCAAGTAGTCCCGCATATTCATACCGAAAGAGCGTTAAAATCGTTGTGTATCAAATCATTGTCTAAATCAACCATCTGACTATATTACATTGAGATTCTTAAGTGCCTAGGTAAATTCAGGCACTATCCAAAAAACCCTCATCGAGATTGATGAGTCCATCTCGTTGCCGATACATGATATCAGTTCTCATAGTGTACTTAATTCCCTCTTTCACGTCATCTCCCGAATGGTATAGCCGCCGATGCTGGAAGATAAGAACTCGTCCGGCTTTGGGGTCTACGTCGTGCTTCCGCTCCTGGTTAGAGGATAGGAACGACGTCGCGCCCCCAACTAGGTCGACTTTATCGGCGCCTTCTTTGAGAGCTTGCTTCGAATCGTTTAGGTAGAGATGTACCGTGAAATGCGTTTGCACTCTATGCCCGTCCTCTGTAGTCTCGCGATACGGAGCATCACAATGCGGGCGGAAGAATTGGCCGGGACCATACCGTAGAAAGCGCATGCGCTTGTTTACACGTTGGAAGTCCCACCAAGTGTCATCATCCTCCCCTGCGGATTTAATCTCCTTTCCGTTTTTCCTTGGTCGAAGGACGACCCGATCCCATGAGTCCGAGAATGAGACCAACGTATCTCGGATTTCCGGCACGGACTCAAGGCGAACCCACAAACGGTCGACGACGTCCTGCTCATCCCAAATGATGCGATCGCTATTCCTATACTCTGGGATAGCAACCTCATATCCATCACCAACGTTGACAAGAGCTGGTGCCCAGGCTGTCCCGTCGATCTTATTCCGACACTTATCCCCTACGCTGGACTCGGCTAATTTGATCAACGTTGCGCATTCGGATGGACTAAGAACGTTCTCAAGAACTACCGCATAACAATCCTTGTATTCTGGAAGACGGGCTTCGACAAAATCAACCTTCTCAAAAGTGATGGGCTTTGCGTCGGGAGGGTTGGTTCTTAAGAAGTCATCTGGGATGTCCACGAGCTTGGACTCATAAGATGTTCTAAGGGGCATACCAGACATTTTCGATGGTATAATATTGATGTTGACAATATGCAGATTATATAAGGAAACCGAGATATATGACTTCTTGAAAGATAGAATTGGATATAACACTTGTTACAACCCATCCAACATGCCTTTCTTATATACGCGAAAGAGGATGCCTGGTTCTGGAACAATTTAGCGTGACAGGGGCACAGCTAAGCTGTTAGAAGGCTTAGACTTATGCCGCTGAAGATATCTTATGATCTGCAAGTTCAGGGGTCATTGACCTACATTACAGACCATCAGCCTTTCTGGCCGCACACCGAGGATCGAGGGTGCCTTGTTTAGCGGAAATATCATGATTTGAACAGATTGTCCAAAGCTGTAGCAGTAATTGCTCTCATCTAACCGCCATGGTGAATTGGTGTTCTTTTGCGGCTCATAAAACTTGGATCAGGCAGACACATAAGAGAATAGCGCATAAGAAAGTGCTAGGGTTAGCTGGGTTAGCGGGGAGAGTCAACCGGCCAACCGCCACGTGGAAGTTCGATAACTGGATATTATTATTTCCAACCAACTAGGCTACTAGGTAAGAAAAACTTTTACGAGAAGTTCGCAGTCTTATTACCATCAGCATTTCGTGTTGGGTATCATGGTAGTTTCATCAACTCATCGATGATGAAATGTGAGAAAACGAAGGAGGGGATCTATCACTGAATCTAGTGCTAAATCTCAGCGCTCTTTGCTCGCCCGAAGAGCCGTTCGCTATAGACTTTACCGAATTACCGGGCGCGTCATCTCAATGGCAACCCCGCGTCATTCCCCGGATTTTATAGATTTGTAGAAGCGAATGACTTCGATGATTCGCACTCTGAGGAATATAAATATAGGTAGATACTAGAGAATCAATAAAAGTAGTCATATACATACACAATCTTCTCAAAATCGACTTCATATCTCAAGATTTAAAACAATGGCAGCTCCGCCACCTGGTATATATGTACCTGTGCCGACCTTCTTCGCCAGCAGGAAGGCGGCTAACTACGACCCCGTCGCATCGCCCGTCGACATTGATACCCAAATCGCACACTCACTGTACCTAGCGCGAGCTGGTATCAAGGGATTGGTGATCCTAGGGAGTACAGGCGAAGCCGTCCACCTAACAAATGCAGAACGGTCCCAAGTATTGTCCGGTGTCCGACAGGCTTTCGAACGCGAGGGTTTTACGGATTACCCCATTATCGCAGGTACCGCGACGCAGAATGTGGAAGAGACGATTGAGCAACTGCGGGGTGCTAAGGAGGCGGGTGCGCAGTATGGATTATGCCTTGTGCCTGGTTACTTCGCGGGTGCCAGCACGCAGGAGGGCGTAGTGGCCTGGTTTAACGCCGTGGCTGATCGTAGCCCGATACCTGTCATGATGTAAGTTCCCCGCTACAGCGCTGTAAATATAGTGGTGAACGCCGTCTGACATGTACCTAGATACCACTACCCTAGCGTTTCCAACAATGTCAAAGTCGTCCCCTCGACTTTTGTTACCCTTTCTAAACATCCAAATATTGTGGGATGCAAGCTTTCGCATGGCGATGTATCTTACCATGCGCAAATCGCATCGAATCCTTCAATTGATCACTCCCATTTCGCCACTTTCACCGGTTTAGGTCAACAATTACTCCCCGTGGTGTCTGTGGGCGCTGCTGGGGCTATTGATGGATGCGCGGGGTTCTTCCCTAAGACTGTTGTGAAGTTGTACGAATTATCTATCAAGAACCAACCTACGGATGAGGAAATACGAGTGCGGCGGCTATTGCAATTCAAAGTTAGTGGTATGGAAGAGATAGTAGTCAGATTTAGCACTGTGGGCATTAAAGAAGCAATTAGTCGTCTACGTGGTCTAGGCGATAGAGATGGTACGAGATTGCCACTTCTGGGAGGAATACCGGGAGGCGACTCGGAGTGGGAGAAATGGAAGGAGTATGTGGATGCTATGGAGGAAGTGGAAAAGAGTCTGTGATATCAATGTTCATTTGTCCGGAGTAAATGGAATAGGTAATGACGAGGCCATTGAAGTGAAATAGCTATCCTAATATGGATTTGTATGGATGGGTAGATATGGTATGTTTATATGCAGGAAGTTGATGAGACTCAAACGACGGCGATAGGGGCAGTTTGTCTATAACTTGCAGAATTCAAGGATAATCGAATGATAAAATACTCAGAGCCCGAGTTAGATACTCCGAAGGTTCCCTAAACTAGCCTGCGACTTCCCATAATGACGCCGATTTAACATAGGTGGAACGAACCGATCTACCGTAATCGGTGCCGGTTTAAAGTACCTAATCTCAACCACGACCCTCCTAAGAAGTACCTAGCCGATGAGCCCCGCAGTGAATTGAACCTGCTATGAATTTATCTTACTACCTCCAAAACGAGAGCGTTTTAGCGGGTGCGATAGCGCAAATATTTCATAAATAGCAGCTTATAAATCTAGATTCTTGCTTTTGTTTAAATGGCTTCGGAGTTCCCTAGCCCCCAGCCAATCTAAGAACTATAGAAACCCTCGTCTTGTCCTAAATATTCTACAATGGCCGCTACCCCCAACCCACTCGCCTCATCCGGCAGTGCCCCCGTGCCAAGCGTCTCGCGCAGCACACTTACTGTCTCCGGATTGAAGGTCGACGTATATGGCCTGGCGGAGCTACACCCGGCCGCGACCAATGTATCATGTCTGTGGCTGCACCATCCGCGTTTGCGCAGCAAGGAGGACATGACCAATATCGCGGGCCAAGTCCTGTCTGCGTATCATCAGAAGCAGACTACGAGGGGCCTCATTGCTGTCGCTTTTGATCAGAGGAATCATGGGACGCGACTTGTGGATGAGTTAGCGAATGAGGATTGGCGCCGCGGGAATAAGACTCAGTATGTACTTTTGAAGCGGTCCCTTGAGTAAAGACTGCTATGAAATACATTGACTAATCCTTACATTTGAATAGTGCTCAAGATATGCTTGGAACTATCACTGGTACTGTTGTAGATAACATAAATCTACTCGATCTGCTGCCCGGCTATCTCTTTGGCAACGGAGACGGTCCAGGCGCCTCGTCTAATGGTGGAAAGAGGCACATCGATCATAACTTGGTGCTTGGTATTAGTCTCGGTGGACATACTGCCTGGCAATTACTATTCGCGGACCCTAGAGTTACGGCTGGTGTTATGGTGATCGGGTGTCCTGATTACATGAGTGAGTTCCAGAACTAATCATACCTAGAAAAGATAAAAATCTATGAATACCGAACGCTAACGACATATAGATCTCATGAAAGACCGCGCGCGACTATCCAGGTTAGAAACATATGGGCAATCCGATGAAGGTGCGTCTTTCTTCGGCAGCAAAGACTTCCCGGATGCATTAGTAGCCACATGCAACAAATACGATCCCAAAACCATATTATTCGGGATGGATGCGCCCTACGCATTGGAAGCGGAAGTGTCGGCTCGTAAATTCACACAAGCGAATATTACGGGAAAGAGGTTCCAAATCCTTTCTGGCGGCGCGGATAAGCTTGTCCCGTATTCAGCCAGCGAACCTTTCCTCCAGCATTTCAAGGCGGCTACATCGGCGGCAAATATTTATGTGGAAGACAATGTCTACCTAGGGATTGGCCATCAATTCACTCCTAATATGAAAAACGATGCAGTGCGATTCATTCTCGATAGCGTGGCTCTAGCAGACCCCACTGCGCCTCCTAAGATTTAGTTTCAGTACATGAAGCTATGCTGTATTCTCATACGTTTGACCATGGCTGAAGACTTCCTTCAAGATATTCCTCTCCCTCAATGATCTTGACTTGTACACCACTGCGCGTTCGATCACCATCATCAAGGAAAAGCGTCTGAGCGGTTCCCCATGGATTTCTTTTCCGACGTTTATTAGCTAAAAGCTCCCCCTTCCCATGAGGATCCTCCCTCCATTGATTATCTGCTTCAACGATACCATTTATGGCGGCCTCGTTGGTGCCATCCGTCATACCCGGTGGATCCGACCCCAAGAACGTAACACGATTAAGAGGATACCCAATAGCGCTGCAGTGGAGATTCACGAGGCGCTCGTGTTTGAAGAGATGGCTCACTATGGTTATTTTCTCTGGCCAGGTGTGGTACTCGCTCCAAAATTTGGTAAGCGAGAATAAAACGTTATAAAATGAGTCGAGAGCACGCTCTTCGCAGGATATCCGACCCGTAACTTCAGCCTCGGAGACGATTCCGAAGTATGAGTTTGCGCTGGCGAGGTTGGCGTAGCTTTGTGCTTCCGATAGATGGGTTTCCTTTCTTGTGGGGCCTCTGTAGATAGAGTCAATCTTACGAAGTCGAATTCAAATATCTCGTTGTGAAATAAACTTCGCCCGGTTCTACATTGTAAGGCTACCTAGGTAGACATGAAATGAAATGAGAGATAAGTTAAGGGGAGCTCACCCTGAAAACATCAACACATAATTATCATTCTCTTTCAAGGCGCGGAGTCCAATTTTGATATGGTTGATGAATGTTGGCGTCTCGCCCTTTTGAAACCCAGCGATGAGCCATTCACTCTCATCGTGACCGTTTTCGGATCCCTCGAGCCATATTCCGTGGCAGCATACTATGATTAAGTGCTCTGGTACTTGTAGAGGCATACTGAAATTTGATGTTTATTTTACGCGCAGAATTGAGATTTGGAAGAGTTTTAGTACAGGAAATGGAGGATTGATTACATGCATATTTATTATGCGACTAATGGTGTCCTTTTATGGATATTGTATTGTATGATGATATCCATAGTATCTGAACAACACATTGTGTGTTTCGTATAATAAATAGCTAGAGTAGCAAGAGGAGTTGATTCCCTGATCCATGGAGGCCATGTTGAGTGACCGGTGGGCAATTCCAAAGTATTGTATACCCGCTTTAACTTTATGTTGGGTGACTTTGGAGTGTAGCTGGACATATGTGTATCCCACCTATGATCGTTGGGTTTGCCTAACCTTCCTAATACCTGCCAAACATGTTGAACCGGTTCATAAGACTTCGTAAATCATGTGTCATACCTACCTCGCGGCTGAAATCCGAACCTTTTAGATTTCTAGGCTTCGCGTGGCTAATGCCTTGCGATACCGTTATCGCGATCGCGATCGCGGTATACAAGATTCTATGCGATATCCCTTCGTTTTCATACCGCTTTAGACATAAGCAATTTGAAAATATCAGATACAAGATAAAGACTCCCTGCAATAACAAGCGGCCCTTCATTTGAATTTTGGCTTGCCCAATTCAGGGCTAAGCGCACGTCCGTAGATGCGTCAAACCGTGACGATATAGCAGCACCGCATTGGCTTGCGGTGTTGAGCAATGTTGCTGAATTTGTCGGCTGGACCCAGGGCATCTGGTCGACAGGGCCGAATTCGACTGTCGTTATGGAATCGCCGTCACGGAGTAGTAACTTGAACATTTCTGATACATCTTTGCCTTGTGTAGCGGCAAGTACCCAGGTAATTGGCTTATTCAGGGGCCGTAGGTGCTTTTCGATATAGGCGGAGAGTACTTCTGCAGATTGGGGGTTATGAGCTCCGTCTAATAGAATGTTCTCCTTCCTACCTGTGGTATTCTCGATGCTTAACTTCTGAAGGCGCCCCGGCCATACCATGTCCCGGGCAGCGGAAACAAGAATATCTGTAGAACTCGCAAGTTTTGGATATGCAAGTCGAAAAGCCTCATGCGCGCACGATAGATTCTGCTGCTGGTGTGGTTCGAGATTTGCCCGCAATTTATCCACCAGTGAGTCTGACTGCGGGTCCGCGAAATGGATGGTACTACCTGTTCCGTCGGCGTGTTTTTGAAGAACATCTAAAACAGACCTTGGATTACTGCTATCCACGACACAGGGAACCCCTTTTCGCATGATCCCAGCCTTCTGAAGGGCAATCTCCTCGATTGTATTTCCTAAAAATGATTGATGGTCGAGGCCGATCTTGGCGATGACGGTGATGCATTTCTGTTTTAGCACGTTCGTCGCATCGAGCGTCCCGCCTAATCCTACTTCGATTACACCAACTTCGACCTTTTCGGCTTCAAATATCTCAAAAGCTGTGGCTGTGAGGAGTTCAAACTCACTCGCGCCAAGATGATGTTCTTCATTTCTCTTCTTCACAAGGTCTTCGAAGTGCTTGAATTTCGTTTCCGATACGGTAATATCGTTGATAGTGATACTATCCCGGGGTTCAACGAGATGGGGTGAAGTAAACCTGCCGCATGATATTTGATTGGCACGTAACATAGCAGTAAGATATGCGCATATAGAGCCTTTGCCGTTCGTTCCAGCAACATGGATGGCTTTCCATGTTTGTGGTGTCTGCTTGAGCAGAGGGGTGATACGTGCTAGGCCGAGGTTCACCATGATGCTTGTTACCTAGGAGCCATAGGTGTTGATTGATGTGTTTACTTTTTTTATGTATAGTGTTTTTTATGAGGCTAATATTCTCAGGATATGAGTCATAGACAATTGCATTATATATATTATGAATGATTGAGAAGAAGAGCTGTGAGTGATTTGTCTTTGTAAGAGAGTGAATAAATCTCAGCCTGTCGATTTTGTAAAACGTTATCGCTAAGAGGTACGTAGTTCTTCGGAGCGATGACACTACTCTGAATAGGGTTAGCGTGTACATGGATTAGACTATAGGTACATATATCAATGTATTGAATGTGACGTGGAGATGTATGTATTTCCGGTACGTACCGATCGCATTTGCCCTTGCTTCTTTCAGGGTCTTACGTGGAAATGGTTTAGCGTGATACTTAAGTTTTAGGTGTCTTCTATAGTAATAGGGAAGTAGCCTAGGAGCACTATACCGATGGGTCTGCTGCTGGCTGCACGGCAACCCGGGGTGGAAGGTAGGGGTTAGATTGCTCGCATTTAGGAAACTGGGTTTATGGGCTAGACTAGGAACTCTGGTAGGGCACATGTGCACCTGTCCACTTTAAGTCGGCGCGCATCCGTTACGCCTTCCCCGTCTTCCTTAACCTTACCAAGTTTACCAACCTACCAAATTGTCAAACTGCCCCGGGGCCTTTTTTTTTTGAGATTCTCCCGCCGTCCTTCTTTTTTGTTTTCCACTCCACATCAGGAGAGACCCCACGAAGAGTTTCTGGACAAGACAAGGCCACTGGTCAACCCTTTTTTTATCACAACCACAATTGCTGAATTTTTTTCATATTGTGGTGTTGTCGCGCGTTCTTGTCTATTTATTTGCAAATTGCTCTTTGCGGCGTTTTGGGCGATTGTTGTTCTTTACTTTAATTGTTCACTTGGAATTGAATTTACGATAGTACGCCGTACTGGCCGCTTCGCGACAATACCATCACATCCATCACACCACACTCTATTCCTCACTATTCTAATTCTACTCTACCTTTCACTAGCCTTGCGCTTCAATCATACTGGCGTAACTCAACTATTGCCCGTTGTCCCAATTCTACCCGTCGCCACGCGCTTACTGGCTTAACTGACAAAATGGGTCTACCGTAAGTACTATTATCGCGTCGCGTTTATTTGCACGCGCATTCTCGCCAGAATGCTCTAAGACACGTTCAATCTGCGTAATCACATTTGCCGTCTAGTCTCAAACTGAATTCGTGTTTGCGCAACTTTTTTTCGACCATACAATTCATTGCTAACATCTTTTCTTTCGCATCTAGATTGTGGCGTGAGCCTGAGCCCGATGCTACGGCGGCACCGGCGGCGAACCCCCCTAGGCGTTCTCCTTCCGATCCGGCTAACGCCCGATCTACGATTCGTCGAGTGCATTCACCACGCCGCCAAAACAACAATTTCAACTACATTCGTCGAATGCGCAGTACCCGCGAGCAACGTCTTAGAGAGCTTACTGCCCGCTTCCATGGCGATGACGCTATCATAACTTCTAGCAATGCTAGTAATACCCCTCGCACCGATGCCACTCGTCGTCTTCCTCCTATCCCCACAGATTCGGATCTACCCTATAACCCGAACGTTCTTGACATTGATATTGTTCCGCCTCCTGATGATGAGGAGCCGGGAGAGGAAGAGCTTAACTCTTCAATGGAAGAATTGCTGCGACGAGGTGATTTCGGAACTCTACCTGAACCAACTGGTCCTACTAGAGTTAGTGATCGTGTGTTCGCCGCTCTTCACGAGCAAGATTCCAATGCACCCAGCAATCCTCCAGCAGGTATAGATCTCCACCGACCCCGATATGCTATTTCGTCGCGTGCCCTGCTGGCTAGAGATAGCGGTCTAACTTTACCTCCTGCCTGGGGTGCCATTGTATCAGACTATCCTCCAGGTGGTTTCGACGATATAATTTATCCCCATCGTGCTCGTCGCCGATACACCCGCCACACACCCTATTCTAGCTCTCGATTACCACCTCGCGTACGATACAATATGGATGGACTAGGTGATCGAAACCGAAGCCTTAGCCCTGAGGGAGATGGCGTATGGGATACTCTTCAATCAACTCTGACGCCGGATCCGCAACCCCCGAGCGTAGGCTCTTCGTTTGCCTCGATTGCTGCATCTCAAAATTCTCAGAATCCTACTGCTCCTTCGTCATACACGACTATCACAACCCCAGAAGCTGACGTTGAGCCTCCTTGTGACCCAGTCAACGAGACGGACGGCGCCGAAGACAACGACTCGGATGAGATACCTTCCTTGTTACCACCCCGACGACCTACTCCTCTTAGCAGACGATCCTATGCAGCAGTGGCTTCCGATGACCCTGAGTGGCTCTCCGGTATGCATCGCATCGTTCGTGGCCTTGCGACCCGTGAAGATATTCCAGATGAGTGGTGGGCAGAAGCTGGTCTTACCCGTTCGATGTCTTCTTCGTTGGCTTGGGACGAGCTGAACTAGTTGTTGGAACGAATAGATCTTTAGGCGTGGCATGGCGGCTTGCACTCAGTTCGAAAAAGGACAAAAAGGGATGCATCTGATTTGGTAGTCTACTAAGTTTTGTTTTCTTCGTTTCTTTGATGGTCATGGAAATTGGCGTTCCGGAAAAAGAATATCAAGTGCGTTTAGAGTGCGACGACGCATTCTATTCAGGCAGGGGGATAGGCAAGCAGGCAAGGGAAAGCTGTAGGAGTTGGCGTTCGCGACACTATAGGGAAGTGTCTTGTGGTTTGTGTCGGTTGTATTATATTGACCATGTGATGGTATTGGTCTTTTGCGAGGAAGGCTGGAACCAACAAGCTTTGGTGTGTGTACTCTGGCTCTATCCGACTTGCATCTAGCTGGTACTTGCTTGTAGTATAGGAATCTGTTGTTGCTGTAGGTATCCTATACAATTGAGACTTATGGACAAACTATCTTCTACTTGTTTTTCTAATATTGTGATTTGTATGATATATTATATGCCTAGATAGTTACGTGTAATATGGTTTTTTTTTCTTCTTTTTTTACTTTGAAGCTCTCCCTGTTATGTGAGTTGCGCATCTTCAATTCTAATCTGGTGGATATCGTCTACGTAATTCTCGGACTTGAGCCTATCGATAACTATGTATCTTATAGGAGGTCTATCATATTAGAAGTACAAGATAGTGGATACATCGTAAGGAATAAAAGGCATTGACCAGCGCTTGCCGATGTATTATGTATCGTTACAGGACTTGAACTTAAGGCTAGCTGCAGTAGCTGCTTATACTAAGAAAAACCCCGCTGGACCAGTAAAGTGTCGCGCTGAAACGTGCCTGAATTACGCCCTATGCTATATATGTAGTGTATGTAGGTAGGCTATTCCGAAGGAAAGCACACGGTAACAATTAGATTATTAGCTTATCGGTACCAATTAGCACCCGATTAATGCAGCGTTAGCACCGATTACTGCCCATTATGGGATGGAGCCTCTTTTTGAAACATTCCAGGAACTGCAACCTGAAGCTATAATTGGGCGCCTAAATTCTTTCCCTCTCCTTGCTTGGTCTCTACGTCTCTACGTCTCTTACCACACAATACAATATACAAAATACAAAAACACACACATCCACATACAACACATCACGCTACGCTACACTACACAAGCCAATGCCATTCATTTATACCTGAAGTTACATGCAACTGTGACTTCTCCCTCTCTTTACTTCCCTTTCCCCACATTGGGAACCAATATTCGGGGAATTATTATTCATTCATGGTAGAAAAGCTATGTGAGGCTGAGATTTGTTCCCTCTTCCAAACTCGACCTGAATCCAACCCAACCTGACCTTTCAGTCCCTCCTTTTTTTATTTCGAGTTTACGTAGATGTCGGACGAGTAACGAGTAACGAGTAAATTGAAAAACCGAAGCCCCTCCACCGATTATCGAGACCCGTATTTCTACCTAGAACTATTTTATCCCGGGGTTGATTGGTAGAACAGGTTGAACGCAACGCGAAAAAGGAGATATAGAGAATACTAGTTATAGCTGGAATGTGAAAAAGAAATACCGATCTGTTGGCCCCTCGCCATCGACGCATGCTCCGCCATACCACCACCTTTTCCCACCCCTCCTATTTCCCCTCCCTTGTAAACATCGACAAATAGCCTCGCCTTAGTATTCCCAGGGGAGGCGAAAACCGACGTACGGACCACCGGCCATGGCGCCCAGCTCGGGCCACGGCCCCCATCCCTCCAACGGCTCCTCGTCGGGCGAACGACGTTACAGCTCTGCGGCTAACGGGAAAGCTGCCGCGGTGGCCGCGAGGCACGACCGAACCCCCAATACACCCAGGAAAGAAAATGGTGGACGTGAAAAGGCGTTACAAGATCCGGGACTAAGAGATTACGTATGTGCATGCTGGATATATGCGAAGACGGACTTGCGCGTGCTTGGTTTTGTATAGGGCTGACTAGGTGTTGTTATAGCGTCTAGGAGAATGTCTAGGCAAAGGAGCTTTCGGCTCTGTGTATAAGGCTATCCACTGGGGCACGGGCGAGGCCGTTGCGGTTAAGCAGATCAAATTGGTGAACTTGCCAAAGAGTGAGCTACGAATGATTGAGGTGCGTTGGTACACTATACTTGGCGCGTGTGCATGAGGGAGACTGATATGTTACAGGCCGAGATCGATCTACTGAAGAACCTGAATGTAAGGAATACCACTTTCCCTGCATCAAAGAATCGCGCCAGGTCTTGGGCTCTAACGTTATCTAGCATGACAACATTGTCAAGTACATTGGATTTGTCAAATCGACAGATTGTCTTAACATTATCCTCGAGTAGGCTGTCTATATCTCGCCAGCATTGTTGCATGCTTAGGGGTGCTGACTGCTTTAGGTACTGCGAGAACGGTTCTCTACATTCGATATGCAAAGCGTACGGGAAGTTCCCAGAGAACCTAGTTGGGGTTTATATGACCCAGGTTCTTCAAGGTCTACAATATCTACACGACCAGGGTGTGATACATAGAGATATCAAAGGTGCCAACATCTTAACAACCAAAGATGGCAAGGTGAAACTTGCAGACTTTGGCGTGTCGACTAGTACTCTCGCCGGACCCGACAAGGAAGCTCAGGTGGTGGGAACACCATATTGGATGGCCCCTGAGATTATTGAGCTGTCCGGTGCTACGCCTGCGTCCGACATTTGGAGTTTGGGCTGCACAGTTATTGAGCTGTTGTCTGGTAAACCTCCGTATCACCATTTACAAGCTATGCCTGCTTTATTTGCTATTGTTAACGATGATCATCCACCTTTACCCGAAGGTGTATCGTCGGTCTGTAATTTCCCTACACGGTTGGCTTCAAGCCCAATAAGAGTTGAGGCTGACTGTGGTTTAGGCTGCGCGTGACTTTCTTATCCAGTGTTTCCAGAAGGATCCGAATCTACGTGTCTCGGCAAGGAAGTTATTGAAACACAATTGGATCGTAGGTTGCCGACGAAGTGACGCCCCGGTAGCCAAAGCCCCCGGCAACTTTAGCCAGGCTGTTGAAGAAGTCAAACAATGGAACAAGGCACTCACCTCTTCAGAAACCAACTTACGAGCTTCCGGTGGTTCCGACTCGATCCCCTTCCATGGCCACCAAGGCTCAAGATTTACATCGCAGGAACAATCTAGGTCCAATTTGCCAACTCCAGCCAAAGCACCCTTTGCATTGGGCAAGCCCAGACCCACCGCGAATGATTTCCGATCTCCTGAACTTGCAGGTATGTTAGGCACCTGCATATAGCCCACTCCTCTCCGTTTCGCTACATATTCTCATTTGTTTGTTGATTTTCTCCAGATGATGATAATTGGGACGATGACTTTGCTACCGCTATTTCGCCGAGTGCTCTTAAGCTTCCGCACGTTAAACCGCAAGACCATTTCGGCGGTATGCTTTCCGCAGACCGATTAAAGGCATTCGCATCGATCGACAGTTCACGCGATATCTCGGCGAGCTGGGATAATGATTACGGTGGTGAGCTAATGACGATGAATAAATTACATCCAATCCAGGACGAAGACCCCTTAGAAAAGACAATTCGTCCCAATTGGAAGATGGCTGCCAAACCCGATAAACCCGTGGAATCGAAACCACAGTCATCCAAATCATCTCCCCGCAAACGACCACCAAGCGGCCACCACAAACAAAAATCCCAACCCAAAAACCAACTTGGCAGTAGGTTCCAATTACCACCAAGACCTGATGTGGTATATAGAGAACAATCGGTGGAAGATTACTCTGATCTCTTTGACGATAATGACAGCGTCTTTAACCAGGGGCTAGGGCTCTCGAAGAAGGTACACCACACCCAACTACGACCCATCCTGTCTAGCCCTATCCCACCCCGTACACCCCATACACCTAAAAAATCAAATCAACGCTCACACGCAAGGGTACAGCCTGATACACCGCAGCTCTTTCACCCTTCGGATCTAACTAGTCTGCCGCGGTCTATGCAGTCTCCCGAGGCGGGAAGCATAAGAAGGCAACCTTCGGCGCGACCGTCAGCTTTACCCGACCGACCACTGCAGCGATCGAAATCGTCTATTGAGATTCAAAAATTTGCCGAAGATGAAGGGGACGAGGATTTCTCCGACATATTCGGACCCGGCGATAATCTAACCGAAAAGGAGGAGAGTGATCGTGGGTCTGAGGACGGGAATTTTATGGTTCTTTCTCGATTGTCTAACAATTCGTGGCTTGGTGACGACGAAGACGAAGACGATCCATTTGCATCTATGGATCCAGGCTGGGATGAAATGGATTTGGAGGCAAACCTTGCGCGTGATCGACATGCGCGACTTGCCGAAAGGATTGAGGAGCTTGTTCGCTCGCTCAAGACTACTGAAGGCGAGGATATACTGCTTGAGCTTTCGGGTGATTTGGTTAGTATCATTCGGTTTCTTTGTGAGTAGCAGGTTTGTATGCTGACATCCAATTTTAGCTGGGATTACTTTGGGAAAACACCGAGGTCAAAAATCTGATCATCAGTGCCCACGGGCTACTACCCATCTTGGAGATACTGGAACCTTGTACGGTCAAAAGTAGGCAGCAGATGATCCTGCAATTGCTGCAAGTCGTCAACACGGTATGTCAACTTAGCCCTGTAGCTAGTAGCACTATCACTGACTTGTTATCTAGATTATATTAGACGACGTCGAACTTCAAGAGAACTTATGCTTCGTCGGTGGTATTCCCATTATTACCAAGTTCGCCGCAAGGCAATACTCAAACGAAATCCGATTAGAGGCCGCAGCGTTTGTGAGACAAATGTACCAAACATCAACCCTTACACTGCAGATGTTTGTTAGTGCAGGTGGTCTCAATGTTCTCGTTGAATTCTTGGATGAAGATTACGATAGCGCAAGGGACTTAGTACTCATCGGTGTGAATGGTATTTGGAACGTCTTTGAACTTCAAGGCCCTACCCCGAAGAACGATTTCTGTCGAATATTCTCCAGGAGCAACATCTTGGATCCCCTTGCTCTTGTTCTCCATCGTGTCTTAGATCGAGATGTCGAGACTGAATTAGCAGAACTGATTGAAGGTCGTATCGTCAACATCTTCTACTTATTCGCACAAGCCGAGAATTATGTCAAGGAGATGGTGGCCGATCGACAAGTTCTGAAGAGTAAGCAACTTGATTTTATAGCTTTGTGGATTCCAGCTAACGCGAATCTAGGTGTTCTCAAGGATCTTAAACGCATGACTCCTATACACCAAATTACGATGCTAAAGTTCATCAAGAACTTGTCAATGCTTTCAACAACTCTTGATGCTCTCCATGCTGCAGATGCGATCGACCTTCTCATTACCCTCCTCGACAGTGTCTTGGATAAGGGACGATCCCATTTACGTGAGATCTCTAACCAAGTACTCAACACCATGTTTAATCTTTGCCGCCTAAGCAAGGATCGCCAAGAATACGCCGCTGTGAACGGGATTATTCCGCTTCTGTTAAGGATTATGAAGACTGATCGACCTCCAAGAGAATTCGCTCTACCTATTCTCTGCGATATGGCCCATTCAGGAAGCAAGGGCCGTCGTTTCTTATGGCAAAACCAAGGTCTAGATTTCTATGTCTCACTAATAGCAGACCAATACTGGCAAGTCACTGCGTTAGACGCCATTTTCGTTTGGTGAGTAAACTCCAACCCCCTGGAAGAATGAAAATTTGCCGACTAATTTACTATCAGGTTGCAAGAAGAAACGGCAAAGGTTGAAGGCCACCTCCTAAATGGCCAATTTACAGACGCAATCGTATCTTGTTTCAACACCCAAAAGACGAACGCCTTCGATCCTAATCTCTTAGAACCATTGCTAAAAGTTCTTCGACTTTCTCCATCTTTGGCAGCTTCCCTAGCTAAATCAAACATGTATTCTGGAATTGCCCAGAAACTATCTCACAAAAAGGCTGTGGTACGCCTCAATCTTCTACGTCTCGTTCGAAACATACTTGAAGCTCGAGAAACCGACTACTTCAGCGATCTCAACGACAAACAGCTCCGATCACTACTCGACGATATCAAAATCCTTGCTGAGAAGGACTCTGCCGTACTTGTGCGAAACTTGGCATCGGATCTTGTCGCTTCCCACATAGACAGCAATTCCAACCCAATAGTTGCGCCCCTATCGGCGTCACAAAGTTCAAATACAGGATCCCACCGTACGCGATCTAGCGGTCGCATATTCACACCTCCTTCGCTTCATTCGTCTCATTCAGTTCCTATTACACCAACACAAGGACCTCGCGAACCGCGACACCCCGCAATCATCGAAGTGGCATCTAGTCCAAAACGCTCTTCCGCACATGGACGTGAATCCATATCGTATCGTCCTGGAAGTCGTGATGGTATCTCTAGTATACCTATAAGTTCTCCTCGCCGATCAAGCACCGACGTACAGTCAGGTAGCTCGAGCGGTGGTAGAAGCAGATTACCAAGAAATTCGGGTATATACGCTTCTAGGCCCAGCTTAAGTGCAGCCGCAGCTGTCTCTCAAAGTGAGATTATGATGTCGAATAAGGAGAACATAGGGAGTTCATCAGAGGGCATCAGTCGATTCTCCGGCAGGCCATCAATCTCAGAGTCGAGCGTCATTTCTAGCAGTCGTACCAGTGCTTCGTCTTCATCGATATTGGGGAAATCGAGAAGAAGCCGAGCGCCGAGCGAAGGCAAGCAGAAGTGGAATAACTAGATGGTCTAATGATGATTTCAATGATTAAAGAGCCAAGTCACATTAACAAACACAAACCCTGATTTCTTAAGTACTTAGTTAAACTTCGCAGTGGGGAGACAAGACGCCACACAAAAAGCAAAAAGTTTATGATATTGCAACCTTTCTACGTCTATAGAAAAGAGGGGAGGGGATTTTCGCATTCTAAGGCAGCATTTGAGGAGGGGTTCACGTCTTGCTACTGGCTTAGAGGCGGTCAACTGCATAGGAAGAATGAGGGGATGAGGTATTACTCATGAGGAATGAGAGAATGGGGATGACGAAGAGAAAAGGAGAAAAGGGGGAGTAAGTTAAATATCATCAATATAGCAATGCGATGCCATGCAATGCAATGAAACAATGGGAATCGTGAGATACCTTGACTGAGTAGTTTGGTATTTATGGTGTTTTGATGGTGCGTTCTCACAGTGTGATCATCTAGTTGTGTAATTGGGCAAATGGGGGAATGAGAATAGCGGTTAGCGGGCGAGATAGGGGTGAGAAGAACCCCGTGGCGGGGTATTGAGGAGTGTGGTAGGTGCTGAATTTTGGGGATGGTTAGCAGACCTCAGGTTTAGGCTCGGCTATCAGGACTGTAAATTGCCCTGTAATACACCATTTACTACTACGTTTTAGGGCATTTTATGCCTAATTACAGGGGAGAAATGGTGAGCTGGAGTAGTTTTTAGGGCTTATACTCACGCATTCAAAGGGCTCAAAGAACTATAGACGCTGGCGGGGTTAGGGTTAGAAGATACCTACTCAAGCTGATTCAAACATGCTAGCATCTATTCGTATTGCAAAATATTTTGGTCTCAATGTAGTCCCTGTCTTACCCCCATTGCTTATTCTTAATACCATGAGTTTGTCTAATCATTTTCAACGCATAGAGTCTAATCCGTGTTGTTGGATAGATGTCTAACTAGGTACATAGGCAGCGACCTACAACCAGTGGGTGGGTCGTGATAGGTTCTGTGCCGCAAATTCACCTGGGCAGGGAGCAATGGTCAGCGCTGTCTTCCCCCAGGCTACAGACAATCATGCGATTTAAAAGATTCCACTGCCACCGCCTAAATCTGTAGCCTTCTACGGGTACTTAACCACCTAGAAAACAAGTATACATCAAGATGGCACCTGTTTTGTCCGACCTCATTGGCCAATATCCTATCCTCACCACTATAGCTAGTTACCTTTCTTCAGTTGATCTCCTCCATCTTGGCTTAGCCTGTCGCGATTTTCATGCTCTTATTCTATCCTCGACCAAAGGTTTCGAAGCCCTTCGGCGCGACTGCCTCTGCGATGGATCCGGATTACGTCGCCGCCTAGATGCCTGGCGTCACTACAAATACAAGTGGGGATCTACTCGAAGAATCTTACAAGACGAGGAGATCGAGGTGAGACTCTTCGCAGTCAAATGTGATGAAGCCGGAGCGCTTCCTTGTGTCAAGTGCGGCATCAACATTTGTGAGGAATGCAGAGAATATCCTCGCGTGATGCCTAGATACGGGAACCCTCCTCTGCGTCGTCCTCATCTGAACGACACCTGGGAGGTTGTAAACATCATGTGCCTTTGCGACGCTTGCGATTCTGCAATAGAAGACCAGGTGCATGGGGAGTTCCTCAATGAGTTGTGCGATTGCGATGTCTACAATCGATGGATCTGCCCGAAATGCGCAGAGGATGAGGAGAGATGGACTAAGGAATATTATGATAAATACACCGCATTGGAGTCAATCGAAGACACTTATGATGATTTCCAGGAGTACCAAGGTCTTACCAAAGTCATGGCGGACCACCAATCAGGCATTCTTTTCCATTGCGTATGTGGCGCATATGTGCCGCAAGAGGCACGACCTCGCTGTATTTGGTGTACGAGGAAACATCGCCCAGAGTATGAATGGTATCGGGAATTGGAACAATTACTAGGCAGACCACTTGACGACGGTTCTTATCCAATCTATGATTCTGCATACATGAGGTCGTATCCAATTCTACCGTATACCGGGCTGGTTTACCAAAAGCCTTCTACATAAGATTATTATGTATTCGACCCTATCTAGCATGACACCAATAACGCCTGTGCATAGCCCACCATCAGCCCTCTTCCTTGACGCATTTTCATACGTTGTTCCAATATGTTAGGCGGATATGATAGGGTATTAATAAGAATTCGCATCCTTCTTCGCACCCACATCATTTTATTGCATCCCTCTCTCCAGCTATCGCTATTTCTCAATTCCAATACACGGTCAATATCTAAAGCAGTGCTTAATATTGTGTAAAAAATGGACCCTATATCAGCTCTTAGTGTTGCTTCAGCTGTTATCGCTTTTGTCGATTTTTCGTGGAAAATTGTTACTGGAGCAGCAGAAATCTATCGCTCCGTAGAAGGCACAACCAACGAGAACGCACGCCTCGAAGATATTGTACAGGATCTTGAAACAATCTCTAAACGATTGAGCTCAAGGTATGAGGCTGGGACTCCAGCGGAAAAAAAACATTAAATTACTTGCCGATGATTGCAAAGAAGAATCAATGAAGCTCAAAGCGATACTTGAGAGTCTTAAAGTCCCCGGGAAGAGGAGAACGCCATTGAGAACCCTGAAGAATTCTTGGGCTAATTGGAGGGCAAAAGATGAAGTGAAACAATTGAAAGACACATTCCAGGAAATTCGGTCAGAGATTATCTTGCACTTATCAATGCTGCTTGGGTGAGTGCATAAAGTCCTTTACTACTTAAGGTGGCATGGATGGGGCTTTTATGGTTAACTTTCACCCTCAGAGAAAAGCAATCGAGTTTTGAATCCCAGCTTCAGTCCATACAGGACAGCTGCGATAATTTAAAAATCGAGTACCCAAAGCAGCTTGAAATTATGCGTAACGAGCTCATCCTGAGCTGTCTGGGGAATCCCCTGATATGCAGCAACGGTTGAACCGCCTCGTTCGATTTTCCCACCGTACGGCGCGAGACTTTTTTTCTGGCAGTAAAGACAGGATCGCGATCCTCAAAGAATCTTTCAGTAACTTTGATGGCAGTAGTGTCTATGGGAGACTACGCCTCGCTGAGTTCGCCTCATGCGTTAGGCATCTCATTCACGAAGAGAGTGTTAGGGTGGCTTCTGCAGTGGATAGATATGATGCATCCTCAACACACCAACAAATGGATTATTGACGGATTCCAATCTGTAATTCAACGATTACAGCCACTCCTCCTGTTCTCCCTAGCTCAACATCATTCTACCTGGGCCGCAGTAGACAAGTTCATACTTTCATATGGAACCAAGTCGAACCCATTGCTCGCTGCAATATACGCGAAAGATTGGGGAAGGGCTATATGTGTTATCGAGAACGGGGTCGAACTAAATTCTGCCATATATCCACCGTTGCGTATAGGATTATTTGACTGGCCCCTATGGACTATAGCATTGATCTGTCTTATTCACCATCAGTTCTCGAATCGCGACTACGTGAGTGATGCTAATAGAGTAGCTCGTCGGATTTTTCGGTGTATCGCGGACAGCGCAAGAGAATTCAGTCTCACTTTAGCCTGGTGGGACAACAATAGCAAGTTGCCACAACCAGTGAATCTGGAACTTGATTCGGTAATCAACATCCTTGATCTCGCCACAAGCGGTTTGGAGAATGGCGGAGACAGGCATGAGGTTACGACGAAACGACAGGGAGTCAAATTTTCAAAGATATACCAAGCCCTTATGGAGGGAGCAGATATTTTTTTATATTCTATGTGTTGGAAGAACAGAATCTATTACTTCCAATTCCAGCTCATTGGCTTCCCCCCCCAAGAATGACCCCGTCCGGATAGAAATCGAATAAACATGGGGGGCAATCTGGGACGCAGTTCAGTTTACTATTCTATCCGATTAGAGAGGTCCCTATAAACGTTTGAAAATGCAATACTGCTATTATAGAGTGTATAAGATACCTAAGTACCTACCTAGGTAGTTAAGGCATCGCCATCCAAGTACGGCACGGTTCGATTCTACAATTGTATTGGCTAGCTACTCCCACTACCCATTAATGACTTCCCTGCCAAGACGTAGATCACCATGAGCATCAACCATTCCAGGGGCAAAATTATTGGTACACAGAAAACGATGGAGCCTACGGTTGGTCTATTGATGTAAATATTGGTATTGGGTTCCATTGGAAGACGGGAATCAAAAACACACGATACTAAGAAAACAGGGATTGAGTCAGTCAATTGAATGATTGCTGTGCAATCACTTCTATCCTCGATTTACGCAGACGTTGTTAAATACCTAGGTAGGCAGAGCAGTGCCAGTTACAGAAGACTTCCTCGCACAAGAGCATCATTCGAATTACGGGGGCTCGACCCATTAGCCCTAAGCACCTAGGTAGCTGCGTGGGCGCTGTTATGTCCCTAGATAGGTCCTAGGTAGGGTGGGTAGAGAGGGGTCGAACCACCGTCGCACGCCGACGTGTAGATCTATCTCAGTGCCCAAGCTTTTCCGCAAGGCTGTTGATGAATGCACATCGCTCAAATAATCTTTCCCGTTGAAGCTCTTGCTTTCTTGCTTGAATGAACGGTGATCCCATCTCGCCGAATTGTGTGCTATCGACTAGAGGATTCTGCGCTCCATCTTCGTGGACGCCTAAATTCGCCGTGCCATTTGACGTGTTATCTACCTCATTTGCTAACAATTCGCTTGGTCCAGTACCGAGAGGTCCGCCGATAAGATGCAGATTGATTCCTGAGGGGCTCGTAGGTTCGGTTTGCCCTGTGAATGACTCAGGCCATAGTTCCGAATTGCCGCCGCTCGCATCCCCGGTATAAACAAAATTGAGGAAGGATGTTATCATGGCGTCGGACAGCTCTTTATCCTGATCGGGCATCTTGTCCCTGGGAAATATGTTGTTATAGATGTAATCTAAATCGCTGCCATGAACGGCGCCGACGTAAGGCATCCCGGCGGCGTGGAATAGAGGCGTCGCCATGCTTTGGTTAAAGTCATAGTGGCGGACTCCAGGGAAGTCCGGATTCAGCGCCTTGGACTGCCTCCACATTTCATAGCCGAAGTCGATGGACGAGCAAGTAAAGAGGATATCGCGCATTATGCGCGCGACTCGGAAGAAATGAACAGGTGCCTCAGGGTCTGAGTCCTTCTTTCGCGCTTGGTAGTTCTGAAATTCTTCCTTAAAATCTGAAGCGGGGTACAAGGCAAACAACTTTTCGTAATCATCATCGGTAAGTGCGTGGGCGAAATTCTTAATTGGCGTCTTCATGTCCTCCTCGGTTTGAAATGTAGGAGCAGGTCCAGCGTTCGTGGAGCCATCATCTTGTGTCCAACCAAACACCATAGGTATGCCTTTCACGAACTTCCCCGCTTTGTATAAGACGGATTGACGGTCGGGTAGAAAATCCCCGTCAATAGATGGAATGAAAGTGAAAAGTCCACCGGGAGGGTGGTTATTAACTGAATAAGCTGTTGCGGTTTCAGTCAATTTGTCGACGGGTACCTCCCTTAAACACTCCAAAATCTTTTCTTCATCCCCATCATGTTCGCACCCTAGTTGTTCTGCGACGGCGTGGGTATGTATCTCGGTGGCGTCAGAGGTAATGTTCAGGGCCGTGCCCGGTGGACCCGACATAGCCCATACCTGATTGAAAGGAACGCCCTGCTCCCCTCCAAATGTCATAAGATGGAGCGAAGAAAACGTCCCTCCAGAGCTCAATCCAAAGGACGTAATCTTGTCTGGGTCACCACCAAACGCTGCAATATTATCTTTCACCCATTGATAACCTGCTCGTTGATCTCGCATCCCTACGTTGAGTGACTTGCGATCTTTCAGGATACCGAGGCGTGCGAAGCCATAAATGTTTAAGCGGTAATTGAAGACGACATGGATGATGGGCTTCTGCAGAGAAATAGAATGGGTGATTAGGTTGGTAGGGTCAAAATTCGGGTCAGATGCGGAGGCCTTGACGACGCCGCCTCCAACAATATGGACAGCTACTGGTAGTTTGTCATTTGAAGTCGTTCCAGCTGGCCGCGAGATCCGGAGATGGAGGCAATCCTCACTTTGATCGGGAGTCTCACTGATCCAGGGCGGGAAGGCATGTTTCGGCTGTGGACACGCTGGACCATGAGAAGTTGCCTCAATTTCGGACCCCTCTGGTGGTGTATACGGCTCTGGAGGAGCAAATCGTCTCGCACTAGATGTATCGTGGGCGAATTTGATACTGTAAAATTCTTCCACTGACCCTTTAGTTACCCCGCGATATGTGACTTTGCTTTTTTCGATTTTAACAGTAGGATCTCCAGCAGCAGGGGTGCTTGTAGTCAGCGCAATGAAGGCTATGCGCAACCATGTTAGATTCTTCATTGTGAATAAATTTCCATGGGGGTTGTCATAGATAGAAGGTGAAGGATTCTGAATGAAATGTTAGTAGTAAGTGTTGGTTCTGGGTTTATGGTCCAACATAGGAAGGATCCCAATCCCTCCCTTTGAACGAATTCGGCGTTAAGGGCGGGCGATGGACAATGCAGCGCACCAACGATTTCAATCTACTATATCATAAAATGACTAGTAACCATGTATGGATTGGATAATCACATATTTGAGTATAGATATATGGCGTTTCCGAGAATTCCGAACTTACAAGTGCTTTACTTGAGGATATTCTTAGAAGCGAACAGCTCCCTTGCGCCAAAGTAGCGGTCTATTCGATACCTCCTTGGCAAGAAACCGTCCAGGTATCTCCGAGCTGATTTAATAAAAATTTGGGTTGTATCCTGAAGCATCCTGTTTGAATCCATTCCTGTCGATGAGACGGAGGACTGTATTGGTATTCGTCAGGAAGTTGAAGATAGTACGATTGCCTTCCTAGATATAGCACATCTAGTGTTACACGATCTCTACGATCGACGGATTGTTCTGTAGATCGGGCACTGTATGGGGTATTTAAAAGCGAGCTTGCCTTGCGCCAGGCCATACTAGTCTCGCTTTGTCATCCGCCTGGGAGGGTTAGATAATTATGTCAGCGATTCAGTCTGAGTAATTACATAATCATCGTGGTCTGACATAATATTAAGACTGTTCATTTGTTTTAATATTTCTTATCCCATGTGCATCAAATTAAAAGCTCTATAGCGGGATATCATTATTCAATACTCAACGAGCGCGAGAAAAAGATCCATAACTCTAACTAAATAGCTTAAGCTGTCTTATTCCAATACCACATAACTTGTGTGTGCCCCGCTGGAATCGACATTTGCTGCGATCCCCAGACATATCCCCACACCGGCGCCGTAACGTTCTTTTTCGGTACGTTCTTAACGTCATAGAAGCAGTTGGTATCACCGTGGCATAGGAAGGGGTAGTTAAGTCCCTACGTCGGGTAAGTTAGCTTGTTCTATATTTAACCGCCAAGGTACCCACATTAATAGTGTATAGTGAATCCGAGACTGTCGCGACGTAGTCTGGGCGGCAATGCCATGCGTATGAGTGCGCGCCGTACGCATTGTCTGTGTTGGCGGGCTGAGTTGAGTCGGTAAAAGTGCAGTTCCCGACACTGCTTTGCAGCGTGTTGGGGTATGTGTTGAGCTTGGTGAAGGTTCCACAGTTGGATTCGGAGACAGCACCCGTCGCATCCAAGCATCCGATGATCTGATCAGGTGATGCCTTACTGAGCTCGGTGCTGTTGACGATGAAGACTTGCCCCGAACCGGAGAAGTCTTGCGCGACAGCTACGGCACCGGCGAAGATCGCGCCGAGGGAGAGGTAGGCAGTGTACTTCATTGTTGATCGTTCGTCGTTGATCTGATAGTTGCGTGCTAAACGTGTGTGGAAGGTAGTTAATAGACCCTGGTGACGATCATGATCTGCAAAGCGTCCCGACGCCGTGTTTATATATATAATTTATATGCCCATGTCTGTATGTTGTACATACCTAGGTATGTTTGACCGACGTCCGTTCTAGACCATGATCTTTAACGGAGCATTACTATAAGTAGGGGCGGAGCCAAAAATCAGTGGTATTCGGTACCCGATTTCGACGTAGCGTTCCCGTTCGGCATTGGAAGGTGCGTAAGCGCTTGCTAATCGAGGGGGTTGTATTATATTGAATGTTTAAGGCATGTCCTGATTTCTCTAGCGTATTTTTTGGTAACAACAGGTAATTACGGATTAATGCGCTATACACACCTTGGAAAAATGAAGAGGAATGTGACATCATCTCCCCGGCGAGTGAGGTTCGTCAAACATGACTTGTCACTCATTCTGCGAACTGTGTAAACCCGCGATGGTGGTTAAACTTATTAAGGGTTGCTTAGGTCATGCATGCAGCATGTGCTCCTCTTGCTTACAAACTGCTACCTAATACATTTTACATCTGGTTTCATCGAAGGAAAGGCCAGAATAAGTTAAGTCGAGACCCAATTGCCATTTACTCCGCTCCGGGTGGAGATCCGGGATTCCAGGATGCTTGTTTGGTTCTATAACTTGCCTAATATAGAATATTTCTCCTGTACAAGAACTTGGCGTCTTGCCTGATTGGTAACGAACTAAACAAGTCTTGCACTTGAGTGGTAATCCTGGATAACTTAGAGCAACCATATGAAAGAAGCTTGAATAGGTACCTAATTACTTAGGTAGGTAGCTTGCCTCCTGCTACATCGAGGATTTCCCACCGGACGACTGGGTCGGCTATTGATGGCAGGAGGGTTACCGTGCTCGGGCTCAGCCTCATAGGGTCACATCTAAAAACTATTTCTGACCACATATCAATGGATTTCTCTACGGCACGGAGATATAACCTTTTAATATAAAATGGATTATTCATAGCTTAGTTGGTCTTACAGGATCAAATCATGAGTTCCCACGGTGGTGTCTTGGCACGGCCGGATCCGCATGGAGGTCAGCATCACTAGATCACAAAGCGGTGAAAATGTACTAGGTCAAGTTAGGCTCTGTGTACAGAATCAAGTAACGCTCCCTGTAAAGTTCTGGGTGCTTATTATTGGGAATTGTTTCCCATCCAACAGATCTGGTGGAGACCTAGGAAACAAATTTCTTGGCGCAAAGAAACGCGTGTCACCTATCTGTGTGGAGAATATGCTAGAAAGTACACCGTCGATGTTTGTCATGAAATAGTAGGACATTGTACTTGATTTGAAAAATGAAAGCCCCAATGAGGGCCAAAGTGGGACATTTCATGCACGCATCACATCTGATATGTCCTTGTGGCAACGATATCTCATTCGAAGGAAACTGTGAGCGAGTTTAGCGATCAAACTCTTACAATATTAGCGATCTAAGAGGGAGGAAAGGGGGAGCATCATGCTAACATATGATTATACCTCACCCCTTCATGATCTTACCCAGCTTTGTGTTGGTACATTATACACGAAATCTCTAGTGATTACTTCCCAGATGTCACCATCAAGTCTCCGTTTGCACTTTATCGTGGCAATCCCAGCGTAAGACTCTGGCAACTCCACCTCCACATCATGCAACCGATATGACTCCGGTAACACAGGTTCTTTCGAGTCTGCGTTGGAGCCGTCGTCGACGGAAGCCGCTTCGTTGGCTACATCGCAGTCCGTATAAAAGTCGCCCTCTTCGATCCGAACTATTTCCTGCGCGATAGACGCTATCAGAACGGCATTCCAGATTCCTTCCTTGTGGCACGTCTCACTTAGAAACCCGAGAGCTTCGTGCCGAATTTTGTGTACGCGACATTTTCCGATTACAAAATACAGTGCAGCTAAGGCACCTAGGTCAGCCACTGATCCAGACATGTCCGGAAAATGCATAATCTTCGACAAGGATGGCATCTGCGAAAGAGCTCGGACCGTCGTCAATTGTTCCATCATTATGTGAAAATCCTCGGTGTGGGCATCGTATCTTGATTCGTCTGCCGGCCAAAGGCATGTGTCAGCCATGATCTCAGCCATGGTGTAGTGTATGCGTATCAATGTTTGAGCTACTGTGCTGGTACTTAGTTTCTTGGTTACCAGGCTCACACATGATGCTCTAAAGGCTTGGTACCAAGAGGCCAGCGCGTTCTTAACGTTGTGTTGTCTAAAGAGGAGATCGTCGGTATACACTTGGTCTCGAGGCCATCCTTGCCGACGGCATTCATGGTTTATGTGGAATATTTGGCAGTAGAGTCGATCCAGATGTTGCCTTGCTTGGTTAAAGGATTGAAATGTGAATTTGAGGTTCGGGACCCTGGAAATAGTGTCATCCAAGACCATGCGTAGATGTTGTGAACCATACCCAAGGAGTTTTGCCTGGACATCGAGCCTGAGAAAAGCTTGGATAATCCAAGCGTCCACTGAGTCGCAACATGGCTCTAGAAATAGACTATAACTGTCAATTCCACTCGATCGAGCTTGGAACTCATCTAAAAGTTTTAATCCATTTTGAAGATGGGCATTCCCGGTTTTGTAATGGCCTCGGAGGAATTCCATGAGAACAAACATTATACACGTGATAAGGGCAACACGGATAGATGAATTGCTCTTAGCCGAAAAATGAGGCTGGAGATGAGTAATCGCTCTGCTGTAATGTTGTAACGTGAACCGCTCTTGTTCATCCGGGTGGTCCGTGTCTAAACTACTAACGTAAAAGCCATCTCTCTTGTGAACCGAGCTCAAAGCAAGCACAGCATGTAAAACAGCCGGCTCGTTCGAGGCTGCTTGGAATACAAGAGTATCCCAGAAGGCAAAGCTAAAAACGCCCGGAAGTTTGAAAGCTGTCCGATATGTAAACCATTCGAGATGTCGACTCTCTTCTCTAGAATTCGTCTGCATCAGCAATGGGGCGTTGAAACCCCTCGGGTTTTTATTGCAAGGTGGTCCGATGGTACGACGGCCATAATCATTTCCTCCTCCGCCCCATATCCCGTAGCCTTCGCAAACGCGACCTGTGGAGAGACATCGGCGACAGGCGGGCCAGCCTTCGTCGCATTTGACCCTCCTAGTCCTTTCATAGGAGTCAACATCATGACTAAGCGGAGGAGATTGTACCTATGTAACTCACTTGCAGGTCCGACAACCCGACTTCACTTTACTTCTAGTTGCTCCGGGAGACATTTAGGAGTTAATGGCAGGGCCATTACCAATGATAGTAAGGGTCGGCGTCAATGTTCCAAGGCTATTAGACTTTGGAAAGAGGAGGATGAACTTCAAAGCTTTGGTCTTAGCACGTTGAAAGCGAGATACATATAAAACTACCTGGTTCTTCGATATGGGGCATGTATGCCAAGGCTGCTTTTCATTCGCTCCCTTATTTCACTCAGTCTTTGATTGGTTCAAATAGGAGTTGGGCGTCTCTAAATTGATTGGTTTGCTCGGAAACTTGAGACTTTGATTGGCTGATACTCACTACGCTAGACTGTTAATAGTCATATATACGTACATCACTTTCATGAATACTTAGGTACTTACCGAGGTACATACTTAATATCGTTGAAGCTCGATCTCTTTATGCTACGATATAAAAACTAATCCATACATTTGGTCTACTGAAAATTCTATGTTTTACTAACTAACTCGGATCCTAAGTAAATTTTTGCGTACCGAAAACATTAGTAATATCCGAGGAAGCTAGATTAAGTGGTTAGCTAGCAACAGGAACAAGCTGTCCGGGTATTACATAATAGGGTAATGATTAGTAATGATCATATGAGCTATTCGAGGGCAAACCATTTAACTAAACAGTATAAGTTCTTTAAATTGCATGAAAGGTGCGCAACGCCCCTTTCCCATTAACCTTTAACGCTGCCAGTCTTTAATGTAAAGGAGAGATCCTTGGATGCACATAGAATCCATAAGAATTGGGATCTCGAACCGTGAAAAGATGTCTGCCTAATAGTTAGGCTGTCTAACAAAAGCTTAAACGGTCACCTTCATAGACAACGCACGCAGGCCGAGATTTGGAAGACATGTGATAATAGCTTTATCTTGGGTGAACAATAAGGTACCCTATAGTGTGTTCTACTTACTACGTATATATATCTTCGAAAATTCGAAACGCTGAACCTGCTCAGTTTCACGTAAGGCCAGTTGGCAATCATTCTACTTCTCTATGCTTTTTGCGTGACGGAAACATATAGAACGTAAGTGATATGCTAATGTGCTGTCTCTGAGTTTGGTGTTAATATAGCCTGAACCTTGTCCGCAAGTTCTGTGCAAATAGCGCATAGGTATATGAAGACTTCTCTCCTTCCTATCCCTTCCCCTTCTTCATTAATGAGAAACTCCTCTCTCGTAAAACAACTTTATCAGACACAGAACAATAGAGTAACTTAATCGAAATCATGGTTCGAAGATCATCCTCGGACTACTCCTATATCGACGGCTATTCTCAAGGTCGCACTCCTAATGATGTTGTGTGGGGTAGTACGAAGGCGAAAGACCTAGTCTCAAGTGTAAGATTTTCATGGGATAATAAACATCAGAAAATATTCTTTGTCAGATTCCTCGCGAAGGAGGGGTTGAATTATAAGAATGCCGACGTTACTCCCCTACTCCGGACACTGAATCTGGATGGATATGAAGACATCAAGAATTTCAACGGGGATAATGTTCACGATATAATAGTGGAGAAAGTACGGCGGAAGTTGGCAAGTACTGTAAGCGAATTGGATCCGGATTTCTTGTTCAAGGCAAGCTTAGGGTAGGTCGTGATTCAATAAGTTATTCTTTTAATATGTTGTGAGGAATCAACTCATCGTTTCATAGGCCTCAATTAGATAAAAATACGCTGTACAAGGGAGAAAGACATTCTCGTGGAACGACGGGTGGCGAACCACCACGGCGATTGTTAACCGCTGGAGGCGCGGGGAGCACGTCGAGAACTTCTATTCCGAACCCAAGCCCTTTAAGAGAATCCATGTCCCCCGGTGACGTCGCAAATGATACAGAAGAATCTACGCAACGAAGTCACTCGTTCCTTAAGATGCCTAAGCCGAAGGCGACCGCACTATCGCGAACCTCCGAAGTGAATACCAAGCGCGAACAATCAGACGATGCTGAGCGCTCACCGAGAGTCAAGTCCGAACCAAGTACGTCGTCTGATCGTCAGACGCCGGGACAACCCCCAGCTTCAGTAGCAGGCCCCTCCATAGCAGAGAGAAGGAGGCTGGCTAAGCAAAACCGTGCCCAGCAATCTCTAGACCGTTTTTTCTCATGTCTCCCTGACCTAGATGATGCACTGAAGGAGGTAGAAGAGGCGTTTGAGGACTTGCCTCAGGCTAGAGATGGAGAAAACACGTGGAATGCGATTAGACTGATTCGCAATATGAGATCTTCGTTCTTCGATGTGCAGATTGAAGCGACGGAGACAGAGGAGGAATTTCTTGCCATATTTGAGGGTTAATGATGATGCTGGAGAATTAGTTGAATTTCGGTTCGTTGGACTTTTCAGAACATAGACCTAGTTGCATGAAACTCTCTACAAGCGACTTGTCGGAACAGATGGCTCATACAGCAAAGGGTTAGCCTAGATGATTCCAATATGATACCCCATTTTATATGGTTTATGCATAAAGTCCGCGTTGCCACCAAGCACATCGAGCATTAGCGGTGTCATCCTTGACAATTGTCGAGCCCGAAGCCGCCATGCTTATTAGCTGGGATCTGGATCCATATAAGGGGATATACAAGCCGTTAACATCACTAGGCACTGAGTTCATAACGAAGCTCGCTATGTACTGCTGTAGGCGGTCGGCAACATCCTGGTTTACATCCGACGTCTTTCCGTTCTGGAATACATACGAAGTTTCTTCCCCGTGGATCCCAGGCGGGACGGCAAATTTGACTATTAAATAGATCAGCAAACATTACGTGATGTCGGATAATAGTAATAATAGTGAGTAAGGAGCCGTGGAACTTACCGCCATAGGCACGACCACTCATTGCACTAGCAAGATACCTCGTGTTGCAAATGATAGTGCTATCCTGTATGGTAGCAAGAGCTCGTTGGAACTGGTTCGTATAACCATATGTTCCATTAAACACGGCCGGGTACAAAGTATTGTTGATAAAACTTAGCGCGCTATTCGAAATAGTTGGCATGGCTTGGCGTAGCATATCTAAGTAGTCTTCCGTTGTTTTGATCATCGGCTTCGTGAAGGTCAGCCCCTCAAGTGTATTGTGTGATACCATTATGCTGATGTTTTGGTGGAATGAACCATTTGCCAAAAGTTGACCTGGTAAAGCTGGCGCAAAAGAGTTGTCGACGGAAGGGCCGTACATATTGCTGCCATACGGAGCGTAGCTGTATATCTGAAGGGCATTAGCAGCAATGATTGTATCACTTGGTAAATCTCTTAATTCATCCAGTGATGAAACATTGAGCATGTTCATGAGGTCATTGAACGACGTGGTCGGAATATCCGGTGTCGGAGCAGGCAGGAACGCAGGCGAAAATAATACTGCTTGGTTGAATGCTGGCTTTTCCCCCGAGCCACCATAGCTGGTAATGTGGTGCATTATTGAGCCAGCTCCAGCCGAAGCGCCCATAATAGTCACGCGATCCCTGTCTCCACCAAACAGGTGTATGTACTTCTGAACCCACCGGAGGGCGAGTCGTTGGTCGTAAAGTCCGGCGTTGAGGGTCCCATCAGCTCCAACTTCGTCATTACCCAGCCATCCAAAGGCACCAAGGCGATAGTTAATTGCCACAAAGATGAAGCCAGAGTCGCTACCAGTAGTTGCCAAGAGACCTGCTGGGTTAAACTTCCCCTTTCCGGTCTTCTCGCCAGAGGAATACCCACCACCGTAAACCTATTCACATTATATGAGCTCAGTAACATTCTACTGCAATAGTAGAGGCTTAGATCGGGTATGTAATGATGTAGAATGAAGACATACCCAAACAAGCACCGGCAAGCTCGAGGCCTTTCCGGCGAATGCGGACCGTGGCGCAATCACATCCAAAAATAAACAATCCTCTGTAGTTCTAGTATCGCCGCTAATAGCGTCGGGCGAATCGGGTAAAGTACTAATGGCCAGATCGTACTTGAAGGGTAGCCCTGTAAGATAACTCTGCGCGAACTCGCGGGCGATGATTGTCCAATTTCCCGAAGATTGGGGACAGACGCGGCCGATCGATCCGTTCGTAACAACACACTTATCTCGTATCGCCGGCTCGACTGGTGCTTTGAAGCGTAGGTTACCTGTTGGAGGCTCGCCATATCGAATGTTTGAAAAATTATAATAACCGCCCGTTTCCTTTAAGTCTATTGTGTAAGTCTATTAAGCATATACTGGGTGCTTTTGAGAAGAAATGAGAACCTACATTGAGACTAATTGCCTGGTGGCACTCCTATTTGGTATGTAAGCATTTTTCTTTCTCCGGCCTGACGTCGACCTCTTACATATCCGAGATTTATGACAGGAAGGGATGCGTTCGTAGTTGTCGTGTTCCGTGTGCACGCTCCTTGTACAACAGACAGCAGGCCGCTAAAAAATACATGATGATAGCGTCCGAGTACCATGTTTAAACTGAAACTGGTTGAATTGATAAATGATAGGATCTAACAAACGAGTGACAAGATCAAAGTACAGCCGGCTTTACAGCTTCGGAAGGAAAGGAGTGGAAGATCTTGAGAAAAGGAAGAGAAGTTAGAAACAGGGCATGGGAGACTTGTCTATCATATAAACTACCTTTTCGACCCTATCGTAGATATAACCTAGCCTCTCATATATAATCCATTCTAACTATTCACCCTCAGTGCTATTACGAAGTCGGACCTTGATCGCGACTTCTCCTTATAAGTCCCGATGTGGTATAGTTTACGACGACCCACTTGACTGGGGAAGCAAAAAATGGGGCACCGCACTGATGTCGATTTTGAGCACCCGAAGAGGGCTCACTTAGTAGCGAGGGAAGTTCCCTAATTAGATTAATACCGAATTGTACCTTCCTGAGAAAAGTTATTGTGATTAAAATGAGAATTGGTCGACTTAGTCGTGGACATCTTCGTTCATCTATTCACGGTTCAGCGCATAGTGATGATGAACATTTGAAGTTGAACTGGTGTGGAATTGAGAATGAATGTGTAATCTAGATGCTTATTTTGATAAGGCAACAAGATGCATTACATAATGACTTTTACTTACCTAATCACTTGGCTTATGAGTTACCTAATATCTGATTAAGACTATGATTACCTTATCAGTTCATTAGGTAATACTCCGCCAGGGATATTCATCTCAAGATGTGAGGTTGTCGATCAGATCAACGCAACTTTAGGTTATTAATGAAGCCCATGGATACCTTGAGCTTGTATAAGAACTTTATCCTGATTCGAGGAAATTTCAGTGACTCGGAATATTCGGAAGAGGGTCTAAACGCTTCCCCAGCTCCTATTAAAAAACCTCTCACCAAGTTTAAGTCTTGAGACCTTGATCTTTCGAAGATAGAACTCCACATAGTAGCAAGTACTCTAGGAGTGACCTCCAAGTGGTAGAGTCCCGGGCGTATAAACTACAGCCGCAGAAGCTCGCAGTTCAATACTGACAAATATTGGTTTAGACCCATGGTTCGAAACGGATGTCTTCGACTGGTTACGATGGTACTGACATATCGCGGCAACGCTTCCCTGCACCCTTCGCTCCGATCAACTCTTAGTGTCGACGTTTCTAAGGATCGTCCGGCAACCAGTTCGCCTTAGACTTCGGGGGCGGATCTGTATCTTGGTCTAGCAAGCTTTTGATATGGACGCGGTTTAACCTGCGCTTAGCTCCTCAGCTTGAATAACTGGTTGACCCACGATCTGTAGAGGCTATCGGCCCGGGGATACCGACAAGTGATGCTAATCCCGTCGTAGGGAGATAGACTCTAGATTTGATCATTTCTCTAATTCTCGCAGCCATCGGCGGACTCGATTAGTTCCTCGATCAGATTGCAATCGCACAACCTTTAAAACATGAAAACGAACTCGGCGCGTCGAATCGGATAGCACTCCAAGCCAACCGTCCAATCTTATAAAAAGAAGGCAGATGTAAACGATGAAGTTATAAGCCGTTGCTCCCCGGTGATAAAATAACTCCCGAGGATCTAGAACGGTGAAGGATGTACGACAGAGGCGCAGCCCGGGTTGTTGTAGGACTCAGCTGCCCAGATTGCCAAGCGTGGAGGAATCGTTTAACCAAGGGGGCAACTTTAAAAAGGCATCGCGTGGGTTGGGGAAATATCTTGGCGTCTAGGCGGTAGGGTTGCGATAGCGACGCAAGGGTTTAAATACGATGAGTGGACTGGTCGTTTGAATACACGGCATATCTATAGCTTTGACCAGTTCCAGGCTTTGCCTCATAAATTGAGAAGGTGGACATCTCAAATAATCATGATAATTCAGTTAGTTCCATGCCTTTAATGTGCTCCCAGAGCCCAAGGTTATGTTGCGTAGCCTCAGGGGTATAGCATCTGGGATGCGGTTGTGCTTGGCGTGTGAAGTAAATTGCTCCGTGGGGAATGCCGACTTACACCATGATACGTCCCACTTACTGCCGAAAAGTTTGAATGGAACGTCGGTACTGTTGTTTATTTCGTCGCGCTAAAGAATATAATACTATAAGTACCTGTAGGGTAGAAATAATCAAACCACCGTGTGGGGTAACAATTATATTCTTTGGATGGACCTCCTCTACAGACCTAGGTAAACAATCGATCGAATTTGAGGTAGCCTCATTCACCTCCTGAACTGGAAGAAGAGCCCGCTCTAGGAAAATAAATAAGATAGGGGTATATCTGTTGGTTTAAATCTTGCGGTGTTAAAGTTACTTGTTTATAGTCTGTTAAGTAACTCCGGAACCATGAGTATCCACCGCGAATCTGAAGACCTGCCCCCAAAACCGGAACTCGATTTGCAGTCGCAGCAGGTTGAGAATGCGACGTCTGTTGAAGATGCTGAGTTCAAGCGGAAGGAGCGTCGCGTTGTCGCGAAGCTTGATATGTACCTCTGTCCCATGATCTTGGTGTTACAGCTCATATCCTTCCTCGATCGTGGAAACATTGGTTTCGCAGCCACTCAGGGGATGACCACAGATCTGAATCTCGTCGGCACACAACTTAATACGGCCATCTCGCTCTTCTACCCTCTGTATATCCTGTCGGAGTTTCCAGCTGCTTTGATTGTGAAGCGAGTGGGATTCAATCGCATCATTCCAGCAGCGGCGACGTGCTGGGGACTGGCATGTCTGGGGAACGGCTTCGCGAAGAATTTTGGGGATCTTGTCGCCTGTCGGATGTTGATGGGCATGTTCGAAGGGTTCTTGATGCCTGGTCTTACCCTTATGTTGGCGAATTGGTACAAGCGAGAGGAGATTGGTTTGAGAATTAGCTACCTATTCGGTAGATACACCAATGCGTGATTGAAGCCCTGGCCTGTTTTGGTTGACATATCGGTATAGGTGCGTCGAGTATCTCAAGCGCATTCGGTGGCTTAATCGCATTCGCCATCTTGTTCATGGATGGGAAAGCGGGATATGCAGGGTGGAGATGGTGAGCTCACAGTTTGCAATAAAACTTGCTCCCCATGCTGACCAAAATCTCTAGGTTATATATCATCGAGGGCTCGGTAACCGTCGTCCTTGCCCTGTTATTTTTCTACCTCATCCCATCGTCTTATACCACTGCCTATTTCTTGAACGAGGACGACCGAGCTATTATGCGGAAGCGGGCAGAAATGACTGAAGCATATAGCGGAGGGAAAGGACATTATACCCGGACAGAGTTCATGATGGCCATCAAGGATATCAAAACTTGGATACATACAGTGATCCAGGTCATGTGCCTTACAATCTTATATGGCTTCAGTGTCTTCCTACCTATTATCTTGCGTCTCGGCTTTAACTTCAGCGTCAAGCAGTCCCAGTATCTTAGCATACCCGTGTTCTTCTGGGGAACCATCGTTTACGCCATCTGTGGGTACCTGTCGGACCGATTCGCGCGACGATTCCTCGCCTGCGTCATCTTCGCCCCGCTCGGAATGATCGGTTACTCGATATTACTCGGAGGCGAACACCTTGCTGTTGGAGTGAAGTACTTCGCGTGTTTCCTGATTGCGACGTGTGCGTGGGCAATGGGTGGGGCAAATATTAGTTGGCTCTCAACCAATACGGCGCCCGACGGCAAACGAGCCGCGTCTCTAGGGCTCGCATTCTCGATAGGTAACCTTGGTGGAATAATTTCGGGCCAGATCTATCCGGATAAACTATCGCCAGCGTATACTCTTGGGCATGCATGGAGTCTTGGCGCGATATGTATTTCGTTCTGTCTGTGGTGGGTACTTCGTTATATCTACTACAGCCGTGAGTCGCTTAAGGAGAATGATCGGAATAGGGGTACCCTAGAAACGGCTGAGTTCTCCGATAGAGTGCTGGCGTATAAGTATCAGCATTGATCCGCTTGTTGGGAATATGAGTTGTATTTGGGCAGAATTTTGTTATTGGGGTAAGCTGGTAGACGAAGTCAGAACACTAGAGCTGAACAAATATCGTTATATTCTTCAATAACACAGCTTCCTGCAGGAGGCTTCTACTTGAAGCTAGCGTCTCTCAACTCGAAATACTTGTTCCATTCAGGGTCCTCAATCAGATCCTTAGCAATCTCTTTCTCGAAGCCAATTTCCAATTCATTGCCTTCGTCTTCGCCCGCTGGAGGGTCGATTAGTCGTACTGGGTAAACGCCCACCACTCCGGGTATAACGAAGGTCATAGGTATCCGAAAAGCGTGTGGCTTAGCAAAGCCAAAATCGGCTTCACTAACTGCCGCGTCCCGCCAGTCAGTTACTACGCTACTCAATGGTGGAAAGCTATCAATGCGCTGGCAAAGATTTTGCTTCTTGCGAACGTAGGAAATGGCCGTGAGCGCGGCGTCTACATTCTCCTGAGTCGAATTGTTGGTGAGTTGGCGAATATACCTAGAAAACAGGTTGGTTAATCGTCACTAACGCAAATGACTACGGATGAGATCCGCAGAGAAAAAAACAAAGTCCTGAGATACAGGACAGAGGAATTTTACAGGCGGCTGGGTGGGGCAAATTACCAAGCTAATTTTGATAAAGGGGCTTCTGATATGACCTCAGCGGCTGTGAGAGACGGCACAAATCCTTGTGTGCTCGACGCCAAAAAGAGGACATTACCCTGGATGCGTCGCGGTACTGGAGGATCATGAAGACGCTTCCGCATATCAACAGACTCACTCCAAAGAAGCTTCTCGCTCAGATCTCGTTTAAACAACTTAGATCTGTGCTTTGATAAATAGCGCCAGATGTAGGCCATATAGGCATCATAGCTGGAGATCCAGTAACTTCCATCTTCAGGACTCGCAAGTTTCTTCAACTCGGCTGTCTTGCTTTTGGAGAGGTGGAACAACAACCATTGGCGTTCTCTGTGATCTGGATGTGGCAGAGGGGGTGGGGGTCCATCGGTAAGCTGGTCCTCGGGAGCATCCGGCTTAGTAAGCCTAGAGGTGTCGAGACAGGTAGGGTCCCATGGTGGGAAGTCCGGATTTCGCGGAGATTTCCAGATAGCTGCACAGTTCTCGGCTAGCTGATGCAGTGCTCCAGCCCATCCCACTGGAGTATAATGTGTTAGTAAGTACTACTTCAGACTGTTAAAGATTCTTTGAAATCTCGGAACCAAGATCTAAAGGTAAAAGCCGATGATATGCGAAATTTTCTTATTGTGGAGATAATAACATAACAGGGGATGGGCTAGTAGATCTTGATATTACTCACTAACGTCATTAGCGTAGTGGTGATGGTGCGTCAGCAATACTGCGCCGCCACGAATGAAAGATATTTTATAGGCAGCTACTTTTGGATTATTCTCGGGTAGGGCCTCGGGTCTCTCTCCACATATCATGGGAGGAACACACCAGGTCTCGATATCCCCCATAGCCAGTTGGTTGAAATGCTGCTTCTCAAGCTCATCAAAACTTGGGTATTTGCCTTCATCTTCGGGGCCATCCAGCCATTGCACATGAAATTGGACAGTGTCATCTTTTCTCTTGTGGAAACATAGCCCGCCATCTGGATGGGCCTCCATTGTGCCGCATAATTGGCGACATTGACTCAACATGACTTCGAGCCCACGTTTGAGCACAGGAACGACTTTCAGCTTATCGGCGTCTAAGAACTTGAAAAAGACAGCATAATTGAGGTACACAAGCGGGACACAATAGTCCAGTGTGCACAACTTGAAACGTTCATCCTCTGGGTCTGACTCCCACCCCTCAGGATGTAATTCAAAAGTTTCTAGCTTGGGCATTTTAAGAAGAGAGACAAATGAACTAAGTGAGAGATGTAGAGAAATTTCTTCGTTGAAAACTTAGGTCAACTCAACCCAAGTTTATATCAACTTAAGGATAGAGGCTACGAAGGATCGTCAGTAGATGTGTCACTTAGGGGGCGGCACAGTTTGTACCTAGGTAGGCTATGATCTCATGCAGTGCAACCCATTTCGATTAAACAAAGTGCCAATTACCGTGCACGTCCCCTCACCGATACTTTTACTTCTCGGCGCGATTCTCCCAAGGATGGCCACCTTTTCTCAATTGCGCGTTTAGATAAGTTAGTTTATTTCTGCCTTCTCGTTGAATTTCCTCTTTATGCAATTCCATCTCTTCGATGTCCCCTATCGCATGGTCAGCATGTCTCCAGAGTTCTAGAGAGGGATATGCCCACAGTTAACGCTCATGACGCAACCCTTCATCCAATCCGCCCTTGGTGTACAAAGGAAGAGAGACATTCCGCCCGACAACATGGGATTATCTTGTGCGAATGGCAAGTACTGTTTAGCTGTCATTGATGTCTTTAATAGGCCGGGAAGTAAAGTAAAGGTACGGATACCAGGATTCTCTAACACAATAGAGTCAATACGGACACTATACTAGGATGATGGTTTAAAAATAACATACCAACGTGGATGAACTCCATGACCTTGGTCTGGGCAAGTTTACTTGACGCGTAAGAACTCATGTTGGGAAATGTGCTGCCGGCAGAGCCGGAGCTAACAGTAATGATCGTTCCCTTTCCATTCGCTTGCTTAAGAAAATAATGGGACATAAGGTATGGCCCTTTCACATTCACTTCCTATGTTTCGTATTAGCGGGCAATTTACGCCGTATTCGAGTCGTAAAAACTCACAAAATCATTCCACCACTCCGATGGCTCAATTTGCCCAATCGGCGCGAAATTCATGCTTCCAGCATCATTAATGAGGACGTCAATCTTCCCGAATTCTTTTATCGCCTTATCCCAGAGCTGGTGAACCGAGGTTTCCGACTTGAGATCTGCTGTCTGCACAACAATTTTCGCATCTGGTGATTTAGCAATTCTTTTAATCTTGGCAGCAACCTCGTTCAGCGTATCAATTTTACGGCCGGTGATGACGATCCCCGACGCACCTGCGATCGACCAGGCTTCCGCAATCGCCTTTAGAGATATTTGATTAGCCCTATATTCGATAAAATTGCGGATGGTAAGTTCTTGCTTACCTTCCCGACACCGCCGGAAACGCCCGTAATGAGAACGGTTTGACCCTCCGCGGAAAGTTCGGGACGTGAAGGATCTAGAACAGGATATAGATCGCGATGAACCGCCTCCGTGAGTTGGTAAGGCCAAGTCACAACGTTGAGGTCAGAGTGATCCATCCCTTCTTGATTATCATCTGTAATGATATACCTGCCGACGTATTATGCTAATGAGTTGCGAATTTATCGTCGCGCGACTTCCAAGGCACACCACGGTATAATAACCACAATCAAGGTGGTCCGCCTTCCACAGCCCCTCCCCGTATGTCTGATCTTTTTGAACCCCGGATGTAGCGGTAGATTGACAGGATATCAACTAGCAACCTTAATGAACCTATGCATCTGTGCCGCAAATTAGACGACCAACAACGAATTATATACTCGTGATTATATATGAAAAAAATACCTACTCAAGCACTAGCAGCATTGAAGCTATAGACAATTTCATCGCGCAGGGTAGAATCCGATTGATGGCGACAACTGTACCCAGGTGCCTAGGTAGATGTAGGCCTAGTCTACCATTTTCCATAAGCGGTAGGTGCTGGCCCTATGAACGGGATTTGATTGGCCCGTTTGGGATGGCGGCTTAGCCGGTTCGCATTCGGCGCAAGTCAGATTGATTTAATGGAAGTTCACCAGGTTAAAATAAGTTATCGCCTTGCGTACGAAATTCTCAGTCTTCATTATCAAGCTAGATGGCCCCCATACGGCATTAATGCGGATTTACAACCTTGTCATGATCTCCCATCAATGCGAATGGAGTATGTTTTCAAAATAACCCCGCTCTCATTCTCGAATGAGTGGTGGTTCATAAATATGTACGTACTGCTCGGGACCGACAGCAGGGCTGCACGCTTATCCTATATCGAACATGGCATCATCAAGGTACTTCATTGTACATCTTGGTCATGCTAGATACTTGGGTATATAAATGTGTAAATCTAACTAGCGGTCAAAGATGTCAAATTAATTAGGAAAATATAATAGCCCCGAGGAGACTAAGAATTGGCTTCATGAAGCACCAGATACACAGGCCAAAATCTTTCCTTATCCTATCAAGAGATATGCTCTTTCGTAGCTTGGTAGAATTCAAAACGCAACTTCCGATCAATTCGCCGATTCGGTCCGGAATTAATAATGTGGCTTGGTCTAAGACAGCCACCTGCGTCGGCACCAGGGACGCCTCGCGGGAGTGTCACGGTAAGCCGCCATATAGGGCTGACATTGTGAAACAGGCAAGCTTGAGCCGGCAAAACCTATCAACGGATTGAACTAGACCTAACTGACTGAAATATAGCATTGCACAGTTCTGGCTGACGTAGCTTATTTCAACGGCCCAAGCAAGGATCTAAAGATAATATAACGCCATCCCACTGTTGATAGTGTATTTAACACTAGCGATCCGGGGGGGTCATATTATGGTTATTACCTTATAGCTCACTTATTTGACGCTACAGAACGTCTACATTTTCGTTTAACGTTACCAGTCGCACAGAGAATCTACGTCCAACCACCGATAAAACAACAGCCATCCGATTCATATACTAAACGAAATCCGAGGCATCCCAGATCGGGGAACATGTGGCATTTTCTGCAGCCCTATAAGCAAGGTTGATTCACGCAGGAAGTTAGCTGAGTAGCAATATAAAGAGCTCCAATTAGCAATCACGACCCTAACGAGCATAAAATTTTATATGAACACAGCATTTCCTCGTCCCATTAGGAAGGATATGTTTAAAACTTGTATAACCAAGTATACACGCACCCTCGCAGGTAGTTGCCATTCGATGTAACGTACTTGGTCAAGGTACCTAGTTAGCCTAGGTCAGTTTGTTAGATTACATTCTCACTAAGCTAGAACGCACAGTCCCTTGTAGTGAGACCAGGTTACATTGAAGCCTGACCAACACCGGAAGTAAATCACATTTTTTCTATCATACGCAAAGATACGTCGGGTAAGCCAGTGGATATCAAGGCTACCATGCGGCATTTAGGCATATAGAACCTACAGGACCCTGTCGGCCATGAGGGTCCTAGAGTGCCGTTGCGATCACCAGTTCGTTAGCTGGTTCGAGCCCCACCGACCCGCAACCACACCTTCCAAGAACTCGTCTACCATGGAACACAGTCGGACTTACCCCAGCTTCTACACGATCCGACTCTATTCTCGGTGCCGAGGAGAATGGATAATGAGATGAATTATACCGATACGCCGTGCGCGAGATTCGGGTCGGCAGAGTCGACCGCCAGGGCTGCCGAACAGAAGTTCGATATAGTAATCACTAGGACTAATTTAAATACCCCCTCTCTATCTCAGACTAAGGCTAGCAGATCCAGACTCATCCTTACCTAGTATTATCAACAAATATCGAAAGATTCGTTCCGTCACGAAGATAATAAACCCGATATATAACTAAGGAATTCAGCCTTATCTTTCTTTAGATCGACTAGGGAGTGTGGATCCACCATGTCATCTATTCAGACCGTATCACTGGAGTCTACCGTCTCATTGCTTGAGCAGTTAGCTTCTAGTCCACCAACCACAACTGCGGGCCTTCATACAGACGATCAGCTTCGAAAGAGATTTCTCCTGGCCATACAGAAACTTGTCCCTGAGCTAGAAACACCCGCTGAAGCTTGCCAACGAGTTCTATACAATGTGAGTCGAGGGAAAAACCGTTACCCTGTTGTAAGGACACTTTGGTCAAGCCCCTTAATCAGGCTGTGTTATAATGACTATATTTTCAAGAATACTAACTTGTATTCAATTCAAGGGACTCGAATTGCCTGTTGCGCGTATTGCTGTAGACCTAAACATCTTTAACTCACTTAAGGAGAGTCCTACTCCTTTATCAACAGATGAGCTCGCGAAACTATCAGGCAAAAGCCCAGACACAAAACTGCTAGCACGCGTTCTGAGATACTTGGCTTCCTTGAGCTTGGTCCGTGAGGTTGACACGGGAGTCTGGACTGCAAGTCGATTTGGGAACAACCTATCAGGGGAAGGTCAGAGCGCAGGGGTTGCATCCATGTAAGATTCCTACTTTATTTACCGTTGTTACACGATCCTGGCGTATCATACCCCTCAGATGACATGTCGAGTCCCAAATGCTATATCATTATGCATAGCTTACCCACCTATTTGAAAGGGTCGACAACTGTTTCGTTTCTATGGTCACTCTCCCTGCATTCCTTCGACGCCACGGATACAACCCACCTGATACCAAGAGTGACACCGCATTCGCTTTGGGTAATAGGGTGAGCCCTGAGGAAGCGACGTTCTTTGACTGGTTGAAGACTCGGCCGGAAAATGCTAAGGAGTTTAATGTATTCATGGGATCTCACCGCACAGGTGTTAAGACGTGGCTTGATCGGCCTGAAGTGATAACGGAGATTACCGATGCCTTCAAGAAAGTCACTGCTGGGAAGGATGAGAGGAAAGGGGTGTCATTCGTTGACATCGGTGGCGGTATTGGTCACCAGTGCAAAGTAGGTTGACGTCAATACAAATAAGCTATACCAGACTAATAAGGGGATTTAGGCATTCAAGAAGCGAGTACCAGAGTTGAAAGGTAAAATAGTCTTGGAAGACCTGGAAGAGGTAGTTGCGACGGCGGAACTTGAAGATGGAATCGAGAAGTTGGGAATAGATTTCCTCGAAGGTCAACCCGTGAAAGGTAGGTCTACTCCCTCAACACTATTTGTCGATATGGCTTGCATACAGTTGGCATTTAGCTAATGAGGTCTATCCAGGTGCCGCATCATACTATTTTAGAAGTGTTCTACGAAGTGAGTATCCCCCTTATATTCGCAAGTACATTCACTGACAACTTGCGTTCCACTATAAGATTGGCCAGACCGATACTCTCGAACTGTTATGGGTTACGTGCGGGATGCTATGGACGATAACTCGCTTTTATTGATTGACGAATTAGTTCTGCCGGACCGAGGAGCTCACCGATACGAAACACAACTCGACTTGACGATGCTTGCCATGCTCAACGCCGAGGCTCGAACCGAGGCTCACTGGAAGGAGTTGCTCGGCGAAGTAGGGTTAGAAGTGAAGCAAATCATTTTCTATGAAGAGGAAGCTAGGGAAGCGGTAATCATCGCCAAGAAAGTGTCGTCGTAAAGATAGATACCTATATTAGACACGAGTTTACGAGGGTATGCCGGAGTGTTTTCAACAATCTCAATATTAAGTAAGGCGTAGGGGATAGATTGATAGACTTTATTAATTCAACATGATGTATATATTATCTCCGTGTTGATTATCAAGCAGTCGCAGTTAAAAACGACTTCACACTAGGTAAGGAATCGGCATGAGTCATTCACCGAAAGGGATATATGTTTCGAACCGGGATATGAAGATGCCTTTCTATATTAATTATAAATATTTTGACTAAGCTCGTGGAATATAGCTAGCATTAGTAATACTAATACTAGCAGCCTAACTCTTCTCGTAGAAGCTATCACGAATCGAATGCATATTCAATTTCCAGATTTAAATTGAAACTATAGCTTTTGGTATGAGATTTGCTCCGATATTCCCGCTTAATTCCGTAGTTTTTTGGTAGTTTGAATCTTTCGATATCTTCAAGTGGGCTTGGGGGCTGATTCAGGGGCTAATCGTTATAACGGAATTCCGTGGATTTTCAATCCAAAGTGGCCGAATAGGCAACAACATCCACGATTGAAATCAAATACTAGTCCGGAAATTGCATTCAATTGATTCCGTTCAAATGGCGTAATTTTCTGTGAAGTTCTACATTGCAACGTCATGTCTCCAGTGCTTATTTTTAGTGGCAGCGCCCATGATTAAAAATGATAGGTGAACATGAAACCGGCCAAAATGGCCGTTTAGACTATCATGGATATATTACTCATCTAATCGGATATAAGCCATCTAGGCGTGGAATAGATGAGGATATAATTCGGACAACGTATCGTAAAGTAGTTGGATAACACAGATCTCGATCATTCGTATCTCTTACTATTAAATACATACATACAAATCGTTTCACTATGTCAACCGCCTTAATCATCGGTGCCGGACCTAGAGTGGGTCAATCCGCGGCAGAAGCCTTCCTAGCAGCAGGATACAAAGTTGCGGTAGCCTCAAGGACTCAAAAGCTTGATCCGAAGTTTCGGTTCTACGCCTTTGACGGCTCCAAGCCAGAAACTGTGCCGGCCCTTTTTGAAAAGGTTTCGGCGGACCTCGGCATTCCAAGCGTCGTCATACATGTTGGTAAGTTGTGATATGGATAATAGTTATAACGAACTTTACCTACTCACGCCGATGTTATAGCTGCCTTCAAGGCGCAAGGCTCAACCGAGCAACAACCCTTTGATTCCGTTGAAGATATCCGAACCGGGTTCAATGTAAACACTCTCACTCCCTATGTTGCTGCGCAGGAAGCTGTAAAAGGCTTCGAGAAGCTCGGTGCAGAGGGCCTCGGCCCTTCTGGAGGCACCTTTATATATGTCGGAAACATTGGAAACGTTACCGCTGTCCCTCTATTCTTAGATCTTAGCAGTAAGTACCTATTCACCATATGTAATTCTCATATCTCAAGACTTTACTAACCCGTATGCGTAGTGCACAAGAGCGCGAGCGCCACTCTAGTCAAGCAACTTGCATTGGCTGCTTACAACGATAAACCATGGAAGTAAGTCAATCGATTTTCCAGATCCCGAAATGAGCAGATATTTACCTCTTTGAACTTCATAGGTTCTATTACGTCGACGAGAGACGTGAAAATGGATTATACGTACCGCGTGGCCTTAGTGGTCCCGGTCACGCCGAACTATTCTTAGATTTGGCGAAGGACGTGAAGCAGAGGCCTTGGAGCCAAACTTTCGTTCCAGGAAAGGGATATGTTGCATTTGAGCCTAAGGAGTACTTGCCTTGGGATGTCAACTACTAAATTTTGGATCATGGCTCCACATAGGATTGAGTCAAGGATCTCCTTGAATGGGTTGATATGAATCATGTACGCGAATGCTATAGCTATCTGAAGAATGGACACAACCTAGAAATTGAAAAACGCAAAACATCCCATTGGTATCCTTGGTGCGTGGGTCTGGTTGATCCGATGTATGAACGGAATTTTCCGCGTTAGATTTCAGGGAGTAAATGAACCCCTTCAGTTGATTCGTGGGCCTCCCTTCGATGGAGTTGCTTTAGAGCGAAACTCTCGAAAGTCTTTCCACATTGACAACATTCGACAGGCCCCTAGGTTTTAGAAATATTTGTTAGTATTCTAGAAATAAAACAAAACATAGTTACTTACCTCTTCAAATGGTGAGGACATCTCAGGAAACCAACTTCTATTCTCCGTAAACACCACATGTAGTCCAATCTTCTCCGCTTCTTCACACTTTTCTTCACCCAATGCCAGCATCTCCTTTTGTAACGCTTTGAACCGTTCTGGAACCACCTCCGTCAATGTCGTATCAAATTTGACTTCATGCTGCGAGAAAACATGCACCCAACAGTAGGCGACATATGCGAAAGTAGACTGATCGTATGATTCTCGATGAGGTATGAAGACACGAGCACCTTTACCGTCGTCTCCCATTTTGGCGCTCAAGAGTGTGGCTATTTTATCGTCGGTTTTCCCGGAAGGTGGGTACCCGTGAGTTTGATTGACCCCGTTTGTCCGGAGGAAGGCATCAAGTACGGAGTAGTGGATTTTAAACCCACGTAAGACGGTGATTACGGGCATATTTCTCGGCGCCTTATTTTTTTTTTTTTTTTAACTTAGGGGCTTACATTTTTCTACCTGGAAACTTTATAGTCAGGGGGATGGTCTGGGCGTCATGGTATCGCCCCAATAACAAACTAGGAATAGATGATTAATACATAATTCGATGCGGCGAAATTAGGCGTGTATTCGTGCTATCATCTGTTCGCTGGTGGATTTCAATACCACGAGTCTCCCGCGGCTCCGGGACAAAAAGGGGCCGGAGGTGTCCGGATTTGTCAGCTTACTTCCGGTCCGAACCCCCGATATCATCGGCACTCATGAAATAGCAGCATTTCAGACGTCACAGAGGGCATACCAAATTATTTATTAAAAATATGAATACTACGCAATAAAATATTCGGACAAGACTCGGAAAGAAGAACTATATTTTGCACAAGGTAGAAATAATGGCCAATTTCATGAGTACTTAGGTGAGTTGTAAGCGGAACGACGCCGAAAAGGACTTGTCAGACTGAGGTAGAGACGTCATAAAATCTAAGCAAATATTTCTCACATATCCTATCCCAATTTATCCTCTCGATACCAGTAACCCCGTCCCTAAAGTTCATTGGTATAGCACCCGAATGCCCGTATGACGAGCTGATGTCGTGGCACTTAGCCTACAAAATGGCTGGTCTAGAATACCGAAACTACGCACAACATACTGTTGGCTCTTGTGTGGCACTAGTCGCACGACGTCTTTGGGAGAAGACTGTTAGCATAATTATATGAAGAATTGTGAACGGTTTAGGTGGGCTAACTTACCCTGTGTCTAGATGTTCCCAGTGGAATACAAACGCACCGAGGTAAGCCCCGATGAATATGCAGATGATGATGTACCCATTATAATACATAGCGAGCCTGTTGTAATTATTAGCGGGAAAATCGAGAAAGAAACGCCACGGAGAATTTATACATGTATATAAATTCCTTGGCGGTAGTAGAGTTATGAAAAGAATACGTACAACATAATAAAATATGCAACCGCGAATTGCACCATGTGCAGTAGCGCCCGAATTGCCTGTTCTAGGATGGTCGGTCTAAAGCCTCCTGATTGTACCGCATTTTGTTGAAGGGATGTTGGTCTCGCTGTAGCAGTCTTATCGTCACTAGTACTTGAAGTAGCTGCTGGGGCAAGGACAAATGTTGAAGTGTGCTTTCGGATAAGATATCGATCGTATTCCCTCACGGTCCGTCGCAGAAGCTCAAGTGTCATGGTCAATAAGATAACGCCAATACAGGAACCGGCGAACATTCCGGAACTGGTGTTGTGCCATGATGAGGCTAGGAAACAGGAGTCGATAGTATACCAATTCCAAAGCATCTAGTCCCGCATTAGTGTTCACGGTTTAATTAAAAGGAAAATAAATACTCACGGAAATCTTGCAAGAGTCGCCTCCCATCGACATCCCTCCCATATCCATAGACATTCCTGTAGATGTTGGCGCTGCGCCAGTTACTGTCGCCGTCGAGGACATATCCATGGTCATAGACATGGACATCGACGACATGTCCATACCTGACATTGATGACATATCCATTTTTTATAATTGGTGCGCGCAATGACAATACTTGAAGTTTATTGTGCCAATGTGTCGGGTGAGAAACGTCAAAATGTCTAGTTGCATCAGATACGACAAAAAAGAGTTTCCAGAAGTTTGGATCTGCAATATATCGAAACAACGGGACTAGAACATGGCAGATTCGAGAAAAAGCTTCGCACACACCATGTAGAGCAAATGGATTTTCCGTACAGTGTATGGGAAAAGAATACCTGACTTATTCAGCTGCCGCCCCGTATAACCGGCTGAATGTGGAGGAGACAGGGGTAATGAAATAGATGTGAGCACATTTGAGCTGGTTATGTGCACTGTTACGGACATAAGTTAGCCCTCCCGCGTTTCCTATTAGAGTAATTTATACTTTTTTTTTTTTTTTTAATGAATTATCCTGTCTCGCTGGAGTGTCGAGTGACTTAGGTGCCCAGGCGCTTGCACCCGAGATTTGGTCGTACAACTCGGAAGGTGGGCCATGTTTGCTATTCCGGGCTGGACCGTACGCACCTGGGCACGTTTAGCATACGGAGCTAATGTTGGTTGTTATCTCGTAGCTGCTACCGAAAATTTGGTAGTAGATACCTTGACATTTAATGCGGACATGTTATTCAGGTTACCATTTTCCTAGGTTTCCCGGATTAAGCACCTTCGATTCCACACGATACACAGCGCCTAATTACCTTCTTCCACACGTCTGAAACTGGTTTAGTGTGGTAGTATATAGTACCAAATAGTTAGGCCGAAGTGGTGAGTGAGTTCTGATTGATTCCTTGCTCTCCTACATTTTCCCATAATTAACCGGGACCGTACCATAGGTACATACTCAAATCACCTCTTATGAATTAACAAGCAAACCAGAACTTACAAAATGTCCTTGTCGCTCAAGAAATCATTATCTATTTGTCGTTCTACGCTGAACCGTACTCCTCAGATGCCCTGGTAGAACGATCGTCTACCACGAACTCAAGATGTCGGCAAAAGCCATGTCAATGGGCGACGAGCCCAGCTCAGGGAACGTCACTAACCTTCCTCTCTCTGACCCTCGATGTAATAGCGACTCCTGTAATGCTTTCAAGGCGGCTCATCAGGCATCTCAAGCTGCTGTGTCGTACGACCATCAATATGATTATGGTCATTACACCACTTGGTACTACCTGGCCGCCATAGGCGTCGCAATGCTCTTCTACTTCCACCGTCTAAACCGCAACCGCACGGCCCAACGAAGAGCTCCAGCCTCAAGTTCTTGGAAGGCGAAGATAGAGCACAAGATATTGGCAGTCTTTCGGCTGGTCAATTATCGACATTTGAAGGGACGTGCAGCCGACTACTTCGGATTTCCTTCTCTCGGGACGCTGGCGTTCATCGGCGTGACGTCTCTATTCCTTCTCCTAATGACCTTCCTAGTTCATCCGTACTATCGAGGTCGGCGAGGTTACGGTTCCCCCCCTCTGGCTGTCCGGACGGGGCTGATGGCTCAAGCGTTAACTCCTATTATCGTGGCTCTAGCCGGCAAGGTCAACTTCATCACCATGTTGACCGGGATTAGCCACGAGAAGCTAAACGTTTTCCATCGTTGGGTATCGTATATGTGCTTATTCCTAAGCATCGTTCATACTGTGCCTTTCATCGTGCAGCCCCTGAAAGAAGGTGGACCGGCTGCTCTCCGGAAGCAGTACTATAAACCCGAAGGCATGGAGGTATGTAACATTGTTGATATCCTCTGCGCTTATATTCTTACTAATACGGCCGTTCGTAGTTTACCGGAACTCCACCCTTAGGAATACTTGTAGGTATCGTAGTGCTATCAATCCCCTGGATTCGGCACCGATTCTACAACTTCTTCTACCGGCTGCACATTCCCATGTACGTCGTGTACCTCGGACTTCTCTTCTGGCACTCCAAACAAGAAAAAGACTCATGGGTGTATCTCTACTCGACCCTTGCGATCTGGCTCGCATCCTGCCTAGTGCGCCTATTTTACAAATGGCAGACGTTCAGCATTTTCCGCGATTGGTTCTCGGGATTCCCCGCAAGACTCGAAGAACTTCCAGGTGGGATGACGAAAGTGACGGTTCTTGCCCCGTCGGACTTCCGATGGAAACCCGGTCAGCATTGCTGGATCCGGGTACCGCACCTGTCGGTGCTGCAGAACCACCCCTTCACGATTGCGAATATACCGAAGATCGCGGCGCCGGGAATAAAACGGGATGCGGATGTACAGGAGATGATCTTCTATGTCCGCGCGCATCATGGTCTGACTCTTGACCTGCTTAAGTCCGTCGAGAAACACGATGCTACCGATGATAGTGGTCGATCGGTTTCCATCCATATTGATGGACCATATGGCGGAATAGTGGAAGATGTACCCGCCCTATACGAATCCCTGATATTCGTCGCTGGTGGAAGTGGAGTGTCCGCGTGTCTGCCCTGGATTCAGTATGCCGCGAGACGTGTAACTGAAGGTACTTCAGTAACTAAGAATATCCATCTCATCTGGATGGTCCGATACGCCAGTCAAATCCACTGGATAACGGAAGAGCTTCAACCCCTCGTCAACACGCACCCGGATTTGATCCAAGTTGATTTCTTCGTCACGAACTCGGGCCCACCAGCGGTTTCCAGAACAGATTCGGAGAAAAACTCCGACGATGGAGCTACCAGCAGTAAACCAGGCGAAAAGAGCACAACAACAATCAGCCCAAAGTTAGGACAAGTACACACTGAACGTCCTTACTTGCCTGACCTACTCCCGAACCTCCTCACATCTAAGAGGTCCTTCATTCTTGGTAAGTCATAAAAAGTCCGAAGATTCATTAGAAGAGTCAGCTAACGTGCCATTAGGTTGCGGGCCGGAAAGTCTCAGGACGGACTTGGCGAATGCTGTATCGGCATCTCAGAAGAAGGTCTTAGCTGGCGGTGCTGACGTGATCACATTGCACACTGAATCTTTTGGTTGGTGATTGTGAATGGATACGGTATCTGGGTTTCTCATATAAGGAGGTTGGATTCGGGCATTGGGATATATAACGACTACACCATCATATTGCACAATAGGCAGTCTACTAAGAAGAAGTTAGTCATAAAGGACCAGTGTATTTAATTTCACATAAATACCTATTTTTACAATGGATGACTTGCATCTCAACCCACTCTGTCGCATGTGTAGGTACTTACACACATATCACTGCATGTGAATATGTACCTCTCTTCTCCAAATATCAACCAATAAAAACCATCGCGTTTTCTCGTTAGGGCAAGCTACCCCGCAATGGGTCGATCGAGCAGCGCGGAAGTGACCCCTTAAATACCTGCCCGTAAGCCTGTAATTGTACAAAAATACGCACCTAAATCCCCTAATCCAATTGACTTGTTTCCCCTTGTCGCATTATCTCACCCCTGTTACCCTGCCCTCAACCCTCCGTCATCGGGGCTAAGCTTAGCACACAGTTGAAAATTTCCAACTTATTCAGCTTCGGTTTTTGCGTCAGCGGGTTTTGAAGAGAAAAAAAAAAGTCAATGCCCGTGAAAGCCCGTCGACCTAATAATCCGCGAGTTAAGTAAGAAAATCCACATCGTGAAGAATATTTCCGGATTTGTTCTTTCCCTATCTCCTAGCCCCTCGCGCATTAATCCGGCCTAGCTTGAATCTCAAATCTCAAATTCGCAACTTTACGGATCTTAAATGCGGCGGGAACAAGTCACAAGTACTTTCCTTACTCACCTCCGTACCTACACCCGCAAAGGAACTCGTTACTCATCCCGGACTACCCCGATTCTACACCAACTCCTTCCGGGGTCAGTATATGAACATGGCGACTGAGTCCTTCACAATTCGAACACCTTGTTCATCGGCCAACATCGGTCCGGGCTTCGACGTCATCGGTCTGGCACTATCCATCTACCTAGAACTCCGCGTGACCATCGACCGATCCAAGGGCACCTCCACAGAGCCCTTGAACTGCCGCATCACATACGAGGGTCAAGGTGAGGGCTCCGACGATGTGCCTCTAGACCCAGCCGCCAATCTAATTACCCGCGTCGCACTCTACGTGCTGCGCTGCCACGACCAGCGTGCATTTCCCGCAGAAACGCACGTGCACATCGTGAACCCCATCCCATTGGGTCGCGGTCTCGGGTCTTCGGGAGCTGCCGTGGTTGCTGGTGTTATGCTGGGTAAGCAGGTCGGTGGCTTGCATCATCTAGATGATAACCGGCTTTTTGACTTCTGTCTTATGATCGGTATGTGTCTTGCCCGCGCGCTTCTGCATATGAGACCCCCACAATGGGGAGGTTATTCTGTATCACCTCGTAATAATCATGAAAGCTAACAGCCACTGTCTCACTTTTCAGAGCGCCACCCGGATAATGTCGGCGCTGCTTTGTTTGGTGGATTCGTGGGTACATACCTAAATCCCCTAACACCTGAAGATGTAGCACGTGTCGAAATCCCGCTCAGTGAAGTGCTACCTGCGCCGGCTGGCGGTCTCGACACGGGTGAGAGACCACCCGAACCCCCGCATGGCATTGGCCACCACATCAAATTCCCCTGGGCCAAAGAAATCAAAGCTGTTGCCATTGTTCCCAACTTCCAGGTACCCACAGCAAAAGCTCGTGAGGTGTTACCCAAAGAGTACCCTCGTCAAGATGTTGTAAGTATTCCCCGGTTGAACGGATTCTTGCAGTTCACGGCGCGTGTTCCGAAGGATCAGATGCTAAAACCTGCTTTTAGACCTTCAATCTGCAGCGAATAGCGCTATTGCCTGTGGCGCTAGGTCAGTCGCCTCCGGATCCAGATCTCATCTACTTGGCCATGCAGGATAAGCTGCATCAACAATATCGCCAGACCCTAATTCCCGGTTTGGGCGAAATCGTGGAGTCCATGTCGCCTAGCTCGCAGGAAGGACTTTTAGGTGTCTGTCTGTCGGGTGCTGGCCCTACGATCTTGGCATTAGCAACCAGCAATTTCGAGCAGGTTGCCGAGCGTATTATAAGCAGGTTCCGGAAAGAAAACATCGACTGCCAGTGGCTGATTTTGGAGCCGGCGGAGGGAACCAAGGTTATCCGATCGTGAGGAACGAGCTAAACAAGAGGAAAAATACGTAAGCGATAAATTGATACCCACGCAGCTACGCGTCATCGTACCGTAGAGCAACCAACTACGGTGATCGACTCGAGATCTAGGAAAAATATATCCAAAATTAAGCTTATTTTATCCGATGAATGAGCAAGCGGTGGGTTAGGAAAACTTCTGAACAAGGCGCATGCGGCTAAAAATATACGGTGTATGCACACTAATGCATACAATTGAGATCGTCTCATTGTCTCTCTTCTGTTGTATAAGCGATGCCAATTTCCGGGTTCGAAAAAAGGGGTTGAGTTTCACATAGATCTCTTGCTTTACACAGTAAATGTAAAGCCCAAATAAATGAATATTTCCTTACGAGGATGTTACGTTCGAATGAAGGGATGAAATGAGTGCTGAAATGTCGAACCCTCATGGGTCATCAGGGTGCTTACTTCAATATGTTCTGCATCGTACGTTGTGCAGGGGGTGCCGCCTTGCCAAAATAGCTGAAGAAACCGGACCGGACCACCCAAATTCTTATAATTTATTTGGCCGCTCGTTTCCAAGATTCTGGGGATCATTGCATTAATTGAATGTGACGTGCCAATGAACCCCCCGCCTCATCCGTTCTCCTCTTTGGACCCAAAGCGGCAGTTCAGGATCGAAGGACATGCCTTGTTCTGGAAACTTCACCATACACAACATCTGATGGAAAATCGGCAGCATGTGAAATGTTATTATTCCGTCTTGCCGACAGCCATAGACACGATGAGACTAGCGAGGAGATCTTTTTCCTGAGAAGCGCGATTGCATACATAGTACATCCACGAGGAGTCGTGTCATTGTTTGCGGGGCACAAGGGACCACTTAGCTGACGTATGCCAACAAGGGGTGGAACGGATTTCGAAATGAGATAGCCCTAGGATTATTTTCCTGCAGAAAATAGCGATCAGCCTTGATATATCACCGTTATGGTACTCAACTCGTTAGCCCCGTTACTTAGTCTGTTAGTGAGTAGCTTGGCGCCTAGGGCGGATTTCGAACTTTGGCATAGCCACCATTGCTCCCGCGACGGGGTGCTAACCATCCCGGTATCGTACGGGATCTTCCGAGATCTGGCTGGCTGTCATCTCTCACATTCACCCCATACGACCCACGCGTAACGAGGTCCTTGCAATGTGACATGAGCCCCTATTCTGTATCCTATCATCTCGTAATGGGTGCGTGTATGCGACCCCTTGTAGCTGTCAACATTCTGGACCGCATTGGGAACATCTTAATCGTATTCGGATCTGGCACAAAGCTGCATGTAATAGGTAAACGAGGCAGCTAACCGGCGTTATAGGTTTGTTGACAAGGATGCTTGTAACTTAGTACCATCACGAGATTAAATTTTATTCCCTTGTTCCAGCGCCTCGGCTTCTGGAATTCGTCCCCGCAAACATGGCGATGGGAGAAATGGATAAGAACCATGCCCATTCCCGCGCCTCGGAAAACAGAGCCTCACCTGTCGCGCGGTGCCTCTGGTCTGTACCATTCATTCGCTTATACACTCGGCACATTCCGACGGCCTTTAGTGGTGACTTGTCAGATAGTAGCGGTTCACGATGGCGCGTTCGATCTTCAATAGAGCTATGCTCGGGGCTGCTGCCCTTGTTGCATCTGTTGCCGCTCAGAGTACTTGCGAGACAGTCGAGAAAACCACTGCTATCGCTGTGTTGAAGCCAGCATCCGTGGAATATACTACTGAGCAAACACACTACTGGTCCACGTTCTCGGGTGACCTAAAGCCGACATGCATTCTCGAGCCCGAGTCGCCGGAGGAGGTCGCTGCTATCCTTTCTATTCTTCGCCAAAACAACGAGACCTTCGCGGTTAAATCAGGTGGCCACAACCCGAACAACTACTTCGCTAGTGTTGATGGAGGCCCACTAATCTCAACCAAGAGACTTAACGAGATCATCTTTGACGCTGCCACCGAAACGGCCAGAGTTGGACCCGGAAACCGATGGGATGAAGTAGGAGAACATCTTGATGCGACTGGCTACACTGCCGTTGGCGGTCGAATTGGAAATGTTGGTGTTGGAGGTTATCTGCTCGGAAGTAAGGATATCAATAACAATGAATCGCTAAGCTCACATTGCTAACACCATATGCAGATGGACTGAGCTTCATGAGTACTGAGTATGGTTGGGCTGCTAACTCAGTTCTTGAGTACACGGTGGTATTGGCGAACTCTTCGATCGTCACGGTCAGCAACACCAGCCACCCTGATCTCTACATGGTACTCAAAGGTGGTGGCAACAACTTCGGCATCGTGACATCGTACTTGCTCCGGGTTTATGCCCAGGGTGACGTTTGGGGCGGCAACCTCGAGTTTGATGCGACACCTGAGAACAATGCTGCCCTTTTGACTGCGCTACGCAACTTCACTGAGAACTACCCAGATGAGAAAGCGGGCATCATTATGACGGCAGAGCGCACCTTGGCCACTTTACTCGATATCTGGGTCATATTTTTGTACTACAACGGACCTGAACCACCACAAGGCGTATTCGACAGTTTCCTTGCCATTGGTCCCACTGTCAACAATTGCAAGACCCGACGCTACTCGGAACTTCTTAGTAACAACAATTGGGCTGTCGTAAAGGGAAGCGTATACACTATCGGAACCGAAACCATGCCGCTTCCCAGCAAGGAGGATGGCCCGGAGGTTATGCAGAACATCTTCGACCACTGGGTGAATGTCAGCAACACGGCCCAAGAAGTTTCAGGTCTTATCGCCAGTATTGCCTTCCAACCCATGCCTAAGAGAATTGCGTCGCTCGCCAAGTCCAAGGGTGGAGATCTGCTGGATCTTGATGACAGCATTGACCGTATCGTTGTCGAACTCGACTATAGCTTCTTGTTCAAGACCGATTATGACAAGATCGATATAACGATGAGCGCTACATACGACGGCATCCAAAGTCTCGTTAAGGGATATCAAGAGAGCAGCACGCTCCCTTCGGATGTATACCTACCCCTCTTCATGAATGATTGCTTCTACCCGCAAGACTACTTCGGTAGATTGAGACCCGAGAAACTGCAGCTTGCTCAAAAGGTTCAGGCTGAGGTTGACCCCAATGGGTTCTTCAAGGAGAGGACTGGCGGATTCAAGATACCCGCTGCGTAATGGCGCTGTTGATAATACAACATATACCTAATGAATAATCCATACTCACACACATACTTAGTAATGTAATCACGATATTTTATTTGTTCCATATTGAATTGGATGCTGGCGCATTGATCCCAATGAAGTGACACTGATTGATGAATATTTTAAGAGGGATAAAATAGAATTGAGTGACCAAGTTTCTTAAGTAAATCACCTATAATTTGCTGACATAAGACACCTATTAACTCTCCTAGCGCTAATACTTAGACGGGATTAGTGCGGGGCCATAGCCTAACCGTCGCCTAACAAAATCGCCTAACACCGCCAAAAGTGGCCCCACCAACTTAACGTTTATGTACGTCAATAGGGGACAACTTTACCAAAATATTTGACAGGCAGACAGGTAGGTATAAGCTTCTTTCAGCTTTAATTATCTCCCTTAAATAACGTTTGCACCGTTGGCTTTTCTACCTACATGTATTTTGTGTAAAATTGTTACTCATACATATACACCTCAATCGCATGATATAAAACAATAATACTATGGACTTTCTTAAATCGGCGGTGGCTTCTGCCATCGCCCAGGGTCCGCATTTTCCCTATACCTTTGGCGACAAGGTCGATATCGACGCATCTATATGGACCCTTTACAACGGTACACGAAGAGCCGACGGTTCCAACTGCAGCATATTCTCCTTCGATATATCGGCCAATAAAGCGCGTCTACCCCTTGCGAAGAATGCGCTCAAGAAGTTACGAACGATGCGACACCCGGGTGTGATTCGAGTGCTGGACACCGTCGAGACCGATACGTATATATACATCGCGATCGAGAGAGTAGTGCCCCTTAGATGGCATGTTAAGAGGAAGAGCTTGAGTCCTGAGACAATTAAATGGGGTTTATACAGCATTGCGCGCACTGTTAAGTTTATTAACGACGAAGGCTCGTCAATTCACGGTAGTCTTCGCGTCGCGTCGATCTATACATCCGAAAGTGGGGAGTGGAAGTTGGGTGGTTTTGAGGTATTAAGCAATGTCAAGGATGACGATGCTGTTATATATACCTACGGTAGTCTGGTACCAGACTCGGCAAGATATACACCGCCAGAACTTGCGCGATCGGGTTGGGACGCAATTAAGAAGAGTCCGCATTCTTCTGTCGACTCTTATAACTTTGGAACAACAATATTTGAGGTTTTCAATGGGGACTTTATGGGCGCGGACCAAGCAGGGCAGACAAAAGGCATTCCACCTAGTATGCATGCGAGTTACAAAAGATTGGTGAATGCGAACCCCAAAGCCAGAATCACAGTAGGAGCTTTCTTGGATCAGGGACGTCGGTCCGGCGGATTTCTAGATACGCCTCTAATCAAATTAACAGAGGGTATTGACAATCTCGGCGTCAAATCTGAAACTGAGAAGGAGGAATTCTTGGACGATCTAGACCAGCTTACAGACGATTTCCCCGAAGACTTCTTCAAGATGAAAGTATTGCCAGAATTATTGAAGTCGGTAGAATTTGGAGGAGGCGGACCAAAAGCATTTGGCGTTGTTATGAAGATCTCTACGAAGTTGACGAATGAAGATTTTGATGCTCGAGTCCAACCAGTGGTTATTAGACTATTTGGAAATCCAGACCGAGCGATACGAGTATGTCTCTTGGATAACCTACCAGTTATGATCGACAGACTACCTCAGAAGGTGGTTAACGATAAGATTTTCCCCCATATGGTTTCCGGCTTCACAGATGTTGCCCCCGTTGTACGAGAACAGACACTGAAGTCTGTTCTTGTTATCATTGGCAAACTATCAGACCGTACGATAAACGGTGAATTATTGAAATACTTAGCTAAGACAGCTAATGACGAGCAACCTGGCATCCGAACAAATACCACAATTTGTTTAGGAAAGATCGCCAAGAACCTTGGAACATCTTCAAGGTCCAAGGTTTTAATAGCAGCATTCACCCGTTCACTCCGCGATCCCTTTGTGCATGCACGTAACGCAGCACTCATGGCATTAGCAGCCACAACCGATTGTTTCACCGACGAGGACTGTGCAGCAAGAGTTCTACCAGCCATCTGCCCATCCCTAATTGACAAGGAGAAGCTCATCCGGGATCAAGCCAATAAGACAATGGAAGTCTACCTACAGAAGATCCGCAAAGCAGCATCTGCTATGCCGGATACAGTCCAGCCGCCACCCCAAACAACCGAAGGCGCCGGCCCACGAATGAGCACACCCCAACCCAGCGAAGCATCATCATGGACCGGATGGGCCATCTCATCCTTCACCAACAAGCTCTCCGCCGCCTCCGGCGAAATGCTAACATCACCCACCAACGGCGCAGCAAGAGTCGTCTCACCCCCAGCAACCCTCGATCTTAACAAGCGCGTCACATCCACATCCTCAGCCTCGGCATTGCACCGCCAAGCCGTTAAATCACCCTCTCCAGCACCGCCTTTATCACGCAATTCATCCACCTCCGCAGCAGAGTACTTCAAAGACCCCGAACCCGCCGACGACGACGGGGATGCATGGGGCGATATGGGTGATATGGATGATGATGATGACGGAAATGCGTTCTTCGACGCGTCAAGCGAGCTCGCTAAGCCGAAGAAAGAACCCGTGGCCGCTGCATCGCCACAACCTTTTGATGATGGATCGGAACCCGATTTTGCGGGATGGTTGGCGGCGCAGTCGCAGAAGAAGGGTCCCGGTGGAAGTAAACCATTACCTAAGGGTTTAGCGAAGGCAAATGGTAAGGGGAGTGTAGGTGCTACTGCCGCGCCTAGGAAGGCTTTGCCCTCGAGGGCGCCGGTGAAGCCGGTTGTTTCGAAAAAGGTTGATACGAAGCCGAAGGAGACGGACGACGACGATGGATGGGGAGACGGTTGGTAATGCGTAGGGAGTAAAGTGTTAATACGACGGAAAGATCGAGGGCATCATTGCAAGGCGTTTAAGGTGTATGGACTTAGGCCTAGATGGCTAAGGATTGTGTTTGGTATATTATAGCTAGTAACTACCTAGGTACCTATGAATAGTTACTTCTAAGCTCTGATCTAATTAGGTGGCAGCAACAAGAATAATGATAGAGATATCTAAAAGCATCTGTTGACGCTTTAGCCGTGGTTTCCATTTATCATCCATGGGCGCTTTAGGGGTTAGCAGTTGAGATTATCAATCCTTGGAAGATCAAGCCTTGGAAGTTATCACCTAATAAATCCCTTTCTGGTTAAAGTAGCCATACAGATAACGCATTAGCACATAAAAGGTAGAGTGCACGAGTGAATGAATTTGATAAGCCAGCCCAACCCTTCCGACTCCCCAAACTCCCTAAAACACCTTGCCCCTACCTAAATATGGCGGACACTAGGCAGTAAGTAATATAGAAAGCCCACACCATGGCTAACGAATCCAAGCGCCGAGGCTCCCTTACATTCCATATCAATCACAACCATTCTTATCCCTTCCTTCAGTTTGAGAAAAGTATCCCCGATCGACGTCCCTATTACCGCGCCTCCGAATAATCGTTCAGAGCAACACATACAGCGCCCCTGTGGTGTCCGTTATACTGGCGAATAACCTGCTGACTGTGCAACTCCCAGAGGCGCGCGTAGTGATCCGAACACGCCGTCACCAAGTACGCGGAATCCGCACTGAAAGCGCAATCCCAGACCCATCGTTGATGGCCCGTAAGTGTAGCCTCTAGGGGGTAAGGCTTAGCTTCTGCTCCTGGTCCGCCCATTCCTACGCCTCCTCCCATCATACCGTCGTTCCCGTTTATTTTGTCATGTCCGTTAACCATGCCACCGTTAATGGGAACGGAATTGGGCATTGGGGGTATGCCGTTGTTGGATAAAGATGAGGAGGATGATTCGTCGGATGCGGATGCGTTGACGTTGGCTACTTCCCATATCTTGGCGGTGTGGTCGGCGGAGCAGGTAGCGAGTTTCTTGACGTCGGGGGATAGGAGGATTCGTGTGATGTATTCTTTATGTGCGGAAAAATGAGTTACGGGTACAAGGTTGGTGCGCTCGTAGAATTGAATGAGCTTCCAGACGAAGACATTGCCCTAAATAGAGTGATATTGTTAGCACAGGAAAATAGAGCGCCCGTCTGGTGTAAGTGAATGTAGTGAATAACGTACGGAATTGTTAGCAGCGCAGAGAAGAGAGCCATCACTAGCGACTGTAACACTCGACACAGAGACGTCCTCTTCAGGGATAAGTCTATGGGAACAGTTATTTTCCGCAAGGTCCCAAACCCTGACACTGCCGCTACGGTCGCAACTTATAATCTCGCCTTGATTGGGGTGTATAACAACATCATTGACCGCGGAGCCATGGTTATAACTACGCTGAATGGTGCCAGAACGAGTTTCCCAAATCTTGACTGTTCCATCCTCGGAGCTCGTAACCATCCACTTTCCCTCACAGTGAAAGGCGACTCCGGTGACGTTGCCAGTATGACCCTCGAACGTAAGGAGGGGATTCGGGTTTGTCGACTTGATATCGTAGAGTTTCACTGTATGGTGACCCGCCGCGGCTAGGAATCGTTTATCGGGAGATATACACAGTCGGTTCACCTGCGAGTCCGGGTGTTGAATCGTACGCGAACAGATGCCGGATAGTGCTTCCCAAAACCTGTATTTTCCAGTACCCTCTTGTTAGCTATATCCCATTATAGCTATAGCAATTGAATAGTGCTCAATTCGTTTTCGGCGCATACCTGATTGTGTGGTCGTACCCAGCTAAACGGAGCGAGTGAGCTATAATACATGGAAGATGGGAATGGAATTGAGCATACCGGTGCAAAGGATCACGGACATTACGTCTTCATAAATGACCCATCAAAGCGACAGGCTAACTAAAGGACAACAATATGTTATAAAAACAGCCGAATAATTTAACATGATAATTCGGCGTAGAATGTTGCGACGGAGAGAGATTCAACCGCAGCTGGGTAGAGCCCTGGAGATTAGGTACCTAGGTAGCTGCTTATCGTCCTAAGGTCGCTATCGATAAGATACGCGATTTAGCGACCTTCTTCAAATTCCGAGGTCCGTTTTTAGATGGAGCAATAGCAGTATTAAAGAGTTACCTGAGTAACAGCTAATCACTGACTAATGCATAGGGGTTCAAACGCTAAGTAGAGGTAAGTAACAGAAATCCGTTACTCGTAAAGTCAACTCTTCTTCTAAAATACAATTTTAATACAACCCATCTTCTTCACCTAGCTACGTCCTCAAGTATTAATGGTCGAGTGAAAATATACCGCATAACCCGACGTATCATCTTAACAGAATCCGAAAAGGATTGTCACTATCCCGATCACTCAAAGCTAGGAACACATCCACCTCGGACAAGTCCATAGAGCCGTCCTATAAACCCGAATCCCAAAAACGAATGTAGATCAAGCCGACCCTTATGCATGAGAATGGGTCATAGAAGCACTACGCATAGGACTAATCGTAATCACATCAAGGAACTTGACAGAACTCCGCACCGTACCGATTGCATTGCGCTGACACTATCTAATACAGATTGAAGCTCATAATATATCTCATCATAGTCTACCTCAGCGTTACGAGATCATGGGAAATTCATAACAGAGGGGCAGCAACATTGCAATAACCATTCGAACTTCTCAACCATTGAAAGGGACATTCAAACCCCATTTCGTCACCTAAATTATTTGGCACCGCGCCAACCGGAAGACCCATCGTAGTAATCCGGAGATGCACCGTGGACATGTTGGCTGTGTTATGTCACAATCGGCAAAGCGTAACCCGAATAGGACTTCTTACATAGTAGTGTGTCTCGCAATGCCCTTAGGTCTTATTTACTTATGTACCCTGTGTCCTTCGAGAACATGGCTATCTGTGCTTTACTTCCAGCTCGCTCACCTAGATTGCTAACCCACAATGTCCCCCTCATCCAGCAAGCCCACTATTCTATTAATCCAGGGCGCGTTCCAACTTCCAGAGGTATATCGGAAGCTGACCGATGCCCTTGGAGAGAAAGGGTATCCTACCGTCCATCCGCCACTTCCAAGTATAACCGACGATGGCGACCGCCCCCTCGGTTCAAAAGACTTGAACGATGATACGCTTAAGATTCAACAAGAACTCAAGCGCCTCGTGGAGGTCGAAAGCCGAACCGTTATCGTTCTGATGCATTCATACGGCGGACTAGTGGGCAGTTCAGGTATACCGGAGGAATTCAGCTGGTCGAAGCGTAAGGAGGCAGGACTTGGCCCCGGAGGCGTTTTGCACCTATTCTACTTCTCAGCTTTTGTCCTACCGCAAAACGCATCGGTGTTGAGTGTCATCGGGGAGGGAGACGGCGGCGAAATTAGACCCGGCAACCGGTTCCGAGTCAAGAATGCTGCTGAAGGACTCTACAGCGACCTCTCGAGGGACGAAGCCGAGTACTGGGCCTCGAAGATTGTCGATCAGTCTTACGCTGTGCAGGAGACGAAGATGGCACTTGCTGCTTATGAGTACATCCCATCCACATATCTGATCTGTACGAATGATAAAGCACTACCGCCGGAGATTCAGGAGGTATGTGCTAAGACAGCTGGCGCGAAGGTACTCAAGATCGACTCGGGACATTCTCCTATGCTTGATAGAACTGAACAACTAGTGGGAATAATCACGACGACGGTGGACCAGGCGGTAGACCAAGCAGTTTGAAGGTATTCTCACGCTTGGTAAGGTTCATTCTAGTTTATCAGTCAGTAATGGAACATGAAGTAGGGCGATCAATTTCGGCCCATAAGCCGGCAGATCTAATAAAGCCCAATCACCATTAATAAGTTGAAGAGGCTAAAGACGAATCTCAAATCATGACATGATTCGTGCCAAATATCGCTGATATAAGTTTGAATTGGGAGCATCCAACTCCAACCGTCGGTGGGGGCCACAAAAATCGCCGAGGTCACGAACTAGGTCGATTCAAGTGCCTAAGACAGTAAGTAGGTTCCTCCAACATAATTCATCTCACTAGATTGGGGTGTAGAAGGCAAAGAGGCCCAATCCATCGTATTAATTCGTATGAGGTAAGGCGAGTGTCTTATAAACTTCTTCTAGTTCGCGCCGGCCTCTTCCGGACTGTAAGGACATGGCCATCATATTAGCGCCAGAGGAACACCATTTTCCTTGGAACTGTTGCCTCTTGGGCGGTTCGTCGCCTACAAAACCACTCGCAACCTATGGGTACCCATCTAGTAGGATCAAATACCGTTAGAAAGTTTTCAGGCTCGGCAACAGCAAAAGACGATTACACGAAGATAATAGACAGACAGCGTGAACTATCGTCCTCGTTGATCCAAATAATGATCGCACGGGCCTCAAAATAGATACCCCGCAATAGGGGAATCTGCAGCGCCTTCTCACCTACGTTGCCTTCCCACATAGGGGCCATAGCGTCTTTTCAAAGGTGCAGAATACACTTTGAAGAAGCGTCGTCGGGAAACCCCACGAACAGCGATCCCGAACCCCGAGAGAATTGGACACTTTTCATCTCGCAGCCTGATTGCAGGTGCATAGGCCACGATACCGCGACGAAAAGAGGTGAGTCATTGAGAGTGACACGTCTGATCCGGCCACTGAAGGGGCCTGGAGGGTAGCCGAATCTCCCCGGGAGAGTCGCTAAGATGGTAGTGGCTCAGTATCATTCCTTCCGGTTTAATTAGATGTGTTACACAAAATGATGGACTGCCTTTATGAGCACGCCACGCATATATCGTCGTTGATGGCGCGCAATAGTAAGGATCGATTGCTTTTCAAACCGGATGATGTCTTCGGGCTGGGCAGAACGAACAGCCTATGGCTGTGCTTCCCGAAACGTGGGAGGGCGGCTTCTTGCATGCAAATGCAACCCCATACGTACAAGTACTGTCATTCCGTGCGCCAACAGCGAACAGTGGCCGCGACTTGTGATTGAGACCATGCCTACTAGGGTTATCAGGCTGCGAGCCGTTTGTCTTTCAGTAAAGTGTTAAGAATGGGCTCTCTTTTGATTTTGGCATCATCATCGCCGTTATTCTAATTATTGCAGTATTTCATGTAACTAGACGGAGAATGGAAGTCCTTGCAAGTCTTGCTGGCATTATAACTGCGGGAGCCTCGTTATCACAGGCAGTTTTCGACATGGTCTTTACAGTGCGAAATGCCCCCAAAGAGATGTCAAATATTGCTAAGGGCATCTCAGAGTTGTCCATTATTTTAGAGGAACTCCGTCAAATCATAGAAGATGGTAGAGAAAGATATAGCCGAAGGCTTATCAGAGTCTTGAAATCGACAATGAAGCGAATCAGCAAAGTCCATGCTGAAATTGGGGAAGTCCTGAAAGAACGGATAGGAGCTGCGGCTCAACTAAAATGGATATGGATGAGGTCAAAAGCAACACAGCTACTTTCCGAGATTGAAAGCCATAAGATTGGCATAATGTTGATGCTTACCGTTATGAAATTAGCGGCCGAAAAAAAGCAATCGAAGTAAGACTTAGGTACGCCACGTGCAAATTTGTAGCTAACATTACTCCAGCCGAAGCGAGTTACGGCGAAGGTACGAGGACCACGCAAGAGATCAAGAAACCCAGGATAGACTGGCGCGTGCTCGGCAGCAGACAGAAAATGTAGTGCGAGCATCGTACAACTCTCTGCGGGAACTTGCAACTCCAGGCACGGATTCGGATTCGGGCTCAGAAGACGAAGCTCGTCAACAACACAGCAGCTCTCGAAGTACAGAAATTGAACTTCAAGCGGAACAGTCGAATGATCTTGGCCTATGGTTATACGGCTTGGTGTTCTCCAAGGCAGCAGATGCCTATAATGAGACACCCCCGGGTTCTGTCCAGTACCAACAAGACCTAAATACGCCACTTTCCCCAGAACCGGTAACAAATTCCCCTACTCACAGCACGCATAGCGCACTTATCCCACATCAATTCACCGTCTCGCAATGTTTTCAAGCCCTAGCTCAGCAACCCCTTCCACCCTCATTCGTAGTAAATGAGCTTCTTTCCGAGTGGACAACCCTCACCGAGGACGAGATCGAAGGTACAAGCGCAAACGGGACTAGCAATGACGAAACTTCAAAAGAAAGAAAGCATTATACCGAAGGTGAAATGGAAGTACAGATGATTTCCTTCAAAGATTGCGTGGGGCGTAAATTCGACCTTCCTTTCCATTTGGCCAGAACATGGCAGGTGAGCGCTGCTGAATTCACATTGCTTATTATTACCTCAACCAATGTGTAGCATCGGTCTTACTAACGCACTTGGATCTCAGAGTATGACAGAACTGATAAAGTCGGCGTTTCTTCATGTGGACGTGGTTGGCCCGCACGTCCAGGCAGGACATTATGACCTCATCGGCCCCGAAGGAAAGATCATATTGCCGCAAGTTTGGAAATATGTGATCCAACCCAACATAGCCATCTCGATGCAGATGTGGCCGATGGACCGTCCCCATCAGCTATCACCTGGCAGTTTGCCTCACACAGTAAAGCGTAACGATAAAAACGCGTCCAATAAGAATGTACGTACCGCTTTTTATTATAAAGCACTTAATCTGCCGGGTATGTCCTAATATTCTCAAGCATTCCCCAAATGGCGACAAAAATTCCAAGTCTTCTCCCGCAGAGCAGCGACGCGATAGCGCATAACCTTGGAAAGCCGAGGGCGCCAGACCGTAAATACTGCTATTTAGATCGATCTCTATGTATCTGTATTCCTACAGTGGGAGAATGTTCTTCTTCTTAATAAGAGACTTATTACCAGTACAATAGTACCAGACTGCAAAGGTAACTACCGTCAGGATGACAGTCACTGCAGCATATATCCAAATATAAGGCGACATCATACTATTATTCTGCTGCTTCCAGTCGAAAAAGGACATTGAAAAGAGTGTCTATAAGTTGTGGATTCAGTATTATGATTTTTCGTCTGTGGTAGGTGACTTACAGCAACGAAGGTACCAGGAAGGAATGTCATTGTTAGCAAAGCGATAGATCGCATATGGTTCCCATCTCTCTGGGTGGCTCTCGATATATCCATAGTCGACTTTGATATCTTCAAGTTCGTTTTCGTGTCCGCCCGCGCGATTTTATTCCACTCCTGTATCATATTAGAATGTTTGGCTCGCAGTTGGTCTGAATTGACGTACCGTCTGGGTTGCGAAACTCATCCCATCGATGATGGTAGAGCATTCTCTCGCTTTAGCATCATATTCATTGATGATTTGTATCAGCCGCTCCTTAATTCGAACCCCTTGATCCCTCATGCTGATGAATACACCTTCCGCAATAGGCCCTATAGTCTCTTCATACCGAAACCTTTCTAAGTCGTTGACGTGTTGCACCAGGTTTCTAAGTTGGGCTTGCCAGTCTATTAGTTCGTTGCGGATATGGCTCATTTCTAGCCATTCCATCACAGAGCCATCATCTGCTGCACGCTTAGAGTCTTCCGTAAGCTGCTTTTCAAGTTCGGAGTTGCTGGATTGACTTGTCGATTTGGAGACTTGTGTCGGGTTTCCCATGTCTAGCACTCGTTGAACCAACTTGCTAACGTATGTGTTCACCATATCGACGTGGCGGTAACGCTCAATATCAGAAAGAATAGTCGGTAAAGTTAATGGATGAAACGTATTAAGTCGGCAATCTAAAAGACGAGACTTAATTGTTGCGACGGCATGACTAGGACAGCCATACACGACCGCATAGGTAAATCTTCGGTCGGGAAAGTAGGTAGCCGAAAGCGCCATATCATCAGGCCAAGCTGCCGAAGATCGACAATTGTAGGCTGTATTTACGAGATTAGAATCTTGGTTTCCAAGTTCTATCGACAGTCCCCTTACCAATAGCCCCTGGAGCGTCCGGGCCCCACGCATTGAATTGACAAGAGCAGTGCGGTACTGTATTCCTATTGATGACCCTCGCAATGGAACTGTGCACGAAGAGCTTCTTTGTGATTTTATCAAATATTTCCCTCGAGAATGGGAGTTGAGACGCTAACATAGAGTCGAACCATTTACTTTCGGCTCTCTCGAGGAGTCTTAATACCAGATAAGCTTGGGGAGTGTGACCATTTTGGCTAGGGCCAGGGATTAACTAACATTAAACAGATGCCGTCTGTCCGGGTATGAAAACCCGAGGCTTCTACCTAACCCCTATTAGTCTTGACTTCGGACACATACTTCATGTGGCTTACGGTGTCAAGCCATGAATCCCAATCCGAATCAGAAACCAACTTCTGATCTCGGGAACACCAGGAGGTCTGCTATGAAAAAGTATTAGTCGATATTCGAGAAATGGTACTAAGTCTCACCCACATTTTCGCCTCGGGATATCTCGAGCGCAACACCAGATCCACATCGGAATTTGAAGATATTCGTATCTTCGGCGGTTATGAATGGTTCCTCTCGTAGCCAGTCCATTCCGTCTCGACTACAATGTTCTCAATGGCATACATATCACCCACAATCCATTTCCAGTGATAATGACTGTACGTTTGGAATTATATTTTTGTTCCATGCCAATGCTAGAGCCTTATGAGGTACACGGATTGCCCAAGGCAGTCTTCCCCGCATCAACATCCAATTAATATAAAATCAACCCTATGGTCAGACTGCATGAGGCGTACTCTATAATCGCACCCGCAGTTTCGATAGGGACCTATAAGAGATGCATGATGCAGCCACTGCGCCCAAGTCGACGTTGTCCACGCAGATTGGGCATCGGCACCAGTTTGCGAGTGCTGCGTGTCAATGCAGTACGTTGCATCGATAAGGACAATGGCATTGATGATTGGCCACGCCTCCTTACCGAAAACCAGTGCTTTGATCATCCTACCTCGAAGTATCAGCTAGGCGGAGCACTTCTCCCTTAAAGATGCGGCTCAAAATCAGCCAGAAATGTATTTACATATGCGCAAGTCGGCCGTAAGCCCCTTTTCTGCTTGTAAATTTCCAGATGGGTATCTATGTTCCGGTAGATTTTCTAGCATTTTTCGAGATCATATACTACCTACCCCAATCCGAATAAAGACTAATTTCAAGTCTAAACCATGGACCAATGGATACGTCAAGCGTTACCGTTCCAGTATAGTGATATTACGCTCCTAGATAAGGAGCTCCAAGCTATTCTTGGAGGGAGTAACTTTCGAATAGAGGGTGTTAGTTACAACAGTCGTCAAATCACCCCCTATTAGGCAGTAGAAGGTTATAACTGATGCATATCCGTATTAGTCTAAGTACAATCGATGGATAGTGTCAGTCAAGAGAATGCTCACCGAGGTGCGTATACTATTACTCACTAATGCTATTGATTAACCGACTGATTCAAACTCCCAGACCGAGTTGACCACCATCCGAGAGAATATACGTGTCCATTATACCCAAAAGTGATTCCTCACTCAGAAGTATGGATACCGTATCTGCCGATTACCTAGGTATTCTGATACATGGTACTCGAATACATGGCGGGGAAGAACGGTAATGGAGGACGTATCGGACGATCTGCGCTACGCAAGGCGTACACTCTCTGTATAAACACCGATATTCGAGATGAAGGTCGCTTAATACGTGCTATTAGTCACGGGGTCTCATTTCTCGTTAATAAGTCATAAATCTTGAACGGGCGTGTTGATTTTGGGCGTGGTTGAAGCAAATATGTCCTGTCTCGTCGGCATTTTTCAAACATGTTTCGAAGTTTTATCTCCAACTCTCCACATTCAATGCGGCTTTTCTCGTTAACAACTAACATATCGTTTTTTATGATGTCGAGGAATTCACAGAGAAACGTGCTGCAGTCGTGGCGAGATTGTAATTGAGAAATGTGCTGTGTCAAACATTAGGACCTATGTCTTCCAGAACCCCTGAAATACGAACTGGGGTGACTCGAGGATCCACTTACAGATGTGACTGATTGTTTGACAACATGTTGTACATCCCAAAGCCATTTTCGGCTTTTAAAGAATTGATCCGTGTAAAAATTCTCGATCGATCTTTCGTCGCAGCGAGCCTGATTGAAATTATCGACACCCTGATATCCCAAAAATAGCCAGGTAACGAAGTCAAGGTACACGCAACCTAAACCCCAGATATCGTATCTCCGAGTAATATTGGCGTTCCCATTTCCTTCGGGTGCGTTGTATGTTAAGGGAATTTGGCCGGGTCGTAAACGATCATTCGACCTAGACCTCGCACTATGAAATATTGTTAACCCAAAGTCGGATATCTTCAGCACACCTAGCTCCGAGTCTCCTTCCTCAAACTGCAGTACGTTCTCGGGCTTAATGTCGCCGTGTCTTCCAAATGTCTTCATTCTATCCCTATCCCTTGGGCCCATTCCATCGCCGCGTAGCCGATCTCTTTTAGGGACGGTGGTGGAAATGTCGTGGATATGATGAAGCGCTGTAGCCAATCCGTAACACTGTTTGGCGAACCACAAGGCTGTTTCCGGGAGGATAGGTTTTGGATGAGCTTCCCAGAACTTGGAAAGGTTGCTTCCTTCAGCCCAAGGAAATATCAAATAATATTTTCCGTGATGGTTAAAAGCTGCCAGGACAGGTACAAGGTGATCATGTGGATTGAGCTTTTCTAGAGCCCCAAATTCCGCATCAAAGTCATCCCTACTAGGCGAATGAAGTACCTTTAGAGCGAAACCTTTGCCCTTGCCCTACCGAAAAATTAGTATCTCTTCCTCTGTGATTTGGTGTGGCATGGTGACGTACTCCTCCGAATCCGTGATGGGCGTCGTGTATTTTAACTCTCCATACGTGTGAGTGTCCGCCTGTATCATCCATTTGCCTGCACTCTGTCCAGGGTAGTACTATTTTATTTTCCAAGGGGTAGTAAAAGGGCGGCCTATCAGGTCTCCTATCGAAAAATGGGGATAGCATGCGCCATTGGTAAGTAGAAAACAGAACTTTGTCGTCACTCGTCCAGCTTTCGAAGCAACGCAACGACCCTATATCTTGGTCATTTCCAAGTCCCTTAGGAATCAACTTCAGGTTGTTTCCTATTCCGCAGCTTCGAAACGGCAAATTAGCATCGTAGATATGTGCTGCATGGAAGTTCTTGATCAAATTTTGTTTCCCCATCAACACGAGAATTGCGAATATCTGTCTTCCTATCTTAGTCGCATCGCTCCTTTTGTTCCCACAGATGTATTCCACTAAACAGTCAAGTTCCTGCCCAGAATAAAAATTTCTCAGTTCTCTTTTAACCTTCGCATGGCTTATTATTTCCTCCTGGGCATCTAGTGGGATGAAAACCTCATTATCTTCACCGTTTCCTTTAGGTGCTATTCTAGAATGAGAATCTAGAAGCGTTCGGATTTCGCCGTGTACTTCTACAGGGTTATTATTACTCCCACCGGAAATGCCTAAGAGGAGATCTGCGGAGTCGGAGTCATGACCTTGAGTGGAGGTATCCGGTTGAGACAAAGTTGAGTGTTCCCATCGCAGTTCTCTTCCTAAATCTTGGACTACACTACTTCGTTCGGAGTATCTTTCTTTCCGTGTAGCTTCAACCGTCTCAACAGATGTGATGGTTATCTCCGGTGGCGCATTGCCGCGAATGGCCGCGAGGTGGTGGTTTGGTGCTAGCTGAGATCGGGGCGCAATAGGGTATTGTCCGGACAGATCAAGCTATTCCACAAGATTCTTATCAGCCTTGGTTGTGTTTTACGCCTTAACAACAATTGACATACGTTCGTTGGTGCAGTTTCAAATTGGGCCGACATCGTGAAAGTCAGAGTGGGTGCATGTGTACTGAATTGGCCACTAGCGGACGTAATTATCAGGCTCGATGCTCTCATTAGACTTAATTCAGGCAATGAAAAGTTCTGCTGCTCTTCTAGATTATATAGGGACTCCCGATAATTCGCGGAAACCGGAGAGCTAAGCACGCAACCAAGCATCGCGAAGTCCGGGTTCAACTGCACGAAAGATAATTGTTAAACATAGTTGGCCAGGACCTTCTGCCGAAGCGGAAATTGTGGTGGCAGTGTTGTATTATTGCTGCAGCAACCTTCTAGAATAAGACAAGCTGCTGCGGCTGAATTGGTGTCAAAGCGGTGTGGAAATCCATAAATCCCGCTGATGATAGGATGTCATGCAGGCTGTAAGTCAGATCTCCTACCCTGCCAGCCTACCTCCAAGATCATCCTCCAGTGTTCGGCGGTGTAAAGACCTAACCGCGAACGTGACAAAACATCGCCAGCCTTATCTATGACTGAAAGTACTCATATGGGATGATTCAACTTTGCCCGTCTATTTCACTCCAGAATGAATCACACGAGGCTCTACCAGTTGCCTTGATACACCATTCGGTACCAAATTCCCGTCAATACGAAAAGGTGTAGTGGCTCCCCGCATGATTGGATAAATCCCACTGTAACTATACGATGGCTTATATGAGACTAGTTAGTGATACATTGGACGGCAAGAATGCAATACTTAGGTCATGCATGTAGGAGCAAGCAGCCTATTAGGGCATATGATACCTTTGGGGGCCGGTTGGGGCCGCATGCCACATAAGTAGAATATCTGCTGTCACAGAGGATCTCCAGTTTTGCCGCATCTTCACACCATCCTGTTTGATGTCTAGTGTTGGAAATTTGGCAGCTACCAACCGCCTCAATTATTTATTTAAAATCATCACTTATACTTAAGTTAAGCTATAAGCGACATGCTCAAGAAAGGATTGACAAGATGGCGACGACCTAGCAACAGTCAATCTACAGAAACAAAAATCGCGCCTGGTACATATGTCGACTTAGATGTAATGAAAGAGTTCCTCAACGAGGAATTTGGGAATGATTACCGGGTACAGGTCAGGATTCACTCACTATTTATAAGCGAAAGATATAACTAATACAGGCCATAGATTCGATACAATCAATGTACCATAAAAACAGCACGGCCATTGTCCAACGATGACATACGCCAGTTTTCAAGGCCTCATATTGACATGCGAAACCAGGGCGTAAAGGGGTACTGAGATGCGAAATTAACGCACGGTGATAAATCATAGGGTATCCGGCGTCGAAGGACTTTAGGACAGGTTTGATTTTTGGGGACATAGATTCAATAACGAATGAACGATTTGTGAATGAGCCCTAATCGGTTTATATTCGTGAACGCTCGTGAAGCCCCGAACAAGCAGAGCAGCGTAATTAAATTTGCCTTGAATACATGAAATAACAAATTCAACAGTGAACGGATATCCTGTCTTCCCACCATAACAAGATATTTCTTCCCATATAACCTTCCATTACACTTTGATAGGGCACAGAACTCCTCCCCAATTGCCTCCAGCGTCTCAATTCTACCCTCCACCTGGGGTAGGATGTCTCATAGTTCGACATACTATTGAAATTCCTCAACCTTCTTGCTTATTTACTCTTAAGGTGAAACCATCACTCAATCGCAATAGTAATAATCGAATCCAAATTATGAATGTTAAGCCCCCCAAAGACCCCCTACTAGGTACGCCCCCCCACGTTCGTGAAGATCCGGCTAGGAGGGTGAGCAGTCGTCTGCTCTGTCCAAGGTCCTCTTCTACTCGCCAGTTGGGAACTTTGATTTTGGCGCCATTTTAGCCCGATTATCCGTGGTAGGCTCGCTATCATGGGTTTCACGGACGGCGTGGGCGCGACGGGCGTCGGGGGGGTATAATTACTCGGGATACGAGGCACTGGCGGTGACTGCTGCCCGAATCGCCCCAAGCCCCCGTCAAAGGCGTCCTGAGGCCAGTACATCGAGAGATACACATGGCAGGAACTGGACTGGCCCTGTAGCCAGAGGGGAAAGCCCCGTAGCCACCCTTGAGCGTCACTCTCGCATGGAAGTATGAGAGCCAAACCACCTGGGCTCATGTCGAATATTGTCGAACCCGGGGCCTCAATCACTATTCTCTGCCCATCCTGTCTCCATCCGGATTTTGCTGCTATTTTGCTAGAATAAGACGTAGCGACGCCTTTATTATAAAAATAAATCGTAAGACATAACTTGAAAGGCGTAGGACTTGTTGATATTTGGAAGCTTCTGATTAGACTGTTAAGGCTACCCATGGTGCTAACCCTTTGACTCGCTTGGCTTGGCTTGCTTTAGGTCAGGTACCTATGTAGGGAGTTTAGTTTGCTTCCGACATGTAGTTGATTCCGGGCTGGATTTCTCGACTCTTTTAAAGAAAGGGTAGAAACACTCTACTGACGCGGGGACATACGAGGGGACCGGTCTCCAAGATTATACACTGCCTCTGTGGCAATGGTGGCAAATAATCCTATTGATCGCAATATGGTGTCGTATAGAGCCTGCTCTATGCCACACTGCAAGACGGGACCAATCACAGGCGAATGCTACCATCTACTGTAACCTGTGCTTGTCTCAAAGTGCCCAGGGAATGATTGGGCAGTATAAAGCAACGAGTCGCTCCCTACGGCTTAAAGTCGACTTACCTTACCATTTCAAAATGAAAGATTGAATGACGCAACTATGGTTAGGGACGCAAGCCTTGAGTCTGTTTTGCCCTTTCAAGGGGTAAACATGGATGAGGGTATAGATTGTAAGGCTATCTATGGTGTCGTGATGATTGAAGCACCGTTAATTTTTTCTAATAGCCATCCAACTTGATTTTAAAAACCCATTGCCTTGGGTAATGACTCGGCACCGTCTGAATATCATCAAGTGTCTCAGCTGTGGACCTCGAGGTGACGCCAATGAAGCGCGCCAAATGCGCGAGATTGGAGATCGACACTTTCGAATACATCTTGTCGAGCTACATCGAATGCGCTTGAGGACACTTCAGTGCAAGCTCGTGGGACATTCAGTGAACATGCGGTTCAAAAATGGCGAAAACGTGGCTGGATGGGAGAAGGACCTGAAGGAGTACGGCAAGTAACAACCTCGCGTCACCTTTTCCCACCCTTCTTCCTCTTCTTGGGTGGGGACAGGGCCAGGAAGGCTTCCTTCGTCGTTCACTTCTAACTTGTGTTCTTGTAGTGGAAGCATTGCGGGATTATGATTATATACAAGAATGTGCCCAAAGAGATCGAGACCCATTCTACGTCACCGCAGAAAGAATTACTGATGACGAAATCATGCAAGCTGCAATAGAGCATATAAACCTAGGACTGTTCAACCCACTCAACGACTGCCGCCCAATCGAAAAATGGGAAACTGTGAATACACCAATTGGAGGGACGCGAGGCGAGCATATAAAGAGGACTTGGCTGGGAAAGTTCATATGGCGTCTAATATTCGCAATATTTGGGAGCGGATTCCTTATCGGGCCAATGTGGTTAATGGTTCTACATAATTCTCGGATCATCTGCTTGGCATCAACAACAGGGTTCGTCGCTTTATTCGGCTTCATCATGGCGATGTTGCTGGAGAAGAATATTGACGTCCTTTCTTCTACATCTGCCTACGCCGCCGTGTTGGTCGTTTTCGTTGGACTGGCTGTTCAACAATAGTGAGTATCATCTCGTAACATAAAAGCGATCTACTAGAACAATATGAGGTTCCCTACATACTCAAATACCTACGATTAACTCTAAGGACACCTTGAGACGGGTAGTATAGGAATTTACAAGGCACATTCTCAGATACAAGCACTACAACAACGAAATCAAGCATATAATATCAATGCAACATCAAACCAATACTATAAGATCCAGGGGTTTGTCATGAATCAATTCGTATCTATGTTGCAATAGGATCATTAAAGGCGACGCACTTTATGTGTCAGTCTCTCCACACCTCCAGCTAAGCCGAACATAATAATCCGGCGCAAATAAAATGGGACAAAGAGAGGTAAGCTAATACATAGCAAATTTGGATGTAGGAAGCGGACGCATCGTCTCATGTTAAACAACGTAAGCCCCTCCAACTCCTAAACCTAGACAAAGATATCTCGCGACTCGCCCTTTGCCACTACCGGATGAATGCAATGTATCAAGCAACGATGGTCCACACTAGATAAAGAAACCGCAACGCCATTTCCGAGTTCGTGTCCTGCTTAGCATCTGCGGGAGTCTTACGACAAACGCATCAAACTAGGGCTAGGTTATAATCCCCAAGAATAGACGATGTCTATTAGAGTACAGGTGCGGTCGAAACCATAAAGGTGAACGCCGCGGCACCTCCGAGAGCCACGCAAGCCGCCGCCTGGGCGAAACGGCGCCTCTTCGATGGTTGAAAGTCGTATGGTCGCGTAGGAATAGACGCCGGTCTCGACTCCATATGACCTAGTTGCTGGGTCTTGGGGTGGGGTGTGCCATTCGATTCACTATTAACTGTGGAGGCGTGTTGGTATTTGTCTACCGAGTTGGGCTTAGACTCTTCGACGACGTCGTCCCTTCCTGTTGGGGCGTTCTCGTCGCTGAAGGCGTCCATAAAAGAGCGCTTTGCTCGAGCTTTATCGGGAGACGGGATTCCCTCATCGCTTGGTGGGGCTTGTGAAAAGTGGACCACCATAGGTGGTGGCATGGCGCACGATTCTCGTGTAAGTAAATCTTCAATTCTAACCTGCTTAGGTTGCTGGCCGACGGTGCTCTCTGTTGTCGTCTTGCTTTGTTGGTAACTGTATGCGCTAGTCATGTCAAATCCCGGGCTTTGGGCCCGATCAAAAAACGCAGAGGGAAGATCCTCGCTACGAGGGTTGTTAATAAATCTTTCTCCCGAGGCTGACCATGGTTCACAAGGTGGGGCTGGAATTGGATGCCACGTTGAATCTGCGACGGAGGCGTTGTCTTGAACATCAGTTGGAGCATTGTCATGCATATTGTCGGAATTCCCGGGAGCTGCGCTGGTATTTTGGGTGGTCTCTTCAGCTGGTGCCATTGAGACGTCTTCTACTTGAGGTCTATGCATATCGACGTCTGAATGGTGATTTGCTTCGTCATGGGCAACGGGTTTCTCAGGATTGTCGCTTAAGGTTTCTCGAATCGCAGAGATAGGTGGCGGAGAAAATTGTGTTAGGCTCGTACGGTTGCTCTCTCTAGCAGCGAAGAATTCCCATTTACCTGATTTCTCGCCGAGGGCTTGGGCCCTGGAATCGCTCGGCGATCGATCGAGGACAGGGCAGCTCTTGAACATTGCAGCGTCCGAAGGACTGGGATCTCTAGGTTGGGCCTGAATAGCTGGTGTATCATATTGCAAAGGCGCTGTAAACAAGAACGGCGTGACGAAAGGTCGCTTAAGGTCAGAGGTCTCAGATGGCGTGTCCTTGCAGAGTCCGTTCAAAGTTGGGGGATTAAGTTCGTTAGGAGAGGAGTAGAGAGATGATTCAGGTGCTGGCGAGTTCGAACCTGAAAGAATATCCTCTACTTCGTCACTTGATGAACTGGCATCGTCTGGGTAGGGTAGGTCATCAATGCCTACAACAAGGTCCCCTTCGTTAATTTTCTGCCAGTATGGAATAGCGTAGAAAGGTAACTCACCCGCGTCTTCTTCCTCACTGTCAGAATTGAAAGGGCTAGAGTCGAGACCATAATCTATAGACCTGTCCTCATCCTCATCTACATCCTCGCTCTCCTCACCCGCGTCATCATCCATATCGGAATTCCGGGTGTTGACTGACTCATCATCTGAATCCGAAAGTCGAATGTCATCTTCATATAGATGGGGGTCAAGATCTTGAGCCCATGAGTGGTCACGTTCACCACTAAAGCCCATGCTCTTTTGTGAGGGAGCCGCCTCCGCCGGAATGTCTGATCCGCTAGCAGCAAGGATAGTGGCTGGGGCGGGGACGGGTTGAACAGTTTCTGGTAGAGAGACAGAGGAGTGACGAGTCCTCACTCTGTCTGGTTCAGGGTCCGAATGTTCACCAGGCTCAGATGTTAGATCAATCACATCAGAACTGACGACGTTGCCAACTGTGGCGCTAGAAGGGTAATGATTTCCATTAACAGAATCACGCTCATCTTGGGTCAAATCAATAGAAGCGCCTCGCTGAATGTCGGCAATATGCGAAATTGGTATAGTAGTTTCGACAACACTGTCATCATCCTCGTCTTCTTCGTCATCGTCGTCATCTGGGACAGTAAAGACTCGGTTGGTAGACTGGTCAATACTCGATATGTGCCTGTCGTCGGATATTAGTCCTGTCAAACCAGGGAAACGCCGGACGTACGACGGTGGCTCTGGTCCTGTCATGTAGAATTCGACAGAGCAGGGAGGATATGTTTCAGAAGTCCTGAAGATGTCGACGCCGAAACGAATAGTATCACCATTTGACAACTGAACAGGTTTGCCTTGCTCTAGTCTCGATTCGTTCCTCATCCCGTCATAAGGTGTATAATAAGTGCCGTGAAGGGATCCGATGTCTTTGATAAATACAACCTAGACCGTATAATCAGCATACATGTATTGAAGGCTAGCCTTGGCATGGTAGGTTTGGGGTCAGCTTACTTTGGAGTCGTTTTCGGAGGCGAGAAAGAGCTCAGCGTGTTGTCGTGACATAACAGGACTGTCAAACCAGGCGTTATCGGCTGCTGCCACGAATCCCTTCGTAGGTACCTTCGACGCTCGGCCGATTCGGACAACTGGGGTTCGATTACTGAGGAGAAATTGGCGCCTTGGAATGGTGGGTATCTCCAAACCCTGGGGATGGGAGACTAAATTGACGATGACAACTGGATAAGATGATATATATTAGCACAAGCGTTGCGAAATACGTTGCGTGTTTGTATCCGTACCTTCTTCGTCATTTCGGTTTGGTGCGTCTACGGTGGTATCGGTTGTCTCCATTTCGTCCGGTTTGACTGGTCGGCAACAGAGCAGGTAGCCGAGCCTTGAGGGTGTTGCTGGGATACCCTTGGCTCCTGGGAGATGCAGCACAAATAGTCGAAATGGTAGTTGTTCTGGAAGGGGCCGTGTTAACGCATGAAGAAGTCGTCGTCGAGAGTGATAGAGAAGATGGAGGGGTATAAGATGTTGAAGAAGATAATAATCCGTAAATGGGGAGGGGAGAGGCGAGAAGAAGTAGGAGTGGGGGAAAGGGAAGTGTATCAGCTTAGGCAGGTAGCAGGTAGTGGAGCATTCCTCAAGGTCGTAAGGTTTTAGGGCGTTAGAAGCCCAAGAACGGTACAAGCGCTCGGTTTAGTAGTTGCGAGGGCGTAGAAGGTCGTACCTGGTTGGCTGTTGGTACATGTAATGCTCGATGTTCAATGCTCCTACCTGTTAATTCACCATCTATGCTGACACGTCGGTACGCAGGGTAGGTGCGGTCGGGCGGGGCAGAAGGAAAGTGCAATAACGGATATGATGTACCTACCTATTGCACCAGAAGATACTAACCACATGCACCTGGGCAGTTGACGGTTAGCATCATATAATTTAAGGTTGCGAAAACGGACTTTTAGAGTTAGCGACCATTCAAGGCACCAAAACGTCGTTTTGAAAGCAAAGATAGAGTAGCTGAGAAGTGATCTTTGAAAATATAAAGCTAGAGTGCTGTCATTTGAATTTAATCCATCTAGAGAAACGTTAGGCAGAAGAGGTAGAAGAGGAGCTAGGACAAATGTTAAGAGCCTAGCAGTTTGGTAAGCTGGGGAATTATACACTATCCGCGCTAGCGTAGAGTCAGAGCGGGTCGCGATAGTACCTAGGCGACCTGAACGGCTTGATTTGGAAATACTTTATCAAACATTGTAATCTCCACCTCTTCACGAATCCTTGCACTGTGGTAAGGCTGAGTTTCTTTATATTCCGATGTAATTGAATTTTTTTTTTCTACCAAAGCACTTTTAGTGTTTTATGTTGTCACAAGGCTATTGTAATATTTCGAATGCGTTCAAAAATTGAAAAGTATTCATCTATGTAATCCTGTTGAGGCACCTAACATTCACGACAAAGGTTACAAGGTCTCAGCTGGTGGGGTTGAATAGGTATCGGTATTGGTGGGATGGCGGGGTTAGCAAAGACGTAATCGCAATTATGTACCTAGGTATTTCCTATATACCTGCTAGCGTAAGTGACCACTACATGTACCTACACGTCCTACTGTGCTCAATCAAGTAAGATTATAAAATTTCGAGGTGAGTAACATTATCACAGTTTGTATTACTTGAAGTTTGACAAACAGAGGTGGCTAAGAGAAAAAAAAAGAGCTCTCAAAATCTATTCGATATCAATAGATACCTAGGCACTAGCTATGATTTAATAGGGTATGGGAATGCTACGTGGATAATAGATACATTTCTTTATTCTCATAAGAACAGGGCAAGAGGCTAAATTGTCCAACCAATTATATTCAGTTCATCAAGACAATAAGATACATTCATGTACATAAGCCCAGCCATATTATGTATCTACACCCAATGTATGAGCAGATGACAAGAAATCATGGGTATCAATAGAGTACATTCATATTGAGGAATTGGATTAATGCTCTTATCAACTCCACCGAGATTCGATTGGGGTACTTTATCGTTACTTGCTTTTTCACGTTACCATTTATGTGGGGAATATTAAAGTGCCCCCGCATTAGATGTTCATTCATATGACGAGTTGATAGTTTTACAGTGCAGCAGGGTTAGATTTTGCTACCAGATGACGCGCCTGCCTACCTCTCTGCCTATATTTTGCCTCCACGCTAAAATGCTTGCATTTCGCATCTGCTTAAATAAGAAACCTCGAGATTCCTGCCCTCCAATTTCACCCATACACCTATCTCCGATTAAGCGCCTACACGTATTCGCCATTTTCGATAAATAAACCCTGGTGCGCATACGAAATTCTTACCTTTACCTACCTAGTCATACCGCCTATTTCCGCACAATCCGAACACATTCCATTGTTCGTAAGAACAAGAACAACGTGACAGGCTACTACAATATTAGTTGTTCTTGAATAACACAAAGGTTTTCTCTAAGACCTTACTAATTAAATACACACATATCTCGAGACTCCAAACCATCCTCATGGAATTCAAGTCGCAAACTATTCAGTCCTCATTTAACTATTTTCATACGAAGAAATTCAAGACTTGATACGATAAAGGTCCTACCAACCCTACTAAACTAGTGGGCGACGACTTGACACGAAAAATCAACACCTTTTAATACTTTCGGTATATTTTATATTAGATTACATCGAAAATGCACGATTTACGAAAGAAGATCTTCGAGAGCGGCAAGACCGTTTCCAAAAAGGCGCGCTCGAGGCAACAGTCGGCGCAAGCTTCTCCTGCTAGTTCGCGCGGCGGTTCGCGCGCTACGAGTCGACAAGCTTCCGAGGACGAAGATTCGAGCGATTACGATTATGAAGATAGTTTAGCGAGTTCCATCATTACCGAAGATGGCGACGAAACGGGACCGACGCCGCCGTCAGAACTCCTGCACAACAATATCGTGGACCTACTAGATCAAAAGCGCGACAGCGGGCAAGATCGAGAAGTCAAGTTGACGGCTTACACGGAACTAATTCGACATCACCCTGACGCCGAGGAAATTGAGGGACAGATGAATGAACTCATTCCGATGCTATTAAAGAGTGCGCGCGGTCGCAGAACCCCACAAGGCACCCTTTGGGCTCTGAAAGCACTTATGGTAACCATTCTCACAACTGGGGCCGAGAACATCCACGATCGCGTATACCCGACTTTGAAGACCGTTTGCCAAGACTCTGACTACGAAGAAGGGTTCACCTCGGCGATTAAAATAGCAGCTATTAAAGCTATGGGTATCTCAACGATGTGTGGAGGGGGTTCGGCAACTGCTGCCGAGGAGCTTCTAGATTTCCTTATCGATATTATTGCGAGTGATGGACACCTTATCGACGCCGCTGATGATGGGCCAGTAGTTGCAGCAGCGCTAAGCACATGGGGTTTCGTCGCAAGTGGTCTTGACGATCTAGAAGAACAGAGCACACAGGCACTAGAAGCCTTCACAGAGCAGCTTGAGAGTGCCGATGTAGACGTCCAAGTCGCAGCCGGTTCAAATATTGCCTTAGTTCTAGAAGCCGCTCGCGAATTTGAAGAAGAGACTGGAGATTCCTGGAACATGCGATATGATGAGGAAGGGCTTCTTCGACGATTGAATACGCTTACGAGGGAGTCTTCAAAGTCGATATCGAAGCGGGACAAGAAGCAGCTCCATGCTAGCTTTAAGAGTGTTGTAACTTCTCTTGAGCATGGCAAAGGTCCTGGTTACTCGACCGCACGCCGTTTTGCCAGTAATCCCCATACAGGCGGCAATAAGGCAGACTTTAATGAAGATTTCCAAGAGTACGGATATCGACAAAAGCTGCGAATTCAGAACATCAGCATTGTCATCGATACTTGGTCTCTAGCAGCCCGAGTGGGAATGCTGAAGTCTATCCTCGGAGGTGGCCTCGCTAGTCACTATCTGAACAACCCAGTGGTGAGAGATTTGTTGAGTGGCGCTAGAACCGAGTATCTCTCAGCTCCACCCAAGGAGAAGTCAGGAAGGACTGGTTACGGAAAGAAGTCACAAAGGGGCGTTTCCGATTAAACATTTTGAGACATCGTTTCATTTCATTACAATCACTACCTAGGTACTTCCACATATTGGTAGACCCAAAGATTTCCGATTAACGAGGTTTTCTGGTTTCTTTTTCTTTTGTTGGTGCGGTAAGCCGCTACAGAAAGATACCCATGTATTTATAACAAGACGGGTAGGGACTGCGTTAGGTTTTGCATCGTTATTAGGTATTAGGTATTATGCATTAGATACCTAGAGTGCGACTCAGAAAGAGGCCATTAGATTAGGTACAGCATCAATGATATATCCCCTTCATCTCATCGCAAATCGTGTTTTCTCGAGTTGAAATGAATTCACTTTTCGGAATACCCAAATGGGGATGGATGACTTATGTGACATTCACGCGGCTACTTGCATGTTTTGTGTTACCCTCCTTTGCCCCTGTGTGAGATGAGCCATTCAAAAGTCCATTGTTGAGATTTCGTATGTGGTCCCTTGATGTTGCATGTATACACGTCGACGAATATTCGGCTTTGGTCCCATGCGAATGTGCGGTGCTAAGATATTTTGTTGAGATTTTGCCCTTTTACCCTTGAGTTGCGCTCTCCAGCCGAATCGTTTAAATCGTGATTATTATATCCTACTTCTCGTTGAATGCTAGTTCCTTGCATGCCAAGAAGGAGAACTGCATACATATCGCAAGACAGCCGACGGAAGACACAGGGTGCATTTTCGGTTTGCTGGATGGATGATGCTTGGACCAGACGGTTGAACTCCGAAGGTCACGCTTAAAAATGATATGATCCGAGAGGCCGCCAACAAAAAACTCAGCCCCGGACCTAGCGGGATGAGACATACGTCTATTCGCCACTGAAACCGGAAATCATTATAATGCATAGATATTGAGAAAGGTATTGCTAAGCTACAAGCGTGACTATAAAAATGAAAGTCGTATCATAACGAATGGCTGTGGAGATGCCGAATCCTACTGTTGGAAGTCTAGACGCGATATCTATGGCCCCTTTTCGATTGTTTAGAGCTTTAAATCGAAAATAATCCGCGAGGATAGCGACTGGATAGATGCGGAATCGCCCTGTAGTATATGCACGAATTGTAGGTAGCGCGAGCTCCACGGAGTCGTATTACATGAGTTTCGACGCAGATCGGATGGCAGCGTGATTGTGCATTAGGCGTTGTGATTAGCTTGGATTATAACGCTTTTGCGTCTCTCAATGGAATTAATACTACGCTATAGATATACGGAGTTATTCCGTCACGCTCTATTCCGGCTTAGCAATGAAGTAATGTATGTCAGTGTAGGATTGAGGAGGAGTACTAATAAGTCGGTGAAGGTAGAGCCTCCCGTAGGCTCGTTACAATCACGATATGATCGTCACCCCATATGGGGGCAAAAAACAAGATAGATTATGTACCTACAGAGAGCATGTTTGGCAGCTTGTTAAACCAATTTGTTCGCTCTTTGGTTTGTCTAGTGGATATATAACTGGACCTGGCTGAAGCTTTGCCGAGGTGATTGTTGGCTAAGGTCTTGGTCTGAGCAGGACTTGGATCCAGTTGGACCGCACATCACATCGTCTCCGGGTGCAAACTAGTATTGAAGACCTAGATCGTCGCCCAGCCAGCCGACCTAAAACGGTGCAAGTGCCACTTTGCGGGACTTGTTCTTGTCCCATGAGACGAAGCATCTGGGTCAAATGTAAATAATCATAATAATCCATCTTTGTAATAAAATAGGTAGGTTGAAGAGGAAAAAGAAGAAATGAGCGAATTGGGCAGCAAACGGAACCAGGTCGTTGGTAAATAATTAACTACCTAGTATCTAAGTACTTTGGCTTTACCAACCTCCCCTAATACTATAGAGTGGATTGAATTATACAACTTCGGGTAACTACCTCTTTAGATAGTAAACGTCTTATTAACTTGCGCTCATATCAAGTTGTATAATAAATGAATTGAATTTAAGGAACGAATAAAAGTTCTTACATATGTATTCCAAGGTTCGCACCTACAGTGCTTGCATAAAAGTATGATAAATGAACAGGTGAGGTAACACCTTGGGGAAGGAAGTCCATGTGCGTTGTATCTTGAAGTCTCTTAGGGCAGTCCCGACCTTCCTGCCTCCTTGTCATTGCAGCCGGACCGTCCCTGTCAGCTTTCGATCAGAAGTGATTTCTGTCTTCTTATTGGTCAAATCCTTTAAGCAACGCCAACGCATCAACTCCTACCCCAGCAAATTTCCCTTAAGCTATTCCTCCCTCCCGCGCAACCTTACCTCACAATAATAACAAAGCCTCATAAGCCTATTATCGCCCAATATTTCTCCCTTCTATCTAACTTACCCCACGACTCGTCCATTCCCCTCTACCGCCAAATCGAGGAGGGAGACTCGAGGGTCTGCGCTCGACGGACGACAACTTCTGGTTGCTCCAGAAGAAACAAGCACGATCTAATACATACATGCGTATGTTACGTACGTATACAATTGTATTGGTCGAGGGACGAATTTGATACGCATCTTGATGCAAGCAAGAAAAAGGGTAGGCGCTGATTGATCTCGCCTACCAACCCAGCCCAACCCACTATCTTAGCTCTCTCACCTGGGCTGTTCGAGGTGGCCAAGACGAGGGACAAGGGGAAAGAAAAAAAATTACGAACCAAAATTCGAAGTGCACACAGACATATCCAAACCTGTCGCAATTACGGCGTTGTATATTTTCCTATTTAATAATGTAAGTAGTATTATTTATCAGCCTCTTTATTTTATAAGATTTGATGCTTTTCATTATTTACCTATTCCTTAACATAAAAAATAATTGCTGCTGCTTTTTTTCTCCTCTCTTATGGACGTATTCGTATAAGCGCGGGTTTGGTAGCTTGGTGGTTCCAAGGTTGTGTTGCCGACCCGGCGCAATTGAGGGGGCTGGGGTTGTGATAATCTCCATCTGAGGGAAAGAAACCCTGAAGAGCTCTGGAAGCTTTCCCCTTCACAACCTTTTTCCTCATTATTACCAACCTCGGACAAAACGCAAATAATTATTAGTTTTTTCGCATGTTTTTTTTTTTGGTGTTCCTAATACCCATTTCATAATTTTATCCTTTTTATTTCTTCTTCCGTTGAGACATTTTCAATTAATAGACATTATCGTCGTCGTTCGTCTTTCGACTTCGTTACCTTATCGACTTGTTTTGCGGGTCTTGCCATTGTTTTGGTCATCTGTTGATTCTCACATCTTACCTAGTTTTCCCACCTTCTCCTCACCTCACTATACTCTAATCGACCTCCGACCTCCGCGCGAATCATTCGGCCGTATTAGTCCTTGATTCCTTGTTGGCGTCCAAACTTCTCCCACTTTTCCTACAAAACTGGTACTCTTCACCGCTTAACCACTCGCTGGAGACAATACCACGAAACAGCGAGAGGATTGGCTAGGGAGGGAGCGGCCAATCAAGTAGAGGCGTGGCCGCATATCTTGACAACTGGACGCACCCTCGGGCAGCAAGATGGGAGTCGACCCGAGAAACCCTCCCCCGTTACCCGCTCCGACCGAAACCGAATCCCTTACCGCTCCCACCGAAGTCGCCGCATCCGATGTTTCTAAACCTGCCGACGACGACAGATCCCATTATTCCCTCCCAGACGACGGAACACCTGTTACCATCAAGACCCGCGGCCATAGGCCTAACCGCTCGCAAACTTCCCTCTTGATTGAATATTTCGAAGGCGGCAAAAGTAGTACTTCTGCTGGCTCGGCTTCTACTGAGCGCAAACCTAGCGTTCGTGTACGCCTAACTCCCTCTAAAACTCGAGGGAGAAACGACCACATTCAGATCACCGAGACTAAAAGTACAAGACGAAGGTCTCAATCGAGGAAAGCAAGCGGAAGCCCCAACGTCACTCGAAGTGAATTAGATATGACGGACCCAGAAGACGCGAGGAGTATGCACTCCTACGCTTCTGCTACCGAAGAGTCCAATGTCTCTCGCAACCCTATTGAGGTTGAGATTGACCCAAGAAGCCACCATCGTCGTCGGAAGGTATCAAGCCCGTTGATACCTGCTACAGATAGCAAGGCCTCGACGTACCAGCCGCCGAACATGTCCGATATTTCGGCCATCCCTAGTGATAGTTTCCTTGATGGCTCTGGTGGCAACTCACTCGCGTTTAATGAGAAGCGTGCTCGAAGTCCAGTGCGCAACGAACCTGTCCTGACTGCTGCCGCTAGCGAGAAGGTGAACCGAAAAGTCAGAAGCTCGAGTCATGATCGAAGTGTCATGCAAAAGGCGGTTGAGAAGGCAAGTAAGCCTGAAAGAAGACATAAGTCGAAGAGTAGAGCAGGGTCTGGAGAAAAAGATGAAAGACGCAGGTCTAAAGGAAGTAATAAGGAATCTGTTGTCTCAGCCGCCGACTCCAGCAATTTATCATCACAACTAACACCCAGCCACCACTCATATAATTCACATTCCTCCTCTAAAGTATCCATTAATAATCCGAAACTACTTGAAACTGTCGAAGACGCCATCCGACGACTTATCCTACCAGAGCTAGATGCTATTAAAAGAGAACGAAGCCAACGAGACTCACGAAGGCCTAAAGATCGAGAGTCATTATCGAGTCTCACATCAGCGTCTCGCGAAGAAATTTCCCTGTCAAGCAAGAGGAAATCCGCTGAAACAACCCAGTCCACCAAATCAAAGGACAGACGGGATCGAGAAGCCAGAAATGACCTCTCACCTCAGAGTAGCATTGAGCACGTTTCTGTTGTGGAAGACGTGGAAGATGACGATCTCACGCCACGTCGCAATCGTGACATCCTTGCCGACGCTGCCTTAGGTGCCGCAGTTGCTGGTGCCACCCTACGATCTAGGTCTAGAGGTGATGAAAAGAGGCAACGAAGGAGGAGGCGAGCAGAAACGCCGAAACGTGATAATGGCGAAAGACACGCTGATGACTACGAGGAAGTTGAGCAAGAAGTGGTACCGCCAATGCCTCTCCAGAGTGAAATCAACCCATCCGATATGACCCGAACTTCTATACTATCAGCAGACACGGATAGACCTCATTCCGCGACTGAGGAGATGACACCCGTCAGGGAAGTCAGAAGAGGTATCCCATCGATGGAATCCCTCCAGAGAACTCCATCCCCGTCGAGGTCGCCGACACACACAATCCAAGGTTTGGGTACTCAACATGCCAACGTCTCCCATGGCGATCTCAAAGCACTTCCCCGAAAAGGAATGTCCGAATATTACGATCAATACGAGGACCAATACAGAGACCAGTATGCAGGGCAAGATCAAGGTGAATTCAATGACGAATTTGACGAAGCCGGTCATCTTTCCGAGCCAGGCATGTATGAGGATGAGCCGCCGTTACAATCCTTCTACGGATCGCAAGACGTCCCGGCGCCATTGCGCTATGTTCCCTATCAGCAGGAAAGGCGTGGTCTAAGCCCAATCCAGAGCGTATCAGGATTAACGGAAGGGGAAAGTGATATACACGGCTATCGAGACTCGAGGAATCTCCAAACCGCGAGCGAACTTTCGTCCCCAGAGAAGTCGGCGCTTCACGAACGAGACCTTCACTCACCGAGTTCGGTTCCTAGTAACCTCCGAAGCTGTGAATTTGTCGACGAGGGTAGCAGTGTAAGAAGCTCGGCGCTTGATTATAGAAATACAACATACACCGAAGACAGTGAATTGGACCGCGTAACTTCGGGACAAGCAGTTCATGTCGTTGGTGGAAATCCTGAAATGGTACACCAGAACTTTGCCCCCGAATCCGCGGTAGCATCTCTGGTCGAAGGTTCTCAGCTTGACCCATCTGTCTTGAGCGGTTCTACCGGTCCTCGACAAGATTACCGCGACTCACAATTGTCGTATGACGACGAAGGCGCAAGAGAAAGCGGATCAAGGGGAGTGAGCCCAGCTAAACGCTCGGTTGAGAGCCGACACGAAATAGTCGAGCAGCGACAAGAACATTCCCCGGCATCATCTAGGGAACGTGACCCATCAACCGCCTCTAGGGAGTTCTCGGAGTATGAACTCGACGAATATGGACGAAAAGTCCCCCATTCCAAGTACCGCAGCTCGCCAACCGCTTCCGAGAGCGCTATCACAAGCGTAGCTCTCCAGCGAGCCGCAGCCGCAGCGCTCAAGCGTAAGGCCGTAGGCAGTGGGCAGAACCTTAACGTTGAAGTTAATGATGGCGAATTTGTTGGCGAAGGTGTTCAACGAAATCGATCTTTCAAGGAACGAGCTAAGGATGGTTACCGCCCAGATGCCACCCCGCGTCATAGCGTCGACCGCCTTTCGGATTATGACCGGCCGAGGATGGAGGCTAGCGGCCTTCCAGACTTATCTAATCCCATGCCAGAAATTGGCTATGGCTACGAGGAACAAACTCCCTCAATCGTGCAAGGACCCCTTGGCGGATCCCAACACGGAAGCAGAGAACACTGGCCAGCAGAGCCAACCCCTACCCAGGATAGGTCGTATGCTTATGACCGCGCCGTAACGCCAAAAGCAAGCAGGCAAGACAACGGCCACGGTCTTGGAATCGACGACGCAGCTGCTGCTGCCACATTTGCGACAGCAGGAGCTTTTGCTACATCACACAGCCGACAACCTAGCCAAGATCAAGATGACGAATGGCAGAGGACTTCTGGTGATCGTAAGCGAGACACACTAGTAACAAACCCTTATGAGGGTGCTAGCCCGATTGCCAACCTTCCTGGTCTAGATGGTAACATGTTGGGTGCGACTGGCTTTGGTGCAGATACCTACCGAGGCGGCTTTCACACCGGTAGCCCCGGAATAACAGGAGGCGACGAAGGCTATATCTCTGCGGCGCCGAATGATGTTCGCGATGGGCCCACTACAAAGGGTAAAGATGTTGGAATGTTAAATCAAACCAATCTCAATGATATTGTTGAGGACCCGTTCTACGCTCCGAAGGATGCGAGACATCTTGCAGGCCTTTCCCAGGCCATGGGCACACCACTATACGACCCTGCTACGGGAACCGGAATCGATAGGATCCAATCAAAGGACATCATTGCTTTGATGGAACACGTAAGTCTAACCGAAATCTGTACGGAGATGTGTGCTAATAATTATGCAGCTTATGGTTCGCGACGCTCAGCGAAGTGCTAGAGATACCGAAATTCTTGTTACGCTTGTCCGATCCGCGGCCGATATGCGCAACTCCTTCGAGGATATTAAGAGAATGCTGGCCGATAGTGAAGACCAGATTATTAATGAAGTTAAGGACAACACGGAGAAGACAGTCAAGCGTCACATAGGAGGACCTCGACCCTTCCCGGGCAGCAGCGCACGATCGATCCAAGGTGGTTCTCAAGCTGGTACAGAGGACGCACAAGTCAAGAAGCGCAACCTACTTCGAAGAGCTCTTCAAGGCCTTGGCTCTAAGGGTGCTAATGACCTCGGCAGAATAGAGGATCTACTCAACCAACTGCTGGATGATGTCAACGTTCTCAAGCACCAAACTGCCGGCCCGATCGGAATGAGCACCCGAGCCCAGTCGATTGATAACATGCAGCCGGAAATCCAGTACGAGCAGGACCGAGGCTATGAGCCCGAAGGCCATGCTGGTACTTCAACCGCCAGCCATGCAAGCCAGTCAGGACATCTATCGATACCACCTCAATCACGTGGAACGTCCAACAGATTAGGCAATGAACGCAAGTTCTCTGATCACCGCATTAGCACGGTGCCCGAAGACGAGGGCGAATACAATGATCCTTCCGCACCACCAGCAAGCCAGTACGAGATGCATGGGGGTATGTTGTCTCCCCACGAAGATAGGCCAAGAGGTGGCTCGGTGCCCTTAGGTACTCCTCCACAATCACGGGGACAAAATTACTCAATGAGTAACGAGAACACACCTAGGACAGATGAGAGCAAGAAACACAAACGAGGCTCATCCAGTTTCTTCCCTAAGATTTCCCGATGGTCCGAAACGACGACATCAAGCCTAGGACGAGTCTTCCGTAGTAGTGGTAATTCTAAGAAGCACGACCCTCCTGAGGAATTTCTCCAGCACCCTCCCTCTCGATCCGCTTCAGATCTAGGCAACTATGACCAATTCCAGCCCCCAAACGTATACGAGGGCGACAAATTACATACGGGATTTTCGGAGCAAGATCTCCGCCCAGCAACAATGGACGATAACTTGCCTGACACAGCTTCCATGCATCAACACCAAATGCAACAACAAATGCAACAGCAACAGCAACAACACACTCAACAACAAGAACAAACACCTTCTGCGCCCGCTACTTACGGCACCCCAGAAGATCCCAAGTATAAGGCTCATCGAAACTCCTTGAACCTACAGCACCCGCAACCCCGACCGTGGCGGATGGAACGCTTTGGGACGGCTTTGGAGAGCTCTGCGCAAGAGTACGACACGCCAATGTCTCCAAAGTCAGCCGACTGGGCTGGCTCAGCCACTTCTCTCACTAGATTCCCTGCCCAAAACACCAATCGATACAGTGACAACAGTGCTATGAACTCTGGTCATGGAGGTGACGACTATAACTGGCAAGAGATGACCTCGCCTAGCCCACAAGGGCCCCCACGACCCCCCAAAGAGCCGCTCGAAGGCCACTCTCCATCAATCTCGCAAACACCACCGCAACACGAAAGGGTAAATAAGCTTCAGAAGCAGAACAGCCCCCTTCCATATCACAGTGTTGAAAGCGGCTATGGCACAGCTACGGCAACGCACGCCGGTAGCTACCACTCTGGTAGCCCGAAACCAGAGAACAGAAACCTTAGTGGCGCACTAGGTGTCCCAACTAGAAGGCCTAGTGGACCTCGAGCCATGACTCCTAGCCGAGGTAGTGAGGATGGAGAGAGGGACGAGAGACGAAGGAAGAGAGGTAAGCCAAACCATAACTTAATCCTTCATTAAAAATACCCAACACTAACATGCTTCATAGATACATTTGGCACTGTGGCCAGCCCTTCGAGCGCTGTCAGCCAAGAGTCTGAGACATTTTAGGAAAAACGTGCTCAACATCTTGATATGATATTGCCCTGCTCGCCATTTTATGTTGATTTCAAAGGTTAAACGGATGACTGAATGAATGTACGGTTGACACTACACGGCTGCTGGGTAGCCGTACTTTAGATATACTAATTGCCTCTGCGGGCGTTGGGACAAGGTAATAACATCACGGCTTGGATTCTTCCCGTATAGAGGAGGGGCACAAGGAAACAGAAAAAAGGGTTCAATGGTCGTTCGCGTTTTTTTTTCTCATCGGCGAGCTTGGATTTAAAAGCACGGCATGACATGGCATGGCGATAGCATAGCATGACATGGGATACCAATGATTGCGATCGATTAGCCAGGTAACAGCAATCTGATTATTGGAACCGGAGTGATCTTTTGATCGTTCGAAAGAGGGGGAGATACCAGGTGATATCCATAGTTAAAGTAAACTACTTCTCACGATGAATTACGAATGAATTACCGAGGCTTTTGCTTAAGTCGAGTCGGTTTTGTCCGAGGTTAAATGAAATCAGAAATCTATGTTTATGTGATTATTGCAATTGCAATCCATCCAACGACATGTCTAAGTCCATCATCAAGATCATATTCCCTTCCTATTTCCATAGTTTTGTCCAAATGTGCGATAGGAACCCTCTGTGACGTGGAAATCTGAAATTGGTATCCGGGGATAAACTCTAGGACGGTGTTAGGGGCACATGCACCCTGGCTACCATACCTGTCGATATGACGTAGAAGACCGTTAGTCGCTAAATATTACACATTGTAATATGAAGTTCGAACACGTCTCGCAAGCCCACGTGTTGCATGATTTAAGGACTTAAGAATGGCATTACCATTTGTAGCATCCCCGGTTGTGACGGCCCCTAATCTTAGGGGACTACCAGATATTTATTGCTACAGCCGTTTAAGTCCGGGTTATGTAACCGGAAACTTCAGCTCCTGCTCCGGCGGGATCGAAGAGCAGTCCTACGGAATTCGGCACTCTCTATGCCGTCTAGTTTCGAAATAGTAACGTTTGGGGTGGTGTAGATGTCTGGGGTGGTCGTCGTATGCTATTAGCAAGTACTAGAGGTGATATCTCGATTGGTGTTGATGGTGTATATAAATCGACCACCCCCTAGGTTCAACTCGAGTAACACATTCTCCACAGGTCTAAAGCATACCTAGCAAACAATACAACTTGTTTAGAGCATTCAACTTACCCCGCTACTGTTTAATCAGAGCTCTACTTCTATACTCACTCTTGACTACTAAATCTTAAACATGTCTACCAACCACAGCTTCTGGCAAGACAAAGTCGGCGTCAAAGGCGCTATTCGCGATTGTCCTATTCCTACCGAACTCGCAGATGATGAAATTCTCATCAAAGTACGTGCCTGGGGCATGAACCCCGTCGACGCTTTTATCCAAGAAGTCGCTCTGCCCTTCTTCTCATACCCTATGATCCCAGGCGAAGACATCGCCGGCACCGTCGAGCGGGTAGGATCAGGCACCGCCTCCCAGAAATTCAAAGTTGGCGATCGTGTGCTAGGCTACGCTATGGGGTCTTCATCCTTTGGCAAACAGGAGCGTGGCGGATTCCAGGAGTACGTCGTCGTCGACCAGAATCTCGCGGCTAAGATCCCGGATTCGGTGTCCTTTGGCGAGGCCTCGGTGTTCCCGCTTTGTATGGCGACGGCGGGGCATGCGCTGTTCTCTAAGGAGTATCTTGGTTTGCCGTTTCCTAAGGTTGGCGGTGCGCCGGAGGCGGGGAAGAGAGTGCTTATTTGGGGTGGTGCTTCGGGGGTTGGGAGTAATGCTATTCAGATGGCGAAGGCGGCTGGTTTTGAGGTGCTGACGACGTGTTCGGCGCGGAACTTTGAGTATGTGAAGAGTCTTGGTGCGGATAAAGTATTCGATTATACTAGTGCTACGGTCGTCGACGATCTTGTTGCGGAACTAGATCAGGGTAGTGAGTGTGTTGGGATATTTCAGGCCGCAGGCCCGCGTGATGCTGTCGCGCCGTGCATTGAAGTAGCCGCGAAGTCGAAGGGGAAGCCCTTCGTCGCGTGCGCAAATATGGTGCCCGAAGGCGCGGTGCCGGAGGGTGTGACGGCGAAGTTTGTGTTTGAACGTGGTGACGGGAAGGGCATTTACTACGAGACGAGTCGTGTGTTGCTGGGCGAATTCTTACCAACTGCGTTAGAGGCGGGAACCTATAAAATTGCACCGAAACCTGAGGCTGTGCCGACGAAGGGTTTAGAGGGCATTCAGGAAGCGCTTGATACAGTGAAGAAGGGAGTCTCGGCGAAGAAGATTGTTGTAGAAGGTTAGGCTGTAGCGTGCTGAGAATATCTAAGGGATAGGCCTAAGGCGAAAAGCATTAGGCTCTTAGATAGGGCCGCTGTGCGTCGGAGCTGGGACTTGAGATAACTACCTAGGTACCTATGTACTTACTAAGAAGTAATATACAGACTCGCTACTCCTAAATCAAATGCAGCTCTTTCTTCGACTCTTCGTTTTACAAAGCCCCATCAAGTGTGCCAGATGCAAATTCCTATTTGTACTATCAAGACCTGAAAGTGAATCGCCCGGTACGATTTAAAACCAGTTCAATTAGGCTAACAATTTGAATATTTATATCAGGTACGCTGAACTTTTGCCAGCGATAATAGGTAGATAGTGGACTTTAACGCCCTACGGGTACGTGCTTCGTGGCTGAGAATTAGGGGCTTTCAGGGGGGCATTAGTTGAGAGGGTATCAACTAAAAAAGCAACGGAAAAGCAAAACCATGGAGATAAGGCACTAATCATTCGTACCTACCTATAAACAAAACTCCGGCGGACGACGTGAAACTCCGGGGCCGTAGAACTCCCCGGTCGGGGTTATTGTTTGCTAAAATGAGTAAACTTTACCATGCGGGGTGCTCCTGCCTCCCGAAACTAGAGATAGAGTCGCATCGCTCCTGATTCCGAGTGGGTAATAGCCCTCATCCAACTACATGCACATCATACAGCTCACGTAAACTCCGGCCGGGCTCTACTCTTAAATCTCTACTTAGTTCTCATTTCGGAAATACGCTGTTTACATCCCGGGAAACTATGCTCGTGGAGAATCCATTAGTGCACGTTAACTCCTCTCTTACGGACCGAAGGCGGAAGTTACATGCGTCCGTTTGGAGAAGAAAAGGGCCAATCCGCATACTAATCTTGATATCTCGGTGACTGTGGACAGAAATGGTAACACTTGAATAAATTCAAGATCAGGAAAGGAAAGGAAATAACGGGACTGAAGGGGAATCGGATTTAAGGTATCGGTATTGAACTCTTTAGTTTCTATCAATTCAACATTCTAGTACCCCGCATTTCGTTTTTCTTCGTCGTTTAGTACATTACGTTGATATTAATGTTGAATATCTAGGTACGTAGAAGCGTCTTCGATCAACTTGTCAAATTCTTTCCTTATCTACATTATGTCGAGGTCTGCGTTTTCACGAACTCAAGAGCAGAAGGACATTCTGCCCAGCAATACCGTGTTTGTCTGAATGCGAGGCTGATTTCTTCGGGGGAACCTAGCGCATATAATATAGGTATGGCCGCCGCCCACCTTCCTGGAGACTTCAAAGCCGGCCAGTAATGCTTATAACGCTCCTCAACATGCTTAATGAGCTTTTTGAGTTGGTTATTCAAGTCAGCAATAAGATCGGCCCAATCCGACCGCTCGACAATATCTCGGCGCTTGTAAAGTACGTCGCTGATGGCGTCTTCGCGTATCCATTCCATTTTCTTGTCGTAGTCGGCGTTACGGTTACTGGGTTTCTTGGATTGTTTCTCTAACATCTGAAGGTCTAGTAAGAGACGAACCTTTAGACTTGTTAGGTATGCGAGATGACTAAGATCTATCCCTATCCTGTTGCACGCATTGACACCCTCGAACACATTCTCGTCGTGTAGGTTTAGGAATGGGCTCTCCGGGTTTCCCCACTCGTAACCCGCGGCGCTCCCAATAGTGTTATACCACTTAATGAAATCATAAGCCTCTTGGTCCCTGCCGAGACGCAGATATAGCCCGGGGACTTGGGATCGCACACTTTGGTTATCACCAGGATTCAAATGCAACATCTCGAGGCTGTGTTCTAGTGCAGCCTCAACAGCATCTCCGGTCCTGGTGTTCAGAAGCGCAGATGTGAGTTCGAAGCGCTTTTGCATGTAAGGTCGCGTGGGCTTCCAAAACCAAAACTGACCCCGCGCTGTCTCGAAGGGGTTTTCCGGCATATAGGCGTCACCGGGACGTGCACGCATGTCGTGTTCTGCTTGGACCAATTCTGCACTGGCGTTCTTGATGATATCGCAAGATGATTTGTGGCGCGCCTGGTCTGCCTTCTGATGGGACGTACCGCAGTAAAGGATCACTCTACACGCGCCGCATTTGAGTAGGTTGTTGCGGATATGGCAATTTGGGCCGGAACATATTCCCCAGTGTAGACCGAGGTTCCATCGGTTTGAAAGTCCATTAGGTGCTGGCGGCAAGTCCATATCTATATTCTAAGAAATCTTATATGTGACGGGTTATACGAGATAGGATTTATAATGTTTGGTGAAACATAAGAAGGCAGTGCTTTTTTTATGTCTGTTATCGTCTCCTTGGAATGTCACTAGGCCTTTGCTGCCTGGGGCTGCGGTTCCCTGGAAAGAATTTTCATGATTCTATGAAAATACGGTGAACATATCGCATCTCTGCGCGAGCTGTGGTGATAAGTCATAAAAGGAGTCAGGGGTGTCCTACCCATACCTACTACAGGAAGTACACACTATGCAAAGGCTCATAGACTGCACAGTATAATACTGTATCTCCTAACCAATAGCATAATTTGATTTGCACAGTTCAAGTCCGTACTAATACTACGGTGAGAATTTAATATGACATCCTTCTCCTTGGAGGGGTATCTTTGTAATTCCTTTAGCAGCTCCCAACAACAACATTATCACAATGCTGCCTAAAACTTTCATTTCTACGTCGATGATAAACAGCCTCTTACATATTACCACGCGAGTTTTAATCTTACTTACAAAATAAAAATAATCGGATTGTGTTAAGATTTTCAATGCCCCCCTGCTGGTACCGCTTGAGTCATGAATGTGACACGGACTCTTTGGCAGACATAGCTTATGCGGTCAAGGCTGCTTTATTCGAACATAACAGGGATTCAATCAACGCTTTCCCTAAGGCCTTGAAGTTCGGTCAAGATTTAGTCACATTTCTTGGGTTGGATCATATCGATTGGATTCATGAATTGCAACTTATTGGGTCCGCCTGTCTTTTCGCTGCGATCATGTGGGTTCCTGTATTTCCTTCCTACCTGTTAGGTATTCGATGATTGCATGTATCGTTGTACTAAGTCAACACTGTGCTAGCGTCAAGTCTATTGCGGTCATAAGTGATAAATTCGCATTTAGTACATATTATCATAGGCCCTCGCGGCGTTCGAGGAGTGGTCCGGTTTGTACTTTGCGAGCATACAAGCGGAAATCATCTGATGACGAGACGGAGTAGCCATTCGGAGGACCCCTGCGTGGGTTCTCGGGGTTTTAATAACTTTATGGGTTCTAAAGTATTTTCAATTGGCGATGCTTAGATTGAGCGCCGTTACAACAAATGCATACAGCAGGCCGGACGAATTATTTGGGTTTATATTTATTAAGAGTTATTTATTAAGGGTCAAGCGCTTTTTTGATAACATCCCATGCATGGGCTCTCCAGTCCTCCCTAAGTTTATTTACTCGGATATCTAGGTCTTTCCAAAGGAGATCAGGGTGGACAAAAAGGAACCCAGGACTCGCTTCCGAGACACTAACATTCCTTAACAGCATACTCATACCGAAATTCTCGTATAGGTCTTCCAACTCGATAAATTCCTGGGCTTTATTGCGCTCCGCTTTGCATATTTTTTGTTCTGCGAAGGCTAGTGTTAACGCTGCCATGGCCGATGCTACTGGTGTCGCAAACGAGGTGCCGTCGTCAAGCCTGAAGCCCCCTCCTTTTGCCGTCGGCCAGTGCGTAACAATGTTTTCTCCCACAACCATGAAATTGTCCGCATTCGACGCTGGCGGCGCGGTAAAAGTTGATCTTGTACCATATTCATCACACGAGTGAATTCCTATCGCGCACACTCCGTCTCTAGCTGGCCACCTCGCTGGTTCAAAGCTGCCACCATTTGACATGGCTGCGAAGACGACGACCTTCTTCTGTCTGGCGCGATATAAGGCTTCCTTCACCACTTTGGGCGCGAACTTGTACCCAAACGACATATTAATGATGTTAACATCATTTTCCAAGGCCCAGTCTATCGCCTAGAATTATTGATGTGTCATTGAGGGGATTGTTCAATGAACTGGGGCGGTACAGTACTTACCTTGGCGACGGCAATGGGATGAGGGCATTTTTCTGTATTTGAGGCGTCGGTCTTTTCGTCACCGGAAATACCACGATTTCTATTCTCCACACAGACGCGGGCAATGTAAACATCCGCCCTTGGGGCTAATCTCAGTATGATACCAGCAACTTGAGTCCCATGTCCATCGACATCTTGAATATCGGATTCAGAGCCACCACAGAAGTTCATCATATCCTTATTCGATCAAGTTGCCTCGGCTCTCCTTTGGCCGGTACTGGGCTGTTGTTTGTAAATCGCACAGCTCGCGGTCGACGCCAATCTTCGTGGCCAAGGTCTATCCCAGTATCCAAAACTGCAACCCTGATTTTCTTATCGGATTCCTTGAAATCAAAATAGTTGTGCCAGGTTTTTATCAAATTATCAAATGTTTTTGGCTGCGTAAGGCCAGAACTGAAATTTCGATTAGATAAACATGGAGAATGTGCATGGATAATTGGTAAAGGGGTAGACTTACGCCGGTAAGGGTTTCGAGAAAAGCTTGCCGTCGAACCCACCTTCGACATCCAGTGTTGAATCTGTATCTGCATTGTCCTCTGTTTTACCCGGTTCTGGTGATCTACTCGGTTCCCGTCCAGGTTTCAAACCTTCTCCTAAGTAATTGGTATTGGGCTGTTGTACTATCCTTACTCGTCTGACAGCCGGGTCTGTCTGTGGACTAAAAACATCCTTATCCGCTCGAATCATGCGGAATGGGCTGGGAGACCTTCCAATACTATTAGATGAATTTCCCGTGTCTTGGGATCGAGCTGATTTTTCTATCAACTCAACCGCCCCGTTGTGACCTCTTTCTTTTGCTTGTCCGAGTACCTTCGCGTTTACGTCACTCGTCGTAGCGCCGCTCTCGAGCAAATAGCGTACAACATCCTCATGCCCTCCGAGAACGGCCAATGCGAGAGCTGTCAACCGAGAGCTTCTTGTGTGATTATGAATTGAAGCGCCCTTCTCTAATAAGAGCTTGACGGCCCTTAGGTTGCCCTTCTCAGCGGCATGGTGGAGTACCGCCATGCCTTTCGATCGTCTCTGGTCAATCGTCTTTGCCGATGCAAGTTCTACGGCAAATTCGAGCGTTGCTTCGTCGCCAACTTCCAAGGCGCGGACTAATAAGTAATAAAGATCCGCTTCCCCTTCTTTATTAATAGATCTTTTTATACCCTGCAGTGAAGTTAATTTTTCACCATCGTATCTCCATTTACTCATCGCCACTTTAATATCATGTTTAAGCGGTTGAGGTAGTTCATCCGCATGGTCAAAAGCTGATTTCCCATTTGAATCCTTCGAAAGAGGATCGCATCCAAAACCAACAAGAGCGATAACGTTTGACCGGCGTCCATTTTTTGCGGCAATGTGGAGAGCGGTGGTGCCGTCTTTTGCTGTATGCGTGATAGAGGCTCCCTTCGCGATTAACAGAAGCAATGTATCACATGAGTCTCGTGATGCTGCTTTATGTAGAGGTGTATAGAACACGTCGCGAAGAGCTTTCGTTGATGTCCGAGCGTTTATATCAGCTCCCGCAGCCAATAAACACATTATGACGCGCAAATGCCCTTGCTCGGCAGCGATTATCAAAGGTGTGGTATGAGTCCAAGATCGTGCGTCGACTTCCGCCTTATACTCAAGAAGAGTGCTCGCAATGTCGCTAAAGCCGTACCATGCCGCATTGTGTAGAGGAGTTCGGGTCTTCCTTTGCGTGTCCACGCAGCTGGGATTACTCTCTAATACCCGTCTAGCGGCTTCGACATCACCCTTTCTCGTCGCCTCGTGTAGGGCGTCGCCTGGATCCATATCTGATCAAAATTTGCGAACACCGCGAGTCATATCAACCGCGATCTTATAGAGGTAGACGACTTGCTCGTTCAAGGTCCACACCTCGTTCTTCAATTAGAAGATCATTTCAAATTCAGCTAGGTCCAATTGGAACTAGGCAGAAATGTAGTAGTGTATGACGAATTTGGGGGGATGGCAAGTCTGACAGTTCTGACTGTAGCTGAAATGTCAGCAAAATTGTCGCATGCTTCACATGCAGGCTATGACGTACCCATTGGAACTTGGCGACCACAGCCCTTCTAACCCTAAGCTTAGCGATCTAATTGTAAGGTAGCCCAAGTTCGCCTTATATCTACAGGAGCATCAGTTATATCTTATTTTCCAGACCAAGGGCGATTTTTCTCGGGTTTCTTTTTGTGAACGTCTTCCTTTAAAGCAGTCAAGCAAAGAGCAAACGAAATCATTATTTACTAGGGTCGCGGCGCGAAATAGGATTATGTCCATTGAATCTTAGGTACCTAGTTCTTCAGGAGCCTACGCAGTGAAATGCGATAGAACTACGTCCCTAGCAATGGCTAACCCTTCTGGTCGCATTGCTGGCCCCATACGATGGCATATTTACCGTGAACCACAACCCCCGAATACTCGCATGGCCCTAGGGAGTATTCTCACGAAGCCTGACGACCTCGAGACTTCACTAAATTATGAGGGTGGCGGTATTGAGGAATTCCCTCAAAACAAGCGAGAAGACTGTACTCCGATGGTGCGACGCATCATTAAGTCGGAGCTATCGAAAAGTGTCGGCGGGAAACTCAGCGTTCTCCTACCAACAATGCCTTGGGTCAATGGCGGGGGTGGCTTGGGGGCTGAGCGCTCAAGCGACACCCAAGCAACATTCGAGCCAATGAATATCCGCGCGCAGATTATATCCCCTGATACGGCGAAGGAGTACATGAATCGGGCTCTACTAACTCCGAAGGTGCTGGAATATGTGAGGGGATGCTTGTTCACCAAGCCTTTATATCTTATTGTTGGTGTCGCAACATGTAAAAACTTGACTGGAAGTGAGACACGCTCTGTGAAAAGGACCGCATCCGCCGATGTCTCAGCAGATGTTATGGGTGCACAGTTGACTGGTAGCGTCTTGGCAGCTAATGAGGATTCTGTCGGGGGCGAGTATGTTGTTGACGGAGAATGTGATTTTGCTTACCGCGTAAGAGAATTTCAATATTCACGGACAAGGAAGATATTCAAAAAGTCAAGCGATGTGACTGATGGTGCTATGTTCGGTTTGGAGGATGAAGACTCAAGTGACGAGATGGAAGACGATGCCGAGGAAGTGCCTGAGTTCGAATATTTTGAGGATGATGACGAAAATATCGAGTCAACCGGGTTCACACTTGAGGGGACATCCGAAGAATAATTTTATATCATTTCCGAGCGATATAAGATACTGTAGACCTCTTCGCTCTACTTCTGCAGGTTGATTGTTCGGCTGTTCAGCGATCATCAGTGAACTGAGGCCGTAGGTCTGTAAGTACTGGAAACGCTGGAAACGATACCCGCAGCTCTACTAGAAGAAGTAGCGCTACTACCTAGGTACCTCACTGCGACGAAACACCATCGGAGTTGTCGTTCTCCGTCACCAATGTCGAGGATAAGGTGCCTACTCCCCCAAGTTCAAATCTACGCAGCTTTTCTCGTAACGGTCGACAATGCTAGGCGCTAGATTTCAAAGGGAACCCCTTAACCCGTTACCTACAGCCTACATGTCGTCTATGTCAGACTACCTAGGTAGGTTTGCAGAGCAGGTCTACATATTTCGAAGGACATCGTTGGATTTGTGAGGATGTACAGGCAACCAACCTCTTCAGGTGTTCAAGTTAGCTACACCTTACCTTCTTCCAGGGCCAACCCCCCTTCTTTAACTGATATCATACTTTCCAATAAATGGAACAGCATACCAATTCAATCAATGCCTCGGCTAGGTGTATTCACAATATAATGAGCGCATCATTTGCTCCTAAGGATATTTTTGGAAAAGATTGGGGTATTTTATCCAATGAGCAAGGAAAATGGGGACTCTTAAATTACAAACATTCAACGAAGTTCAAATTTCCTACATCATGACACAGAGGATATATCAATCTGCCAACCAATCAAGCTTGCATTACCCCGGTCCAAATTGATGGATATAGGAATCAATCTGGAGTCGCCACTCATCTATTATAGGTCTGGAACCCTGCACCCCAGGCCTATTCCGATTGTCCGGGGCCAGATCTAGTAGTCGACAACAATGAAGAACTTGCTTGCTATACCAAGCTTCATGAAGGAAATTTCCAATTGGCCCTGATAATGAGGGGCGTCGCAATTAATTTAGTCAAATAGTCTTACCCGAAACTAACCCCAGAAGCCCACGAGGCCTTCAGGCTAAACATGGCTGCCTGTAGATGTACAGAAACTCGGAAACGTCTCATCGCGAAGAATTATATAAACTGCGACTCGCAGCACCATGAAAAGGAAAAAGGAAAATCACTAATCAAATCGAATTCGTAACCATGTTGTCGTCTTTCGTCGTCGCGGCCATTGCTCTAATTCCGGGGGTGTTCACCGCGCCCTCGGGCTTCCTCCCCCAGCTAGGAGACCTCTTGCACGGTAAAGATAGCAATGCAATCCAAGCCCGGCAGGGTGGCTACTTTTGGTCTTCTTGGTCTGAAGGTGGTGGTACTTTTCGCTGCCAAAATGGTGCCGGTAGTTCGTACAGCGTGAACTGGCAGAGCAGCGGAGGCTCAAGCGGTTTCGTTTGCGGAAAGGGATGGAGCCCAGGTGGAAGCAGGTTAGTAAATACTAACAGCTAACAGCTACATATAATCGAAACCCCATGTTAACTTAGCAATTTCATTAGGGCGGTTAAGTACACGGGTACATACGATACTAAGGGCCCAGGCTATCTGTCTGTATACGGCTGGACAAGAAACCCTCTCATCGAGTACTACATTGTTGACGCCCACGGAGATCTACTCCCTAACGAGCCATGGACTTCTAAGGGCAACTTCACTTTCGAGGAAGGAACATACGAAGTATTCACGAGCACTCGTGTAAACAAGCCTTCCATCATTGGCACGACAACCTTTCAGCAGTACTGGTCCGTCCGCAGCGAACAGAGGGTTGGCGGAACAATTACCACTGGAAAACACTTCGATGAATGGTCTAAGCTTGGTCTTAAGCTGGGAGGTCATGATTACAGTAAGGAACCCCGCCTCTATAGACACAAGAATCGTGACTAACCCCATGCTTTTTTAGTGATTCTCGCTACAGAGGGATATACCAGCGGATCAGCTACAAGTAATGGGACGTCCTCTATCACTTTAAGTTAAGATGAGCCGCTTCGAACCTGATTAAAACGGGCATGTTACCCGGTCATGTGTGCCGAGGAAGTTTGGTTTCCTACTCCTTTAATTGATAGGCCAGTTTGAAATTTACTATTCAAAATACTGAACCCAGTCTTGTATCATCAAGATTGCACTCGATAACTACAATGCGATTGTCTGTGGGCCAAAAAAGGGAGCCGTCATCCGCTAGCGAACATTGATCTAAGCTAGCTTGGCCAATCCAGTTCCGCGGGATGAAGTAGTGTCTACGGTAACTTTCCGCTGTGTAGACATCGACATTTAGAGACCAGCTGCAGAGCCAGAAATCATGATCTAAGAAGACAATTTCTGAGCCGTAGATAACTCCGAGGGGCTTTTGAACCCGAGCCGACACCTCTTGTGGGAGCCGAAAAATATCCAAATAATTAAATGGATTGGTCATATGGTCCAGTGTTGTTAGGTTGAAAGTTGAGACAACCATGAAGTCATCCACTGGGTATCCTTTATCTTCAGTTTTCTGGACACATAGAAGAACGTTGTTCCCATCCCGAGTCGGAATTGCATCCATAGCCTCCAAAGTAACATCGCCGCTATAAGTAAAAGGGAGTTTGTCATAAGCCGTTTTTGGCTGTGAAGGTTTTCTAACTTTGGGATTGTACGACATCCAATATATATTTCGAAGTTCAGCCCATGTATATGCACGTACGTCTAGAGCTCCGTACCCTAGGATGATATCCAGCCTCGTCGGATGGCATAGCCATCTGCGATTGCAGTCGTCTCCATAGAGCATGAAGGTAATCCTAATCGTGCCATGTGTAGTGGAGAAAATGGAGCACTTTCCTTTGGTCACTATTAATAACTCCTGACCATCTGGGCGAAGAACAATTCCCTCAATATTGTAAGTATCGAGACTAAGGCGGGGTGAAGGCAGGGATGATACAAGCAAGCCTTGCCCGATGCTATCATCTAGACTCTTGACTTGAATATCGCCAGCGAGATCCGCAGCGGCTACATAACTCCCATCCTGGTTCCATGTGATGTGCGCAACAGGGAGGGAGTTATGAAAGTGCGCGACCTCAATAACCTCGGTGTTTCCTTTTTTATGTAGAGAAACTACACCGTCTTCGTAGCCAACGCAATACTTCGTATCGCCTGGTGCCCTACAAAACGCGGTCACTGCTTCGTGTCGACCCGTCCGTGCCCCCGGGAACCCCGAAGATGACGACGATTGGTCCTTACCCTTCGTATCATCTCTGGGCTCTAGGCAGTAGGATAAGCTATTCGGCTCCCACACATTGATAGAGCCACCACGAAGATCGTAAAGCCGCCGACTGTCAGGACTGAAAGCCAGCCGGGTAACCAGATCGTCCAATGACAGCTCGTAGATAACATTAAATTGCATAAAGTCCCAGATCCGAACTGAGCCATCGCTACTACTAGTTGCAAAGAGCTTTCCATTTGGGCTGGCTGCGATTTCATCCGCAGCCCACCGAACATCCGCCTCAACGTTCTCATCAGTCATTGGATGCCATTTAAAAACGCGACCGTCTTTATAGATGCCTAGAATATGGCCTGAAGTGGGATTCCAGGTAAATCGATTCACGGAGAACCAATTTGATGATGGTCGACTAGCCTTATCCCGAGGAGTGGTTGCTCTTTTGCTTATGTTAATACAGCGCCCGTCGCGAAGCCTCCAAACTGAGAGCGGTGCTCCCCGGTACGAAACAGCAACTTGCGTATTGTCGCTATTGAACTCAACACACACAGGGGCGCTAACTATCGCACCACTGATCTTCCTTGTATCTTTAGGAACGTTTGGATTCAGCACCTGCCATCCTTCTTCCAAAGTGTCGTGCTTTACTTGCCTTATAACGTTGTCATCTCCATAAACTAGTATAGTGCGGTCATTCTCACAAAAGGCTATTGCAAGCGCTTTGGTGAACGGGGGATTAGCTGTCGAGTTAAGAAGATCTCCCGAAGGGAGAGCCCATATCTTAGTACTCTTCATCCCGTAAGTCACTATTTTTGTACCAACTCGGTTCGTGGCCATGGCTGTGACAACTTCCCCATGTGCCATTGCAACAACATCCGCGGAACCCGACGTATCCCACACGTGCACTATTCCAGTAGACCCGAGAACTACTAAGTATTTCCCAACGCAAATGATTTCCCAAGCCTGGATATCTTTGGGTAGGGAGAGGCGATGAAGATGATCACTCCAACCCGTCCCTGCGGTCCCATGCACCTTGATATGCGTGGAATGCGAAAATTGCCGGTACATCATAGACTTCGTAGGGCAGAGTGCCGGAACGATTTCGTATATTGCTCCAGGGTTGGCAACCAGGTTGGACGCAAACTTCTCAGCTATCTTAATAAGGTCAATAGCCCAATTATTTAAGAATTCGAAAACCAAAACATCGGGGTGAGCTAGAGTACTGGATATTTCCCCAGTTTTCATATTACGAGCAACAGATGAGATAATACCTGCCGCGTTTATTAAGACATCCAGTTGCCGAAGCAGAGCCAACACATAGATCCAAGTCAACACGACGGGGCTACCAAATACCCTCTTAAGCAAGTTAAGACACTCAGGCGTATTATAATAGCATTGGTCCAAATGAAATGGCCAATTAACCGCTGAGTAGAAAACGAAGGGCTCGCTCGATTGAAGGCCGTGTTCATCATGAACCAACCTCCATCGAAGTTCTGGGTCCTCCAATGTTGTAATAGTTTTCATCAAGAATCTTCCATGAGTTTCAGCTAAATCAATGTAGAATCGACTCTGTAGGGAATTCGTGAAATAATCACGGGCGGTGTGATGCAGTATGTTGACCCTTCCGTTTTCTTCAACTCGCATGTAACAGGTTTCTTGAATTGTGCTTCTAAGGTCAAGGAAACCTTGAAACTCCGGCTTAAGTGCTTCCGACATCTCTTCCAAGCTGAGAGGCCTCTGCGCACATATACAACACTCAATGAGTGCCCTTATTAGCTCAATGTTGAAGTTCCGAGTCGAATTGACAAGGTTCTGCTCGATCCGTCCGTAAAGCTCAATGACCCCTCCTGGAACCTCTTCGAGAACCTCCCGAATACGATCCTCGGTGTGGCATTCCATAACCTCGTCTAGCACTAGTTTCGTCCATAGAAAATTGAGCCCAGAGCGTTCCATGATGGTCTGAACTAGTCTTCGGCGGAACTCATCGCTGCCGCGCATGTGTTTAAGTCTCCACTTGATAAAAAGTCCGATATCTCGTTGGTAGTGAGCACCACAAGTCTGGTCCATTCGAGACACAGATATGATATCCGAAAGTCTGTTAAAACTATCTGAGATAGGCTTTCTATCACGACTGAGTATTAGGATGCGTATGGGTATCTGGGTATTGTGGAAAGCTGCGAGACATTCCAAGAAAGTATTCGGGGAATCGCATTCATCTAAACCGTCAATAATCCAATATATTGGTTGAAGGGTGCGCATTTCGAATAATCTGTCTTTGAAAAGGTTTCGCCAAATTAACGCAATGTCTTCTGAATTAAGGCCCAAGCTCTCTGGCGATGATCCGTTAAGGGATGCTGCAAACTCGGGCATGTTCTGTACGAGCTGTGATGCAAGGGACAGCAAAGCACCGGCGACCGAGCGCTTCTTCCCATCTGAATATTTAAATAGAAAGAATTGACAGCGACAGCCTAGCTTCCGCAGGTGGCTGATTAGGAAAGCTGACAGGACGGATTTCCCAGTACCGGGAGGAGCATTGAACCACAAGACTTGAGAGTCGGAGGTCAACTCCATCCAGGAAATAAATTCCGGTTCCTTGACGAACCATTCACATGTTCCAGGCGCCAAGCAACGAATTAACGCGGAATAGTCATCCTCGCTATCTAGACAATCGCGAAAGAGTCCTTGGAGATTAGCGGGAGTCTCGGGGTGGATTGGATTATCTTCTTGCGTTTTCGTCGAGCCAAAATGCGCGGCAAGAGATGCGATCGCATTCCTGACACTGATGTAATTAGGATCAGTTGGGCTTGAATATTTGCAGACATCGTGGTGGTCGGCCTGCAAGGGCCTGGATATCTCGGCAGGATAGCCCAAAACAGAGGAGTCTTTTTCTAAAATCATGATTTTCTTAAACCCTATAGAAGTGGCCATTGTCTCATAGAACGACCAAATCGAGAGCCCTAGCGAAAAATGCCTGAATTGTTCATTTAGCTCTTCAATAGCGGGGGAACTCTTATTGAGGTCTGAAATGAAGTTCTTCGACGACTGAAATGACGCAGCCAAGACCCTATTTAGAATTGTCGCTAGATTGGTACCGCGATGAGGAGTAGATAGAAACATGATTGCTGATATTGAGCGAGTAACGTCTTTATAATTCTCATCATGCAGGCCTAGTAGATATGCCTTCTTGACGACTAAACCACCCATACTATGAACAATGAAGATGATGGGATTCGTGCCGATTTTAAGATCAGCTCCAGAATCGTCTCTCGAAAACCGCATTTCGAACAATAACTCCTTGGCGAAGTCTGTGATATTAGCGATGCTCTTCGTTGCGCCGTGCCAAGCTGCGTTGTAACCAAAGGTTAGGATACGAGCCTTGTCGATCCCCGGTTCAGATGGAAGCCATAGCTTAGGCCAGTACAGTGACGGATCATGGTTCTTTGACCAAGTCCGCTGGCTATGGCCTCCTAGACCGTGAACGAAGATAATGTCGAGCGATGCAAATTCCGGCTGATGAACCACATGGAGTCCCAGGCCAGAGGGCAGTGAAGAGTCATGGTGATGGGAAATAGAACGGATAGTTGCGGATGCTTCGGGGAGTTCCAGAGACCCGTCGTTATCCGAATTACGTTTGAATGACTTTGAATATACCGCCTTTTTCGAACGGAAGAGTTTGAGCTTCGAACCTGGTTAGTCCACAACGTAAGAGGTAGAGGGAGAAGTCCACTACCGACCATTATTAGATACCGCTAAAATATAGCGCGTCCGCTTGAATCAGTTCGCGCAAAGTCTACCTAGGTATTGTCTCCCTACCTCTAGCGAACGATAGTGAAATTTTCGTGCTGTTCTTAGCCGTCAAATCCCCGCACCGCCTGACCATTGGGTGGTTGCACGACTGCAAGAGGCTTGACGGTATCCTAGGTATATGCCTGGTGGGTATCCCGAATAAAACAAAATGCCACGGCGCTTAGACTACGCCTATGACGAGTAAGGCTGAAATTTGCGTCGGGAATAACCCCGAGGCCGCCATTGAGGCCGCCGCCCACCTTCGTTTCGCGTGCACTGCCCCATAGGTAGTTGGATCTCATAACTCCTAAGATGAAACTGTTAGGGGGTGAACTCACCGACTTGCCTATAAAAAGCAACCAACAATAATATGATCGCTACACAAGATCTGGGTGTTGGGAATCGTGTGGATGACCCATCATACGCTTGGCTTGCCAAGATGGTTAGGCGCCTACGTACCTAGGTACCTTTCACCTTTGTGTTCATCAACAGAGCTTTGCAAGATATGGAGTAAAAAGCCTCTTGGATCCTTATTTCGACCGTGATTCTCGTTCTAGCGGGGTTCGAGCAACGCGGAAAGAAACAGGTAGGTATCTCATGTTGATTTTGAAAAATAGTCGTACCCCCTACCGTCAATTAAAAAGGGTGTAGGCGGGGTAATTAGTACGCTATAGCTCTGTAGTTGAAATGCTGCCTAGGCTCCCTAAACTGGATTCTGAATCGATCATCTACCTAGGTATGCTCAAACCACCTAGCTGGAATTGTTACGATCCCGTCTCAAGAAGACATTCTATGGAAATATTGAATGCATAAAATTTTAGTCCTGGCCTAAAACTAGTTAAAGCATATCTTCCAAGAGCCTTAACCTCCTATCTTAAAAGCTTTTGTGATGACTTCGTACGTTTCACGCAAAACATCATACACAAAATGTACAGTAAATATTGCCAGAAGAAGTGAGGGGACCAACAATGTGCGCGCACATTACACCACAAATACAACGTCATTATTAGTACACTTCGGTCAGGTTGGATACTAAACCGGAGGTCCATCCGTCCCGTACTTTTGCACCAGTCCGTCCATCGTACAATTAACCTGCTTCCGTCCCGGGAAGATCAAACGGGTACGCCCCCAATAACAAAGAACACAAATGGATCCAGGAGCCAGCCAGGTCCGCAAGGGTCTACCTTAGGTATGTAGAAGGTAAGCTATTAACCTCGGACTTAGCTGCTAAGTATCCGACAGAAACCAAGCAGTTACAAACCGCCTTTTTGCTCCCTTTCCCATTCGTCATCTTCATCGAAAAACCCGTTCTCGCGCAGCTTTTCAACATCTCCACCAGCGGCACGAATCATCTGAATGTATGCCTCACTCATCTTGCGCTCATTCTCACGAGCCTCACGCTCACGTCGGGCTTTCGTCTTGCTCGATCCGCTCGGCGCTACACCGTTCATAAGCACCTTCTTATCACTAGGCGTGTAGTTGCAGAATTCAATTGAGAATGCCCCGCCGCCACCACCTAAACTACTTCCACCACCGCTACTCATGCTACCTCTTCGCCCGCTGCCAGGATCGTAGCTGACGGACCGGCGAGAGGAAGATCGTTGGTTGGTTGGTGTGCGCGGCTCCGATCCCGGATGGGGCTGATGCCGCCGTGTCCAGGACCGTCGCTTACGCACGGCGAGAGTAGATGAGGATGAAGAGGACCGATGTCGTGGACCTGGCGTCGGCGATACGGATTCCTCGCGTAAAGTGTAGCATGCTGCGCCAGATGATGACGAGGACACTTTTCGCGGCGACGACATGGAACCGCCGTAATGGGCGCTATAGTGACGAGCGCCGGAGGATGGAGCACGGGGACGCGGACGTCGCGAGTCACGGTGATAGTGGGAAGAGGATGAAGATGAAGCTGAAGCTGACGAGGATGCGTGTCGATAGGCCCCATTGGGGTGAGCGGGGTAGTAACCCGATGTGGACGGCGATATGAGCGGATCATGGATGCCGTTGTTCAGCACTGCGGCCTGCGGCCCACGAGGCTGTGGCATATGGATCATGAGTCCTGACATGCCCCCATTGGCATCATACTCATACGGCAGCTCTGCCTGTGGGTTGTGCATGGTAAGGTTGATTGAGGCACCGTTGTGTAACCTGTTATGGTGGCCATGTCTGTGGCTATGGTGATTGTGACCATTGGCTTGCTGCGGTGCATCCCACCACCCTGGGCTGGACATAGCACCCCCATTGCTGGGAATGAATCCTGACTCCGCGCCTGGGGGTGACGAGGAAGGCCAAACGTTGTCTGAGTGGTTGTCATTGGTAAGCAGGCCCTCCATGGGCCACTCAGCTGAGCTCGTGCTTCGTTGCTTGGATTGCTGCGGTGGAGGCGGAGGCGGGAATGAGTTTCCATTTCCATCTATGAGGTCCATGCTTTGCTGGTAGAAGGCATCGTCATTCAATGCGGGTGTGAGAAGTGGGGTATCTAAGCTCGTATTGTGGCTTTTGGACGCTGGTTTAATGACAGCTGGAGGTGCTAGCAGGCTGTCGGAAAAGGGGTCGTCGAAGTGACCGCTAACAAAGCTCATGATGTTGTTGGAGTGCTGGTGGGGGGGAATCCTCCCTGTATGCGGCGGTGAGAGGGGTCTCCCATGACTGTCTACCGGCCCGGGTGTACCTTCGAGTTTGATTTCTGTAAAGTCATTCAAATCGAAATTGGCTGGAAGATCGTAACAAGTTTCTCCACCCCTATGCACATCCGCCATAGTTACCGCTGACTCTACCTCCATCGGGGGGTTCTGTTTGTGTGGCTTTGATCGATGTGTTGCCCGACGAATTGTCGCATAAATCGAATCTAACACACGGCTGTGTTTACGTGGACTCGGGGAGTTCGAGTCTGCGAGATGTGGTGTTGAAGGTGCTGTAGCGTTCGACTTGGGCGACTTTAGAGAGATTCCTTCTAAACGAAGCAGTTCAGAGTCCGAAATAGAGCCACCACTCAAGATGGGATCCGCAACCAAAGAAGCTGCGAGCTCCACTGGGACCGACTTGCTAAGTTCTGAGCTTCCTACTTGTGAGGAAGGAATCGAGGGTATATCCAGCGAAGTGGAAGTAGCTGACGATTCGCTTTGACATTGCCCTGATTGCGTGCCCTGATCGCTGGACGACGAATTGGTGAGGTCATCATTTAGAGGGTCGAGTAGAATGGACGGGCTGGGCGGGGCGTCGAGCAAGTTACCACCACTGCCAAGAGTCGTCGGATCTGAGCCATCAAAGGTAATGAATTGATCAAAGAAATTTTCACTTGCCACCCCCAGCTCCTCACCATCGGACCAAAATTGAATTTGGCCCCGGTCTTTGTCCATCGGAAAATGAACTGCTGTGAAGGCCATAGTGTCGAGGGAAGAGGTATCTAGGTAAGGAAGCAGTTCCGGGCCTGATGATTCGCTTTGAAGTTGGCAAAGCAGTTGTTTTTTGCTTTGGAGCTTGGGGAAGGTCCAAGAAAAGTTCTCAACAAGAGAACTTGACGGCTTAATTGATGCCCTTGTAGCTCTAATTTGCAAGTCAACAAAACATCTAAAGTCTGCCACGGCAACAGCAGGCACGCAAGTAATGTAAGCCACGATAAGGCTGATGGGACTAGCAAATGATCATCCCTGATATGCAAAAGCAACGAGTGAAGAATTGGTTAAATCGTAAATGTAAGAGGAATGTGTGAGGCATCAAGCGAAGCTTAGCTTCAGTTGACCCATTCCATGGGGGAAGGTCCTTTAAAGACGAGATGCATCATGTACATCTCCTGCGAGTGCTTCATCGGATAGCAAGTATACCCCTTAGGGGGTTCCCATACATCATCTCGACCCATCCCTCGACGAAGGTAACAAAGAGGCAGCTCAAAGAAAGTAACCATGGCCGTTGTTACTCGATTAATAGTTATAATGAAGACCTAGTCTATCGATGAAGATACGTACGAAACGGAGGGGGGGCACAAAGAGCCTTTGGAATGTAATCTCATCTTATAGTTATTAGAGGAACGGTGTGGTGCCAAAAATGGTATCCCACGATCTGAAACCTCCACATCTTGGCTTATTTTGAGCATCGTTCGGACAACACGGACGATCGAAGAAGCTTGCTGTCGGTATAATTCATTTCACTCGCCAATATGGTATTCAAGATACAGCCTTAAGTCCGAGGAATATGTCAATATTAGCATCGTTAGATGCCCATGGAAATAAATTGACTTGGACCGTCATATTCCCACATTTGACACCCCCACCCCCCTTCCTCCACTAGTTGTTCCAGTCTCTCGGTTTCAATGGCCCACCCTGCGATTCAGATTAACAGACGTCAAGTACGTTGTCTTTGTGTTTGCTAGTCAGAGCTGGGCATTTTCTTAGCGACAAAGATGAGAAACTTCACTGACAAGCAGATTTCCGAAAACAATGCGGTGGGAGCTAGGACGGCTTTGTATTTTCAAAACAGTTGATTGATGTCTCTATGGAGCTAATATTGCATCTGATGCCTGGTGATAATGAGTTCTTTGCGAAGGACAGGAAGCATCCGAGTCTAATATATCTAAATATCGTAGACGCACCAATTACCGCGGTCCATACGCAAAAGCCAATGCATGAGAAGGATGTGATAGCGTTCCAAATCATCTAGTATCACAAACTCCGTCTCTGATTCGATCACCCCCAAATCGTTCATTTTTTTAGTGCACACATAATTCTTAGACGCTTTGCAATCAGCTCTATAAACGCCAAATCAAACGCTATCAAATCATATCTTATGCCCACGTTGACCCATCCAAGCACGAATGGGCGCGATGTCCGCCGTGTAACGCCTGCCTTGGGGTATATGCAACAAGTCTAAGCAAGCCCTATACGAAAAGAAAATTTTGTCGAAATCAAACTGCCACTCAATTCGTCGAAGTCGTCGGATTCGTTGAAGTCGAAAATGTCGTCGGGTTCGGCCGTGATGTAGTTGGTTTTGGCCTCTTGCGCACTCTCGGTATACATTTCCTCATATTCTTACACCGTGCAGCCGCCTCAAGAGACGATCTGTATTTGAGAAACCCATATTTCCGAATACCAGTTGGAACGCCAGCCTCCCTCAAAGCGTGCATCTCGCTTAGAAGGGGATCATCGTCACCTCTATTGCAGTAGTCCATATCTACTTCCAGCATCGTGTTGCCCTCATATAGCAGTTGTGGGTTAATGTTATTGGTGTGTTGTATCGGCGGTCTAGTAGGAGCAGAGGATGTTGGTTCGGATGCGGTAGTTGAATCAGAAGGTGCTGCGACTTGTACATTGCATTGTTCTCCCTTTTCAATCATGCTTATCAAATTTTGTGTACGGTCGTGACTACGCGTCTCGGATTGTCGCGAAGGTTTATTATCATCAATGGCTTTCGCACTAAGACTCTCCATGACAATAGAATGCTCAGGTTGGTGTTCTATTGTCCTATCTTTTCGTTGCGGTTGAATTTGTGTAGGGGCATTGTTAAGTGTCGGTGGAATTATTTCATTAGCAGTTGGATCGAATTCTGCAGACTGATCGGCAGCATTTGACGATGCTTCCATTGGCATTGACATTTCGTCAACTAATAGGTTGAAGTCTGACTCTCGGTTTAGAGACTCTGAAGCAAACGCAGCATGCCAGTTTCGCATAAGTGCTTGATTGTTCATCCTTTGAATGAGACTGTCTACACGACGGTCTGATGGTCGTAACGACCTTGTGGCCATCGTAGGAGACGAATTCTGTGACGAGGATTTGCTTTCGGGAGATTGTGCTGGCTCATCGTCATCCGACGATATATTTCCCGAGTCCGCCTTCTCGGAGAAGACATATTGATCGAACATGTTTGGCCAATTTTGACGATGCGGAGAGAAGAAACTGGGTGGGATGGAGAAATGGACGAGCAGAGTTCCAGCGACGAGTTACTGGGATTTAGCGAGTGGTACCACCACGACAAACGATTCGACGGAGCTTGATTTACCGGTGAGTCGGTGCCCACGCTGATGTAAGACCCAGGCGAGCGCCACGGCGAATCAGCTCGTGGCCGAAAGCCCACCTAGGTACTCTTCAATACACCCTCCTTTCTGCCTTTTTTTCTTTTTACCCGATAATGAGAGATAGACATGAGACTATAGCGGCCGAGGAAATGATACGTCAGTCAAGCTTGGAAAAATCAAAAGATGAAAAATGAAAGAGTAAGCTGTTCTCTTTCTTTGGGGAAACAAGAACTGACGAGCACGGAGTCTGTATGTACAGGGTATATAGGAGATCCCTGAACTAGGAATCCGGTCCTTTGACGGGAAGCGAAGCTTTATACATAGTACACACCCACGACATATCCCTGAAGTTCGCCCAGTTAAGTACATAGATAGGTAGCAGTAGAGCGGTGGCGAAGACCACAACAATCCGAACCGGTAACGAAACGAACCACCTCCCTGGGCCTTCAAATACACATTTACCAATGATCGGCACTAATTCTAGCGGGCCGTTTGATTTACACACGTGCGAACTACATCGAGTGACTCCTGATACCCGCTCATCTGAGCCTAACGTTGGAGTACCTGGACTTGGATGCTCCAGAGGCACAGCAGCGGGGGTTAGGCACTTCAATTAGGATAGTCGCCCGAGGCTAAACCCCAGTTGGGACTGCAGGGGCACCAACATGCAGAATGGTACAGCGAGGATCCCGTTTATTTGGTACCAGCGTGTTCACCTGGCCCACTTTAGGTACGCAGATATTGGTTCTTTGAAGCACGAACAGGTTTGAAGTCCGGGGTCGGTATAGTGCAAGCCTACCAAAATCATCGAACCAAAGATGCCGATATTTCAGTACTATGTATGGTGAAGTTATTCCCAGACGTACGGATACCCGATTCTTTGAGCCTTATAAAAAGGCCTTTCAATCAACCTTGGCCAATAAAGAATAATAAATGAACAAAGACTTTCGGATGAAGTGGCGTTCCCCGTCCATAGTCCTGGAACCTAGGCGGGGTTCCATTGTGTAAAAAGGTAACCCGACAAACCCGGGCTATGCCCGAGTCCTAAGCGGCGATGACCACAATGCGTAAGCCAGTTTTCTTCATCGGGAAGATTCATATCACGGCAATGACTCCGATAAATTAACCCCATGGAACCTCCCTTCTAAGGCATATCTTTCTTGGGACCAATCATTGCGAAAACGATTTATGCAAGGCTATGGTTATCCATTCGTTGGGTGGCCGAAATCCTGTTCCGAGGACCTGGTAATCCAAATATCTGAAATCCTCCTGATACATATCTAGGTATATGACTGACATACTATGCAATACGTTACATCAAATATTCCAATACAAAGGAATACAACCTTTAAGCCTCCATGACGTTATGCGCCAGAGCGTTACTCTTGTAGCTTTCATGTTCTGATTTAAGATCTCAAGAATACTTGGAATCGTCCTGACCCTAATCCTAAAGTTAGATATCTAAGCGCATCTCGGTGGGATTTCACGTTAAGTGTGCTAAATTATGTATTCTATGGGCGCTATTTTCTAAGGTTCTAATTCGAGTAAAAGGCCATTTGTTGAAATGCGCGGAAATTAGGCGAGATTTGAGCATTGTCCTAAAAGGGTATATGGCAGTTAAGCAATGACCCGTACATTGAGCATCTCAGGTAAGCAATTCATCAGCAAAAAGAAAGACAGGGTTAGTAAACCGATCCTTGCAAGTCTACTACAAAAGCCAATAGAGAATCCTCAAAAGATAGGCCAATGATGCGGCTCGATTTCGAGGGTAAAGGATGTAACATTTAAGATTGAACATATTACAGTGTACCTTACATACATTGAAGCGCGATCCCGTCAGAAGACCTGAACTTCATGATTCTTGGATGAGATCAAGGACATTGCCAAGCATATCTACTTGATTTACGTTTTTGGCGAGGCTGTAGGTTACCTTAGTTTAGGTAGGTATTTCTACCTATGGCGCTTGTAATGTTACATGTTGGCATATAATTGTCGTGGTGATTAGTGACGGATCACCTAGCCTTGAGCTGGTTAGCGACCTTAAAGCTACTATATTGCAGTGCCTAAAATAAAGCAGTCTTAATCAACTTTAAGGATTTTCTTAATTTTCTTCAAAATATGAAATGCTACCAAATCTCGATAATGATCACTCGTCACGCTTTCTTCTAGGATTTAGGTACGCAGGTTAGATCTAGGAAGAGTGGATAGTATACCGCGTATCAATGAGTATTGGTATTAGTCTTTCTTTAGTACTGTTAGGTAATAAGTCCGCTGGCTATTACACCTACCTAAGTGCCAGCTGGACTCCCGGGGCGTTAATATAGTGGATCTAAGCGGACCGGTCCTTAATTCAAGCTTAATACGTAGAACGAACCAGCCAATTAATAATCACCCCTTCCCATCTTTTTTCTCTCTCCTTCCTCTCTGTATGGCTGTAGTAGGACATTGTCAAACTTATCGGGGTAGCATCCTTGAAAACAGGTTTATACCCATGCCACCTAAAAAGCCCTTTTCTACGGATTAACCATCCGGACCAGGTAAATCGTGGTGATCAAACATGGATCAACACGCATCATCTTCCGCTGGTACTCCAGCGCCGTATGGCCACGCGTGTGTGAGCTGTGCACAATCTAAAATCAAATGTATAATTCGTCCAGTTGGGGGGCCATGTGAAAGGTTCGCAATGCATACCCCCTATTCCTTTCACTAGATTATGCTCAGATGCTGCTGTTAGATGTCATCGATTGAATCGAGAATGCCGCCCGTCAGACTCGGTTCGGCGCCGCAGTCACAAAAAGCCAGTAGGAGCCAAAAGGAAAAAGACGCCTCGTCTCGAAGAGAAAATAGATGGTTTAATATCACTATTCAAAAATGGCGTGCAAGACAATACCATCACCGCAAATCCCCAGGCCTTAACTCCCACAAGCAACCCCATTCTTGAGCCCAATATTGAGATAAATGCTGGCACCCATGCCCATTATCAAGCTGACAGGGGTTCATTCCCGTACGGCTCGGGGTCGTCAACGACCGCCACCGATTATGCGGATCCATCATATGAGCCTCCTGCAGCGGAAGCAGAGGAATGTCTCTCGAATTTCAGAGATTTCAAACTGAAATATTTTCCATTTATTCATATTCCGCTAGCACTCAATGCCCTGCAGCTCCGAGAGGAACGGCCATTCTTATGGCTTTGTATAATAGCAGTGGGTTCGAAATCAACTGCACAGCAACAAAGGTTAGGTAAACAAATCCGGCAAACCGTAGCGCAGGAAATGGTAATTGGGTCTGCGAAGAACATGGACCTTCTCTTAGGACTCCTAGCATTTATCGGCTGGTATGTGCACCTGTCGACTTGGATAATGGAGGCCACTAATTGTTTACCAGGGCGAGCTATCAAATACAGAGTGAACCCTTCCTGACCTTATTTACTCAGCTTGCGGTTTCTTTAGTTTTCGATCTCGGTCTTACGAAGCCCACTTCTGGAGAAAATCAGGTGACACCTTGCGGGACGCAGAAGTATCCGAAGCTCACCACACACAGAACGATGGAAGAGCGTAGGGCGGTGCTCGCCTGCTTTTTAATTACATCAATGTATGGCCAACGTCCAATTCGCAGCAGGATTATAAACTTATAACTTTTAGAATATCATCAATGCTACAGAGAATTGATCCCCTCAGATGGACTCCTCATATGGACGACTGTCTTCGGAGTCTGGATGAAGCGCGCGAATGTCCGAACGACGGGATTCTTGTTTACCAAGTGCGATTACAGCTTATTTCCGAGAAAACGGCCCCAAAATCATCGCATAACGTGTCCATAGGGTCTCCATCGCCCCTTATAGAAACCCTACACTCTCAATTAGAGGATATCGGAGTTAGCGTGGTGCGAAATTTTCAAAACAATGGTGGGCTACTCTACAAACCATTATCCGATATCTGTCTAAGTGCTCACATCATAGTAGAGGTAGTGTTGTTACACCTACACAGCACGAAGTTAGACCAAGCGCTATCGCCAACATTTCTCCACACCAGCCTAGTAGAACCTGAACCTCAACCACGCAAGAACGTCAAGGAAAGCCTTGATATTTTGAAGTCCTGGTTTGATGTATTTCTTACAATACTCCCTAGTGCCTATATTGGTTTCCCGTTTTCTATACTCTCCCAACTTTTTCGCTGTCTAGTGACACTCTACCGCCTAAAGACTTTCGACGACCCCGCATGCGCCAAAGATGGATCTTGTGAGACATTAGATCCCCTCATCACTCTAGGCGACGTTATCGAACGCCTAGAATTAGTCCCGACTCACGCGAGGCTTGATAATACTGGCTTTCCGAGCGGTGATGTTTTCTCTCGTTTCGCACAATTACTGCGGTCGTTTCGGTACGGATGGGAGATGAAGCTTCAACCAGGAGGCCCCATAATCTCGGATTCCCCAACGCAAGTTACCGACGACGAAATTTCTTCATATCCGGACTTTCTCGGAATGGAGTTTCTTGATAACGACTGGTTCATGGAATTCTGCGTTCACCCGTCTTGAATAGGCCGCTGCATATCAACTCACCCCAGAGACCCCAGGGAGTCTGCATTATGATGGCAGAACTGCCGCAATAATTACCTAAGTACATAGGTACGTAGGCAGCTGCCGATCGAGTTCATTCACAAGGCGCCTAATAAACTAAACAGTCAACCGCTACGAACTTGCAAAAGGACACGCGAGAACCCAAAATGCCTACAACATTCTCCGCAATTTATCCAAAGAGATCCTACACTATAAGAATTATAGTAAATAAAATCGCATACCACTATTTACGCGATGCCTACCTAGGCGCGATATTCATCGAAATCGTAAAGTTTAGATGGATCGACGTCGAATTATGATTCTGAAACTGCGTTTTAACGAATGACATGAATAAGTAGTTGGTAACAAATGAGTGTGCCACAATAACCCCCAAGAATTAATACATTTCCCACCACAACCCCGTCTAGTTACGCATTTGCAAACCGCCAGCCTTCAGACTCTTCTCCCTACTAAGGTCTTTGGACATTGACCGTCCCGTTTTTAACACTTCTGGAAATAGCCTTTACCCTGGTAGTTCGAGTCGACCTCGCTGTGGGTCATGATACCGCAGTAAACGACGTTGCCGTTGTTGTTGGCGTAGACAACGCGAATCGGCGTCTTGTCCTGATTCTTAGTCTTGTCATTGATTCTCCATGTCTTCTGGTTGGCACCTTCCCAGAATACAGGATACTCCCATAACTCGCTGTTGGCATCGTCGCAGTCGCTAACGCCCCAGTTGAGCTTGTCGGTGTTTTGATATCGGTGTGGGTCTCCACTCTTGGTTTTGGTCTGGAACTTGGCTACCCCAGCTTCATTCTTAGCATTGTCAACGGAGACCTTGAATCCATTCTTCTGCGGCGACTGGTTTTTGGCGGGCAAGCAGTTCACGTATTCCTAAGAACGGTATTAATGATTTGACCTCGGGAGAATACCTTAAGAAGGGGGGTCACGGTACTTACCACCCGGGCGAACAAGCCGGGTCCCTGTGCCACGCCGGCATCTTCAACAGGAGCTGCGGATAGGGGTGCCACAGCGAAGGCGAGGGATAAAATTGCGTGAGTGAAATGCATATTTCTTTTCTTAGTTATGTTTCTTAAGAACGACGATATATCAAATTGAGAAAAGGGGTAGAGTATGAGCTTATTTGTCTAATGAATGCAATGAATCGAAAGCGACTAGAGGGGTTGGGTAACGACCCCTTTATATATCATTTCGAGGACACCTAGACGAAGCTCAAAGCCCGGGTCTTGTGGCTTTTGCGAGCTCAGCGTTACTCGATCGACTGATTCGGTCTAAATGTTTCACCTTAAGGATTGATATTGCGAGTATATTCCTAGGGGGGATAAAAGCCCGATGTAGGATGGCGGATCTTCTTCTACTGAACTCTGTCATTGGAAATTGAGACTGACAACCGGTGAATACCTAGTCGTCGCGGCTTTATGCCGCTTCCGACACCAAGCACACAGGAACGAGGTATTATTAGAATCAACCGAGTGACAATTTACATGAGAAAGACATTGTTACTTTTCGATCCTGTTTGTGTCTCGTCGTGCTTCCTTAATCTTCCTCTGACGCATTAATTGACCATAGGTCTAGCAATCAACCTTTGTGCGTATCTGGCAACGAAGGCCGTAAGCGACCTCCGACCCCTCGTCGCATTCTGACAACATAAATGTTCTGATCGGCGTGGGATGATTGGGGAATAAGCTGAGTCTGAACTTTTACCGAAATCAATATAACTTCCGAGAAAAAAATAAGAAATGTTTATGTCGCCTAAACATGTTACCAAATATTGGAAATCCGTTACATGTAAGCACGCAGCCTTATCCTTTCGAGGCTATGAAGTGGTTTGCCAGCTCAGGCGATGTCTTACAGCTGGGAATGATGAAAGTTACTAAGATAGACGCGATATGGTACCTGAAATGGATAAGTAAGCGGGTCGATCACGGCTACCTAGATACATACTTACATAGAAACATTGCTAGATGTCAAACTACTGTATACGTCCGTACGCAAATTATTAAGTCAAGAGTTACGTCACGATCCAGCTTGTGGTACTAGTTACGTACGTACATACATAGGGTAGACAGGTTACTTACCTAGGTAGTACCGATGCGGCGTATAATGGGATATGTCACACTTTTAAAATAGCGAACTTCATCCTAACTTTTTCAATTAAGATCAATCTCATGGTCAAGCAACCTGATCAACCACCAATACTCACTTCGCCGGGAAAACTTGTACAATGGCGCCAAACGACCTAGGAGATGAGCCACTTGACCTACAGATCTTCGCAGATGAAGACGACGCTGATGATAAGACCTACAAGCAGATTCTCCTCGCTCTCGTCAGTGGAGAGCTGAGTCCGCATGCCGTAGCCGCCGACTTTGACGCCTGGGTCGTGCGGGAATCCAACAGACGACTCAAGCTGCTCATGGAGCGGCCAGATCCTAAAGGCCTGACACCCCAAGAGGAATCCAGTGGAATGACCATGCGCATGATATCTCCCGATGCTAGCGGCTATATCGAAGAGGCTTTTTCAGCTATTGCCAGACTCTTCTCAGCCTTCCCACCGAACCATCCTGGTCAAGATCGCATCATTCTGTTTATTGAGGCACTAAGTGCCATGCCAGAGCATAGAGCCCCGGATGCGATCCCGGATAGCTCGAATGACGGCTATATCACGCTGTGGCCCTTTGGAGGCAATTGGCAAGCCTTGGCAGAATTATTCCGTAAAGAAGCATCGGGTATGTTCTCCTTCTGAAAATGAAATTAGATAATGAAAATAACCTTACCGACAGCATATTTCTTCCCATGTCCCGACATCGGCATTCCGGGTAGTGAGAAGCGCCTCCGCTGGCGCAACCTCCAGTCTGCCATGGCGCGCCTCACTGCGATGGAACTCATAGACTGTGGCTTCCTATGCGCCTTAGAGTACATATTACCGTCTAACCCCTATTATCCTGGTCTGGGGAAGAAAGAACTCGATGGTCCGAATGTTATTGGTGGCAGCGCCATCGCTGGGGCACAATGGATCGTAGCGCAGCCCGACCTGGTTGGGAGATATGTCTACGCGCAGTGTCAACAGGCGGGGTCTGTTGATGGACCCAGGGATATGTGGAGTGCAGAGAGATGGGGGCAGTGGAAGGAGCAATTTGAGTTTATTGCCAGAGATGGGAGGTTTGACGATGAAGCGAGGCGGGTAGCTGAGCTGGCTCTGAGGCGGATGAGCGGCGTTGAACTGGAACTCGCATAGGGGAGCATTATGAGTGTGTATCAGAGTTGTCTAAGGTGCCCATGATACCTACCTAGGTAGGTAGGCAGCCTTACTTTCATGCTTCGATAGGAATTGCTTGGTCATTTTAATTTCTACTTTTTTAATAGTGTGGGTGCATTCTGACAGTAGCTTCCCCGTTCCCACTTGTACTCGGATAAGTACTACCGAGGCACTCAAGCTGTTTCCTTAGTTATTCCCTGGAAAGAACAAATAAATAAGTTACCATACAGATGGATAACTAACGCAAAACAAGGAATTTTGAGGTTTGTCATGATGAGCTACCAAGCTCACTATCTTCCAAATTATCGTTGGGATCTACGCCCATGAATGCATCCCTAACGAGCCCTCCGATCAGTCGGCGGAGGTTTACTTCCACAGCCGGCTGACATATCGCGTCGAAATATGCGTTATCGTCTCCTGTAGCACCATCCCATAGCATACCTAGGTATTAATACAATTATCTGCAATTCTTGCGGATATCCGATGGAATCCCAGTCCTGCAGGGCGTTGTTCGCTAGGTCGGCATCTTCAGGAGCATCTGTTTGATTAACTACCCCTTGTGCATTGTGGGATTCCGTTTCGTCTAAGTTATCCTCCAAACCATCGGGCATCTCTACGTCAGAATCGTCAAACTCGCTGGCCATGCTCATATCCTCATCGTATCCCATTGTAATCTTATCCACATGATCTTCTTGCCAGACATCGATACACTCGCAATGCGCTTCGTCGTCTGCATTCCATTGCACGTACTTCTTTATCATCTTCGCGAGAACATGATGCCCTTCTTCAATTGCGAGTCGAACCGCCCGTATGAATTGTATTCGATGATTCTATGACTCTCTAAATTCGTCGAGGTGCGAAAGGAGTAACCTTACCATGTCTACCTGTCTTCCGTTCTCTGCGGCCCCTTCTATAGCCGTCCTTCCATTACAGCGCGCTCTCGGTGCGTTAACCTTAGCGCCACATTCCAAATACCGTACGCCAACTTTATAAACTACCAATACACCATTACAGGGAGTCATATGCTGAAGCCTCCTATAAATACAGCGCACTACAGTATAGTAGTCTACTAAAACGCCCTGTAACTACTGCGCTTTATAGTGAATACCTATAGAGCGCTATAACTATAGGACATCGAGCCCTATACCCCCTTATAATCGCGTTACGCTTTAGCGGAGCGCTATAACGCCCCGAAATTATAGTGCTTTAAAGCCCTGGAGATGCGCTGTATTTACAGCACTCTTACGGCGCGTCTTAGCCGTACGCTAGAACGCACTATAAGTACAGTTACCGAAGCCCTATAGAGCCCTACGATTACAGCGCACTTACAGCGCCCTGTAAATTTAGCTGACACGGTGCGAATCGCCACCATACTGTACAGATATACCGTATCATGGCGCATTGGCAGTTTATATTAAATATTAAGTTGGCGCACGGTATTACGTCGCGGAGGAAATCGGACTCCAAATATGCCACGATGTAAGAGTAAATAGGTGATATAAAACTTACTTAGGTACTTTCTATCAGACTCACAATTTCTTCGTAAATAATCTACTGTTTGTAAATCTCTCTACTTTGAAACTCCCATTGAATGGTTTCGCTTAACCTGTTGAGTTTGGACGTAGCTTATTGAGATTTTCGATGTGCTTGGAAATATAGATAGATTTTTGGATGTATGATGATGTAAATCCATTCAATTGATTCTACCACTTACTTGACTTAATAACTCATCTGCAATTATCTTCGAAGAGGAAATCTATAAACCTTAACCAGAGCGAAGTTCCTGAAAGAACTTCTGACCAACATGTCGTTGTCAGCGGAAGCCATCATTGCTATCATTGCGCTTGTCGTCGCGACGCCTCCGACAGTTTTTGCATTACTAGCATGAATTGAGCGCCAGAGGCATACCCGTGCAAGACAAGGTATATAAACGCAGCCAACTTCCTTGAAAAAAATATATAATCTAACAAGAACTAGGAGCCAACGCCAATCATGCACATACGTTTTACCGTATACAGCAACTACGGGCTGTCCAGCGTTTGACTACTCATGTCGCCCGATTGATTGAGGATGAAGTTAGCAATGGGGAAGGATTATGAATACCGCTCGAAGTCATTACGATGCTATTCCCCGTCTTCGATAATAATTACTCCGTCGCCTTTCTTATTTATAATCGAGATATTGGAATTAGGGGGTCAAATCCACCAACATGAAAGATGATTGGCTGCTCGGATTTCGAGTTTCGGATTTCGACATCTTGTTAGTGAAATCCGAGGTCTCATCCACTTCTATGTATTTCTCATAGTTCCTACAAATCGTGGACTTAGAAGTTAGCTATTTCATTATAAATGGTTTTGGTTGCTCCTCTTATTCTCCTGCTTGTCCTAGAGGAGTCATATATACCTTGGAATAGTACCTAGTTTCTGCGCCTTTCTCATCCGCTCTTGACGAAATGTCGCCGCCAACAACCCCTTCTCCCATTAACCCACCACCCTCCGAATTAGATGGAGACTCAACAGGAACGGAGAGAGAGACTTCCTCTCCTCCGGTGGGTGAAACCAAGCTAGAAGCTGATCAAGGCCCTATGCCAGCAGCGGACCAAGAAGAGCAATGGGTGACTGGCATCAAACTATTTAACATTGTAGCTGCCATGACTCTAGTGTGTCTTCTTATACTGCTTGACACATCAATTATCGCCACGGTAAAGGCAGATCGATGTATCCGAAACTCGGGCGCTGAGCTAAGTCTTCCTAGGCTATCCCAAGGATCACAAGTGAATTCCATTCTCTTAGCGATATTGGCTGGTATGGAGGAGCTTACCAACTCGGATGGTATGTCTGATAGCAACTGGCCGTCTACTGCCATTGTCATTTTCTAATAGTGAAATAGTGCGGCGCTCCAGCTTCTAACCGGGAAATTATTCATGAACTTCAGTTCCAAAGTCAGTTATGATACCCCTCGTTGCCTCTTCAGGTGCAGTTTAACTTACACCTATGATACCTAGTGGACTTATATGTCATTCTTCGCCCTCTTCGAACTTGGCTCTTTAATCTGCGGTGTGGCGAACTCATCGAAGATGTTGATTGTAGGACGTGGAATTGCTGGAGCGGGAGCTTCGGGTATTTTTAACGGTACCTTCACTATCCTTTCCGGATGTGTTCCTATGGAGAGGAGGCCGTGTAAGTACCCTCAATAACTTGTGAAACGTGAAGTGACTAATTGGCGCGGTAGCTCTGGCTGGATTCGTAATGGGTGGTAAGTGAACCAAAGACTTCATCGGGCAATCGTTGTGTGCTCACTGAGTATTTAGTCTCGAATCTTGGACTTGTGATGGGGCCCCTGATCGGAGGAGCGTTAACAGAATACACGACGTGGAGGTGGTGTAAGTCGCGGTATCCCTCACTCGTTACTCTTTTTCTCTAACATGAAGGTCAGGCTTCTACATAAATCTCCCAGTCGGTGGTCTTGTCGCCCTCATGCTAGCCTTCATCGAAATTCCCGACCAGATCCCAAAGCCGAAACCAATGTCCGTCGTTCGCACTCTTCATAAAACCCTCGACCCGCTCGGCTTCGTTCTCTTCGCCCCGGCCGCAATCGAATTGCTTCTCGCTTTACAATATGGAGGAATACAATATGCTTGGAATAATTCTGTCGTCATCGGGCTCTTTTGCGGGGCTGGTGTCACATTCATCATCTTTCTTGCCTGGGAATACCGCCAGGGTGACGACGCGATGATCCCCTTCTCGATGGCTCGGAAGAGAACTGTGTGGACTAGCTCCCTGGTATATGGACTCTTGCTATCCCAGTCATTTTGCGCCTCTTATTATTTGCCCGTTTATTTCCAAGGTGTTAAAGGCGCGACTCCCCTACTTAGTGGTGTGTATCTTCTGCCAAGCATCCTAGGCCAGTTGATCTCTTCCGTGGTGTCGGGAGTGTTGCGTAAGTAAAATGCTGCCAAACAATTCCTGTCGCTAATGATTGCGCAGTCGGAAAATGGGGATATTATCTACCGTGGACCCTCGCTAGTACGGTCATGCTGTCGGTTGCCAACGGCATCCTCTCCACACTATCCCCCGACACATCGACCGGAAAATGGATCGGATACCAGATTCTTCTGGGAGTAGGCCGAGGTTTTGGCTTGCAGATGGTGAGAACAATCTCTTCTATACTTATCAACTCTGATTCTTGTCAGACGCTAACCACAAATTATCGTTATAGCCAATCATCGCAGTCCAGAACACTCTCCCGCCCGCTCAAATCGCTGTCGCTATGTCTTTAGCTATGTTCAGTCAGAATTTTGGCGGGGCTCTCTTCCTCAGTTTCAGCGACACAATCTTCACAAACAGCTTGAAGACGCTTATCCCTCAATACGCGCCTTCGGTCAACCCGCAGCTTATCATCAACGCTGGCGCCACCGGATTCCGAACGATTATCAGTCCAGAAGATCTTGCCAACGTACTTGTAGCATATTCGAAGAGTGTGGACCGCGTGTTCTACTTGACCACGGGAGCGGGAGTAGCTAGTTTTGCCTTTTCTTGGGGAATGGGCTGGAAAGATATCCGTAAGAAGAAGGAAGTTTCAAAAGCTTAGACTTATGATGAAATCGAGGCATGAGAACTGCCACTCATAGTGAGGTGAATGTATTTGGTACGGTTTTGTTGGTGTCGGTCTATCTAATGGGGCGGAATGACAAGATAGCTGGTAAACTTGTGGTGAGAAATTGCAGGATGCTCCCTTTCCTAACGTACGTTTATAGTTCTTCACATTCGTATAGAATCTCCTAGTTATAGTTTAATAGTAAATAGACCCTGTATAGGCGAAGTTGTATCAGTGATAGTTGATAACTTAAATAGGGGCCAGGGGCAATCGCTTATGATGATATTCACTTAGAAATCACTCAAACTCGGCCCACTTAAATATCTTTATCGATAACGAACGTTGATCGCGAATCTCTTCAGCAATTGATTTTCGAACTTTTAACATGTTGTGAACCTACTTGGAAATGCAATTCAATGCCAAAATTTAATACAGCAAGATGTCACAGACAGCTTCAGCATTTGCGGAGCTCCTGCAGACATCTCTGAGTTCCAGAACTGTATATGTTAGGTGCATTCCAGCTCCTGTTAACTTCTATGAGCGTCGAGCGGTGTTAAGGGCTGTTCAAAAACTCACACATGAGACTGTCGAAACATTTAAGAAGCTCGAGGTAAGTTCTGCATCCCCTTGGATTTCTTAGATTTTCTTGGATTCTTTCTTACAAGACAACGATAAAATAGGATAATTCATCTTTCGTTGTTGTCACGACCAAACCAGGTACTGCTACTGCTCTTGTTAACGATTCTCCCATCACACGTGTTATCATTGCGCAAGACGAAAATGCCGACCGCACACCCAGTACCGATTCGTGGGGTGCTGAATACGATCTGCGAGGAACGATTACTACGCCTGTCAATCCGATGGCTCCCTCAAAACTCACGAAAACGACCCCAGCCTTTTCCGACCTAGGCCTGTCTCACAAGTCATTTACTTTGCATATGTTTGCTGCGAATAGGACTTTCAACCACAAGGAAGCAGTAAGAAGAAACCCCCTGCACGGGCCGTGGCCATCCAATGGAAATAGAGAAACATTTGTGTCGACTGCGTTGCGAACGTCCGTGCCTTCAGGAGCAATGGCTCCGGCCCTGCGAGATTGGCACACCGCCAATCAATTGTCCCGCGATTCCATCAGTTTCGCAGACGAAGGCGCCGAAGGTGCAGCTAGTGTCTTACTCGGGAAGAAGCGACATTCTCCAAAAGAAGTTTTCCTTATGGAACGTATCCGAGCCCGATGGAATCAAAAGAAAATACCCGCCGTTATGAAAAGTTTAGCTGCCTTTGCCGATTCGCAAACCCAAGATACATCATCCTCTCTTGAATCACTTTCGGATGCTGAACTTTTAACCAACTCCGCGGCGGATACCGATCCCTTAATTGATACCTTGCCCAAGGATGCTACTTCGGCCCCGGACGACTCATCGACGACTTTAAATGAAACGCGCGACGATGAAGACAAACCCAAGGGATGAATGACTATCTACGAAGCACGCAATATCACAAACTTGAAATGAGTACAATTACATGCTAGCCAGGGGTTGTGCTCGTGGGTCGCCCACCGGAGTTGAAGGCGACACTTAATTTGTCCTTTCTATCATAACTTGGTGTATAGTTGGGGTCAATCCAAGCCACGAAAACGCCAGAAAGGACTTTCTTTCAGGATCGAAAAAATACATCCTCATCGGACCCGTGCGGTGCCGAAAAGCAAATCAGAACTTGGCACGTTTTGAATTGTTGCATTTTGCTCCCATGTCCTAAGCCATTTTGCTTACAAGGACGTGCCAAGATTTAATGCCGAATTCATTCTAGCAGGGCTACTAACAACACGGGATGCTACAGCGGCTCCTACATATTTGGCTTCCCGTCGTGCGGCGGAGTATCTTCAATGTGCCACCATTCCAAAGCTTTCATAATACACCAAAGAAGGTATTCAGCTGTCGGAATGTGGCTGAGGGAGTTTGCTAGAATCACCTGGCGCAACATATCGACGACGATAGCAATTGATGACGTGTCGTTGGCTTTGACTCGGATGATACCGTTGGTCGCATCTCTCTAGCTGCATGCCGTCATTTTTCGGGTTAAAACAAGGCACAGCTCCAGCAAGGTCCAGAACCCTGGCCATCCCCACAAAGGATCCCACGATTCCATAAGCTTGCAGACACACACTAGGCCTTACAATCTGCAAAGCCACGACGTCACACCTGGATTGGCTACCGTTTCCAGCTTTATTGTGCACATTTCTATATACACATATGACCTGGAGATGGCGTACGTATGTGGTAGGACAAGCCGAAACGAGCCACACCCTCCAATTCGGACATCTGCCGATTATCCGTTTGCTGCTTCTCAACTGGGTTACGAGTCAATCACCAGTTTACCGTATGACGTCGCCAAGCCACCCGTCCTTGTACGGAAGCCTAGCTCCCATAGGTGTAGCCAATGTCGGATCGTCGCATACCATGTCCAACTTAAACATCATCGATTTACCTATTAGGAAGGGCGATATAAAACTTGTGCCAAGAAAATCCATTGACACAGCATGAACCTGATTGCTTGTCCCAACCGCCGTTGCATATAATTAACCACCATCCCGACTCCTTGTGTCAACTGTCGCGTGTAATCCTATATACTCCCGTTTGGCCACAATATACTAATCTCGTCTTTCTTTTGTATACACAGCGATATACTCAACGTCGCCTCCTGCTTCATCCAGAGCACATTCATTGAAGTAGTGTGGGGAGTAAACACCGTCACAATGAGGCAGACAGGCTTCTTCCACCATATCGGCACATTCTTGCTGTTCTCAGCAACGGTGCTGCTGATCATTACCGATATCTCGGCGCCAGTAGTCAACAGCATTTCGATGCTAAAGATCAACCTCGACGACCGTAGCACATCTCTCGACCGACACCCTACGATTACCTTTGGTACTTTCGGTTACTGTGTTCGCGACACTACGTCGTAAGTCATTGGCCCCTTTGACGCACTACCTTGTGCGCGCATAGACAGAACAAGCTACTAACACGCGCACCAGCTCCGGCCAAGACCTCTGCACCCGCTCGCACGTAGGCTACGACCCCGCCGCCATCGTCGAAGAAAATGTGCGCGACGTTAGCTTTTCCGACTACGCCTCCGACACCTCGAAAGGCCTAACCCGCGTTATGATCCTCCATCCCATCGCAACCGGTCTAGCCTTCATCGCCTTCCTCCTAGCACTCGGCGCCGGCGTCGTCGGCAGTCTACTAGCATCTCTCGTTTCGCTACTTACGTTCATCGTCACGCTCGTAGTGCTTATTACGGATTTCGTATCGTTTAGCATTATCCGCTCGGAAGTAAATCAGAACTCGAACAGCAGCGGGAGTAACGCGGAATGGGGCGCTGCTTCTTGGACTGTGCTGGTCTCGGCTATTTGCAGCTTCCTCGCTACGTTTGTTGTCTTTTTTACTTGCTGCAGTGCGAGATTGCACCGCAGGCGCGAGGGTCGACGGGTTAAGGATGTGCCTGATGGATATGGCACCCCTGCTAGACGCCGCAGGTGGTGGTAGATGACGTCCGCGCACGGGGATGAGTCGCACGATTAAAGACATGAGCGATGGAGTTGTAATGTGTGGGTTTACCACAAGATGGAGTGGGATGCTTTAGGATGGACAAGGACGACGATACGACCAAAATCAATTACCCAGACGGGAGAGGGGAGTTAAAGGGGGTTGGTGGGAGGCAAGCAGGCATTTCGATTTCACGAAGCACGTTATGGTTGCTTTTATTATATACCCTTCGAACCTAACTAATGACTTTATGTCCGGACCGCACACACACGTCGCTTGATACCACTATTTACTACATGTATACCTAGGTAGACATGATAGCCTTATACTATATGTACTATGAGTATGATTAATCAATTCATAATGAAGCTATACTTGAAAGTCTTGATACAGGTGTCTTTGTATCACGAGTTGAATTAGGAAAAACTAAATTGTTGGTGCATGTTGACGTGACTTATTATTTACAAAACGGCGCCACCCCCTTTAGTTCCACTGTTCAGGAAACCTTTCGAGCTACCTAACTACATCGACAACAATAAACTCGAGCGGTAATAATATTGTACCTATATCCATTGATTGGATGGCACGTACAAAGAGGTATCTGTGTGGGATCTGCCCGGCCGGATCAAATTGCTGCAAAATGTCATGCATGTCTCCAACCCCGATATCCGCGAGTCCGCGAGAACCCATGTGCTGGCGGATTGTCTCCTGCATCTCCCTGACCTTGCGTACGATGAATGCTTCGTAGGCGGAAGGCTCTCGAGGAGTGTAAGGGAGGTTGCTCCCACGAAGAAGGCGTCGACGGGATTCGTATGAGAAAGAACCCGGAGGGGCGTCTAGTAGGGTCAGGATACGTTGATTGTCGGACTTGTTGTCGTATTCGTCTGCGTCCTTCTGACCGAATAAAATGGCGAAGTGCTCCGGAGTGTCTTTTCCAATGATAGTCATGCGTATAAGGATATGACTAGGTTCATCATTAGCATCCGTCCGAGTCTCAAATTTGAATTAGACTTATGACGTGTTCATTGACATATCCCCGCCCAAAAAGGCTGGAAGAGTGATATCAAGGTCACTAGCGAGAGACTTGGCTTCGGGATCGTAAACTGCGATCTTCGTATGGTATTCAAGGGCCCCGAGAAGCGCAGAGCTCGTTCCGTTGGTCGTGACGTGCTGGCAGTAGGGCTTGTGCTTTTTCCAATGCTGTTTTTGGCACTTCCTAGAACAATAACAAAACTTCATGCATCCAGCACATGTTTTAATTTCATTAAGAGAGTCTTCATTGCATCGAGGGTTGTCGCATTTGGCGGGCTCCTCAGTCGTAGATTGATCCATGATTGTTCTCCAACGAATAGACACCAAGATTTGCTGGATTCGAGGAGTACCTGACTGAGGGGGATCCCCGAAGATGGTGGGCTTAGTTTACTCGGAAGGAAGGAAATTAAGGGGACATCTAATAAAAAAATGTAAACACAGAGACTACCTAGTGTTTATCGAACGAGTTCCTCCCGGGGAGGAGGTACACTCTAGGTACGGGTGGGTTGGTACATACATGTAGGTACGGTAGAGTATCCACGCATGCGTAAAGTATGCCGTTCCGGATGACCATATTTTTCAAGATAAGGATGCTACTAAGTGCGCCAAATCTTTATATAATAGTTTATCTATCAGATTTATTTTATTATTTCCTGGTCGGTGGACCTAACTACCAGCTAGGACAAGTAATATATTCAACGGCCCAGATAGGACTCTGGAGGCTAACGAAAATATCGAAGGGAGGGGGAGGGAAGGAGAGAGTAATCTCTATATAGGAAATTTTCGACAATCTCTCTAGTCATGCAGATTGTTTGATGGCGGCGTTTTTAAATAGCTGGTTTCTACATTGCCGTATCAAACATTCATAAAGCTAAGCGTGGGAAGTGTTTTAACCTAGATGAAGACTTAATAAAAAAAGATTTTTATATAAGAAATTAAATGACTACGCAGCTTACAATAACATTAACAAAACCGTATTAATTTTTGATTAATTCTTCCTAAAAAGAACAATTATCTGTTTCTACTCACTGCCGCTTAGGTACCTAGCTAAGTGTGTACCTACGAACCCTGAAGCGATATTCTGATCGGTCTGTTCGAGTAACATCATCTCAGAATAACTTAAGGGCCTTCCGACGTCCATACATCTGACAGCTTGCGCAAATAAGATGTTCCAACGTTTACTTTCATTGACACCAAGAGATGTTAAAATATCCTCCATATCTTTGCAGTTGATTTCTGCAAGGCGAGAACCCATGTGATGACGAATTCTCTCCTGCATGTCCCTAATGGTCGCAGCTTCGGAGGCCTCGAAAGTGCAAGGCTCTCGAGGGGTATATGGAAGACCGCTCCCCCAGGCGCTTTCGGATCGATACGCGTACGAAGCCGGAGGAGGGCGTTGAAGCACGTCGTAGCGGTAAAGCCTAGAGTCGAGGGTAACCATTTTTCTATCGTTTTGGCCGAAGAGAAGAGAAAAGTTCTCGGGGGAATCTCGTCCCGTGATCGTAAGACGTAGTACAATATCCCTAGAGTTACCATTAGCATCCATCTAGATTTCGAACAAGAGGAAGGCTTACGCGACAGTGGAATAGTCGAACTCATCCATGACCGGAAGCGTAACGCGGATGTAACGGGCTAGAGCTTGAGCTTCCGGGTCATTCGCAGCGACCTTCAGATGGTAGGCAACAGCGCTAAGAGATGCTGAAATAGCTCCATTGCTCGTAATATGGTGACAATATGCCTTGTGCTGTTTCCAGTCTTGCTTCTGACAGTCCTTAGAGCAGTACTGGGTCTTTTTGCATCCGGAACAGGTTCGAAGCTCGTCTGAAGAGGCTTTATCGCAACTGTTATTGTTGCATTTGGGAGACATGTCTGCTGCGCGTTGATCTATTATGAATTTTCCGAGTAGTAATCGACCTGGTAGTAGATGGATCTGGAGAGGCAATTGAAAATAATTACGAAATTTGTGAATCACGGTGAGGAATTTTGTAGGGTACAACACCCGTGAAGATTTTCATATAGGTGTGAAGGTGTTTGTTTGAAGAGGTCACTCAAGGAAGGAAAGAGCATACCACACCGTAGACCAGTCAACACACATATTCACTGCACCCACACATCCTGGTTGTAGACAATATTTTGCAAACAGGAAAAGTAGTAGGTACATCAAACTTAATATAAGCATTCAACTGTTAGTTTTGTTACAAGGTTATATTGCGAGTAGTGAACTGGATATCCGTCTGCCAGAATATGGGAGCAGGAGGTTAAGCAGCCTAACGAGAGGCCTGGAGACCGAGGGAAACATGAGTGACAAACATCAACAGTTTCTCTAGTAGAACAACTTGCTTGGTGACAGCCTTTTGAAAACCTGATTTCTACTTTTACCTATCAAACATTTCTATCTGTAGGCTAAAACTTCTTCTCTCCGCGGGGTGATAGTTCTCATAGAGCTAAGCGCGGGAAGTGTATTAGATAGGGCTTTGAGAGCGCCTCTATCCGCCAACGAAAATGAGATCGAGGTATATTTCATGACTCCCATGCCCGTACAAAAAGTATCCATATAGATAATATTAGTTACACGAATAAAATTTGTAATTATATGGATGGCAGCGAAGTCCAAGTACCCGGCCATCCTTGTGGATCTAGGTGTAACAAGCTAGAATTCATTAATGATTCTCTCAACTTCTATTGCTTATAATAAGTTCCCTAGACCCCAAGAAACACAGTTGCTGTGATGCCTAGTCGTGATCGTAGAGCCTGATGGTTCTCGCCTTATTTAACAAGTCCGAGTGAAGATATATGGGGAACATTGGTGGAGCCGAATTAGGCCCATCCATGTTAGGAGCGTAGGTTATCCATTGGTACTATTGAAGTATGGATATAACGTTTCAGCACCTCACCGCTGTAGCCTTAGCTGCACGTTGGTCGCATTGGATGCCTAGATGTAACGGTGCGGCGCTGCGAAAATGGAATATCAACACCAAAACAAAACCCTTTAGGAAAGCATTCGGCGCACATTCTAATTTATTATTAATTTTACCTTCGCTCGTCATTACGTTGGCATCTCAGAATTTTTATCCAATATGTCTGCCTCAAACCCATCGCAAGAAACCGATCAAGGCGAGAGACTCAAACTCCCCGGCTTCGGTTTACCCGTCGATCAGGAACCATTAGACAACCTCTCCCAATGCTTTATGCACGCTCTCTGGTCATTCAAGCGCTTCAAAGCTGAGTGTGTTTATTTGCGCGAGCATCGTAGTAAGTGATTCTTTGTCGATTGATGACACCCGTGCAACGATCACATTTCCTATCATTAGTCGCCGTTAGCATTATCTCCTAGATTTTAGATAAGGTACTAAATATGTTAGTGATGGACTTCATGAATCAAGTCACAGACAAGCCGAGATGGGAAGAGAAAGTCTTTGACGACGCGATTCTTGCAAGGTGGAAAAATGAGGCGGACTCTGTTAAACCGGAGGACCTCGATGGAGATGTATTCTTCTCCGAGAAAATGTTTCAATATGTAAGTCCCGAATGAACTTGTGAACCTCTGAGGTGGCAAGCAGTTTAAGACTAACGCAGTGCAGTGCGTTGAGGAGCTCCGCGAAAAAGCCGAAACATTCAAAAAGACCGGCATCATCAACGTTCTCGATTCTGAGTTGGTAATAGCTAAGTCCGATACCATCGTTCCGCCTTCATTGATGGAAGCTCTGAAAGCTGGTGTCAAAGTCTTGGAAGACGTGCCTGAAAGTAGCAAGGATTGGCACCCTGGGTCAAACCGCGTAGTTCTTGACCTTGTTCACCCTTCTCTATATCCTCTAGACCATGGCGTTACGCGCGTTTTGCCATATGGCAGGGTTCCTCTTCAAAACTGCGCTTCTTTCATTGGCAAGGGCGAGACTACTGAACCGTTCAAGTTGAGTGCAGACGATGAACCTGCTGCTGTATGGGGGAGTACTCAATGGCTACCAAGTGACCTTGAGTGGACTGAGACAGGGCTCAAAATCGCGAGTTATATAAACAACTTGCACCCATCTGATCATAGCGACTTATACGGGGTTTTAGAGCAATTCGCGACGTTGGCGGTTCCGTTGTGGGAGGAATGCTTGTTCCGCAATTCTGTCATAAAGCCGCGAATTGACGACTTCCCAGGTGGTAACGACGATTTCTACTTGCCTGAGGGCGTAGAGTACGACATCCCTGACGAGTACTATGAGACAGACTCGGAAACAGGAGAGCGCGTGGTGGAAGGTAATGATTATGAATGGGATAGCGAATATAGGGACTGGTTTGATGAGCACAAAATCCTTTCATGGCCTGAACCAAGGCCCTACTCTTCACGAGCAAGGGATTCGGACAGCAAGCCAAATCTCAGAGATGAATATCCCTCCGGTCTCCAGGTGATTTTCAAGCTCGCCAATATCCACCTAACGCCTGAACGGCCCAACTATGTGGGCGGTTCCTTGCACATAGAGGGTGCTTTAAACGACCGAATCGTCGCTACAGCATTGTACTATTACGATATGGAGAATATTACCGAAAGTCGTCTCGAGTTCCACCAATATATGGACGCCCAAGAGTTTGGTATGGGCCTGCCCCAGGGCGAATGGGAGTCAGCCGCACGCTGGCTTGGTGTTGATAACGATTCCAGTCCCTTTGGGCCACTTGGCATTGTGACCTCCAAGATTGGACGACTCCTGGCCTTCCCGAACGTCTTTCAACACCAAGTACAACCCTTTGAGTTGGAATATCCTCTTAAACCAGGCCATAGAAAGATACTAGCTATGTTCCTTGTCGACCCAAGGTAAGTAATAGCTAGTGCTATCGGCTTCTTCAATATTTTCGGAAGTCAATTCGTCGATATATAAAACACCATCACTAATCTGAAGTGCTCTAGTATCCGCATACTATCAACGGGAGTCGTTCCACCGCAGAGAAAAGACTGGTGGGCACGTGAAATCCGTAATATTACACCATTCTCCGAAATTCCGATCGAGGTTTTTGATATCATTATGGATTTTGTTGATGGTTTCCCTATGAGCTGGGAGCAGGCTTTAGCAACTAGAGAGAAACTCATGGCTGAGCGTACCTGGGCAAGCGATGAGTTCGAAACGAGAGGCGAGAGCTACGTAAGTTTATTGAATTCCACACTGCATCAAATCAAGAAAAATACTAATCCGTGATTAGGGGGGATTTAATTTCTGTGAGCATTGATAATTGGGTATTCCACTTGGATTTTCAAGGAATCAAACCGTAATTTGTTATAGATACCCCCTAAAATTATTGTCCATCTTAGTCAGCATTATTCATCGTCTTGGCCTGAGCAAAGAAACTAGGCAGTTATGGATAGATAGAACAGGGAATTCATAAATAACTCGAGTGCCTCACAAGATGGGGGTTAATCATGAGTATACCTATCTTACCTAGGCGAATTTACTGGGGTGAGAAATATGACACCGCTACTCGTACACTGAACACGCCGAGGCAGTCAATGCTCATATTTCATAGAGGGTGATGAGATGCAACCAACTTAGTTATTTAGGGGGAAACTTTGATGAAATATTCGGATAATCTGCCGACAACATGAGCCGTGGACTTACGAGTAAGATCGTGTATGGAGATAGGACTAAGACCGGGGAAAATATCGGAAAGGTACGTGCGAAATGTTGACCGTAGACGACCGCCCGGTCCTCGGAGACGTAAATTCAGTTCCGCAAAGCGAATAACGAAAAGGGAGAAAATTATGTCAGAATAATAAGGGGAAATGAACGGAAAGAACCGAACTAAATATTTCGCGCCTCGCGACTTCAACCCTTATAATAAAAAAAAGTCCATGTACCTTGCGCAAACACACCGACACAAATCCGCTCCGCAGTCACCGAATCCGAGCTCCGAGCCGATCGGACTCGGTGAATTGTTTTCTTTAGGAAGTACCTACCTACTAAATTGCCCTAGTGTCACCGTACCTGACCCCCGAGCTGAATTAATAGCGTGATGCACGGATCTAATCTTATCTGATCCGAAGGAAAGTACCTCAGTACCCAAGTGAATAACATGTCGTCGGACCCTCTGGTCTCTCTTTTCCTTTCACTCTTAACATGTCCTCGAGCCCCTCTAGACTTCTCTCCCTTCCTTTTTCTTTTCATCCCTTTTCCATGATCTCCTCTAGACTACTAATATTTTTCTAATATTAGTATGAGGTGTATTACTTATGCTCTCAGGTCCCCACGGCTTTCTTCTCGGATTTACACAAACCAGCTGAGACAAGTCTCGACCCTCCGTCTCCCGTCGTACAACCATAACTTTCCGAGGCCAGCCCTGACCCCACCACCACCAGAGATGTTGGAAAAACCCCTTCTAGTAATCAAGGGCATCGGGTTCATCTTTTCATTTCTTCTCTCCGCCTTACGACGTTCTATAGCTTTCCGTTTTAAGCTTATAGGACACTCGATGTTTTCTTCTAAAGCTTCGTCGACGGACCCTCAGAAGTCCATAGTCATCGTCGGCGCTTCCATCGCGGGATACTCCGCCGCAAGTACCATTGCAAAGTACTTGCTACCTGATTCCCCGTATCGCGTCGTAGTGGTTGAGCCCCGCGATCACTTCCAATTTACTTGGGTCCTCCCCCGTTTCTGCGTCGTCGAAAGTCACGAGCACAAGGCCTTCATTCCTTATGGTCCCTACTTACCCAAGAATGCGTTCAACGTAGATGGTGGTAAGGTATCCTGGGTCAAGGATCGAGTTTCGAGTATCACTAGAGATGCGGTTCGCTTAGAGTCTACCGGTCAAGAGATCCCGTATGAGTACTTAGTCTTGGCGACCGGCGCGGGCGCCACGGATACCCTGCCTAGTCGAGTGGGAACCGACACTAAGGCCCAGGGAATGGAGTTCTTAAGAGATATGCAGAAGAAGATTCGCGATTCTAAGGATCTGGTTGTCGTTGGAGGAGGCGCTGCTGGTGTTGAGCTAGCGACTGACGCCAAGAACCATTACCCCGATAAGAGAGTGGTTTTAGTACACTCTCGTGACGCTGTCATGCACCGTTTCGGACCGAAGTTGCAGGCCGCTGCATTTGACGGCATCAAGGATCTCGGAGTTGAGCTCATCACCGGTGATAGGGTGGTTCGAGAGGATAAGGAGAGAGGTATTGCTGTGTTGAGGAGTGGCAAAGAGATTGCCTGCGACTTCTTGGTACACACCCTCGCCCCCAACTTCGTATAGTATTAAAGCTGACAGGATTGAAGGTCAACTGCACAGGTCAAAGACCCGACTCTAAACTTCTAGCACAACTGAGCCCGGAGTCGATATCCGATTCAGGCCACGTCCTCACCAAGTCCACCTTACAAATTAAAGACGAATCGCTACCCAATATCTACGCCTGCGGCGATGTATCCGACACTAACACGGCGCACCCTAACTCTCGATCCGCAAGACGCCAAGCTACAACTGTGGCATACAACGTGCTCGCCGGTGTAGAAGGGAAGAAGCCTAGCGAGATCTATGAACCCCACTGGATGGATGGAGTGATCAAGCTGACATTGGGACTTGTAAGTCAAACCCTACCCCACACGAACTCGTCAAGGCGCATACTGATAAATCTAATTTGATATAGCATAAGTCAGTAACAAACATTGGCGACGATCATACCGAATTCATAAAGCCGATAGAGGACAAGGACGTCGCTCTTATGTCTGCGGGTGCTTGGAAGAAGCTAGGGGCTAAGCCATTCGAGGATGACGAATCCGAATTCTTGAGCAAAGTCCAGTCTAAGATTTAAACGGCCTGCCATCTACTATTTCAACATGTAGATTTGGCTATGCATATAGATCATATAGATCGGCCGGCACCGAGTCTTGAGTTGTACCATCAATGACTAGGGTTTCGAGGGAAAGGCATTCGAGTTAGGAGTCATGGATCATTCCCATACAGAATCGGAGTTAGACACTAGCATTAATAATACCAATATATCGTACTGAGGAATCTACCTACTTAAGTATGCAGTACGTCGCTGATCACATTACTTGACCTTCGATTCATCTAATCCGAGCGCGACTAGCCCCATTATCGTCAGAGCACGCCTTACATGCCGAGGTGAGCCGACAAGAGAATTAAGTCACGAGAAATTGTAAGGCTATGGTCGGACAAACGGGCGTATTGAATACCATGTTAGGTTGCCTACACTCACCCACTCTCTCGGTTAGCTATATGCGAGAAAACAGCGGATGACAAACCTTCAATAATCATCTCAATTCCTCTTGTCCTAAGAGTCCGACTTCCAAATACTAATATTCGACATCCGGTTAATATCACGACCATTCTATTGGCCGACTTTCCCTGCCGAATGAAGCCTCTCGTCTACAGCCGGGTATTTTAACCACGATCTTGAATTATCCCCAGCGCTAGACGAACCCATGGGGTTCATATCTGGGGTACCGAGAACCCAAAGCTATTGGCCGGGGTGATAGTGGTTCGGCTTGGCGATGACTTGTTTCCCGGTATTTGACAGATATTCCTCGTGATATATCGCAGCGGGACTCCCGCGTATATCAGCGGGCATGTCTTTCTGTCTTTCTCCCACCGGACAGTTAACGACACCCGTTTAAGTTGCACGACACAGCGAAAATGAAGCTGCTAACTCTCCTCGCCCTAACCGGCGCCGCCCAAGCGCACTGTAAGTCTTCGCCCCTTTACCCTACCCCCTATCTTGGGTACATCAAATCAACCCAGTACTAACATCAACGCAGACCACTTCCCAAGACTAATCATCAACGGGGAGCCCGAGGCCACAGACTGGACATCCGTGCGGATGACAAAAAATTACCAAAGCAACGCGGGGGTAACATCCGTTAGCAGTCCAGACATGAGATGTTACCAAATGCGCGGAGCTTCCAACACAGCCACCGTCGCCGCAGGTGACGTCCTAGGTTTCGTCGCCGCCTCCGCCGTCACCCATTTCGGCCCCGTCCAATTCTACATGGCCAAGGTACCCGAGGGCGCTGATATCAGCACCTGGGACCCTGCTGGAAATGTGTGGTTTAAGATTGGTAGTATCACGGCTGTCCCACCGCTAGGATCGAGCGAGGCTACTTGGCCTGCTTACAGTATGTGCTCTCTCATACCGCGCACAACCAACGAACATTGGGTTAACCGCTGAATTAGACAAAAAATCCGTCAACGTAACAATCCCCGCCGCCGTACCTAGCGGTAAATACCTAGTCCGCGTAGAATCCATCGCCCTGCACCAAGCGCAATCCGTGGGTGGCGCACAGATATATCTCTCCTGCGCACAGATCGAAGTCACCGGTGGTGGAAACGGTAAACCCGGTCCTCTTGTCGCATTCCCCGGCGCATACCAGGCGTCTGACCCCGGTCTACTCTGGTCGTACTACCCTGTTCCGACTACTTACACTGCTCCGGGACCTGCTGTGTGGACTGGTTAGTTGGGTTGATTTGGTGAATAGCTAAATGAATGAGGTGGAGGCGAGATGTGTTGGTAGAACGGAGGTTAGTCGTACTATAAGAGTCAGAATATAATCATACAATTAGCAACGTATTATTTAGGTAACTGTAAGATCGCATACATGGTGCCAACCCGATGTGTTTACTCAAGTCCGAGTTGGAACACTCACGTAGAAATAGCCTCAGTAACACAACTCCGCACGTAATAAAATATCACTCATTAAACCCAACGCCTTGGGCTTCATTTTTATTAAAATACAAAAGGTACAAATGCTCTAACCCTAGAACAGCAGTAGTAGCAGTGTTCAGTAAAAGCTAGAAAGGCCATACAATCTCGCCCTCGACTGGCCATACCTTGGTTCTTTTCTTTCCGAAGTAACTGCAACGGATCGCAGAAGATCCATCAAACTAATAACTAGTAGTTCAACGCAAGTATAGCTCGATCCCTATTCGCATCTAGAGATGCAACGCAACCTTCCAACTCCAAACGAGTCTATCTATGGTGTGGGAATATTAACACCACAAACCAAAGGATTAAGGCCTAAAAAATCGACCACGTGAAGTAATCTTCACTTCCTTCTGCTCATGTGGGGCTTAATGGCGTCGCTTTTTATTGCTACGACCACGATCCTCCTCGTCGAGGCCACCTTCGCGATCCTTTCGCTTCGCCTTCTTCTCCAACTCATCCCAATCTTCACCTTCATCATCATCTTCATCGGAACCTTCCTCGCTGGCCTCTTCAGACGCGTTACTATCAAAGTCTGAGTCATCCTCGCTGGATTCACTCGCCTCCTCGAGTTCGGATTCCTCGATTTCGAAATTGGATTCCTCCTCTTCTTCTTCATCACCCTCGTCGTCACTCTCATTTTGGAGGAAGGACCAACCTCCATCGGCGAAGAATTGATGGGTATCGGATGTGACGGTCTTCATGATTGTCGGCCAGTTCAAGTTCAAAGGACCTTCGGTGAAAGCGATGTTGCTACTATCTAACCATTCCTTGACCACGTCCAAAGACTCAACCGGGATCGTGTTGATATGAGCCGGTGGTCGCGTGAAGTCCTTGAACACGAACACCAGGTCAAAGTTCTTCAGGCCGAATTGTACACGTTCCAGGTGAGCAATTTCGATGTCATCTATCGTGACGACGAGGAAAGGCGGCTCTGTGATTTGGATGAGACATTCTGTTGTGGGCTGGATTGTGACATTGCTTCGGAACGGGACACCGTTAAATCCGAGTTCACGTAGTGGCATATCAACCTCAACATTCTCATTCCTGCCAGCATCGGCAATCTTGTCAGCGAAGCTCTTGAATTGGCGATCAAGCTCCGCTCGGTGCCGACGATCTTCTTGTTCTTGTTCGAACTCGTCTTCGTCACCGTGTCGGTACTTTCGCTTTCGGTTACCGGTCTCATCGAATTGAATATCCGTCGCTTCTCGATAGAACTGCACATCCTTCGTCTTCTTCTTGTTGCCGATGATAATAGGGTCCTTGAGATGCAGATGAATAATTACGATAAGTTCATGAGCGCAAGGCTGGAAGAACAGATGGCGGATGTTAGAGAACAGAACATCAACTCTTTGCTGCGTGTTAAGCGGCGATTGATATCGAATACCGTTCTGGTGTATCTCGACTTTGCCAGGAACACGCTTGCCTTCCATAGCAGGACGTATAAAGACGTTGTCCATGACAGGAGGGCGACGATCTAGAGCTCGGTTAGTATGCGGTTGTCGAATGTTTTTTTCCCTTAAAAGTTTCACTTACTTCGAATCTCAATCAGTTTGTCCTGTTCAACCACATCCTCCATATCCTTCTTCTCTTGCTCCTTCTTGGTAGCCTCCTTCTTCATGCTAGAGATCTGTGCCGCAATTTCTTCGTATCGATCGCCATCAAGAGAACGGAACGTTAGGCTCCTAACGAACTGTGCCGAAGCGTCCTCAAATGGCTGGTCGTCCTTTCTACCTACTCCCTGGCCAGGAGAAAGGAAGTTGATACGTAGGAATGACCATTCGCCCTCGTCATTCTTACTAGCATTCTTTATAGTATGAATATGGAAGGGGACTGGTCGACCCATGACAGGAAGAACAACAGTGTGATTCTTTTGATCAACCAAGATTTCAAGATTCTTCACCTTCAAGGGCATCTGGTTGTCTCGCTTGTAAGACTCGAATTTCTTGAACTTCTTCACTTCGGCGCCGTCTTGGCCGGTAGTCGATTCGGAGAAGCGGTCTAATCCTTCTTTCTGCTTCTTCGATGCCAACTCCTTTTGATGTTCTCGGCGCCTCTTTTCTTGATCTTCGTCGACTTGAGTGGTACGTTCGGATCGTAGACGCGTGCTAGTGATGTTTTTAGTAGCCACAGCACCGACACGAGAATCCTTCTTCTCCTTCTTGGGGGTAGGCTGCATCTCCTCATCATCCTTGAAGAAGAAAGATGTAGCATCTAGATCGATCGGGGCATCGCCAGTGAAGATGACTGGGTCGCTTGTCGTCACTCGGATGGTGTCGGTGAGAACCAAGGAGTAGGTCTTGCTGAGCTTATCCTTCGGCGACGGGTTCTCAATATCGGTGAAGCCGGTAGTGATGCAAAGAGTCATACCATCCTTCAGAGTGCGAGGGTTCTTGGCACTAAGGACCAATGTTGGGTCCTTGCTCTCGAGACCAATACCCGCACCAACATTCTTCAGGAAATGCTTCTCAAGTTCTGGCTTCTTGGATTTAATGTGGCTCAAAGCCTTACTGTAGACATCCTTGGCAACAGCGCCGTCTCGAATCTCCTTAATAACTAAGTTGTGGACGGCATAGAGGAGCTTGTAGGTATTTTCCTGCGTCTTGTTCGGGTCGACCAGGTATGTTCGCGCAATCGAGGAGCAGTAGGATTTATATCGAAGACCCATGCCAGCGATAATGACTCCCGGGTGAAGGTGGTCGCCAGTAGGTTCTGACTGAAGCTTCAAGTCGTATTTACCACCACTCTGTACTGCAGGACCTAGGTACCAATCGAGAGAGGAAGGATCAAAATCCGAGGGCAGTCTTTGTTTGTTAGGTAACTCAACAGTCTTCCACCACTTCTCATCGTCAAGCTTCCTGTCGACTTTGTCGGCAAGTACACTGTGCTTTACCTTTTTCTCCTGATCTAGGACATCGGACATCTGGTCAAGGAAGAAGGGTGTCATGAGTGCGACACAGGCCTTCGAGGCAGCTCGCATCGCTCGTAATTCGGTCTCATCTTTGACGGAGAAGGCAGCAGTCGATAGGGCGGTGGAGATGTCGACCTCTTCGATATCCTTGCACTTATCGCTGTAGATTTTCTTCCATTCGTCGACGAAAGGACCATTCGATCTGTCTTTGGTGATAACACCCACTTTTTTCTATGATTGAATCAAGTCAGTCGAGAAACACAAAAACAAGGCTGAGATTGGTATCGCTTACTCCCGCGGAATTGATGGTGTCGGCGACTTTGGCGAATTGCTTTTCATTCGCCGCCGCATCCTTGCCCCTGACTAAAATCTCAATGGGAAATCTACCTCCCTTCAGCGGTTCTAAGTGCTTAGCTATATATAATTATTAGTCGCTTCGTCGCAAAGATGTAAATGATGAAATATGGGCGTCGCTACCTTTTTTCGCAGTCGTGACGATGTAGAGGGTGTCGGTGGTGAAAACCATAAGGGTTGTCGGGAACTCGTAGCCTAATAACCAGAACTTAACACGACGCACGTTAGTATTTCCACAATTATCACAAGTCTCGAGTTCTCTACGATGCATAAATTCAAGGTAAAACTTACGTGCATGGTATTATTCTTCTGGAACTCCGGGTTTTCCTCGACCTTGCCCATCACAACCACAATAGAAGATGCGCCACCGAAAACAACATCGCCGGCGCGTTTATCGGCCTTCCAGGAATTAACGAAATGGTTAATTCGCTCCTGGAAGAGCTTGCTATCAATCTTAATATCTGCCATCTTCGTAGATGATCGCAAAGTTGTTTGCGAAAAGATGGCAGATGAAAAAGGAGGATTGACAGCGATTGAAATGAAAAAAAAAGAGGGATGTTTCGGCGACGGAGAGAAGGCTGTGAGCGTATCAACCTTTTGCTCCAAAAAATTGGGATGTGAGGTGACGCGAGCTTGGGCCTAGAAGTATCCACTTTTAGTGCGCGACGCGGTAAGTGGCTTAATGGGTTGCAGGAAGGCCTTAGGAAGAAGGTACGTACTTCCCCGGCTTATCGACGTAGCTGGAGGTGTCCACTCTATCTTGTATTACCTAAGCAGATTCCCCTCTTTTTCGGAGAAAAGAAGAGGAGTAGATAAGATGTACTGGACGTACTTTTTTTTTATCCTTCGTACTCCGAGCAACTCGAAACTTGGAATATTCACCTCAGTTCACTTCACTATGATCTGGAATCAACAGCAAACCATGAAGTTCAAGGTGGCAAGTAATGATTTTGGTGCGAATATGGAAAACCCAAAATCGCTATGGTAGTTGATAAAGGTCAAATCAACCCGTACCTGAGCGGAGGAGATCCACTCGTAAAAAAGTGGTTGATGTGGTAACGATGGTGCTTAGGTGGTGAGCAGGTGAAAAGCAATTCAAGACTATGAATCATGGTAAGTTATACATCCAATCTTAGCTAAGCATGGAAATAGGTAAGAGCTTGAAACAGGAAAACTCACCTTCACTCTGCTTTAAGATAGAAGCAATTGTGATGAGTAGGATGGACTTAGTCCGTAGGGGCTTGGTTTCGAAGGAATAGGTCTTCCGGGAAAGCGTATCCTCCCTATTATAGAATGTAAGTGTAATTAAAGACTCAAGTTGACTACTGTTGAAAGAAAGGAAATTAGGAAACTGAGGCCCTAATATACTGAAAATAATTGTATGGGGTGTATGGGCAGAGTTTCGCTGTCGAGCAGCGCGTCGCCGCATTTGCGACGTTATTATTGGCGGTACCTTCACCTGGAGATTCGGGTGATTGATTGGTCTGTCGAGTACCAATATGTGCCAATCAATCCGTTTAATAATTACAGTGGTCTTGCTCAAACTCCTCGTTATCATAGAGCAAGATCCCGATATCACGATCCTCTATCATCGTCACATAATTAGGCAGCATCGGTTGCGATAGAGGCAGCAATATTATTTTCTAACTACCTAACTACTGACTATAATCAGCCTACTCGTGATCGCTTCGAGGGCGGCTCATTATCAGTACGTGGCCCAGTATTGTCCTCGGGCTCCTCGATAGACGGTGGGAGTTTAAAGCCATCGTCTGGAATATCGGGAAGACCTCCACCATTGCCAGAAGAACCGTTGTTATCACTACCGCTGCCTCCATCCCCATTGATCAAGGAGGAGTCTTGCTTATCCGAGGAACTCATGTTGGCCAGGGCAGGGACAATCCGTTTTCGTTCGATAATCGCAGTGAAATGATATCAATGTCTTTTCGCTCTAATTGGATGTTCGCTTTTTAAGGGCGCCGATGGGATCGTGGGTGAAATTTTGCGCATTGAGTATGATAGGTATGAGGTGAGTGCTGAAAAAATCTTTACCAGAATGCAACCAAGCAATTCGAATAAATAAACATCAAGAGTATGGCCATTTACGCCCTGATTAAGCGTATAGTGAGCGATGCCATATCGTGGATGACGAAACACAGCAGTACAAACACTCATGGTAGAGTCTACTCAGACATGATTCACTGGCTCGACTCGAATCTCATGTCACACTATCTAGAAGAACTTCATAATCGTGTGTAAGGGACGCGTGGAAAGGGGGATAGGGGGTTCGTAGCACATATACCGTCCTATAGATCATCTAGCAGAGGATGGTGCAATTAATCAACGACTTGCGATGTATCGCAAACGAGTGTTTCTTTCAAAACTACGAGGTGAGGATTACTACGTGGACACGTGGCATAAGTGTTCATTATATCAATCACTGTTGTCTTGTATCGCGCATACGTGGCAAAAACTCATCGCATTCCATTAGGTATACCCTCAGGTAAGAACAAGAGAAAGGAATAAAAACCGCCCCATTCCCATAACCTTCACCAGCCTCCCGTTTCATCAACCATCACTGCTATCCCGCCTCCTCCATTTTCTCCTCAAAGACCGCCCCTATACCCATTGCCAACTCCGAGCCCACAAGTCGTAACCATAGGTGGTGGGTAGGAGACCATCAATGATCAGTCAATTACTTGCCGGAGCATCCGCCGCCAGAGCAACCGCCACCAGAACAGCCTCCCTCTCCACTGCTGCCTCCGCCGCAGCATCCACCGTCACCGCCACGGCAGCACCCGCCACCTCCGACGCTCGGGCCGTGATCGCCGGAACCGCTAGGGGTGGTGTCGCCACCAGGCTGGGGGGCCTTCTTGGTGCGAGTGATGAGCACGGAAATCTTGGAGAAGCGCATTTTGGCTGCGAGGATTGGTTGGTTGATTTTCCGATGAAAAGTCTTAAAAGAGTAGATTGTTTTTCCGTAGGTTTGGTATTGGTATCGGTATTGTTTTGTAGTGTGAGTTGTGTTTTTCGGTGAGATAGAATGAAGAGAAGAGAGAAGAGAGAAGAGAAGAGGGTCAAAAAACAGATGCGAGATGTGTTTAAATAAAAAAGATCAAACTCGGCATTGACCAGATGATTGGGGAAACAATGACCAGGAAAACAGATCATCGCATGATGGAAGAATGGAAGGCAGGTGCTGGGTGTTGCATATTTAGGGGGAGATACTGACTTCGATCTAATGTTTCCTGATGTGGTTTGCGGCGACGCCCTTTCTACGCTTAGCATCCATCAGGGGCAATCCACAATGGCAATTAGTTGGCGTTGTAAGAACAGCACGTAGCTGCAGGGAAGCAGGTACTCCCAACATCATCATCTTACCTTAGAACCTAGGTGCAACGACACTACCGAGGATGAGATGAAATTCAAAGTGTCTGTCATGTTTCTAATAGCACGTGGTTATATGTTTGGATTTTTCTTGGCACACATGTATAACACATGTCAATCCTCAACACAAGAGATGATAAAACACCCTGATCATGACTACTGATTGGTAACATCTACAAACAATGATCCGGATTCCCTGATGGGTTCCCCCACCACTCAGGGAACGGATATGCCTTTCCACTAGCGCCGAACACTGCAAAGGAAAGCAGGAATATCACCAACTGAGACCCTCCGTCTAGTGCCGCGCCGATGAGATAATTGTACTTATTATAGATCTTCGGCATGCGACGTCTGAGCCAGATCTGTGAGAATATACCAACCGCAATCGAGGACCAAATCCATGAGGTATTTCCGTAATAGTTTAGGCCAGCGTAGGCGCATATAATTGAAGTGTTGATAGGAATATCCTTCAGTTTTGGGAATAACTTGATCAGACCCCAGTGAATAAGGGGAACGAAAAGACCAATAACGATACCCATAGGAACGATAAAGTAGCGCCCCGCCGGACCGTACATCTCCTTCGCTAAGGCCCATGTGACAGCCTGCGTGTTGAAGCTCTGTATTACCGAACCGCTCCAGATATTATTACCTGCAGGATCGAGGAGAATCTCTCGTTGGCTATTGACGATGATGGTCATGACGGCGTAGTTCAGGCCTGCTCCGAGAAGAGTAGCGTAAATCTGGGTAAAAAACATAACGCGATGCGGCACCTTAGTGTATTGTCCGACTTTGAGCCAGTTGGCCAAGTTGACCGCGAGAAGGATGACTTGATGCGACCAACTAGCGAAGTATAAGTTGGCGAGAGGAAGACTAGGGTGCACGGCGCCAGCGACCATCTTGGAGATCTGATTGGTAGCCACTCCGCTTCCGTATAACCCATACAGAATACAGGAGAATGGGGCAATGAAAGATCCCAGAAGAAGAGAGATGATGTAACCCCACCAAGGAAGCGTGGTTTCGCCAATAATGTTAACAGCTAACCCAGCAAAAAAGCAAAGGACAAAAAGAGCTAGATACCACCACTGTGGTACTTCCTTATACTTCAACATGCCCTGGTAATGCGGATCGGGTTGAGTTCTACTGCGCGCTTGTTTCCACGCGAGAACCATATCCTTGCCGTAGAATATAAGGACGTGGGTGATTAACGCCCCTATAGCTAAATTCTGCGTGAAATAACCCCAAACCGTGCTTGAAGTTAGATATGGTAAACCAACCTCAGCTAACTTGGCCTCATCGACGATACCATCGTCGGTCAAGATTGATGTAGGATGGAACACTGTGCCATTTCCTGCGAATAGAGACGTTGACATGAAGGGGAAGCTCTTAGCGCTCCATGTATCATTGTAGTACAACCCGAGCAGTGCAGCATACAATATGATATAACCAATCCAGGAATTGAATTGTTGCTTTAGTGGTAGCGACAGAAACTGACTCTGAATGTACTGCCAGTCAAGGCTGAAATTCAGTATACCCATCCCTTCATTCGAAGAAGCGCCTCCAAAGATGGTTGAAAATATCGTGCGTGTGGATTTCGGAGCGTTGATAGACGCCAAGCAGAATATCGAGATGCCACTAAACCATGGAATGATATAGGCCGGAAATATTTCCCACACGACGGCGAAGAAAAGAGCCCAACCGAATTTGATCAATCGACCTCGATTGGCGACGTGATCGAAGTGCAGATTTTGGAAAAGCACTACTTGCGGCAGTGTCAACCAATACACCATTTCCGCGGGGTAGACGATTAGCGGTCGCAGCAAGCCGGCCAATACGAAACCGCAGAGCGAAATCGAGAAGGTCGCGAGGACGGCAGTGGAGGCGGAGATACTCCGATCGTAGAATAAGCGTTCCGCGGCGTACACCTCAACTCCGGATAAGCCATTGTTGGCCGATGAGGCAACAAGCGATGCTACGACGTGCTCTTTGATGCCGAAGGGTTGACCGGAGTTGACGAACTTGAGTGTATTCTGTATCCACTTTGTCTTGAATCTATCCGGGCGGGGGGTCGAGAGAGCCCATGCTTCGCCAAATATAAAAACCAAGACTATTGATGTTGAGCACGTATTCATAGGAGTTGACGGATCCTCAATCGGAGAGGAGGTTAAACATACGTTGGATGAAAATAGTCGAGACCTGTACCTGAAATGGTTTGAACAGGTAAAGCATAGTAATCACGCTAGAGAGAGCAGTGAATACGGAGCCCAAGACGATGGAACGGAAAGTAAATGCAGGATCGCCATCGTCACGAAGTGATATCAAGAACCTAGATACATCGATTCCTACCAGATGTGTTATGTTAGTTGCGGGAATTGAAAGGGGTGCAGGATACTATTTACCATTCCGAATAACGGGATGCCCTTTTACGTGCACAACCCCATCGTCATGCTGGGAATCCTCGTGGCTCTCAGTGCTTGTGTCGTGTAGCGCATTGGCACTTGTTTTATTGCTGAGGGGCTCGACAGTTGTCTCTGCCACAACTTTCTTGGGCTCATCCGGAGCACGGGTTCCAGTTGGATCCGACATCTTCTAGAAAACGTGGAAAAGGAGCAAGATCTACAAGAGATTCGCTACTACATGGATATGCATGCATAGGGTGAGATTGATCGAAATAGAAAGCAGAAAATGAAAATCCCAGCATGATATATACTTCATTGTTTTGGGTACCAAAAAGGCTCTTTTTCGCCTCCCATGGCGAATGGACTGTGTCGCACGGGTAAAACTAGAACCATACAGGCAGGTCAGGATGCGATTCATGGGTGACATGCTACACGGGCCGTAATGGCATCAAAATGGCAAACGATGTCGCGATAGTGCATTGTGGACTAGATAAGTGATCTAGAGCGGGTAGCACAGGAAGTGGAGTTGTCCGGATTTGGAAAAAAAAAAAAAAAAATCTCTCGAATCGAAGGAGAAGATGCGAAAGGAATTATGATGAAGGTGCTATCTCGAAGATAAAACGAACTTTAGTAGGCTATAAGAATTATGATATCCCTCAAAGTGAGACATCGTAGTGGTTGCTTGTGCTTAATAAGAAACTCCGGGACGCTTCGAGATTCTATAATCTCGCTGACTGGTTGAAAAACAGACCAATGTTTAGGGATGGGACAGGGGCCTGTCATCCCTGAAAGATTGATATAGGTGTCCCGGGCATTATACTTAGGTCTCGATCGCGAAGAGCCATTTCGCTCTTCCCTAGCCTATCAAATTTGTATAAGCATGTGCCGTGTCAATTTTCTTCCTGATCTCAATTTCTGTCAGCAATGTTTCTTACTCTATAGGGATTTTCATTCATGTACTTATAGGCTTCAAAGCCCAGCATATGGAAATGCCCGCGGCGCTCTGACGACTCGTACTACCCACCTGGAGGAACAGCCTGTAGCTTGCCGGTATCGTTTTGGTACTGCGTTCGATAACCTGGAATTTTCGCTTAACCCACTGACTGGAATCTTAAGCGCTAGGCCGCCTTCAAGCGAAGTGCCATGTCTAAGGCCCGACCCGGCTGCGCCTAGGGAACGGCTACTGCCGGCGTCAACTCAAACTGGAGACATGGAGGGCACTCCAGTCAGTATATTCAAGGTCGCAACGTTGGTTCGTGTGTGCCAGGAAGAGCATGAAACATACGGTACTTATTTCTTAGGAGGTAGGTAACGTCTACACAGAATAGACGGGACGTTGGCCTCTGTGGCGGCCTCGAGGCCAACTAACAGCTCCATTATTCACCTGTGGGTGATAAATGACAGGTATATATCCAGCTTTGGTTGGCACCCTCACGCTACCAATTGAGAATATTTACCCCCAATTGTGTACGTAGCCGTCGATTTTGAAAATGAAAACAGCGACATCGGGGTCCAGGCAAAGCCTTGTTTCAACTTCTTCCCGCCGTTTCCCTGACTGAATTTTCTTTATTAAAAAGTGTTGTCTTCACAAGTGTTATGGCATCCAATTCTTGCCTAGATCCCCGTACTCCAAGCAACATGAGTGACTGCGGATCAAAATCAACATCAAGCCCGCCAACAGATTACACCCCAACGCACACGACAGACAGCCATTCCCCCGCGTCCAACAAACCTTTTACAATTGATGGAGGCGGGATCGGGACGGCCCCCGAAGCAGACAGGATATACATAATCAGAGACTTGGACACCGGCAAAGCGCTCACATTGGAAGGTGGACATCTAACTTTAAAAGGTGCCGACACAAACGGCGGATGGCGCTGGGAGTGCGTCGAGAGAGGCGGTGGCTGGCTTGGGTTTCGCGAGCTAGTCTCACATAATTACCTAGGGCGCAATGGCTTTGGCGGGTTTTGGGCCGTCGTTCCTTGGTGTGCTGGTTGGGAAAATTTCGCTCTTCGGCCACTGGAAGTTGGGGGCTACCACCTAGTGAGTATTAGGATCGAGTTGCGCGTGATTTTTTTTTGGATTATGTCATTAAGTTATGAATCCCCAAGAATATGAAGTATAACATGGCTGACGAGAATGTTTGCATACACGCAGATGAGTCCCAATTGGTGGAGTTTCCGGCGTGTGAGTGTCTCAAGCACTGGTAAGTTAGTCGAGGTATTATCGGCGCCAGAAGCAATTCGCTGGGAGTTTATTGAAGTTGGCCGTTAGAATCCGATGAAATGATACAATAGATCTAGTAAGGTCCATATAGCTGATTTTGTGTCGCTCTAAAAATAATCGCAAAACCGACATAATAACCCTCAAAAACTTAGGTACATATCTACCATAGCGGGAAAATACAGAATGATGTTACCGTTACTGTATTTGGCAGTAACCGTAGAATTGTAGCCGTAGAAGTCCAGCTGTCATAATAAAAAAAGAAAAAAGAAAATAGAAAGAGTGACGCGAATGGGTTCCAGTAACGGTATCTGTATGAAGAGTAACAGTAACTCGACCTTAGTAACGGTAACAGTCAATCCACTCTTTTCGGTATGGTAGGTACCTAGGTTGTATACTGCATACCTTCTAGAAGCCCATCTCATTGAAAGAAAGAGATGATTGCAAGCCTTTCAGCCCTTGCAGGCCTGCCACATGGGCTTGGGCGGTATCTGCAGAGGGGATTGGTCACGCCACGCCTCTTCATTCCGTCATCGCGCGTTTCCGCGAGGTGCGCATCCATATTGTCTGCACCTCGCTCGTGACGAGTTTGTTCGTTGGTTGCTCTCAAATGCAAGGCGGCGCTTTCTCGGTTCTGTCTGCGTTGCAGATCGGCTGGGTATCAGATGGTTTTGAAAAAATCGCCTAAGTGACACGAAAAGCCAAGCGGTATTAGCGAAAAAAGCGGCCGTCATAGGCTTAATCAAAATGCGGGATTTCAGGTTATCCCGTCCCTTAGGTCAGTCGGCCATTCGGACTTGACGCTTGCCTTTGTTTTGAGGTCTTTCCTTTCATTTCATTTTGAATCCCATTGCGGGGAGGATGGGCACTAGGACAAGAAAGAATGAAGTAGTTAATAATTGTTGGATTTGTAACCAGTTTAGCCTTGGTTTGGTTTTTGTTCCCCGTACCATAATCGAGATTAGAAATTCGGCCGAACGTTTTTGCCAGGCTCGGGGGTAAACTACCATTCAGGTGACCGCATCCAAGGATTAGAAAGCGGTGGAAATCGGGCAAGCTTGGTCTTAGCATGCGAACTATCCCGTTCTTGTAGATGGGTTTGCCTGTTTGTATGTCCGTCACCACCGTTGTTGGCGGGTATTAACCCCACAAAATTCGATGACCAGATAAGTCCTAGTCGGTGCTACTCTAAGCGAGCAGGGAACCGATGCCTTGCGGAGAAGAAACCTGATAGGTGATGTTTGCGCCAGGCCAGCAAGACGCGTGTCGATGTTTTACAAAAAAGACAGACCACAGCTATGACGGCGGTGGCAGCGGCAGCCTACATTATCGGCGCCATAAGCAGGTCGCACTGCTGATGAAGGAAGTTCATGACGATTTAGTCTTGTATTCCCGCCATTTGATGCTGTCGTCACTTGGTGTCAAGGAGGGAAGACTGGGGAATGCGAACGATGGGACCATGGCCTTGTATCCGTTGCATTGGGACCGATGGTCCCTAGTAGCGTCGTGATGATCACCTGCCATTTCAAGTCTAGAACTTGTCGAACGGTCGAATTAGAAGCGATAACCAACACTTGGCCCGACCTGGGAGCGTGGCAAGTGGAGCTAGTGAGACATCAATTGAAAAGTCCCAAGAAGGCTCCTTTACATGCGCACACCTATCGCGAGGTTGTATGTATGTACATACATAAGTAGTACATGACCCCCGGTCCTCTCCCCCACTCAAGTCGATTTTCGCCGCTTTGTAAATTGTAACAGATTTGATGGGATTTAAATTTTGATGTCGTAAATAAGAAATACAAAGCTCCGATTGCTACCGGGGGGCCAGCAAGAAATGTCGGGCGAGAAATATCCGGGTCGAAAAGAAAAATAAGTGAAATAACATAACATAACATACCTGCGGAATGTTGAACGAAGAGTGGCATAAAAGACTCACCACATATGTACACTGCTTGTACGTCTCACGACACGTTAGCTACGAGATACAAATCTAGATAACACGTCTTCTGCAAGAACGGGTTTCCCTTTGCGGAACTGAATTGAAGGTGTCTTTAAGGTCAACATGAGATATATATAGATAAGTAGGGATGATGGTGTGTAGGAAATCCGGATTAGATATTTTCGAGCAAAGAAAAAGAAAAGAAAAGAAAAGAAGAATTTGTTAAACTTCAGCGTTAGTTTGGTACCTACATACATTCAAGGATACAACAGGTTCGCATCCGACGGATTTAACTCTCAGTGCTGTAAACCATTAACTTTGCACTAATGAAATGGAACAACCATCTGGGAAACTCAATTAGAAAGACTGCAGATCGGATGACTCCAAAGTTACAATTGCCTAGGTACTATTTAGTACTGTAAGCAACCTTAATGAGTTACACGACGCGCTTAATAAAGTTGAATAAAGAGCATCCCATTTGAACCGTATCCTCCGCTAGTGGAGTAAAAAAAAAAAAGTACCTACCTCCAAGGCTAGGTAGAAGGAGGCTTGGTGTTAAGTCCGAACGACGCTAATCTTTGGGGGGGCTTGTTACCCCATCTTTTCGAATCTCCAGGCCTTTGCAGCAGTTACTAGTTACTACACTCACACTAAAGCAAAACCTAGGGTTAGTTCAGGGCGCGCTCATCCCAGTGGCACCAGTAGCATCAGTGGCAGCGTCAGCGGCATGACCACACCCCGGCCATACTTCCGGCTCCTTCCAATGCTTGCACCCGATCGAATCCTCCATCGAACCAGCAACAGTCGCTCGCTTCTTCCTTCGATTCTTCGTTGGATAATTCTTATTTTTTAACAAACTCAGCATAGGTTTCTTTTCTCTTTCGATAATTCATCAACTTACTCATCTTTCGAGTCCTATTAGTCGATAATCATCTTAACCGCACCAACCAAATAGAGAAAGTTGTCGTTGTATTGTCTTAGACGAACCAATCCACTACTACTACTACCACCACCAAAAAACCACCGACCTACTTGAATTGACGATACCGAATAAATCGGACATTAGAACGATACATACATCGGAGCATTCCCTTCCAAAGATATACGACTTCCATATTGGCGACGTACATAATCTAAAAGATTGGAAATATCGTATCCATTCATTACCGAGAAAGAATCCTACGGATGACTATCGCCGTCGACCTCCTTCGTTTTCGTTGACCCCTCGGCCGCGCTTCGACGCTGGCTCGTCACGAACAATATTGCGCTATTTCCGGCAATTTAAGTTGCCTATGTTCGCACAATGGCGAGTTTCTTGAACAAATTTAAGACGGGTACTGCGGTAAGTTGTCGAATCTTGGTTTGAGGCTGTCGTAGTCGCACCTACACAATGTAGAGTACTTCTAGTGTCTCGAGCTATGAATGCGACCATTTTTATGTGTATTGACATAATAATAGACCACCTCGAACTCGACCACCAAAGATGCGCAAAAGAAGAAAGAAGAGGCTTTGCCGGAGGTCACCCCTCTAGAAAAGATGCTCCAGAATGCCGGCGCACTTCGGCAAGATGGAAGCGACAAATTCTTTGGTATGGAGAATGTAAGTCTAGCCCCAGATGCCCTTCAAATCCTCGTACCACCTAAAATAATGCTGACCCTAGTAATATAGTTCGGTAACACTTGGTAAATGATTGCTTATTCCACAATCCTCAGAGGAGATGTGTTCTAACCATAACGCAGCTATTGTAACTCGATCGTCCAAGCCCTCTATTATACCGTACCGTTTCGAGAACAAGTCCTCAAATTTCCCTCATTGTCCCCGCCAGATACACCGAACGGCAATCGGCCTAGAGTAAACGTCCAGATTAGAGCACCGGTCACAAACGGAAGCGCACATGGGGGCGCGAATGGGAACAAGAAAGCTCTTAGCGCAGCCGATGCGATGGAGAGGAGAAAACAGATCAACTCGGGACAACCTCAACCCGTCCGACCGGAAGACAAACCAGATACTCCAGAATACAAGAAGAAACAGGCAATGTTGAAGGGCCCCATATTAGAGTTGACGCAAGAAAGCAACGAGACTTTCGGTATGGATGAGTGCACATTTACTGGTCTCAGAGATATTTTCATGGCTCTCGTCGATAGTACGGTTCGCACGGGAGTCCTTAGTCCGCAACGCTTCCTTGAGATTTTCAAGCGCGATAACGAAATGTTCCGCAATTCAATGCACCAAGACGCACACGAATTCTACGGCCTCGTATTAAACGACATAATATCGAATGTCGAAAGTACAGCTAAACGATTGCTAAACGGGCACGCGGCTCGTAACGGAGCGGATGTTGAAGAGTCGCTCAAAACGGCCTTAGGAGCGATCGCTAAGACCACGAATGGCACCAATTCCCCTGGGACTGGTTGGGTACACGATATTTTTGAGGGCGTGTTAACCTCAGAGACAAAATGCCTCACTTGCGAGACGGCTTCTCAGCGCGATGAGACGTTCCTGGACCTATCAATTGACTTAGAAGAACATACTTCGGTGACTGCTTGCCTACAGAAATTTTCGGCTGAAGAGATGCTTTGCGAAAGGAACAAATTCCATTGCGACCACTGCGGAGGGTTGCAAGAAGCCGAAAAACGTATGAAAATCAAACGATTGCCGAGGGTTTTAGCCTTACATCTTAAGAGATTTAAGTATACGGAGGACTATAGTCGGTTACAGAAGCTGTTTCATCGCGTAGTATACCCATACCAACTAAGGATGTTTAATACGACCGAAGATGCAGAAGATCCGGATCGATTATACGAACTTTACGCTGTGGTCATCCATATTGGTGGCAACGCTTATCATGGGCATTATGTTTCAGTCATCAAGACGGAAGACCGAGGTTGGCTTTTATTCGACGACGAGATGGTTGAGCCAGTTGACAAGCATTATGTTCGGAATTTCTTTGGAGACAAACCTGGAATGGCTTGTGCGTACGTCCTATTCTACCAAGAGACGACGTTCGAAAAAGTGCGGGCCGAACAAGAGGCAGAGGGTCTTGAGGAGGTTAGGATAGCTAGTGAAAAAGCTGGCGTCGCTCAAGAAGATGGTCAACCAAACGGGCAAGCCCCTGGGCTATCAAGGCAATTGACACAGCCAATTCGGCCGCCCGAGGAACAAGAGGGATTGACCACTTTGGACCATGCTGCTACGGCGCCAGATATGGTAACTGACCCGACAGCTCCTTCTCCAGGATTACCGCCCCAACTTGACGGTGCGGATATACCTGCTCCCCCGCTTCCGCCGAGAGTCAATACAATTAAAGGGGAGCCCAAATCGAAAGAAGAAAAGAGTCGAGAGAAGAAGGAAGCTAAGGCTCAGGAAAAGGCACGGAAAGTGGCAGAGAAAGAAGACCTCAAGGCTAAAGAGAAACAACGAAAAGAAGCCGATGCACGGCTGCGTGAAGCCCGCAAAGCCGAGCAGGACGAGCTAAAGAAAGCTCTAGAGGCAAGCAAAAAGATAGCCGAAGAAGAGGAAGCCAAGCGAAAAGAAGCAGATGATGACGTTCCAGCCCTACAGAGACCAAGCAGGGGTAGTAGGACTATGTCTAGGAAGAGTTTCGGGTTCTTGAACAAGGACAAAGCGAAACGGGACAGTACGGAAATAGCCGAAAACGGACACAATGGCGAGAGCGCGGTACACAGCCACGACAAGCCAGAGCAGCATTTCAAGCTTAGAAAAAGCTTCAGCTTCAGTCTTGGGCGGAAGAAGAGTCATAATAACCTCTCGTGAACATTTAGCTGGAGTTTAGGGGTTTTTCTTTTCAACGGGATAATTACCCTCACACCTCGGCAAAATAGCGTGACGGGTATGGCATATATGGAGTTTGGGGACATCAAAAAAAGAAACACGATGGTCACGGAGCATTTACGGATTAGCGCCAAAGCTGAATTTTGTTTTGGGTACTCTGTAGAGCAAGGCTTACTGCTACAGTACTGGCATTTTGATTTCCTGCCACATCAGGAGTCAGGCTTGTTCATGTCACTGAAGATATCATGTATAATACGGTCAAGACCTAAGAGTTCATACGCGCTCGTAGTTGTAGAGGGTAGAGAAGAGAAAGCAAAAGCTTTGCTACTATCAATTTGGTAGAGATCCTAGTGTCAATTCACTACCGCATAGTATATTACTATAATCCGGTTCCTCCAACTAACAGTTCTTCTTGCCCGACCGTTCTCATTTTTGACCATGTCCCGCCAAACCGAAGTGTGTGTATCGTACACCCAAACGCCAAATTTAAATCGAATGCACGCCTTTATATCATTATCTTGCGTCGTGGCGCCTATGCACTCCTTTCTAGCCCAAGACCAGCTCGTAGATTATTATTAACGTATTGACCGCTATTAACGGGACTATTATTCCTGTTAGCTTCCCTACATGCCCACATCGTAATGCCTCCTCCCTATGCGAAAAGGGGTTGGGGAACGTACTCCTCATTAATGTTCGTACGCTGGCGATTAAGTTGATGACCTTCGCTTTGACACTCTGGGAATCGGGGCCGGCGCCGAATGCTGGGTCGTAGGAGGCAGATGAGAGATTTACTGAGAACGAGAATGGCTTATTAGTATAGGCGTTTATAGGTTATAGGGGAATGGAGGTAGGTTGGCGCATACTGCGTGCGAGGAAACGGTCTTCGGAGAGGATGGCGATCGCGTTTACGAGGAGGACCGAAACTGAGTTGTCGCATTAGTTATTGCTGTGGATATCGGAATAAATTGAGAGTGGCTTTACCATAGAGTAGGTTCCCAAGGAGCAGCATTTTGGCGGGCTGGTGTTGAAGGGCATGTGAGAATGCAACTTGGATGTAGAAACGTGCGACTTTCCTGCTTTGCTGCTTTCAAATGTTAAGGTGCTGTAGGTATACATGGGTGGTACTTACAAGGGACAGGTGTCAACGGTGCGGTGTCGGGTCGGAGGCTGGAATAGTGGATCTGCACGTGGCGGTGCAGAGAAGGAAAGTACCTTCGGCGTCCCAGTTTAATTGCTGTCTGTTACACTCATTGAAGGACTCTCTTGTCTCTTACATCAACCATCAAAATGAGATGATTCTAGTTATATAACAGCAGGCCTGTGAACGACATTGTGTCTTAAATAATCGCCGATAACCTGAACCCAAGTCGCTCATTTACCATCAAAAATCAACAAAACTTGTACATTAGATGTTTCCGAAGGTTCACGCCGACCTCCTTTAAGTATATGGTCTAAATGGCAGCACTCGGTATGGTATTGATCTTTTAATACTTTATTCTTCATGATCGATCGCTAATAAATTTCAAGACTTATTACTGTCGTTGGCAATACCAGCCTTGATTTTGACCCACCTCTTAGTGGCGCCTTACACCAAGGTCGAAGAGTCGTTCAATATTCAGGCAACTCACGATATCCTTGTCTACGGGACACCTACCAATAATATATATGAACGACTCTCAACTCAATATGATCATTTTGATTTCCCTGGTGCTGTCCCCAGGACCTTCATTGGTCCGGTCTTATTAGCGGGGATTAGTCAACCTATCATCGCAGCGGTGGGATTCCAATATGCGCAACTAATCGTGAGAGGTCTTTTGGGACTTTTCAATGCCGGCGCGTTGTTGGTATTCAAGTCAAGTGTGAAGCGGGCATTCGGAAGGTCAACTGCGAGGTGGTATGCATTACTGCAACTCAGCCAATTCCATATCCTGTTCTATGCTTCTAGAACGCTACCCAATATGTTTGCTTTTGGATTGAGTAAGTTATTTCCCCTGAAGTTACTATCCTTGAGTCATGAGTATGGTCTTAATCTGATTCTCTTCAGGCACCTTGGCGTTTTCACAATTGATAGGACATCCCGATGAAAAGGTGCGAGCCTGGCGCTATAGGATGGCTATTGGCAACTTAACCATTGCTGCTGCCGTATTCAGATCAGAATTGGCTATCCTCCTCATTACCACCACACTCTATAACCTGGCTCGATCCCATATATCACTACGCCAAATAATCCCTACCTTCCTTATATTCTTCGTCCTCTCGTTGGTGGTAACGATACCAATCGATTCTTACTTCTGGCAAAAGCCGCTATGGCCAGAGCTATGGGGATTCTACTACAATGCCATTCTTGGCTCTTCATCTGAATGGGGAGTTTCTCCTTGGCATTATTATTTCACATCGGCGATACCCAAGATTCTCATGAACCCGTTGAGTACAGCTGTCCTCATCCCATACGCGCTTTGGAATGCCGGAACGAAGAGCCAAGCCCAGCCATTGGTAATACCTAGCATCCTGTTCGTAGCGATATACTCTCTGCAGCCGCACAAGGAGGCCCGGTTCATATTCTACGTCGCACCCCCGTTGACCGCGGCGGCAGCCCTAGCGGCTAACTATATCTTCACGAGGCGTACTAAATCCGTTAGTTTCTTACTTGCGTCTGTTGTGATTGCCGGCTCGGTAGTTGCATCCTTTAGCCTCAGTACGGCCATGCTCGTCATATCTTCTCTTAATTATCCGGGGGGCGAGGCACTTTCGGAGCTCCGCAACCTCGTAACTTCGTCTTCCTCCCTCGATCTTCAGACCGTTACCGTTCACACAGACGTACTGTCGTGTATGACTGGAGTGACTCTCTTCGGACAGCATCCTTATCCGCCTAATGATCCCCGCCCGACTAACGAGATAGTGTTCACTTACGATAAGACTGAAGACGAAAACACGCTGCGTAGTCCATCATTCTGGGAGAAATTCGATTACGTGCTCGCCGAAGACCCGAATAAGACAATAGGCCCGTGGGAGACGGTCGGAGTAGTGGAAGGTTTTGCCGGAGTTGAAGTAATGAAGCCGGGTACGCCGTCCAAGGGGGATATTGAAAGTGGCCAAGACAGAGTATTCGGCAGAGGTTCTCTGGTAAGAAAGATGAAGGGCCATATTAGGAGGTTGACAGGTGGTTGGTGGGTTGGCCCGAGGATGGAGCCGAAAATCCACATGCTGAGGAAATTGCGGGAGGGTGAGGCTAGGAGAGCTGTGACGGAATGATGGCTCTAGTTCTTTAAAATCTAGATAGGCTGAAAACCAAAAGTCGATTGCCGAGCGTGGCATTCTATTCCCGATATGGCTTCACGGCCCGCAGACCACACCGGGTGTGAGAAAAGGAGTGAATGATCCGGTGGCAACTAGACACCGCCTTGCTGGTGTAAGGTTGGACGGGGCTGACGGATCGCTACTATAATATGTAGGTCTTCATAAAATGCTTACCTAGATTGGTTGTATTATTTGCAGAATTCTGCCCGCTAATTCCTCGCGTCCAATCTGGCGAGTCAGCCCAACACCCTCAGATCTACCCATCTTGCAGCCCCCAACCTGTGATGCTACCCCCCGACGTAGCCTCGCCCACGGATTATAATCTGAGGCGTTTGGTACCTACCAGCCTCACCCACGTACCGGCGTCGGGTTTGACGTTTGTCGTTATGAATTTTCGGCTGGCATGATGCATATTCCATATCAGGAGATATGTTGGTGGTGGTCGAGGCCTATGACTTGCATGGAGGCTGCGTTTTAGTAACCCGTGACGAAGCAACCGTAAGGCTTGACTGTTGTATAATTCCTAAGTAGGTAGGTGGGTATGGCTTAATATGATGAGCAAGTTACACTACAGAGGGAGACGGGATATTGTATGTGGGTAGGTGGTATAAATGTAGGCAGGCAGAGCCATATCTATACCAATACCTATTTCTATAATTATACCTGCCTAGATACTAAATGGTACCTATTTTGGGCGCATAAATGGATCTGGGGAGTAAGACGGTAACATCGATAATATCGATTATCAGCAGCAGCCGAGAAAACAGAACCATCCAGACCGACGGTTATGCGCACCTGTAGAAGCAAGCTGTTCAATGATCGACCAACCGCCCTGCCATCCTAAGATAGCTACATAGCTCTGTAATTCTAGGGCTGGAAGCTCTAAGTTTAGGGAGCTTAGGGGGTGATATTCTTAGTTGAATTGTTTATTTTTGGTTGCACTTTTTGATTGTTGCGAGTGGGATGTTGAAAGGGAAAAGAAAGAACATCGGAGTGTGTCACAAGCTTGTGAACATTGAAGATTTATGTAGAAGATGTATAAATGTACTAGGTACTTATGTTACGGTACAAAGATGCATTGTCTTGTCTCAGCGCTTTGTACACAGGAAGGCGGCGTCAAAGAACAGGGTAGACCCCTGGTTCCCGGAATTCGATTGGTGGGGACGAAATTTGGGGGTCTGAGGGGTCCAATTGTCAGAACCTTCGCTCGATTCGTCCTAATGGGGTGTCCTAATCAAGTGTTCCGCTAGGTGCATCCCAAGCAGTTGCTACATGTAGGGTGGGAACTACCTAGTACCATCCTAATTCATGTGTATAATCTTTTAATACAAGCATGCACGTGGGAGAACATTCAAGGTTCTAGCAATCTAACGAGCTAAGGGAATAGGCTATCGCTTTCCTCCACTTTTCACACCTTTACAACATTACACAATCACGGATGGTGGATTTAGGATTTGGGGGGTTTTCGCAGGAGGACTCCAACCAAAATATCTTCAGTTACCTAACTTACCTAGGCATTTAGTTCTATCAAGTATTACATGCCTTAGATACCGGACGTATAATTCTCGACAGGACTTGGCTTTTCCTCAGAATTGCATCCAATCTGTCGTGGATTGGAACTTCGGGCTCTCGAGAAATGCGGGTTCCGCCTGATTCCAGTACGTGTACCTGAAACTGGCTGAGCGATCTGCACGACCAATTCATACCAAAGCAACTATTCTTTCTATTTGCTAGGACGAATCGACTTGTATTCCAATACAGGAATAAAACAAGGAAGGGAAAAAAAAGAAGAAGACGACGGCCGACCACAGGGTGACACACGACACACGACACACGACACAATCAACCAATTCCGACAAAGCATATTGAATTATTGAATACGTATCACTTCCCGTACGCCCTTGCCTCGCGCCTTTTCTCACCATTCATTCTCACAAATCCATACATCTAATTTATTTGCGGAATACAGGAGTAGAAGGAGTGCGTATTGGTTGTATGTACATTTGAATCCCCCTGCCATATTTCCATTCCACCGCCACCCTTCTTCGGTAGTTTATAGTGGGTAACAGAACCGACTAACGTTGCCTGGTTCAGCCGTGTGTGTATTAGTTGTATCTGTTGTATCTACTATATCATTATTCCACCGCGACGATCCCAGCCAAACTAGACAGCATTACAATCTCGCTATCTCGAACAGACGGGTGGACACTTAGGAAATCCGTCACACACACAAACACAAAGGTAAACAACACTCAACTTCCACATTCAGATACAGCAACCCCTGGCAACAAAATCTTCAGACCGACTCCTAGTGCTGACCTTTAATGCACACGCGACAGCGACAAGGCATTGGATCCTATTAAAATCGGCTGTGCCTTTTTTTGCCATTGACCCTAGTTTTTGTATACGAGATAATTTACAATCATCTACACGACTAGCCCTCACGGCTGGGAATACAGCAAGTGGATGGTTTCTCGAGATACATGTTGTTATACCCCGCCAATTCAAGGTCGACGATGGAAAACGATACACCCACCGAAGGCGCCCGACGGCGAGATCGTCTAATGGGAAAGCTCTTTGGCAACAACACTAGAGACAGGAAAATGACTAACGAAGAGAGTGCAAATGAGATCTCGGACTTCCTTGGTACCTCAGACCGATTGATGGTTAATCATCCTCTTCCTCCACCTCCACAAACTGCCCAGAGAGGCCCACCAGCCCTCGCACTCGATACCTCTAAGGTCAGCCGATTTCCACAAGCGTTGAACGTCGAAAGCAGAATCCAACCGAGCCTTTCTCAACGGGCGCGATCCCATAGTCCACCCCGACCGAGGAAACATAAGGGTCTCGTGGTTCGTTTCGCTGATAGCTATCCTGAAATTATTGGGGAAGGCGGTGACGAGTGTGAGACGGTTGTCGCTGAGATCGGCAGAAGGAAGAGATCCAGATCGGTACCATTATCTGCGCCTATCCCGCCTACGAGAGAAGGCCATCAATATGCTAGACAAGTGGGTGCTTTTCAAGAGACGCACAAAACAGACGATGGATTCGTCCCTGGGCCTATACGTAGAACGCAGACGGGTTTCAATACCATCTCAGATTTCCGATTAGAAGAGCCGGGCCCGCTTCCTAATAATTTGTCCCCTGAGCCTCCTAAGCCGCGTGTCATTCCTGCTGGCGAGACTGTTCGATCCCGTTTTCTGGATACCGATAATCGAAAAGATGAAAACCGTCGCTCGTTCATTGAGATTCATCAACAGGAGCATCGACGAGCCGAAGGAATGGCTCTTGCAGAAGCAATTAGGTCTGCCAGCGCCAACTCGCATCACGAGTGGGACGAGGCGCACTCGTCCCCAGAGCCAGTTCGAGATGTATCAACACGCCGAAAGCAGACACTGCCAACAATGCAAGAACCGACACCCCCTCCAGAAAGATCCATGTCTACCCGAGAATCATCTACGGCGCCTTCATTACAAGAGTCCATATCTTCGGTGTTACGAACTCGATCTACTAGATCTCCTATGCGACCCTCTCCAGTACAACAAGCGCCAATGAAGAGTCCTTCTGTTATATCACCACCCCCAGCCTATCAAGAATCGTCACCAATTGCACCTCCTTCTAATAGGTCACCTCTACCCCCTTTGCCTACTCAGGAGGCATTACCTGATTTTGATATTGTACCTTCTATGTCTCAGCGGCCAGTATCGCCGGATGAGCTACGACTTATCACGAACCATAGCGGCGAGAGTCCGTCATCTTTGTATTCAAATTCTATACATTCGACTTCCGATCTCTCTCACAAGGCTACACCGATTACCCAGAATCCAGCTTCGCGTGGTTTTTATCCGACTTCGCCTGAGAAGACTTCTCGAAGCCTCCATGATGTGGTGGTCTCGGCTGGTGATGATGCGTTAGAATTATTTATTTCCCGTACGAAGCATCTATATGAACTATTCCGTCTCCACGCGGAACAATACAGACCTTTAGGTACATCCCGACCCGAGGATATGTGCCGAGCTGCTTTGTGGTGGTTCTTGAAGGGAAGGACATCGCTGGAGACTATTATTAGGAGCCGTCCAGCAGACCCCGATGAACCCCGACTTCTCATGGCTAGATATCAAGCGTACACTGATTTATCAAAGGGGTATTGGCTAATGGAACAGGCGCTTCCCGAGATAGCGGAGGGTAAATACAGCCCTGTGGATGGCGAGTTGGGTGAAGTCAGGCAGGTCTTAGTATCCAACTTGAAGAAGTTGTCTGGGTCTATGAAGCGAAATGGTTTCTTACCTCCTGAGGAGCCTTTCCTTCCACAGACGATGGACAAATCCATCTGGATAGAGTACCCACCAGTGAGCCAGGATATCGTGGCTCTTCTAAATGGAATATCGGGTTCGGTGCTCGCTGCCGGGCAATCCACTCGATCTATGGGAGCGCTAGAAGCTCTTCCACTAGGCGATACTACGAGGCATTTTATCTACGGTCGAGTCGTAGCTAATGTTTACTTCACGGAGCAGGGCATCGATTCACGACAGGCTTGTTTCCCTTGTATGATTTCGGTTGTCCGATCACAAACTGAATCAAACCTAAACTTCGTCATTGCTAGCCAGAACGGTTCCGTCTCATTAAGGGTCCAGTCGGATAAGAATGCGGGTCCGACTTGGCAAGACGTTAGATGGAGAGCAGACTCATATCGTCTAGATCTCAAGCTGCCTCGAGGTTTTATGCTTGTAATTGAATGCTCACAACAAGACTACAGGATGTTATGGAGTATGTACGATTTCAGCTCCAAAGTGCAAGCTTACTTGTACCCTCGAAAAGATGAAACGATCAGACATAGTACTATACTTCGCGCGTTCCATTACTTCGACTCCAACCCACAAGGAAGGACGTTCCCTAAGGAACCAATCGGACAATGTCAAATAGGGTTATTTGAAAAACAACTTAAGGAAAACAGTCCGACTGGCCCAAGAACGTTCCATCGGGGCTACCGGGTTGCTGTTGTTACCGGACCGAGGACAAGGACGCTCAGTGGTGTGACGCATTTCTACCCACCACAACTCCCTATTCAATTCGCCATGCTGCGCGGCGACCAGCGCGCGCCCATTCTCCAAATAGAATTCAATGACGGAAAGGACAAAGGACGGATGGTTCTGACATTTAATGATGATCAGGAGCGTGAGGTGTTATTGAAAATGCTCACCGGAACTTATGTCCATAACGATGAGGAGATCATGGCTGAAGTTCCATTAGAAGGGTTGAATATCTCCGACGGAGTTGGTGATACGAAAGGAGGCCTCCCGGCCATCCAGCGATTACCTTGGCAGCGCGCGCGTGTTATCAACGATAAATATTTAGAGACTCCGCCAACAGTATTAGCAGAGAAACTCCGAGTTGAAATCGAATCGTTGGACAAAGGCGGGGTTGGCGTAGTCAGCACCATCACAGACCGGGTCAATGTTGGACCTGGTGAGCTAAGGCTCAGGCTCGGCACGAAGGACATATTAACGTTGCATGTTTTACGACAGCCACAGGTTGACATGACCGTTTCTATACTAGAGACACTTGTGCCCCGTGAGTCGCATCGCGAATTCGCAAGCTTCCAGAACACCGTTCAGCGAGGCCAGACAGTTCGTACCTACAGATTTCCAAGCTTCAAAGATCTACATGCGTTCCAGGCTGGGCTTACAGGATATTCTGTTCTCTTCGATGGCATCGCTTCGGGCTTAAATATTTCCCGTCGTAGGATGGTAGTACCTATCCACAAGAAATGGGAAGCAGGTACCACGCGTGTTCAAGTTGTACAACAAGAGAAGACGGTTCAATTACTGGCATTCTTCGAAGATTGGCACCATGGCCAATGTATGGGATTTGTGCTCAAGGGTACAGATGTGTTCGAGTCATTCAGTCGAAATGGAAAAGCAGGTTTGAAACTTGTTGAAGCCAAATTTCCGCTACCGAAAGTTCCGCGCGAGGGTGATGCCAAATCGGATGAGATGGCGTTTTTGTGTCTGGATATGCCCGATTTCGCCGGCGAACACGATGACATAACAATATTTTTCGACGATAATTTTGGTAAGTCATTGCTTATTCTGTTTCTGGTGGTAATGAATTTGAGACTAATAGACGCCACAGAGAGAGATAGGCTTTGTTCTGTTCTTCCCGCCCCAGTCAAAGGGTCCCGACTTAGTAGGGGGAAATGAGATGGGGGCGCCACGATTGAATGAGAACATGATTCATGCAGATGGTCTGCATAAAAGAAGTATTTTACCTGATGGGCATTGCAACAAACTAACAGGAATGCTATGCCAAGATACCCCAGCGGTTATTTGAGCAAGAGAAGGGCGTCAACTCGTTAAAAGAACCAGGCTAGTTGCTTCTCGAGGAGCATAGGAAACAGAAATGCCTAGCCGACGAAGAGTTTTTTACATCTAGACATTTTTGTTGTTTCGAGAGACGACATGAATCGAACCGGACCTCCTACGAATATTAGTTAGGTTAGGATCGAACTTCGATAGGAGCTGAATTTTTACAAACAAATGAACCAATAGTTGTCTACTATTCTACGTATTAGGCGCCTACGTCGTTTTATCTAGGTGCCTAGTCCGAGTCGGGATTAATTGCCCATTCGTGGATTTGACGTACGTCATCTTCCCCTTGATGATGGTGGTCTTGACTTGGTACGGATCCCCTTTCAGGATTCAATTCGTAAATTAGCTAGGTACCTACTACTACTTCAATGCTACCTCAGGACCCAATGCCTAGGATTGATCAATGGTCATTTGAGCTTTCACATCCATGTATGTATTTCATCTGCCTATGACAATCTGGTCATCTTTCACTTGTCTAATATCAGGCGCCAGTAATTGTAGGACATGCATAAGTATTTTATGCATTTTTATAAAAACATGTAAGCTTCTCCTACATGTAGCCTATTAGATGAGTTACATGCGCAAGCATAACCCCTCTCTTCTTCTGATAGGAGAGGACAATTATTAGTGTTCGCGCGGGCTCTACGACTTCCGAAAGACGGCACAATATTCCCTTGTTGGGGTCTAGTGAGGTCATCGGCTCAGCCCCTCTAATTTAGGGGGAGCTTAGAAGGTAGTTCTAATCGATAACAACCCGAGAATCCGCAACGTGGGGAGGGGTACATCCCCAATAACCTTGAACGTACATGCATACATCACCTAGGAAGGAGAGGTACGGGTACATACACAGCCCCCCGGACTTGCCTAACCTTGCCTACCTTACCGACCTTACCTACCTACCCTTACCTACATATGTAGACCTTCCAAAGGGAACCTTCTTAGTAGGTAGAGGTTTAGGTAGTTAAGGTTTGCCTAGGCTACCTCATAGTTGTGACCCTCCTACTTTTTTGCTTTGGTTTTCTGTATCGTCGTCAATTTGTATCTTTTTCTTGATATCTTGAGGCAACCCCTTCTTTGATTAATATTAATTACTTTTTTAAGGTTATTAATCGGTAACGGTAACCCTCCTATCGATATTCGAAATCCCCGTTCGCCGATATAAAAAGAAATGCACGGAGGCAAGATTACGTCGAGTCTAGGCCGTCGTCGCCGAACAATCTCGAATGCTAGTATGTAAAAAAAAAAAAATATTCTTTAATTCTAAAAAAGGGAAGATACTACGATACTTGATTCGGTGGAAGATTATACAGCTTTAACCGATTATACAATTTTAACTACTTTCATCGTATCTTCTATTTTTGTTAAGGAAGAACCCCTCCATCGCTGACACTTATGCCGCCTTACCTAGGCAGCAAATCGTCTGCAGACGGCGCCGATGACGATGATACCTCCGTAATCGAGCCCGACCAGGGCAACGGTGAGCCTGTTCGATACAATAGCTTTAACATATATGACATCTAACTATGAGTAGTCCTTACACATATCATCTCACAGTTACGACCCGGCGCGGACTTAAGTAGAGTCGTATTGCCTACCTTCATCCTAGAGCCTCGAAGCATGTTAGAACGAATAACCAAGTACGTTTTCGCGACCCATTGCTCTTTCAATATCTATCATGATAACTAACGCTTGTCGCCTAAAGCTTCATGTGTCATCCGGAAATGTTACTCCCTATTCCCGAAATCGACGACCCGGTACTACGCTTCGTTTCCGTCGTCAAGTTTTACCTTAGCGGCTGGCACATCAGACCACCGTACGGCGACCCCTATATTTCTACCCTTAGTCTTATACGATTATGTAATACAAGCTAATACTGGAGGTAATAGGGGTGTCAAGAAGCCTCTTAACCCGATCCTCGGCGAAGTGTTCTCATGCTATTGGGACCTCCCTGACAAGACCCGCGCCTACTACATTTCCGAACAGACCTCACACCACCCACCTAAGTCGAGCTACTTCTACATGGTCCCCGAACACCACATCCGAATAGACGGCACGCTGAAGCCAAGGAGCAAGTTCTTGGGCAACTCAGCCGCTAGCATGATGGAGGGTATCGCTGCGATCTCCTTTTTGAATAGGGGGAAGAATCCTAAGCAGGGAGAACAGTAGTAAGTGGAATATTCTGAGAGGAATTATCGCATGAACATGGACTAATACCGTTTCTAGCTGGTTAACACAACCCAACATGTACGCGAGGGGGATCCTATTCGGCAACATGAAATACGAACTGGGCGACCACAGCGTAGTACGATGTCCCGAGTTAGGCCTATCAGCAGACGTCGACTTCAAAACGAAGGGATGGGTGAGCGGGACGTATAATGCTATTGGGGGTACGATAAAAGACGACCGTACCGGACAGATTCTTTTCGAACTTTCTGGTTTGTGGAGCGAGGAGATGTTTATTAAGGATCTGAGAGTGAGTAAACTTGCGGCTGCGGAAGATTACCTTATGACTAATAAGCTATTAAGACTGGACAAAAAGAAATGTTCTTCGATGCGCGAAAAGCAAAACCCTCGAAACCTCGTGTACGACCACTAGAAGAACAGGATGAACGAGAATCACAGAGATTATGGCGAAAGACGGCGCAAGCTGTGAAAGAGAGGAACCACGAATTGGCAACCGATGAGAAGACGAAAGTCGAAGATCAGCAAAGAGATGAGGCCGCAAGTAGAGCAGCGGCTGGTGTAGAATGGCGTCCGCGATTATTCAGGAGGGTAGACAAGGAGTACGGCGGCACGGGAGAGGACATGGAGCATTTAGAATGGATCATCAACGCTCATATGTGAGTATTGCTAATAATATTCTTTGGTAGGGGGTATATGCTAACTACGGATGCAGAGACGCTACAACACCGGAGAAACAAGCCGAGCAGATTATGTCGATTTATCCTATAATACCCGGGCAGAAGACGAGCGACTTCAACATTATCCCGCCTAATTCACCACATCACCCACCTCCACAGAAGACTAGCAAACCTGCTACTGCTCCTGCCGCTTCGGAAAACAGCGCGGGTGCAGATTTGATCGATTTCGGGCAGAATGATGCTGCCCCGGCCCCGGTACCTGCCAAGAGGGACAGCAAAGACATCTCGGGGATGCTACAATCGACAGGCCGCGCGCCAGAAGGTCCACTAATCGACTTTACGGGGGATCTGAAAAATGACTTGCCGCAAGAGAAGACGCTGAAAAGGGGTGATACGGCGGGAAGTAATGATGATTTCTTCGACGCCTTAGGTTAGCTTGAGTTGGGACTGAAGAATTGGGTTGTCGGTTTGTTTGTTTGTCGTGTCTAGATAGAAAGAGACAAGACGAGACAAGATAAGATGATCATTGGGGACATTAAATAGACATAGGAATGGAATGCAAATGCAAATGGGATACCAACTTTTAATACGGATTTACTAGTTTCGCTCTACTCTACTCTAATCGTTGGTTTGTTATGAGGGAACGGGGTGATTTGATACTTATCCCTTTTTGGTGTAATCGTACGTTGCATGGATAGATCATAGTATCACAATGCCACAATATTGACCCAGATCGGAAGCAAATTTTTGTGAGAGCATATTGATTGATCCATTTACTCCGTGCCTTTTCTGCCTTTCCCTAATTCCTAATAGTAATGCAATGTAAAACCGGCAGAGCGAACAAATGTGAGGGTATCACGTATTCTGCTGGTCGGTGACGCAGTCAACAATTCTGCGTCCTTTCCTCTTCTGCTACCTCGTGTCTGTCCCTTTTCGCCCTTTCTCGTCCTCGTGGCTGCCAGACATCTCATAATGGAAAACAAGCTCCGGCGTCGAGCTCGCCAGAAGAAGCTTATTTTCTTCCCCAAAGTATGTCCCAACCATGCATCATCACGCATCGTATATTCCCATTCCCCCCCCATTGCGATCTAGTACCGCTTACGCGTAGGCTCCGGACTCGGGCTCCGACTAACACTCTTCTCATCGCGCCCTCTCATCTTAAGCCACTTCTTCGTACTCAGCGTCAAATCGCGTTCCAATTCCGGCGTAGGATTCTTGCGATGAATAAAATTACAAAAACCACCCCTAACACAACCCTCCCCACTATTCAACCGACAACACGCCTCCCGGAAATCCGTCACGGGGCTGAGTTCGCAATACACCGGTCTGCCCGCATACCACCGTGAATTCAACGCATCGCAAGCCGCCTGTGCGGAATCCTCGTACTTAAATCTCGCGTATACGTTTCCGACTAGGTGGTCGTTCGTGTTGTCGCAGACGACGAGTTCTTCCAATTCCCCGTATTTGCACAACTCGCACCAGAGATCTTCGTAGAAGGCGTCGAAATGGTTCGCGCACTGCTCGGGCGTGAGCCGCGCCCGCGCGTCGTGCGCTGGGTTTTGGTACATCGAGGGGAGCAGGATGGTTTGTGAGTACGACGGCTTGACGTGCTTCCTACTGCACCGGTCGCCGTGGCGGCATGCGCCGATTTTGTAGTAGAAGGAGCAGTTTACTTTGTCTTGCTCCGTGCCGAAGATGGAGGCTAGGAAGTTAGCCATTTTGGATGATTTGTGGTGTTTTTGTTTGATGAAGGTAGGTAGATTGGTAGGTCGGAAGGTAAGAATTGATTATCGCGATAGCTCGAAAAGAGATACTACTCGTTTCGCGTTCTTATCGAATGAAGATTTGTAATGATCAAGTCTTCAATTATACGGCGTATCGATTGTATTTTCGTATGCGATCGATCGGAGAAAAATTGAAATCGCAATTCTGCGTAATCGTCGACCGTAGTTGTTAATGTTAGGTTTATCAATTGAAGAAGGCGAAAGATGAAATGGATAAGATGGCAACGGGAAAATTAAGGTCGAGAGGCTGAGCTGATGTGGAGACGGTACAAAGTACATGGCGCATCAGAAATCTTGGCAGAATTAAGGCTGACCAATCAATTTTATTCAATTTTACTCAAAGCAAAAACTACTGCAAGCTGTTTGCCACATCTAGATATTTCTACAGCCACATTTCATATGATTAATCAGCCACACAATACTCTCCATTTAGAATGAAATGGTCCGCCACGAAACAACGTGACGATGGTCAGTTAATGTCTCTAGAATCAAGATATAGAAAATATAATCGTACTATAAAGAGGCTTCCTAACTATTTATGGGATCTACGTAGGCATATTAGTCTCCCTGTGAGGTACCAAGTGTAATTATAGGCACAGCTCTACTATGTATATGGGTACCTAGATAGTTAGAAGCATCACCCAAGCTAAAAAGACCTCATTTTACTAAGTGAATATTAAAAGTAACGACTGTATTGTTTTATATACTAGACAATTATATATATCGAATGTAGTAGAATTTAAACAAGTTGCCCAATTAACCACAAAGCGCCTGACTTGTCAAATTTCCTAGATATTAAAAAGACGCTAACCTCCCATTCCTTTCCGGTACCCAATGAAGTATGCTTCGCGGCTTGTGTTCTATATTCGTGATGATATGAAGCTTCTACAGCTATTAAATGTGAGCAATATGTTTAGCCTGATTAGGCCACCAGGAAAATGAGGACCTTGATGGACCCGTGGCACGGGGGCGTCATCGAGCAACCTGACAGCACGATCCTGTCGGTTATAACATAAGCCGCCCTCTCGTCCTGATGTATCAAAATTGTGGAATCTATCCAACTTGTCCCGGATGAGACGTACGTCTGGCATATACGATATCCAAGCTCTAATTCTTTAAGCTTAGACAATGTTATATACTCTCTTGGCGATCACGAAGCAGGCTATTCCAAACATGAGTAGCCCTGCGGTGATTGCGAAGAACCACTTCAAATCTCCTTCGTACTCCTGGCCGGGAACCCAGACGTTCATACCCCAGAGACCAGTAATGATGTTCATTGGTAGGACGATGGTACCAAGCACTGTTAGCTTGCCTAAAACATCGGCGGTCTGCTCCTGTCGTTCGTTCATACGTATGTTGATCTGTGCTATGTAGTTGGCGTGGCATCGGGCAAGGATCCTACTTTAATTAGTTACATACTCGCAAGATTGGCTGAGCTGGGATAAAACTTACATCTCATAGTGACTAAGATTGGCTGTCATAGTCACGATATGATCCTGAATATCGCCGAGGTACAACCCGATTTCGGACCGTGGAGCAACTTCCCAGTGCTCGTTACAACGCTTCGCAAAACCTTTGATAACGTCGGCTTTGTTTCCGAGTAGGCGGTACAAAGTCATGACCTTTTTTCTGCAGTCACCAACGCGCCGCAGCATATCACCGCTTGTGTCCGCATTCGCTTCGGAGCCGCCTTTCTCGCTCTCTCGTTTCTTTTTATCGTCGGAAGTCGATAGAGCAGGATCTGAGGAAGAGTGAAGTTGCAAGATTTTGTCGTCAATATCATCCACTTCGTCCTCGATGATCTGGATGAGGGGTAGGTAAACATCTGTGATGTCGTCGATGATTGCATAGCTAATCCAATCAGCGCTGAGGATCATAAAATCCTTAAGTTGGCGAACTCGGCGCCGTACGTTTGCGGGATGTGGGGTTTGACTGAAGTGGAATGAGATAACACCCTCACGGAACACCACGACATACATGTTGACCGGGTCAAGGTGATTCTCTGATTCGGCATCTTGGTCAAACGATCTGTAATTGACGAAATAGTAGTGTCGGAAAAGTTCAACTTTCTCGCGCTGTTCCTGAAGCATGATATCTTCAGATGTTAGAGGGTGAATTCCGAAGGCTTTGGAGAGCACCTTCATTTCGGCCTCCGTCGGGCTTAAAACATCTAACCACCAAACGGGGCGTTCGCCATATCGTAGCGGTTTCTCGCCGTTCGCGGGAGGTGATTTTAGCCCAGTAAGGGGAGATCTGGCTCGTAATGGACTTGGGTCGCCTGAATGATTCCGAGAGGAGCTCGATGATGTGGCAGCTTGCTGTTTCGAAGCGCTACTCGGATTGAGATCCGATGTTGGGTAATGTGGTGTGAAAGATGGCTGCCGACTGGGTCCCCTGGTGGCCGTGTCCCCGTTTCTAAACGAATTAGCGGCAGGGATGGGTGGTTCATCTTCCTCCTCGTCAGATGAATCAGATAAGACCGGGGGATCTGGAAGAAAAAGGTCTTTGAAACTGGTATCGGGCTGGACAAGCTCCGATATAGTCTGGCTGTGAATGGTGCTTTGAAACTCCTCATTGAAATAGGTGAATCGATACGGGGCTTCTTCCTCGATTCGGTACCATCCCTTGTGAACTGGCCGCAGTCTACCATTCACTAATTGCGGCTCTGTGATCTTCTTCATACGTCTTTCTTCGCTTCGGCCCTCCTTTTCGAGTCTCGACCATTCTTCTAGAATGGCTAGGTCTGGCCACTTGTCTCGTCTCCGACGCCGGGTTCGGATACTGCGAGCTTGAGCCACGTCCTCGTCGGCCAACTCCGACATTCCCTCTTGAGGAAAACAGACATCCTCTTGCGCTTGTAGTGCGATCGTATGGCGCCTTTCGAAGGGTGATTGATCGCGATGCGGATTGGTCTCCCCCTCAAGAATACTATTCGGACGAGAAGTACGCTCCGCAAGTTCGTCCCTCATCATAATATCCCCAAAGCTCATATCTAACCGGTCGGACGGCCCCAGTGTAGGTGTCCCGGGCATGGAAGGTGGGTAGTTTACATTGTACCTCTCAGACGGCGTCATAGGGACTATTTGGGGTTTCTTGCCCGACTTGACGGAATTGGGACGACTAGCAGATCTATCGTGCCTCGATCGTCCATCGTTTGAACCATATCCTCGGGAGGAGTCGAGCTCACGTCGGGAAGAGCTCGATAGTAAAGGCGCCGACTCGTTTGTGTCCTCTTCATCGTCATATTCGTGGGCCTGACCACCCTGTATTGTACGCGGCCGACTACTCGTTGATTGTGGTAGCTGGAGGGAAGCAGCGAGGGTCGAGGGTCGTCGTGGGCGCGGATAATGATGTTCTCTGGATTGGAATTAGCGATAACACCTCAAAGAATGTGAATTGGATATTGCGACGAACCTGTGGTCGAGAAGTGCTTCGCTGTCGATGCTCGTATTACTCAGATTTCTCCCATGTATATAGAAACCGTCTGGGTTGCCGGAATGGCTTGGTGGTAAGCCTTCGCCCGGCATTTCGGCTGAAGGGGCAGCAAATGACTTTCGTCTCGATTTCTTATGTTTTCGCCCGGCGCGATGCTTCTTCTTGGGCGTTTGAGTCGTCGAGCCTGTCGCATTAGAAGATGGCGAAGGGTCGCCTGGTACGCGAGTTGAGCCGAGAACAGAGAATTGATTGCTATTCATTACGACGGATAATCATTATTGTAAGAATGAAAATAGCTCTTATGAGAGGGTTGACAAAAAAGAAAAGACAATGTTGAAACTATGTCGAAGTTAAGTTTTCACCCAGAGATATGTAGGGACATATGTAGGGCACTGTTGATTATGCGCATAGTCTAGAGTTTAGCTTTGTGGTTTTAAGTTCTTTAGTAGCTTTCTACCGGAACTATAACTCACGGATGTTGGTGATGTCAATGGGGGATAGGTGGGACCTACGTGTACCTATGTGGGTACTTTAATGCAAGGCGAATGGAATTTAGATCGAGATAGCTCGAGCTTTTTCGCTTCCGGGGCCGATTTAGATATTGTTTGCCTATATGATCTACAATATCCCCATAAAATGTTTATATTTCAGAATAAACATTGATGATTGAGACTGGGATTGTACAATTCTAAAACCCCATAGTGAAGGAATTGACAAGTCGATGTGGTTGTACAATTAAGTACCTGCCTCCATTCTCACCAATAAGAAATGAGACGCAAGGTCCGGACGGTTTGTTCCTAGCCCTGTACCTAGCTAGGTGCGCCAGACCTACATGGCTGACCTCCAATCATAGCGCATGCAATTATGTGGGTAAGGCGACCCAGGCCGTCGGAAGGAAGCACATGCATGGATTTAACTATAATCTACATATGTGCCGGGTGTATCATCCTATGCTGTCCGACTTATGCTTGTGTAATTCGTGGATGAAACTTGATAAGGCATGGTTAGTTTCTATACAGTTCGGAAATTGTTCGTACAGATATTCAGGTTAAGTTGATGCTATGGCGACGAAAACACCATGAACGAGGCCCCAACAAATATTTCTAGAGGCTTTCACGCGAAAATACACAAACGAGACTGGCGATCATATGAGGTAGATTCTTGAGGGACTGTATTCATCTTGTAGGGGCGGATTCATTTCAAAGTCCAATGGCGGCTACTAAAGCCCGCGCCTCCCTCATATTATGGTACATCCATTGCGTGAATACACAGTAATTAGAACCAGGCCCTACCAGCTCAAATTGAGCATAAAACCATGTGCTCCGAATGCTTTTGCTCCTGAACCGTAACCTAAACGCCAACTGCCAACCTGCCGTAAGGGTATGAAGAAACCGATGTGAAAACCATGCCCTCCTCCATCATCAAGTTGCCGTCCGCTAGCGTCTTTGGCCCAGGAAGTTAGCCCGGAGAGCTAAGATTTGCTGACGTTCTGCCTCGGGGAGCTGGTCGATTGTTTCTTGCGGTAAATTCATAACCGCCGCCACCAGCGCATCCGGGTCTTGTTGCGGTGTTGCGGCTGGCACACTGGCAGCAGGAGTTGCTGCGTAGGCAGCCTGCGGAGCCGTTGATGCGGGCGGCGCATATGGTGCGGCAACCGGGGGAGTGACTGTTGTAGTGCCCGCGTAGGCAGGAGGATATCCAGGCGGAGGCTGTTGGGCGGTAGGGGGCGCGGCTGAAGTGTCAACCACGGAGTGAATTGCTTCGGGGGAGACAAGGCCCATTAGTAGCAGGGCTTGGAAGATGGCGTATGATAGCTGTGGAGCTTGCTGTAGGAGTTCGGTCGCACGAGAAGGATCGGTGGTTGCTAGAGACTTCATCTGCGCAAGTATGTCTAGAAGCTGACTTGGTGGGAGAGTATTGAGTGTTCTTGAGATGGCATCGGTGGCGCTCACACCGGGTGGCAGCTCCTTGCCAGGCGGAAGAGGAGGTAGGGAGCCTGCAGGTACAGGTTGGGTTGTTGCATGCGAGGCGCCATTTGTTATCTGATTAGACGTCATTGGCGAGGTATTTGAATCGTCACCATCGACTCGACCTTCCGTACTGTAATCAACACGAAGTTTACGGCCCATAATCTCGTAATCATTCAAGTTGCGCACTGCGGATGCTGCCGAATCTACAATGAAAAGTTAATGAGAATGTGATCTGTCAAAATGTGAAAATACAGAGTCTTACCTGCGTCTGGATACTCGGCGAAACCGAAACCCTTAGGGCGACCAGTATCTCTATCGTAAACAAGGCGGAAGTTTAACACCTTGCCAGCAGTGCTGAAGATATCACTGATCTGCTCCTCTGATAACCCATAAGGAATGTTTCCGACGAAGACAACACGAGAGGGTGGCTTCGTTGACATTGTGATAGATCGATTGTGAATGAAATGTCGGCGTGTGAAGGAAAGAAAAGAATCAATTGGTAAGGCTGATTTACCTAAGGTTGAAGGCAGCGTCGACTGTCTGCAATGAGAAACAGGCACTTGCACTTTTCAAAGCTCTATCTCCCAAAAAGTGAAATTGCAAAAACCCCAATCGCCTCGATTACGGAAAGTGCAAAGGTCGGAGAAGTTATAGAAGTGGAAGTTGTGCTTAATTTCCGACCTGTCAAATTTCCCACCGTTCAAGTCCTTTCCAAGGTTCCGTTTCGGTATCGATAATGGAACAATTGAAGTTAAGCTTTCTAGCTCAAAGAAATCGCGTCTAGAAACAAAAGGCACGGGCCATCTAGGTGGATACCTTAGATCTTTCTCAGAACCAATCAAATCTCAAGGCTTGTACAACGGGCTTTACAACCGGGGAAGAAAAAACGGATCATTATTCGCTGGAGTTAAAGCCCTGGAGAGCTTCTTTTTTAATATTCCAGCGCTGTGTCCCTCGTCCACCAAAACTTCATCGACGACAATCGTCATCGTATCCCTCCAACACCGCCCAACATGTCGCGCTCCCCGATGGACGAGTATGTGGAGAGGATGCGCGCAATGGTGCGCCAGAACCGAGGTGGATTTCCCGGCGGTCGCCCACCTGCAGGATCCGGTATGGCTGTCGCTGCTTTCGCCCTACTCGGTGGAGGTGCTATTCTCTTGCAGAACTCCCTTTTCAACGTCGACGGTGGCCACAGAGCTATTAAGTACCGAAGAATAAGTGGTGTTAGCAAGGAGATCTACAGTGAAGGTTGGTCCGGCCTGTCCGGAGGCATTTGACCCTCTGTGCCGCACCAATATACCTATACTCACTCGATGCGCTTAGGAACTCACTTAATGATCCCCTGGTTCGAAACCCCGATCACCTACGACGTCCGAGCGAAGCCGAGAAACGTGTCCTCTCTTACCGGTACCAAGGATTTGCAGATGGTTAACATCACATGTCGTGTGCTTTCTCGACCAGAGGTCAACTCCCTTCCACAAATCTACAGAACACTAGGACAAGATTACGATGAGCGGGTGTTACCCTCCATTGTAAATGAGGTGCTGAAGAGTGTGGTGGCGCAGTTCAATGCCAGTCAGTTGATTACACAGCGAGATATGGTTGCTCGATTAGTTCGAGATAACCTGTCGAGGCGTGCTGCGAGATTCAATATCTTATTGGATGATGTTTCCCTTACGGTACGAGAAGATTGTAATTCTAAACTACAACGTGGTTCTTTATGCTAACACTCATCATAGCATCTCGCCTTCTCTCCAGAATTCACAGCTGCTGTTGAAGCGAAACAAGTAGCACAGCAAGAGGCTCAACGAGCAGCTTTCGTCGTCGACAAGGCCAGACAGGAGAAGCAAGCCATGGTTGTCAAGGCACAGGGTGAAGCACGATCAGCAGAACTTATCGGAGAGGCTATCAAAAAGAATAAGGCTTATGTTGAGTTGAAGAAGATCGAGAACGCAAGAGCCATCGCTGCTCAACTACAAGAGTCTGGTGGTAGAAACAGACTACTACTTGATGCGGAAGGTCTAGGACTAAACGTGTTTAGCGATGATCGCAAGCAATGATGATGAGGTGTTAGGAAGTACAAAAATCCCCACTGTATGTTTAGGAAAAACTAATCATTGTAAAATTACCCGCGTACCAATCTCTGCCAACTATGTTGTCACTCCCGTGATGAATTTTGCTGGTAACCACAAAATACTGAGGAATCCTAACCGTAGTGACAATTAGTGATGACAACAGTGATTATAGTGCTGTACCTAGGTACTTCCATCAGTGAAAGTTTCTAAGCAGCTGAGCTAACGTACCTGCCTAACGGGAGCTTTTGAGCGGGGTGTAAAGATCGACGAAACCCCACTATACTTCCTTAACGCTATACCTACAGTACCTAGGTACGCATTCCGTAATCTGTAATCCCCTACACGCCAACAATCACGAACAAAACCAAGCGACTTCTTCCAACACACCATTTTTCCCTAGGCATATACATAACCCTCTCTTCGCGAGAATAGCCCCGCTAAACCTCTTCGCAACTCTTTGCACCATCCCTCTACAATACCGCCAAGATGATGATCAAGTACGTTATCCTATACCCCGCCATGGCGACCTTGTTGACGTATCTATCATATCGGTCAAACGGATACCGTCATAAAAATCAAGAGCTAATAAATGAGATAGAGTGCGAACCCTAACGGGCAAGTTGATCTCGCTCGACGTTGAGCCCACATCCAAAGTATGCCTCATTTCCATTCCGCAAGCGATGTAGCTGCCTATCACGTCACACCGCGCCATAGGCAACTACAACATTTAGGCAGAAGGTCTTCAAGAATGTTGACTAATAATGCTATGGTCTTAGATCGAGGACGTCAAGAAGAAGGTTGAGGAAAAGGAAGGCATCACACCCGACCAGCAACGACTTATCTACGGTGGAAAGCAACTGTTCGTCTCCCTTTGTTACCCCTCCGAAGATCATATTGGTGTACAAGTATATGGTTAACACTAGATCCGATACATAGGCAAGACCAACTTACAATGACGGACGCAGCTATCGTTCCCGACGCGACCCTACATCTAGTTTTGACCCTGCGAGGAGGCTGCTAGACGTTTCTCTACTCCAATCCAGCCCCCGAACGATTTCGAGTCACACCAACCGTAATCGATACACTATGTTCCTTACTCGCTAGATAATTCGTCGCAACAGACCGCAACAATGACAACAGGAAGACTTAGGGCGGTTTAGAACCATGGCATAGGTTTAAGTGGCTGCATACTCCAAGCGTGAGAAAAGGAATAGGAAGAGTGGTGACGTGAACTCGTTGAATGCATTCCACATAAACCCTCTATCGCAGATTTTCTTACCGCGGGGGGAATCATAACCGTTCACTTTTCCTAGGTCTCTAGATGTTGCATTGCGGAAATATTATTCATACATAGGCTACGACAAGCGGAACATAGGACAATGCTACCAAGTGTATCCTCTCGGATTTAAATGAGTTAAATATGAGTTTCGCTACTTCGAGCAGGCCAATGATTTATGAATATTCTATAACCAATAATGAGTATCATTCACGTGTCAAGCAAAAGTAAGGACATCATTAAGTATTTGGCAAATCTCGAATTCAATAACACATTATGTATGTGTAAAGTAATAGTGCTCCGTAGCCCTAAGGGCAAAATGCAGATGCAAGTGAAAATGCGACGGCAAATGCAACCGATATGCTAGACCTCGCTATTCCTTAATTTTGACAGTATGCCTACCACCCAGGCAAAACCACTCCTGCTATAAATCCACTTCCCAATTTTTTGTAGTTTTGTATTTGTTCTGGTATCTCCCTCCGAAAATCATAACCTAATAAAACCCCTTTGCACTTAACGCCTCGCTATGTGTAATATACACTATCTCGCCGTGCCGTGTCCTTATGCATAGAAGTCGATATGCGAATCCTCGCTTCCCGGTAGAAAATGTACAAATCGGGATGATAAAGAAAATAGACCGCGCCAATGCCAAGTATATGCACCCGATAGTCTGGCTTCCCTCGAGTCCTCAAATTTGCCGTAGATGTCGTGAAGGAAATCCGCGTGAAAAGGTGTAGTCTGTTGATCATATTTCCTTCGAGATCAGGACAGCCCCGAAAATTATCGCTAAAAAAGGTGCGAAGCGTCATAAAAAAGTTACGCCCAAATCCATTTTTAGATGCACCTTCGTATCGTACATCAACACCATTTCTGAATTTGCCTCCTATGTGGTTTTTCGAGGCTTAGACATGGGCCTCATAAAGACGCAAGGGGCTTCTTTTCGCTTTCGCAGCAGTGGGGCCGGAGCTTTGGGGACGTTCGAGCCACTTGGTCCCGCAGTGGGAGAACCGCCGCGGCTATTAGTGGATGATGAAGGTCGTCGAGTTGAGGATTGCGATGGTAGAGAATACGATGAAGTGGGCTTTGATTCAGTTGGCGAAGATGCAGTAGGCTTGGATGTAGTCGCTTTAGATGTGGACTTCTCGACGGGCTCAATCCTTATAGGCTTGTCCCTCCAAGAGCGGCCAAGCTTCATCTTAGCAAGGCCTGACATACTGGACGAATTACCCTTCGACGTAGGGCTAGAGGCTGAAGGTAGCGAAGATGAGTTTTTGCGTTGGGACGTCGGCACTGTCTTGATGCTCTTGGTGTCAGTGCTGGCAGTTGGCGTAAGAGGGTTCGCTTCCTCCCAGGAGCCCTCTAGGTCTTCGATAGTTAATCCTCCTTGACCTGAGCCTTCACCTTCATCAGGGTAATCAAAGTCATCCCCTTCACTAAAGAGATCCTCATCCGAAACGGCGGTTGTATGAGCTTCGTTCTTTGCTCGCAACAATGCAGCGTCACGTTCCTTATCTTCACGCGCTAAACGCGCACTGCGAGCACTGTTTTTTTGTAACAGCGGTGGGTGGATTTTCGTAGTAGGAAGTGACTTGATCCTGTACGCCTCTCGCATGCTTAGAGGGGCTTGGGCGATTTGACCTTGCGGAACCGAGAGTTGGCCAGTTGGAGTGGTAAGTTTGTTACGGCGATGCATCTCCGCAGCCTCTCGGCGAGCCTTCAACATGATGCTTCGAGCCGAGGTCGTCTTAGTTCGCGATCCGCCGCCGAATCTAAGTTCGCCTGTACCAGTACGGCCGCCCCAGCCCGGGACCTTGCGACGGCCCGGGGCAGGACCCAAGAGCTTCGGGTCATAGTTAATTGTACTGGCCGCCTTTGCTTGCTTCTCTTTCTCAATGTTGTTGAAGCCAGCTTCTAGCTTCGCCAAAGCAGCCGCCTTCTGTTTGTCATTAACAGCTTTATACTTCATGTATACCTTAGAAGACCACGGCTCGCTATTGCTAGGTTCGAAGGGATGCGTTTTGCATAAACGAAGGAAGTCATGGTTGACGAGACGTTTCCAGGCCTCAGCAGTAATCGCTCGGTGATGAGGTGCTTGCTTCTCCAATTCAAGGAGCTTTCGGTAATCGTCAATCTTCATTATAATTCGTTTCCAGCATTCATCAGTATCTCCTCGAAGGTGAGGCGACTTTTCTTCTAACTCAAGGAGCTTCTGATAGTCGTCAATTTTTAGTAGAATTGGTCGCAGAATTTTGTATGGCGCATCGCCAACATCGTCAATATCTAGAGAAGGGGCCATGGTATTAGTATTATTTTTGGAATGAGGAGGGTTTATTGGTGATAAATTGAGTACGTATTAAATAAAGAAATGGTTTCCGGGTTGAGGTGTAAGAAGGTAAAGGTGCAGGGTTCAATTTGTGCTGAGATGGATTGAAGGTATTTAAGCGGTTCTGAGTCGACAATGCCATGACAATGGGGCAGAGCTAATAACTGTGACAGTGATGACCAACAAAAACAACAATGACTAGGAAATTGGGATCATACATGAGATGTTCTTAACGCACACCTCGGTGCATAGCTCCACGAGAGTTTTAACCATTTTGGCTTCGTCGTTGACGGAGGACTGAGAAATATGATATTGCTATAGGTTTTCAATGTCCTTGGAGTCTTTGAGTTTTGAGTGTTGTTCTGGTTCTTCAGGCGATATCCTCCTATTTAACAATGGAATAAATGATTATCTTGTTGCTCGACTGTTGTGTTGTTGTAGGATAAAGTAGGATGTTCGATGGAGGAAGCACCGTGCGAAAATTGTTGGAAGAGAAACTCGATGTCAACAGAGACGGCAATCACACTGGTTCGTTCGCTTCATAAACTTGTTTGAGTTTTTTTAAGCTTCGAAAAATGTCGAGGTCGCAGTGACAAGATTGGCCGACTGATTTTACTTCCAACCTATTGAAGACTCTTCCGACGGGACGGGGCGCGCGGGGGGTAGGGTTCGTCTAGCGATTTCTTATTCGAGGAACTATGGGGGTTTTTATTGTAAGAGTTATTATCACTATTGAATCCAAAATAGTATTCCTGTGATTCGATCATCCAGGCGAGTCAAGTGTATCGGGAGCGGATAGCCTCAATGGGCTAGTATCCAAAGACTGTATCGATGAGGATGGATATATACTATAAGTATTAATTATAAGGTTACACTTCGAAATGGAGCAAGTGGCTTGTTGTAATCGCCAGCACATTGTTTCCTATGCTCGTACAAAAAACACTTGAAAGGGATGTTGTAGTTAGGAAGTTGGACTTGAGGCTGACACGTGGGTCACCGATCTGCGATGCTAGCTTTTGTTTGGTGGTCGAGCAAGATCCGGGGTGGCTTAGTGTATTTTAGTATTTTACGGTGAGGTTATATTATGTTACGTATGCATTATTTCATACGTCATGGCAAAAATATAATACGTACAATATTCTTTACCGTAATTATATATGTCACCGTCTCCAATAGCCATAAATTCGAATAACACAGATGAGGCCAAATTAAATAGATTCGTCCCATTACAGAAGCGACGAATAAATCAAGCATAAGATGTAGTTAACTGCAATCTAGTCAATGGGCGGCAGGTAAACGTAAATACATGTATGTTTTAACTTATACAGAGTAGGGTCACATATGACAATCACGGAAATGAGATCAGAAACTTGTAAAGATATCTTGCTACTATATGAATTCTCATCGAACTCGAGCGCTAACGATGTAATTACTTCGCAATAACACCGCTCATGTTAAAGCGTCTACCCGCCAATAATCATCCATAGCTAGATGATATCATACGAATGCAATCGAACCATAACAAGCAAAACGAAAAACCGCCCTTTCATGAATTTTGAAGACCGATATACCCGCAGCTGTTGGTATCTCCCTTCCCTCCGTAATTCCCCGTACGCCGTGACGCCATTAGACTATATGATCGGTACCCTCGGGAATATCCTAAGTGCAGAGAAGTTTATACATGAAGCATTACCTCGTTTTCCCATTGCAACCCCCCAATTACCCAGTGATAGGTATTCATGCTGCTGCTGCTACAGCTCGAGAGGGCGTAGCAATGGCATGTTCTGGTTGTTGGTCAGGTTGCGGTACCTCCTCTTCCTGGTTGGCAATCTCTCCACCGGCTTCCGTCTCGGCCCAGGCACCCCAAAGACCACGCTTTCCTCTGACTCTAATAGGACCACCGAGTACACCCTCCTTTTGCTCGACTTTGATGGCATCCTTGGTAGCTAATACTAGACATTCGAAGAACATTTTTGTAGCATCTGCCTTAGACGTTCTGGATTCGGGCAGAAGATCTTGGAATACTACGGATTTCTTTCGCTTCTCTTCGCTAGTAGCTGCTTCAGAGCCGAATAGATCTCGGAGAACGTGAACAGCGTGTTTTGTACCAAGAGAAACAGGACCGCTGTCTGCAGGGTGTACTATGGGAGCCGTGGTTTCGTCAAACGCAGGCATGGGGCTTCCCTCACGGGGTTGGTGATCGTCATCATCTTGCTGTATGACAATGTCATCTGCCGGCATCTCGATAATGGTACCATCGGGGGCGACACTACGCTCACCCAAGCCCGCGTCCGGCATAGCTAACGTGTCGTCTTCACCCAAATCCAAACGAGGTGACTTGGACGTGCCCTGCTCTTCGTCCTCGCCCATATCAGCGATTCCACTATCCCTCTTGCGCTTAAGATCATTGGCAGGTCTAATAGACTCAAGAGACAGCAATCCCCTCAATTCCGGGGCCCAGGCTTTACTACGACCATCGCCCATAATACTAGAAACAAAGCTACCGCTAGCCTTCAACTCAATCAGAGCCAAAAAATATGGATCACGTGAGATAAAAGTAGGTGCCTTGAGGATATTTTCGTGGTTTTGTTGTTGTTCCTTGATGTGTGCGCTGGTCAGTTGGGTAGCAGGATCCAGTCCGAAAACCTTGCGCTTCTTCGACTTTTTCTGGGGGAGTGGTTCGGGTTCCTCGACTTCCTGGCCGGGCTCGTAGATGCTAGTGTTATTCAAACGCGTCCACTCTTCAACATCCCGCGCCATGTTTTCATCGATATCGGAAAGAGGTGATTCAGAGATACGGGCGCGGTCGATACCTGGGGCACCGCCCATCTCAGGCACCACGGATTGTTCTCCAATATTAAATTGGAAGTCATCCTCCATTTGGATATCACCATCGCCATCCGCAATCCTAATATTGTCATCTCCAAAATCAAGATTTAACGATGGTTCACGGTCAACGCCCTTTGCGGGTGGTGCCATATCCAACTCGCTAAAAATATCATCCTCGACGGATCTAGCAGCGGGGGCGTCTCGACCCATTTCAATGCTCTTGTCCATTCGAGGTCGCTCGTCAATATCCATTCCGAAATCCAAGTCTAATTCCAGATCATCCATAGGCGCAAGCGCAACTTCGTCCTCGTCCATGTTATCATCATGCAAGAATTGGCTGTTGTTAAAGTCTTCTTGCAAGTTAATGTCACGGTTGCTCGGCCGGCCTCGACCTCGCGTTCCCGAGCTATTAGGGACGGCATTGACGTCCTCCATCTGGCCAAGCAACCAGTTCGCGTCGGGTGGTGGTAAAATATTCAAGTTGTCCGCTGCTGTGATACGGTCGGGAAGCATCAATGCTTCACGATTCGGCATATTCAAGTTTTCGGGGATATCGTTATTGCCAGTAGAACGGAAGGCCTAACACCAGTTAATGGGATGGTGTATGGCGTGCTAAGGGAAGGGGGCGTACCATTTTAATTTTAAGCAAAGCTTCATTGCAATCATCTAACAGGTAACGAGCTTTTCGACTATAGATTCTGACGACACCAAGCAAAAGTTGGCCGCTCAAACGGAGCGCCATGGGCGCTTGATTCGGGGTAATAATAGCATCAACACTGTCGGGTAGATTGGATTGTAGAATGTGGGTTTTTGAGAGCTTGCGCTCTAAGTTAGCCGACAGCCAGACTCGGGCCAGAGGCCCTGTCTTTTGCAGCAAGGTCTCCGAATAGAACATCGCGAGAGCGATGAAGAGACCGTTTGGAAAGCAGAAGGTGAAGGCGGTGGATAAGCGGATGTAAGCTAAGTGATCAGTTATGATAGCATTAAAGCAATGAAGTGTTAATATAGAGACGACGCGTTGGGTTGTTAAGATCCCAAGTATAGATGTGATGACGAAAGGTGGGAGGGTGTTCGGTGTTGTAAACAAGAGAATAGGAGCGCGTTGTTTTGGGCGCAGATCGCGTAGACGGCCAGCGCTTGCACCGACTCGCTCGTCGATGTATTAAATCCGCAATTCAATTAGCGCAAACGTCGCGCAATTAATTCACGGTGCGCTTTAATGCGATTAAAGCCAGGAGCGACAGCAAGTATATATCGTAGGGAATAGTGGGAGTGTTTGCACGGGCGGAATGAGGACAAATGGGTTGGATGAAAGGTTGAAATTAGAGGGTGGAGGGGATCACTTGGGGGAAACGGCGTAGGGGAGAAGTACTGTGAGATTGGACTAAATCCATGTGGTAGGCAGACCGCAAGCAAAATGATTTGGTAGCTACGAGGGCGATTTAAAAAAAATCATCCGCTTTCTTGCCAAAAAATCCAAGTGGCTGGAGGTCTAACAGGGATTAAGGGTGGGTACAAAGGAAGGTCTAACGCTTTTTATTGGCTCTTATGTGACTCAAACTGTGGCTTCCGTTGGTAATACCTGCGGGTACGGCGACCCGGAAACCTTGGAAAAATTATGAACTTGAACTGCGCACTAACCCGTTCCGGGTCAAAATTCTGTAGCAGGTACTGTCTCCAGGTACAAACTTCATCTACGTACATGTAGTGTTGTACACTATACCTCGTACCTGGTTTAGTTACACTTGTTACATCTTCACAAATTATTCATTAGATGTATCTTTACAAAGAGATGCATGGATGTTTTTAAGCTTATTTGGTTCTACGATCCTAATCCCACTCGGTATGTATGTACGGAGGATTCGATGGGTAGAAGCCGAAATCCATATACAAAGCAAAGTCTTATTATTATCGAGTCCAAAAGAAATCAAGCTCAGCAAGCAGCAACATTGAAGCTTATAACGTCATGCAACTATTCCATTATAGTTCAACCACATATGTACCTAGGTAGCTACATATAAAACACCATCGATTAAGAATGTTATATTCATTACCTACCCGATAACAGATGCAATCCACGAATTCTCATTCTTCATCTGTTTTATGAAAGTGACGCATAACTCAAGTGCTCCGAAGATTGTTTCAAGCCGGAAACAAAAAGAATTAGGTACTTCTCAAATGTATAGATCCTATATACTGCACTGTATTTGCAGCATATAACCCAAAGTCCGGCTTAAGTCCACAAGGAAGGATTAGGTTATAGATGCTTCAAAATAGGCCTAGCTCCTATTAAATCTTTAGCAGGACCTCGATGCAACGTCTTTTTAAACTCGAGAATGATGTTACTTTAAAAAGTCACCGTAAAACATCCCACATGATATAACAATGGTCCCTCTATACCGACGGAACGGTACACATTAGCGTTTCTTGACTTGTATGCAAATAGGTAATACTCTGTACAAAGAAGATGCAGGTATATGTGCACTATATAAACTGTTCAATAATTTCACTCTCGTAGTTGTAATTATTGTATTCCGTAGGTACACATAGATACCTATAAGATTGAAAGCACCTTCGCCCTTGCTTATACAGCTAGGTGCCTACATGTACATACCTAGGTATGTACCAATGGAGGCTGAAAGTCTGCAGCCACAGCTTCTTTCCCCTGTAACATAGGGGTAGGGATCTTGCCTTAGCGTGCTAAGATTCACCCGCTAAGTGTTACATTAGCAGGTTCGCTGGCCTAGGTACCTAGATAACCTAGACGATAGGTACGAAATCGGCAAGAAACTCCCCCAAGATCCGTGCCTTGTTATCGCGGACAAGCTAATGCATTGGTTGCTGCGACCCCAAAACTAGAAATTAGGAAAAAAGTTCCACGTCTTCAATGCGCTTCTGGCCAAAAATCGCCAAGTGCGATTTTTTTTAAACACTTTCAACACGTCACTCTATACAGCCCAGCTTTGCTAATATGCATTTTTCCATTCCCGAATAATTCATAGATTACACTGTTTTCTTTTTGCTATTATTCTCTTTCAACAATCTTTACGCGGTGGTTTTGGTCGTTAATGTAACTTAACACTTTCCCCCCCATGAGGCATTGCGTTCCTACGGTTCGCCTGTCGACCCCCTTCCCCTTCCAAGATGCCATGGCCGTGGCGCGATCGCGAAACCAACGGCGACTCACTACTTCCAATATCAGTTCCCAGTATCAATGGAATAGATCGAGATTATGATCAAGATGGAGACGAACGATCTAGGTCTACCTCCAGAAGATCGGGCCATGCCCGGACTACATCTGCCCAGTCAAGGGTAAGGCTTCCTCTCATGACACCTCGACCAACGAACTAGGAAGACTTTACTCCATTATATCACATATCACATATGTAGTATATATAACTAATTTATTTCATGACTATAGTCCATAGCAGATGGATATTCCTCTCTAACGCCGGCCGAGACGGCAGCCCGACTTCAAACCTCCTTAACATACGGCCTCACACCTACCGAAGCTCTATCACGATTAGGAGACTTTGGCCCGAACGAAATTCCCCACGAACCCCCCGATCCGTTGTGGCTGCGATTCCTATCACAATTCAAGGAGCCTTTGATCATCCTGCTTTTAGTTTCCGCGTTCCTCTCGATTTTCGTGGGTAATATGGATGATGCCGTCAGTATCACTATCGCCGTGACGATCGTTATCACAGTTGGCTTCGTGCAAGAATATCGATCCGAGAAGTCCATTGAAGCTCTCAACCATTTAGTTCCCAACCACGCCCACCTGGTTAGAGCACAGTCTACACGTCCCACACCTAGTACTAGAAATTCAGGCTGGCCCCCAGCTATTAGCGACCCGGAAGAAAAGACATCTGGAACGGGATCCGAGACACCAGACGAAGAATTGTTAGAAGCTACGTCGTCCAAGGTTATGGCAGCGCAATTAGTGCCTGGAGATCTAGTACTATTCACAACAGGCGATCGCATTCCCGCTGATATTCGAATTACAAAAGCCGCCGATTTGACCATCGATGAGTCCAATCTTACGGGAGAGAATGAGCCATTGAGGATGACTGCCGATGCACGATTCCGTAGCGTCCATACGCCTTCCGCATTCGAGCAATCCGCATTGCGTCTTCCTAGCCCATCTGCCTTGTCTCCTCCTTCATACAACGAGGAGGGGTCCGGACAGGCGCGTGCCCAGAGAGTCAATAATATCGCATACATGGGAACCCTGGTTAAATCTGGCCACGGACAAGGCATCGTTTTCGCTACCGGCGGTAACACTCACTTTGGAACTATCGCGACAAGCGTATCGGGAACTGAAAGTCCCCGTTCTCCTCTTCAGTTAAATATGGATCTCCTGGGGAAACAGCTAAGCCAAATATCTTTCGGTATCATCGCCTTAATCTCTTTAGTCGGGTTGTTACAAGGCAAGAAGCTTCTTGAAATTTTCACCATATCCATCTCGCTTGCCGTTGCTGCGATCCCTGAAGGATTACCTATTATAGTGACAGTCACCTTGGCTCTTGGCGTTCATCGAATGGCAAAGCACAATTCCATTGTTCGGAAAATGCCGAGTGTTGAAACGTTAGGCTCCGTTAATGTCGTCTGTTCTGACAAGACGGGAACATTAACTATGAATCATATGACGACTGCGAAGATGTGGTATTTCGGTTCGAAAGAACCAATTGATGTCGACTCTGATAACGAAACGATCGAGAGAACACCGGATACCGCTGCGTTGAAGATTCTTCGAATTGGAAATATCGCAAATAATGCACGCCTTGCTCATTCCACCAAATCTGTACTGCCAGATTCCCAAGGTAGGGAATTTGCGCCGTACACACGATGGGTTGGACAACCAACTGATGTGGCAATGCTCGATCTTCTGGACCGATTTAAAGAACATGATGTGAGAGATTCAATTGGCCCTCGAACGGCCGAAACTCCTTTCAGCTCCGAGAGGAAGTGGATGGGAGTGGTGATTGGTGCACAACCTGGAAACAGCGATAAGGAATACGCCTATATGAAAGGTGCTATAGACAGAGTGCTCGATGTTTGTGATACATATCTCACTTCCGATGGTCGTGAAATCATCATGGATTCCGTCCGACGCCAAGAAGCATTAGACGCAGCCGAAAGAATGGCTGAGAGGGGACTAAGAGTGTTGGCTTTTGCAAGCGGACCAGTCACTAAATCGGCACGGAGCAAATCGGGACATGGTACATCCACGCGGAGTAACACCCCTTTTAATAGAGATGAGAGTCAAAGTCCCGGATTACCGTACAGCGAGGAATCATATAGGAACTTGACTTTTGCAGGGTTGGTGGGGATGAGTGATCCTCCGCGACCCGGAGTTTCTCGTTCCATTCGCAAATTAATGCGGGGAGGCGTTAAGGTCATAATGATCACCGGCGATTCAGCGACTACGGCATTGGCTATTGGAAAAGAGCTTGGTATGCAAATTGCTACTCCTCGTGAGCACTTATCAAGCCAAGTTGCGGTAAAACCGGTACTCACCGGTGATGAGCTTGATGCAATGAGCGAGAACGATCTCGCAGCCGCGATACAGAACACAACAATATTTGCACGTACAAACCCAGACCACAAATTGAAAATCATTCGAGCACTCCAGTCTCGCGGCGACATTGTGGCCATGACTGGCGATGGCGTCAATGATGCTCCAGCATTGAAGAAAGCCGACATTGGTATTTCTATGGGTTTACATGGAACCGATGTAGCTAAGGAAGCTTCAGATATGATCCTAACGGATGATGATTTTTCCACAATCCTTCGCGCCATTGAAGAAGGCAAGGGCATATTCAACAATATCCAGAATTTCATCACATTCCAGCTCAGCACCAGTGTCGCTAGTTTAGCTCTGGTGTTTCTCTGCACCTGCATGGGGTTCAAGACTCCTCTGAACGCCATGCAGATTCTCTGGATTAGTAAGCATTCTCTCTTCCCGTTTTTCTGGCACTTGCTAACCCCGCATTCAAAGATATTATCATGGATGGCCCACCAGCTCAATCTCTAGGTGTTGAACATGTGGATCCGGACGTAATGTCACGTCCGCCACGTTCTCGAAGCGAACCCGTCCTCACAAGAGCCTTGCTTCAGCGTGTTTTGACTTCGGCCGCAATCATCATGGGGGGCACGATGGTTGTATATACTCATGAAATGCTAGATGGTGATGTCTCCCGTCGCGATACGACAATGACGTTCACTTGCTTCGTGCTATTCGACATGTTCAACGCGTTAACATGTCGATCAGAGAGCAAGTCCATATTCAGGGGCGAAGTGGGTCTATTCTCGAATAAACTATTCAATTGGGCGGTATCCTTGAGCTTAGCCGGCCAACTCCTTGTAATTTACTTCCCATGGCTACAAGAGGTATTCCAGACGGAAGCGTTGGGGTTGTTTGATCTTATCAGGCTAGTCGCTTTGGCGAGTTCGGTGTTCTGGGCGGACGAGGCTAGGAAATGGTACAAATACGGGCGCAGGAGGTTGGGCGGATACAGTCAGGCAGTGTAGAGAAAGTTCTAAAGAGGTGAGGTGTGTTGGTATTCATCATCGACCTCAATTTGTCTTACTTATACGTAGATGTATAGGAATAACCGCGTTGGGTTACGCGGGTAAATTATGTAAATCTATATTTATGAACATATATGAGCGTTCTAATAGACGCATTCTGACACATGAGATTTTTTTTTTATGTGCCGTGTAGAAATATCCAAATGTACCTCTCCCAACATCCATTTTTGACGACGCAGGAAATCAAGACTTGGTAGTTGTCTCCTCGGGTTCCTCGCTGGGCCCTGACTTAAGCCTGTCTAGGAGACGTCTTCGAATCTCCTTGATCAGACGTAAGCTCAATTTCATCATTCCATCATTCATGGTGCCATCCTTTCGCGTTGCGGTACCTTCGTACACCACCTCATCCAGTTTATTGGTGCCGGGCTTTGGCTTCTCGCCGTCTTTGTCTTCTTCGACTGGAGTTCGTGGAGGTGTTGGTGGATGGGTCTCCATCGACCACGAGCTTGATGGTCGAGGGGTCTCCTGCAGCCCTGTGAGCGAGCCCCAGAATGAGATGTGCATGGTGTTAGACGTGAGGTGAGAGTAAGACGAAGTTGCCTGGTTGGAAAGTTGCAATGAGAATGCGATCCTGAACGTTGTGTTTGCTTGCGTAGTAAAGATCGTGTTGATGATATCAGGTAGACGAGGCTCTTCCATGTATCATATCTAGAAATAAGAGGGATAAAAGACAGCATTGTTGACAGGCTCAGGTATATATATGTAAATGGCCTATACATAGTGTAAGAGCTAGAGTTTATCAACACGATATTCAAACTTCGATAGCCCGCCATTGGATCACTATTTTCCTCTGGATGTTTCTCCCGGGCTATTGAACTATTGTCGTGGTAAGGGGTAACAAGTTCATCAACGTAGGTAGGAGAATCTTCTCCTAACCTGAAAAACAGATTTGGTTCAGAAATCTAACATTGTTACGAAGCAAACACTCAATGGTTGAAAAGAGTCATGATTCTAAAACGGTCGCTTCGAACAGCACTCCACGAGTATTTCTTAGTCCTGCTGAAACGTTGGTCACTTATTGTCTCCCGCCGTCCTTTGTGCTACCTCTGCGTAAGTTCTGCGTTGTCAATAGCTTGCTGCTTAATATTTTCCTCTAAATTAGATAAAAAATAACAAATCCTAGCATGTAAACATGGGCACACTATAAATTAATTCTATTGAAATCTAATATATGCTAAACGTAGTAAATCGCTGATAAATAAATGATGAAATATGCTATTGCTCTGTTCCGATCACGGTGCATCGGTGGGATCCCTATAATCCATCATTAGTACAGACTATAGAATGCTGTATCAGCCGAACTTACCAATCAGTGACTAGATATTCATCAAGATCATCCATTTCCTCCATATCTTCATTGGAAATTTGAAACCCGCCTACTTGTACATTTTCAAGTAGACGCTCACGCTTCGCGCTCTTCGGTAATGGGACGAGTCCATGTTGTAGAGACCATCTGCATTCACCATTAGCGCAGATCGTCTACTAAGTTGCCATATGGCCGTAGAGTTAAAACTTACCGAACCATTAGCTGCGCGGGTGTGCACGAGTACTTTTTGGATAGTTTTATGATAGTCGGATGCTTCATCCGCATAGCTCGCGCCAGTGGCGCATAGGCCTCAACAACAATTCCATACTTTGCGCAAGCAGCTCTAATGTCTGTCCGTGTGTTGAAGGGGTGAACTTCAATTTGGTTCACGGACGGAGGAATTCTCGGTTCTGAGACCATGAGCTCTTCGATCTAAGTTCGGTATAAAAGTTAGTCAAATAGCGTCCCTTTATTAGGAATGTTGCAAACTGACATGAGCGACACCATAATTACTAATTCCTCCCGATTTGACCTCTCCATCGTCGATAGCATCCTCAACTGCCCTCCAACTCGTCAGTCGTGCCTCGCGGCCGCCGTAAGGGCTATGCAGGAGGAATAGGTCGATATATCCAAGCCCGCAAGCATCAACTGATTGTCGTATCGATCTACGCACGGCTTGGTATGAGGTGCTACTGCTAGCTAACTTTGAAGTAAAAAAGATATCTTGGCGAGTGAGTCCCTCCGTATTTTCCTCGGGATTGGCTAAGAAATTCCGGATAGCGTGCCCGGCCTCCTTCTCATTGCGGTACATCTGCGCGCTATCAAAGCCGCGGTAGCCTGCAGCAAGCGCCCACCGCACAGCCGTAGACGCTTCTCGACGGCTCATTAGATACAGACCGAGTTGGATCTGGGGCATGAGCTTGCCGCTCGGCAGCTGCGCGACATGGTAATGTCAGCTGAGTGAGACTGAGATTTTGTGCGGGCAGCTTTGTGGACGCCATTAAAAGCAGGCTAGGTTGGGCGTAATAGATGTTTTTTTTTTTAATGTGAGGGGGTATTAAAGTATCGGAACTAACTCACCTTTACCTTGGAGGCTAACGAGAAATTAGCTGATGACATTGTGCGTCTGTTGGGTTATTCGATGCGAGATTGAACTTTCCGATACCGAATTGGAAGATCAAACTTCCGATTAAGTTTTGAGGTCGTTTCTTTATATCTTGTTCTTTCCCCCATACATATACTTAGTTATTAATACTAACGTCACTTCTTTCCGCCGTACTATGTCGTATGCGGCCCCACACCGGAAGACGCCGGATCAAAGGCGCTGCCGCTCTATAGGCCCATATCCCAAAGCCGTTACTCAGATACATTTCAAATCGGGCGAGGAACGTATAAATGATGAAGAATACACTTCAGATTTGTGATTATCCTATTATACATACCGAGGCAATTTGGATTGAAGTTATTCCGTATGTGTTCTGCATTGTCGCACACTTATGTAACCACCTACCCAGTATGTAGGTTCGTGAAGGGCACCTCCTTGTAAAAGTAAGTCTGCCCACTTTGACCAAATGATACAACCCAATGCCTTTTCTTTGTTCGTATTGGGCCTGCCAAGGAATCACAAAAATATCATTGAATGAATCGCATGGATATCCCTTATATGTTATCAATATTGCATAGAGCGCCTAATTAGGTCTTGTGGAAGCGGAATCCATGAGGCTTGATAATTATAGCAATGGGTATTCTAATTATGTTGCCAAATTAATAGTAAGTAGAAAGATGTTATGGAGACAATAAGCGGGATTTAGGGAATACGCATTGAACATTTTTAGATAGCTGCAGTAGGGCTAGCCGAACATTTCGCTGACTTCCATGATTCTCTTTGAACAGCTACGTGCAGCAAACAAGGTAGTAATACATATGTAGTAACAATTCAATCTTCGATAATAACATCCAGTTGCGGGGCGGATTCCTACAGGTCATTTTAAGAGCCAGCCATCTCCGTTAGTCGGATACACCATTGCGACTGTCATCCCGCAAATCGTAGCGGCGACACAGCTGTGAGGAGGGCGGGCGGTCATATCTCATAGTGTGAGAAGGTGATAGGAGAAAAAAGAAAGAGATGTGGGCAGACACATAAAGGGAGGGATGATAGGTAATTTAGTAGAGGAAATGGTGGTGGTGCCTAGGTACTGTCCAGTGTAAGACACGACATGGTGGATGGTGGATATGAATCTCGATGGTTCAGACTCAGGTCAGAAATCATTAGCTGTAACGACAGTTGGTCGCTTGGTTGACTCATTATGTACCTGTCTTCTTACGTGTTTACCTATTGGGATACATAAAATAAAGTCTTGAAATTAAACGTGCTCATAGGTAAATGAAAGTTTATATAGAGAAGAGGAAAAGACATAAGAATTGAAGATTGAAGATCGAACTTTATAGATGCAACTTCTTTAATTGATTTTTGAATTGTACATTGTACAGGTACGTTGGCATGGTACCTGGGTACTTATTTAGGTACATCCGCGGAAAGGGCAATCAGTTGTGGCTAATACCTGCACCATGGCAGGAACCCAATGTGGCTAGAGTTAAAACAAAAAGTACCTATACTTAGGGAATCACCTGTTTCCCAATAAAACGTTAAGTATCCGACCGAGAGAAACGTCCAAGTCACACGCCAAGAATGCATTCAGGCAAGAAGGAACTGGTCGCTGTTGTTCTGTCCGTCATCCGTACCCGCCTTTGCCTTGCCTTGCCTCGACGAATTTCATTTACCGCATGAACTCATTCCACCTCTCGCCATTCTTTGTACAGTGACTTTTTTTCTTAGGCACCGCGTCTCGCCTCTTTCTTTACGCTACATTTACGCTACATACAACGCCCACGTCCCTTCTTTGCGCGCACCTACTCGCCTCGCATTGTCGAATACCATTCATTGACGAAAAAAAAAAAAGGGAAAAACAAATCCATAGAGGCATTATCTCACTGTGTTCCTCGTATCCCTCGACTCTATCGTACCGTACCATATTAGAAAAACGAACTCCATGCGAAGAAATCCCAACCTTTTAATCACTGAATAACGACCAAACCACACCAGGAAAGCTCTAGCGCCTCGTTTCCCACCCGATTTCCTCGCAAACACATGCCTCAGAGCATCGTCGCATCCACATTTCCCCTTTACTCATCGACCGAAACTGCGACCATCCTGGTGAGCCCAACTTCCATCTCGCGCCGCGCCGGCGGAAGGGGGTTTGAGGCGAATGATGCCTGGTGTCGTCATGATGGAGAACGGCGTTCGGGCACCTCTACCCACAAATCATGACAGAGACCACGGCCAATTCACGAATGGTAACGGTGGTCTCGCAACTCCTGACCGACAGAATGGTGTTCTAGTTGGAGCCGGCACCATGACGAATGGAAAAGATGGTAGCAATGGCGCGAATGCAGCGCAACCAGTACGAATTAATACTAATCCATCGCGTATGAACGACCTTCCCGACGAAATTAAACATATCACCGACGGATTCATTCCCTTAAGTCTCTTGCTCTCGCGCCTCGCGCAGAAGACTCATAGTCAACTGCACGATGAGATCGTCGCTCTGGCTAAGATGCCGGCACCGGCAGGTGCTGTTAATGGCAATTCCGCACACGCTGGCGCAGTGACAGATGATGTTTCACCCGAGAATCTCGCAAAAAAGACCCGGCTACTTAATTTCGTCCAGGAGAAACATGCCGAATGGGTGAAAGCGGCGGTGATCGCGAGATGGAGTAGGAATGCCTCACAGGTCAGCAAATTGATCGACCTGATGTGGCTTCTTAACGACCAGTCACGAAGATACTTGCACATCACGGATGTTATGGCAGAATATAGATGGTCTTTGGCTTTTGCACGACTCCCGAATCCCGACTTACAAACCGCCCTCGAAGTCCTTTCTACAGGTACCGCCCCATGGATGCCGGATTTCAACTACATCGAACCTCCCCCTTTAACTCCGAAAGAGCAGCTGCAGTGGATTGAAAATCTGAACACGCTTCTCTCCATCCGTCTCAACCTAGAAGACTTCGATACCCTCCCTTATGCTTTTCGTGATTATACCATCGATTCCGGCCGTGTCACCTTCAAGGTTCCCGGAGAGTTCGAGGTAGATCTCACGATAGCGGACGAGGATTTCGAAAAGCAGTTTTGGTTCATTGACTTCCGATTCGATTTCACACCTGCGCCAGCTGAATTATCAGACAACATGAGGATGGTTTTGGAGGGCAAAGTCAACGAAGTTCTAGAGAAGGATGGACTATCGGGATGTTACAAATTCCTCCATGAGTTGGTACTTACTCATAAGATCACCGAGTATGTGCGCCAGGCTTTTGAACTTAGTAAGGGTCGGTGGGTGGACACACTCAAGGTAGAGCGCCTTAACCGAGCCATGTCCATTCAATATTGGGTTGGCCGTTACCCACCGGAGGGCCCGAAGAGTTGGATTATCTTGGGAGTCAACAGCGGTAAAAAGGCGGGCGCCATCGAAGATCCAAAGTCAGCAAGCCATCTTACTCTACGTTGGTTTAGAGATAATAAGGAGGTAAAGGATGTTGAAGTTCCTTTACATAACGACGAGATCTCTACGGAGGACCTCCTAGAGCGTGTTATTGGAAGACACGTCGAATATATCCTCAGCTCGATCCACTCGAAACTAAAATTGAACGGACGGTTCACCAAGCGAGAAGCCGGTCTTGCTTTAGACATTCAAAGGGACAATCCAGCACGATCGGTACTGCAGATGCAAGTTGGTTACAAGTACTTTGTTACCCTTGGTGTCAGCTCTACTACAGGCATGCTCTCGATGAAGCCACAATCAGCAATGACTTGGAAAGGAGAACAGAAACTCAATTGGCACTCAAAAGACCCTATTCACGATGGGCTTGCCTGTTTAGAAGGCGTAAGATGCCACTATATTGTGGATGAAATCAACCGTCGCGGGAAGAGCACAGGTTGGATTGTCTGCAAGGGTCCCGTAAAATTGGAGGTTGTCAAAGAAGTACTCAACTTGCGTGAAATGGGTCAACTCATGTGGCTCAAGCGACGTGGTTTTGCAGACCCGTGGCATATGATGGTGAATCTGAGCCTGAGCGGGGATAAATGGCATTTGATTGAAGTGTGAGTCGTTTTATTCCTTTCTTCCTTTGACCTAAACTAACAGAGCTGCAACAGTAATAACCAGCCCAATGGCGAGGCACAAATTTCATCATATACCAAGTTGCCACTCAGCCCTTACCCACCAAACCTTGGGGATAGATTCTTCAGGGATCTAACCACCTTTTCTGCCGCCATGATTTCACATATTACATACTTGAGAAGTCTCCACCGACGACGAACCAAGTACTCTGCGCAGGATGGGGTCAACTACTCTCTACCCCCCAATATGAAGGTTCCTGCGATCTACATCAAACTCTCAGATATATTAGGACAGCCACAGTCAGATGAATCACACAGACCAGTTGCGTATTGGGCCCACGATTATGTGGAAATGAGGTATCGGGGCGTACGCAACCCATCAACCAAGTCACAGGCACCAAACGCTGGAGACAACGAAACGCCGCAGAAGGACGATTTGCATACATTCATTGATGCTCGGCTTCAGGTGTCTGATTCTTCCAGGTTCGGCCTTCTTAAAGGACACGTGGAAAGAGATGTGGCGTATCATGGAGGCCTTGGAGTATTTGCACTTCGACTGGAAGCCAAAGTTGGGCGATCTATATTGGATACGCTTGGTCATCGCCTACGAGCCATTGACCAGCTGGCTGACTGCATCGATGCAATACGCCGCAGTGATAGAGATATTCAGTGTGAAGAAATTACACTTACTAAGATCGTGTTCACATATACCGATCGACTAAAAGAGGCAGCTGATAAACCACAGAGTGGCCGCTTCAAGGCGATATTGCAATTGGAACCAGAGGGAACTAAGTTGATGTTTGAACGAGGCAATCCGCAGTTGCGCGTTATGGACCACTTCCGCCATCTTATCAACTCGAACCTTGGGTCTGCAAAGCTGCCATTTTACCTATCAACCACATTGCCGGTTCATCGCGCTCTAGACGCGATCGAAGATGCTTGGGAAGACCATGAAATGAACAACCAAGGCCGGGTTGAAATTTATGCGGTTCACCTGGATTGGTTCAATATTCGTTATCATCTTCCTGGTCCAAATAGGAACCCCAACGCTCATCGACGCGTTACGATACAAGTCCGGCTGAGACATCGGCGTGGAGGCCTCGAGTGGGCAGTGGGCCGGTTGGAATCAGGCCCAATCCCAGCACAGAAACCCAACGACGAGTTCAAGCAGCTACTTGAAAGGGTTTGGAATGCCGAAAACCGGACGTGGATATGTTTAGTCGATTCGGCAGCAACTGGACTGGATCACCGAATCGGAGACTTAATGAAAGCAGTTGACGAGGCAATCAGGCGCGTAATGACTCCGTCGCCAACGGTAGCGAGACAGCCCCAGCCTAGAGTTCAGGGACAACAGAGGAATCCAGCGCACGCCATGTATCATAGGCAAATGGCGGCAAATAGGCCTCAAAGCCAGGCTCAAGGTCGAGCTCAAACGTCAACATCACAGAATGCCGTAGTGGTATTGGATGAATAGTGGTCAAGCCAAGAACACGCAGGCGGCGCAGGGCGCAATTAGGTATATGACGAGAGAAAAAAAAAAAAAACAGAAAGTCAGTATTTGCTTTTTTTAAAAAGAGAATGCGATGTGAATTGGGGGGACGCGAACGGCCAATTACTTAAGATACCCTTAGGAACCATAGGCGAAGGCAATAGGAGATAGGAGATAGTTACCCTCTCATAGCTTCGCCTGAAGGCTGCAATGAAATTATTAGTAATGATACTTGTTAAGAGTTCTTTTTCTGAAGATATCCGTGATAATGTCATAGGACCAGCAATATCCACCATTGTGGGTATACGATATACTCCAGCTTGTTTGATTATCGAGGATAGAATCAATGACTACATGACTTTTAATAATTCTATATCTTTCAGCTAGGGACTATATCTACTCCATCGACAAAGGTGGACATATTCCCATCCTTACCCCTTTCCGGGTTGAAACACGAACCGAGTTTTGAATAGCGGTGCCTTAGAGCGGTTTCGCGGGCGACGGACCGTGGTGTTAGGCGCTGTAGGGGCCCTGTAGCATGTGGCGGGTTATACCCATTTCAGCACTCTTCTTAGCGTAGATTGTATCGCGAATGCAACATCGGGAGTAGGACATGCATACAATAGTCCCCTTTTTAGCCTTGATGATGTCAAGGGGGGTTAGCTCTAGGTAGGTGCGAATGGCTTACTGCTACTGCTACGTTATCGTGGATTGGATTGCCGAATGACGGGACAGAGATTCAAACTTTCGTTCTTTTTTTGTTAAGTGACAACTTGCAGATCTTACTTGCACATTTACATACTTTGAAGCTATATTTTTTAAGTTTTGGTTTTCTTTTGGTCTATTTGCAATTGAGCGTCGCTGGTACGATTTGAGGGTTTTTTATAATTAAATAGAATAGAATTGGGAAACGATGTCGTGTAAGTTGTTAAGCTACACCGCTCCCCATCTGTTACTATTCCCGTCCTGCTCCCCGCAACGCCGTGTCTTGTTATCTTTCTACGACCAGAATCTTCAACGATGTATATCACATTACGTACTTATGTAGAGATGGGGCAATGTGAGAATGGAATAGAGATCTAACCAGCCTCAATGGCAATAGTCTTCACAGGAACGACTAAATTCGTCAACACATCGCCGATCCCGGCCACCGCCAGCAACACCGCCACTACGAAGGAAGCAGCGGTGAAATTACTCCACGATCACGACTTTTTCTTACGCTGCGAACCACACTATGTATCGCATCGAAGGCTACCCGATCAGCAAGACGAGGACACGAGCGCTGCTGCAGCTAAGCAATCATATAGACTCCCGCCCAATCTAGAGCCACTTGGCGAGCCGCCCGTAAAGCTATACGAGGTAGTCGACCATGTACCGAATCCGGTGTGGAGCTCGAGCGTAGTCAGTCGTGAGGAGTTTGTCGACTTTAAGGAGGGTGTTTGGGTTAGGATTCGGAGTCCGCTTGCCGTGGTTATGGAGACGAAGTGGAGTATTAGGGAGAGGCGGAAGGGGAAGGGTGATGAAAGCGAAGAGGGGGAGTTGGATTTGGTCGAGGAGGTTGAGATTACGTGTTCGAAGTTACTGTTGAGTATTGTGAAGGCTCAGGTGGATAATGGGTGGAAGAGAATTCATGGCAAGATTATTGAGAGACTGGTTGAGGATACGAAGGAGGGCGGAGGAGAGGGGAAGGGGGAGTAATGATGACGATGGGTGTATGAATGAGTTAGATTTGCTATAGGTATGTATATGGCACGGTGCGAATATACCATTGAGTTATTTCAAATTTTACAGAAGAAGCATCTGTGAGTAAGTCCAGAATGAGACGATCGGATTTCGTCGTTCACTTGTGAGGTCCCTAGGGGAATTGGGGGCTTTCAATGCCAACTACCTAGGTGCGTGAAATAGGATTTCGATCGTCGCTTGGGGGGGAGGCTTGAAAGAACTTCGCGCCCAGTAGATGTAGGTCCTCCCCTGTATTCAATTGGGATCACATAGCTAATTGGTTTATACGTCCTCCTTTTCACCGAGCCGCAGAAACACCAACCAATGGTTGGTGATCTAGATATTACGATCAATCGGAAGTTTTTGTCCGAACTTCATGATATGATGTGCATCAGTGAGCCGTCATTCCGAGAGTCACAACATATCTCCCAGATGGTTTTTGATGAGGAATGATATATCTCAAACCGCTCAAAGAATCAGATCATAACATCTCGCTACGGCTTACGCAAGATGCAACCGATCGCCGGTGTAGGGGCTTAGGTTCCACTTTCAGGCCTTTGAACTCGTCACCGGCATGGTGGCGTCCGCCACGGCGTTCGCGAGAGGGGTAACGATGCGAAATTGCAGCGACCCGGATAGCCGATGCCGTGGGCGGACTTGTTGACCCTTCGATCTCCGTATCTGATGGCAAATTTGAGGATCGGTATGTAGGCAGTGTGATAGTATGGGGTTTACTGTCCACCTATTCCAGCTCGGAGTGGCGATGGTTACGACAAGTTAGCGCCCGTGTTTGCTATCGGGTGTAGGACAGGCTAATCGGAGTCAAAATTATCCACTATTTGAGAAGGGAAATACTAGGTGTGTGTATAGAATAGAATATGGATAAGCGATGATCGGGGCAGGTCGTCAACCGACGGGTGGTGATCCGGTCGGTCCTGTTCGAAACCCAGAGTCGTCGGATGTTTAGGCGAGCTTTCCTTGTTCTGCTTCCGCCACGATCTCGCATAATTCTTGCATTTCATATGCTGGAACGACGGAACGACATCGACGACTCCAGGTAGCATGGATGTAGTTTCCGGTTGGTCCTTGACTCGCCATGTTCTTCGAGTTAGAGGATATCGGAATGAAATCGATCACATTCGCAGGGCATCTACGGAAAGGCTTGTAGGGTTGACCTCCCCCTTGGTCCCTGCCGATTTGTTAGGCCCGTTGGCCGCGGAAGACAACCCTATATCCATATAGATAGTTCAACCTAGAACATTAATCGTCCGTGGAGGCTGGGTTGCTACATAGGTATACGCCATGGCTTAGTGCTAATCGGTTGATGAGGACGTCGCTTGGTTCTAATTCGTTCTACGAGCTGATCGGTGGCTTTCGATAGTGTTGAGCAATAATGCGCTTCGCCTCGGGGTATGTCTACCTCGTAGGATGCATCGGAGTTCTCATGTTCGAGATAGATTAAGGTATAGCACTGAGTAATCCAACTCTCGATGAAGTTATCCGTACGTGAGAACGGGCTGGTGTCTCGCAGAGCAAGTCAATTCTCTTCCAGGTTGCACTACTAACTGAAGTAATAAAAAGAAAACCGAGTTAGATCCTACTCGGTGTCGAAAACTATGATTAATAGAACCGTAATCTCGGCTCCTATACGCTTTCAGAAAGTAGATATTAGCATACGAGTTAACAGTCGATTATGCGCATGAGGGAGCTTCCTGTTTGATCGACGCTGGCCAATCTATCATGAACATTCTACGAATGAAAGCACCTATTCGAGTTGTTGGTGCTATTATTTCATATTAAGGGTCTACGTAATATGGCCTACTCGCTTCACCCTTCTATTGACAAGTTATGGCTCACCACACCTATAATATAGCGCCAAGAACTGCACCGACGGTTGTTGGCTGTCGACTTTACGACAGCTGACGAATACCAGGTCAATCTATACTCAAACCAAGTGTGATATTTTATTCAATGGGAGACATCGTCTTGCTCGCCACTACTTTTATCACTCCTTCGTAGAGTTGCGACTTGAGGATTCTGATCTGCCGGCCATATCGCCGTAGTCATTACGTTTGGAAAAGGGGGAATGCACAACCCTAGAGTAATATTGTATGATAGCAAGCACTCAAATGTCTTTGCTCCATCCAACTTCGTAATTATGTCTGGTTTGTAGAATCCTTTACTTTGCCGATACTTGATCCTGCCGCACGGCCGGTCTGATCATCTAGACCACACATCTCCAGCATCGACTTGGCGAGTTGCTGCGGGGAATTGGGCAAAAAAACAAGTTTTAGTGCTAAGAACGCAAGAACGTATCACACGATGCATCTATTATGTATGTAGTTGCCAGCGCCCCTGAACTACAAGGTAGTTCTCTACCTTGGCCAATCATACATACATGAAAAATATATGCCCTCTAGGATGCTTCATAGCCTTGTACCTAGTCTAGCTGCAAGTTTGCTTTGCTAATCCTACATACCTACATAGAATGCTAGACTTACAGAATTAAGGAGGTATTTGTTAGAAATACGGCAAGGGTAACAAACTCATCAACCTGCCTAACAGAGTAGCATGGCAATTCTTGTCCGTTGCGCTACGACATTATGATTCTATCCACAAGATAGTTCGCCATCTCTATAAGCCGAGGTATGCAACGCATCATGAGGCCATCACACCGCTAGGCTCTACTCTGCTCTGCGGGCAAGTTTAACCAACTATTAGCAAGGGTTCCATGTGAGCTTGATTGGCATGGTGTTGATACAGCGGGATCTGCGAATCCATGCAGATATATACCGAAGCGGTTTCATAGCAAAGCCATGAAGGAGGGAAGTATTTTGATGCGATGAGATTATGAGATTCGTCTGAATTTGTCACGGAAGGAAGCAAATAAATGCTGCATATAGTACAGATTTGCTACCCAATGGCTTGGAGCTACCCACGATGCGACATCGAGTGTTTTTCGTCTGAACTATGGCCAATCCCGTTCATCTTGAAATCCTTCGAGGTGGGATTTTCCGCGCCTATGATATGCAAAGATGATGGAATACGAACTGATACAAAGTACAGATTAGGTGATTGATGGATTTCATAGACTTGAGTACGCATGCGTAGAAGCTATAGATTTTCAATACTCCGGTAGGAATAGAATGGCTTAATGGGCTGAGTTTGGACGTGGATACGATGCCGGAGTTCAGGGTGCTATGCGAAAGCCACCTATGTAGGTACTCATGTGGTTATCATCGCAGACTGCTCGATATGTCCATCCTGCACCTATGATTAAGGGTCTGTCAACCGTGGATCCTGACGAATACGGGGTCCCCGATCTAGCGGCCCGCTAGAGATAGACGTGATAACCTCGTGGGCAGTGTTAATTAGAAGCACTTGCGTAAGGGTCTTGCTGGATGTCGATCAGGTCTTACGTAGGCGAATCCACAACTAGCGAGAACTCTGAGCGAGCGCTAAGTAACACATTCGAGCGTATACTTGATGACTTTCAGCAATATAGACATCAATGGCTCTTACCGGAGGGGACTATGACGGTCTGTGCATCGTCCGTAGGAAGCCGGTATCTAGGTTGGTGCATTGCCGGATTGTTAAATGTCATAGCTAGCTGACACACACGCGAAATACTTACTAAATATGTGCGTATAGGCCCGAGTTCGACTCTGTATGTTAAAAGCCAAGACAACCAGGCCGATTCAAAACCAACGAGGTCAACGGCGTCATACTCCCTGTTATTCTAATTGTCCTAAGTGAAGATCTAGGTGAGCACAATAGTTATGTGTATGCACACGTTAAGATTAAGGAGATGACCCTCCGAGATAGCTACCCTGAAAAGGTAGGAGATGTTGCAAATCTTAGTAGCTTCGTAGTAAAAGCTCAAAGGGGAATTTACGTGAATGCAGGTACTAAGCCACTCGACGCAGCTGTTCTAGAGTGTTTGAGTGTTTGAATGTTGTGCATTGCCGGCATTGAAGGCGACGGCGCGACACTTGGCTGGGCTGGTAGTGGACCGCGGAAACGGCAGTGCCGGTGCCGTCCTGACACGCAAAACAGCCCTGAATGCGCTTCAGATACTCAATTTCCGAGCCGGTCGGTTTCGTCGAAGCTATGCCAATGCCTCTAGTGTTCATAGTAGCAGAATGAGACCAGTCGCAAAAGCAGGCAGGTAGTGACTCTTCACAATTGTGCTGTCAATCCTCAACGCTACGATTTGCTAGCCTCATTCTGCTGTCAAAGCGGTCAGCTATCAAGCGGTATAATATCCGTTTTGGATGGGTTCGCATTTCAATATTGCATATTAAAACTCCGATACTCCACTTACGGTGGCAGAACAATGGTTTGTCTTGACTCAAAGTGGACTTACGCCGGTATTATCATAGTAGAGAGGGTCCTTAAAGACAAGACGCTAAAGCTGCGAACTCTCTATCGGACAGTAATCTCACATAACGCAAGATCCATATTCTACGAGGCAAGCTCATTAGTCGGCCACACCGCAGTAATAGCAACAGATCATTGCCTAGCTGTGGCTTCTGGCCCCGCCAGGGACTTAACTCGTTTTCGTGATGTGATATAGTAACGGAGGCTTTGCAGACTTCACATGTTAGTTATCGGCTGTAGTATCTAACGTCGGCATCCTTCTTGACGATCTCCCCACGAAGGGTCTTCCAACGACGATAAGATCTTGGCATTCGGATATCGGCGTCGAACACCCAGTCCTCTGCAGCAACGTATAGTCAAGTGACTACGGCGGTATAAGAAAACCCGCAGCGATGTCCACCGGTATGTTGACGTTGCTGGGAATAAGACGGGATAAGAATCATGGGATGATTTGCTGTGGGCTCTAAATGAAGCCATCGCGACGCTGTAGAAAACAGGATATTCGACCCCGCATGCCGTTTGAGTCCCGAACAAGCTATAGCCCCTCATTTTTGTTACGTATTCGTGTCTCATGAAGTCTGGGTTAAGTTGGTGAAGTGGGAAAACTTGGAGGAGAGGGAATCTGGACCATTAGGGTCACTTCCCATCCACTGGGCGAACAGACCACGCGAGAAATCCCCCGCCAGGTGATGGACGTGCTTGCAGACGGCAGCAGATTGACGTTAGAGAGTCTGACCAATGATTGAACATTATGATTAATTAATAATGTAGGTTTTTGGGTGTGTAATTGCACTCCTGCAACGCAGTAACAGTTATCAACGAAGGCGTTCCTGCGGCAGCGTACCATTGCAGCTTGAGCTCGGACATTTCTTGGCGGCTCTGTCTGTTCCTATCCTGGCGATATTCGACCCAGGGGGAAATAACCCGCAAAATTACGAACTTGAAGTTTGCCTATCAGGTTGCGACGGCCAGGGACATGGTTGTAACTTGGGGACCTATAGAGGACGGCGTATAGGCCGCCATGTGTCCCGATGTTACGCTCTTTGTTCTCTTCATCGTCTGTGCGCTGCAGTTTGTTTCCTAGGATGCAAAATTTGTTTATTTACTTGATGTCCATATTATATTATATTGTGTGTATTCATATAATAAGTATGTGTGATACGTCTGCGCGTGGTATTGAGCAGAATGATATGTTAAATGAAACTTATTAATGATGATATGGTTAGTAGTCATACCATTGTTTGGAGATAATTATTGTAGTTGGTAAGATGGGAAAGTAGGGAACATGTTAGAAAAAGGAATGAAAAAAAAATCAAAAAATCAAAAGGAAATAGGAGAAAACGGTCACTTGCAGACAATATTAACAGACCCGACCCAATTCCAGAGTAGGGGTACTTGTAGGGGTACTCCCTACTATGTAGTTCGGTACTCTGCGGCTAGCTGCTGTGGTGTTACGGGAACTGCGCAGGGGTTCAGGGGGAAATACCTTCTTCAAGAACCTGGCAGTTTAGGTTGTGACTGCTGTCAATGGCTATTGCCCTCGTTTCCCTAGGATTTTCTGCAAGGGGAACGGCCGCCTTGAACCATATTGTTGCATATCTCGGCCAGTTTATGACAGGGATGGAACGGACCCTAAAATAGCGCTAGTCCACTTTCGTATGTTGGTCTAATACATGTAGGTCTAGTAGGTACTGCCACCGCGGCCAGTTTTTTGTAGTACTGTACTAAAGGTATTGGAACTTGCTAGCCACCACGCGGCCCGCCACTTCTTGCCTCACCACTGCTACTGCTGCTGCCAGCCCTCTTCCGCGCCCGTTTCACGCTTCCCACTCGCCACGAATTTCATCCCATCTCTTTTTTTTCTTCTCCACCCATCCACCCCTTGTCCACTTCCCTCTGTCCCCTTCCCATTCTTCCCAGCGCTCGGATCTCGACCGCCTTTGTTACCATAACAATTAGTTCGTCATTCATATCCGTCCTAGCTCCATCCAGTACCAGTCCACATTGAGAATGGACATCGGAAATCTGCCTCTTTTCTCTGCCGTCTGTACATGTCTGCATGTACGACACACCGCAGAGTGCATCGGGAGTGGATAAATGGAAGACCGACATGGACAGACAATAGGAAACCTGATCGACTGAAACGGCAAGGCTTGGATTGCAAGCCCATCGTCAAGTTTGGATTTGCTTGTCAAACTTGCCTTGCTTGCTAGGTATTCTGGTATTACATCGTAGTACCGTGCTCCAGCCTCTCTAGACTCCCAGTCTTCAGCGGACCCCGGCTCTTAAGGGATTGCTTATTCCATGCTGGTGTCGATCATTTTCCTCTCACAAAACTCGAACCAATCCAAGGTTCGCTCGAGCATCTATCGTCTCTCTGACGAGATGCCTGCAGCAGATGCTTTGACCTTGCTCGAAGCAAATTTACACATGATACCCCGGACTCTAACGGGGACAAACGATCTGCTGCCCAACCCGTCGTGCATCTGGAAATTGTAAGATTAATAGAGATGATATCCGGACATTTCTAGGAAACATCTCTTCTCTTTAATTTGCCTGCCGGTGATATCCCTCGTTTCTTTTTATTCGAGGTGTTGACGAAATATCTCGTGTTGTTGTTGCTTGGTCTTTGCTTCCGACAGCATCTAGTCGTTAACAGGGACATATCCCCAAATCCCTATGCTCCCTGTCCGCAGCGCTTTGCTTCTTACTTGAGCTTAATGCTAGACATACTTTTTACAGTACGTAAACTCGGCTGTGTAGGCCTTCGTTCGTGTCGTCATCTTTAAACTCTCGAATTTACTTGCTTAACCGCTCCACCAACCTGAAAAGTGAGCCTGTCTGTTTCAGATCCCCCCAGCCTACACTTGTCGAGCACTTCACTTTTTTTCCAGCCGCCTCACAACGGCACGAAGGGGTCGGGAACCAGGGGTCACCCTAATATCCTAATATATTCGTCGATTTTCCAATCTGTGTACGACAGAAGCATCACTGAGCTAGAAACTAATAATAGAAAGGAATATCTGGGCCAAGCAGTTCCGCAATCCATTCTTTCTACTCCCGACTTGGATCTTATCGTTGATCTTAGTTAGCTTGGAGTCGCCACAGGGACGGTTGAAACGTGAAGGTATCCAGGGAAAATATCTTGGGACCGCCCCAATATTTTCAGAGACATCACTGCCTTTCGGTCTAAGGGCCTCGCCCTCTACTCGTCATACTCGAATCTCGACTGTCAGCTACTGGTCTCAGACCCTCAACCTAGTCAGCATATATACGCATGAGTTTTGCCACTGTTGTGTGATTCTACGACGAAAACCCGACGATCCCTTATGTACTACTTGGATATTCGGCCGCCTGCATAATCGACCGAAATCACCACGAAAACTGTTCAGCTATTGTCTCGTTGTTAATCCAATATTGAGTGACGACAACCTATATCTACCCATAGGTGCATCGCTACATGAGCCTCGCCGAACGCAAAATAAACTCACTATAGCTATATCACCTTCACATTCGGTAACAGCAACAATGAGCGGCCTAATACCGCTACTTTTGCCGTCATCTGCGGGCAGCAGATCAAGCATGAACTCATCTCCTATTGAGGCAAACCGAAGAGCATCAGTTTCTTCGTCTCTGTCCCCATCTTCGTCTCCACCTCCGTCCTTGATCCACCGTCGGCAACAATCTTTACCGACCCTAAGGGCAACGAAGCGTGGCTCACTTAGCCTGCCGACTACAATCCCAATCATCCCTTTCACCTCAATGGAGTGGAAGAGGGCTATAGACGAGGTGAAGCGCAAATATCTTAACCGCAAATATCGGGCATGCTCGGCAAGATGCTGTGAGATTCTAGATAATCTTAAGGATTCGTATACTGTGGAACCCCTTTACTTGATCTACTTGCATTTTTATGCTGCCTGCTCTTTCGAATTATGTGCACGACCTCTATCGTGCTCATCTAACTATCGCACGAGACTGCTCCGCGATGCTCAAATCCACTATAATAAAGCTGAGGCGTTGATTCGGCATACCGAAGAGAACGTTACTCGCAGGATTAGGTCTGCGTCGTCATCAAGCTCCACTACTTCTAGCCTCCACTCTCCGGGTCTATCACCTAGCGTACGGTCGTCGGTTTCAAGTACAACGCTGTCATCACCCAGGACATCGGTATGCTCGGTTGACGATACAACTGCATTGAAGTCAAGTGGAAGACCGGTTAAGGCTAAGAAAAAGGTCTCATTTTCTGGATTGAACGACCTTATCGAATTCCAACCTGAGCCATATATCCGGCCAGATAGTCCAACGTTAGGGTGGGAAGATGATTTCGTTCCTCAGCATAATGAAAGCACCCTCCCCCTATTCTTAGCGGATAAGATCAATCCACCAAAGCCTGAGCTATCGACAGAATCAGAGCCACCACGCACAACTACAACTATCGGTCAATCGTTAGAAGAATTGAACCACGCGGATGACAAATTTGATCTCGATACCTTCTTGCAGTCGCGGTCTGTACATAGAATATCTGCACAGCTCTCTGCCTTACGCTTACAAGTGTCTTGGCATCGTAATGGGGTTGAAGCCTTACTTGCTGCACCCGATGATACACCGGCGACGCCTACGCTCTTAACTGATAACTCGGTTGTTCCTTCTACACCCATCACTCCGCCGCGATCAGCTCGCGCAAATACTCTGCCAACTAGCGTTGGGCGGGATTCGGACTCGCCCGATGAGTCAGCTCCGTGGACGGCTCCCGGTCTACGATATAGCTTCGCTCATTCGCCAAGCTATGACAGCCCTAGAGCCCTTAGCCGACCGGCTTCCGTGGCCTCTACGATACGTTGCACCGACGAAGCTTTACAGCAACGGATTGAGCGATTACGTGCCAATGGTTGGCAACGAAAGCGCTTTGATAGTCGACGATATGAAGTTTTGCGAGAACAAGTCCTCGGCGAACTTGGAGCGTAAGCGGCTTTACTTCAATGCATGTCAGCTGACGGCTTGCTTGAATGCTTACGCCGTATTCAACTCAGCTGTATCCGTATATGCTACGCATACGCCAATAAATTAAATATCCATTCCTTAACCTACACGTACTCGAAAGGGAAGTCAAACGTGGGGGTATATCCCTGATTCGATTCTTGTCTTGTATACTTATATTGCATATTACCTTTTGTCTTCTGTTACTCTGTACGATTTACGGGACGGGGAGGGAATTATTTGGTGAGGGGGCCGGAGTTGGGGCACCCTATTCCGTGAAACGACAATTGGAAAAAAGAAAATAAGTCTTTTGACATATAACTACTATTATACCCGGGTACGAGGCCGCACAAACGACAATACCTAATAAGGAAAGATCGGACGAGCCGGAACGGGAAGGAAAACAAACAACAAGTGGAAGAATAAAAGTCTGCTCGAAGAGGAGGTAAAAGAGGGACGAGAAAAACGTCGCATGACACCGAAACGACGAAATGTATTTTTACGCATGTATATGTACACTTACCGCCATCACGGGATGATGATTCTCATGATACCTCTCCTTTTACTTCTCCCTTACTCAATATTTCATCCCTACTAGAGCGCTCGGTCGGGATGAAAAGAGGGAGAGGGAAAAGGGGAGGATGAGGACTTAATGATTTACGTTTCCGTACGTACTTAGTCTTAGTATATAGTATTAAATATAGCTAGCTATATAATTTGACACTGTCAAGATATATCGTATCTTAGAGATTGGACAAGGTGTGGCAGGACATGGCGAATTATTGTAACTAATTGGCACGCAGGGTAGATACTCTCAATGTTGAATTCACATGTCAGGAGACGAACGTATCTATCTTGATACCTCGAAAATTGATAATACATATCATATATCCCTTAACGCCCTAGTAGTAACCCAGTAGCTATAATAAAGCTCACTAGCTACACACGGAAATGGGAGACTTTAAATAACGTAAAGATAGCTCGACGAGCCTAAATCAAGCGCAAACGGATATCAAGTAAAACAACGAGATAAGCGCACACGCGAAACCGTGGTGCTTTGACCTTCTCTCCCTCGAAGATCTTCAAAGTCTCCTCCCTCTCTGCCTATCTTGTCAACCTTGCTATGCAGTAATATCGCGACTCACTTAGTCACGATAAGAAGAAAAAAGAAAAACAACGATTTTATGCCGAACCCGAACCCAATTGATATCTTTCTTCCTATTTCCAGGAATGGAAAGGAAGGGGTATCTAATTCCCGCGCTCTATAATTCTCTTCCTCTTAATTCTCGTGGAAGCTCTTCCGCCTAGCCTCTTTCTCTACTTCTTCCTTAACCTTTAGCGTCTGCTCTTGCTCCTTCATCTCACGGACCTTGGCTAACACCACTTCCCGGAAAATAGCGCCCTTCACTGCGCGTGAGAGTCTGCCCTTACCACCGCCTTCGCCGGAGGCTTCTGCCTTGGGTGATGTGGATTTACCTGCGGCAGGTTGGGCGTTACCAGCCGCGGCTACAGGGTCGGCGGGGAAATCGGGGTTCTCCGGGTCGTCTTCTTGGATCTTGAGCGCCTCGATTCGGTTGGCTAGTTTGACCATCTCGACACCACGGCGTAGTCGCGCCTTGGCCATGTAGGCCTTGATCTCTGGCAACAAGTTGTGGTCGGAGGCATTCTCGCCGCTGAGCCAGGGGTGCTTGAGAGCTTGCTGTGGAAATATTAGCAATGGCGCGGCTTGGTTATACCCTTGGCATTACATACCTGACTAGTCCACCTATCATCTGGGTCGGACTGTAGGAGGTGCATGATAAAATCTTTCGCATCATCACTGACATCCCTCCAATATCGCTCGTGGAAGACTACCCTTCCGTTGCTGCACTCGTCGATCAAATCTTGCAGATTCTCGGAGCGGAAAGGAGAGTAACCGCAGAGAAGAGTGTAAGTAATGACACCCAAAGACCACATATCCACGGGTTTTCCGTGTCCTTTCTTCAACATGACTTCTGGCGCTGCGTAACCGAAAGACCCCGCCATTGTAGTGAGAACCTCGTCCTTGGTGTCAAGCATCTTCGCAATGCCGAAGTCGGCCAAGACCAAGTCGGAATCGGGCGCTTTGCTGAGATATAGAAGGTTCTCGGGCTTAAGATCTGGTCGCCGGTGGTCAGTTTGTTGTCTAACGACTGCCGATGGAAATATCTTGACTACCTACCTCGGTGGACTACATTTCTATTATGAAGGTAGTCGACTGCATCAAGGACTTGTTTAATAGTTTGCGAAGCATCCTTTTCTGTGAATTTGCCCTGCTCGCAAATACGATCGAAAAGTTCACCGCCTGTAGCGAGCTCGGTGACAATGTACCATTTGTCCTGCAAATGATCATATTAGCTTAAGTTGGCTTGGGCATTCGCAAAGAGCCTACTGAAGAGGACATACTCTTGATTCAAACCAATCCACGAATCGTACAATATGAGGATGCTTTAGGCGTTGAAGCATATCCAACTCGTCCCAGACCATTCTCTCGTTTCCTTTGACATTTTTCTTGAGGATGATCTTAATAGCAACCTTGCCGATAGGACTGTCTGCTTCGCGCACGATACCATATGTGCCCGCGCCTAGGGTTCGACCAAATCTATACTTCGCTTTCTTTTCGTAGCTCTCGGGTTGGCCCCGAAGGCTGCTAAACATGGCGTTGACTAAACAAATGGTGAGTTAGTACAATGGTGGAGACTAAAAGGGCGTGTTACGTTCGACAATTCAACCTGGGAATTGAGGCTCGCAGCGAATTGGCATTAACTGTGGACAAGCGAGATAACAGCTTGGCTGCTTTCCCTCGGGATAAAGAAAATAAAGAAAAAGCACGAGTTGGGTTATTGGGTCGGGGAGTTGAAAGGGTAGGTGGGTTGGATAACTCACAACTCATCGCGACGTGGGGTAGAACTGATAATAGAGGGAATGATGAATTGTGAGGGGCTTAGCGGGTTGGTCGTGTGCGGTTTTTTTGCCAGGGTTGGCAGAGGTCGCGGAGTAACGATTGATAGATTTGGTAGAATTGAAAGAAAGAATACTGGTAGAGGAAGAAGAAGAGAAGGCTGGAAAGATACCCAATAAAACAAGAAATGAAAGTTTTGGGTTCCTTAAAGGCTTAAGGGGGGGACGAGGGGACGAGGCTTCAGCTCTTCGCTCAATAGGGACCTTTAAGGTAAGTTAGGTATTGATGTATTCCTGTAGGTCTTGTGTCTCGTAGGTATGTAGGTAGGAGTGTAAGAGTAGATTGAGGGATGGGTTGGCCGTATTGGGCTTGGAGAATACGAAAATAGGTACAGGACGGTACGGTCTCTCCAATTGCAGGGTGGATTTGCTAGGGGGGGGGGGTTGCTAGGGTGTTAAAGGTGGTAAAAGATGCTAAGATAACGCGGGATTCGACGTAATAGTTGGAGTTTAACTGGTTTGACTGGTTGAAATGTACCTACCTAACCGTCGTATGTACATATAACACGTACGTACTATGGAGTAGGTACGTAAGGTTGGTAGGCGTGGATGGATGCGTGGATGTTAGGTAGCCCCTCCGAAATGGACCCCTCTCCTCTTCAAATGTTAATATTAGGGTAGGAGCAGCTGAATTTCGATCGACCCTTAAAAAACTGGAGTGAGGGGCCTTAGTATTGAATAAATGATAGAAGTGGGTATTTGCTTCGTCTGTTAGTTGTTGTCCAAGTACCTAGGTATCGATTCTAAATATCAAATATTTTTAAGATCGTTGTATAACTTGCAAAAACGAAAGTGCAGGCAGCAAACGAAAAGAAGATATAATCACCTACAATTCATCATCTTATACGTAATACCTAGGTGCCAATAAACATTGGAACATAAACATCGCCATCGTTGGGTTTGGCCAGGCTGAGTTGTGAGGTAACACCCCCCCTTCCTTCCTGCCTGTCTGTCTACCTTACCTTATGTGTGTGATGTGACGAACTGAACAAAAAAGCCTTGTCGGGTACCTTGCCCTGCCGGGTGGGGTTATGAACACGGTATAAATGCAGTGTACCGAGTATGCTTGAACCTGTCCAAAAGGGAGGCAAGCTTACGCACCGCCAATCCGTCAATACATCAATGTATTGCTCATCCAGAATCCATCATTAGGGTGGCAGCTCAGCCGCAATACTGGAGCAGCCCGATAATTCATTGCCAGCAAGCTAACGAATTGTACGCCGAGGATGACTCTTAGGTGATTAGTGCCATCTAAGGTACCTCGCCAACTAGCCTATTTTGCACCATGTCCGGAATCCGGCATGTCGGCTCCTCCCACTATACATAAACTGACCCTGCGTGTTGGGTTGCCTCGCGAAGCAAGATCCGTGGCTGAGCAATTGTCGGTTCTGAGTCTGTTTCCAACATTGTTCGTTTACTGTTGTCTGATGTTAATGTGCTTCGAAGGAAAGAGTCTAGATATAGAATGAGCCAACCTGTTCTTGTCTGCTTTGCTCAGAATATATAAATGGGGTGAGTTCTAGATGGCTCGTTCGAGTATCTAGTCTTTTTTGAAGAGAACAATACTGAATGTGAAGTATCACATGCGACAGGATGTAACTTCAAATGTTGTGTCATACTGATAAATGTACTAAGCAGACAATGGTACCTATATGTAGGGAAATATGAAAATATGAAAATATGATATTGGAACGAGAGTTGGCGAATCAAGCGAAATTAATTAATAAAGATTTATCATATTGCATCGCGGGTTGTAAACCCAAAATTGCTTGGAGAATGGAATCTGGGGGTTGCAGATGTTCGTTCCTTCTGCAAACCATCACTGCCGTCGCATTGACAAGGAGGTACTTTACCCTTATACGCTAGGTAACGGGAAGGCAGCATCACCTGTAAATTTTTATCGATAGCTGGGATTTCAATCAATGTTGTTATAAGAGGTAGGTACCAACGTCACCTATAAGTTGGGCGGTGCTACTACGGCATCTTCCCCTCAGCACTTGAGGTAGCTTTGTTGACTTTGCGGGGCAACTCTCTTTTTGGGCCCTTGGGGACTTCCATTCCTACTCCTTCCTTTGTGGTCACAACTTAAACAGATCAGTTATTCCGCTTCTTTCCTCGCGTCTAAACGTCTTCGACCTTGGAAAGAGCCCAGGTAGCACAGACTTGACATGCTAACCCAATTTGACTCGGGCGATCGACAACAACTACTTAGACGTAGGTACCTAAAGCTCTTCTAGATTCATCCTTCGTCAAACTTAACCCACCTAGAAGAGACATTTCATACTGTGGCATAGTCACTCCTCACCCGCCCAACTTACTAACTTTGTTTTATATTTATTCAGACTTCGAAGATTATCGGAATTAAACACATGTATAATCAAACGACACACTCGAATCAGTTAATCAAGGAAAACCGAAATTGCGACGCCGTTCGAATCTTCTAAGAATCAAAAAAACCAACATACATAGTCAATACAATCCACTTGCAAAGCTTTTCGCGAGCGCGCGCTCGATCAACTTGATTCAAAATGGCCAACTTAGGTCCTAAAAGATTGACAAAGGAGCTAGCTAAGGTACAACTAACTTTCGCGTTTTGACATGTTCAAGACTTTGCGCAACATGGGAATGCTAATTATACATGGATTCTTAGATCTCGAATAGCCTCCCACCTGGCATTGCCCTAGTCACCGCGGACAACTTGGAAGAATGGTTCCTCGACATCCAAGTCCTCGACCAGAATCCTATCTACGCGGGCCAGACTTACCGTCTAAAATTCAAATTTGGCAATGCTTATCCCATCGGTATGCGCTCTCCCCACTATTCGGCCAGCTGAAAATAATAATCAACTAATACATCCGTGTCAGAACCTCCCGAAGTTACCTTCGTAAAGCTAGAAGACCGGCCAATACCTATGCATCCTCATATCTATTCGAATGGGATCATATGCCTCGACCTGCTCGGGACGCAAGGATGGAGTCCTGTCCAGAATGTTGAAAGTGTGTGTATGAGTATCCAAAGCATGTTGACGGGAAACACCAGGAATGAGCGACCGCCTGGTGACGAAGACTTTGTGCGCGGCAACCGTCTACGACCGAGAGACATTGACTTCTATTATCACGATAATACCGTATAGAAGCATCGATTCTGGCGATCTTGCATTTCTCAATATTGCTATTACGGGCGGATTCGAACTTGACATTGCGCTGAGACTTGATTTCATCTCGTGTTCTATTTGCATGGTCGTTACTTGGGCTAGATTTGTGAGGAAAAAACTGGAGTTGAACACCTAATGGTGCGAGAGGTTCATCAATGGGTGGCGGAGTTCTTTCCAGTTGACAGCAACAGCGCAGAGCTGACGGGCATTGCGAGGATAGGTCATACACAATCATCAGATTAGGTCATTTACCAGGAGCAAATTTCGTTATTCTAGGGCGATCTCTTGCAGCCATGATCGCGTTAATATCCATTTTCTTGGGCAACATTCTTAAGGGGTGAATATGATCGTTGGGTGCTACCGTTACTTAACCACTGGATGAACTATTCCTCGTATATAACGTACCAACGTTCTTTTGCGACCAGGTAAGTACTTAGATGTTTCGATCATAACTCCTGGATAACATGTTGGTAATATTCATGTTCAAGTTTGTTGGATATATCATATCACTGAATTTATATGTATACGTCCTCCATTAACAACAGTGGCTATTGACTAACTCCTACACAGTCTTTCGCAAACCTCAAATCGATAAGTTGTGATAAGTTACGATAAGTTTATGTACTTTTTAGAGCGGAGCTGTGACGTCGCGTCTGTGCTATTCCGCAGAACACATCCTCCAGCCGCGGGGCTAACCGAAAATGGGATAGGTGGGTTCAACGATAAGCCCACCCTATGGACCCGTCTAGCTTTCGGCTTTGAGTTCGCCTAGAAGCTACCCCAAAGCTCATTTACAATTCACTAACCAAGTTCCGAAGCTCATACAACCCCGTCAACCTTCCACACACCGTCTCTTTTCCCTCAAAAGCATCACCCCCGTGAAGAGCTCATAATGGCTCCTCACGCGGGGTTCGATGCCGAACAGATTAGAGATAAGGCTCGGAAGGATCTTCTCTATCTTCTCGAAGGCGTAAGTAAGGCTGCCTTGGATCTCTGCCCATCCTGTCTGGACAGTCGGGATTAACAAGACAACGTAGGTTCGCGGGAAGAAGAACCTCGTTATCGAACGCAGCTTAGCTGGCCCAATTGGTGTAATAGCCAAGGTGTCAACGTTGCAAGATTATGGTGTGGATAAATTCTTTCTGCTAGAAAACGGCAATGCCGATACGAGCCAACGCAATGTTGTGTTCATGGCTCGGGGAGAGTGTGCCCGCCATGCTCAGTCCATAGCAGGTCTGTCACCCCTCTTACCATCGCTCTCACTCTCTAGTGTCCCACCCATGAAAAAATTCTAGGCCTTTTAGTAGGCGTCACGGATTCATTATTCCAATTTATGTCATCAGTCAATATTGCCCGAGATGAAGAATTCATAAGCTGGTCATTTATTGTCTCTTTCGGATGGCAATTCGCATGAGACGTCATCGTGGCATGCTAACGTATAGTATAGAGCAGATCAAGCGATTACAACGCGAAAGCCAGACCGGTCACGAATTCCACGTTTTCTGGGTACCCCGCCGTACCGTTGTGTCCGACAAGCTTTTAGAGGAAGCCGGTGTACTAGGTGATGTAAATATAGCAGAGCTTCCGCTGTATTTCTTTCCCCTAGAGCGAGATGTTTTATCCCTGGAGCTCGACAACTCTTTCCAAGATCTATTTTTATTTAAAGATACGACGCCGACATTTTTAATAGCGAAAGCTTTGATGGGTATTCAATCGAAACATGGTCTTTTTCCACGTGTGATTGGCAAGGGCGATAACGCGAAGCGTGTAGCGGAATTACTTACTAGAATGCGACAAGAGATACTGGCTGGTGAAGACGCAAATGAGACTACCAGATCTGGACTCACCCCAAGCAATACGATAGAGAGCGTCGTTATAATCGATCGCGAAGTCGACTTTGTTACACCTTTACTCACTCAACTAACATATGAAGGCTTGATTGATGAACTCTGGGGAATTCAAAATAACCAAGCCGATATCGATTCTACCGTTGTGGGAGCTCCGCCACAACCCGCATCCCAAAGTACAACGTCAACACCGGTAGCTAGCGCGGCTTCGAGAAAACGTAAAATCCAACTAGATTCTTCAGATAAGCTCTACGACGGTCTACGTGATGCGAATTTCGCGATTGTTGGTACACTTCTCAACAAGGTTGCGCGGAGATTACAAAGTGACTACGATAGCCGACATACCTCCAAGACGACTGCGGAGCTCAAAGATTTCGTGAAGAAATTGCCCGGCTACCAAACCGAGCATCAGAGTCTCAAAATCCACACCGGGCTTGCTGAGGACATTATGAAGCATACCCGAACAGACCAATTCAGTCGCATGCTGGAGGTCCAACAAAATCTTGCTGCTGGTGCTGATCCGAGCTCACAATTCGATGCAATTGAAGAATTAATAGCGAGGGATGTGCCGTTGCGGGAAATACTGAGGCTACTCTGCACATACTCATGCATTTCCGGCGGCATTAAGTCGAAAGATTTCGACCAATTCAGACGCTTAATATTGGAAGGCTACGGCTACCAACATCTCCTAACTCTCCACAATTTAGAAAAGCTACAGCTATTCTTATCCCGTACTTCACCTATGGCGAACATGATTCCCATGCCAGGTTCAGGGAGCGCGACAGGGACTAAGACTAATTATACCTACCTACGCAAGCAACTCCGCCTGATTGTTGACGAAGTAAATGAGCACGATCCGAACGATATCGCGTACGTTTATAGTGGCTATGCGCCGCTCTCTATACGGCTCGTGCAGTGTATACTACAGAAACAATATCTTCTCTCTATTACACGTGGTAACGGAGCGGCTGGCGCAGGCTCAGCGGCAGGGAGCGGCGCACAAGGGTGGCGAGGCTTCGACGAGGCTGTGAAACATGCACGAGGCCAGACGTTCGACGAACTACAAAAGGGTGAAGACAAAGCGGTCAAGGCCCGAGCTCTATTGTCTGGAGGGGGTGACAAGAAAACGGTGTTTGTTGTTTTCGTCGGGGGAATTACTTTTACCGAAATCGCGGCGCTCCGATTCATCGCAAAGAAGGAAGAAGGTCAGTGCCCAGTCTATATTCCCTATCTTTCCATGTTTCTCCTTTTTTTTCAGACGAACTGACATAATATCCGTATAGCTCGAAGGAATATTGTCATCTGCACGACTTCGATCATTAGCGGGAACAAGATGATGGATGCTGCAGTGGAGAAGAAATCATTTGCGAAGGAGGCGCCAAAGCCCGCCGCGCCATCCGCCACCTAGTCGCATATCTATTTCCAATACAGAATATACCCAGAGGAATCACAATTGATGTATTTGATATTCGTTTATATGTATTGGCGTGTTGGTCTCGAAGTTGTATATATAAATGTTGGCCTTCAATGAGTACGGCCGTGACGATATGCCCGGTAACAATGATTTTTTAAAAGTCTATGCCGAGGGGACATTAGCAAAATATGAATTAAACACAATATGAACTTGTGAAGCTTATCCTATTGATTATGGGCTTCTTAGGATTCCGGATGCGAAACGAAAATTGGATATCTTATGGCTATGAAGATGGGTATTCGTTATACTGGAGAAGCAATGGATTGGATTGCGTACAGATATGACGGGCAGCGGACACTGTAAGGTTATCTTAATTAGACTATCACGTGCCTTAGCGGCGGGGAGTACGGAGTTCCCGCTTTTCCCAGAAACCCTTCTAAAAAGTGAAGTGGATACCCTAAGCGGAACAATTAGGGAGCTTCTTTAGGTACATCAGACACTGAATAAAATATGGGAGAGGACAGTGTTAAATGCGGATTTGAGGAAGTATCTTTTTTTTTTCCTGGTCTCTAACCCTCTTACGTCTCAATATTTCCCTTCCCGTATCAATCTCACCCTGCCCCTCGAGAACAGATTTGGGATAACTAGAACCGCAAACCTTCCCAACCTCTTGTGTGAAGAAAAACTATCTACCAACTAATTACAACGCTCCGTCGTTGTCAGTTCAATTCCTTAATACAATCCTTCAATAGATACCTAATCAAGTCTGTCCCACTTAATTTTGTAAAGCAAGACGAAGGACCGAGTTTGGAGTTACATAGTCGAGATCCGCAATCTGCATTTCATAAAGGTATGTACAATACCGTGCCGTTCCAGCTTATTATCCACTGTGCATGATCATTCGATCCTCGGTACCCATCTGCTTTTGATAGATCCCCCCCAAATCGGATGAGGCGATTCCATGTATGAAAGATATATCGACTAACAAGACTCCCTAGAGTCCGATCCCCATATTGCCGTCGACTTACAACGGTCACAGTGACCTTTCAGTAATAATTACCTACCTATTCAAGAGATACCTAACAATTCAATGGGAATCTCAACCAAGCTCTCCCACACACGAATTCTAGACGACATCTCTCATACCCATATATCGATGCATGGGCAACACCTTTAGCCACCGCCTAGGTTCCTGAGTTTGCCAGCTATGAGAAGTGCTCAGGAGACCTTGTTGGAGGAGGGCAATTGTATTGGATCAGGACCTTTAATGGATTTGGAGGAATTGGATCGTCATCTATCAATATTGGCTTCTTCGACGGATAGTACTAAGACTCGACCCGCGGCCCTACTCGCGGAATCGTGCACTTCACAAACCAACGCCGAACCATCTACAAGAGAAACTCCCAGAACGGAATCAGAAATTGTCGTTCGAATTGACGATATGGACATTCGCGCGGGCAACACGGCGCCTACCTCCGTATCACGAGAGGATGATTCTACCATGTAAGTATCTCATGTGATATCCCGAAATGATTATTTCCCCCCTTAAACTAGATATTATTTAATTTTATATTATCATCTCCTAAACAAGATTTTAGGTCTCATCGAGATCAATCAGCGATGAACACCTCAACGCTCCATGGAGCTCACGGGAGTTCACTCGAGTCCCCAGAATCTGCCGTCTCAGACCCCTCAGACTTGACATCACTCCCTTCGACGTCGTTGGCCTCAAGTAAAGCGACGACACCGATTGATGTAGACAGATCAGAAGCATTCCCAATCTACAGTAATCCTATTTCCGGGACAAAAAGACGAACGTTCCACACCCGACCGCGAATATCTATTCCGACAGATGTCGCTCCGTACGACTATGCCAACCAATGCATAGCCGCGGCCGAGTCCTCTAAACTAAACCCTTACGCTTTACATCAGGACGAGTACTTGATGTTGCGACATCACCTGAGCCACTTTCAGGTGACCACTTATCTGAACATCCGAAACGGCATTTTACGGCTATGGTTGAACAACCCTCGAGTCGGCGTCTCTCACAAGGAGGCTATCGGATGCGCGAAAGACCCCCGTTGGTTTGACACCGCTAATGTATGCTACGACTGGCTCGTCCGTTCTGGACATATCAATTTCGGTTGTCTGGAACTTCCATCCAAAGACCAACCGAAAAAGGCAAACCCGAGTAAGAAGGGGAAGACCATTGTCGTCATCGGCGCTGGCATGGCCGGACTTGGTTGCGCGAGGCAATTAGAGAACCTATCTCGGCAATACGCTGAACAATTCCAAGAATCAGGAGAGGAGGCTCCCCGGGTAATTGTCCTCGAGGGCCGAAATCGTGTCGGCGGTCGCGTGTACTCACGTGCTCTTGACGACAGCCAAAGTCAGCATCTGATCGGATTTAAAGGTCGTCGGCACAGTGTTGAATGCGGTGGCATGATCATCACTGGGTTTGAACGAGGCAACCCATTGAACGTTCTAGTCAGAGGGCAGATGGGTTTGCCATACTACGCTTTGCGATCAGAAACTACACTTTACGATTCAAACGGTAAGGCTGTCGACGAGGTGCGAGACCGTCTCGTCGAGAAGCTCTACAATGATTGCCTCGAACGAGTGAGCGACTACAAGTTTAAGAACCCACCATCCAAGCTCATCGAAGGCAACAGAGACCTGATGGATGAGGGCCGAGATAGTTCGTCTGACGGTCAGAAGTCAATTGCTCAGGTTGAAGAAGCTGCGGCTGCCCTTCCTCAGGCACCGCCGGTTTCGCAGCAGAGCCTAGGCCCAGAAGTAAGTCTCGTCCCCGTCTCTACGGACCGTGCGACCGGTAGGACACATGTCGAACCAGGCACCCCAGCTGCATTAAGGGCCGCCTATAAAGCGCGCTTGATGGGTTGGGCGCTTAAAGATGGAGTGTCCGAAGATCACGACTTAGACCTAGACGCAGCAGCCAAGGCTCCTAACGCTACCCTTGGCTCTGTCATGGATGAAGCAATTACGCAGTACAAGAACATCGTCGACCTTACTCCTCAAGATTTTAGACTCATGAATTGGCACATAGCCAATCTTGAGTATAGCAACGCTACGAATTACAACCAACTCAGTATTGGAGGCTGGGATATTGATGCCGGCAACGAGTGGGAGGGTAAACACACTATGGTGGTCGGTGGTTACCAAACTGTTCCTTGGGGTCTAGCAAATACACCCTCGCGATTAGACCTCCGAAAGAAGGCTGCCGTCAAGAAGATATCTTATGACCCTGAAGGGTTAGGCGCTGCATCTGTTGAATGTGAGGACGGCTCTATCATTGAAGCGGACCACGTCGTTTCGACCATACCTCTTGGAGTTTTGAAACACGGCAATGTCGAATTCAATCCACCTTTACCGTCTTCAAAGAAGGATGCTATTGGTCGTCTAGGTTATGGCATCTTGAACAAGATCATTCTTGTCTACTCAGAGGCCTTCTGGGACACCAGTAGAGATATCTTTGGTTGTCTTCGTACACCAAACTCTCGTCATAATCTCAAGCAGACCGAGTATGCCTCCCAACGTGGTCGCTGCTTCCAATGGTTTAACGTATCAAATACAAGCGGCATCCCCGTCCTCATCGGTCTCATGGCTGGTGATGCTGGCTTTGATACTGAGCATACTAAGAATGATGAACTTGTTGCCGAGGCCACCGAAGTTCTTCGTAGCGTGTATGGGGATAAAGTCCCACAACCAGTCCAGTCTATCGTCACACGCTGGGGTTCTGATAGGTTTGCACGAGGCTCTTATTCTTCTGCTGGACCTTCTATGCGTCCGGATGACTACCAGGAAATGGCAAAGTCTGTCGGCAACCTATTTTTCGCCGGTGAACACACTACTGAGACGCACCCTGCTACGGTGCACGGCGCTTACTTAACCGGCCTACGGGCAGCTTCGGAGGTCATGAATGCCATGCTCGGACCCATTGAGGTCCCTACTCCGCTAGTGTTGCCCAAGGACTTGAGTTCCCCTTTGCAACAGTCATTGACGCAACAACCATTGAAACGCAAAGAGCCCAGTGACGGCTCGTTACCGCCGTCTCCAAAATCTACTAAACTAGTTCGCGTAGATGCTTATGAAATTGCTGCTACTCAACATGTCGTAGCGCAAATCGGCGAGCGACCCTGGAGGCCTCAGAAGGTTGTCGCGAACGCTTATATGCTATACAGCAAGAAGTTCTTCGAGACAGCGCGTAAGCGTTGCGAAGAAGGTCGACGACCGAATAAGGGCAAGCCGTCGCCGAATGAGGTTCGAGTCATGACTAGTAAGATGTGGAAAGAAGCCACTCCCGAGGAGCGAAAGCCCTACGAAGAGCAGGTCGCTGAAATGAAGCAAAGGTTCAACGAAGCGGTCAAAGCTTGGGAAGATAAAGTTAAGGAGTGGGATCGCCGGAATGCTGAGATCAGAGCGGAGTATGAGAAGGAGCATAAACCCGTGCTTAAAGATGATGAGGGAAGTCCTGCTAGTGAGAGTGGACGCGAGAGGCGGCGCGCGAAGGTCAGCAATTATGCTGAGAGTGAGGGGAGTGATGTCGACTTGGGCTCGTGAGACTACAGCATCGGCGCGGTAATCTTGCATCAGCCTTGAAGTTTCATGCTCTTGAATCAGAGCATACGATATGGAAGTCATCACCAAAGAGGATACACCGGTTGCAAGGAAAGAAGGTGGTGTACAAAAGCTTCACAAGGCGCTTTTTTAGATCTATTATTTTTGTTTTGTTTTTCCTCGTTTCTGGCACCGAAACGTATAGGAAGGATGGGGGTTCATCATCATATTCATCTAGGCGTATGGAAGGGGTCTTTGCATCACAAGTACATAGTCATAGGGTGAGAAAGGGGGGCGTTGTGGTGGTGTAGCATGGGTTCTTTGCTTATCTGCTTTTTTTGCTTCGTTACGGCGAAGAGTTAAATATCAGTTAGGTGCCTGGCTAGATGCTCCTCGCGGAGATGGGCTGGGCTGAAAAAGCGAAAATACATATAAAGTTAATTAATGCTGTAGTCTTGTTATGGTGGTGTTCTGGTGATTTGATAGTCTACCTAGGTAAGTGTAAAGCTAGGGCCCTGTATGTTGAAGCCGCTTGGGAGGTGAGAAGGTTATTTTGGGGGACCATTGGCAACAAATATATTATGAATCGGCTTAGCCAGCTAAGTTTGACTCATATGCGCAATGTTTACCATTGAAAGCATCGTAGATATACTCATCAAACATAGAGAAATGACTCAGGCTCGCATAGTTCTTGCTGATGGATTACATGGCGGGAGTCCTATGCTAGGTTGCTAATTATCTGGCATAATGGCATAGATAGTCAAAGATTCAAGCAGGTCTGAGTAACTAATTTATTGAGGAATTGGTACATCCAAGGCAGCAACGCCGAGGTTTTGCTTAGGGTACTTTGATACAAAGGGAAGATGCGATTGGATTATTCACCACACCCCATCTAATTTTTCTATCTATCAACCACTTTACATATCCTCCGAGGCGGTGGCACCGGTAATAATTTCGACCAGTTCTCCCGTAATGACGGCTTGACGGGTACGGTTGAAAAGAATCTGGTACTTGTTGATCATCTCACCGGCGTTCTTGGAGGCGTTCTATTAAACTCGTCAGCGACATTTTTTTGAAAATATGATGTAAGAGTGAGACGTCTAAAACTTACATCCATAGCCTGTTGTCGGGCAGAGATCTCACAGGCGTGGCCTTCAGCCAGGGCCCAGTAGAGAGAGTTAGCAAGAGCGTATTCCCGTAGGTTAGAGAGGAGCTCCTCATCGACCTCGAAAGCGGAGAAGTTGGGTGAGTTGGCGATAGCCTCCTCGGAGAAAGCCTCGACGACGATGGGTTCGTAGCTGGTGGCGTTGATGAACTTGTTGTGGACGATCTTGATGTCGGAGTAATCGCCGGGGAGCTGGCTGATTTGGTCGGCGATAGCCTGGGCGTCGGCGAAGGTCGGGATATCCTTTCCAACACCGGCGAAGCTAAGGACGATGTCCTTGGCATTGGTACGACTTAGCTGGGCCCTTGACTTCTCACCGATGAGGACGAGGTCGGCAGGCTGGTGGTTGGGTCCTAGGTTTCGGCGCATGTAACGAGAGAGACCGGAGTGAACACCACCGCAAAGACCCTTGTCGGAGCTGCAGACGACGTAGAGAGTCTTCTTACCCTCACCTTCGAGGGGCTTGGTCTCGGCGGATTCGAAGACTTCGTTGGAGGTCTGACCGTACTTTCGGGAGTCGTTCATGGCTCGTTGGGCGCGGGTAAGCTTGGTGGAAGCGACGATCTTCATTGTGTTCGTGATCTTCTCGATGTTCTTAATGGACTTTAGTCGGCCCTCGATTTCTCGGAGGGTAGCATAGCCGGCTGCTGCTCCATTGTTGGCGGTGCTATAACAATTCAATTCATTAGTAAACCTTTATTCGCGACACTGCTTCTTTCATACACGATCAATGTGTTGGAGAGTAACATAGACGTGGTTCTGCGAATTGCCTCATGACACCTCCCTCCACAGGAATAGATCCGACATACCGAGCAGGAATAGCCGCAGCCCCAGCTCTCAGAGCGGGTCTTGCTGCCCTTGAAAGCATATTGAGAGAAGTTAAAAGGGTGAGTCTTATCCTGAGCCTTAGTACAAATTGACCGCGATGGGATGCGCAATCAATTGGTGACTCGGATCAAATTAGTTTGATTGATGAGATTCAATTGTTCTTCCTTCAATCTTCTTTCCCACACTAAAACCTGGACGTTTCCAACTTCGTACCCTCACAAGGTCCAGCTTTCCGTCCCGGATAATTATCGGTCAAACCTTACCTATTTAGGTAATTTTTAACCTTTCACACCTTCTTAGGTAATCTAATCTATCGTTGGTACCGGTACAGTGCCTCCCTTGTTCTTCACCTAAACCGTGAACGCGCAGGTGGCCTATGCACGCTGCCGACCAGGGTAGGAAGTTTGTACACGTACATACCTATTAACGCCTACATACAATAAAAAACCGCGACATTATTCGGACTGATCCACCGGGTTCGTACCAATTATCTAATCAACATGTTCTTGCATGCATTATTTGCGCTAAACCGTTTCGGACAAGGTAAGAAACGCTGTTCTTTGCCGTCTAACTATTCTACTGGGGTCACTAACAATTTTTTTCTCTCTTCCATTCTACATAAACATTACATTAGCCTCCCTGCCTCCATACACTTACACGTAGCTCACAGACCAGGGGGAGGTGTACGAAGTACGCTACACAACGAACAACACTGGGCATTCTTGGACGTTCTTCTTTGGATTCTTCCTACCCACAAGTCTACTACCAGTCTACCGATCCCCAATTCCACCTAATCCCATCCCCCCCTACCTGTCCTGTCTCCACTCTTCAGGACAATTAACAACCAATAGGATCCCCAGCGGACTCTGCTGTGGCTAACGGGCTAGACTTCCAATGAAGCCTTCTTTTCCAAGTCCTCACGCTCGTCGACTCTTTCTCTCTGACTTTTCCCCCTTCCCAATCTCACCTTCTCTCCTCTTGGGTTACTCCTACTGACTGTCAGTCCCTTCTAATTCATAGATCAGGGTGGTGCACTACGGTGTAATCCACCCTTCCTTCTTTACTAAACAACGAAAATTCTCACTCCATCTTATCTTTTGCGCTTTCCTCTCTCGCATCTTTCCCGTTTCAATAATACACTTACACTTACACTTAGTACCTACCGAATATTGGATTTCCTTCCGAATCCTCGAAAGCCGACACTCACTCGACCTCACCACTTCAACGCGCTCACAATGTCTTCCGATTATTCTGATGACGACATGCCTTTGGCTCGTACTAACGGCCAACGTAAGTTACTCATAATTTCCCGTTTTTCATTTCGCCTTTTTTTTTTTCAATGTTATTCTTTTCGTTTTCCAACCTCTTATCCTCCTTCCCCATACAACCAACAGACCTAAACCTGCTTACTCCTATTTTTTCTTTCTGCCTTCGGCGTTACTTGTAATAACTGACATGTCAATGTTAGTCTCAGCTTCTCAAATCTCGAAAACCGAAGACAAAGCCATGGATCGTCGCGCCACCAAGCCTAAGCCTGCTCCCATGTCTATTCGTAATGGACCGGTGGGCGATGACGGATCTCCGCGCGTTAACGGCAACGGAAAGCGAAAGTCGCGATCTTCTACTGGTAATGTGAATTACAAGGACAACTCAGATTCCGAAGATAATCGATTGGTACGTTTACGATCAACCCCCCCCCAGTAATGAAACGAGTCGGAATCCCAATACTAACCCACAAATTAGGCGAAGCGTCAAAGGAAAGTCGAGACTGATGACTCTGATGATGAGGTTCTTAGCAAGAGAAAGTCCAGACTCCCGCCTGCTGCCGAAGAAACCGCTGTAGCCGAGGACTCCGACGATGATCAACCACTAAACGCCAAACTTGCTTCTAAGAGAAAGGCCATCGAGAAGAATGCTGAGAAAGATGCTAAGGCTATCCGTGCGAACGAGGCCAAAGCCAAGAAGCCTACTCCGAAGAAGGTTGTCAAGGACGAGTCGGATGACGATGTCCCTCTATCAGGCGCCAAGGGCAAGAAGCGAACAGCAAACGGTGTCAACGGAAAGGGCAAGGCAAATGGTGTCAAGAAAGAAGAGTCCGATTCCGACTTGCCTATTCGCAAGAAACCAAAGATCGCTCCCACGAAGGGCAACGCGAAGGCCGAGAAGGCCACTCCCGCCAAGAAGGCTCCCGCTAAGAAAGCTAAAGAAATTAGTCAAGAACCAGGCGAAGAGGATGACGAGGAGGCAGAGTACCGCTGGTGGGACGCGCCCAAGAAAGAAGACGACAGCATCAAATGGACCACTCTTGAGCACAATGGTGTTCTCTTCCCCCCGGAATATGAAACCCTTCCCAAGAATGTCAAGCTCATCTACGACGGTACTCCGGTCAATCTCCATATCGAGGCCGAGGAAGTTGCTAGTTTCTTTGGTTCAATGCTCAATTCAACTCACAACGTCGAGAACCCTGTTTTCCAAAAGAATTTCTTCCAGGACTTCAAGGAGATACTCGACAAGACGGGTGGCGCAACGGACCGCAGCGGTAACAAGGTCAACATCAAGGAGTTTGCCAAGTTAGACTTCAAGCCTATTTTTGAATACTACCACGCCAAGAATGAGGCCAAGAAGGCGAGGCCAGCTGCTGAAAAGAAAGCCGAAAAGGCGGAGAAGGACAAGGTCGAGGCCCCGTACATGTACTGCAAATGGGACGGTCGCAAAGAGAAGGTAGGCAACTTCCGAGTCGAACCTCCCGGACTATTCCGTGGTCGTGGCGAGCACCCGAAGACCGGTAAAGTCAAGAAGCGAGTCCTACCTGAGCAAATCACCATCAACATCGGCAAAGACGCGAAGGTCCCAGCTCCCCCGTCAGGCCACAAGTGGAAGGCTATCCAACACGACAATAAAGCGACATGGCTAGCGATGTGGCAAGAGAACATCAACGGTTCGTACAAATACGTTATGCTTGGTGCAACAAGTGCCGTCAAGGGTCAAAGCGACTTCAAGAAGTTCGAGAAGGCTCGAGAGCTCAAGAAGTACATCGCCAAGATCCGTAAGGACTACACCAAGGATTTGAAGGCGGAATCTATGGCCGATCGTCAGCGAGCCACGGCCGTATACCTGATTGACAAGTTCGCCCTCAGAGCTGGTAACGAGAAGGACACAGAGAATGAAGCTGAGACCGTTGGTTGCTGCTCACTTAAATTTGAACACGTTACCCTTCGGGAGCCTAATACTGTTATCTTCGACTTTTTGGGTAAAGACAGTATTCGATTCTACGACGAAGTTTTGGTTGATAGGCAAGTTTTCAAGAACCTGCGGGTCTTCAAGAAGCCCCCGAAGAAGGACGGTGACGACATTTTTGACCGTCTTACCACCACCCAGTTGAATAAGCATCTTTCCTCATACATGCAAGGATTGACCGCAAAGGTCTTCCGTACCTACAACGCTTCGTACACAATGTCGAATCTACTTAGAGATTTATCGGTCCACAAGAACACAACTATGGCAGAGAAGATCAAATTATACAACGACTGCAATCGCGAGGTCGCTATTCTCTGTAACCATAAGCGAACCGTTGGTGCTAGTCACGAAGCGCAAATGGAGAAGCTTGGAGATCGCATTAAGGGCTTGAAGTATCAGAAATGGCGTAACAAGCAGATGCTTCTAGATGTTGATCCGAAACAAAAGAAGCGAAAGGGTGCTGCATTCTTTGAACTAGACTCAGACCTTGACGATGCATGGATCCAAGAGCATCAGGCCTTCCTCGTCGAAGAACAACGGACGAAGATTCAAAAGAAATTCGAGAAAGACAACCAGAAGCTCCAGGAGGAAGGCAAGAAGCCTATGCCTGATAAAGAGCTCAAGGAGCGTATGGAGGCCGCGGATGAACTCGCTAAGAAGTTCAAGAAGGAAAATAAGACCAAGAAGGTCGAGGCCGAAGGAAGAGGTCCTACCGTTGAAAAGATTGAAGGCAACATCCAGAAGATCGAAGAGCGCATTAGAACTCTAGAGCTCCAAGCCGCCGACCGTGATGGCAACAAGGAAGTTGCTCTTGGCACGTCAAAAATCGTAAGTTCTAATTCAGAATCACTTATTTGCTTGCATAGACTAACTCGATATCTAGAATTACATTGACCCCCGTCTCACCGTCGTCTTTTCCAAGAAGTTTGACGTACCCATCGAGAAATTTTTCTCTAAGACGCTGCGTGAGAAGTTCAATTGGGCCATCAAGTCCGTAGAGGACGATGACCATTGGGAGTTCTAAAGAAATACCCATTATTTACACATGATTTACGCATCAACTGTATCAATTGTAATAACATAAACACATCTCACTAATCACATTTGATTACTAGAGAGATAGACGGACAAAATTCGTCGGGTGTTTAAGAATGGGGGGGGCGGATGGAGTAGCGCAAGGCTTTCGGAAGCGGACACGAAAAAAACGGCATGACCAGCCACGATCGATGAGCATGATCGGATGGGCCAGGTATTCAGCATGGCGCGGTGCATTTTTACCGGGGGGCTGTTTGAGTATGCGTTGCCTTGTTTTGTTTTCTACCTTAGAGATAGCGACGTCCTTAGGCAGACAAACAACAAACAAACAAACACGAAAGCATTCACTAAATTTCCCTTCCATCTTAGAGTAGTTCACTCTCGTGAAGTACGCATACCCAATAAATAGAGATAAGTACCTAGAAATGTAGCTTGGCCTTCGCCCCTATTGATTGGACCGGTAGTCTTACTAGCGCTGAGGCAATTATGTCGTACAACAGTACTTGACGCATGTGAGAATTTTCCTTCTTTTTTTTTTTCTTCAGTAACCCACCTGCCCACGCCCGATTCATGACAAGATATGCCGGTTTAGTAGGCAGATAAGGTTCTCCTTCGTTGCACATAAGCCACATGAGTCATTATTCGGTATCACTATAATCAATTCAATCCAATCTGATTCGATCTACGCTAAATTCGATATCGCCACTCCGAATGCGCCATTATTTATGTGTGGTACCCTCCAAGTAAGTAAGGCTCGGGTGAAGACCCGGTTGTACCGTTTTCTAAGGACCTGAAGTTTAAAGGGGGAAAAAGGAAAGGAGCATGCTATGCTAAGTAACTCCAAGGCTCTGTGGGCTTGGATAGATGATCCGAGTAGGCTGTGAATAGTAAAGTGGGTGAATAGTGTAATGTGAATATCCAATGGGATAACTAAATCGGTAAGTCGTAAAATGCGGTGTGTTGCCAACCAAACATTTTTGAGTAAGGAGGACAGACTCAAGAAGAAAAAAAGCTCTCGCGCACAGCCTCGCCAAAACGCTCGATGGCACGCGCCATGTCGTCCTCAGAGGCAGCAGCGAAGGTGGTGCGAAAGAACAGTCCGCTAGGCGGCAAGTCCTGTTCCGCACGGAACCAAGACCCGCGGATGGCGAGGACGCCCTTGTCGATGCAGGATTTGAAGATGTCCTCTTCGATCTCGAGGATGGAGCGGGTGGAGGCTTGCGGGTGTTGCGTGTGGTCGACTTCTAGCCAGAGCTGGGAGTTTATTAGATCAATTTTGCAACACGGCGGGAAAGGGAAAGGGAGTGGATAGAAATGAAAAGAGATAAAACTTACAAACATGCCGGCAGCCGGCGGAACCCAGCTTACTAGGTCCCGCGGCAGGTACTTCTCGCAGGCAGCTAGGATGGTATTTCGCCGCCTGGTGTACTCGAGACGTAGGTGCATAAGCCACTGCAGGAAGCCGTCGTGGCCCCACGTCTCGTCGACTAGTTTATACACGAGGATCTGCGACAATCCGCTGGGCCCCTGGCTGCAGACTTCGGCGTGTCGGATATATCGCTCGACTACCTGTTCGCTGGCTGTGATCCAACCTAATCGGGATCCGGGCACGAGGACTTTGCTGAATGAGTCCATTCGAAGTACCCGCCCGTCTGTATCTATGCTTAGGATGCTGGGTATTAGACCTCCGAGGAATTCTTCCACGGTTGCGGGGGGTGTCGGTGAAGTTTCTTCTGGGCCGCTGGTGTATGGCTGCATCTGCAAAAAGTAATACGGCTCGTCCTCAAAGATAAAAACGTCATGTTTCTGGCACACTTCGTATATATCCCTCCTCCGCTGCACGCCCTGCGTCGCCCCTGTCGGATTTTGCCCCGACGGCACTGTGTATAGGACTGTCGGTTTCCTGGCACCCCTACTTGCTTCGTCCCAATTCGATAATATCTCATCCATACTCTCGGGCAACAATCCTTGCGCATCCATATGTATGCCAAATACTTTGATTCCCAGGGGAGCTGCTGTTTCAAGTGCAGTTGAGAAGCTGTACTCCTCGGTGAGAATCGCGTCGCCTCGAGCACGGTCGCAGAACATGCGAATAGCCTGCTCGAGAGCACCCGTGCTGCCAACTGTTAGGGCGCATCGCCAATCTGCGTAAGGTGGGCGATGTGCGAGTTCCGTGTGTTCAGTCGTCCACCGGAGTAGCTGCGCTGATCCGATGGACTGTCCATAATTCAAGGCGATTGAGAGATCGTGCACACCACCGTTCTGGTTACGTGCTACATCGTACTTCCCCATTGATATGTCCTGCTCCTCGACCGTGCTGAAATTTGGCGGCGAGGGGACACGCATACTGAGGCCATCGAAGGGGAAGTTCTCGGCGGAGGGGAGACCACCGCCGAGAGAGATTAGTCCGGGTTTCTTTAGATGTTTAGCTGCTTGTTTGAGCACGCAGGCTTCTCGAGCGAGTGATTCTTGGCTTAAGAGGTCTATTGGGTGTTAGATAGAAGGCACGTGATTAAAGGGAGCTGCGGTAAGTTGACTTACGATCCCACCGTCTTGCTTTCGGCTTATCGTATGCTTGCTAGTATACATGACATACATTAGTGACACAATTGTTACGGAACAAGGGTGAGACGGGAGAGGGGTTGTTATACAGATGACTTGAACATATCACTATCCGAATAAGAGGCCGTAGGAGCAACCAACTTTCCCGCCTTTGCCCTCCTTGCTTTGATACCTTCGATGGTTAACGGTTCATTGGCCTGAGGACCGATAACCACATCTTCCTCTGCTAACCCTGCATTGCCTACATTGGAAGGCTGGCGTCGTGGGGAGCTAGTAGAAAACGAATGCTTCGCGGAGGCAACTCCGGGTATAACACGCCGGATCGGACGAGGAAGTGATATCGACGAGAGGGAGCGATAAGGTGTTCCACTAAGCTTTGCCATTGTATTTCCACCCTTTAATTTTACATGTAATAATAGTACAGGACTATACGTAGGTTTCATTCTAAAAATCATAGCCGGGTCTAGAAGTCTATTTAAAACAAAGGGGAAAGAAATGCCGAAAGTTCTTGTATAAGGTAAGGTTAGCTTAATTCTAAGTTACACTTCAGACAATGTACAATCCTGTACCTTCCCTTTGTTTGTGTTGGGCGTGTCACGGGCTTCGGTGCGATAACGTGGGGAACGATGGTGGATCCCCCGGCCGATTGTAGCCGGCCCGAAGCTAACCTCCTATCTTAATTCGCCAATTACACTCGATCCATTACATACTACGCTTCGGCTCGATATGTAGGTACCATAGATGTATTTCCATTTCGTAACTCTTGCCAAATGCCAATTGGAGTTTGTCATGCTTGACCTTGGTCACGTTGGTTAATAACGACATGTGCCTTGATTTATACCTAATTCTTAGCTAGTTTATGGGTCATGCTGCCGGTATTCTCGCCTTTACTATACTGATGTATAAGCAAAGAGTTGGAGCTTAGCTTTGCACCTATCGTAGATGTAGGGATACATACTGCAGATATATAAGCATTCTGTACTCCAAATTTAAGTATACATGTATGTGATACTTTCGGGTACCCTCACATATTTGAATGAGTATAAAAAACAAAGATTGGCGAAATGTCCATTTGTCAATTTGCTTGGTATAATATACAATGTGCCAAGCTATGCTATATCCTATTTCATAGTTCCCAACGCCTTAAATGCGATGCCCTGTCATGTCAAATCTGGGTATAGTGATCCCTCTATCTCTTCTAACTTCGTTCTCGTCGTAGTAACCATGCTTTATCCTTCTCGCTTTCCTAAATGCTCCCATAATTGATTGCCAAATCTATTGTCCCCATCCCTTATATTATAATTAGATGACTTCTATCGTAGGAAGCTACGACAAATAAATCGCGTAGAAATTAAGACTGGCAATCATTGATAGATCTTTAATTCCATTGAGCCCAATGCCAATGGAGTGCCAATTGCCTTCACGAGGCTATTGCGACGTTATAGCTTTTCAAAGCCAAAATCTCCGGATACCAGCAAGGGTAGCGCATAGGGTAAATGAGAAAACGAAAGGGAAGACAGGGCCTAAATAATATTGTTAGTGTGATACCACTTCAAGAGTGAGATATAATAAACATACGCAATGTGTTCGAGGCTGAGGGCACAATTTTCCCTTCCGAGGTCATGACCCAACCCTCCGGCAAGTTGGAGGAGCTAGATCCTTGAGTGCTTGAACCGCCTATACCACCCGCGGGGACACTAGCGCTTCCGGTTGAGGTCGTGCCGCTTGCGACTGCCGTGCTAGTCAGAGTGCCAGCACCTCCCTGGTTACCGTTTACCTCGCCGCCGTCGGCCTTGATAGACTGCCAAGAACCGGAGGTGTCGCCATAGGTGTAAGAATGACCTGTGCTGTAGTCCGTCACCTTCAAAGTCTTGACGCCCATGCTGAAAGGACCCTTGGAGTAATCGGTAGGACCGCGCGCCCATTCGATCGTGCCTTGCGCATTGCTCGAGTCGCCGCCAGACCACGCGCCGAACTTAACTTGCATAGGAGTTTGAGGGTATTGGTTCGATTCGGCGTCGGAAGCTTCAAGTGTTCTCACTACTGTCCCATCCACGGTCCAGACAATTCGATCGCTCGTCCAATCTACCACGTATGTAGCAAAGTCGCCTTGGTTATCTCCCATCTCATGGAATTGCCCGCGGTTATAAGTCGTAGTCTGACCCTTGCCAAAGTAATTCGATTGCACCTCGGTCGAATCGGCGCCCAACCATTCCCAGTCAATCTCGTCGAGGTCGTCGGATTGCAGAACGAAGGATGAGACGATACCGGCGCCGGGTGCGGCTTTTAAGCTGACTTCGACTCGACCGAACATGATGTAGAAGACGGATGTGAGTTGAGGCGCGTCGCCGCTCTTGCTGACTGTGAAGGTTACGCCGTCCGAACCATACGTAGGGTCACCGCCTGATTTGGTGAAGGAGTTAACTTCTCCTTGTGTGAAGTCGACGTCAATTGACATGCCGAGGGCCGTATCCGCAGGACATGCTATGGGGGGTTAGCCATCGAAGCGCCAATTGGGTATGATTGTTAGTAAACCTACTCGAACTTAGAGGATTGCAAGAGGAATAGGTCTGGGCTGAGGCCCGGCATGAGAACAGTGCCGTGGCTATCACGAGACATCTCCACGCTGAAGAGGTCATGGTAGTCTGAATATGCATCCGCAGGGATATGAAATGCAAGAACGGTATATACAAGAAAGGAAGACGAGAGGCTCAAAATTTCCAAGCCTCGAGTCGACGGTCTAGACGGTGTCACCTCGACACAAGAGACAGGTCTCGGGAAGATGTTACACACGGATCCCGGGTGAATGTATCGGTGTAATGTACAATGCTATTCGGCGTAAAAAGAGATTACCAAACGGGTAAAAAATGATGACTTCAGGTTGCAGGAAATATGCAGGAAGCTATTCATGGATGATGGGAAGTATGGGAAGTGTTCGAAATAAAGAGAGGTCCAACCACCTGATATATTATACCTACCTTACGTAGGTAGCTTACAGTGCGTCGAGGCATCTTCGTCATCTTGTCCTGGAAGACAGTGGAACGACAGGGTCTAGATCTGGGAATACGAACTGTGTATGTGTTGGCCAAGGTGTATTGTACAGTGCCTTTAGGTGCGTAGGCGGTAGGTGGACAGGTGTAGGTGGGTGAGATGTATTGCTGCCATGGCAGAGGATACGGTAAAGTTTGGCAGTTGGAGCTGTTAAGGTTTCATTGGCTGACGCCCCACATCCGAAGCAATTAAACTTATGACGCCCCAGTCGACGGATGCGAATAATGCCAAGGCAAGTGGCTGGCAGCGCTAGTTACTACTAAATCAGGTTTAGTTTACGTATAGCGAGTCCGGAAAACCTGTGCCGGACAAATTTATGCGGCTGGGAATGAATTGTTGGTGGCTGGAGGTCAAGAGGAAGGAACCAAGGAATTTTTAACTCACCTTCAAATATTCCCTAACTTCCTGACCCGAAATCTTGGATTCGACCTGGGTAGGAGCATTACGTACCAAAGTTTCCAGGGGGTTTATCGAGATCTGAAAGTTTCGCTAAATCTTGATCCTGTCAATTTCATCATTAAACTCGACGATCGCATATATTCGTAGAAATTATTTATCATTAGTGTCGGGTCACATCTGGTTGATACTCTCCACTATTGCTATTTGAAAGCGAATTTGAGCTTTCCCGACTCTTTTCTAGCTTCTCTCCCCTTTTACTCCTCACCGCTCGAATTTATCTATATGATTTAGCCCTGTCTTTGTCGGGTATGGCATGAAGTCCAAAGAACAGGCGACGGCATCAGCCAGCACATAACGTCTTATCATTGTGGACCACGTTACCGCCTTTCTTCGAATAAATCATATTATATACATAGGGCCATAACAGGGCACCAACCCACGAGGCATTCTTCAACCCTTGCTTTTAGAATCCAATCCTAATCGCCAGCTAAGGTTTCCGGATATTCTTTAGGGATCAGTCCACCAACGCGAAAAGGAAAGTACATACAATGGTTAACCATTGATAAACCAGCTTGTTCGATAGTTCGCGATGGGGTTTCCCGCCCTATAGCATTCACCCTATGAATGCTTCGCTTAGCCTCCGATCAATTACCTACGTGACAACTTCTGAGCTTAAGAGTTAAGACACAACTATAAGACGTTATTTTCGGTCTGACCACGCACCAGAAACAGATACTCACAGCGAACCAATTTGTCTCGACGTTTCTATGATGGCATATTCGAAAACGTTATATCGACGTACGGGAAATAGATGCGCAGAGTCCCTGAGTCAAGTTGGCTCATCCCTTCCAAGCCTTGTTGGAGGATCCATGGATCGATCGTTCTCGTCTATAGAGGACGGTCATCCGGTTTCTATGGGGCCCAATAAAGCAAACAGAATAATTCTTTAAGCAACTGAAGTCAGATTTTGATGTGGGATTAAAGTGTTACCATCATGAGGGATCCTTCCTAGGTTCTTAACCAGTCTGTTCCTGCTCTTTGTTTTCTTCCCTATATTCGCGGGTCGGATCTAATTCGCCATTCCAGAAGGAATGTATGATTGTATCTGCTGAGGATGGAAGTCTTCCCGTTCTAGTTGATAATGAAATGTCCGACGATTGCGCATGATATTGGTACCTCTCGCCGCCGTTCATATGAGCGAAGAGTTCATCCCCGTTACCAGTGTACATTCGGAACCCCCCGTGCTCATCAGCAGGGATAGCATCCGGCGGCACATCCGGAGCTCTCTCCCAATGATGGCTATTCAATACGAAGCGCCTAAATAGTTTAGCATGATATTTATCACCAGATTCTTTTAGTGCTTATTACGATACTAACCTGGAGTACTCCTCCACAAGCAGACTCATTGCCATTAATAAAATCGGAACACGACCGAGAAGGAAGGATACAGAAATCTCAAAACGAGGCAACGTAATGAGAGCGGGCACAACGACTGTTACCAGCGCCAAGTAGAAGTGTCTGGTGAACCATGAGCTCTACATTTCGGAAGACGAGTCTGTAGACACCTACCTCATAACAGCCTCTCTATTGAGGACATTAAAAAGGATCAACGAGACCGCGAATATATAGAAAGCGCTAACATTGTGAGCACGACTAGCTTTCATGAAAATAAAAACCGAGTGTCTTACAGAGATTGGTAGAAAGTATTCTCGTGATGAATAAATACTGATAGAGCAATAGCAGCCCCAGTCATGAGACCCCGAGAAACATCTGTGCCGACACGTCTGAGGTTCGCCTCATGAACACCATAATAGTGTCCAAGGGCCGCCAGGAAATCACGTACGCTATCCATGTTGAAGATCAAATACGATTTAAAACAAATCTTGGTACGTGCCGCCTATACTAGACGGTGGAAGAAACTGAGCGGCCAGCAGGTAGCCACTTATCCAGTGAATTAGTAGTAATGGACACAGTCTTGCTTTTACGCCAGAAATCTCAGGTATTTAACTTTTAAGGTAAAGATCTGGCCAATGCCGAGGGGTCGACCGCATAGTGCAGAGCAAAAGAAAGGGAGCCTACATTGACTGGTTTTAACAAGAGTCTCATCAAGACAGCCTAGTGCTCAAGGCAGGTTTTCTGCTGCCGTGAGACGGTAGATTACTCCCAAAATTCTATACCGACGTACATCCCTTCTAGCGTAGTTCGCCTTACTTCCACCCCGTATCTCCAATAATTGTTCACCGAGAAGTCCTACATGGAATTATGGAAATTTTATTGGAGGGATTCACGATATAGCCTTACGGTGAGCCTAGCGTCGGAGCGCAGGCTCACACACAGGCAGCATGCTGCGCCCCTTGGAGCCCGATCAATACCACACATGGTTACACCGCAGCCTCGACAACGCGTTCTGGTGTGATGCTGATAACATCGGTGTTCTAGCAATGCCAGCCTACATTATCGTCATCCCTCCGCCCATCATCGCTAAACCCGAGAAGGCTCATCAGATTCATTGGTCTTAGAGCACGCTGAGCAGTATTTGCCTTAAATGTCTGTTAAAGGTATAAGGGTCCCGAACCGTATGCTTGAATACCAGTACTTCCTCAAGCCCTAAAATATTCCCAAAAATAAGAGTTTTGTTGTGTCTGGATGAATTTGCTGATCATCCTCTTCCACATTCTTCAGATGCAATCAACATGTTATTCTTTTCAACAATTCGAATCCCACATTTGTCAACAAGACGCATCGTCGCTGGGAGAACTACAATTCTCAGAAGTAGCCGAGCTAGCCCCAGCTATTGCATGTAGCTTTGTCACTACGTCTTATATCATCCAAGCAGAGATGACGCAGGATATTGATGTTCGTACCGATGTCCCTCTTACTCCGTTATCCAGCAAACTTCCTCGCTGATAGGCGCTTTGATAGTCTCCTGGCCGAGTCGTCTCTCGCATAGTACAGCTCGAATTTCTAAAGCATGTGTCGCCGGGGCTAGCGCTTTGTTCCTGTCTGGTACTAGGGTGCTGCCTGTCTTCATACTCTCACCGGCGTCGAGATCAAGACCAGTATCAGACCATCATATTCGCAATCTGGATCACGTGGGCTATATGTACCGGCTGGGGAATAGGGGCCAGCAGTAACATGGTCACGCTTGGGATCATGCCATGGGCATTATGTGCAGCCATTCTCAGCAGCTTCTTTGGGCATATAGGGACCCGGTTGGTATCGCGGAGAGACAGATGTGGATGTAGGGATGCCTTTAGCGTGATCAACGAGAAACGGATGGAGTTTGGGACGTGATCATCAAATGGTACCTTGGGACAACTTTTGCAGGCGTTCTTGTTTTCCGCCGGCCGGTTCTCAACTAATCTTTTCGTAGACTGAAAAACGCACAACACTATAACCAGCGGTTACTTGGATCTCGATGGTCGGCTTTATATTCTTGTCTTTCTTTTTGGATTGGATATTACTTACCTTATAACCACAAGTCAGGTTCGCCCACCCCCACTGTAATATTATTTGGGAGACCAGACGTTATTAATAGGAAACTAGGTAATGCTTCAAATTTTCTCAGTAGGGATTGCGTGAGTGGAATCCAGCACGAGTTTACAGGAGTTTTAGTACGTATACTGATTACGAATTAATAATGGTCACTCGCTTAGAATAACTTAATACTATATCAATACGGGGAATATTCAGACGTTCATTCCTTGACTGCAAAGGGCAAGATAGTAGCAACTTGGCTAGGTTCACGTATATTCCTCCTGTTAGCCAACGGTCGGTTCCATGCCTGTTATTCCAGAGTACAAATAAACCCACCAATAACTAGTTGGAACTCCTACCACTTATAACAGCATAGAAAAAACGACATTCGCGAGACAGTTCGCCCCCTTTTTCATCTCGGTACCTAGGTACCTACACTTTCATTGACGAGGAGTGTTGCAATTTCCATAAATAAAACTGAATCATATAATACTCAAGAATATACGGCGGCCAATTAATAGAAACTACCCAGCTAGAAGTAGGAGTAAAGTGGCAGAAAGTAGTCCTTCTTGCGGGGCGTATCATCGGTGTGTTACGGTAAACAGAGATCGTAGATTACCCCCTCAATCTAAGCAGACCGGTGAGAGGGGCGGACGGCAGAGTATCTATCGTGGGGGTGTAATGTGCAGGTACTAGATAACGACGACGCCACCATCTGCCGTGCTATGACTTCACCGAACCAATCAATACTTGAGAGTGACATTCAATTACGACGGAGGCGTTTCAGCGAGGTCAAATAGCCATGGACCCCCCAGATTCCAAACATCGGACAACTTCCAAGAAGCTAAGTTGAGTTATGTTTGCTACTGTTATGAATCGTCAAGTCATTCATGTCCTCAAGCCAAAACTATTGATACACATCCACAAATACCTTGCTATTTACACCAATTTTGCATCCATGTCATGATTCGTTCTGTCGTAAAACGGGCCAGTTGAAATTGGGCCTCTGAAAAGAGCGGCTATTGCCAGCTAGTCTTCCCCCATCATTTTCTTTGCCATTCCTTTCTCCGTCATCTCATATCTTCGTTCCTCTTATTTTGTTGAAATCAAAGAGCGAAAGAGAAAAGAACGTTATTTCTTAGCTTCCCACAATGCGACCTTGACACCATCGCCAGGCTGAATGACAATCTCGGCCTTGAGCTTGGGATTCCCGCCGTCAATCTCGTGCATGAAGCTTTCTACGCGCTCATATCGCTGGAAGATGCGTGTCAGGACGTAGGCCATTTCCGTCAGCGCGAACTGTTGCCCGATACTAGAACATCAAGTGTTAGCAAGTGCTACATCTAGCATCGACATTTGGTCAAGAGCAAGATGCTCTAATCCGCAAACGAGAAGTTCTCGCAAAGGAAACTCACCAGATCCGCGGCCCACCATTAAACGGAATATACTGCCACGGCTTCGGCTGCCACTCATACCACCGTTCCGGACTAAACTCCCCCGGATCCGCAAACTTCTCCGACGCAGGCGGGTACAAATCCGTCCGGCGCTGCATGACCAACGTCGAGTACCCAACCGGCGTATCCTTCAGCAACGGCATCGGCAACGAGCCATCCGGTCCACCACCCCTAGGCAGCGTAGTATCACGCAGCGCGGTCCTAACATTAAACGGAACCGACGGGTACAGACGCAGCGTCTCATTAATCACGTTCTGCAGGTACTTCATCGCCTTGAGATCCGCGTACGTAGGTGTGCGCTCCAAGCCCACGCGCTCGATGATTTCGCGCCGGAGTTTGCGGACTACGTCCGGTCGTCGACCGAGTTCGTAGAATACGAAGGACAGCGTGGCGGCTGTGGTGTCGCGACCTGCGAGGAGGACGGCGACGAGTTGGTCACGTAGGACTTTGCGGTCGCGTGTGAAGGATGCGAGTTCGTGCAGGAAGGTGTAGTCTTGGTCGGATTTGGTGCGTGTTGCTAGTTCTTCTGGGGTTAGCCGGAGTGCGCGGTCGATGTAGGTCCCGCAGAACTCGTTGACTACTTTTAGACCGCGGCGGAAAGAACCTAGGGGTACGAAGGCACGGAGGGGGCCGGCGCGGGCGAGGATGTTTTGCACGCGCTGTACTTCGTTGAATGCGTCGGCGAAGGGCTGGCGTGGGGTGCTGGGGGTAGGTGTCTTATGTAAGTCATGCTTGTCTCCTAATAGTAATGGGATGTATGGGGAGGAGAAAAGGGGTCATGTCTTACGTAAGAGATTGGACATCCATCCCTAACAGGAAGTCTGTGGCAACGTCAAGGGTAAACCTGAACAAGAGTTCGCTGATATCAAATGGCTTGCCATTGCCGGCCTCGGTATCGACGTGCTGGTCGGGACCATTCAGGACACCACCGTTAGCGACGGCCTTGAAGAAAGTCTGGAGATGGGACTCGAAGCAATGCAAGTCACTAATTCGTTCACGCGAGAATTGAGGACGCAGGAGTTGGCGACTGTCATGCCAAAGTTGGCCGTCAGTAGCAAAGATACTATCGCCGAGGAACTCATTCCACTCGCTATGGAATTGCTCTCCCTTGCCGAAGTCGGCAAACTGCGTGGCTAGAAGGGCCTTGATATTCTCCGGGTCGGCCGTTGTGACAAGGCGCTTCCCGAGCACCCGCCCTTCAGCTGTGTAGTCGGGGGCATCACCTAAGAGTTCGAGGAATACCTCATAGTTCTTATGGTTCATGGTCGCGACGACTTGCTTCTTGATTATATCAAAGCCTGCTCTTCTTATTAGCCAATCGAGGTTTCGGGAGAGAAGTGAAGTTGAAATCATTGGTTTAATGCTCACCAAAGGGCATGTTACTCTTGAGCCTGGGGCCATGCGCCCCCAATCGTCGTAGTTTAGTCTCTTCATCGATACTACCAATGATCTTTAGTAGCGCAAAGACCACGACGATGATTACGAGCAAGATCTGAATGGACAAGTGATCGAATATCGTTTGGAGGAACCCCATGATGACGAGGAGCCTCTCATAAGGCTGTCAAGCGAAGCAGATGAGAACGGCTATCTACCTAGGTAGTTGCTGATGTATTCCGTTACAACACTCTAACTGCCCAAAAACACAGACAATGAAATCATACGTCTTTGTCCATGTCCTTCATTCACCTCCCTCTGTTCTTAATATTGCATCGCAGGATATGATATTTTGCTAGGGATAAAAAGCCGTTACGGAACTGTGGACCCCGCGGGTAGCGAGATTCAGTGCGAGGCAGGATTCTCGGCAAGGGGGAATAGGGGACAAGTCGGCAACGAGCCAGTTAATTGAAACACAGGTTCCAGACGCAGAGTGCACAGCATATGCTATTATGTATGCGATCAAGCAGGTATCCCCACCACCAATCCAATCGGACAAGATGGAATACATATCAGTCCGAGGAGTCGGATATGAAGCAAGATCGGCCGATTCCATTATCAAGACTGGTCTACTCTACCCACGGCCCGCTATCACCTTACTTGATTACCCAAATAGGTATACTAAGCGTCCCTTACTGATCCAATTGTTATATAGACTTAGTAATAACTAGGTCATTATGCAGCACCCGGGCACAGATCTGGGAACACCGCGGCACAGCAAGTACTTAATCAAAACCATCCGAAGAAAAATAGCTGCGGATGGTTTAGAACGTAGATGGTGTGTATAGTGTGCGGGGAGGGTGGTATAATACCACCTCACTAAGATATATGACGCTAATAATTAATTCGTTACTTGGATTAATATGTATAGAAATTATATGGGTCGGTATTGTAAGTAAAGCTACGATATCGCGTTTCTGGCGTGTTACTTTATAAAGGACGAAGACAACGCTCTTTTGATACTATAAATTAGCTAGGTGCGCCATATGTCTATTCCCACCAAAGTAATCGTAGTTAATGGCCGGAAGGGGTTATATTTAATATAGGTAAGTTAGGGGCATTATGAATATCTCCGAAGTCATGTAGTTCTGCCAAGTGGAATCTTTCTCAACAGCCTCGCCGGTTATGCACCTACGGAAGGATTCTGCGCGCATTCAGCTCACGACGACGCAAGTTTACGTTCGATGATTATCATAGATCCAAATACGCGTAGCCTCAAGCGAGAACCTGTTGTGGTACACCAATGGATGCCGAGACACCCGCTCCCAAGCCTAAGAACCGCTATATTTCTTAGCCTCCACTCGGCTCACTCACGTAGCGCCGAAAAGGATTCCCTTTTCGCATGTAAGATGGCGTATATACCTATATGGATTATTAAGATAATGTCTGTGGCATGATCTCACTCTAGCATCATCTAGAAGCATGGTTCTCCTGACTACGCCTCATAATGATTTGTGAGGCACATTTCACTTTAAATGACAAATCAGGGTGTCTCAATTGGACGTCTCAGATTCGCCATCAGCTAGATCTCGTGTTACCCAAGCACTTAAATCAGGACGGAAATATCCAATGGTAACATTGGGCCGAGGCTTATGCATTCATATTATTAGCCTTGGATGTGTGTGCGTATCCATCCTGCCATTCTTATTTCTTCCACTGTTCTTAAGTGACGTTCTAAAGAGCCCAAATATCTACAAGGAAAACCGCCAAGTCGATCAATATATTAGGCGGGGGGCGGCAAGTGCCTATGTATTTCTATATACCTCATTAGGTAAGAAAATGTTTGGGAATCCCTTATTGGAAGAGACAAGTATTTCCATCACCACCTTGTGTGCAGTACGTCATCTGCACCGGCTCGGCGTTAACACCACGGGCCACGAGTCGCTCACGGAACTCTGCTAGTCGCGGCGCCGCATCGATTTGCGTGCGGTTCTCACCTGAGGCGTCGAAGCGGCCGGACCATAGGACCTCACCGGCTGCGCTGGCACGCGGCCATAGGATGCCGTCGATGTTGACCTCATCGATGGTCTCGGCCCAGGCGCCGACTTCGCCACCTAGGACTAGCTCGGCTTCCTCGTCTGTTAGGCCCGCGCGTGGGTCGTATGAGTAGATGAGGCGCCAGTTCTTGTAGGGGTAGCACCAGTCGTTGAAGGGGTAGTTTTCCTCGAAAGACTCGCCCTCAGCGAAGTTGAGCCATTGGCCACGGCCGCAGTCAAGGTACTAAATAAATGTCAGCACCATTCCCTTTTTTGCTAGATCCCTAGATATAAGTAGGGAATTACTTACCCAGTAGTTGTAGTTACTCGAAATAACCTTATGCCCCTGCGCCGTCAAGCTCTTAATCGCCTCGTCGCCAAGCCACGACTGCACGACCACATCCTTACCCACACTAACATTATAACTCGCGGGGATCTCCTCCCAGACCATAGGCGTCAATCCAGCCTTACGCACACGCGCATGGTGCTTGTCGATAAAATCCTGCAGCAATGGGACCACGACCGCGGAATCATTCGTGCCGACTGTGGGGTCGAGGTTGTACTCGTTGAAATTTACCTCGTCACCACCAGTGTGGAAGTACGCCGAGTAAGGTGCGACACGCGGGAGTAAGTCCGACATCAATGTATCGAGGAACGGATCGACCTTAGAATTGTTAAGCTGCAGTTGTCCGCAAGGAGGCTCGGCGCAGTAAGTTGACCAAGGCTGTGCGTCCCAGCCTGTGATAAGCTCCGGGTGCGAGAGTGCGGCGACGCCGAAGTGGCCCGGGGAGTCGATCTCGAAGATTACTTCTACACCGCGCTGCACGGCGTAGGTCTGGATCGCGGCGACGGCGACGGGGGAGTAGGTCTTACCGTGCGCGTACGCACCCTTTTGGTGCAGCTCGGGTAGTGCGGGGATCTCGAGGGGCCAGGATTGCGAGTCTGTCGCGTGGATGTGCAGACGGTTCATCTTGTTCCATGCTATGGCGTCGATGACGCGGTAGACGGTGTCGAGGGGAAGGTAATTTCTCGACACGTCGAGAAGGACGCCTCGGTGCTCAAATACGGGAGCATCGCTGATTTGCACGGGAGCCTGGTTCGTGTAGATTGGGCCTTGGGAATGTTGGAAAAAGAGCTGGGAGAAGGTTTCTAGAGCGCGTAGAACACCGGTGGAGGAGACGGCTGTGATTTTGGCTTTTCCGTTGATGCTTACAGTAAGGTTGTATGATTCGTCAACATCGCCGGCGAGGGGCTTGAATGTCTTGGCTGTGTCCTTTCCAGTTTGGACGATCTCGAGCCATGATACGTAAGTCTTCGGCTTCCATAGGTTTGGCTCGGTCTTCTCAAGTGCCAATCGACGATATAGCTTCCATGGGACAAAATTGTCATCTAGAATGTTCTTCACCGCACGCGAGACTCCTCCCTTTACAATTTCCTTGCTGGTGAACTTAGGTGGGATGTAATTTCGGATCCAAGGAATCTGCCAAATTGGTAAGTTTATGATATGATATAGGTAGAAAATTAGTAGCATACTCTATCTCCATTATAGGTAACATGCAGCACCTCCCCTATCCATAGAGTGGAATTGCCTGTGCTAACGGAATCGGGGATTGGCCAAATGGCCTGGACCGACGTGACTGTAAGCAACAGGCACGAAAGGAAGGCCTTCAACAACATTGTGGCGTTGATGTTGAGATGGTGGGGTGGTAAAGATGTCTTAGAATGCGAAAATAATAATATTAAAAAAATAATAATGAAGGGAATGAGAAAATTAAATGAATGTCAAGGACTAGGATGTCGATCTCTCGTATCCAGATCCAGATTTTCCCCCTCTGATAGCCTTTCTTAAATAGGTGCAGGCGTCCAAAGGGTGTGACGATAAGTATTTGTTTTTTTGTTCGACCCCAACTGCAAGTTTATATGTGAATGGGAAGTGTCCGTGACACCTCGTGGCAAACGTGAGCCAGGGTTTGGCAAGCTTCCTGTCCGAGATCTAGGTACAGCTGCTCTTTTAGGATATAGGGCAGCTTACCGGAGAGGTGGGTACCTTGGTATAGTGGGAGGCTGAAGAACAGACCGAAAGTAGCCCTCCAAAAATCCCGGATCTCCTTCCTCTCTCTATCTGACCGTCCCGCTAGCACACAACACCGTCGCAACGTTACTTTATTAGGCGTGCGAGCGTGCTGCTGTCGTCCGTGATCAACGAATTAGGCGTGATAGGGCGATAAGCACTGACAGCCGCTTGGACGGGGAGTAGAGCGAATGGAATCGATACGCCTAGTAAAAAGTAATAGCAGGTGATTTGTAGGGCAGCGGGGGGAGGTGACCATTTTATTATTGCTTCTTCTTTTTTCTCTCTCCTCCTTTACTTTTTTTTATTATTATTTTTACTACCCACATACTCGTACTGTACCTGGAGGAATGACGAGAGATCTGTGGTTCCTTAGCGAGATTCCTCGCATTGATTGGATCATTAATTAAGGCAGGCTTTCTTCTGCTCATCTAAAGGATCGAAGAGAAGAACCTGTTCAATCAATCTCATTCGGCTAATTCTTTCGCCCCCATGGTGGAATTCATGGACGGGTGAACCAAGGCCAGGGGTAAATGTTGTTTTTCGGGTTGCTCATTTAAATAACAAATCCCAAGACGACCCTGGCAGTTGATCCCTTTTTACGGATCGCGTCTTCCAGCATGACATTTTTCTGGGTTCGGGTGCCCTTTTACTAGTGTAGGATCGAGTGAAGAGAATGAGGAAGTGATCGTCACATTCATGATTTTGCCGTATGTGGACTAAACCAATAAGTCCAATAGTGTATAGTACATTGAAAAGTACATGTATGTCTTAGGTATAGGCAGACTTTAAGCTAGGTATACATTTATGCAGACATTATCGTTGTGCTGCCAAGTACATGCCAACACTTTGTGCAAAGAAAGGGGAAAAAAGGCCAAGAAATAAGAAAAGAGAAAGACCGCAGGGCGGCTGTTCATACAAGGTAACATCCATCTGGGGAAAATGGAGAGAACATTTCATCTATCTTGATGTAACCATGTAAGATGCGTACAGTTCATATTAGCCCCGAGGAATGGAATGCCGGAGGTTGCATAGCACGGTTCATAGCTGTTGAAGTTACCTAACACTTTCTTAGTTTCCGGTACTTGGACGTCCTTGGAGACCATTTCTGCGGGAAGTCAGCGTGGTAAGCTCTAAGTGCCGACAGCTCTTATAGCCCAAGCGGACGGGACGAAATTAACTAACACAGCCCACGAACGACACCTTATAAAGCTACAGTGTCAGTCAGAAAACACATGTTGTGAGATTGTTTGGATAGGAAAAAAATCATGATTTTAGAACTATGTATAAATATTCCCAACTTCTAATAATGACCATGCACACAGACGATCATAATTGCTAATTCTGCAGTCCAAGTTCCAAGGATGTTCGAACAGGGCTTCCAAAGGGGATAACGATGTGCTGGGGTGTTCTGGACCAATTGACGAACCCGCGAATGATACCCTGTATTCGGGACGGAACCGAAAAGCAAATTATCCCAGACACCTGAATCAGACGATGGAATCAATTCTACTTCGAGGTGGGCAGGTTACCAAAACAAAGTACACTACCTGGATTTGGGTATTCCTTTCCATCCTGCTTCTATTTTCTTTTACAATCATGGAGTAATGGCTAAGCTAATAATGTGACTATAAGCTCCTATTGTCACGATCCCTTAGTTTAGGTCCTCTACTATAGCTAAATACGTCTAGAATTCGGCCGATAAGGCTTAATGTCCCATTCTAAGCGGGGACTACACTAGTGACGGGGACATCGCGGAAACACGTGAGTTAGAAAGACCAAAATACATACACTAAACTAGATAGCAAGTACTACAATCCATTAGCTAACTTAGACCGATCCTACATATTACAGTTTCTGGCCTATATTCACATGGATGGCCTTTGTCTGGGTGTAGGCAGCGAGACCCGCTTCTCCAAGCTCCCGGCCTATACCACTTTGCTTGACTCCTCCAAATGGAACTCGGATATCCGAGTCATTAGATGAGTTGATCCAAACCATACCTGCCTCGATCCGCGCAGCCACGCGATGCGAGAGTTCGAGGTTTTGACTAAACACCGCCGCGCCTAGACCATAGGTAGTATCATTTGCCATCGCGATAGCCTCACCCTCGGTCTTAAAAGGAACAATGACGACGAACGGACCGAATACCTCTTCGCGATAGATCTTCATATTATTCTTCACCTTAGTGAAGATAGTAGGTTCAATGAAGAAGCCCTTCCCATTCAGCGGGCAGGGAATACCTCCTGCTGTCAGTGTGGCGCCCTCCGATTTGCCAGACTCGACAAAGCTCAAGATCCTGTCGTATTGCGCCTTAGTCACCTGAGGGCCCTGGAACGTGCCCTCTGCGAACGGGTCGCCGACTTTGCTAGTCGTTTTGACAGCCTCTCGGAACTCATTCACGAACTTATCATAAATGGTATCTTGGACGAGAATGCGCGAGGTAGCCGTGCAGATCTGACCTTGGTTACTCATGATTCCGATATGAGCCCACTTCGCCGCTTGCTCGATATCGGCATCTTCGAAGACTAATAGCGGGGACTTGCCGCCGGTCTCGAGGGTGATATTCTTCATGTTGATGCTAGCCGTCTTCATGATTTGCTTCCCTGTCGCTGTCGAGCCGGTGAAGGCTATCTTATCGACGTCTAGGTGACTTGCAAGTGCATGGCCAGCCTCCTTGCCATATCCATTTGTGATATTGACCACGCCGGCAGGGAAACCGGCCTTGACTACGACACTTGCAAAATATAAAATTGATAAAGGGGTCTGTTCAGCGGGTTTCAAGACCACGGTGTTTCCGCAAGCGAGCGCAGGCCCGAGTTTCCATGCAGCCATCGACAGGGGATAATTCCACTACATCGCTTGTGTGTTAATAGATATCTAAGGTAGGTGGTTATGTGCGAAATTCAATAAAATGGGAAGTGAGAAAAGAACTTACCGGGATGATCTGACCGCATACACCAATTGGTTGTTTCAAGGTGTAGACGAATTTCTGGCTTGTCGTAGGGATGGTTTCGCCGTGAATCTTATCGGCATAACCGCCATAGTATCTAATAGTGCTAATAACCTCGCCCACGTCTCCCTGGGAATCGGCAAATGGTTTACCGTTATCCCAGGTTTCAATAGTGGCTAGTATATCGCTTTCCTGTTCGATTAGATCCGCCAACTTGAACATCAAGGCACCGCGTTCAGTCGCGGAGATATCTCGCCATGATTCATGGTTCAGTGCAGCTCTTGCAGCTGCTACAGCTTTATCGATGTCTTCGGCGCTAGCCGCTTCAACTGAGCAGATCTCTTGTTCGTTCCTAGTGTTGAATTGGTTAGATAACTAGCTACCGTATAGAATATGATCAACTGACGTGGGATTTATGCTCGTGATTTTAGTACCCGAGCTTGATTTGACGAATTCATTGTTAATAAATAGACCGGTTGGGAGGGTGATTTTCTTGCCATTTGGAGCTGTGAGATCAACTTTCAAGTCTGCCATGATGGATATGAAACGACACGAGTTATTTCTCTTCAGACTATAAGATGTCCAACTGGAGCGAGTAGCCCTCACAAAGGTCCGTATCATGGCCGGAGGGGGTAGTTACTTATTTGGAGTACAAACGATTACAAAGATGTTTTAATTCCCCGCATTGGATGCGTTATCAGTTGCTGCGTCACTGATAGTAATCGCAAGCGACCCCGGGCAATCAGCACTATTGCTTATTTGGTGCTATCGTTACAGGTTGTAGTTGCCTTTTCCTGCAGCAAACACGATTAGTAGCAAGTAGTGGTGGGGAAAACATGCCGTGCTGCTTCCCGCATTTCCCGCACCCCCCACTTCGGCTACTGCACCGCTCCGCTTACCCCGATTATAACGTAAAGAGTGAAAGATAAGGTACCTCCTCTACCTTTTTCCATATACCATCCTCCTTCTATATGGCTTTCGACATCCTTGCCAAGGCCGAGATGCATCACCGTTCCCTCATCCTCCGTATCCATCTCTTCCGCCAGATGAGGTGGTAGACGGGTGACCATCGACGGGGTCTTATTTCTAGTGTTTGGAAAGGTTCATCTTCTGGATTCCATGATTGACGCGGCTGTGCTTCGAACTGATAAGTATCAATAATATTTAATGTTCCAAGCCAGGTAGTTCGATGATCAGGTTTGGTGATGAAAGACTCTGGGCCACCGCCCGGTGTAACAAGAGAAGAATTTGGTAGTTTCTAGATGATTAGGCTGCACTGGACGACTTTCCAGAATACGCAGATGATAGTAACCATCAGTAATTTGTTAAGCACCTCTATTCTGCAAAGAGCGTAGCTGGTTCAGCAAGACAATGATTGACGGTCAAATTATTAAATGTCCGGTTATGGTCGAACGATTTGTTCGTGTCTTCGAGTATTCGAAGAAATTACCTATGGTGATGACATTAACATATTCGATTCAGGTATGCTGAAGCAGTCCGAAGGATAGCTCAAGGCCCCTGCGCAATTGCAGTAGTCACAATTAGAACCACTGCCTTCTCCTGCTGCTAGTTTATATATATGGACTGCGCATTGTGTTGAGTACCAAAACGAATTTAGGCTGTCCTTAGGAACGTATTCGTCCCAGATTGAGGAAAGATCGTGTGTTTAGTTGAAGACTTCTTCTCGGCTCCGGCCTCCCGATTTACTGGCACCAGATCCAACAACCACGACCACGTCACGGTATTGGTATCGTGGCTTGCAGGACAAGAACTCGGCGTAGCAGGCGACAGGATCCTGGGTAGCCAGCCAACTTACCCGCGGATGTTGCCGTTTTGTCAATATATTGGTTCACATCCAAAGTCTCAATGGATTCCGACTCTGTAAGGTACACCCTATAAGAATTTGATTCAAGTTCTAATAGGCTATTGCTACGTAGCATATTGAGCGGCATTATTGCGTACCAGCTGATAGCATATTATATCTGGGGGTGGCGTCATCCGGCGTGGAAGCGTCATCCTGTGATTGTATTCACTGCTATGAGAAACCCGGTTGCTGTTATACTTCCGTCTCGACCTTCAAATGTCTCGGTCCTGGGCTTTCAATCGACTTGCTAGTTCAGGAGCCCTGAGAATTAGACAGTATGTTTCTATTTTTGTACTGTAGCTATGTTAGATGGATGACCGAGGTACGGTCGGGGGTCTCTTAACAACCAGGCTCGGAGTTTCTAACGCGATCTCCTACCGCCGAATGTCGATGTGATTGGCATCGAAAAGATAAAGCAAGCATCCGACTATAATTTGAGTTTAGAGGGAGTAGAACAAGGCATTCTTTTTCTTTAGCTTTGATTGTTAAACGCATTATGATGGTAAATTGCGATTCAACCTTTTTGGTCATAGTTGAAAAGAGTTGTTCTTTCAAGAAGGGATTGGATTAAGGCTGTTCATCGTTACAAAATATAGATCGGAGTCTTGAATATAGCGCGGCATGGATCGCCTCGTAATATGTGTGGGTGATGTTTGTTCTCTACGAATGATCCGTGGGCTTAAAAGTATGTTCTGGTACAGTAAAAGGAATTTGAAGGTTCTGAGTTTCTGTTTTATTTTGCCTACCTAGGTATTTTACTTTGGGCACACATCACTGGATTGATCTAATTGGTGGATAACACAGACACAAGCCACAAACTCGGGGTACACGCACGGTCCACTTTAATAGGTGACTAACTTTCAGAGGTACGTATCGTCCTTTCTTCAGCGATTTAGCACGGGACCTTTACCAACCTTAATATGTGGCGGTGCTTCCAAGGTTCCCTATTCTAACAATGGAAATTACTTCTCTCCCAGCTTCCGGCCTCCTCTAAGAGTTTCTCACCTTCAACAACGTCATTCTTTTCTTTTCGACCTCATCTTCCGCTCTCGCCGAGCAACCTAACGCGAATTCTTGACTATCTCGATCGTCTCTAATTTCACCAGTCGCCTATCAAATACATCAAACCCTTAATTACGAACCTTTGGTGTATTTGTGGTGCCTTGCCACACGCTTGTCGCCTTCTGCCGTCGAACTTCGCGACGCGCATCCTTTTTTAAAAGCCTTTCGCGACTTCGTACCTCTTCGCGAATCCTCATCTCTCGACCGTACCCTTCGTAAATCCTACATCGCCGAATAATATTTCAATATGGCTATTGAAGTGGCTATGAATACGCCGCTCGCGGATGCGCTTAACATGGCCATCCAGCCGAAGTTGGTAGAAGTGGGCTGGTCTTCCGGTGGCGCTGATGATGGCGCACTATCTGAATACATTATTCTCATGCTCGTCAACGGGAAAACACAAGATCAAATTGCCGCCGAGCTTGCTGGCGATCTTCTTAGTCTTGGCCCTGATGATCCTGGCGCACGAGACTTTGCGAAATGGCTTTTCGATCAGATCGAAGTTCTCAACTCTCAACTAAACGGTGCTCCGGCACAATTGGATAATACCAATGGCGATGCCTCACAAAGTGCTGCACCCCCTGTGGAGCAAGATACGGATATGTCTATGACGGTCGATGGTCCCGAGTTGAACGCGTAAGTCTATTATCTATCTATTGCCCCCCTTTGTTGTGACTGAATCTAAACTAATACCACCTAGTCCTACTGGCCCTAGATCTATGAGGAGCTTCGCTCCGCGAGGTAATCGAGAGAAGCGAATGCTTGGTCAAATGACTAAAGCTATGGATCGAACTCACGACAACGTCCTACATCGCGTTCGAGCCAATGGCAACGAACGTATCAACGCCCACCGGGCACCACCTACTGGACCGAGGGGCGGCTTTGGGCGCGGCAATAATCGTATGGCGAATAACCGTGCTGCTGGGGTTGCCGCACACATGAACCATATTGCTGGCAGCTTACCAAATATGCAAGGCCCTCCTCAGGGAATGAATAACATGGATCCAAATTGGATGATGCAAGGCGGATCAACTCAAGAGCAAATATTCAGCCTCATACAATACCAGAATCAAATGATGCAACAAATGCACCAGCAACTTACCCAACAAGGTAACCAACCCATGGGTGGCCGGCCCAACGGACGATCACTGTTCGACCGCGTACAAAATCCGCGAGGTGGTAGGAGAGGAGGTCATTTAAATGGCCATCGATTGCATCAACCTGACTTGGGTAATGATATTGGCAACGACCAGGAGGATGTTGATATGACGCAGGGCAGACGCGAACCACTCAACCCCGAAATGACAATTTGCAAGTATAACTTGGCTTGTACCAACAAGGATTGCAAGTTTGCCCACCAATCCCCAGCAGCACCACGTAATACGACTATCGATGTGAACGATGTATGTTCATTCGGTGCCGCGTGTAAAAACCACAAATGTGTTGGACGTCACCCGTCTCCCGCGACCAAGCGCGCGCACCAAAACGAGCAGGAATGCAAATTCTACCCGAACTGTACCAACCCGAATTGTCCCTTCAAACATCCGGACATGCCCCTGTGCCGAAATGGAGGAGACTGTGCCGTGGAGGGATGCAAGTTCACCCACCTCCAGACAATGTGCAAGTACAAGCCTTGCACCAATAGGTATTGCGCTTATAAGCATGAGGAGGGCCAACGTGGGACATTCCAAGATAAGGTCTGGACAGCGGAAGGGGGTACTGAGCATGTTAGCGAGAGGAAATTTGTGGACAACACGGCTGGCGAGGAGCTCCTGGTGCCAGGTGGAGAGAATGGTGCGGCACAAGAGCCGGCAGCGATGGATGAGGGCATCGCTTAAGGGCAAAGGCTTGCAAGAAAGGTTGGTGGTAATGGAAGGAGTTTATGGCTCGTACGAATGCGTACTGAGGATACAAGGGGGAAAAAACCAGCGGTCAAATGTTCCTAGCATGAGGTTACGGGAGGTGAACGTAAGGGATTCACGGAGCTAGATTTGTTATTATTACAGGCGTTTAGGTTTTGACAGGAAAGGAAAAGCCAACCTTTAGGGACTTGAGAACATATGACAATATACCCGCTGCATTTTGTGACTTGTCAAAAAACAACGAGTCTTGACTTGAAGAATTGTCCCATGTGTGATCAATTGATTGTGATGTGATGCTTGCCATGAATCAAACGAGGCATATGCTTCTCATATAACGGTAACATCTTCCATATACATATATATGTATATACGAGAGTATAGGATCTCTGTCTATATGCATATAATGATTCATCACTTGCATAAACCAAACATCGAACCATCAAGGCCACGCCACTGAGCACATTTCTTACAATTCAAACAATATGCAACCTCCGCCGTTACGGTCGGTTATCTTACGCGTGAAATGCCTCCACGATACCCAGAAGACATCTTTATAAGTCTTCTGAGGTCTACATATTACAGCACGCAACATGCCGTCCCCACTAGAATCGTCACGAGCCCCTCAGCCTCGCGGCGATTGAGCTCTCTCGCAGCTCGAGGCACCACTTCGAACTCGCTAATTGGGAACCGAATAATTCATAATCGAGTCGCGAAGCTCCCCAAAGCTCAGAAACAGACTTTCGCAACTTCTGGCGCACGAAATGCTAAGGCTCGCGAGATCGCCGTTATAGGTGGCGGTATTACTGGATTGACGACTGCCCACTACCTAGCTCGACATGCCCGCGATGCGAACATTACGTTATACGAAGGCTCGGAGAGACTCGGCGGCTGGGTAGATGGGAAGTGGGAGCGGGTAGGCCCTGGGGAACACGACAAAGTGTTTTTCCAGCGCGGACCGCGCATGCTTCGGTCTGGACGCATGTCCCACAAGTATGATGACCTCATTTTCTATGAGCTGGTGGGTAATTGGTTTCTTGCTTGCTTCACTCATGGGACAATTACCTAGTTAAAAGGCTTTAGCTTACGCATTTATATTACAGGTCGTCAATTTGAACTTGCAAGATCAGATCATATTTCAAGATTCTCCGAACGACGATCGCTATTTATACTATCCAGACCACCTAGTCAGACTACCTCCGAACAAAAAGCTCACCCTGGATATTATCCTTTATTCGATACGGAGTTTCTTTACTGAACCCCTGTGGAGCGGGTCTTTGAAGTCCTTGCGAAAATATTTCGGCTTCAGGATGGAAATGCTTCAAGGCCAAGACATTCCTAAGAATCGTCCGCCTCCCGATGAATCCGTGGGTGCCTACTTTAGGAGAGTATTCGGAGACGATCGGTTGGTTAAAAACGTCATATCAGGCATGATGCATGGTATCTACGGCGGCGACATAGAAAAGTTAAGCGTGAAGCACACGATCTTTGAGAACACGTGGCGTAGAACTATACTTGATCGTCCGAACATACGAAACTCGATCTGGGTAGAAATTAAGGACTCGATTCTCGCGCACGACATGAAGATGCATCCTGACTTTCCCAAAATTTTCGAGCTGGGTTGGAAAGGTCTTAAAGTCGAAACTATTGCTTTCGAGAATGGTTTACTTCCCCTTGTGAAAGGCTTGGCTAAGGATCTAAAGGATAAAAAAGTGACTATTAAAACTAACAGTCCAGTGACCTCCTTGGCTTATAAGAATAAGAAAGTGTTGGTAGGTTAATCTAGATCCCATCAAAGCTGCCAATATGCGCTAATACCCATCTCACTAGGTCACCACAACCGGCAAGCCGAAAGAATACGACCAAGTAATCTGTACCCTCTTCTCCAAGCACCTCTCCGAAATAGTCCAACCCAAGGGCAGTCTCCCCTCCCTCGCCAAGACCCAAGCCGTTACCATCATGGTAGTCAACCTATGGTTCCCAAACCCGAATCTTCTCGACGGGAACCACGGCTTCGGCTACCTAATCCCAACCTCCACACCAAACAACGATGAATGCGTTCTCGGCGTATTATTTGACTCGGACATGAACACAAGCACCGAAATCGCCGGCACCAAGCTCACCGTCATGCTCGGCGGACACTACTGGGACGGCTGGACCAAATTACCCACGGAAGAAATATGCAAAGCCATGGCCATCGAAGCCGTCCAGCGACATCTGCACATACCCCCCGACGAACCGGTCCACGCCAGCGCGCGTCTATGCCGAGACTGTCTACCGCAACACCACATCGGCCACCGCACTCGCATGGCAGACGCACACTATGAGCTCCTCTCCACATTCCACGGGCACCTCTCCGTCGCCGGACCAAGCTACACAAGCATCGGCGTGATCCCCGCAATGCGCGCAGGCCACGATATCGCAATGCGCGTCGCCTACAACCACGGCCCGCCCTACCGATACCACCCCAATCCCGACGTCGAGCACATACTACCTAACCACCCCATCCATCACAAGATTCCCGATCATGTAGGCGCTACGGGTCTAGCTACGTTTACGGAGAATGAGTTTGACAGTTTTAGGGCTTTTCATAGACCTTCTATGTTTTTACGCGCTTGGACTGGTAAGAGGTGGAAATATGGTGGACATGGGGCTCGACGTGCGTAGAAAGGTATATATATATGTGTGTGTATATACATGTATATATGGATACATTCATAGATCCTGTGTATAGTGGCGCTATTGTGGTGGTGGTAATGGGGGCAAAAACGCGAACTTGGGGCGGGGGAAGGCTACCCAGTCTATATGATATGATATGGTATGGTATGCGAATATTTATACATAATAAGACGGGCCAATATACAGATCAGTACCTAGGTGGACTATGGGTATAAAAATAAGAACGATGTCAATAACGTTCAATACTGAATGGAAGAATAAGTAAAAATGGATGAAAGCGATGAAAAGAAGAAATAATGGAGTATATACCATCTAGTAAAATCAAAATCACTTCAAACTCATGGATATGGTAGATAAAATATGTGTATATATATTGTTGCTTGGGATCAACTCTATTATGGTATCATTGATGATATTGTCGATGGCTAATGCTATGCTATGTAAAGAAAACAAAATAAACAGAAAAACAAAAAACAAACGCTATGCCATGTTTTAATTTTTTCTTCCTATGACATGCCGATTAAACACGCATTCCTGATCCTCAATTCTGTGTCTACCAACGTAGAACCTAGATAGGTCTGCTATTCCAACTTGCTGGATACACTCGCCGACTTCATTGAAACCTATATTTGTTGAGTAGACGGAGCTATCTCAGTCGCAGTATCAATATCCGGTTCCAAGAGCATGAGTCGTTTACATTGAACTTCCACGGGTTCCTCATCATCCTCATCATATTGTCCTTCGACACGAGCAGCCAAAACAAGTTTCTTGACGCAGGAATTGTAAATAAGACCCTCGACGGTTTTCTCCGTAACAATTCGAATGACTTCCACCTCTCGGGTCTGCCCAATTCTGTGCGCGCGATTAGAAGCTTGAACGTCATCCTGTGGGTTATCGGACTGGTCGAAGAGGATGATCTTGTTCGCGGCAGGGATGTTAAGGCCGGTACCACCAGCTCCGGTAGTAAGGAGGAATACGGGGATACTCGGATCGGCGGTGAACTCTTGGCATTCCGGGAATCGCCCAGCGGTTTCCGTAGAACCCGTCAGTACGCAGTATGATATATTGGCGTAGTGTAGTGTCTCCTCTAGGATCCTAATCACCATCTGGAAGCGGCTGAATACAAGAGCGCGATCTCCTGTCTTCATGTAACCTCGCACAAGCTCGAGCAGCTTTTGAACCTTAGGGCTGTCCTCCCACGATCGGTGGGGAATATCCAGGTGACCGATATACTTTTTGAAATCCTTGCACCAGAGGTGCAGGTCGAAATCGTACCCATCCATCAACATTTCCTGGAAATAGGCCTTATGGCGGTCATCCTTCTTATCAACTTTCAGTTCAGACTCGGAGCATGACTTCCACAAAATATCCACCATCTCCTTGACCTTGCTATCAGTAAAGTGGTAGCGGAATAGCTGGTGGTGAATAGCAGCTTTTCGAAGCCGCACCCATGGGCTTGAGTCTTTTCTCTTAACACCGTTGTTAAGGACGAAGTCGCCCTTAATAGAATCATATATCTTCTTCTGAATGTCATGCATTCCTACAACTTCCAGGCGCTCAACTTTCCCGGGAAGATCGGCGACGACAATCCCCTTGCGTCGTTGAAGAATGAACGGTGCAATAATTGCACGGGCACGATTGACACGTTCCGACGCCAACGCCGCGAAATTCAGAACGTCCTTATTCTGGACCTTTGTCTCGAAGATTGTGTTCAGTGTCTCGAAGGATTTTCCTTCAAAGAGACTGGGTTCGAGAAATCGAAGGAGGCTGAGTAGCTCCTTTAGATTGTTCTGGACGGGTGTGCCGGTGAGAATCAGACGCCACTCAGCTGGAACCTGCCCCAGTTGTTTATATGATATCGTGCCCTGGTTCTTGAAGCGATGTCCTTCGTCGAAGATGGCAGTCTGAATGACGAGTTAGTCAAAATCATTATGAAGGTGATGGGGTTTACAAACGTATGGATCCGCCTCCTGCAACCATCGAATATCTTCTGGCCGTCTCTCTACCTGAGTATAGGTCGTGAGGATGACGTGGCTATTCCACGCATCCTCGATATTGCTGTCTAGGCGGTGAGAGCCCGAATAAGGGAAGACACTAATCTCAGGGGCAAACTTTTGGAATTCCGAAATCCAGTTCTCGTAGGTACTCGGCGGCACTACAACCAAGTTGGGCCAAGGATTCCGAGCGCCTTCCTCGGGTTCTAATTCGGCCAGGTGAGCGATGAATGAAATAACTTGACAGGTCTTTCCGAGGCCCATATCATCACCAAGAATACCAGAATAGCCTTTAGAATGAAGAAGACTCATCCAGTTGAGTCCCACTAGTTGGTATGGTTTCAACCGGACTGACTCATCCATGTACTCTGGCATCTCTCCAATCGGTAACTCGCCGAGTCCCTCCGTATCGGTTTTAGTTTCGCCGTTACTGTCCAGGGGCCAGGTAGACATAGCCGTCTTAATCTCGCGACCTCTCTTCTCACACTCGTCAATAACAGCCTTCGCGGCATCGCAGGCCTCCAGCCAACCCGTCAGTTTCTCGACGACATTCTCACCAACCGGGAAATATTGAAACTTCTTAGACTTCGCTTTAGACTTAGACTTAGACTTATTACCTAGGCGCGTAACTCCCTCTGCGTCTTCGATAGTCTTGAAGGGACGTGATGCGACCATAAGCTTAGCGTCGTTCGTCGAGCCAATCATTTGGCCCAAAGTCTCAACAGTACAGGTATTGAGATAATTCAACACATTCTCGATTTGCTTGCTCGGAGCCGCGGCGCTGTTATCTTCGTAGTCAGAGGTGTCATAACCGAGTTCATCCTTCATCTTCTTAGGCGTTGGAGACTTCCTCTTGCGTGGCGGAGTAGAAGACTTATTCGCTGCTGGCTTAGCCCTCTTCGCTTGCGGCAAGTCTTTGGAATCAGTTTTTCTCTTCTGAGGTTGACCCGAGCCACCTAAAATTAAAGGTAAGTCACGATCTGGAAACTTATCAATAGTTGTTGACATGGGCATACCAATTGTTCGTTGACCATTAGCTAGCGCCTTAGACGCAGCGGGGTTCTTGGTAGTGGTGCTCATTTTCGATTCCTTTGCCGGCGAACTGTCTCGTGATTGGGTGGGCGTTGTGGGTGAAGATGTTGATGAAGATGAAATAGAGAAAACTGGTGGCGGAGTAGGCGATCTTCTTCGTCCTTGCACAAGACGTCTGCGTCGAGGAGGGTTACTACTTTTATCTGTGTCGAACGAATTGATCGAACGAGCAGAAGAACCGGTTGATTTCTGTGTCTGCAAACGTTCTGTAAAAGACTGAGAAGATCTACTAGAGTTTGTAGTAGATGGGTCCTTTTTCAGAAAAGATTGCAGAGTGTTTTTGGGAGCAGACCGTCCTAATTTTGGGGAGGCAGGAGGTGACTCAACACTGCTGGAATTTTGGCGGGTGCTGTTGTTATATGGGCTAGTGGTTGGTGCATCATTTACTTTGGTAGGCGACGACAAGGTTTTAGTAGTTCTGCCTGTCAAAAGGTCTACCGCTTTTGTCACCTGCCAGCCCACGTCCTTCTGCAATGCTTCCTTGCAAGCCCGGACTGTAATCCCTGGTTTGGCCCTCTGAACAATCTTATAAACCTGACTGGTAAGTGTTCGTAATCTGATATCCCGAATATCATTGAAAGATATATCTTCGTTTGGATACCACACGTTTTTGTTCTTCGTCGGGGTACTCTTCTTCATAAAAGATGAAGGTCGTATGTCTCCCCTAACAGGCGTGCCGTCATCCGAGCTGTCATTTTTCTTATAGTCCTCTATCAGGTCATCATCTGATATCTCTAAATAGTCCCTCTTTTTAGTAGAGTTGTTGGCGCCGTATAACGTTTTCTGAACACCAGGCGGTCTAAATGTAGTTCCAGCCGGTGCCATTAACGAGCCAATTCTACTGGCTGCTCCAGACATCCTATCCGGCACTATTGAAGGTTTTGCCTGACTCTTAGACTGGAACGGCGACGAAGCAGGTACTTCAATAATAGTGTTCGGCGTACTTGGCACCAATGGGGACGATGGTAACTTTGGCGCATTTCGGTCTATTATTTGAGTAGGCTGAGTAGTCCTGCCAACGATCTGCGTCGGCTGTGTGAAATACGGCGAAGAGCACGGAACATTGTCATGTGCAAGTTCATCCACATCATCGTCATCTATCTCAATGTATGCAGCACCAGACGTCTGCTCTCGATTACCAGACAGGCCATTGCGGCCCGACCCCTTATAACCGGGCATGACAGTAGGGCCTCTACCCGAAAGTCCCATTTTTAAACGCCGGAAGTCTAAGGACTAGTTTGGAGTAGGAATAGACGGAAATCCGGAGGAATTGAGTGAAAGATTAGGACCCTTATCGCGTATTAGAATCGCCGTGAATAACTACGTGAAAAGACGAATAAATTTCGGTGAATGAGACCGCCGAATGAAGACGTAGAACCGATAAAATGAATGGCGGGGAATAGCACGGGTGAAACTCAATCGAAAGAAGAAATCGGGGTAAAATGATTAAAAAAGGACACCAGTGCAAAAGATAAAGTTACGGTTCTATCCTCTAACCTAATTTTTTTTTTCTTTTTTTTTCTTGACGTTGACGCCGCAGGGAGTAAAGTGGAAACGCGCCTTGACACGGTGGAAACTAGAACACTAGGGTATTAGGGGCGGTACCGGCGCGCTATCAGCTGACGTGGGGTTAGTTTAATTGAATGCGTACATGTATCCAGGCATTTGGGTCGTGCATTAAAAAGAAGGTATTTTAAACAATGCATATATATACAGCAGTCGCGTGCATCTGGCAACATCAAGAGTTTATAAACGAAAATTCTATCATTTTCTTTTTGTTCTGGTGAGATTGTATAAGTTATGAGGGAAAAAAGAAACTACTCACGCCTGCATACCGCCCTAGTACATCATACATAACTGGAATGCATGTACTGCGTAACGTGGATAAGGCTGTAAATTTAAACTTTAGGTACCTTTCCGCCGGGGCTGCTAGGTACAGGTAGGCACGCACCACCTTATTCAAACAATACCTTTCAACGCTTGCCAAACTACGTCAAAGCTTCTCCCAGCCTGTCATTTTTCAGTGCAATCAAAAGAACAATTTCTTTCGGAACTCTGTTCTTATTATCAATAGGTACATAGGTACTTAGCTCTGCCGTCTCTAAGCCTCATCGCCGCTTAGACCAAGCCATTAAACCGATCTTAAAACAGACGGCGAATTCACAATACGATTGATTATCGGACAAGAACCATCACTTTCATCACCCTATTATCCAATTCATAAGAATAAAGGGAAAAAACACAATGGCAACCCGTCGCATTATTTCAACCGAGAAGACCATTCTCGACAAAGATGACGACGACCTCACCACCGACCATGCCGGCCAGCCACAGTCGAGTAACACCGCGCCAGCCGTCCCTATGTGAGTGGACAATATTCCCACCGAATTCAATTCACCCGATCTAATAGCGCCACCAGGGATGTAATTCTCAAGCTTTTAGCATTTACTTTCGCCATGGTAATAGTACCAATCGGTTCCTATTTCCTAACGGTGAACACCATTTTCAAAGGTATACACCTTACACATCTTAATTACGTTCACGCATTTCGGTGACATTCCACCACCGCCTTACGTAACTACATATCTCAGACACCTCCTTCACGCCTAAACAATTTGCAAATGCGCTAACGGCACAAAACAGGAAATTCCACATATGCGGGTGGATTGGCAGCTATCATGGCTAATGTGGTGCTCATAGGTTATGTGATTGTCGCTATGAACGAAGACCAATCAGACCAACTTGCGGCTAAGAAGAAAGGCGGGAAGAAAGAGTAATCGAAAGGACTTAAGAGTCGCTTTGGAATGTTCTCTGTCGGAGATACGGGATATTGTGTATCATTACTCCGAGACGCAAAGTTTGGCCTTACTTTGAGGGAAGAGGCCAAAATGCCGTATACCAACTTATTACTCTATCTTGTCCTTTGTCAAAGGAAACCCGAGGGTCCTCTTTTTGTAAGAGTATCACTCTGAACTCGTTATTTACGGTCATGGAAATTCAGCATGCAATATCAGTCATTCGAAATTCGGTCAACTTGTGACATTTCTATTCTAATGCACGGCTACTCCTCAGAGCCATTAGACCCAAATCTTCTCGCATGTCCGGTTGTATTTCTACATACTTCCTGGGCGGGGCCACGTATATCTGCCCTTGAGGCAGATCATAAGAAAAAGGGTATTAAGGATAGGTGGTAGAATATGTGTGACCGGCAAGCTTCCATGCCCCTTTCATATATTCCGAACTTCGTCCGCAAAACCTTCCGCCGATGCTGACTCGCCCTCCCCATAATGCTGCCTTATTATCATCCATCAGAGCCGCCCCATATTCCACCAATGTGATATTGCACACGGAAACTCTGCATTGGATGCCAAGCCCCCCGAAAATGTCTCGATGCCGATCCTAGCTCATAACTTGGGTATAGACATGAGTAATTTCGTCATATCTGGTTCAATGATGATCGTCAAAACTGTCGTTTAGGATTCTGTTCCTATCGGGTATGAAATAAATAAAAAAGAAACTGAGAATGTCGGATGTCGTAGAGATAGGGGTATCTCAAGAGGTAAGGGATGAAAATAGTTTCATTGTATAACGCCTTCAATTCGATTTCATGACTTAGGATTTACTAAATCGTTTGAACCAACTCTTTCGTTTTTCTACCTTTGGTCGCTCCTCCGAGTAACCAGGTGTTACGGCTTTAGAGGGCTTCCTTAACAAAGTTCCATTCTCCTTACGAGGAACTGCTGGAGCCCCCACAGAACCGCTACCTAGGCCGAGACTCGGTGTTTGTGTTGATTGACCAAAACTAATACCATAATCATTAATAGGCTCTTGTCGTTTCGGCGGCGAGCGGCGGTCAATCGAACTATTATCGCTACTAGTCGGATCTGTTTGATATCCTGCCGGTTCGCCATAACTTCCACTGCCAGAGCCCGATCCAACCGTCTCGTATGATCGATGGTTATTCGGCATAGGGTAGACGTTTCTATCGGCTGGCCCGCGACCGTTTGTGTATGGATCGGATTGCATTCGAGAGTATCTATTTCTTGGACCACCACCACCATTGTTATTTCCGTACGGACCTCCATCAAATCCATCATAGTAACTGTCTCGTGGTCCGTTCATCATCGCCGATTGCCTAGGATCCATTATCGTACTATCTGGTCGGTATCCCATATTCGATCGGCCCCCATAGTAACTGTCTTGAGGGAAACGTGGACCATTGTCTAGTAGTCCGTGTAAGAGATTGTCTGGGTGCTTAGGGGATGGATTGTAAAGAAAGTCTTGCTCACTTCCATAGTAGCTTCCTCGTCTGCTCCAATTTGCTACTGATTCTGAATCTGATCTTATCATAGACTTGCGATTGTATCCGCCGTCAATAGCGGCTTCGAAAGCTCGGATAGTATCAAGTGGCCTTTCCATTCGACTACGAGTAGGGTTTGATCGGTCGGGGTCGGCTTGAACATAGGTCAGCACGCAAATAAAAGGGTACGAAATAATACAAAACTAACTGATAGGATTGCCGTAAACATCTTTATGTTGGAAAGAACCCAAGGGGGCCGGGTTAATGCCCCTTCTACTTTGCGCCTCCATAGCTATAATTCTATCAGTATATACGCCATTGATTGCGACCGAGCCATACATATATGTATTCTATGCTCAGAATTTATAACATACCTGGCTCTGATTCGGTTAAAGCTAACATAGGGTCAGTTTTGCCGTGAAGTCTCCTAGCTTCCTTCTCAGCAGAGGTCTCATGAAGATCGACTTTATGTTGCTGGCTGTTGGCACTTTTTTGTGATTTGTTAGATTGAAAACTGAATGCCCTCGACTTCGGTCGGTTTCGCTGCGGCGGTTGAACGGGTTGTGGCGCCGGAGCAGTTTGTTGACGTTGCAGCTGTTGCGGTGGTTGTTGCTGTTGCTGCTGCTGCTGTTGTTGTTGTTGATAATAGTGGTGTGGAGGGACGGGCGGTTGGTAGGAATCGTTATAATGTTGCGCCGGCTGCTGCTGCGGCGGTGCAGGCAACGGGTGGTTATGGCTTGCGGACGCCATTTTGTCTGGGATGAGCAAAGGGCCGTGTGTACTTTATCACCTCTAATCCCTGAAAATGACGGGCTACCGGTGGAGTGGTGGGAACTGGAGACGATGATAGAGTGGACCGAAGCTCGATTATGATATGCAAGGAAGCGATCGTGGAGAGAGTAATCTCGTAGAAACCCGACGGTCTTTGCCTTATCGTGGACGGCGTGGGTGGATTTTAGGAAAGTTCGGGCTCGTAGTTCCCTGGGTGGCTGCTGTAATGCAAGTGAGTTACTTTGAGTTACTTTGAGTACTTTGCGATAAGAGCAGCGACCCTTGCAGAGCAATACACTAAAGTACGGTGGCTTCGGGCGGGAATTCCTCCCCGGGTATCTCAATTCTCAAAGAAAGCCTTTCTCATTCAAAGACCAAAAAATAATCAACACTGTGCTGGGAATATGTAAGACGATCGGCTGGTACCCGGAAGTGTTAGTCCGGAAATTTGATACCACGAGTATGGTCGTCGTGAATTTATCACAATTATAAAAATTGATGATCGCGTTGCAATTTTTCTATATGCGCAATTTTTGTTGCGAACGAGTGTGCGTGATGTGCCGTACTACCTCCGTACGACTTGTTGGGTCGTGGTGGTCGTGGTATGTAAAATCATATGGTGGTTGCTATTTTCTTTCAGGGCAAGTTGGCGGGTTGCTGGGGATCGGCCGGTCAGTCGGTGGATTAGGTACAACCAAGGACTTATTTAGGTAGTCGTCTCAGAATGGGCCAAATCCAAGGAAATGTGGTTTCGCGCGGCCGGGATTGCGGTCAGGGACAAGGGAACAAGGGAACAAGGGCGCTTCCTACACTAGAAAGTGCCAGCAGTTACGTTGCCTTGCCAGTTCTTTTGGTTCTTCTGTCCCGTCTGCAAAGAGATCCAATTAAATAAGGATCAGAACGAACAACCACCTCCAATCAAATTTACTCGTTGTCGAATGTCGTATCGCATACAAGAAAATACGTACTAGCTCTTTGTGTCGGTAAGTAACTTTTTTTTAATTTTTCTTCTTCTTTCTTTCCTGCTTCACTAATAACTTTTTTTTCTCTTCCTCCTTGGGGTGGCACGACGACTTTGTCACTAACTGCCCAGGTGGACTAGTTAAATGACTGGCCGATCAACTGATTGGTCCAACGTTTGATTGATATTCTTAAATCTAACGATTCGGTTTGTTCTTGGAGAATTGAGTTTGTACCGTTGGGCTGAGCTGAAAGTAAATCGGATCAGATTAACCGTTTTGACTCCTTAAGGTTGAAACTGTGCATGCTCGGCTCACGGCTTACACGTACGACTGAGGCTGGTATGATAGTTTGGTGACGTCAATTTTTGATTTCCCGCCGCTCGTCGTTTCTTAAAATGATGATTTGTTTCAAGAAGTCGTAGGGATTCTTTCTACCCTTGCCATGCCTTTCCTCTCTTCGACCAGGGGATGAAGCAGTAAAGTGGTCAGTGGACCGAGGGGAGACCGTTGTCAGGTTCGAATAAAACGACACTATGAATTGACTTGTTCCAGCTTGAGCTTTGTGAGCTCCTAGTTGAGGTGAATCGCCGATTGGATGTTATACTCGAATATCAGTGGAATTTAGATAGGTACTAGTTGTACCTGGTACTTCGAAAGACAGGCAAACGGAATTTAGTCTCGGGCTAGGATGATCGATTTGCTTATTAAGCGAGCGAGTATAAAAAGTGAGTGAAATGGGGAAAATAACGAGTAGGAGAATTACAACGACCGGATAGGGTATTAAGAAAGAGTAAAACGAAGAAGAAAAAAGGAAGCGAGTAGGTAGGTCAATGTAAGAAGGGTAATAATCGCATTAAACCACCTCGAAGTTGAACCGATCTCGTCCCAGACTTACCGGATCTTCCAAATTCTTTGATGCCCTCTTTTGATATGAACTTGAAAGAGGCAAAGATGCATGTCAGCTTGTGTGGCCTGACAAGGGGTGACGAATTGTATGGTAGTACAAGTACGTACTCGAGTACTTTCCGTACATACATGGATTTCGTGCGTCGGGTGTGTACCTTCTTGGTAGCTCACGTACCCAGTTGTATCTTGCACTCTCGTATCGATAGTCGGCTGCAACAGGGATTATGGCTGGGCAGATATCATCTACAAGCATTGTTCAGCCAACCCCGTCCATTCATGGGAAGTATCTCTCGCTTCCTGCAACGTAATTGTGGCTTCGATATTTTTATTATTTATTTACACGTAGACAGCATTCAAGAATTCCATCATCTTTAATAGGATCGTCATCGCTATTTTTCATATACAAGAAACCCAATTGTCTATTTAGGTGCGATATTCAATACATCCTGGCGGTGTATAGAATACATTGATATCTTTTGTTGCCATAACAGGTCTCAATGATACATGATCGGGTATGTATCTTTACCCCTTTCTTAACAATGTAGATATACACTTTTTATGTACTTACGACTTTTGTAAACGCAAGAGCGGGTCTTTCCTTAAAATTCAATCTAGGCAGGCACCTAAGAAGCTATAAATCCCCTAGCCAACACATTAAACAACGCCAAAGAGCTCGCAGCAGGAGAGCTCCAGCTTCCAAGTTGAGCGCTAAATCCAGAAGGTCCAGCATACTTTAAACTGTAGCCTTGCCGGGATCGACCGATCTTTCAACTGTCCTTTGCCTAAAAGCGGAGGTGGGGAAATTTAGCACAGCCCCCATTGAATCATCACCATGGAGAAAAAAAATACGAATTTGCGATCCCATCCACACGTGTCAAAGAGTGTTGAAACTTCCAATACCCTTACAGGACAGTCTTTTTCAAAATACGGAAAGACCCCCTACATATCTAGCGTGATCCGATTGAATATTCCTACCTACCATCCATTCCAATTCTTAATTTATTAGGTGGGGGATTCGCTATTCTTTGTAAAACTTATAACTTTTCAACGAGTATCATAGCAAACTAGGAATATTCAATCATTCAAAGTCGGTTTCGGCGCCGAGATGAGAAAATCGCTGGCTTAGTATACCTATTCGTCTATATCGCGTATAGGCCCCGTACAAAGACTCAACAATCCCCAACTGCAGTTGTTGAAGTCTCGGTCTAGAACTTCTTGAGAGGATTACGAATTGATACCATCAACGACCTGTCATCGTTCCCGGACGGGTTTGGTGGTACCCACTACTACGCAGAGATCATCGACAGGGCTAAAAAACAATGCATGGCACTTACATATCGCCAAGCTGCACTTGCGGGAATATACACACCAGTATTTATTGTCCTATGGACACAGTCAGAACGAGCTCGTACCTGAACGTCCATATACATACTACTAATCTAGGGTGAAACGGTCTCTCGAGTTGAAGATCGTATTTGTGCAATTTTTGACACAGATAGTGGTTGATGGCACAATTCCACCGGCTTGCTTGACATCCACTTACCTACCATATGCATCCATGGATGTAAAAACGACCAATCGCCGTCGAGATATCATCTGGGTTGGGATGGAACCAAACTTTGAATGCAGGCGTCTGCTACTACTGCATACCTGTATCGAGTTTGCATAGTAGCCCGCTTAGTAGGTAGCATGCACATCCGTCCCTCCCGAATATCTCTTTGTTCTCAGAGGTTCCTATCGAACGGGTTCGAGTCCGCTTCTACCATGTTAGCTACCCATGCATATCGGAAGTTCGAATACGATCACGATCTTAGTCATGAACCACAGAACAGCTTACTTAGAGGCGAGACTATGGCATATTGACTAGGATATATACGAAAAGTTCTCATAACAGGCTACTCCGTACCGCAAATTCTCGACGGGTAGAGGGCTATTATTTGCGATACACAACATGAACTATTCACCCACCTTAAGTTGGTGCTCAGTTTTGATAGACAAAAATTGATATGCAGCCCTGTCTTGCAATTCTTGGAAGAAAACACACTACCGACACAAGTGGCGGTAGATTGTAAGTATCGGCCGCGCGGCGACCCCTAATACGACACTGCCCGACTTTCCTAGCACACCCACAACACCGACCGATTTTCGCCTTGATAGATAAAAAAGAACTAGCAGCGCCCACATGCGAGACAACCAAAAGAGGATATGCAACAATCTCCAGCTATTTAAAGCCACCACTCAACCCTCCTAGTTCGATTCACAAATCCAGTTTCCAGTCCACACTAACGCGACAGATCATTTATCTAACCTGTCTTGAGGAATTGACTTCGACTACGTGTATGTAGGATATGTAGCTTCAGACCCTATCGCCCCGGCATGTGCAGTGATGATCTTGCAGCCGAACAAGCCGTCCCTCCATGCGGCGGCTAAACGATAAGAAAAGGAGGTATGCTATTCGTTTATATGATTGGTTAGCCGTCGAATACGGAGTGTCTCCCGCTTCTTCATATCAACATGCTTGAGTGGTGACCTTATCATGTGGCCTTGACCAATACAGCTGTAATTGATGGATTCCATTGTGGGAATATGTCCATTTGTTGCAGGTTGCCTGATTAATATAAGTTTTTGCCCTGTAAATCAAGGCTAGGAATTGTGCTACATGATTTAGTAGTTGCGTTCTTATCGTTAGTGGAGGTGGAACCTGTATAACCAATCCACCACCTGAGGCGCTGCAACACTGGGACCCGTAGGCACCTATTCCGATAGGAAGATAGAAAATTATATGTGCTAGCCAATTTACAGTATTTATAATTATATTCGGAATACAGTATGGCCAATCATCAAGTACTCATCATTTATATCAACGACTCATAAACATACTTTTATTCATATCTTATCCGGATGAATACCCACGAAGTGAATGGAGATGTCAATAAATAGGTCATTAGTCAAGATGTCTATCCTGACCTTCTGAGAATTTGACCGTCAGTGAATACACTGCATTAACCACCCAAATTTATATCTACGACCAAGAGAACCGACGAAGGAATCCAGTAGTCTTGACACATTCTAGAATACCTAGGTATGTAGGTATAAATCAATACGCGTACCTCGTCACACCCCAAACCTCCAAAGGAAGCGTCTCGGACACGAAACCGCAAGAACCACCCACCCGCGCCACCGAAGCTCCGGACCCGGTGCGACGGGTAGCTACATCTGCCCATCGATCCTTCCCATCCTTCCACCTACCGCATTCTTATCTCGAACGCCCCGCTGCAGGTATCCAGACCCCGTGGTGCGGCAGCTACCCGAGCCTACCGTCGGGAAATTTTAATCCTGACAACGCGTCGCCCCTGCCCCCAATATGCCTACATTTTCTCAGTGGCTAGAAGTCCTATATCATATTGCTTCGTACAACTCTCATGGAGTTCGGATAAATCTGACCCGTCTGGAGTAGGTTGATCAACATCGGGCACAACAGGCAGCCACGCTATGAGAGATACTAAGAACCGTTTTCGTACCGTTTCTGTGAACCCCCAATCTGCTGGACCTATCGCCTGCGTATTACCCTCGTATAAGAATTGTAACTTGACATATCGCAAGGACGCCGGTTTCTTCCCGAGCTAGGCTAGCATCGCCCGTATCTATGCATTATTAGCTAAGATTCGCAAACACTTTCGTGGTTATGTTCGAGAAGTGAGATTCCTAGATCTAGCAAGTAACAGGCATAGATTGTACAGAATCGTTTCACATATTTTATTTCGTTTTATGTCGGTCTACGTCACTCTCGGAATCGTTATAGGAATCGAATATAGAATAACGCCTGTACCTAGTGTTGGGTATGCCACTGGTTTTTTCCTATGCTCTGGTTCACTCTAAGACCATTATGATGCAACCGTATTTCTGTGTTCTTTCAGATATCGTTAGGTAACCGCAGAAAAGTTGGAGAACTATTTTCTCGTGTTCTGGCATCAATGGATCGAGATATCGTTCCCTCGTCAAGCGAGAATCAGCACGGAACTAGCATTTCACAAAGACAATCCGAATATCTTTGGTATTCTTCCTTGATTTTGTCGATGCTAGACGCAAGGCTGAAGCCTTATACCTTGCCTAACCCAGATGCAGCCAATCATGAGAACCGTTCCCCACTACCAACTCCGGCCCAAAACCTTCTTATATCGACGAAGGGTAGAGCATGATACGAACAGAAGCACCGAAAGACTTGGAGGGAAGGGGAGTGGCGAACTTGGCTCGGACGACGCCGGAGTTGCCTGTAGATAAAGCGGTCAGCTGGCTATTCCCTTAGACGCCTTAAACGATATAGATAAGAAGCATACCGTGCGGTCGAGTGACCTTGCCCCAGATTACGCGAATCTTGGTTCCTCGGATCTCCTTCTGGCCCTTGTAGACGTACGCGACCTTCTTGCCGAGGTAGAAGCTACACCGATAATTGTTAGATTCGATTCCAATTGAAATAATCGTTCCCACAACATACCTGGCAGCGTTGGTGTCATCGACGCCCTCAATCTTGATCAAACTCGTCTTGGGGTGGGTGGTGTGTCGGCTACGTTGGTAGCTTAGGTGACGTCCCCTACAATTCAAATCCAGTCAGTCCAAGCATTCTTTCCAAATATAAACGAATCGCGCGATAAAATAATTATCTCCGATGGTTTGGTAGTGAAGTTCGTGAGGCCGGAGAGGCTTCGGCAGTGGTCGCGAAGGAGTCGGTGAATGGTTTTCGTAGTTTGTAGGTTACTCACTTGACGTATACTGCAGGCAAGACAATTAGTAAAAATTCGTAGATAGAAATATTAATTGCTTCTGGGAATAATGAAGACGAGCGGGCGCAAGCTAGGAATGCGATGTGTAACGCGACGGCGATCCCGCTTCATTAATCCATTGAAACCCATATGAAATACTTACATCTGTGACCTGCTTCGGAAGGCATCTTGACTGAATTTATCCCACTACTCTCAGAAATCCAACTTGGTACTGGAATCCGGGAGAAGTCTTTCGCGATAAAAGACCTTTGTGCGTTGGGCGTGTTTCTGTCGTCGGTTGTTGTGATGGCCAAATCTTTAGGTGGGTTAGACTTGACGATAGAGGATGGTTGGAGTGAGGGTGGATTGGTGTGAAAATGCTAAGCGAGCCCTTGTGCACGTTCACAGAAAAAAACAATTTTTTAGAGTTTGGTGGGGTGGCTGAAGAGACAGTTTGGCATTAAAGCCACATGGTCTGTGGTTCATTCGTTGATTTGGTTTACCCCACTTCTAAATCTGATATCTGACCGAGGAATATCCGTATTGATAAGAAGATAAGCACACGCGTTCCCGCCTTTTTCGTTCTCAATCCATTAAACTTGAGCGAGTGACGTATTGATTGATAGATGGATCTGATAATAAACAATTGAAAAATCACCGAGCATATTTCCCACGATCATGTATTATCACCAATTCTACGGCACTCCCAGCATTCAAGGCTCTTCCACGTATCTCAATTTCGATACATCTCGATTTCAGTTTGGCTTCCATGAGATTGTTCCGGTCTTCCCGCATTGGATTACAAACCAATGTTGCGTGTGACACGATATTCTCTTACAGTTTTCTGAGGCTAATAGCACGGGGCATATTTATACTAAAGCGGCACCTGAAGTGGAGAAGATTAAGTCCGATTCTAATTGACGCTCCGAGGCGTATTTTTATCTCCATATCCTATAAGTCCCAGGTACTAATTGAACTCCCACAGTACATCTATGGCTTTCCAAACATGTCCATATATCTAACTCCGATCAAAAGAACAACGGCACATTGGGGGGCAGTATCCATTGTCGATCCCTTGCAATAGGCTTGGTATTTAACACACCGCTATCAGCCCTCATTTAGCCATCGGTCTTCGCTTCAGCTCGAGTCAACGGGTAAGGCTTGAGGATATAGAAGTATAAATTTGGCAAAACATCAAAATAGAATGTGGGCGGTAGGATGTGAGTATAAGTGCTATTTATTTTGTCCCCCCACCCCGAATCCCGAGAAAGAAAAGCATTAGCGACATCAACCTAAATGTATACAAATTATTGGAATACATCCTTTCATCTTGGTTTCTAATATGTATTCATTACGGCGAATCAACCCGGAGAGGCGTATGCCACGGCGTGCCTACTGTGTGACGAGAGCGGCGCGGGGTGTCTCGTTTTCTGTCTCATTACTAGTCAATCAATAATCCCTCAAGCATCTAAGTGGGTGTGGCCAACTGCAAGAGACTCGGTCTACAACCATCCTGTTGCAACCACATCTGGGGCGCGTTATTCATGTCGTTTATTCCATGTTGTGGTCGCTTATTATAAGAACTTGAAGAAAAGGAAGATTTAATAGTTGAGTATCCGATCTCTCCGGGAGAGGGGAATAAATATCTGCCGTTAATCGGGCTTGATGTTTCTGAGCGAGGAGGAAGATCTACCCGAATCCTCAAAGCCAAGATAAATCCCACTACCTAAGTTAGGTACCTAGCTAGGCACGGGTCTCAACAAGAGGCGTTCGCTCGCTCGCTCACTCATTCGCCCGACCGGTGACCGTGTCCAGCTGGACCCTTGAGCGTTTCTAACAAATATACTATTGGAATTGAAATTACCCCGCGGTCGGCGTATGGTCGATTAGATCTCCGCCAATAATTTTATTTGTCTGTCACCAATAAGCAAGCCTTTTGACAATTGCTCAAGTAGCTTCGAGGTTGGAAGGTCGAAGCCGCCGCAAGGGATGGATCTGAGTAAGCTCCCCCACTGAAGATACTAATATGTAATGCTTGGGGAGCAAATTCATCCAGCATCCTCTTTTAAAAGTACGGTCGCTGCGAGTTCTTATTAAGCATTTCCCTTTTCCATCTTGAATCTTGATTGGTCATACATAGAGCCAGCAAGGTATCAAAGTCATTACTGACATACAAACAATGAATAGAGAGGTAATACATACGTCAGTGTCGGGGTTAGAGTATTTTGTTTAACATGCGCCTCATGTATGAATAGAGGTGCCACAGAGAGGAAAAGTCGAAGTATGATAAACGACTTATCCGAGAGTTTTGCTTTAGTCAACGCAAGCAGTACGGCAAGATGCACAGTATCCATCTTCTCGGTGTATTAAATATCAATTAATTATAGCGAATATTTAAGAGTTAAGGCATTTAAGTTTGCCATAAGAGGGGAGAAATGGGAACGGATAGAAGCAGCTAGCTACATCATTAATACCTAAAAGAGTCTAGACCCTCTATTTAAGAGTCCTTGACTGTGGAAATAACGTTACGTATCTCTGATTACATATCAAATGGGAAGTTCTTACCCACCTCGGTGCCATATAATAGTACAAAATCTCAGATGGATCGGTCTTAACACAACTGAAAGTGCCTAGTAACCTAGCAACCTAGCAACCTAGCAACCTAGCACACCTAGCATCCAAACAGCACCAAGCCCAGGGAAGGTACATAACTAAAACCCAGGGCATCTTGCGTCTCCTCCGTCACTCCCGTCAGCTCCATCCGCCCAAACCCCCCAACCCAAACTTCTGCCAACGTCCTAATCCTCCGCCTACACTCGGTCCCTTTCATATTCATATCGTGTCCCAAGTAAAAAAAACCTCCTATTTCTCTTCTTATTTTATACCTATCTATTATTTTATCTCCACCTGTAGGAGACACCAGACCAACAGATACAATGGATTCCTCTGCAGCGAGGTAAGCTCCCATTTACCCCGCGCCCGCCCCGCCATTCCGAAATCGTCATCTGCGAATTTCAAGATCGCGCGCTTTTAGAGCTCTCGCCTCGGCTTGTTGTGTAGCTCCGCCTCTTGTTTGCAGTATACGATATTTTAAGGGCTGCAATTGTAAAGATATCACACAGGTTCAATATGCTAATCAATCTACTTTTTCTAGTACCTTGGAGCTCAAGGACAACACGGTCATCGTGGTCCTCGGTGCTTCGGGAGATCTTGCGAAGAAGAAGACGGTATGCGATTCTCATTTGTTTGGTTACTTCACAACATCTATAACTAACAAATATTCTTATAGTTCCCTGCCCTCTTTGGTCTCGTAAGTATCCGCGACGGACCCGACCGGTCTACCTTGACGGATTAATAACTAACGCACTCGAAAGTACCGCAACCAATTCCTACCTAGAGATGTTAAGATCGTCGGATATGCACGAACAAAAATGGACCACGACGAGTATCTCAAGAGGGTGAAATCTTACATCAAGACTCCGACCAAGGATTTGGAAAAACAACTAGCCGAATTCACGGAACATTGCAGCTATGTATCCGGCCAATATGATCAGGATGAATCTTTCTTGAATCTCAACGCACACCTCGAGAAGCTAGAGGATGGCCGCCACGAAACCCACCGTCTGTTCTACATGGCGCTACCCCCCAGCGTCTTCACTATTGTCTCGCAACATCTTAAGAGATGTTGCTACCCTACTAAGGGAATTGCGCGAGTTATTGTAAGAGCACATCTGAAGCTAAAGGTTAAAAGTATGGCATTTTAATTTTAAATATCATTTATATATAGGTTGAGAAGCCGTTCGGAAAGGATCTAGCCAGCTCGCGTGAGTTACAAAAGTCGCTGGAGCCCGACTGGAAGGAGGATGAGCTCTTCCGTATCGACCACTACCTCGGAAAGGAGATGGTGAAGAACATTCTCATTCTTCGTTTTGGTAACGAGTTCTTTGGCGCTACCTGGAACCGCCACCACATCGACAATGTTCAGATTACTTTTAAGGAGCCGTTTGGTACCGAGGGCCGAGGTGGATACTTTGATGAGTTTGGCATTATTCGAGACGTTATGCAAAACCACTTGCTCCAGGTTTTGACGCTCCTCGCTATGGAGCGACCCATCTCTTTCTCGGCAGAGGATATCCGCGATGAGAAGGTCCGAGTGCTGCGAGGTATTCCTGCAATTGAGCCAAAGAACGTCATCATTGGCCAATACGGAAAGTCTCTCGATGGCAGTAAGCCCTCATACAAGGAGGATGACACCGTCCCCAAGGACTCGCGCTGCCCAACTTTCTGCGCTTTAGTAGCTTACATCAAGAACGAGAGATGGGATGGCGTTCCATTTATCATGAAGGCCGGAAAGGCCTTGAACGAACAAAAGACCGAGATCCGTATCCAGTTTAAAGACGTTACTAGCGGAATCTTTAAGGATATTCCTCGAAATGAGCTTGTTATGCGTATCCAACCCAACGAGAGTGTCTATATCAAGATGAACTCCAAGCTTCCTGGATTAAGCATGCAAACAGTCGTTACAGAGCTTGACTTGACGTACCGAAGACGGTTCTCCGACCTTAAGATCCCCGAGGCGTACGAATCACTTATCTTGGACGCCCTCAAGGGTGACCACTCTAACTTTGTGCGAGATGATGAACTGGATGCTAGCTGGAGGATTTTCACTCCTCTATTGCATTATCTGGACGATAACAAGGAAATCGTCCCAATGGAGTACCCCTATGGTAAGTGAACAAGTCAAGATTTGCCTGACTGAATCTATGCTAACCAATCTCGTAGGTTCCCGAGGGCCGGCGGTACTTGACGACTTCACATCTTCGTACGGATATAAATTTAGCGACGCCGCGGGTTACCAATGGCCGATGACATCTGCCGCACCTCCTAACAAGTTGTAAGTAGATATCAAATCAGCATAGTGTTTCAGCGATAGATTTCAGGCAGCCTCGATAGATTCCCATAGGGTAATCACTGATTTCTCTCCCCAACAGTTGAAGTGGTATTGAACCAACGATAGCTGTCAACATGCGTGAACATGCTTAGAGTAACGACTCGGGGCACCAAAAAATGCCTGTCCCGGCTAATGGAACAAAGAAAACATGATCTCATTTTTCTCTCGAGTGTTCATTGTTGGGATTTCGGGCTAGGGGCGCAGGAAGACTGATGAAGTTCTGTCACTTAATCATGATAGAAAAAGCAATGCTATTCATTTGAACTGGGAAAACGTAAATTTTGAGATGTGGTTGCTGATAAGCAACGAGAGACTGTGTCTTTATTAAATGATGGGCGAATGGATCAAGCCGTATTCGCAATCAGTATCCAATAGGGTAGGATCTCGCGCGGTGGGCGTAATTGCGGGGGCCTTATATTGAATATCCCGATCTAAGGCGGATATCGTTCCGAGGTTTTCAAACCCTTCTAGTCGAAGCTGACGAGAAATTATCGGGAGAGAAAAGAAAAATATCGCATCGCGTATTGATTTCTACACATGATCGTCTTGCTCATGTTGATATGAAGCGGTTATCTTTACGACGCTATACTATACCTATGGTTCCGCCAGCCTAGACCCCCCGAAAATCATCTACCCCTGAAGCTAAGTGGGTTGCACGTGTGAAATGCCAAGCCTGAATACGCCGTATCCAAGATGCAGTGTACGGAAAATGCATCACATCGGCGATTTAATGACATGACTAGATACAGGATGAATCAAATTTTGGGAAATTGATCAAGTGAGCGGCATTTAAAAATTAATCAAGTATATTGATGCGACTTTGAATGTGAAATGCAACTATTAATGGTGATGACTAGATATTTGACTCACTACCTAGGTATGTAAGCACTGAGGTATGTACTACGGCGTCGCATTTATACCTGGTTCGGCTAGGTAGTCCAGAGATCCTTCGATGACGCGCTTTAGATCATATGGCTCTAGCCTTTTATAGTTGTTTTCTATAGACTATATACTTCTATTATGGTAACTTGGTCGGATTGAACCGAACTATAATTGGTCATGTAGGGCTATAACGGAACGGTTCCGCCCGTGGTTCATCGCTGGCAGGTGCCATAACGTTGGAGCTTAGGGGTGACTGAAGTCTATTTATCCCCTATTCCACATGCTATCCACATGGATGTGTATTCTGAAACAAAGTCACTATCACCGACAAGTATCACCCCTAAGAGGAAGTGCCGCTAAGTTATATGAAAGGAATTAAAAGGGATATTAGATACTGTGGCTGAGTTAATCTACGCGTGTTCGAAATATTTGATACTTTACATAATAGAGTTGTCATTTAACTTGACTAAAGCGATCACCCATGGGGACTTGATGCTCTATTTCTCGCTACCATCGATGAGTCTTCTCCTACTAGTAGGGTAGCAGGGTAGCAGTGCTAAGGGGTCTTGGGAGCTAGCCAAGCCCGGGATGACGGACCCTTGGATCACCCCGAGCTACCTAACTAGCCCATGAAACGTGCGTCTTTCGCCCGCCTGTCGTATTCGAAATTTTATACGGAAGGATGATGATTGGTTCTAGATTTTCGGTTAGATCTTGATAGCTTATAGCTCACGTACCGGGAAGGTAAATTTGACGATGCATGGGGGGACATGGGGGGAGGCTGATCATTAGATTCGCCTAGAAAAAAAATAAATCCATACCTGACACTGATAGAACATGGTAGGGGTTGAAGAGGTCAATCTTTGCATGATGACATGACTGCATTACCTACTATTCTCGCTCGTACTTCTTTTTACGAATCAACACACATTTTAACCTTCTATGTCGAAGTGTAGTTGACCAAGGCTGCCATTTAACTGTTGTATAAATCAACGTTAACTTGGCTGCCTGGTTTCATCTCGGCTGGGTTTCGTTAGCAGTTCCCTTGGCGCACGTCCTCTCTAGGCCCCCATATTTTCTCATCTGCTCTTATACCTAGGGGTAAGCCACTATCTAACTGTCAGATATCGCGACTATTGCATAGTAGGTATCTAGTCAACTCAACTACCTACATGGCAGAATGGAACCAGAGTCGATAAACCCAAAAGAGACGGCGGATGTCCTTGACGAAAAGGCACCGCCGACTACCGCGCCGAGTAGTAATGCGACAACTGAGGAAGAGAAGGCTCGACGCGATGCTAAACTTCGACCTGAAAGGGAGGCGAATTTCAGTGACTATGTGGTTAGTATTTCATTGCGCAACTGAGCCCAATTCCTAGGAATGCTGACGTTGTAAAGAGGATTTTCAAATATGCCAAATTCTGGGATATCGTCCTTATGCTTGCTGCAGCAGTAGCGGCTGCAGGATCTGGTATCGTATGTATAAGCCTTATAACTGAATTTTAGGATGTTCAAGTAAACTGATAGTTTTGTCTCCAAAGACTCTTCCGTTGATGAACATTGTATTCGGTAAGACTTCTCTCAGACGATTGCTGCAGACTCGCTTTATGTGCTTATCAGTCTAATAGGTAAATTGGTCGGCGACTTCAATGGCTACTTTCTTCCCCAACCTACGCAGTCCGAAGCCGATTTCAGGACCTCTCTTAACAGGAATGCGTGAGTATAGGCCAAGATACCTTTGGTTGATTTCTGCTGTCTATTGACACTTGACGTGCTAGATTATACATCTTCCTTTTGTTTGTTGGAAGATTCACCCTGACTTACATTAACAAGGTACCGTGATGGATTGCCCCCTAATGTTTTAGAACGTTGCTCACGATGATAGTTTGCTTATCGGTTGATTGGTATTCGGATGTCCGCTGCGATCAGACTCGATTACCTGCGCCACCTGTTCAGTCAAACGATTCACGTCCTCGACTCAATGCCTCCTGGTTCTGCAGCGGGGACGATTACAACCACAGCGAATACCTTGCAGTTGGGAATTTCGGAAAAACTGGGCACTTTCGTCGAGTTCATGGTAACAATTATCGCCGCCACTATCATCGCTTTCGTCTACAGCTGGTCCTTAACTCTAGTAACGTGCTCCGTTCTCGTCTTTATTACGCTCACTGTCGGCACGATCGTCCCGTTTTACTTCAAAGGCACGACACGAGTGACCAAAGCCGAGACGAAAGCATCTTCAGTAGCCAGCGAGGCATTCTCGGCTATTCGCATGGTAGTCGCCTGTGGCGCCGAAGCCCAAGTAACCAAACGCTTTGCCGTCTGGGCGCAACAGGCGAAGAAACATGGCCAGAGAACATCCCCCCTATTGGCCTTGCAATTTAGTCTGGTATTCTTCGCGGTGACATGCGCGTTCGCCCTTTCCTTCTGGTATGGCGCGAAATCGTTTATTGAGGGCCGCCTCAACGATGTCAGCACTGTTATCATCGTGCTCATGTCCGTTATGATGATGGTATTTTCCCTCGAGCGGATATCCACGCCCCTTATCGCGCTTGGAAAGGCGACGGTCGCCGCTTGCGAGTTCTTCACCGTTATCGATGCCCCGCGACCCGAACCTGGAACGCTTAAGGATCCCGAAGTTTCCGCGAGTAATGATATTGTGTTTAAGGACGTTGATTTCGCGTACCCGAGTCGGCCGCATGTTAAGGTGTTGGATCAACTTAATCTCACCATCGAGGCTGGTAAACTTACAGCTATTGTTGGGCCTTCGGGATCGGGAAAGAGTACGATTATTGGTTTGATCGAACGATGGTATACTTTGCGTGACCAATACATCATTGCGAAGGCTACCGAAAAGGACAAGGATGGAAAGAAGGGCAAGGATAAAAAGAAAAGCGACGATGACTCGGACGGTGAAGCCCCAGCCCCCGAACCTGAAGAAACTGGTCCAGCCGTGGAGTTGAAGGGATCTATTTCTACCTGCGGGCACGAACTAGACGAGATCAACGTAAAATGGTGGCGTTCCCAGATCGGAATTGTACAACAGGAGCCATTTTTGTTCAATGACTCGATTTACAAGAACGTCGCACACGGACTGATAGGTTCAGAGCTTGAAAATGAATCTGAAGAACGAAAAAAGGAGCTGGTTATCGAGGCTTGCCAAGAAGCTTTTGCGGACGAATTTATCGATCGACTCCCGGATGGATATGACACCCTTGTAGGAGAAAATGGTTTAAAGCTTTCTGGAGGACAGCGTCAACGAATTTGCATCGCTCGAGCGGTTATTAAGAGACCTAAGATCCTTATCCTCGACGAAGCTACCTCCGCGATCGATGTCCGAGGTGAACGCATTGTACAGGCCGCGCTCGACAAGGTATCCCAAAACCGAACCACAATTACCATCGCTCACCGACTCTCAACAATTAAAAAGGCAGACACTATTGTGGTCCTGAAGAAGGGCAGTGTTGCTGAAAAGGGAACTCACGACTCCCTTTTGCAGAATGAGAACGGTGTTTACTATGGTCTCGTCCATGCTCAACAACTCTCACTTGGGGAGCCTGATGATGCCGATGACACTGACAAGCCAGAAGAAGAAGATCTTAGCGCGATTCTTAGCCGTGAAAAGAGCGCGGCGTTCTCTGACACTACAGAGACGCCAACGGCGGCTGGGTGGAAAAACCGAGGTATTCTTGGAAGTTTCGGAAGGTTACTGTACGAAGAACGATCTCGCTTCCCTATTTACGGTATTATAGTCGTGGCTGCTATGTGTACAGGAGGTAAGTGACCCCGTGAAGTTCGTAATAACTTGGACATCGCTGACTAGTGATACCAGCTGCCACCCCAGTCCAAGCGTATCTTTTCGGAAAGATCATCATCGTCTTCGCCTACGTCGATGATCTAGCTAAAATGCAATCTGAAGCCAACTTTTGGTCCTTGATGTGGTTCATCCTCGCCATCGCTACAGGTCTTTCGTATTTCGTCGTCGGAATGGTATCAAACAATCTGGCTCACGTAGGTATCCCATTACCGTACACAGATCTGTGCTAACTCTCACAACAAAGCACATCTCCGCGGAATATCGGCAGCAGTACTTCGAAAACATACTCTACCAAAAGACTTCCTTCTTCGACGAACAAGAAAATTCAACAGGTTCGCTAACAGCTCGAGTCGGTAGCGATCCGAAACAATTGGAGGAAATGCTTGGTTTCAACATGGCTATGGTTTATAATTCGTACGGACCCCACGTCGATATATGACACCTTTATGTCGAGGCTAATTCTGATCTTGTAGGTTCTTCACTCTTATCGGCTGCTTGATCATAGCTTTTGTTTTCGGATGGAAGCTTGCCCTCGTCGCTACATGCGTCACGGTTCCCCTTGGACTCGCAGGCGGCTACCTTCGCGTCCAATACGAACTAGAATTCGAAAAACTATACGCAGAGGTCTTCGCCGAGTCGTCCAAATTCGCCGCCGAAGCTATCTCAGCCTTCCGCACCGTCTCCTCGCTTACTCTCGAAGACGCCATTTGCGACCGTTACCAAGGTTTACTCAACCACCACGTCGTAACGGCGTTCAAGAAAGCAAGATTAAGAACCCTGGTATTTGCCTTCTCCGATAGTGTCAGTTTAGGCTGCCAGGCCCTTATCTTCTGGTACGGCGGTACGCTTCTCGCTTCGCGAGAGTACAACGGTTTGAATTTCTTCATCTGCTACATGGCTGGTACGTTCCCACGAAATATCCCCTTATCGAGACTTTTTACTAACATATCTCCGTGACAGTAATCCAAGGCGCCGAATCCGCCGGCCAAGGCTTCAGCTTCGGCCCCAACGCAGCGCAAGCCTCCGCCGCCGCAAACCGCATCCTCAGTATCCGCGAGTCGCGTAACAAAGACCTAAGCGACGAAAAGTCTAAAATCCCCGATTCAGAAGGCGGTATCAAGATCGAGCTCAAGGACGTACACTTCAAGTATCCGTCGCGCAACGTGTCCATCTTCAAGGGCCTCAACATCACCATCGAAAAAGGGCAATTCGCGGCTCTGGTCGGCGCTTCGGGGTGTGGAAAGACGAGTATTATTTCCTTGCTGGAGCGCTTTTATGATATCCAGCGTGGTCAGATACTGGCTAATGGAATGGATATCGCGGATGTGAATGTGTATTCGTATCGAAGACACTTATCCCTCGTTGCGCAGGAACCGACTTTGTTCCAGGGTACGCTGCGTGAGAATATATTGCTGGGTGTTGAGGGTACTGGTGTGACGGAGGAGGAGTTACATGCGGCGTGTCGCGATGCTAGTATTCATGACTTTATCGTGTCGTTACCTGAGGGGTACGATACCGAGGTTGGTAGCCGTGGTGTCTCGTTATCGGGAGGTCAGAAACAGCGTGTGGCTATTGCCCGCGCGCTTATCCGTCATCCCGATATCTTGTTGCTTGATGAGGCGACCAGTAGTCTTGACTCCGAGAGCGAAAAGCTTGTTCAGAAGGCCTTCGAGAGGGCTGCTGCGGGCCGCACTATGGTCGTGGTGGCGCATCGTCTTGCTACTGTGCAGAATGCCGACGTCATTTTTGTGCTAGGTGAGGGCAAGGTATTAGAGAAGGGGTCGCATGCTGAGTTGCTGCGGAAGAGGGGTGTCTATTGGAATATGGTGAGTATTTCTCGTTTCAAAGCATTCATGGTTGCGGCTACTAATTTGTCTCATTTCTACAGTGCCAAAGTCAGGCTCTTGATAGGTAAGAGAGCTGCTATAAAGGCATGCATACCGGTGTGTTTGGCATATAGAGTGGCTGTGGTAATACAATTGGGTAACGGGAGAAAAGCTATAAACAGATACCATCCAGCATATCACATTCGGGACCGAGAATAGTATACACGGCGTTTTCTCGCGAGCCAGTTCTTTTCACAGTTGGGATTTTTGGGGGGTCTAGGTAATACCCATTCGGCTCTGATTCATGTATAATATCAACCTAAACTCCTTTCTGTAAAAAATGAAAAGACGCCTCTAATGACTTGCTTTTTTTGTTGCCCCCCACTCTATGCTTGGTAAAGACGGGACAGTCTAGAGGTGGCGCCTATCTCATGCAGGACATGAGAGATCTCCGTGGGGGATGTCCGAAATGGATGGGTCATATTTCCGATTTTTTCCCCCAAAGTGACCAGAATCTTTTTCCTAAGAAGACCGCCTAGTTCTCCGTAGTCTTGTCGCCATCCTTGCTTTCCTCCGTGGCTGCTGCATCCGCGGTAACACCCTCCTTGCCAACACCAGCAGCAGCAGCGGCCTTCCTTCTCGCGAATCTCTTTCGTTCCCTCTGCCCATAATTCCGTCTGCGTGCCTTTTGCTCCGCTACCTTAGAGGTTGCCTTGGAAGTAGTCTTCTGCTCTGAACTTTGATCCTGGGTCGACTCCTGTTGTTGGTCCTGATCCAAATTTTTCTTGGCGATCGACCTGGTGGTAGGTTTCTTCGTCTCTACCTGAGTGGCGGTACGCTCGCTACGTGCAGCTATCCGAGCAGCGCGGTCTTTCTTTTGCTGCGAGGGCTTTCTTTGCAGGGTGTTGCTTTTCTGCATGATGACTTGCTTTTTCCTTCTGAGACAAATAGTGGGGGCGTTGAGTTGTGATTTGTGAGAAACTCCGAGAATAAATGAGATTAGAGTTATGAGTTGATTAGAGGTGTGAGTTTTGGTGTATGATGTATGATATGTCGTTTTCCGAAGCTCTGACGACTTGAAGAAATTTTAGCGTTATTCTAAAAAAATAAAATAAAAAAATTAGCTAGTTCTCCACTAGCATTTGCGACCAGGAATTGGTATTTAAGACCCTGAAGATCCACTAGCGCTCAGCGTACTTGGGCTAACCTAGCAGCAGCCTAGCCGCCTAGCTTTGTGGGCATAAACGGAAAGAATTCGATTTACTCTCTCGATTGGGAGTATATTAGAGCACTGTCAAGCAATATGGATTACTTCCAACGTAACATTTGGACTACCTACCTAGGTACATATGATTTTCTTCGTCTATTACCGCTCTCTGATTGCGTGTAGCTACCTGCAAGCAAGATAACTTGAATTGAAGTTACATGCTAGTAGCAAATGTCGTGATATCTCGAAGTGAACCTCTTCTCATTGAGATTGAGAACTGTTCATCTGTTGACGCTAATCCTTGGGTGGATTAGGATTGCAAGTCTTTGCTGACTGAGTGGCGGCTTCTTTGCGGCCAGTGTAGATTGCATCTACCAGCATAGCAATGTGAGCACAATCATCTCGGAGCGAATCAATTCGTTTGCTGATCTTCTCTTCACATGCAATGCGTTTCTCCAGTGCTGCGATCAGCCTCTCAACTCGCTGTTGGCTGTGATCGGAACTAAGAGATACGCGTAAGTTAGATCCTCCCAAGTTAGAAGATATAAGGAACACTTACGTCTTTTGCGCCTCATTTTGATAGTATGCCTTGATCTTATTCTTCAGAACCGTCAATTTATCTACGTAGTCTTTTTCGATGCCCTTCTGGATCTCGGATCGCTTCGACTTCCATTTGTCCTGCAGGAAAACGGAAGGATATTAGTGCTGAGAGTTCCGAAGGACAATTGTAGTGCACGCTCTGGCTTCGACTCGCCCCACCAAGAGATAATGCACAGGCATACAATGTTTTCCATAGCCTGCGGAATACTTGAACTCGGCTTGTACTGGAGATCTATACTCAAATCCACTTCGGAACCTGAATCACTTTCGGTCGGGCTAGGCGCCTTTCGATGGGGTGCCATGTCTAGACACGATCGGTGACTATGCAGCTAAGATTCAATACTATGAAGGAGACTTTGAATGAAAGGGGGGAGATTTTAAGAACAGAACTGCGTTTGTATTTTGAGAAAACTTCGTCACATTGGGAGCTATGGAGGGAAAAATATGATTTACATGAATGAGTTTAAATTGTTCGAGCGTAAATCGAATCTTGCATCTTGAGGCAGCTATCATCGTGCTTGCCCTTCTAAACATCCTGATGTAATGCAATTTGGGAAGGAGTAAAGTGGAGTATATATATGTACAGTCTACTGGCGTGAACTCAATCATTACATAAGCCAACATCCCACTGTATTTTTATGTCCGGCGAATTGCCGCTTATCGGATTGTACCATCTTATCAACCAGAAAAATAATCGAATTTCAGACTTGGCCAAATCTGAATCTCTACTTTCTGCGTTGACTTGCAACTTGCGACTTGGACTCACAACAATATTAGTTCATTACAATGGGTCTTTCAGGGCCTAGGATGTATGGCGCCCTCAATTTACTGTTTCAAACTCAACTATTTGCTAACATGTATGTCTCCACAGTCGCCGGAAACTCCAGCACGATCCGAACAATACGAAATGGAGTCGTGATGAGACCACCTTCGGGCAGAGGATATTACGAGCGCAAGGATGGGAGCCCGGCAAGTTCCTAGGGGCGCAAAATTCGCCGCACTCGCACCTACACTCGGCAGCCAGCGCGGCCCCGATCAATGTCATTCTAAAAGACGACACATTAGGCCTTGGAGCGAAACCAAAGCATAAGCAGAACGCCGAATGTACTGGTCTCGACGTTTTCAAGGATCTACTTGGTAGACTAAACGGGAAGTCCGAGGAGACGATCGAACAAGAGAGACAAGTGCGCTCGGGCATTAAGACGAACCTATACGTGGAGAAGAAATATGGCCTCATGAGATTTGTGAGTGGTGGACTCTTGGTGGGAGATCAAATAAACGAGTTGGTCAGCACGACTATCAAAAAGGAGGAAACTTCTTCGTTAGAAGACACTGCGGCCATTCCCCTGAAGAAAGAGAAGAAGGACAAGAAATCTAAGAAGCGAAAGGCCGAAGATTCGGATTCCGCTGAAATACTCGATACCATTCCCGAGAAGAAACGGAAGAAACGGTCAAAGGACGAGGACCTGCCGAACGACGTCGGTAGTGGTCCGGAAGCCGACGAATCAAATAGCAAGAAGAAATCTAAAAAGTCTAAACGAAAAGAAATCGAGGAAGACACAGCTAGGTCCGAGAAGAGAAAGCATAAGAAGTCTAAGAGGGACGCCAAGGTTGACGTTGAAGACGACGATGCGCCGGCCGTACCAAACGAAAATGCGCTAGAAAAGTCCAAGTCGAAGAATGATAAGAAAGAGAAGCGCAAGAAGGAAAAGAGAGAAAAGAAGAACAAGCAAACAGATACCGCGGAATCATCAACGGATGCCCCGACGCCTGCCATATCAGCCACCCCTCAAGAGAGCGGGTTATCAACGCCAACCGGAACGGGAACCTCAACTCCCCAGGCGTTTCCAACACGCAATTATTCGCGATCACGCAATATTGCATCCAAAAGACTTGCTATAGCCGATATGCAGGCACTGAACCAGGTAAGAACTCAAACTAAAACAGCCGTTTTCTGGGAATATGCTGACACAGGACAGATTTTTATGGTCAAACCAGTATAGACGCGACAGGTCACGATACGATAGTCGGAGTATTTGCGTGAGCGCCTCGACCATGATACCCAATAGATACCATTCAATATAAACATTCATATTGGACAACTGCTATTAACGCGAAACTTCGTTGGCTGTCACTTTGATTATGGGATTTTAAGGCCCGAAAAACTTATTATTACTATCAACTAAACGATTCCTAGGATCGCTGAAATTAGAGAATAGGGTGACTAAGAACAACTAATTTGGGGTATCGGGTACTATCTCGGCAGTAAGTAAAAGATATCCTGAATTTCCATCATTTCCATCATACCGGATTGCGGCCTGTTGGAAGAGGTGGGACATCCTGCGAAGTTTCCAGGCCTTTATGGATAGCTCGTTGAGACTCGGCCGGACGCGATGTTTGGTCGTAGTTCTGCATCGAGTATCCTGAAGAAGCCGAGTGGTAGCTTCTCAAAGTGATACGGGTCCAGAAGAGGCGGCGATATTCTCGATCCTTGTCCGAGGGCGAAATTAGGAACCGATATGACGGCAGCATACTGGTAAGTACAGAGACCAGCAGCTCAAGATAGCTGTAGAGATTGGTTAAGTTATTGTTCTCCTGATATAGTTTCACAGTTCGAACTGTCTCGAATGCAATTGTGATTATCGCAAGGCTGCAAATGCCGGATAGGGCAAGTTTCTGCTTCAAGCGCATGTGCAACCGCCATATCACGGGCATCGGGAGTATCACCACTATATGAATTAGGTAAGTAAATAACCCTGTTCACGCGTTGCCCCAGGCAGTTGGGGAAACAAATAAAAAGGGAGAGCTAACCGACGAGATCCGAAGTGACGTTGAAGGCGTAGTCCACCCAAATCAATTTGGCATCGAGCCCCATGACGTATGGCGTCGAGCATTGCGCTGTGTGTATTGTTAACACCAGCAATCCCAAGTACCTAAGTGGAGGAATTATCCAAACGTACCAAATGTCCAGAGGTAACGCGCGTCGCCGCATTGCCCGAAAACTCCGATCAAGCAGATTCCGTAACAGAGGGTTATGTACACCATACCCCCTAACCAGGCTTTGCCGTACTCACTGCGGGCACCGGATGCGGTCCTATAGAGGAACATGAAGGAAAATTTGACGCAGTAAAGCGAAGTCCAGAAGAGCATTTGACTTGCTACACCCCATCTGCGCAACTTAATGGTCATGGATTCAAGCTCGGCTTCTGGGGGCATTGGTGTTTCGCCTATCAGGATTGCGCTGTACTGATAACTGAGGGGAGCCTCTAATGTCGAACATATCATACAGATTATCATAAGAAGCCATGCTAGCGCCCCGAAAATGTCGTCTAGGTGGAAAGTCTTCAGGACCAGGTTGCGAATGAGCAAGCGGCCCCCAAGCAGCACAGTCGATACACCAGCGAGGGTCCAGATCACGGCCTGCCCCCAATCAGTTCAGACTTGTGGGATCTCTTGATTTTCTCATATTGGGAAGTACATACCACAAGGCCGCGTTCCGTAATCCCTTGGCCAGCCTCGTCCGCCATCGTTAATCAATTAGCTACAATAAAGACATTTATTAGATCCGATTTAATGCCATGATCTTAGGGAAATAGTCATGGAAGGCATCAGAGTGTAAACTAAGTTTCAATTCAATGCCGATGAGGATAAAGTAGATTTTATTCGCGACGAGTCTGGATGCTTACTTACCCCTACACGATCCCGAGCTCTCGGGAAGGGTCAAAGGGCTTTCTTTCGCGCGGGAAGACGAATGACACATAGCGATCACTGCTTAGGCTATGCTGTGAGACAAAAGGGTTTACTACTTACGGCATCTCTGAAATGCGATCCGAAAGGGAGGGAAAATCTCGTGTTACGATACTAAGATTATATCCCTTTAATTGGCTGTGATACTCCCGGGTATGCCCTGCGGCGTAAGTCTTATATATAGTGTTACACGACATAATTATTGGACTAGATGCTACCTAGGGTGCGTCCTTAAGTAATAGATTCCGAAGCCTCGTCTTGCTAATGTCTTACAATAATCTTGTTTATAGCCCAGCACTTAAAGCTAACTCCCAACAACGTTCTCCCAATTTCATGGGACATCGAGGCTCTGAGAGGATTTTCCAACTTTTGAAGGAGTCAAAGGAGAAGTGGTTAAGTACCTACCCAATCAATAATCGGGTCGGAGTAGGCTTTCGGAGCCGAATTGCGCACATGTTGTGTAACTTGATATAACTCCGAAATCAAAGGGAAATTTCCCTTGGATAGCAAGGGAAGTCTTATCTCTGGAACAAGGGAAGCCACATGGGATTACAGAGTAAGTGATTATGTGGGGTTGCGTCGATCGTGTTACCCAGCTGGGAGATTCATAAACTCGATTTATTTTTGTGCATAAAACTATCGTCGAATTCCCTAATACCCGGGTATCTCATTTGGTCTCAGCCCTGCCTTGTCCAGCGATCCATAACTACGAAAGATGGCCTATTATACCTCTCGTACTGGAGCTGAGTCCCTCACGACGGTTGACGTATCTCCTTTTATTACTAAAGCGGAGTACTCCGACTCGGATCGCCTCAAGGCAGCGAAGGCTCTCGTTGAAGGGCTCCATAGGTTGGGATTCGTCAAAGTTAAAGGCCATGGAATCGGGAAGGGTGAAGTGCAAGATGCTCTCGCTTGGACCAGGAAGCTCTTTGATCTGCCGTATGCAGATAAGATGAAGGCTCCCCACCCTCCAGAAGCCATGCCGCATCGCGGTTACTCGGGAATTGGCAAGGAAAAGGTGTACTCCCAGGAGGATGTGAAGGCGCAAGGTGATAACGCCGATGTTGCCGAGCAGTTACGCAAAGTGTCTGACTTTAAAGTATGAAGACCAATCACGTCTCTGTTCTAGCGCCACCAGTTCTCACCGAACGCTGATCATGCATTAGGAAAGTTATGAGATCGGGAGTGAGGAAGACCCGGTACAGCAGAATATCTGGATACCGGATCCTGTACTTTCAAACTTCCGAACCTACATGACAGCCTTATACCAAAGGCTATTCGGCATTAGCGAGATCCTGCTCGAGGTCATTAGCCTGGGCCTAGGCTTGGTTGGCAATGAGCATGCCACACTTATTGACTTGGCTGATGATCGACATTGCCAATTGCGTCTCCTGCACTACCCTGCCGTCAGCAAAGATAGATTGCAGAAGGATTTAATAGCTCGTCTGCCACCTCATAGGGATTGGGGGTAAGGATCCTGGATAGTTGTACCACATTGACTTTAGAAGGTGTACGTTTGTAGCTAACTTATCTGCTGTAGGACATTTACGCTACTTTTCCAAGATGGTGGCGGAGGGCTAGAGCTCAAGGATCCACAGTCAGAAGACTACATCCACGCGGAACCTGAAGAGGGAACTTTTGTCTTGAATATTGGCGATATGCTCCAACGCTTTACTAATGGTGTGGCACCATCCCCTTTCCCAATTGTGAAAAGTCCATAGCTAAGCGATGCTGTCTAGATTACTTCGTTTCTTCCCTACATCGAGTATCGGTCCCTGGGGCGGATACGGCACCGGAGTCGGGGCTGCCGGCTCGCTACTCGATTCCCTTCTTTGTATGCCCTGATTTCTCTCACAAGATAGCGACGCTACCGCGGTTCATTACTACTGAGAGCCCGGCGAAGTACGATCCAGTCCGGTTTGATGAATACGGAGCAGTTGTTAGTAAGTATCAATATCAAGAGGAGGAATCATAGGCGAGAGTTATATGACGCAAGGTCGAAGTTTAAGAGCCTCTTTTATTCGTTCATTGGTAGATAATTCAGAAGATATCAATATAAACGCCGAAAGCCACTATATGAAATATCTTGTTCTCGCTCAACCGACCGTAGATCTAGTCCCGACTCGACCTCGTATCGCTTAGAAGATCTAAAACCATACGCGACTAAGGCGCCGTGATTGTCGCGGTTATGCCAGCATCACCGTCATCCGGATTATCCCAAATAGCAGCCAATTTTGCTGGATACTTGCCAGCGGCTATAATTTCATCGCTGCATAAGGATCTCATCAGCGCTGGGCTCTCGTGTTAATTAATGAGTTTGACAGACCTTACTCGACATCAGGGGCTCGTTTCTCCACACCAAGAGTGGCTATATAGCAAGTTAGATCGAGACTCGACAAGGCGTATATCTATTAAACTCACGACTCGGAGGGGCGGCTATAACGATAGCACTCAGAGTGAGAAAGGTCAGAATGCGCTTCATGTTGCCAATTCAAATATGAATTGTGGTGAGAGTCGAGCCTTTCAGATAAAACCTTGATATAAGAGGGATATGTCGAATGGAATAGAGGATTGGTGTCGGTATAGAGTACATCGCGATAGAAAGGAGCCCAACTTTATAGGATCCTTAGAATGCCATTTGTATAGGACTTGCCGTGCGATATGTCGTGATCTGAATCAACTATGCATCGGTATGTAAGCTGATAGGTTTACCTAATGAGGAAATAGTGAGGGTGTCTGTCTTAAATCCTATATGAGTGCTACAGTCGTGGAATAATAATATGCCGCCCTTATCTACGAAGAGGGGAAGATACGGGAGCCTTGTTGTCGTCGTACAGGTTTCTCCATCTCCCATCTGTCAGCATCTTCCCCCCTTTACATTCTCACCCTCTCTCAGACTTCATCTCAAAACCTCAATCGGCTTCTACAATGGAACGACTCAATAGAAGTAACGGAGCTACGGGTGCAGATATTAGAGCTACCGTGGAGGTTCTAGAGGGCGAGACGATCTATGAAGAAGCCCAGACCTTGCTATCGAGCGATGACTCGGGAAATACGAAGAGGATTGTGCTTTCTAAGTATACGAAGAACCACAAAGTACATCGCACTGTTAACTATGTCCTTACTACTATCTTGGTCTGTTCTATCATCGGCGTGTGGTCGTTAGGTTTTGTGCTCCATCGGCCATGTAAGCCGAACGCTGAGAGCTTCCATTATTACTGTATGCATCATTCCACAGTAGCTGTAATGCGGTTCTCTATAGCCGCTAACATGCACCTCTGAAGCTCCTGCCCTAGAGGCCACGAAGCCTGGCTCCAGAGTTACCCGGCTCAATCACACGGAATGGTCGCCTTTCAGCCCAAGCCATGATGACCCTCTGGAGTATGTCGATGGCAACTGGACGGCGTTGTTACGTAGTAAGGAATATTCTACCGTACCTGGAAACATATAGGATAGGATCAAGACCACTAACACATCATGAAACTAGTCGGCATGATGAGCCTCAGCGAGGAAGACCTCCACCGAACCGGTGCCTCGCCAGACACCGCCGTACGTCTCCCACCCGAGAGTGGCGGGGGTTATCTTGCGTACCTAGCGAGCCACCACCACCTGCACTGCCTGTACCTCTTACACCAGAGCCTACACGCAGATTACTACTCCTCGCGCAGCGTAATTTGGGAGATGAGCCAAGAGCGGCGACTTTCGCACTGGGACCACTGCATCGAATCACTACGACAGTACGTAACATGCAACGCGGACACCACGGTGGTTACTCATAACTGGTTTGAGAATTATAACCTACCGGTACCAACCCAGGGGAACCCGCGAAGATGCGCGGATTGGGACGCGCATTTCCGCTGGCAGGTTGAACGCCAGGTAAACGCGCCTAAGGAGGAGCTTGTTAAACCTAAGGGCGTGGTGGAAATGCCGATGTTGTCGGCGAAGCCGCCGGAGGATTACCTCGAGATGTATGCTTCGGGGATCGAGCTTTAGGATGGAGTAGGTTGTATGCCGTGCGTAGACACCTGTTATTGGCTCTCATATATAGTGTAAGCTTTGATGTTTGGTACCGGTAGATTGGGTACGGAACTGAGGGGGAATATGCAAGGCATTGAGGCCAAAGGACTTCTACAATAAAACGGAAATAATAGAAGTTCCGATGAAGCTGTTAATTGGAGAGAAATAGAAATATTGAAAACTACCAAGTACAATTTTCTGTTGGTTCGCGTAGGAATGCCCCTTTTGTGGGGATAGTCGGAGTAGGATCCGGATGATGGTCTAGGTAGCAGACATCGTCATGCGATATATTACCAGTAACCGGGAAATATCTGCTGCAATCCCCTTACCCATCCATGCATCACGTTTTTCACATCTCACATACCTGAGTACTTACACAATATTATGTAGTACTTGCATGCGTATCTGCGTACATACCTAACCAATATCCCACGCCCCCCACATCATATCAGCTCACATCATGTTCTCATTCTGGCCCTTCACCCGCAGCATCAGCAATACCCACCCCTCATCTACCTACAACTACGACCTCACCATACCAGACGTCGCGGTCGACGACCTAGGGGTAGAAACGCGCCGTATCGAAACCGGCACGCATTCCACGACCGTGTACGGGTACCCCTCATCCGGGGGCGCGTTGGTGCTTCCCTATTGCAACGGGGTGGACCTGTCGTTCCTAGGGCTCTCACATTTACTTTCCACCCCCTCCACCCCTAATCCAGAAACCGAGCGATCGCCCGACGAGGCGGAAGAAGACCGTCATTGCATGCGCATGCGCCAGCTCGGAGCTTGGTCCTTTTATAGCGCAAGCGATTACTTCTGGACGGGGTTCTGCTCGCCCGAGGTTATGGATCGGAAGAAACTGGTGGTGGCGGCGTGGCCGTCGAGCGGGAAGGGAGTGTGCGTTATTGCGGCGCGGAAGGAGGAGGCCGCGTCCCGCGGTTTCGCGTGGGTGTGGAATGCGCTTAGTATGGATGAGAGATGCACTGTCGTGCGGAAATTAGGAGGGACGTTTTATGAGGACCCGAGGGAGTGTGCGGATTTAGATTTGCAGGATTTTGAAGTAGGTACCTGAGTTGGAGAGAAAAAGAGTGAGAAGGGTAAGGGAAGGGAAATTCGAACCGAACCCGGGTACGGAACGGACTCGTGGGGGAGAGGGGTGGTTACACAGATCGGATTACTGTAAGGGGATTAATGGGGGTGAAATGGGAGAAAATTGGAAGGAATTTGGAGACATTTATGATTGGTTTGTTTTTAATTATTATTTTGTAAGGAGGGACATGAATGATGATATATATACCGGGTGGTATCCATATGATGATGATTGAGAGAGTTGGGCTTGTCGCGGCACCGAAACAAGAGCACACCTCCACCACCTCGCGGACTATTATCTAATTGGATTGGGAACGATGACGAACGGAATGCGCGTCACAGCTGTCGCTAATTAATTCAACGTTCCATTCATAATTATCCGCAGGAAATTTCTGAGAGGTTGAAATGACGTACATGAAAAAACTGGGAGAATCTAGAGCGCCACGGCCGTAATAAATCATTTCCAATACGAGCGCCCAAACGGGACCCGTGGAGAGTAAGGGATTTGATGGGGAATGGCTTGGGGTCTAAGAGGTTTATGGACGTATTTTTCGTGAGTTCTGGCCATACCTGATACTTTTTGAATGTTGATACATGATATGATATGTTAGCTAAAGCTCTAATGACGATGAAAGCGATGATGTAGTCCCTTCGGAACGTTCCTGTACGCCCTGTCCCCTATCCGAATTTTGATCGGGTTATCCGATAGCCTCACTCATACGTAGCCGTACCCTATCATGACACTCATCGACTCGACTAACTAAGAATGGAGCGCGATCTTCACTGATGGGCCGACAATAGCATGAACCTAAACGCCTCGGACAATCTTTGAAATTTGGTAAATAATTTGGATGTATCCTTTAAGGCAGTCGTATGCGGCTTCATGCGCCGAAGTGGATAACCTAGGTGTCTAAGAAAGATCTTTTCAGCTTTGTTATTCAGGGTGCAATATCTATCGCATGAGCGAGGTCGGGATTACCTACAGAATGCATGATAGTGTAGTCCAATTGCCCCATAGGGCTTGTAAGCTATCCTCACCGATCCTTTGGACTCGTACTCTGACGCAAGACTACATAGGAGATCGAAATCATCGTGGACAATTTCGATTACTCACATCAGTCCCGCATCATCCACATAAAAATAGAGCTACTAGTAATATGCTGAGTAGCTAGCTAGCTCATGCTTGAAGCTCGCAGATGGGGTAATAGTTCCTTCAAAACCAGGTTAGGACATTGGAGCTCGCAGGAATAGGAAGATCCTGGGGTTGATCGCGAGGAGCTATAAACCTGGACCACTAGGAATTCATCGCGCTCCCATGAAAAGCAAAACTCGGCAGACGTGGACGGAATCGAAGCCATAACCGCCATTAGCACGAAAGTTTTTGGTCAGGATTGTCTAGACCAGGCCGGCCTTCCTTACAGGGCTTTCATGCCTTCGCTAAATTAGCGTCCACCGATCTTGAAGATATTTTGGTAATTCCTCGGTCGCGGACGTGCGTTCTGGTTGGAGAGTATTGTCAGTGGATTCTTGAAACTTGATGTTGGGACGTCAAAACCACAGAATATAGTAACGTTTTGACGTATCGGCCAATTATAAACATAAAGCAACCCTCCTGAAAAAATAAGAATAATATTAAAGTAATGGAGGATCAACGAGTAAGAAACAAGCGGTCTGATGCTTTTCACCATAGTCACCATCGTAAATTTGCCACTCCGTACCAATTCTGTCCTCGGAACGAACTTAAGCGACTGACATACATGACATGGAGCTCGGGGAATGGACGTATTGGATAAAGGCTGATAGGTACAGCTGTCACGGTCAGCGTCACGGAGCGGTTGGTGGATGGTTGAGTTGCATAGATTATTAAAGGATGGGTTGCGAGGACTTTCTTTTTCGGAGGAACGTATGCTATGCACGGATGCGTGCTCCGGCTGCATACGGCGTCATATACTACCCTTCAAACAGACGATCCGGGAATAGACCCGCATATGATAAGACCATATAGCCGGGATACACTGGGGCCGCCGGTGCCGCGGAACATCGCGTAGGTAATGAAATTAATTTGGATGTCCTCGCCGGTCTTAAAACCATTCCTATCTAGATCGGATTCACATAATCCTTGCAGCCACGTCGCGAAATCCGCCTCACTGTCAGAAGGGCGTTAAGTGGTGGCGTTTATCTTACTGTGTCAAGGGGGATAATATTCTTCGCATTTATTGCTGCCGGTGATCATTACGATCATTACACAGCGTATATTACCAAACATGTGCATGCATGGTGCTGCTTGTCTTGCATATCATCCCGTTGTTGGCGCGAGAACGGTCGCAGGATTAATGTCGAGATATGACCCAGAAAACCGTCCTATCGCATCGTGCCACTCAGTTGGTAACCTACCCTACCGATAGGGGTCTTATTTGCCAATTGCTATGGTACCCGCAAGGGAACCGTCATGTATCCAATTATTTGTGTATCATATAAAGCCGAGGGAGTATGTGATTGGATGAAGGGCACCCCTCTTGGCAAAAAGGCCCCAGAGTACGAAGTACTAAATAGTAAACTTCATAGTTGTTGGGGATGTGGCTTCGAGCTTGTCCAGCTCAAACCTGCGCGCCATGCATACTTTGCCTTGTCGGAATCGAGATGAAGGGCATTCGATATCCCCAAATTCTCAGCCTCGATGTCCGTTTTGTGGAACTTTCTACCTATTTCCAGGTTAATGGAGGGCTATTCGCGGCAGTTGTCGATAGTTTGGGGGATCGTACCAAAAGCAACCAAGCTAAAATTTGGTGTAGGAGGGACAATGTTACATGGGCTTACATAGCTACGTCATTAGATCTTGATCTTTTGCGTACGGGTAGTATGATATCTTATAACCCTAATCAGTTAACTTTCGTCACTTTCCTTTTATATAAGCAGTTTTCAATATGTGAATAGTCATTGAAATCTGTATGCATCATTAATTGTATACATTGATTATTCGTTACTAGAGACTTTTGAGTTCGACTCTAAAGTCTTAAGAATGTCTATTCTATATCTCTCTAGGTATTATCTAATTGGCTGCAGAGATATATGTGTTAGCCCCTATTCAAAGCTATGAAAGTACATAGGTACATCGGAACCTAACCCCTTTCTTACTACACGTATCTTACGATGCTGCATGAATTATGATAGTCCTAACCTCTGGAGCATTATAATCGTACAGTTGAAAGTCTAGTAGGCACCCCCTCGTAAACTCTATGCAGGTAACCGCGTAGTAGCCTAGAGATCATGTAATGTTGCCTAGACTTTGTGTCACAAGAGAATTTGCATTGATAACGGTTACTATCTGCACAGACTGCTTCTAAAGCGTTAAGTTCTACTCAAATATCGCGTACGCTTTCGCCAAAGACTCGGCTTCAATTATAACAGCTTATCTCCACCGTTATCACTTCCCACTTATCATAACATTGGTCGAACTTGTCAAAATGAAGCTCGTAAAGATGAACGATTTCTCCTAAAAACGCGCCGCAAAGGACAGCCTGTTCCTTCTCAATCTTGCCCCTTTAGGCCGCTACTACACGAAACAGCTCTTTGCCCAGAACAGTGCGCATATTCAGACTAAGGGTGGCATAGGATTACCCCAAGAGCTGTGAACCATGATCTTGAAGTTCGTACAAGAGGATGAAGAGCAAGAGGACGAAAAGGATATTTTTTGTTTGGTAAAAGCCAAGGTGATAGCAGCGTCACGAAACGGGATGGTTCTTCAGTGCTCCCGGCATGAATTTCGCTTATCCGGACGTATAACCATAGGGAATACCGCTAAAGACGGACAAGCCGTGGAGGACATTGAAACTTATCTGGATTGCGCATCTCAAGATACGCTCGAGGGGCTCAAAACCAGACCGCCTAAGCTGTCTCGGCCCCCTAACCTATATACTGTTGTCATAGGCACCGCGTCGGCTATTCCTTGTCTCTATACTTCTATTAGAGTCCCTGACATTATTGCCACAATGGAGGGCGGTATCTGTTGGGTTTACCAAGAAGGGAGATTTATCTGCCCGGGCTGTACCGGAGGAAAGGCACAGCGTTTTAATTCTTTTATGGGCTGCGGTGTAGATCTCGCCTGTCCGCTATGCATGGGCACGGAACTTTCCGAAGAGCATAAGAATTACCTTAAATCCTATTATTACCATGGCTCGGGTGTAGATGGGTCTGAGGGGGAGGAGGAGATGCGGGATCAACTAGAGGAGCAACTAGAGAAATTGGGCTACATGAATAACTGGGTTCCTGAGGGCGCGTGGAAGATCAAGGGTATGTACAACTGAAGCATTTTTCGGCTGGTCCAACTAATTACACGGAAAATAATGACGTTGAGGATGGAAAAGACTTCGTATTGATTTGCTTTAATCGTGAAGTGGATTTGGAATTGAGTTGTTGTCAATAGGGTTACCATGGTAGTGTTTGAATTGTGAGTTTGGTTAATGATATTAGTGAGTTGTTCAGAGTCTCTTGTCACGTTACACACATATGTTATTGATAGAAAATTACAACTTGTGTTTCTGTCAACATGATCGGGTCAGGCAGCGAATAAACATCATATATTGGTTAAAACGAATATTCCCTAAATGGTATGATTAAGAAAAGAGGTGGAGTGTGGTGCGTACGCATGTGTATGGACGGGTGGACGGGTGTGTTCTGGTCGGCGGCCCCACTCCCCCTTAACAAGCAGTCCGTATAGCTGCAGGGTATGCAGGCCAATGTCGACGTGTGCGAGGTTGCCCGTGATACCCCTTGTAAGATTGTAAGACTGATGCGATTCTCCTCTGTGCACTACTCTCTGTACATCCTGACCGTGGTCTCACAGCTTCCGGGAATACAAGATTGTGGCAAAAATAAGGGTCTCGGAGCCTAAGGGTCGCGACGTTGCCACGGGACGTAGATTCGTTGGGCTCGTGTGAATGTACTACTGACACGGCTGCCCTGAACTGTGTCCGACTACTTAATCTTCGGGTGATTCCCGTCTTGACCTGACTGACCTCGCTAGTTCGTTCATGCTAGAGGCGATAATCTTATTAATCTTATTAATCTTGTTATAGGGGATTTAATTATTGGAGATTCTAGAATTTGTTGTCTTTTTTTAATTTTTATTGCGGTGTATGAGAGAGAGGGGAAGCGTTCGCACGGCGTTGTACAGAATTACCTACTTTTTGCCAACTTCCCACCCATTCTAAGCCCACTTTACAGCCCTTACAAGCCACTTGCAGCCTGAACTTCACACCCGAGAACCCCGACGCACCGACGCACTGCCCCTAGTCAGCCACTACACCCCTCCCTGGTCACAGCCTACAGGCCTAGCTCCAGCACCAGCAATACGGCACTTAAGAACTAAAGAGCCTAGACCCTGCATCCCGGGAAGTCTAAGTCTATCGGCCTTATCGATAGAACATTATCCTCAGCAATACGATCGAAAATCCGGTTTAGATAACCGTAGATTACCGTGACGTTTGTGACGTAAGCGTCATCATTGCCATCACCGCATTACCATAACTAGACCCTCATTCCCCCCTTCGTTATGTGGTTCTACACTTCAACAGGTTAGCAATTCTTATTCTTTCCTTCTTTTCAATCAGTCGAAAATTTAAGAGTCAATTCCGACACAAGACACCAATTTTTATCAATTCGATTGTGAGGACAATTGTATTACGACCTTGTCGTGTGATTTGTTCCACACTGTATCAATTTATCCAACAGCATACTACGAATTACTTTGAACAATCAAGTCTAACATCATGGAAACCTACTACCCAGCGCCCCGCGAAAAGCGCTACCACAAGTACAAGAAAGTCCTCTACCTAGAACCGCCTATCAATGGTAGCAAGACCGTTCGAACTCGAGTTACTACCATCGTTCCTCCCCCGGCACCTGTTCCGGTTCCGCCATCACCGGCTCCGGTCCTACCGGAACCTAAACCCGAACCACCACCAGTCATTGTCGAGCCTCTCCCACCTCCGCCTCCACCACCTGCACCCTATATCCCACCGCTACCGCCCGCACCAGAGCCCCAGGAAGAAACGGAGATTGAAGTTATTGCCGTGGACGTAGACCCGGACCAATCTTCCACTTCCAGCAGGTCATCCAAGAGGTCCTCTAAGAGCTCATCACGAAGCTCTAAGTCCTCTTCCCGCAGCAGCGGTGGTAGACGTAGTCGGGATCGTGAGGTATACATTGAACGCGAGAGGCTCGTTCCCGTCCGTGTGCCCGTGCCATACCATACGCACCACGTCGAGTACGAACCCCAGCCTCAGCAGGACAGTTTCCGATACATCGAGGCTCCCAGGCGATACGAGCCCCAACACCGACGAAGTTCGGATCACGAGATTGTCATTGAAGACCACCGACACCGAAAATACATCCGCGATGGCTAAAGGTGGCATTTTTCAATTCAGTTTATCTACCTTAAATATTATATTATCTACTATTACCTCATTTAATCACCTTAAACTACCTACCCACCTAGACCTAAAAACCTTTTCTTCATAATAAGCTTGGGCAAGAGCCTGGATGCCTGCCTACTTTCACTGTATTAAGACTGTCACGAGACTACGAGTACGACTACGTACGGCGATGACGAATCATGGGATGCTAGAGCTACTGGGAGTTACACAGAAATACGGAGTCCGGGAGCACATCTTGATTTCACTTGTACACAATATTATTTTGATTGTCGGTTCGAGGCAATTTCCTTATACTTTTGTAATGTATTTTCATGAGCTAATGGTACTCTCTGGGCTGTGTGTGTTCGGGTTGGGGTGGGCTTTGTGGCCTAACCAAGGCGAGACTAATACTTTGAATGAATGGTCTCTAATAATCTTAGTCAAATCAAAACCATCTTTAATACAATATCCAATTATCAAAAATACCTACTATCCTACATCAATTTGTCTAAACATATGAAAGCGGGTACCTAGAAATTATTCTCTTTATTATCAACTACACATGTGGACACGCTATGCATACAAGTTATCTGATACAGAGACTATGACCCAGGAAGGACTTCTCATCTTCCTTTGAAGTGATACCCTCGCATAATCTTACATACATCCAAGTATCTTCCATACTTCCACCAACCCTCAAATAAATAAGATAGCGGTTTAGGATTAGTTATGATCCTCGCAACTACCCAAATATACTCGCGCATGCTATGCCGGTTTGTAATGGAAGGTCCTTTTATAGTAAGGGGCGACTCCAGCAATGAAATAAGAGCAAGGCAGAAATATCAGATCGATCGATATTACTAAATCATACAAACGTAGAACATTCCTCATCATCCATACGCCATTGGTACGACAGAACGGCATGGGATCTCCCAATTTCCTTCTAGACTGAGCGGGTAATGACAAGACAATAGATACTTTTTGATACACGTGGGTAATCCATGATCGTCTGTACAATACACACTTCACTCGGGCGAAATGATTTCTGCCAAAGTGCAATATTTCAAGCTTACTTCCTTGGCATTGTATGCTGAAACATACATTTTTGCACATTCCGTGTTATTCCCTATGATAGCCGCCAGTCGACAACTCAGCGAAAATCATATCTATCACAAAGCTGGAGGCCTGATGGGATCTGTGCTTGACCGGTGTTGGTCTGAAAATGGTTTGATTATTCGAGCTTCTAAACATGGAAATAGCCAAGGCGTCCCTTACTAATGTACAACTCTTCGATATCTCCTTACCAACCCGACCAATAACGAAACGAAATCCCACTGTCGGTAAGGCCGCCGCCAGTCTCACGCAGTGCGTAGGCAAAAGGGGTGTTGACGTTTGCGATTCGGAGGATAATAAATAATGTAACGAGGCTCAAAGTAGGCACTGCTTAACCTAACCGGAGCCAATGAAGTCAATTAAAATCGTGTAGCGCGCTTAAGTCCAAAATATGTCATACAGGTTTAAAAGCAGGAGGCTGGGGTGCGACTTGTACGGAGGAGAGAAGAGGCGGGAAGGTAGTAGATAGTACCCCCTCCAATCAAATCACGACACGACCTATCACCAAAGCCGCAATGCGGTAAGAGGCGGGCCGCACCTTAACTATCCGTAAGGCGACGCTAGAGTTTGTGACGTCTTAGAAGTTCTGTTTATGCACCAAGGGTCTGGTTCGATATTATCTATTGGATATACTGCTGCAAGGCAACGACAACATATGAGCGAATACAGCCTGGGATTCCGAGTGTGGTTGTACTGGCGATATTTTTACCCAATATACGGTTGCCAGATAGTATACCAAACTCTCACCGAGATTTTATTTTCCGTAGAAACATAGCCTCGTGACAACGCGATGTTGAGGCGAGACCTAATATCACTGCCTGCTTAACACTTCATCCGCACTGCAAAATACCCTTGACGAGGTACGTCGCTTTCGTTCAATATGCAGTTAAAAAAACAAAGAATTAGTTAGGAAGTTTATTCTGAGACTTAGATATCATAAGTGTATAAAAATGGCTCTAGAGTCTGTTTATAAGGTATCGATTATGTAAGCCATAAATAGGGGGGAGTGTTTTTGGCAAATAGTGGGCCAGTTGTTACACACGTAGCCCCTTTTTCATTTAGGCCTGCTTACAACAACCTTCTATAATTTTTATCTTTGTCTAATAATTAAAATCTCGCCGGAATCCTATTGTGTATCTCAAAGAAAATATTTTAAAGCGCACTAGTCACGCTCTATAGCTTGGTAATCCATCAGCCTATGGTGGTCCGCGCATCTCACTAAGTATGTCTACACGTAGTGAAGCGATGCGGCAGTGGGTAATAATAAACCAAGAAGAAACTTGCCGCGAGAATCGCGTCAAACTCATTTCATGTCCATGTTTTCTAAATTTACGCGCACCCTCTTAAATCATTAGTATGCTTTTCGTCACTATGATATGTCATGATAGCTCGTGAACTTCGCTAACCAACCCCTCAAACACTCCTTACTATCGTCAGGTCCTCGCAGTGAACATTGTCATCCATCTTGGTCAATATTATAAAGTCACCTCGATTTCTTAAGCATTTAAAAGAATGGTTATTCTTCATTCTTCGAAACATAAAACGTTCGATCAATTTTTGTTCATTGTTTATCTAGAATACAAAACGCTAGATCAACGCGCCTTTGCCCGATTTCCCCACCTATCCGGTATGCAATTCTAGGGAGTACCCACCCCTGCCTCCTATTGCGCCCACATTAGGAGAGCAAGAACCAATACACGTGGGGGAAATAAAAAAAAGTCAAATCAAATCAAATATAGAAAGATGTGCTTCCAATAACAGTAGCTCAAAGAGAATGCGCTACATCCACAAGCCGTGAGAATCCATTCTTCTAGCCTACTGTCATTCACAGTAGGGTTGGCCGGACTGGTCCCATGAAGGGTCGATCGGGTCCAAATCGGCATTGATGTGATCCAGATCTACTTTGTTCCAGTCGATATCTGGATCTTGTTCTAGAGATGCGGTGCCGTCGGGCTGGGGTAGCTGTTGGATGGGGTTCTCCGGGGAGACGCCGGTCATAAGGTCTTGAGGAGAGGTGTCGCCGGTGCTCATAGTAAAATCAGTGCCCCCCTGAACTTGGGGCGTGTTCTGAAGATGTTCGGTAGCTAGTACCGGTGTGTGGTTATGAGCCAAACCATGATTATGGTCTTGACCCATAAATATCGGAAGAGCGAGGTTGGGATTGGCGATTGACCGAGACTCAAGTTGCTGATTCAAAACAGTGATACGAGCCCGAAGCTGTATGCCCTCAGCTTTCAAAGACATGTTCAGCTTGTTTAGGCGTGTGTTTTCGTCTTGCAGCCTCTTGACTTTGTCCTTGGTATTCTCGAGTTCCTCGACCTTTCTCTTGCGACTTCGCTGAGCGGACTCCCTGTTCTGGGTACGAACATGTTCCGCCTTAGCCTCGGCGAGCCTATCGTTCCATTCGCTCGCCTCTGCTCTCTCTTCCTTGGTCATCTTATCGGTGATTCTTTTCTCCTTCATTCCGGGTTGCCACGTAACCTTGCCCAACTTTCCAAGTCGTCGACCCGCTTTTGAGATTCGGAAATTATCAATCGCTTTCATCCTAGGGGAATGTACAGCTCTTAAATCATTCTTATCGGGTCCAATCGGTGTGTTATCATCGCTTGATAAATTAGCGTGTTCGTTATCAATAATAGGAGGATTCGGTCGGGAAGCGATCTGGGCCTGTTGCATAGACGGGCCCCAACCCGGAACTGGTGTGGGTTGGCCGACGTGATTCGCGCCACTTTGCGGCGCATGCGAAATGTTCGCAGAAGTAGCGTTCATAGAACGTTGTAGGTTCATGATTCGCGTCACATCGTGTTCATTGTATTGACCAGGTTGCCACTGGTTTGAGTGAACCATGGGTGCGGTTGGTGCTTCGAGGGTGTTAGCGTAATTCCGCGCATCATTGTTTACTCGCTCACCATTATGCTGTGGATGGAAGAGCATTCCCATACTCATTTGCCCTGAGTTGTCGTCGAAGCCTCCAGGAACGCCCTGTACCAAGTTGTTAGCCCGAGTGTCATAACCCGGGTGCATCGGTTGGGTGGGTACAGGAGCAGGAGCGGGATTCAATATAGATGGTATCGTCGACGAGGGTGACATTTGGTTGAATACGGGGTTGTGGTTGTGGTTTTGGTAGCCTCCAGGAAACTGACCTGGCGGGTTGGAGAATGACTGTTGATATTGATGTTGGGGATGAAGTTGGTTTCTCTCCCACTGCAGAGGGGCGTGCTGAGGTAGATCCGACATCCTATTTTTTTTATTAACCCCTTTCTGAACGATAACTAGGTTCTTTCACCAACCTGTCGATTATTAAAAAGGCCTGAATCTGACCTGTTATGGCAGTAATAGTCTGAGGTTACTATTAGCGACTTATGGGTTTGCAGTCGAGTAGGCTGGTGATACTGATTAAGAATGATGATGGGGAGTGAGAAGTGTGGGGAGGAAGAACCCCCCTCCTTGTTTAAATGTACAAGACAAGATCCCCCATGGGAGGCTAGTCAAGCGATTTGGAAATTCTGTCCGGCCAAGTGACCATATCACGGAGGTCGTGAGTGAGTTCCACTTCGTGATCTGGAGTCGGACAAGAATTGGGACGGAGGGTTAATAAAGCCATTGCGTAATGAGGAAATAACAACCAAAATAAGGTATGTGATGAATTCAGATTCGGAAGTGGGAATATTACGGCGAGTTTAATTATGAATCCTAGAATAAGGGATCAGAGTCGACGGAAACTAGTGATTATGAAAAAGATACTCTTCTTAATAACGAGTTGAATCAGCTACTACTTTCGTGACAAAGTATCATCTGCCAAGAAGAACCTCTTAGCAATCCTCAATCAGGATTGCGACAGTCCATCCTTCTATACGTGTAGAAAGTTTGGGAGTTGGAAGGTGACCGCAATTCAGGATGTGTTGCTCTTAGTCATATCGTCGGGGAGAACTCGGCCTTCGACTCGGATGGAATATCTTGAAAAGAGGTTATTGTTTGCCTTATGACGCCCAACCAGAAAGTAGCAATGATATGCTTCAGTACATACTAACTACAAACACAGTCGTTGGTTAATAGAGATAAACACAAGTAACTATTACTAGCCCCTTTTATTACATAAGCAAATTAACATCGTACCTTTAGACACAACTTACCCCTGAGAGAATGATCTTAAGATACCAAAAAAGTTTGGAATCGAATAATACTACGGGATAACACAAGATACGATTGATTTCATAATAAACACTCGTGACTTTCTTAGAAAATACGATATTGGATGAAGTTTGCTTTCAGCCATAACATTCCACCAACCATTCTAACTGACTCTTGTTCCATAGGATAAAATGGATTCTCGCCTACCTAAATAGGAATGATTTTATTAAGATATAGTCTTCAATCTTTAGTCTCATTAGTTATGCCAGTTATTCTCAAGTCAGTGTCTCCACTTCACTATGATCACAGCATGATTGGTAAAGAAGTATTCCATCGTAAATGCACGAATGGTTTGATTTTTCTACTAGCCTCCTAGACTATATCTCTTGAGAGGCTTATAAACTTTCAGTTTATCTCGTTTTCATGGATTAGCCCGATGCCACGGAATTTTATTTGCATTGTGTGCGTGTTGCTCGTTGCGCGTTGTGTGATTAGGGTTCTGACATCAAGTTGTATGGGTGGAAACTAACTAAAAGATGTTTAATCTTTGAGAGAAGCATAATGTCTCTGGGAGAAATGTATGGAAGAGTTCAGTGGGGACAAGAGTAGGCAGAAACTAAACCACGAATATTAATGAGTGTTTATCGAATTCAGTATGAGCCAAAAGTGCCTAAGTAGAAGAAGGGTGTCTTAGAATGACTGCGTATGTCATGAGACCAACCATATGGGGGGTTAATAACTCTGTTGTTGCGCGAAGAGATCGCAATTAACTGGTATCATATACATACATAAGTAGCTTCTTTGGTCTAAGAGCTCCTTTGTCCTTATATCGGCGATAAGGGACCTTCCCGATACTTCCCAAGATGCATTGCTTTATACAGCTTAACTACTGACAGCGTATACATGTTAATTGGCATCGTTACACACGTCTGCGTCGGCGCTAGCAATATCCTCTAGTAATTATAATGAAACTAACTCACTCTCCTCTTAAATAATAGTAAATTAATAATAAAAAAAAACATCGAAAAAAAAGGTTGTTGAGCTTGTGTGTTGATTGTCCTGACTCAACAGGAATTGCCCAGGAATATTCTCAACTGGAAGTGTCCTGACCTAACAGGAATTCCCCGGAGTTATCTCGACGGAGGCCATGGGATCTAAATCAACCAGGTCTTTAAAATGTCCTGACTTAACGGGAATTCCCTGGAGGTATCTCAACAGAGGCCCCTGGAGACTATGTCAACCGGGTCTTCATAATGTGTCCTGACTTAACAGGAAATGCCGTGGCGCTCGAAAAGTCCTTGCTCGACATGTCCCTCAAACCCTTGACCTCAAGAGTGGGAGAGTTGATTGAAATACAACACACCGGACTGCAGCACCACGGAGGGACTTCTTGAAAACCTATCAGATTATTAGCACCTATATGCGGATCGTGCATACGTTGCTAGGCAATTCGTAAGAATGTGGCAAATGGATTTTAAGTTACTGGGGAGACGTTTTTGCCTCCTTGGTAGACACGTATCCCCGGTGGCGTAGTGGTGAACGCCCCAGCCCCGCGTTACACCGCCGACTAAGCGATGCGGCTTGGTTCGAGTCCCATTGAAACCATTTGGCTAGGCGTCGCCGTTTTTTTTTGTAAAAAAAAAAAAAAAGGATGTTTGAATTGCGGCTTTCGAGGATGTTATAATGCTCATGGCTTCGTATATAGCGCGATATTTGTATTTGGCGCTTTGCATAAATCATTTGTGTCTTGGCGATTTTGGTTCGTTTCTTCGTGCCTTCTCGTATGTCTCTTCTTTCTTGAGCTCTTTGGCGGCGAGGGGCTCGGCGGAAAGTCGTGACGGGGCTAGGGTAGCGAGATACAGTAGGTGCGAATAGTTCCTATTGTAAATTTAAAAATGGCTTGCGGATAATTTTCTGCTGTCCCTCTGATGTCGCGGTAAGGGGTTTTGGTGGTGTCGAGGAATTTTGTACGACATTACTTTTTCTGGCTCGCGATTCGGAATACTCGCCATTTTCGGCGACAGGAGACGCAAGATGTGTTTTAAAAGTATAGTAGTTATAGGAAATCGTAGAGTTCAGGGAGAGCGCTGTGAAGGCGATTGTTTAATTGCAAAGGTGGGTGACTTAGGGGCATTAGGTGAGCTTAATCCTTACAACTAGGAGTCATAATGGGCAATTACCTATGGTGGTTTTTAAGATAGGGAGCATTCCTTCCCTTATCTGTTTATTCTGGAAGTTGCTGTTGCAATATTTGTAAGGTACGTAGGTTTGTCATAATATAAGTATGCTATCGTGCGTACTTGCCTCAACACCTTAGGTGGATACTTCACGTTGTCAGGAAGGTGCGAGTAGCCCAGTGCATTCAATATTCACCTGAGCAACCAAACTTTTCAATTGGATTTTCTTCTTCTACCTGCCCTAATAAATACTCTAACTTATTATCTATTTCATTCAGCACACCCTGACAAATTCTTTCCCTTTCAACTCCCAGGGTTGAAGTTTTTCCCCCTTCCACTTCACCTCTACGCCTACAACCGCGAAACGACCGGCGGCTTTTGGAATTCGCGTGTGTAATTGGGTTATTGATTCCATACCTCCTCCGGATCCCAACACCTTTCACTCTAGATTCTCGCCGCCTTATCGTTCAGTATGGCTCCGAGATACATCTGCCAATCTTGCCTCGAGGCATTCCAGCCCACCGAAGTACATTTTTCCGATGCGTGTACGCATCCGTACTGCACCGAGTGCATACGCAAAATGATTGAACTATCGGTCAAGCCTGCGGAGATATTCCCCCCTCGCTGCTGCGAGCTTCCTATCCCCTTGACGCCCCAACTAGCAATGATCCTTAGCAGGGAGATCCGAACTGCCTACTTCGAAAAGCTAGCTGAGATGAATACCCAAAACGCCGCTTACTGTTCCAGGCCCGACTGTGGAGCATTCATCCCAGTAGAGTACCAAACTTACAATCTTGCTGTTTGCAAGAAGTGTGACTGGTTCACGTGTTCTAGATGTGGAAATAATTACCACGAAGGACAGTGCCCCATTGAACCTGGCCTATCCGAGTTACAGGCAATTGCGGAGAAGAAAGGATGGAAACGATGTGCCTGCGGCAGACTGATTGAGAGAATTGACGGCTGCGAGAGTATAATCTGCATTTGCGGACGGGATCTTTGCTATGATTGTTCGCGAGAGATCGGCGATTGTATTTGCAACGAACTCTACAGACAGCGGGAGGAAGAGGCAGAGGAAGAGGACGAAGAAGAAGAAGAGGAGGAGGAGGAGCAAGAGGCACAAGACGTACAAGACGTACAAGAGGAGCAGGAGGGACAGGTGAACCTGGGAGAAGGCGCGGCACATAAAAATGTCTACACACGCATAGAACAAACGGTCAACGACGCGATCATTGGAGGGACATCGGGATCTGTTACCCTAAGTGTCGGAGAAGGATTGAATATTACAGCCACTTTTTCGGAAGCAACGACAGAGCTACCTGCACCTCTTCACCCCCAACCGAATTCGCCCACAGGTCCGACCGCTGAGAGAGGACATGACGAGGAGCAGCAGGAGGAGCAAGAGGAGGAGCGGGACGGGAAGCAACCCAGTCCTAGCTGCCGCCACCACTATCTAAAGGACACTATCGATTTTAAGGGTTCCGGGGGTGTCTACCCGTAGTGCGAATGTGGAGGAATGTCCTACCTACTACAATGCCGACGTTGCCGCCACCGCGCCTGCTTCAGCTGCTTTAAGAGCCAGACTCATTAGGCTCACTACTGAGCGATCTAGGAGATACGGGTTAGTAAGGAGAGAGGAAATAAGGGATGAATGCAGGAAAACCAGAATGGATGATAGGCTAGCCACTCGCAAGATTGTGAATTTACAGAAATGATATAAAAATCAAAAAATCTTCAGTCTACGAGTGAAGTGTAAAAAATGCTGCGGTACTTCCATCTCATGCGTAGGGCTAATACGGTGTCAAAAGGTGGCTCGAGCTTTCAATGATATCCCTTGGCCCGGATACCTTAAACTCGCACCGTGATGGTGTGTGGTAGATGGGACGTACGTGTACATAGGTAAGGTAAGGTAAGGTACTGCCGCGTCGCGTGGGAAGCATGTGAAAACCACGTCGAGCTAGATGGAATGTGGTGTAGTCTTAGTCTCACCCCCACGGTTCCATCACGACGGTACCACTATGGCTTGCCGCATTCTTCCTCCCACTACCGAATCTCGGGGTCCCTGCGAAGTGGATTAAACGGATAGATCCATCAATCCCTAGACGATCCCTCATATACCCATAAGGCTATTTGAAGCTTGGTGATGTATGTCTAGGATTATTCTTGATGCACTCGTCCTAGGCTAGGTTCGAGGTGTCCACATACACCCACACCGGGTGCCCTAAGTCGACTCCGACCCACCGTAGTATCGGTCATCGAGCTTTCACATGTTAAAATATTAGCATTCGAAAACGTTTTCAAGAGCTTTACAATGTGCGACTTAAAACTAAAAAAAATTCAAAGCCGAGGCATTCTTCTTGAAATGCTTGGTTCTTCCTCTTTACAAATACCCATCTAGAGCCCTTTCACGTCGATGTTTTGATTTTTGGTGAAACCTTGGAAATCTTCGCGGATATTTGTTAAGGTAAATTTGGTACTATTGCTGTCTCAGGTTTTTTATACCTGGAAAGCGAGATTAGAGACTCCGTTTAATAACCCTCTCTTTCTTGCTACTTCTAACAAACGTAGCGGTTCGCTCGCAATTTCTAATTGTCTACAGGGATATACAATATGAAGCGAATTATAGACTCCGAAGCGCGAAAACACCATACCGCACCCGAAGTTTTACATGAAATAAGGGCACCAATTTAATGGGCTTAAAAGGTCGCGACGGCAATGGCAATGGATTGAGACTCCGAGTGCGAGATAGAAACACTTATCTCCTTAACACCTGCCTTCTTTGCGGCATCTTGGGCATCACCATGAAGCTACGATCGATTAGTACACGTCGCGATAAAACCTAGGAGAGGTGTTTACTTACGGAGACAATGGGAGCACCATTTTCGTTAGACAGGATCTCAATATCCTTCAAGGGCGCGCCAGCTCCTTTGCTTTGAACACCGAGACTCTTGAAAACGGCCTCTTTCGCACTCCATCGCCCGGCAAAAGAGCTCTGAGGGCTGGGCATTTTTCGACAGTACGCGATCTCCTTATCGCTGAAGTTACGTTCGATGAATGTGGAGTTTTCAATATTGATGGCTGCGATATCCTCTACATCCACGCCGACCTTGTTATTCTTGCCGGTTTGGAGACTGCGAGCTAGGCTTTCTACCATCTCCTTCGTGCTCTTAGCTTTTGTGATGTGGGGTAGGGCGGCTCGGCTTGCAAAGTCGACGGGGTAGGTGAGCTCAGCTGTCTTTCCGTTTTCCGTAACCCTGGCGTCTGGGTTCAAAAGGACCGAGGTGAGCTGGTCGTCACTGTACGGGGAATGGTTCTTGGCTTGGAAGATCGCATTGTTCACAATACCGTTGTGCATGTAACGGTATGCCTTCTTCTGACGAGCGCTAACCTTAGCACAATACTGCGTATACGTCTCTTTGTCAAGAGAAGCATATAGGTATCTGGGATGAACACCCATGACCTGAGCACCCTTCTGACCGAAACCAAACGAAGTTAAAGAGAAAGCCTTGACACCGTCAGTCTGGATGCTTCGGCTGGGATAAACGATCAAGTCGAATTTCTCCATGTCCTTGTCGACATTGTCGGCATTGCGATTACCAGGAACTAAACCACTGTTCAGGACTTGCAAGCAACCGTTGAACATCCAAGCACCAGCAGCACCCTTAGGGTGACCGGTTAGGTACTTCTGGAAAATACCTAGGACGGCATTACCCTTCTTGCGACCGAGGTGACGCAATTGTTGGCAGATAACAGACGACTCGTTCTTGTCATTGGCCTTAGTCGATGTGCCGTGGAAAGAGGCCACATCCAAGTCGTCGATTGTGAGACCCCAGGTTGCGAGGGCACCCCGGAGAGGGGCAATGGTATTGTCTTGTTTCCAGAAATTGTTCCCGAGGCTTCGTAAGGCTTCCTTCTCCTGTCTTGCGGCTTCCTTCTCGATGTGGAGGGCACGAGCTTGGGTGTACTCTTTCTCGTCGAATTTGTGGCCCTGTGCTTGCATAGCTGCTGCTTCTTCATACAAGTATTCTAATTCGGACTCCTTCCAGTTTCGGATCTGCCTCTTGCGTAGCTCAATTTGCCGACGACGGTACTTTAGGTCTAATAAAGGTGAGGGGAACTTGCTGGGAGCTTCCCGTGCGGTAGTCAATAGACCTTGGCCAGGTGCTGGGACGGAACGTCCGATCTTGTCACTTGCCGTCGTTGTGAGGGCAAGAACACCGTAGATAGGTACACCCATATCAAGTGCTAGCTTCGCTGTCATGATAACCTGGATACCACAACCTTGGGATTCCATGAATCCACCTCTTGTTGTGGTGGTGGGGCGAGACATTTCCTGCGGGGTACGGCCGTGCGCAAATTCATCGACACTGTTGCTTGTTGCCTTCATGTTGGCGAACTCGTACGAACCCTCTTCGCCGAAGTCATCAAAACCACCAACTAGGCAAATTCGTGCTTTGCCTTCCATAATGGCTTCATAACCAATATCGACGGACTCCACAGCCGTGGCGCACGCACCAACAGGAGTCTTGATAGGGCCAGAAGAAGAGAGAAGAAGCATGTTAACCCAAGCAGCCATTGTGTTGATGAATGATTCCTGCAAAATATCCTTCTGAATGTCGTGGTCCATTTTGCGCTTGGTGTACATCCCATTAAGAGCGTTCATACCACCTTGGCCGGAACCAATGCAGTTTCCAACTTCGGATACGTGGACATACTTATAGAATTCATACGGGTCGGTGATACCTGAAGCCAAGAGGGCTTCAGCAACGGAGACGAGCACGTAAAGCGTAACACGGTCAACTTGGGAGATGATATCTTCGGGAACACCATATTTCTTGGCGTCCCAGCCCGTGGGAATTTGTCCGGCGACAAGACGGTCAAATTTAAGGGCTTTCGGAATCCAGAGTGTAGCGCCTTTCCTCAAACGAATAGTGAATTCGCCTGTTTCTGGAATTTCGAAGATTTCGCACTTATCACCATGCTGTCTCTTGAATTCCTCGGCGGTCTCCTTAGATCCCTCAAACGGTTCCAAGTCCTCTTCCAATTGAATTTCGTGTAACATCATCTTCTTGTTGGGATCATACCCATCAAAGAGCTCTGGCTCAATTAGACGGATACCCGAGTGTTCAAGAATATGCTTCTCGTACTTCGGTTTGATATCCTTGTCCTCAACTGGTTCACCAGTCTTGGCGTCGACCCAACCCGAGTAGGGCTGTCCTTTGATGGGTCCATTGAAGTTCTTGATGAGTCCCATGATCCACGCCATCTCGACGCAGCCTTCAAGAGAGAATTCACCATACGCTTCCATTTCCCAGCGGGTTCTAGAGTTACCCCAGGGGCCTATTTCGGCGAAACCTGTGACGACGACAATTCTCTCTAAATCTACCATACCCTTTAGGCTATCGTTAAGTGGCTCAATTTCCTTCTCCCAGTTGGGTAGAGGTGGGAAATCGAATTTGATGTTAGAACGTGGCTCAATGACCTTCTTCTTGTAAAGCGCCTCCGAATTCTCGCCGTTTACGACCTTGTTTTCAATCGAAGTCTCTTTGGTTACAGCTCGGCGGACCTCGCTGGTTTCTGTGATGTCCTTACGTAATCGCGTCATAGTGTCGTTCAAGTTGGGGATGAATTGGAGACCACCATTCAAATCTGCGAATACTGGCTCATTCTGGCAAAGATCCACAATAGCGGGTGACATAAGTCCGAGAAGGTTGAATGCCATTTCCTGTTGTGAGAATGTGCGCACGCCAAATTGTTCGACACCCTCAGCGACAATGTTGTTGCCAGACATGAGACCCGTACCACGAGTCCAGCCAATGACAGCACCGCAAATGGTGAGGTAGTTGGCCCAGTCCTCTGAATGCCAGCGGTTGAAGAGAGTCTCGAGCCCAAGCTTAGACTCTGAATAGAGACCATCACTACCAAAGGTACCGTGATTGGGAGATAGAGGGAGCACGACTTGAGCAGGTCGCGTTTCGAAACCACGCTCCAATTTCTGGGCCTTGACGCAACCTAGAAGTCGGATCAAGTTTGTCAACATAATGCGGTGAGCGAGTTCTGACTTCGAATCAATTCCGTCAATTTGGCGACCGTTCTCGGAAATGGCCGCGAATGGAACGATATAGTCAAGGTCCCATCCCAGTCCGTTCTTGGAATCGTAGATATAATCAACAAGAGCTTCCACATCTTGTTTGCTGCCTTGGTTGAAGGGGACAACAACAAGTTGGGATCCACGGGCACCGTACCTAGCGTACATCGCCTGGTAGTACTCTGTTACTTGTCGCGAAAATCGACTTGTCGTAACAATAACTCTGGCGCCTCCGCTGATTAGGCCCTGAAGAACCTCAGCTCCAATCGAGCCAGCACCAGCACCAGTCATGAGAACATATTTGTCCTGGTAAGTAACACCAGACTTAGCAGCCTCTTCCAAGCAGTCTAAGTAGACTCCAGTGAGACGCTTGCTGTATTCCCAGCCGTGGAGGTTATGGCGCTTGAGATGCAAGAACGGAATAGTCTCCATTTTGCCTTTGCCACTCTGGCCATTGGCCTTTAACGCAGCAGGCTTCTTAACAAAACCATTAGCTTTGCCGCCGTCCTTCGGTAAGATTTGGGCTTCATTCATAGCAAGCGAACGAAGAACGTTCCCGTAGAGGTTCTTGAATTCGAGCTTCGCGGTCTTGGACATCTTGTGCTGCTCTTTGATAAGCTTTACGAGGCGCCCTAAATCGTTCTGCACCTTGGTCCGGTTACCATACTCGGATATTTTACCACCTTCAGCCATCTGCTGGACGTAGTGCTCGAGCTTGCGGCAGCTTTGCCTGGGAATTTCCTCGTAGTTGAGATTACCACGAGCATCAATAGTTGTATGTGGACCAGTCGGGACGGCGACGTCCTTGTATGCCGGCGGCACATTTAAGACTTCTTTGCAATTTTCAATTAATTGCTGACCTAGCTCCTTGGCAAGTTTGTAGGTCTCCCCGCGCTCAGTCGGGCAGTTGTCGATATGGTACTGCATGAACTCAAGCAGTAAGGGATTTGACTTGCTCATGATGCGGATACACTGGCTGACGATTTCTCTGTCAACGGCTTGCAACCGGCCAAAAATAACGTCGTAATACATGCTGAGGGCATCTTGACGCGCCCAGTTCCAAGAAGAGTCGTAGGTGCGCGCTTTGAGGGAACTAAAGACTGGTTCTATACCCGCCGCGTAGAAGTCGCCATGTTCGGAAGTCCAAAGATCCAATTGGGCCTGTAGCACTTGTTGTGACTCTTGCGAGTTCTGCGCAGCCTTGTCGCCGGCTCGAAGATCCAGTTTCAAATATCTCGCCAACAGTTCTAGTTGTTGCTTGAATAGGGCACGCTGGTCTTTGGTAAGGGCGTCGATAGCAGCGGGGTCCATCATCATACCGCCTGAACCGCCGGCGGCTGGGCCAGCAGTAGAAGCTGTAGAGAGGCTGATACCAGCGTTGGTAGCGTACTTTTGCACGACATCATCGAGGTAAGCCTTCGCATCGTTCTCAGAACCCAAACGAGATGCCGGCTCCATGGTAATAGCTAGGACAAGAGCTCCGTCCTGTCTTCCAGAACCGAGGCCCCACCTAGATTCAAGGTATTTGCGCGCAGATGTCATATTGAATCCACCAGGCATCTTAGAGGATATTAAACGAGCGATGAGTGATTGTGATTGTTTCCCAAGCTGACCATTGAAGGTTGCCTGCATTAATCCCGATAACTCATCGATGGGGGTATCTTCTGGTTTTTCGGGTGTTGATCCAAATTCCTTTCCTAAGTCTCCGAGAATTTCGTTCTGGAGTGTAGATTTGCCTACGCATCAATTAGCTCTGGGTGAAACTCAACACCGGTTCCGCGTTATGTACTCACCTCCGACCAAATCCTTGATGGCTTTGCTGAGAGGCACTTCTAGGAACGGCTTCTTCAACTTTTGCGCAATTAACGCTCTAACAATTTCCAATGCAGAGACTGGTGCATCGTCCACAGCCGCAGCGGGGCCTGCGCTGGGAGCAGGCGCTGCAGCAACCGGAGCTGCTGCTGCTGCCGCTGGCGCAGAACTTGAAGCCTCCGCGGGCGCGGCTGTAGGTTCTGGTTCCTCCTCAATAGGATCTACGTCATAATAAATCTCCTTGGCGTCTTTATTATAACAGAGGATTTGACGTTGGATGGATTTGGCAGCGTCGAAAGCTTCATATTTGGATGCGATTGTCCTCTTCGCCATTACCCCTAAGGTGTCCGCCGGTCCAACTTCGACGATACGTTCGGCTGTCTTCTCACCAAGGAAGACATCTTGCGTTTCAATCCATCTCACCGGCGAAGCAAATTGGTATGCGAGGAGCTCGACGAGCAAGGTGTGAGCAAGCTCTTGCTCAACTTCGGGACGCATTTTGGTGGAAGGATTAGGAGGGCGTGGTAGAGAGGGTCTAGGGAGGGTAGACGGAATGGAGTGTCGACAACTCCAGAGGGTATCTCTACTTGTTTAAGGTTAGGTCGACTAGGAGAGAAAGGTGAAAGGAGGAAATTGTCTTGTTCGTGTTGAAGCTATCCCCTTTTTTTTTCTTCTCCTTACTTTTTGATCCTCCGACTAAGTTGAAAATAAGTCGTGAGGAAGAGCGAGTGGCATAAAAATCGATTTGGAGAACGGGAAAGGAGTGTACGCCAAACTCGACTTGAAGCGACGGGAAGCGACAAGGACAGGGAATTGCAAGTGGAACGAAGAATAAACCACAAATAAGTGTATTATTGATCAATTGATCATTAGTCTCCCGAGGTCCTCTGGCATAAAAAATTATGAGGTGCTCGCCGTGGTACGGTTGGCGATTACTTTGACAAAAAAAATTGATTGCTTAGGAGCTGGGAGGGTGAGATAGGCTTGGAGAGGTACAAATTACAAAGCGCAAATACGGCTAGATAGGGTCTCTCTCTCCCTCTCGCTCGTGTGTGTACGGACAGGGAGGATACAAGATTCAGTTAGAAAGGCGGAATGAAACAAGAACTTTCCCAAATGTTGAACTGTGTTAATGGAAAATTTTGGCGGGATCGTGGTCGTGGTTCCCCAATTCCGGGCCAATGGCTGGCCTAAAAAACGCTACTTGTACATACACTTATGCAAGTACAGGGCCAGCGGCCTAGAGCATCCCCCCATGCTACTGCAGTCTTGAGGCGTAGAGCCAGCTTATGGTGCCACCGCGACTGCCTAGGTGCCTGTAAGATAGCGTGGATAGCCAGGTACAGCAGTACTTCGGGCTCCTAGGCTAGAAAGAGGATCTCTGCAAGGCATTAATTTGCTCTTTTATGATTTGCTGCGGAAAACCTTTCGAATCCACTATTCCTCAACCATCTTCTAATAATCTATACCTATCGAGGTTTAGTCGCTATAAGGACCCTTTCTCCACAAAGACCTAGCCCGCAAAGTTGGGGTCAGTTGTTTTCACTTCTTTTGCCTCCTCCCTTCGAGATGCAGGCTATACCGAACAGGCTGGGTTAGAGAAACATTGTATGTCGGATATTACTATAACTTTCGCAATTGACTTCCTAAGTATAGATTAGGTTCAGCTCTCGAGATCAATGCATCCTTATTGAATCAACCATATTGTTTATCTCTGAGGTATTCAATCGTCATCCGACTTTAGTCTCATGCGGGCTCACATTACTAGGCAGCCTAGGACGAGTAGCGTTGCAAGGAAATCCTGTTCCGTGATACCATGTACCACACCAAGGTCAAGGGTTGCGTCTGAATTGATCTTGGCGGTAGTTTGCTTGCCGTACCATTCCAGTGGACCAGCCAGCGTAGCCAGGGGTTTCGCTGACGGAAGTATAGCTACTTAGTCGAATGTTGCTGGTCGAAGCAATGATATGGGAATTTTCGCATCTGGATCGTTCTGGGGTGAAATTCTCTCCCCCGAGTGGGATATAAGAGACGAGTTGTAACGATGACCAACCACAACTTGCAGAATATCGTATCAGGCTTTGAGGCCTAAGACATTCATAATCGTGGAAGATCACAAACCCTTGACGATCTTCGAACGACGAATCATAGCATTACATCATCTTACCCCCTCTCCGCAATCCTTTCTTCCTACCAATTGGAACTTTCAGATGACATAGACTGAAGATGATCTCGACCTCGGTTGTGACACCTATGGCTTTGATGATTAGAAGACAGACAGTTGAATCCCCCCCACAAAACATTATAGATTACTAAGTAAATAATTGGCGAGAAACAGCGGAGAAACACGGATATTGATGAGTAGAACGGTCATACCTACAGTACTTCCCGTTGAGCCGAAGACTCGGTGATCTGATACCTATAGATTATTCATCTTCGTACTCGTTGTTTAGTCGTCTACCTACTTAGGTAAGTTCCTAAGCAATCTTGTAGTTCTCTTTCTATTTTACGCTTCTCTCGGTAGCAGTTATTCAGACAATTAAAAGAATAGCCATATCAGCCAGTGGTGGCAATGCGGAGTTTGTTTAGACTCCATGTGCCTCTGAACACTACCTAAGTAACTGACTCGGCGTTGACGGCCAACTCTTCGAGATTACAGTAAGGTAGGTCTTGAAAATTCGTCTGAAGTAGCTGAAATAATTGCATTTGAAAGGTAAGGCTGTTGAAAGGGTACTAGATAGCGTTGAGAGGCTGAATCTAGAATTCTGATGGGATGGCATATTATGATAGAAGTATAGAAGTATACCTATAATAGACCCTGTTGACTGTCTTGAAGATATTTTTCATAAAGTATAGGTACATGGTTGGTAGCAGCTTGCTGGAGTATCATCAATAGTGGGCCCGGGCTGCAGCTGCAGGCTGGCTAGGAAGGCTAGGGTAGCCCTTTACACAAGTGTGGCACCTAACCCATATGGATCCCCAACAAGAACTTAAATTTTTTTTTTTTGGCGAGGAAGCTATCCCTACCAGAGAGGCATTAGAACATCTTATCGGTAAATGTACCTTTAAGCAAAGCTGGCAAGGACGACAGGGGTTTGAGATTGTGAACTGAAGGTGTGCACTGCCACCAGAAATTCTTTCAACCATATCCTATCGGGTTATCACCACCGCCCTCTTTTTATCATAGAATCGAGGCTTCTGAATAGCATCACTCTCAGCTTCGATCCTCTTTCAAATCCTCCTCCTATAATCAATCTCCTGGCAGGCAATTGACCTCGCCTAGTCAATCCTTCATTAACGAGACCCTCGTTTTGCCTGGTTACGTCCGTGGGCGCAATCTTCTGTTGTCTAAAGCCCTATCAATTTTTATTTTTACAAGTCCTAAACAACGTCGTGTCTCCTGCTCTTTGCTGAGTCTACGGAGATAGTTTTAATAGTAAGCGTTTCGGTATAGTGTTAATCTATCACCTCTCAATCGCTAACGTAGAGCTTAAGCACCAACTTTTATCTGTCCCAATCGCGATCCTACGATACCCTTAATCATGTACGGTACCGGCACGGGCACAGGCCCTCAGACGGGCGTCTCTACCCCTAGGTCACAGTCGTCCCTCCGACCCCTCACCCTTTCCCACGGTTCACTCGATGCCTCGTTCCTCGTGCCAACAAGTCTTCATTTCCATGCATCACAACTTAAAGACCGATTCACGGCTGCTCTACCGGCGCCGACGGATGAGTTAGCCCTCGATGACGAGCCCTCATCTGTAGCTGAGCTTGTTGCTAGATATATGGGATTCGTTGCACATGAAGTTGAGGAGGGCGAGGACGATTCCCAAGGTTCATACGAAGAAGTTTTGAAGCTTGTTCTTAACGAGTTCGAGCGCATGTTTCTCCGGGGAAACGACGTCCACACACTTGCGAAGAATCTCCCGGGTATTCTAGCGAAGCAAATAACTGTGGTACGATGCTATTATGCTGCTCGCTCAGTTGCGAACCGCGCAATTAGGCCGCATGAGTCTGCTCTTCTAAGGGCAGCAGACGAGGGAAATGCGGGTATCTACAGCATTTTCGGTGGCCAGGGAAATATTGTTGAATACTTCGACGAATTGCGCGAAGTATACGAGACATACCCCTCGTTCGTGGGCGAACTTGTCGCCGCATCTGCCGACCTCCTCCACAACTTAGCATTAGATCCCAGAGCCGACAAATTGTATGCGAAAGGACTCGATGTCATGGAATGGTTACGCTCTCCGGACAGCACTCCCGATCCTCAGTATCTCATTTCTGCTCCCGTGAGCTTGCCTTTAATAGGATTGGTACAACTTTGCCATTACCAAGTTCTTGGAAAGGGTCTAGGTGTACACCCCGGTATATTGCGAGATCGCATCCGCGGAGCAACCGGTCACTCCCAGGGTGTAATCGTTGCAGCAGCCACTGCTGCAGCAGATTCATGGGAGTCATACGAAAAGTTAGCCAAGGATGCCTTGACAATGCTTTTCTGGATTGGTGCCCGTAGTCAACAAGTGTTCCCCAGGACTTCATTGACACCTGTTATGCTACAGGACTCGATAGACAATGGCGAGGGTGACCCGACTCCTATGTTAAGTATCCGAGACCTTCCCCAGAGCGAGGTCCAGAAGCACATTAATGCCACGAACCAATATCTCCCCGAGGATCGTCACATCGCTATATCCCTCGTCAATAGCCCTAGGAATATGGTTGTAACTGGTCCGCCGATTTCCCTGTACGGTTTAAACTTGCAGTTGCGAAAGGTTAAAGCTCCCACGGGCCTTGATCAAACTCGAATTCCTCATACGCAGCGCAAGGTTCGATTCGTTAACCGCTTCTTGCCCATTACAGCCCCCTTCCACAGCAAATACCTTGCTGACGCCACCAAGTTAATTGACGAAGATCTCAAGGATATCGAGATCGATTCAGCATCACTTGGAATTGCGGTCTTTAACACGTGCACAGGTGCCGACCTGAGGGAAGAAGTAAAAGGCAACATTGTTCCCTCTTTGATCCGCATGATCACAAGGGACCCAGTCAACTGGGAGAAGGCAACTGTCTTCCCAGAGGCAACTCACGTACTAGATTTCGGCCCTGGTGGTATCTCAGGCCTCGGTATCTTGACGAGCCGTAACAAAGAGGGCACCGGTGTTCGTGTCATCCTAGCCGGTACTATTGATGGTGCCGCACAGGAAGTGGGCTTTAAGTCCGAGCTCTTCGACCGCGACGAGGAACACGCCGTGGTCTACGCCAATGACTGGGTTAAGGAATATGGCCCTAGATTGGTCAAGACCTCTGGCGGTCGCACCTACGTAGACACAAAAATGAGCAGGTTGCTAGGTGTACCCCCTGTTATGGTTGCTGGTATGACGCCAGCTACCGTCCCATGGGACTTCGTTGCGGCGACGATGAATGCAGGCTACCATATCGAATTGGCTGGTGGGGGTTATTACAATGGCAAAACCATGACTGAGGCTCTGACCAAGATCGAAGACGCCATTCCAGCCGGACGGGGTGTTACAATTAACCTTATCTACGTCAACCCCCGAGCCATGGGCTGGCAGATCCCTCTGATCGGTCGACTCCGGGCTGAGGGCGTCCCCATCGAAGGCCTGACAATTGGTGCAGGTGTCCCGTCCATCGAAGTTGCACAGGAGTACATCGAGACGCTAGGACTTAAACATATCGCCTTCAAGCCAGGTTCCATGGAAGCAATCCAGGCTGTTATAAATATCGCAAAGGCAAACCCCACGTTCCCTGTTATCCTACAGTGGACTGGTGGTCGAGGTGGTGGGCATCACTCGTTTGAGGATTTCCATCAACCGATCCTACAGATGTATGCTCGAATCCGACGATCAGACAATATCATTCTAGTAGCTGGTAGCGGTTTCGGTGGTGCTGAAGACACATATCCCTATCTCACGGGTGAATGGTCTAAGAAATATGGCTATCCCCCCATGCCTTTCGACGGCTGTCTTTTTGGCAGTCGCATGATGGTTGCAAAGGAGGCACATACAAGCAAGGCCGCTAAGCAGGCTATCATAGATGCTACTGGACTCGATGACGATGAGTGGGAGCAAACATACAAGGGCGCAGCCGGTGGTGTTATTACCGTCCGATCAGAAATGGGTGAGCCAATCCACAAGCTTGCTACCCGAGGTGTCAAATTCTGGGCCGAAATGGACAACAAGATTTTCAGCTTGCCGAAAGAAAAGCGTGTCGCAGAATTGAAGAAGAATCGGGATTACATCATCAAGAAGTTGAACGATGACTTCCAGAAGGTTTGGTTTGGCCGGAATAAGGCCGGTCAAACTGTAGACCTCGAAGATATGACGTATGGTGAAGTCGTCCGCCGAATGGTCGATCTCCTCTACGTCAAGCACGAGTCGCGATGGATTGACCCCTCTTTCACTAAGCTAACGGGCGATTTCATCCACCGTGTCGAGGAACGCTTCACTCACAGCACTGGTCAGGCATCCTATTTGCAGAGCTATGCTGAATTAAAAGAGCCATTTTCTGCCGTTGAGAGGATCCTTTCTCACTATCCCGAGGCTGAGACGCAGATTATCAACGCCCAAGATGTTCAGCATTTCTTACTTCTTTGCCAGCGACGCGGTCAGAAGCCTGTGACCTTTGTCCCGTCCCTTGATGAAAATTTTGAATTTTACTTCAAGAAGGATTCTCTTTGGCAATCCGAGGATCTTGCAGCAGTCATCGGTCAGGATGTCGGGCGTACTTGTATTTTGCAAGGCCCAACTGCTGTCAAGTATTCAACAGTAATAGACGAGCCTATCAAGGACATTCTGGATGGTATCCATAACGCCCATATCTCCAACCTCACAAGAGATGTGTATGGAAATAAGCCCGAATCCATCCCGACTATTGAGTATTTCGGTGGCAAGCTCATTAACACTGAAATACCACTGGACATCGAAGGTCTCACTGTATCCTACGACCAACACAAGAATACCTACCGCCTCTCATCATCTCCTAATGTTGTTCTACCCTCCGTTGATAGCTGGCTCGCTCTCCTCGCTGGACCGAATCGCAACTGGCGTCACGCTCTATTTACCTCGGAAGTTCTAGTCCAAGGACACAAGTATCAGACAAATCCAATGAAGAGGATTTTTGCTCCGGTCCGTGGCCTTTTTGTTGAAATCCTTCGTCCAAACGACCCAACCAAGACGTCGATTGTCGTTCGCGAACAACCGCGTCACAACCATTACGTTGACGTGATTGAAGTCAAATCAGACGGGAAGAGTAAAATCCTCGTTAGTATGATCAAGGAGACCACTGCTCTCGGCGAGCCTGTCTCACTACCACTCAGATTTACGTACAACCCTGAGGCTGGGTACGCACCAATCCACGAAGTGATGGAAGGACGAAACGATCGTATCAAGGAATTCTACTGGCGTGCATGGTTTGGGGGTGAATCCTTGGACCTCGATGTTCCCGTTACTAGTAAATTCGACGGAGGCCGAGCCACCATCACAAAAGAAGACATCAACGACTTTGTGCACGCCGTTGGCAACACCGGCGAAGCATTCGTCGATCGCCCCGGCAAAGTTATGTTTGCTCCTATGGATTTCGCTATTGTTGTTGGGTGGAAGGCCATCACAAAGCCAATCTTCCCTTGTAAAATTGATGGTGATCTCCTTAAGCTTGTGCATCTTTCCAATGGCTTCCGGATGTTGCCGGGCGCCGACCCTCTAAAGAAGGGTGACGAAGTTAAAACAACAGCACAAATCAACGCCGTCATCAACCAGGATTCTGGTAAGATGGTCGAAGTATGCGGCACGATCTACAGAGATGGCCAAGCTGTTATGGAAGTTACGTCTCAGTTCTTGTACCGGGGTGTTTACACAGATTACGAAAACACTTTCGAGCGCAAGATGGAGACACCGATGCAAGTCCATCTCGCTACCTCGAAAGATGTTGCGGTCCTGAAGTCGAAGGACTGGATTCAGTTCGATAGTAACGATATCGAACTGCTTGGCCAGACACTGACGTTCCGCCTCCAAAGTTTCTACAAGTTCAAGAACAAGACTGTATACAGCAGCGTCGAGACCAGTGGTCAGGTGCTACTAGAGCTTCCTACCAAGGAAATTATTCAAGTCGCAAGTGTCGACTACGAAGCTGGTGCATCTCATGGTAACCCAGTTGTCGACTACCTTGAGCGTCATGGTTCTTCTATTGAGCAACCAATCAACTTCGAGAACCCCATTCCTCTCAGTGGAAAGACACCTCTGCAACTCAAGGCACCAGCTTCTAACGAGACCTATGCAAAGGTCTCCGGCGATTACAACCCTATCCACGTATCTCGCGTTTTCTCTAGCTACGCCAATCTTCCCGGTACCATTACTCATGGAATGTACTCCAGCGCCGCTGTGCGAGGTTTGGTAGAGACTTGGGCAGCTGAAAATAACGTCGGCCGCGTCCGCAGCTTCCATGCTTCTCTTGTTGGTATGGTGTTGCCTAATGATGACATCCAAGTCAAGCTCCAGCATGTCGGTATGATTGGTGGTCGCAAGATTATCAAGGTCGAGGCCAGCAACGAGGAAACCGAAGAGAAGGTACTTCTCGGAGAAGCTGAAGTTGAGCAACCCGTTACCGCATATGTCTTCACTGGTCAAGGATCCCAAGAACAGGGCATGGGTATGGACTTGTACAACACTAGCCCTGTCGCTAAAGAAGTTTGGGATAGAGCCGACAAGTATCTGCTCGACACATATGGTAAGTTTAAACCCATTATCTACTTCGACAATTGTTAACATTCTAGGATTCTCTATCTTGAACATCGTCAAGAACAACCCTAAGGAGTTGACTATTCACTTTGGCGGTCCTCGAGGCAAGGCTATCCGCGAGAACTACATGCAGATGAATTTCGAAACCATCGCCGCAGATGGTTCCGTTAAATCTGAGCGTATCTTCAAGGAGATCAGCGAGAAGACAACATCATACACATACCGATCGCCTACAGGTCTTCTTTCTGCTACTCAATTCACGCAGCCCGCCCTTACTCTCATGGAAAAAGCCAGTTTCGAAGACATGAATGCCAAGGGTCTTGTACCGCGAGATAGCACATTCGCTGGCCATTCCTTGGGCGAGTACTCCGCTCTCGCTGCGTTGGCTGACGTCTTGCCGATTGAGTCATTAGTTTCCGTTGTCTTCTACCGAGGATTAACTATGCAAGTCGCCGTCGAGCGAGACGCCCAAGGCCGCTCGAACTACTCCATGTGTGCTGTTAACCCCAGCCGAATCTCAAAGACATTTAGCGAAGGTGCCCTTCGATATGTGGTCAGCAATATCGCCGAGGCTACTGGTTGGTTACTAGAGATTGTCAATTACAACATTGCCAATATGCAATATGTTTGCGCTGGTGATTTACGTGCGTTGGACACTCTCACTGGCGTCCTGAACTTCTTGAAGTCCCAAAAGGTAGACATCAACCAACTTCGCCAAGAGTTAAGCATCGAAGAAGTTAAGGCCCATCTTGTCGACATAATCAAGGGGTCCGCACAGAAGACCTTGGATAAACCTCAACCCTTAGAATTGGAGAGAGGATTCGCTACTATTCCTCTTAAGGGCATTGACGTGCCCTTCCACTCGACATTCTTGAGATCAGGTGTCAAGCCTTTCAGAAACATTCTTCTCAAGAAGATCAACAAGACTTCTATCGACCCAGCCAAATTAGTTGGAAAATATATTCCCAACGTGACAGCCCGACCTTTCGAGCTCACCAAGGAGTACTTCCAGAACGTCTATGACCTCACAGGGTCACCTAAGATTGCGCAGATCCTGCAAGACTGGGATAGCTACCAAGACGAAGTCAATGGCGCCAATGGTGTGAACGGAGCTTCCGTTCAAGTTAACGGCCACTAGGCGCTTAAGACGCGGAATGGGTTATGAAGATATGGCCGTAGATATTGAGATGGTGTAATGTTAATGAGGTAGCATTATACCAGTGGTGTTTAGATTCCTTGTATTCACTAGTTTTGTGCCACCATGTTGCGATATTGGACGGGAATTAAGACGTCGACTTTTCGTGGTTATAGATACGTATCAAAAGGAGTTTAACTCTCTAAAGTCAATTTTTAAGCATTGAATAATATTACGTTGCGATTTTTATTACTTGCGAGCCTGGTAATTATGTGGATGCGCCATTGTCGGAAAATATTTTTTGTGTAGAAAGCGTACGAACTCAGACCGTATCTAGAATAGTCTGAGTACATTCATAGTATCGATATTTGTAAACCTCAAATACTTGGAGAATGGGTACATGTACAAGATGGGTTGGACTTGACCAACACCCTAACAACTATGGTCATAGCAGGTCTAAGTCTACATGAATGTATACTACAACCACTCACAGCTCACCATCCTCTACTATCTTCAACTCAACCATCTTCTTATATACTATATCCGCAACGGCCTTCATGCCTTCAGCGCGAGGGTGATACGCACCTCCAGAGCGGAACAATTTCCACGTAAACGCCGAGACCCAAGGCTCTGGGGCACCGATAGCATGTGCATCACTCGGCTCCGCCACGGACACGACATGACACCATTCTTCACGCCCTTCAACCGCCTTCGCTGTCGCTTCCAGTAACCTTGCAGCCACAGCTTTGTGATGCTCCACGCGCTCCGCGCTAAACGGTACATGCCGTCTAGCCTGCGTATGCTGACCCAGCATCGTCAAGTACTCAACCACCAAGAATTGTGCCCTAGGCGCCTTCACATGTAACGCATCTAAAACCTCGGCATACCTAGCTGCGAGCCCCTCAACATCGAGTTGGTTATCAGGAGCCACAGGCGCACCGCCCGTTCCACGGACCTGCATCACGATCGATCCAATCCAAGACGCTCCCAGCGTGTCCTCGAATAGGCCGCCTATGTACCCGATGTCATTTCCACCGCCTAGTACTAATACAACATCGGAGTCCTCGGGTAGCCCCTCGATTTGAGGTGGGAAAATAGTACCGTCGCGATCCTGTGGTTCCGTGGTTAGATTGGGAAGCGTGGCTCCGGACACCGTGAGATCGGTGAGAACGGCGCCTGGAATCCGTTTTGTGACTAGACAGGCGAAGTTCGCGCCTGAGCGGCCGGCGGCTTCGTCGACGCAGGGTGGGATGCTGGGCCCGGCGGCGAAGGAGGAGCCTACGTTGGCGATGCGGAGACCCGGCATTGTTCGGGTTTGGTGGTGCGGGTGGATTGGTGGGTAGAAGATCTAATTGGGAGACGAGGGGTCTTGGGATGTGAGACTAGATGCGATAATGACTTTCGCATGTAGTTGCAGTTTATTCTAGTGTAATTGTCTTAGTCTAACACCTATCCTGAGAATGGATGTGGGCAAATTGAGGTTTTTTCCCCCCCAGAGTCAGGACTATGAGATTATGTAGGACAGCATAAATAAAAGCAAAAGACGGCAGTTCGTGATTGACAAGCAAAATTAATAGGCTAGGATCCCGAGGGATTCGACTCGACTCGGACGTTTTCTGGGGTTGGACGACAGCAAGTACCTAGCATCGCTGCCGGATCATATCCGGGGAGTTTCTAGTGCCCGCAGTCCCCTCTCTGTCCCCTTATTTTTTCTAATAATAAAGAGTTGTTCTAGGCTTGTGCTTGCTTCTTGTTAGCCGGGACCCCTCGGCAGTGTCGTGTCGCCAATATGGACCAATCACATAAAAGGACGTTTTGTTCGTTCAGGTATGTCTGAGATTTCTTAAGTTATGCCTTGAATTTATAAAAGACATTTATCTGAGATTTCTTAGATTATTATGTTATTTTTTTTTTATTTATTTAAGATATTTTTTTTATTTTTTTTTAAAATTTTTTTTTAATTATTATTTTATATATTAAAAAATTAATTAAAACTTTATTATATAATATATAAATTTTAAAAATTTAAAATAAATATAAATATATTTAATAAATAAAAATAATAATATTAATAATAAATTAAATAATTAAATATATTTTATTTATTAAAAAAGCTTAAAGTTTTTTTATTATATTATAATAAACTTATACCTTAAAAAGGTATAATTATTTATCATAAATTAATAACTTATAACCAACCCTTATATTATAATGAATGGAGAAGGGTTAATTATGGTAAAATCTTAAATAGAAATTTTTACTTTTATAAGGTAATAAAATAAAATAAAATAAATTAAAATAAATTAAGGTAAAAAAAGGATAAAAAAATAATATTAAATTGTATAAATTATTAGAATTTTTTATATATTTAATTATTTTTTTATAGTTTTTTAATTATTAATTTAAGATTATTTTTTTAAATATAATAAAAGGATTTGAAGCTTTTTTAATAAATAAAATATATTTAATTATTTAATTTATTATTAATATTATTATTTTTAAATTAAGATATTTAAATTAATTAATTTAATAATGATTTATCATAAACTACATGCGCTTATAAGGGTGTAAGACCTTAAAGGAAATGTTATGAACTAGTTTAAGGATAACCAGTTAAACCATAAAGTAAAAGCTTCCTAATAACCAATTAATCACTATTCCTTAATTTTATATTATATATATTATCTTATAATTTAGAATATAATATTATACCTTCTTTTTATAAAGCATATCCTTATACCATATTATATAAGGAAAACCAAGTCTCATACCTTCTGGTATACATATCATGTTATAAGATAGATAAAGCCTTATACCTACATATTGAGAATATAATATAAGGAAATTCCAAGGTTTTAAGCTAATGACACCCCCGCTAGCTAAACCCCCTTGCCTGCCTATTATTAATGTTGCTTAAAAGCTTAGAAAATAACGAAGCTTTTATTTAATAATTATAAGAATTAAATCTACATTTTTTATTTTAATAAATAAAATTAATCACTATATCATAAACTAATTTAAGAATAATTAATTAAATCATAAAACAAAAGCTTCTTAATGATTAATTAATTATTATTCCTTAATTTTATATTATATATATTATCCTACAGTTTGGAATGTAACAGGAAACCTTTTTCCTTATCGAAGTGGGGCAATGACAACGGGAATATATGATATATAACATGGATGAATATAAATAAGGACATTTAATTTCATCTAAGAAATATGATAAAAATGAATATAAATAAAGATATTTAACCTTATTTATAAAAAAAGTAATAATAAGGAACATTTATATATAATTATTATATTTTCTTATAGATTTAATTACTTTTTCTATAATTCTTTAATTATTAATTTAAAATAATTTTTTTAAATATGATAAGAAAATTCTAAGCCTTTTTAATAAATAAAATTTAATTAATTATTTAATTTATTATTAATATTATTACCTTTAAATTAAGATATCTTAAATTAATTAATCTAATAATGATTATATTTTTTTAAGATATAAGTTCATCATATTTTAATAATTTTTTAATTAATATTAATATTAAATTAAAAAATGATATAAACCATTTAAAGAATATTTTATTACCATTATTAATTAAACCTTTTCTTATTTTATTAACCTTTGAAAATAAAATAAAAAACCTCTATACTTTTTAAGAATTATCTTTCAAAGAATATCATAATTGGACATAAAATAAGCTAATAAATCCTAACTTAAAAAATAAAGAAAAGTTGGATAAAAAAAAACTTTAAAATAAGGATTTAAATTAATTATAATAATTTAATCCAACATTACCTAAAATATTCATATTTATTTATATTATTTAAAACCTATTATTAATAAAGAAAATACTTCAATTTATCAATAAAATAATGCCTCTTAAAACATATTTATAAACCTTAAAATCAGAAATTAAAAAGGAAATCAATATCAGAATAGGAAAAGAAGATCAAAAAGAAGAAAAGATTCTTAATTAATAAACTAAGATAATAACCACCTTTAAGAAAATTAAAAGGCTAAAAAAGAAATTAATTTTAAAAAAGATTAAATTAAAGAAAATCCTTAAAGAATCCTTATCAGAAATCTCTTAATAAACAGCACCCCTCCCTTAACTTTTAACACCCCTTGGACCTCCAGATGATAATAATAATAAGGATGGGGAAGACAGGAAGGAAAAAAGAGATAAAGGACCCCAACCAAAGAAGAAAAAAACAATAACCCCTTTTCTATTCGTTAAAAGATATAAATTAATAAATCTGTTAACTTATAATGGAACTTTAGATATTAAAGATTAATTTATATATATAAAACTCTATTTATTTTTCTATAAGGAAAATCTATTATAAAAAGAATAACAGATGTTTATTATTATTTAATTCCTAAATAGAATTATCTTTATATAGTTTTAACTTATTTTAAAAAATCATTTCAACGTTATTAAAAAAGAATTAAAAGAATCTTAATATATTTTCAAATTATATAAACATTTTAAAAGCAAAATATAAATGATATTTAATAAACCATTTAAAAAAAAGAACAGGTTATCTTTTATATAATAAAATTTAAATAATTTATAATTATAAGGTAATTATTTAAAGATATATAATTTAATTATTTTTATAAAGGAATAATTATCTAGATGAAAAATGAATTCTTTAAAGAAGATTAACCTATTATTATTAACAAATATATAATCAAGATAATTCTTTATAATAATAGATTATATAAAAGATATAATGAAAAAAAAAGAAATCCTAAAGAAATAAAGAATTAAAGAAAAAAAGAATTAATTAAAATTTAAAACCTTAATATAATTAATAATAATAAAAAACCCAAAAAGGATTTGAATAAAATCAAATATTACAAGAACTAATATAAGAAATCCAAGAAATAACCATAAATCCTAAAAGGAAAATCAACCAATATAACAACAACAACACTAGGATCCTTAACCTTAAAAATATTTAACATTATTAAAAAGAAGGAAAAAAAGGAAAACCTATTACTAAACTATAATAAAGTTACCTAACAAACAAAGATGGAAAACTTTATGGATTAAATAAATTAATTATGGGATTTTGATATAATAGATATAAGAAATTTCAAGGAAAAAAAAAAATATTTTTTCAAAAGAATCTAGTTCTTTTTTAAATATACAAAGATTACAAGAACCATTAAGGGACATAGACTGGGACATAAAAGGAAAAATGGAAGGAAAAATAATATTCTTAATATAAATTAATAACCAAAATATTTCTGTTATATTATTATTAGATAAAAATATTATTTTAATATATTTTAATAAAATATAATTATATTAATAAATAATATAAGACTAATAAGATTTTAATAATAAAAAAAGATGGAATTAAATCTTTAAACCAAAATTAATATATTATATATAATTAATTAAATGGATGAATTATTATTATTATTATTTTGATGATCTATAAGACCTAAGATATATATTTAAGAATGATGAAAAATAATTTCAAAAATATAGGAAATGGAATTGTAAGAGAGCCTATAGAATTATTACTAAAATAATATTTAAGGGATAAAGAATCTTAATATCATTTATTATAAAAATATTTAAAGATCTAAATTATAAAAAGGTAATTAAAAAAAAAAATCAGAAATTTATATAATAATGTTATAAAAATATATATAAAGTTACTTACATATTATTCTACTAAGAAAAACAAAATATGATTATTTTAATTAAATATATTTAAGGATATTTAAAATAAATTATCTAATATCTAAATATTATCTTAAATAAATATTATAAATAAATATTATTATAATATAAAAAAAAGATTAATTAACTTTAAAAGAAAATATTATAATTTTTTAAAAAAGAACTAAATAATTAATAAATCTGTTATAAAGAATGATAGATATAATTAATAAATAATAAAATATAATAAAAAAATTATTAAGAATCTTATAAATAATATTAAATAAAATTAAATTAATATGTTTAATAGGAATAGTTAAGAGATCTTATTTAATTATAAAAATGATATAAAAAAGATATAAATTTAATATCTTAATTAATTTAGGATATATAATTAATTTAATTTACCTAAGATTAATTAATATATATAGAATATTATATTAAAAGAAAAAGATATCTTATTAAATTAACAATATTAATAAAAGCTTTATTACCTATGATAAAAGAAAAGTCAAAAGAGAAATTATAGTTTTTTTTATTTTAATCCAAGAATATTGAAAATTAATATCTTTTAATCTTATTAATATAAATTATAAGTTAATTTTAGAAAAGATACGGCTTAAAATTAGTAATCTAAGAATCAATTGGATATATAATTGACTTTATTAGGATAAGTTAGAAAAAGATTTAATCCTTAAGCATTGGAAAAAGGCTAATTCAAGTAAATTAAAATAATAATTACAGGAATTACAAAAAGGTAATCTTATAAAAGAATATTTTATAATATAATATATAAATAATAAAGAATTAAATAATCAAAAATAAATTAAAATTAAAGAAGAATATGTAAAAATATTCCTAAAATTATTTTAGGATAATCCAAATATAGATATAAGTATATCAGAATATAGTTAATATAATTATAAAATTATATTAAAGGAAGGAGAATATCTAAAATTTTATATATTATATTCCAGGATAAAGAAGTAAAAAAGTTTATATAAAAATTAAAATTATTAACAAAATATCTAATCTTTTTAATATCTAAAAAAAATAAGGATAAAACATTTAAATTAAATAAAGAAAGAGAAGTAATATAGAGGGAT